TTCAGCTTTCAGCACTACTCGACACCGGTGCGATGTCGTGCTTCATCGACAAAAGTTATGCCCGCAAGCACCGCATCCCACTTGTCAAGAAGGAGGACCCCATTGCGCTTGAACTGGTTGACGGACGTCCCAGCCATGCGGGCTCCATTACCCATCACACCCAACCTTTGGGCATGTGGGTCAACGACCATTTTGAGGAGGTGATATTCCATGTGACATGTTCCCCGCATGCGCCAATCATCCTGGGGCATCCCTGGTTTGAGCTCCATGATGTGGAGCTACACTGGAAGACTCGCACTCTTTGCGTCCGCTGCCATTGCGGTTTTGGACAATACGCCTCCTGGGATGCCCTGCCAACAGAACCTAGCCCGAAGCCCTCAAGAACCCCTGAACCTCTGATCCGTATCCATCAAGACGAGATTTCAGTCTCCCTAGCCCAGACACCCAACACACTGGACCCAGCACCCACACCGATCCACGTATCGTTTATCAGCGCCCCAGGCTTTCCGTGTGGCGGCAAGGCATGACCAGGCTTTCATTGCCTACGCCAATCCGACCAAGTCAGATTCCCAAGCCCTGGCGACCACTCCTCCAAAAGATCCGAAGGCCATCATTCCTGAAGAATACCAAGATTTTGCGGACGTCTTTGCCAAGAAGAACGCGGATACCCTCCCAGAGCACCGACCCTACGACTGTCCCATCGACTTAGAAGAGGGCAAACAGCCACCGTTCGGCCCGATCTATAGTCTCAGCAAGCCTGAAATGCAGGCACTCTGTGACTACCTTGAAGAGAACCTAGCTAAGGGGTTCATCAAGCACTCCAAGTCTCCCGCCGGTGCCCCAGTCCTCTTTGTCAAGAAAAAGGACGGTTCCCTCCGTCTGTGCGTCGACTATCGTGGACTCAACAATATCAACATCAAGAATCGCTATCCCTTGCCCTTGATTAACAGCATCATGGATCGTCTTCGAGGGGCACGCCGGCTCACCAAGATTGACCTCCGGGGAGCCTACAACCTTCTTCGGATCCGGCCAGGGGATGAATGGAAGACAGCGTTCCAATGTCGCTACGGCCTATTCGAGTATAATGTCATGCCGTTTGGGCTCACCAATGCCCCTGGAGTATTCCAACACCTCATGAACGACATATTCCGTGACATTCTCGACGTTTTTGTTGTGGTCTACCTTGACGACATTCTGATCTTCTCAAAAAACCCAGAAGACCACCCCAACCACGTCCGAGAGGTGCTCTCACGACTCCGCCAGCACGGGCTGTATGCGAAACCGGAAAAATGCGAATTCAACCGTGACTCTGTTGAGTTCCTGGGGTTTATCATCTCCCAGCAAGGCATTTCCATGGACCCAAAGAAGACGGCTGCCATTACCGAATGGGAACCCCGGACGAATGTCAAAGGCATCCAGCGCTTCCTTGGTTTTGCCAACTTCTACCGGCGATTCATCAAAGGGTACTCTGCGATCGTTGCACCCCTGACCACGCTCACTCGCAAAGACTTGCCATTCAAATGGACCCACGCTGCACACCTAGCTTTTGAAACCCTCAAGAAAGCCTTCACCTCCGCACCTATCCTGACTCACCCCGACCCTGACAAGCCCTTCATTGTCGAATCCGATGCCTCCGACTTTGCCCTTGGCGCCGTCCTCCTTCAACCCGATGACACAGATCAACTCCACCCTGTGGCCTTTCACTCCCGCAAATTTACTCCTGAGGAAATCAACTATGAGATCTACGACAAGGAACTCCTGGCTATCCAAGACTCATTTGCTCAATGGCGACACCACCTCATTGGTGCCCGCCACAAGGTCATCATTTACTGTGACCACAAGAACCTCCAGTTAATGACTACCCGTACCCTCAACCGCCGCCAATCCCGCTGGTCAATCTTCTTTGCTGATTTCGACTTTGTCATCACATACCGCCCTGGTACCCAGCAACACCAAGCTGACGCCCTCTCTCGTCGCTCTGAATACGAGCTAAGGGAGGGGGAAGAAGCATTCCGCTCCCAGGAAACCACGATCCTCACCCCTGACCATCTCCGCCTGGCCGCCACTTATCTGACCCCACTGGACTCCTCGCTCCTTGACCAAATCAAAGCTGCCCTGGCATCCGATGTGTTTGCGCGAAACCATCCGGCGACAGCTTAGGGCCCCCATTGCCCAGCAATCTCAAGAAGACCAAGAACGGATAAAGCGATTCTCCGAGGAAAATGGGGTTCTGCTGTACGACAACCTTGTCTACGTCCCCACCAACAAGCTCCGTGCTGAGATCTGCCGGGACATGCATGACACGCGTTTGGCAGGACACTACGGCATGTCAAAGACCCTGGAGCTCATCTCACGCAACTACTGGTGGCCTAGCCAGTGGCGTTTTGTCAAGTCCTACATCAGGTCCTGCGACGTATGTGCTCAAGCCAAGACCAGCAGACACAAGCCCTACGGTACTCCTCCAACCCCTGCAGGTCCCTGACCGCCCCTGGGGGTCAATTTCCTATGGACTTCATCACGGATCTACCCGCCAGTGATGGGGTTGATTCTGTGCTCGTTGTCATCTGCCGGTTCACCAAGATGGCGCACTTTGTACCGTGCAGGAAAACTGCCACCGCTGAGTCAACTGCAGATCTGATCTGGCACCATGTCATCCGGCTCCATGGACTCCCCGACGATATTGTATCTGACCGTGGCCCACAGTTCAACTCCCACTTCTGGAAACGTCTCTTCGCTCTCCTGGGAACCAAGGTCAACCTCTCATCGGCGTTCCATCCCCAGAGCGATGGACAAACCGAGCGGACCAATCAGATTCTTGAGCAATACCTTCGCTGCTTTTGCAACTATCAACAAGATAACTGGAAGGAACTCTTGTCTTCTGCTGAGTTCTCTTACAATAACACCATCCACTCCGCCACCCAGACAACCCCCTTCTACGCCAACTATGGGTTCCATCCTCGATTCAGTCTGGCTTCCGCCACCACAACCGAATCCCTTAATCCTGCAGCCGAAGCTCGTGCCAACCATCTCAAGGAAATCCATGAACAGCTTGCCACTGAGCTCAAGGAGGCCCAAGGACGCATGAAGCGCTTTGCCGATGCTAAGAGGGCACCTGGCCCAGACATGAAACCCGGGGACAGTGTCTGGCTCTTACAGCGGAATCTCAAGACTCTCCGACCTTCCCAGAAACTTGATCACCGTAAGATTGGCCCCTTCACAATCACGGAGAAGATCAACTCGGTCACATATCGCCTCAAGCTTCCCCCATCCTACAAAATTCACAACGTCTTCCATGTCTCCCTTCTTGAACCACGTTTCACCATTCCGGAGCGAACTGAGCCAGAACCCACCCCACCAGAAGAAGTCGAAGGACAGGAGGAATGGATTGTGGAAGACATTCTTGACTCCCGTATTCGACGCACGCACCTTCAGTACCTCATCAAGTGGCAGGGTTGGCCAAGCTCGGAGAACACATGGGAGCCAGTGGAACACCTTGCCCGATGTCAAGAGCTTGTTGCCCAGTTCCACCAAAAGTACCCCGACAAACCCCGACCAAAGCCTGCCAACATCAAAACAACATCCGGACGCCGTGGCTAAAGGAGGGGGTGATGTTATGGACGACGCGTCCATACCATGCGCTTACCTCATGACAGCATCCCAACAGTCAGTCAATGTCAATTCCCTGTCAAAACCTGACATCTGCCAAACCTTGCAGCCGCACGCAGCGGCGCTACCCCACACCTGCCACTGCCTTCAATTCTCCACGCAGCCGCACGTAGCCACACCTCCCAACACTCGGCGCTTACAAACCCTTCTCCATACTTCCCCACGTACCCGCCCACAGCCTCAGCGTAGCCACCCCATCCCCAGTCTTCTGTTTCTATGCTTCCCCACCCTTGGCGCTTCTCTTGGCTTCCCTCTCATTCCGTACCCTTCTGCTTCCCCACGCTTCCCCAGCCTTCCCAGAAAAACATAAATAGCCGCCTCCCCTGAGCTCCCCACTTCCTGATCCCCCAGCAGATCAACACCAGTTCTTCCTAGTCTTGTTCTAGTTCTTGTTTCGGTCTGAATACCATTACCTGTCAACAACCTGCACCACAAGTCGCCTCTATTTCCATCGGCTCCGCCCATTCATAACACAGCAGCTTCCGGAAGTACCGGACCATCCGAAACTATTTGTCAAAAAGAGAATCAATCAGTGTGGAATACAAGCCAAGCTGACAATTATCCGCTTTTTGAACGTCCCCCTCCCCAGAGACGTCAAAAGCGGCGTTATCTTCAGCTTGGGTAACTGGAATGCGTTGAATGACAAACAAGTACTCACGTCGTCCTTGTTCAGAGTCCGACGCTTTGCATGCCGTTGTTGCATGATGGAGTTTGAGAAGAGGGCGCTGATGTATGTCTCAGCGGCCTCCTGGAGGGCATCGACTGCCTCTTGGTACCAGCGATGCCTTTCAGAGAACGGCGTCGCCCCCGGGGTTGTCGCGATGCTCTGATTGTGAGCCCGGGGCACTTCATAGTCGATCTCCTCTATCAACTTCCTGAAGGGCGACTTTAGGATCACCGACCCATATGTATGGGCATAGTGTTTGATCTCGGCCTCTGCCAACTCGCCCGACCGATATCCGCCCCTTCTTCGTCGCAGAGTCAGCGCCTTTGGGAACGTGGACTTTGGTGGATAACCAACCTGACGTACCAAGCTGAAGATTAGTGCCATTTTGAACCCTCTCCAGACCGGGGACGGCGAAAATCAAGGTTCTCTCAGCTTGTTCAAAACCCACCTTCCAAGTTCCTGTGACATTATCAATTCTAGATTGGGGAATTAATGCAGGGCGATTTGGGCGATTTGGAAGACCGCGTGGAGCATCCAAGGCCAGTTTCCTGGCAGAACCGGGCGGGGCAGGGGGTCATGGGTTGACCATATTCTGATGTTAATTGAGAAAAGGAAAGAAGAGGCCAACAATCAGAATATATTCAGAAATGGTATGATATGGAACATATTATTCATCGGCTTCAGCATCCTTGGTCCTCTTCCGGCTATAGTATTCAGCCATTTGCTTCCGCCATTCCTTCATCTGCTCCGTATTTTCGAAGATGTCCTCAGCCTCATCGATAACCTCGGACGAAGGGTTACGCATTCCCTCAACAACTGTGTCCTGGAAGGACAACCATGGCTGGGAGTAGTCGCCTGGGGAGGGGGCAGTGGCTGCGGCGGTTGCGGTTGGGCCGATTGGCGGTGGCGGAAAGATGGGAGCATCCCATGTCTGATGGATGCTGTGTGCGACGGAGGCGCCTTTGCAGAGATGGCCAAGGGGGCATAGTGCGGTGTTGTCCCATGCTGGCAACATTCAATCCCTGAGCCTCTCTGCGTCCAATGGGTGGATCCTCAAGCAATCTGAGAGAAGAACACGGTTATTGTTATTGCCCTTCAACGCAGCAACAAAACAAAGACAAGCTGAGGTTTATGCGATTTTTTGACGCGCGCACGCCGGGGACGTCGAAAAACGCATTAATCCTCAGCTTGTCGAGAAGATACGTACCCCCGACCCAATCCTTCCTCAGCATCACCCCGTTGACTTGCTTCCCCTCGTGGTAGAGGCGCGCCTCTGAATCCACTCGACAGAGGCCGAAGGCCGCCGCCGAGCGGGCACGCCTCTGCAGCGTCCTGATGTGCCTCGATTGGTTGAGTGACCACCAGTAAAACTCGACCTGGTGGCCATCGACCATGCGGGTAACGATCACTGGGTCGTAGAGGATCCAGAGGTAACAGAAGACGGCAATCGTCGTCTCCGTCTCCTCCTGCCCCATCTGCCAGTGCATTTCTGACAGGTCGTACATGGCCATCCCCATATCCCCCTCCCCGTTGTCGTTGGGTCCCCGTCCCGTTGCCGAAGAAGAAGAAGCCATACTCACTTATGATGAGGGCAGGGTGTGTTGGTATACCTAAACTTTCGAACAAACGTCAGTCACGTCAGTCAAGCTGTCGAAACTCCGACAGGCTGAGAATAACGCCGTTTTTCGACGCTTTCCAGCCCTTCTGGTTCAAAAACACAATAATCCTCAGCTTACTTACAGTGCGTGGCGTTGCAAAGGAGAGAGGAGAGACGGTGTGATGTGTGTGCGATGTGTTGAAGATGGCGTAAAAGTGCTGTGGAAAGCATAGGGAAAACGTGAGGGGAAGCGTCAGCAGGCTGTCTTATATATGACATCCTTTAATTGGGGGAGTGTGTGGAAGCTAATCATGAGGCAAATCTGTTGCCATAAAAAATGAAAAATCGATTCCCCTAATCAATTGTTAAGTGTTATCATCAAAATCGAATTCTCTGTTAAATTGCGCGCATTGACGCGTCCATTCATATGGGATCATATGTGGTGTACTATGGGAAGCGTGTACTGTGAAGGCCAGTAACGCAAGACCAGTAACGCTTATAGTAACGCAGTGTGACTCACACACATCGCGCTCACGCGCATTCCATTGTACCTACTATATATTGACTCGCAACTGTGTCAGCTTTTGGGACTTGTAGCTAGTGAGTGACCCTTCGCTGCATCACGCCCTCGTAGTACGGTCTGACCTCTCATCGTCAGAAAATGCCGGAACTCCCAGAGGTCGAACGAGCCAGGCGACTGGTCCACGATAACCTCCTGAACAAGAAGATTGTCCGGGTCGACACGGTAAGGCTTGCTCTCCACAACTCATTCGCTCAGCTCCACCCATCCGCTTCGTGTCAACTCGGCACTTTGGTATTGGAGTGCCTCGCAATCATAATAGTGTGACGGCGTACGAACATTCACCCCACCTGCCACCCTTGCTTTCCCAGACTGTAGATGATATCGTATATAATGGCTGCAGCAACACCGAGTTCGCCGAAAAGCTGAAAGGACAGACGGTAAAGGATACGGGCCGGAAAGGCAAAGTGTTCTGGTTCATCTTTGACAAAGTGCCCAATGCCGTGTTGCACTTGGGCATGACCGGATCCGTCAGGGTATGCCCCTCTCCGCCTTAATCCTGTCCTATGTTGCAGAAATTCATACCCACCCCCTCCGCCTCCACATATCAGATAAAAGGCCAACCGGGCCTCCACTACGAAGACTTCTCCACATCCTCCTCAACCTGGCCGCCCAAATTCCACAAATTCGTGCTCGTCTTCTCCACCGGTGAAGAGCTCGCCTTCACCGACCCGCGGCGACTCGCGCGGATTCGGCTCGTCGATGGGGACCCACATGATTTCCCGCCCGTCTCGGAATTGGGTTTCGATCCGTATTTGGAGATGCCTGCTCTTGACGTGTTCAGTGGGTTGGTGAAGGGGCGGAAGGTTCCGGTGAAGGCGTTGATATTGAATCAGTCGTTTAGTGCTGGAGTGGGCAACTGGGTTGCTGATGAGGTGCGTCTACGGGATCCAAGCGTAGTGATGGACATGCGTTCATGAACGGCGACGTGACGAGCCATGCAGATCCTTTACCAAGCCCGCATCCATCCCGCGCAATACACCAACACGTTGACGGAAGCCGAGATCGCGGCGCTGTATGAGCAGATGGCCTTTGTGGTCAAGACGGCTGTTGAGGTGAATGCGGATAGCAGCCGGTTTCCGGATAATTGGATATTCAAGCATCGGTGAGGGGGTTAAATCGCGCCGGCATGGACGGGAAAACCATTGGGCTTGTCACTTACGGTGGCCCCCCTCGCAATAATGCAGGTGGGGAAAAGGGGCAACGAAAGCGCGTGAAGCGACGCTACCCGACGGCAGCATCGTCAGATTCGAAACAGTGGGTGGACGGACGTCGGCCATCGTACCTGCCGTGCAAAAGGTCCACGGAGACGCAGGCGCCGGAGGCCGAAAGGTATTTCTCTCTCACTTCGGACTTTGGACGTCCGGCACGAGACTGGCGACTTATCCCATCCGCGTGTCGCACTATCACCACAGTCGAAATCAAAAGTCGAGAAATCCGAACCGGCGTCACCCGATTCCTCAGCTCCCGTCAAACCATCACGGACGAAAAAACGCAAACCCACACGCGAGGACGCTGACGACGATCCGTCCCCAAACTCCCCACCTCCCATCAAATCACGGACAACGAAAAAACGCAAAGCCAAAAGCGAAGACGCTCAAGCCGACCCACCTTCGGACAGCGCCGCCGACGACGGCAATGAGGAGGAAGACGGCCCAAAACTACGACGCTCAAAACGAAAGCTGAGCATCAAAGTGGAACCAGTAGACGATGCTGAGCCGGCGAAGAAGGATGCAACTTCACGTGGACGCATACGGAAGGTTGAGGGTGTGAAGGAGGAAGGGCCAGCTGCCAAATCGCGGCGGGCAAAATCTGAGAAAGAAGTTGTAGCGGCGGAAGTAGGTTCATCCGCGCGGGGGACGAGGGCACGGCGTAAGGGATGATGGTGGAGCGGCCACATCGGTTTTGAGTTGGTTTCCGTTGCAAGTCGCACATATTTTTGGTTCACATCATGGTACCCACTTCTCTCATTGACTTGATCGCGGTCATGGGCGAGATCTAAGCAGCGTGTCAACCCAGTCGGCGTAGTTAATAATGCCTTTCTCACAATCGACGCCGCGGAAGCTAAAGTAGGTACGGATGGAGCCGCGCAAGCTATCTTCCATGATCAGAAATCGTTGTTCGGCATTGGAGTAGTATGAGAAAGAAGATAAAAATGCAAAATCGCCGTATTATTCCCAACGAATCCTATCTACATGTCGAGAATCGCCCATCTAGTATTTGGAGTGCGTAGCCCCCGACCCCGGAATAAGCTTCTCCTTCTTCTCTTTCCGCTGCTCCTCCTCCTCCCACGTGAGGTAATCCGCATACCCCTCGCGACCTCCACCATAGTACTTGCTCGGGTCCGAATAGTCCGTCAACGGCTTCCCAAGCCGGAACCGCTCGACGAGGTCCGGGTTGGTGATGAAGGGACGACCGTACCCGATGATGTCGGCGCGGCCGGCGGCGACGGCTTCCTCGCCGGTTTCGAGGGTGTAGCCGCCGGTGAGGAGCAACTTGGTGGGGGAGGTGATCAGCGGGCGGAGGATTTGGAGCTTGGATTGGGAGTGGGGAGGCCCCTGTTGCCATCCACCCCAGACGGGTTCGGTGAGGTGGATGTCTGGATGGTGAGAAATACGTTATGATGAGTAAACAGCAATCTGGAATAACGTGACGAGAGATGTGTCAGGCTACTTACATGCGAGCTTGTAAGCGTTCAGCTTAACAAGAACGTATTTGAACAAGGTCTCGGGGTCCTCATCGCTCACATTCTGGATTCCCAGCCATGGCGACAGACGGATTGCGACCTTAGAAGCGGGCAGCTCCTTCAACACCGCATCAACAACCTCAAACAAGAACCTAGCCCTGTTCTCAATCGATCCTCCGTAATGATCATCCCTCTTGTTCGACGACGTCTGCAAGAACTGGTCGATGAGGTACCCATGCGCAGCGTGGATCTCGATCCCGTCAAACCCAGCCTCGCGCGCCCACTTCGCGGAGGTCTGGAACTCGTTCACGACGTACTTGATCTCGTCGAGGTCGAGGGCGCGGGGGGTCTCCTTTCCGTCGATAGGGATCGCCGAGGCGGACACGGGTGCCTTCTTATCGGGCTGGAATTCCGACTTGCCGGCGCGGCCCGTGTGCCACAGCTGGGCGTAGATGTATCCGCCCTTCGCGTGGACAGCGGCGGTGGACAGCTTCCAGCCTTTTGATTGCTCCTCGGTCAGGATGCCGGGGACGTTGGGGTATCCAGCGGCGGTGAGAGATGGGGAGGTGCCTTCGCTGATGAGGAGACCGCCGTCCGTTGCGCGCTGGCCATAGTATTCGGCGTTGAGGGTGTTGGCGACCTCTTTCGGGGAGCGGCTCCGTGTGAGGGGGCCCATGACGATACGGTGCTTGAGTTCAAGGTCGCCGACCTTAATGGGCGAGAAGAGGTGGGGGGCGACGTCGATGGTCATGATTGGTGTTGTTGTAGTAGGTTATGCGTGGGGTGATGGTCAATGGATATATGGGATATGCGTTCCAAAAAAGTGTTGTTGTGGAAAGGAAACCGTCGAGCGACCCCGACGCTTTTATACGACATCTCCGACCACAACCCTCAAACGACGGCACCTGAGGATTTCTAAGCCCCGACGGTTGTAACGGTTGCTGTTGTGTCATGGTTGCTCGCTGTTGTGCGATGCTCCGCATGTGTTTGTGTTGCTGTGTTCCAAGACCCGCTTTCTTTCTTTGTCCGACCGTTGAGCGCTTTTTTGGGCACGCAATTCGGACACATTTCGAATCGGAGATCGCGTTTCCCCCTCCGAGTTTAGGTCATTCCAAACGCGATCTAGTCTATCTCGGTTAAGGGTTGCTAATCAAAAGTTGCGCCATGTCTTGTCCAATGCGGCCTGAATTGACCATTGACCGTCGGCCGTGGCTGCGCTCCGGATAAATTTGTAATCATCATCATGATGCTATTTCGTCGTCCTGCCCAATGGGCAATGGGCATGGATGCTGAGTACGTAATCAACGGAGAAGAGTGTGCGGAGAGCGGCAAAGCCCGTGTCCCGCTCTCGCTCAAGTCTTTTCCGGATGAGCAGTGGAATGCGAAGACGGTGAAGGCATTTCGGATGGTCGACTAGTAGGGGCGGCGGACGGTGTCGGGAAGGACAGGGCTAACCACACCTCAGTACGAGGAGCCTACTGGCCAAAAGAATCGTCTAGCTCGTATGGATGTACCTGCAACCCGCACCGCTTCGATGCGGTTGAACCACTCGTTCAAACCAAGCTGCTTCATGCAATCAACTGTAGAGGCAAACGTTTGCAAGTTTCGTTGCATGAGCTTTGTTGTCTGCAAGTGCAATTCGACGCGTTTCCTATGGGCTTCTGACGAACGACGAACAAAGACGTCGAGCAGCGCGCAGGACAAGACGATGAGCATCTCGGTCGAGATGGCTTGCCAGAAACGGGATATCAGCCGGTAACGTTGTGAAGGACGCGCGCAGGTGAGCGGGCAGGAAGGGCATACTACGCGCGCAAGTCATTGCAGCCGTGCATTATTCCCGGAGGATGCGAGCGCCGTAGCCCCAGGAAGCGGCCCGCAGCACCCACCTAGGTATTGCGATTATCGGTTGCACAGAACTATCGGGAAGTGTGCAACAACGTACTCCCAGGCCTCCCACCAAGACCGTGTGGGAGCACGACCACGACCTTACTTTGGGATGGTTTTGGAACATCGATTTTTTGTTCTCGGAGAGGCCGGAGAGAGGCGAGAGCCGGCGTATTCGATTGGGAAGGCCCTTTGAATATGGGCGGAAGGGCATATCAGTGCAAAGCGTTTTCCGCCGAAAAGATCGCCGAAAGTTTTCCGGATCAAATCATCGACAAGAAAGTTTGAAACCAACGCTCTTTCGAGAACAGCGCTCCAATGTTGATGTGAGTGGCAGAAGAAAACAGATCTAAACGGGGCATATGATCAACATTTATGAAACATACGCAGCGGGAATGACAAAGAAAACAGCCTTCATGATAGCCACAACCCCATGAAAAGTACGTGAATATATGTGTGAGGAAATACGACAACATGACAAAGAACAAATGCAGCAAGAACCAACGAAAAAATTCTATCTAGTTTTTCCCCTCGCGTCGAGGTATACTGGGCCGGCCCTTTAGATGTAAGAAGGGGAGATGCGAAAGGGTGTGGGTGGGGCCAAGGTGTGGGCGTGGGTCGGGTGTGAGGTAGCAGAAAAGGGTCAAAGTGTGCCAAAGTGCTAGCTATGGATGGTTGGCCAATGGGACGGCCCCGATCGAATAAAAACCCTCTGGTATGCATCGAGCACTCGGTGGAAGGTACTTTCAGATGCCGGTGTTGTGTTCTTGCTATTAGTACACGACGCCCTGCGAGAATGAGAAGAGAAAGCATTGATGAGCAACCGTGCCTTTTTCCGAATCCATACTTGGACGAAAACGAGCATACCTTGCTATCCAGATCAGCCCTAACAAGCTCAAACACCTTCAAGAGCTTCCGTCGGGCGCCAAGAGCGCCGACACCCTTGGCAATCAGGTCCTCCTCGGAGAGCTTGATCATGTCTTTCCAGTTCATCGTCTCGAAGGTCGTTGTGTACTTGTGGAGACGAAGACTGCGGAGCCAGCCTGGAATATCTGTTGTTCGAACCGATGGGCGTTGTGAGTGAGTGGGTGAGTAAGATCCAGACATGCTGACAGAGGAAGAAAAAGGAAACCCAAACGAACCTTTCAAAGCCTCCAAATCAACGCTTTCGGGTATCTTCCCCTTCTCCTTGTGCGCTCCAAACGGGCTCCGTGCCCGTCCACCAGGGTAGTGCCCATCGCCAAAGTAGTCCTCGCCATGCCCATCGCGGCTGCGGCTGTACGAGACATCACTGATGTCGCTATGCGCGTACGATGCCGCGCTGTTGGGTGTTCTCGGTCGCCCAACGTTGACGTATCCCCACCCGGGGGATGGATGTCCGTACGCTCCACCGGGCCCTGGGAGGCTGGGCGGGTTGGGCCCGGTCGGGGTAGGCGGTGTGAGCATGATGGGCGACACCGGTCGGTGGGGGTTAGGAGATACGGCCCTGCCGTAAGGCCCTCGGGAGAGCGGAGCGGCCTGGAGTGACAAGTGGCTCAGCGTCGGGATCTCCGGGTCGGGGAGACCCGTTAGCACTGGAGTGAATGTTCCGTTCCCAAGGCGACTCGATGGGCGATCTATGATCGGGGTGGTGGACGGCGAGTTGACCGATAGAGACCAATCCGCGGACGAAATGGCATCTCCAATGGGCGTGGTAGGCCGCAACAATGGGGACATGTTGGCGCTGTTGCGCGATGCTCGGGCTGGAGATGGAGCCCTCAACGACTGATAGGATGCCCTCTTATAGGAGGAGAAATCGTCCTGCGGAATGTACTCCGGCACCGCATCAGCCAGCGAGCGATTGCGTGCGTGCCCAGCAGCTGGTCTAGTTCTATATTGCTGATGCTGCTCCAACTGCTGCTGCTGCTGCTGTTGTTGTTGATGTTGCTGATGTTGCTGTTGCTGGTGTTGCAGCTTCATCGAGTTGATCTCATTCAATAACTGCGCGTACTGATCCTCCGCGTTTGGTGCACTGTGCCTGTCGAAAAGCCTTCTCGTGCTTCGGGGACCTCCAACGGCAAGGTACATGTCATCCTCTTCAGCAGCAGGCTCCGAGTCCAATGGGTTACTCGTCCTGTGCACAGGTGGAGATGGGGAAGGAAGCCTCGGCGGCATCGATACTACTAACAAGTGAAACATTTAGCTAAACTCGTCTCTTAATAAGACTAACTTGCCATTTACCTCTGTTCTGAGCCAAGCGGACCCCATCAATGATCGGCTGAGAAACTTGAGCAGGCGTAGGCACTGCTCCTGTGGCCGGGTCCTTTTGAGCCATCTGCTGCAAAACCGTAATGAAGAATCGGATTTGCACTTCGGTGGTGTTCTGCAACAAACTGTACAACGCCGTCGTGCGTTCTGGATCCGAGAGCACGTTGAACCACTGCTCGATGTGCTTCAGCTCCTCGCAGAAGTTATCATCCATCTAAAGACAGACCGTGACGGGGGGGGGGGGAGGGGGGAAAGGAGGCGGATAATCAGACGATCTGTGCTGGAATCAAATGGAAATCGCCTCGACCCCAGACTCTGTGTGCAACTCTCGGATGTAGGCCAACCCGCCTTCGCCTATCGATCCTTCTGAGAAGCCGGAAACCGTGTGTATCCTCCAAAATATTCTTACCTTCGCCCGCGCCATTTGCTCCAAAGTCTGTTCATAGTAGCTCAAATCCTCAAACCAGCGATCGATGGCTAATATATGGAAATCGTTAGTATGAAGATCCCGAAACGACCTTCCCTTGAGATCCACCATTTCAAGCGAACAAGATTCTCCACCGAATGAAATTCCACATACCTTCCGCCTCAGGCGACTTGTAATGAGCCGACAAAATCTCCGAGCTAGGTCGTTGGGCGTTGCCCTTCTGAAGTGATCCAACAGTAGCCGACATAGGACGGACGCCCGGACGGTCGTTCAGCGGGGCTCTGTGGACGGTAGCAGTGCGCTGACCCAGCTCAGCGGTGGGCGATCCGGTGCCTGTGGGCGGTGCGTTCGACGACATTGCAGACATGTTTTGGGGGGAGGTGTTCCAAGTGTGTTGCGGTGTCGAGTTTTCGGCCGTGGTCCAACGGAATGAGCGAGGGTTTTGGGCGGGGCTGAGGAGAGGAGGACCAGCTCACTCTCTTCTTCCTCTTTATGGGTGTATGGTTGTCTTTCTTCTATGTGTGTGAGCTGGGTGGGAGTGAATCCTATGTGGCTGCAACGTGGGCGTTGTGGAAGCCGTGGAAGGCTTTGCGCAAACCGACGGTCAAAATTGGGTCAAAATCGAGCGGAAGCCTCCCGGCGAGTGGGAGTGTAGATTACGCGGAGAGATTAGGCGCACGGAAACTCCCGCGTCGCTGCACATTAGAGTTGTGCCAAATCGCTAAGCATTCCTCGCGGTCAATCATGGACTTCATCAGTCACGACGGATAGATGTTCGGAGCTCGTCCTTTTTTTGTCATCTGTCAAAGGTCTCATCCCCTGACTTTCGTTCTATGTAGCATATAGAAAGACATCTGAAAGATTACCGTGAACTTCCAATTCTCGCAGAAACAAACTACTCCGTTTCACTTTGATTACGCCATACAGGTCTCATATGCATCTGCTCTCTCCCCGGCGCCAAAAACCGCACTCTGCAGTCTCATATTTCAAACAGGGTCAACGATGCCAACTGCCCTGTCTTGTTCACAACCTGATCGACAGAAAACGTTTGAGCAAAGTCCACGGACCCCATCGTTTCGAGAAAGGTGGATCGTACCTCAAACACCACACCATAATACCCGTAAAAGCACGTCGCCCCGAACGGATTTTGATGTCCTCCCTTGTTATGCACAACAGGTCGTGGTGCGGGAGTTGGATGAAGTGCGCGCTGGATATCTGGCCACTTTTTGGATTGAGGGGTGTCATATGAGCGAATGAGAGATGATTCCGTCGACGACCCTGGTTGCAACGACTCTCACTCTGACATACCATCGATTCGGAAGTGATAGGTTGCGTTCGACCTTCGGTCGGCTTGATCTGAAACCGGCACTTTCTGTACTGTGTAAAGTCCCACGACCCAACTGGGTTGGTGTGCAGAACGATCTTCTTGACGCAATGTGTTGCAGCTGAAAACAGAATGTCGACGCCAACGGAAAAGTCTGCCAAAGGAGAAAGAGAGAACATCCTTAGCAAGCTCTCGAAGAATGAGAAACAAACGTTCATCATGTGAACTCCTCGCAACTCACACGACCAAAAGTAATCACCCCTCTCCTCTTCCTCCGCAGCTTCATCCGCCCCAAAGATCTTGATCTGTTCATCATTCTTCACCCGCATCCCTTCGGCCTTCCCCAAAACATCAAGCACATCTTGTGCCGGCATCCCGAAACCTATCGATAACCGTTCCCCGCGACGGCGATTCGGCATGTGTATGCCATTACCGATCTGGGATGAGAATATTAGATACCCTAACTTATATTCGGGTCGTCATGACCGTTTATCTTATGGGCATACCTCAGCAATGACCTCCCCAACGTCCGATTTCGGCAGCGGGGCCACGGCGTCCCTCCATTTATCAGCTCCGGTGAATACGTAGAACCGATTCAAGACGGGTGTGGTCCCATCAGGAAACGATAGTGGGAGATCTGCCGACGCGAAAACTCGCATGAGAACCGGACGGGGCGAACTCAGATCATACATTGCGCTTACCAGGTATGGAATCCTGTGAGATATACTTTGCTGGTACTGGAAACAGGAAAGATATCCCCTAGAGCGATGAGAATAAGTGGGAGCTCTGTGACTGATGCATCATAGTTCGGCTTACTGGGTACGTGAGGGTGTACTGCTCCAGCCTCGGATCAAATTGGCCCTGCCATCACAGAATTGGAAATTGTTTGAGTAGATTGAGGTCGTCACTTATCCCGCAACCGCTGTCTGTACCGGATAGATGGGGCCGAAGAGTTTATAGATCGTGACGAAAGTCGGGAGGTTGTGAAGGGAGCTGAGCGATTATACCTGAATGGTTAGCGACAACCACCACAGTGAGCAACCACCGCCACATAGAACACGTTTACATACTTGAACTCCACATCACTATATGCAAGCACGTATTTGGAGAAGTCATAGAGCTCGATCAATCGAAGTAACTGACGTGACTAGGGCGTGAGCAGGCGCCAAATGTAGTTTTGGACATCAGCTAGGCTTGCCATACCTGCGTGACAGGATCAAATCTCAGACATATGCCATTTTCGGATAGGTTGATTACTATATCTGCCGCGAATGGTTCCTGCAATCCTTCCGTGTCATTATCCTGCATATCTGAAAATGTAGATATCCGAGAGACCTACCAAATCCCCATACTTGCATTCCACATGCTGCAAGTTCATATCCGTAATGACATCGATGACATCCCCAATTGGTGATCCAAGCACGAGTGGACCAACGGAACGTCCGGGAACCACAGGAAACTGAAGACGCGCAGGTGGAGGAGAGGGCAATGTTTGAGCTTGCTGGGAAGGCGAGCCCGGAACCGTAACCGCAGCCAACATTGCTCGAGGTGGCCTAGACGCCAACAAAACTGATTTGCTTGATTCGAATGTGGGTGACTCCAAAAGCTCAGGCTGGCTAATCGTCGGACTCGACAACAAAGATGACTTATCGTCAGGTGCCGTGGCGACGGTCGGTTTCTCTTCACATGGCTCAGCTCCGCCGGCTGCTATTGACGTCGACCGGGATGGGAAATCCTGGGCCGGTTTTCCTTCCAACTTCGCCTGTTCCCGGAGGCCTGCGGCGAGCTCGGGCGATGTTTGCACTTTCAGCAGCTGTTCTATCTCGGACTCTTGTGGGGTTGGGGAGCCGATACGGATGGCCTCGTGAGGCTCTTGGGTTTCGGCGGGCGAGTGCGACGCTTTGCGCCGATTCCGGCTTTTGGCCACCTTTGCAGCAGCCGCTCAACCCTGAGCAGCTAAGTATGTGGTGGAGAGATTTCGAGCTTTTTCCCACGAAGAATGCTTTTGCACTGTTATGAAACAATATAGAAAATACTTTCTGACGGCAGTCAGGGCGAACGCTTGAACGCCAGCAGAAAATCTTACAAAAGGCGGTGGGAGTGGGCTGATCGAACTTGCAAGGATGTCACCGAATGAGGCACTTTTATGGGGTGGTTTCAAGATGTCTCGGAGGGGCGAGCGTGCAGAGCTGGGAGATTCCCACGTCACGCGCGGACGGCGCAGCATAGCAAAAGTGCAGGCTTGGAGACGTTGGCAGACAAAAATTCGGTCTGCCTTCCAGTAGCGCTGCAGAAGACTTTGCCAACGAAACGCCGGTCTGATAAACCTGTGAAACCGGTCGTAATCGTATACCGACAAGCACTCCGGAATTCCAGTTGGCACTCACCCCGCGCCCTATAACGAATTGGTGTCAGCTGCTACCTGTGTCAGCTGCTACCTGCAGCTCGAGACAGATAAAAGTGGCTGCGAAGATAAATTCCAATCGATTTTCGCTCAGGTATATACAAAGGCTGCTAACCAGCATAAAGGAAGGGTTTCCGTTTTTCCACCTAGTCTTCCTTCCTAAAGCGACGGGCTGGCGACTCGGCGAAGCCATCTCTACGAGCATAGGATACAGGGTGAATGGTTTTCGGCAATAACTATATGGCGACGGTAACGGCGGCGAAGACACTCGGGACGATAAAGTTGTCGTCTCTATTGCGGACGGGGAGGCATGCCGGGAGGGGGGCGGAAGCCTGGAGGAGGTCCTGGTGGGAATCTGAAATAGCAGTCAGTACATGCTGCAAACGTAGGGCTAGAGCATTGTCTCATGAATAGATACTCACCCTGGTCGTGGGGGCATTCCCATGGGAGGCATGCCCATAGGAGGGGCACCAGGCATACCAGGCATAGGGGGTCTAAACCCAGCTGGGGGAGGTCCTGGAGGCATTCCGGGCCTGAATCCTTGAGGCGGCGGGGGCATTCCTCGTCCGAATGCAGGAGGCCCGCCCATTGGAGGTCCACCCATAGGAGGAGGTCCACCACGACCCATTGGAGGCGGGGGCATCATTGGTCGACCATACTGAACAGGAGGAGCGGTAATTCCCCTTCCCTGTGGGGCCATCATTCCAGGCGCAGGTCCACCAACTCCACGGACCGGTCCGCCCAAGCCTGCCGGGGCCATACCAGCAGGGGCCATAGGGAGACCTCGACCAGCAGGTCTGGCAATTCCAGGTCCGGACATGGCGGCAGCCGATCTCGCCTTCTGCTCGTCAGATACCGGAGGTGGAGCTTCCACACTCATGGAAACGATCATCTCTCCACGTAGAATGACGAGTCCCAAGGTTCGTTTCTCTTCGCGCTCCGCCTGATCTTTGCCCTTTGGTTTGATTTTGCGGAGCTCTTCGCAGTCGGCCAGAACCATGTTCATATGTTTGTCGAAGGCGAGCATTTGTCCGATTAGTGTGCGACTATCCAGAAGCGTTATCCGCAACCGATAGTTGAGCAGCGCCAGGATCTTAGAATTCCGTGACATCGACTGTATAGGTTCCGAGATCAAGATTCGATTAGCTTGACGTAAACCCAGATTCTCCCACATTGGATCCAACCGAGACACGACGGAAAGAGACACGAGCCCCCACTTACCATGGCTGTGTATCCTCTCCTCGTAAATCAGGAAGACTGTCGGCTTTGTGCTTGATGGTCCCGAGTGCAAATGACCTTCGTTATTAGCACGCCGGTTATCCTCGAAAAAGCTTCCCCCGCGGTCCAGGATATAGTTTAATTTCATCTTGAGACACCCACGTGCAGCGTCACGTGACAGACCAGAACGGATGCCTTGCGTTTTCCACTTTATGATTTAGGCCGTTTACCTCACCAATTTGCGGGCGACGTCTCAACATAGAAGGGAAAGCAACAATGGAGGTATGTCTCAATTCGGATGTCGGGTGGCAAGGGCTTGCATTGCGCCTATTTATGCCTGGGATTGTGCGTCCGTTGCTTTGTACATCACGTTCTAATGCGCTTCGTTGCAGGCTTTTACAACGGAACTCGAGGGGCTTCTGAAGCAGGTCACCGGCGGAGATACCGCCCGCTTGCAAACGGTGAGGATTAATGTTGACATTCTGGATGTCCCATATAGGAGATGCTCAAATTGTGCAACATTCAATCTCCGCCGATGTCATAGGCTACTTCGACCTTGTCTACGAAGTACTTCACGCAAGTGCAGTGTATTCCGGCGTTATTCGAGATTATCACACGCCAAACGGATGCTCCGGTACGGACATCAGAAGGGGTGGTAGGGCCCATTTGGTCCGTCACTTACCTCATTTCTCATGCAGGTCCGCCAACTGGCCGCTGTCGAACTCCGCAAGCAAGTGAAGAAGCAGGATGGCGCTTGGTGGGAGTCACTTGATGTCAATGTGCGGACGCAGATCAAAAACACCATCTTGCAGGTGGTGTTGGCTGAACCAAGGTGAGTGCCTTTCTGATTAACGGGGCTCGCCGCGTTCAGGGTTCCTTTCTAAGCCGTCATTGATCCACTTAGCAAGCCCGTCCGCAACCAATTGGCACGCGTAGTGTCGGAGATAGCCAATATTGAGATCCCGAAAGAGCGATGGAATGACCTGCTGTCCTTCCTTTACACATGCTGTCAGAGCACCGACGCCGGGCATCGCGAGATCGGCGTGTATTGCATTGACGCCTTGTTCGAAGTGATTGCGGACATGTTTTTGGACCGTATCCCGCAATTTTTCGAACTGTTTTCGAAGACGTTGGTGGACCCGGAAAGTCTGCAGGTCAGGTTGACCACCTTGATGGCGCTTGGAAAGCTTGCAGAGTACGTGGATCCCGATGGTCATGCTGAGATCAAAGCATTCCGGGATCTGTTGCCAGGAATGGTGGCAGTTGTTCAGCAATTGGTGGCAAATGGGGACGAAGATGACGCGGTGCGCGGAATGGAGGTCTTCGACAGCTTACTGTTACTCGAGTCACCTTTGGTGTCACGACATATGCCCCAGCTTGTTGAATTCTTCGTTGGAATTGGGGGGAATAAGGACAACGCACCGAAGGTTCGAGTCGCTGCACTCTCCTTCCTGATGTGGTCCGCTGTTTATCAGAAGAACAAGATCTCGAAGGCGAAGCTGGTTACACCTCTGATCGCAAGCGTGTTTCCTATTATCTCCGAGGAGGATGATGCGGATGACGATGAGGAAGACAACCCCGGCCGAGTAGCGCTCCAGCTCATCAACTCCCTGTCCACCAACTTGCCTCCTCAGCAAATCTTCCCTGACTGCATGCGCCACGTCGTGCAGTACATGCAGAACCCCGATCCCAACGCTAGGAAGGCGGCCATGTTGACTTTCGGCTCGCTCGTGGATGGCTGCGCTGAACACATGCGCAGTCAGATCAATGACTTGCTGCCGCTCTTGTTCACAGGTCTGCAAGACCCAGAGGGTATCGTTCGAAAGGCGGCATGCTTGGCGCTAAGCTCCCTCGCCGAAGAGCTAGCAGAAGAGATTGCGGAACACCATGCGACATTGATGCCGTTGATCCTCAATCTTCTCAATGACCCTAATGAAAAGATTCAACGGTCATCCTGCAATGCCCTGGACGCCATCTTGGAGGGCCTGGGCGACGAGATTATGCCGTACCTGCCGACTCTGATGGAGAAGTTGATCTTTTTGGTCGATAACGCGGCGCAAACTGTCAAAGGAGTCGCGATTGCCAGCATTGGATCTGCAGCCCACTCCGCCGGTGACAGCTTCCTCACGTATTTCCAGGAGGTCATGCCTCGCCTCAAATATTGCATAAGCTTGCAGCAGAAGGAGGTGTTTGACCTGAAGGGCCTGGCTACCGACACTGTCAGCGCCGTTGCGGAAGCCGTCGGCAAGGAAGCATTCAGACCTCATTTGAACGAGATCATGACCATCGTCCTCCAAGGACTTGAATTGAATGACTCCCGGTTACGCGAATGCAGCTACGTCTTCTTCGCTGTCGTTGCCCGAGTGTATGAGGAAGAGTTTGCGCCATTCCTTCCTGTCATCATCCCACAGCTACTGAAATCCTGTAACGAGGAGGAGAAGCTGCCTACTGAATGGGAGGATGAGGAGGATGAGGACATCTCTTTGGAAGCTGATGAGGCGGAAGAGGATCTTCGTGCGGCGTTCAGCGTCAGCTCCGCCATTGCTGAAGAGAAGGAATGCGCCGTGGACGCGCTTGGTCACATCTGCGCTGCAACCCGCTCCGCCTTCATGCCGTACGTTGAGACCAGCGTCGAAGTTTCGATCAAGCTCCTGGCACACCACCACGAGGACGTGCGGAAGTCGGCTGTGGACGCTCTGTTCGCATTTATGCTGACAATGCACAAAATGACCAACCCCCCAAAATGGGTGCCTGGTCTGCCACTGCAGATCCCCATCGACCCTGTCGTCGCAGGATTGGTGAAGCTGTCGATGGACGCTATGATCGTGTTGCTGGACAACGAAGAAGATCGCAGCGTTGTTGCCCAGACTTTCAGCGAGCTGACGGATGCGCTGCAGCAGATGGGACCCGCGGTCCTTGCTGACCGTCTGCAATCTCTGGCGGAGAACGTGTTGTTGGTTCTGCAAAAGGAACATAAATGCCAGTTCGATATGGAGGCTCAGGATATCGAAACTGCGGAGGCGCCAGGAACTCCCCTCCGCCGTGGCGCTGTTCCTGATGACGATGACGAACAAGCCGAGTACGATGCCATCCTTATCAACAATGCCGCAGATCTTGTCGGTACTCTCGCCAAATCCCTCGGACCGGACTTTGCCCCATTCTTCCAAAACTACCTCCCATTAATCACCAAGTACTACAAGAAGACCCGCCCAACATCGGACCGCAGCCTTGCGACTGGAGTCATTGCGGAGTGTGCGTTTGGCCTGAAGAAGGGAGTCACGCCGTTTACTATGGATATTTTGCAGCTGGTCATGAAGGCCCTCGGAGATGAGGAAGACGAAGTGAAGAGCAACGCGGCGTACGCCATTGGCGTCCTCGTGGAGAACAGTGACATGGATCTGAGCAGGTGAGGACGGGTTCTAGATGACCGTCCTGTTGTCGATGGCTGCATGGCTCACATTCCGTCTCCCCGCTTCAGCTACTACATGCAGATCCTGCAATCCCTTCGACCAATGTTCGACACGCACGGCAAAATCGCTGGCAACTTGGCCGACAACGCGTCAGGCGCCGTTTGCCGTATGATCATGAAGAACCCGTCTCTCATCCCATTGGACCAAGTCCTTCCTGTTGTTCTCGACAACTTGCCACTGAAGAAGGACTACGAGGAGAATGAGCCTGTGTACAGGTGCATTTTGCACCTTGTCAGGACCAACAACCCATTGGTAAAGCCCTTCCCCAGCGCAATCCTTCGTTTACTGGTGTGATGATATCTCACCCATCCTGTAACAGCTCCTTCAGAACATGCCCAAGCTCCTTAACATATTTGCCCAAGCCCTCAGCCCACCGGAAGGACAACTTAAAGACAACACCCGTGCCGAAATCCTGGAACTGTTGACAACGCTCAAGACGCATCACCTCGAAAGCTTCCAGACTATGGTTGCTGGTATGGACCCGGCGCACGCACAAAGTTTGGCTGTTCTTCTGCAGTAGAGCGCCCGTCGGACGATGCAAGCCTTTATGACACCGAGTCGCGTTACGCTGGCATCGCGGCGTATTGACCAGCCGGACTGAGGGTCCATATTTGTCCTCACCACCTTAACTATATTTGCGTCACAGTCGCATCAAGTGCCCAAGGGAGACGAGTGAAGCTTGCCCACCCTCATGGGCTGACAACCGCCCACTTCATATATATTTTACACCGGAGCAGACTGGCTAGCGCTAGTATCCCAACATATTCCCAGCAGGCGCGACCTCCATTCCTCATAGAATTTTTACCCCGGTTTTGTGATACAAATCCCCCATCTCTTATCACGTAGTCGCATAGGCCTGGCGTACTCAGTAGACGGTGATGTAAATACTACTTCCAGCGAAATATAGCTGTAGGCTCTATCAACTATATTTATTCGTGCTTCTTATGCTAAGGAACACTGCTTTGTTCAGAATCTGCCTACTGCCTCAGATTCTATCCTGACATCGCGATATCCAAAAAATCGGTGGCCAGAAACTTTTTTCCGATGTTCGGCACGATCCGCCAAATCAACAATCATAGCACGCCAAAACGTTATTCCCAACTCCATCATCCTCCCACTCCACAAGTACCGACTCATCCACATCTAGCACCTCCTGATACAAATGCTCCGGCACACAGCCGACCCTCAACCTCTCCATATCCACCTCCACCAGCTGTCGAGCAAACATCTCCAGCCGATTGTCCGTGGTTTCCCGTTGCCGTTTACCGTTTTGCGTAGGAAGGTAGGGAGCGAGGGATGGGAGGAGGTTGGTGGAGATGATGCGGTGGGCTTCTTCGCGGACGAGGCGGGATTCGTCGGTTGTTGAGTTGAGGATGAGGGATGGGGCGTTTGCGGTCCAGAACACGGTTGGTGAGGACGTTTCGGGATCTCCAAGGGTGGAGATTTGCTCAACGGTATTGCAGGTGTTGTTAAAAAGAAGGGAAAGGGACTGTAGGCCTCGAACGCGGACTTCAGAATCGGGGTCGCTCATCGCCCGTGTCAGGAGAACCGGGGGAAGGAGCGTTTCAAGATCCATATCATGTCCCGTTGATCTACGTTGCCTGGCCAAACTTATAAGCACGTCCATCGCCGACCGCCGAACGAAGGCTTCGGTGTCGGTCGTGACGACGCGAACAAGGTCTTGGGCGAGATCCTTGTCGAGTCCGCGTGTATGCAGGTAGACGTATCCCCGTGGATTGACGACTGTCTTCTCGAGAGCCACTAAACATGCGCTCCGGACGAAGGGTTGATCATCCTTCAGATTGGCAATGACTAGATCGGGTAAAGCCTGCTTGACTGCGAAGTCCGTCCGGGGGCTGACGAGGGAATTTTCATGCGAATCGAACAGGTTGGCGATGAAATGCAGGGCTGTGTCACGGACGTCCCATCTGCGGTCGTTTAGTAGCGTTTTAAGGACCTCTTTGAGCTGATGGTCCAGTATCCGGCTGCCATTGGGTTTCAAAGTGATCGATTGAATCACTTTCAGGCTCTCTTCCACGGTTTGCGTACGAGTAACGCTCCCCATCAAGAACTTCTTAAGGTTTTGCAACGCCTCCCAACAGTTCTCCAAGCCCGTATCGTGTGCGCTAGCCCGTGCCAGAGTTCCAATAACGCTCTTCATAAGCTTCTGATCTTCCCAGTACAATGGATCGGCTAAACAGGCCGCGACGATCTCGTAGGCCAGAAGCACTGAGAAATGCGAGACATGCTGGACCGAGCTCGACAGGCGATGGAGCAGGGCGTGCTGGTTGGCTTTGTAACATTCACTCCCGCTTTTCTCAACCAGTGTGTGAATCAGAGCGAAGAGCTTGCCAGATTCCTGCTCAAGATCCGACGATACAGCCGCCTTCCCGAGCTTCGGTGCGTCAACGCCGTGTAGGATCCAAAATGAACGCCATATGGTGTTGTCGACCCATCCGACCAGCCATGCTTGCTGCGATCGGTGCGCCAAGCCGGCTAAGATGTCCAAGATATCGAAGCTCGCGGTGAACTGGAAACTTGTCGCGGGGCCATTGACAGCTTGCGCAAACCAATGTGTGAAAATGAACTCGGCCGCTGCGAAAGGCAGTTAGCAATGGAACTCCGCAGAACGGAAATGAGTTCAGACGTCTAACCGGAAGCTGCCGTTGTGGCCAGCTCACTCATGCTGTGCTGGCCGCATGCAAGGAGTGCGGGATGTGGGACCCAGCCAAAGAGTAGCTTCATCGAGTCCAAAATTCGACTCCTCGCAATTCGGTCGGTATCGATCAGAAGCAAATCCATGCACGCCGGAACCTAAACCCGCGAAAGAGTTGCCAGTTGGCATCCCCACAACATCCATATGCTGTTCGGCCGCGGTCATACCAGTTCAGCGTCCTTCAGAAACTTATAAGCAGCATCTGATTTGGCATCGCTCAGGCTCCAGATCAGCTCCAACGCCGCATGTTGGCGAGGATGTGAGGGTTGGAGCCACGAGTGGATCACATCATACAATCGGCAGCCGTCAACTACAGATGCGGCAAGCCCTTGATATGTTTCCCGTCTATCCCCTTCCACGTCCGAATGATTGATTACTATCATGAGTAGCTTCGAAGCTGCGGTCGTAACCTATGGAAGTACGTTGGTTTGACCATGCATATTGGAACTGCTGATGCGGCGAGACTCACATGAATGCAATCACATTCGAGAGACCGTATAATGATGTCGGGTAGTTTGCCTGTTTCCATCAACCTGATATAACACGCGTTAGAGTCTTAAAGAGCGTGGCGTGCCTATATATGTTCATACCATCGTGCAGCCGACTCGGCAGCTAAAAGCAACGACAGGGACTCCAGGCATGCGGATAGGATTGACAGTGGTACCTCACGCTCCACAGCAGTGAGCTGGGATAATATATACTGAAGAGTGGGCTGGTTGGAAGCATAAAGCAGATCGAATACAGTAGGGTTCGCTCGGACGAGGTGGCCTACAGACGACCATGTTGCTCGGTTACACTTCGCTAAGCACCATGAAAATGCGTCTTGCAAATCCGACCTCCTTACCGAGGAAACGCACGGACAGAGCTGGGACCCTATAGTCAGCGTGCTGCAGACTCGCCTGAATTCCGGGAAGTCTTTCAGCCATTTGGAACCCTATGTCTCAGAACGCGATAACTCCTCCTCTCGCACCTCAATGGCTTCTAAAGCCCCTAGCTCATGGACGATCCAGTCGGTATGAGCGACTCCCTTCTCGGCATTGGAAGTGAGGAAACTCAGAAGCTTTTCGTGACGAGCTGGATCGGTTATGTTCTGTTGGGAACATTCAGACAGTGCCCTCATCTTTTCCGCCAGAAATAAAAGCTCACCGGCCCGAGCGTCGGCAGATTGCTTATGATCGCCCGCAGGCGCTCCGCTTCCTCGGCGTTGAAGAGCTCTTCACCGCTCGACATTGTTCCTACCCTGTTCGCAAGGTGGAATTCCGAGCAAGTTCTGTTGTTCAACTTTTCCAAGAACCACCGATCCCACACGCGAACGCGTTAAAATAGAGAAACACGACAGCAATAAGATTGCGTTGAGTCAGAGCATCCCACGTGACCGGAATTCAAGACGGAAAACCTTGGAGGTCAGTGCGAGGCTGTATGTGGAGGTCGACACCATTGGCAGACTGCAACCCATCAACGCACCGTACAGCAGTTGTAAGAGAGCAGATATGGCGGTGGCAACCACCACATACTCCCTAGACGGGCTCCAGGTAATTGTCCTCATGACCCCGCAAGTTGTTCCCGCTTCAGAATTTCTAACCCGACTTCCATAACAGACCCGTCTCGCCGAACACAAGAAATGTTTTGACTCCCTGGTCGAGCTCATCCCACCGAAATATTACTTTCAACAGAACCTCGATGCCGATTTGAACAATCGGTTTATGCATAATAAGAAGGGGAAGGCGCCGAAGCAGGCTGTGAAGGATGCGACGAAGAAGGCGAAGAAGCAGAAGGTGGGTGGGGCCAACAAATACTTCTCGCCCCTTGCAGATTATAAGCGGATGTTCACCCGGATGCTGGAGTCAATCATTGATTTTTGTACGGCTTCCGCAGCTTGATCCCGAGAGCAGCAAAACGGTATTAGAGGTCCAATCCGAGCAGTTGAAGGCAGCGAATGAGGAGGTATCGACACAGGCACACACAGCAGAAGCAACGGCGGAAGAGCCCGCTGAACTGGGTATGAAGCTTATTTGGCATATTGCGAAACCCATCCCCACATTTTCTAACCTCGCTACCCCAAACAGCATCAGGACTCAAACCCCTCCCAGCCGGCTCCATCGTCGAACTCCAAGCCAAATTAAAATCACGCATAGAAGAGTTGCGCGCAAAACGCAACGGCGGCAAATCCACCTCCTCAGACGCTAAGGAAGCCAAAACCCCACGCAGCCGGCAGGAGATCCTCGAAGGGCGGGCGCAGCGCAAACAGGAGCGGAAGGAGTCGATCAAGAAGCAGAAGGAGAAGCGCAAGAAGCTGGATGATACGACGGGGATGGATACGGTTGAGAAAACGGTGGTGGAGAGGCCGGGAAAGAGGGTGCCGGTTGTGGAGGAGGATGTGCAGTTTGGGAAACTGGACTTTGGTGTTACGGAGCCGTCGAAGAAGAGGAAGGGGCCCACGGACATTGCTGGTCAATTGAAGCAGGTGCGTACTTGCTGATGAAGCATGGTTCCTCCCCGCCGCACGGCTATCACTCACTTTCATTCCCCCCTACGCAACTAGGCCGAAGCCAAACGTGCGAAACTCGCGCACCTCGCCGAAACCGACACCAGCAAAGCCGAAGCAATAACCGAAAAGCAAACCTGGTCCAAAGTGCTTGCACAAGCACAAGGCGAGAAAGTAAAAGACGACGTCAAGCTGCTCAAAAAGTCGCTCAAACGTAGAGAGCACGAGAAGGCCAAGTCCTCAGCGGTATGGGCGGACCGCGAGCGGACGCTGAAGAAGGACAAGGAGCAGAAGATGAAGAAGAGGGAGGAAAACATCAAGGCGAGGGCGGAGGCGAAGAGGGATCCAAAGGCGGCCAAGGCCGCGAGGTTGGCGGCGGCGAAGAAGAAGAAGGCGAAGGCGAGGCCCGGGTTTGAAGGGGGTGGGCCGAAGAACGGGAAGAAGTGAGGGGGTGTTCTAATCCTCTGACACAATCTCGGCATTCCACACTTTTGCACGACACATATTTTTGCATATGCATTCTTGTCTCTTATTTAAATCAGACGGTCGACATACACGTAATTCCCACCATCGCGCGGAGGCGAACCTACCAATGACTCGATCATTCCCTCGCCAGATATCCATAATATACACCAGCTATCCACAAAATATGTAAAAATCCCAAAGGTCACATCTTACAAGGGAGGTAGGCGCATGAGAGGGATGTGCAGAACCTGTACAAAGGGGTGATGACGGGTGCGAAATGACAGGTAAGGGGGCATGAAGTCATCATCCGAGTCCTGCTATATTTTCCCCGCTGCTCCTGACCCCGAGCCTTTTCCGTCCCCGCTTGCAGTCTGTCCGCGTAATATGGCTGGCATGCTGCCATTCGGTTTCCCGTATGCTGCATCTGGTCCTCGTCGTGCTGCTGAAGTGAGCGGTGGTGGTGGTGGAGGTGGAGGTGGCGGCGGTGGCGGTGGTGCCTGTTTGGTCGGGGTTGCTAGTGTGGTCGGCGGGGCTTGCGTGGTCGGTGGTGCTTGGGTCGTCCGCGGTGGGGGTTCGTACTGCTCTATGCGTCGTAGTAATGTGTTGCGTTCTGTTTGGAGCGCCCTGCAGAGGTTTTCGAGTTTGGTTTTCGCGGTTGTGGTTGATTCGAATGTCTTTTGGTTCCTTGTTCGCTGATTGGGTGGGGGCAAATGTAAGTATCGACCAGGCAGCAAGTCGTGCTGCCTTCAGCGCAAGGCGCGGAACCCATACCTCCTCAGCCATCTCTAGAATGTTCTTATTCATCTTATCGCATTTGAGCTTGAAGGTTGAATTCTCCTTCTCCAGTTTTCGCGTCTTTTTCGTCATTTGCTCCATCTCCCGCCGGAATGTGATGAACAGCTCGTTGCTTTTGTTTAACGTCTCCTCGACCTAATCAAGAACCCAAAATCAGCGCCTAGCCCAGCCCTTCCCATCCTTCTCATCGCAAACACACACCTGCTTGAACTTGTCAACGTAAATCGCCAGTTGTTTCCTCAAATCCGTCTCCGTCTTGACGAAAGACGACACTTGAGCCTTCAAAGCGCCCGATTTGCCGATTTCTTCGTCGTTGATCCGCCGCTGCTGCTCGAGTTTCGCCTCGAGGAGTTGTATCTCTATCTCGCGGGATTTCACCATCTGGTTGTAGTGCTTTTCGCGGAGTTCGTATTGCTCCAAAAAGTTTTTGAACTTGTCTTTCAACCTGCAGGAGCCAAATTCGTTCAGATGATGCCCTCCCCTGCCACGTAGCTCAGTCACTCCAAATCCATACATTTCGCTGTCTTCCGCCCTCCGCTTCTTCTCATCACTGTCCTCCTCCATCTTCGACTTGATCTCCCATATCGTGCTTTCGAATTTGGACGATAGCTCTTCCCGCTTGTGCTGCTCCGTTATCGCAAGGCGTTTGCTTTCCTCCTGCAGGCAGTTCATTATTAGTTCACAACTTCATCCCTCCAACTGGTGTTTCCGTTCCCGCACCTTGACGCGCTTGTTCTCCTTCTGCAGCTCGCGGCATAAGGTCTCAATCTTTTGCTTCTGGTTCGTCAACTTCGTGACTTCCGCTTTGGCTGGAATGACCCACGGTGAGATGCACTTTCCATGATCTCAATAGTGCGGAACCAGACACGTACAAGAATCCTTCTCCTTTGCGCATTGATCCATCTTCTGCTTCAGCCTGACATGGTCGCGCTCCAGTCGCTTGTTCTCTTGAAACTATCGATGTTTCCCAGTTGTGAACAACGGATCCACTGGCTTAATGTTCAAAGTGACTACAAGCTTACCAAATCCATGTATTTCGAATGTATGACTTCCAGCTGCTCAGATCCAGACTGCCCTTCCATCAACTGTGTCATGTCCTTCGACGCCTTTTTGATGGCTTTCGCTGTTGCATACGTTTGTCAGTACCGGCCCAACCCGCAATTTCCCCGCAACAATCTCTCGTACCCATAGCCTTCTCCTCCTCTTCTTCCAAGCTCGACTCATTCTCAAGCTGTGTGATCTTCGATTGAATCATATTCGATAGTTCCTCAGGCGCCAAAGGCTTCTTCTGCGGTTTGCCATTCTTCTTCACCGCGGCTGTATTGGCCTGCTGCCCTACCGCCTGTGCTCCATGCTGATGACCATGATCGTCGGCGTGGGTGTGTTGGTGTGGATGATGGTGGTGGTGATGGTGTTGATGATCTGGCGGTGGTGGTCGTTGTTGGTCTGCGTGCGAGTGTTGCGAATGAATGCGTGCGCCGTTAGGCGGGTGATGCGGACAATAGTGTCCTGTATATTTCGGTATTGCTGGTGTATGCTTTGGTACCTCGGGTCGTGGTGGTGGCACTGGCACTTGTGGACCATTCGAGGGCCTGTTTTCTGAAACGCCTGTCGGTGTAGCTGCCGGAGCGACGTGGGAAGTCATGCTGTTGACTGCAGTCGTCGCTGGAACAGAAGGAGTGGGAAGAGGGACTCCGTTCGCTACTGCCTGTTTTCCCTTCGAAGGGAGATGCTGCCGTTGCTGCTGCGGTTGGATTGGAGCTTCTGTTGCGACTGCCGGTGGCATTGGGAAATGCACAGTCTCCGGTGAATTTTCCCACGCAGCACAATCGAGGCTACTGCAACCAATACAAGGCGTTGAGAGCTTCTCCTATGCCAGCCGCTTCTGCCTCTTCTCGTTGCCGCCTGGAGCCTCCTAGGGTGAGACAAGGGACAATGTCCATAGGACTCCGTATAGCCAGTATGACCCTCCACCGTCCCAGGCAACAGAGGAAGTTGCAAGAAGAAAACCGGTTGCAGCTTCTAGAGACTCCTTCTGCTTCCTGTTTTCTGCTCGAAAGTTGTCCGATAACTGCCGGAGTGGGAGATACCGTACTGCTCTGTGCTGTGCGTTCGTTCCTGTGTTTTCAACTCAGAGGACGGAATTTGACGTGCTTCCTCGGGGGTTTGCACTGCGTTTTCGGCGCAGATCAGAGGCGAGAGGATTTGAGAGCGAGAGCCAGCGCAAAGCCCACAGGCTCGCACCCGTGACTCACACCCGCGTCTTTCCCCCACTGACGGCGTTTTTCGACAGCCTCCCCTCCCGGTCTCCCTGCATGTGGCAAAAAGGTGAGGTGTGAGCCTTTCAGTCCCCTCTCTTCCGTCCACTCTTCCAGGCGAAAGAGCAAGAACTTCGACTCGAAAGTTGCAGCGTCACGCCTTCCAAACAGGCCGTCCCGCTTGAGCTCTATAGATCTAGAGAGCTCCGGATACTGTCCAAGAAAAGCCAGAAGGTACGCGAAACTGTCAGTGGCTTCCCACCTTTTCTTTGTTCCCACGGAGGCACAGCACGACTCACGAAGGTGGGTTTGAACTCAAACTATCTCACTAAAGAGAGCTGCCCTTCTCAGCAATAGAAAAAAACAACATAATGGATACCTGGGGACAAGTTGAGAGCGCCGCGCCCGCCGCTGGGTGGGTCCTCCACGAACCAGTAAGGCAAAGTGAGGACGACTGGAGAGCAGAGTTTGAAGCAGACCAGGCACGCCGCCAAAAGAAGCATGAGAAGACTGCGAAGGAGAGGGAACCTGAATACGTTATTGAGAAGCGCGATCCGAAACTGGAGAAGCGAATTTTCAAACTCAGCACCGCTGGTGGGATCGCTTTCAGTGAGCTGGCGAAAGTGAAAGTTACTGTGAAAGGTGATCGCATCCCTACACCCATGGTGAGAAATCTTTTTGCGCTCAATGATATTATCACTGGCAAGCCTGGCCAATTCTGTCGTCTCTCAGGAATCGTATGAAAATGAAAGCTTGCATTGGTTGATTCGCGAAAACTTGGTACTGTGCAAATACAACCAACCGACGCTGGTTCAGAAGCATTGCATCCCTATCGTGACGGCAGGTCGCGATGTCATGGCCTCTGCTCAGACTGGAAGTGGTAAAACGGCTGCATTCTGGTACGCAAGCATTTCAAGAACTGGAGAGAGGATACCTGCTGTTTGTCGTTTCGAGTGCTGACTAGTGGCACTCACAGTATACCAATCATGAATGTCATCCTCCAAGGTGGCCCATGCGATGTGGCACCTGAGGTGGAGGACAACAGACTTGTGACCGTCTACCCTCTGGTCTTGATCCTTGAACCTACTCGCGAACTGGCGATCCAAATTTACGAGGAATGCAAGAAGTTCGGTTACAGGAGGTCAGTCTCCGGGGAAGTAAAAGCGTATGGTACCGAATGATTCTCTACTGACATTCCGTTTTTCCCACGTCAGCTGGATCCGCACCCGCCTCGTCTACGGCGGCGTCCCCATCGACCAACAAGTAGACCAACTCAAAGGCCGCGGTGTGGACCTCCTCATCGCCACCCCAGGCCGCTTGCAAGACCTGATCGACCGCAAGTTCATCAGCCTCAGCAAAGTGCGCTGTCTCGTCCTCGACGAAGCCGATCGCATGCTCGACATGGGTTTCGAGCCCGCCATTCGCAAACTTACGGAGACGGACATGCCGACCAGCAAGGACGGAAGACAGACCCTACTCTTCTCTGCCACATTCCCGCCCAAGATCCAGCGTCTAGGTGAAACCTTCTTGAAGGACTCCCTGCGCGTCATGATCGGCAGCGTCGGCAGCGTTGCCTCGACCATCAACCAGCGATTCATCCAAACCCATTACTCGGAAAAAGATTCGCGTCTGCTCAAGCTGCTGGAGGAGTTCCTGCCTGGCCGCATCCTCGTGTTCGTGGATAGCAAGGCTCTGGCGGACCGGTTGCAGACGATGATCAATACGCGATCTAAGGCCCTTTCGGATGCGATCCATGGAGGCCGCGATCAGTGGGGTAGGGAGGCGGCTTTGCAGAAGTTTAAGGACGGGGAGATCAATGTGCTTGTGGCTACTTCGGTTGCGGCTAGAGGGTTGGATATCAGCGATGTTACCCATGGTCTGTCCAAATCCCTGTCATGGTGTCTCGATGTGTTTCAATTTGCCTAACTGCTTGCATCATCTCCTTAGTGATCAACTACGACATCCCTAAGGTGAGTTTGCGCCCATTTGCCGTTTCCCTGCATTCTAAAAAAAAAGTATATCTCACCCCCTTCCCATCACCCAGGACGACGACGAATACGTCCACCGCATAGGCCGCACAGGCCGCATCGGCCGCGTCGGCCACTCCGTCTCCCTCTTCTCCCCCGGCCGCGACGACTATACCATCGCCAAGCTCGCCAAAAAGGGCACCATCCCCTGGGACGTGATCGAGAAATCCCTGCAGAGCGCTCAGAAATCGTTCATCAAGAGGTTAATGGAGGGGCCCGGGGAGGAGTTGTATAGGCCGGGGATAGGGGTGGATCGTCTGGCGGCCCTGGTGGGGGTGCTGGTGGTGGTGGGGGTAGGGGTGGGAGGCGTGAGAGGGATCGTGATGATGGAATGGGGGTTGATCTCTTTGGGAATCCGGTTAGGTACCATTCTGGCTGATGATGGGTGATGCAGATTAGGTTAGGATGTCTAAATGGGTAGGGTAGGGTCCGGCGTATTTTGTATATTGTGAGTGTCAGATAGAAAGCATTTCCATGTATATACCGCGGCGTACGATCGAATATGAGAGCATTCATTGCAAACTACGAATACAATCCTTTGATGAAACAGTTGCTTTGGAGTCGAAAATCATGAAAGGGCGCAACTACTCTAACGGAACAGTGATGCATTCGTCTACACCCTACAAAAAGTCCTCTACTCCTAAACGGGTATCCTCCAAATCATCATACCTCCAGCTCAACGCGCGCTTCGCTTGTTTCGTTCCGGCTTTGTTTGAGGAAGGGTATCAGGTCTGTGCCTCCTGTGCCTTGTGCTTGGAGTGACTGCGGTGAAGAAAACAACGGTCAGCATGATACAGTAAAACCCCCTTGGACTCCATGTCCTCATTCCCAAGCAAACTCCAAACTCGGACCGCTCAACCCACCTCCCGCACCCTGGACGCCTGGGCAGCCCTCTTATCGATCTGTCCGACATCCTTCTTCTTCTTGGCCTGCAGCACAATATATGCCGCGACAATCTGCATATGCCGATCCCGAAACGAGCGCATGTTCTCCACACACCGGTTATACAGCCGTCCAATCTCGTCCGCCTGCACGGGGTCATTCCCCGGCGTGTTGACTAGCTCATACACGAACGTGCGGAGACTCGGCGCGCGTTCTAGGGCGCTGATGAACTCGCGGTGGGGGCCGGGCATGTATTTGCGCATTTGGTGGATGTGGTTGATCGGTTTCGCGGGGGCGTGGGTTGAGGGGTCTGGGTGCAGTGGAGACGGGGGCATGGTCGGGCGCGTAGGGTGGTGTTCGACGCCGAGGGCGACGTCGAGGCTGTGGATGAGGGAGCTTTGACCTGCGCTGGCGCCGGCGAGTTTGAGGTAGGTGCCGTGGACGTGGCGTGGGGGATGAGTGACGGAAGGTGGGGATTTGGGGACGCCGTTGGGCTTGGGGAGGTCGATTTCTACTACATCGCCTTCTTCGGGGTCTGTTACGCCTTCGAAGAGCAGGCCTTTGGGCAGTTCGCTGGTGTTTTCCCAGCCTGCCAGGTATGTTCGTACACGGTGGTAGAATATATGCGGGTCGTTCTGCGGAAATCGTTAGACCTTGACATCCAACCCACTTGCGGTATGCCGAAGTACTGACCTTCTCATACATCCGCACCAACACCTTCGAGATATCCTCTGTTATTTGCACCAGAATCTTGAGATTGTCGATAAGCGCATACAAGTCCCGCGATACCACCGCTTCTAGACTAGCAACAATCGCGGGGAGCGCAGGGGCCCCGCAGGCCTCAATGGCGATGCTGATGAGGTAGAACCAGGCTTCATCAGGTCCCGTAAAGGTTTTCATTACCGCTAGATTACTAGATGGGTTTGTGAGTAATGAATGCCGCGAATCCAAACATCTCCCGTCAGGTCAAAGTCTTAGCAATAGCTCACCTGAGATCTAGTGGACCAGAGGGATCCAACGCCTTCCAATTGTATAGTTCCACAGCGGCGTAGGTGATGACAGGTCGAAGGCCGAGATACTTGGCCGTCTCGTACCATGGCTTTGCGATATTTCGCGGAAGTACCTACACCGGTTGAACACGCATGAGAACACTGCCTTCACACCGACCATTTCCACCCCATTCCTGCATGCGTACCTCCGTGGCCTCACCGTTCCTCCCCCAAACGTACGCCTGCCCGATGAACGACAAAACCATATACGCCCGCTGCCATTCCCTATGCGTTGTCAACGACGTCGCCTCGATCTCCGGTATCCTCGCCACGGTCACCCTCAGTTTGCCAGCCAGTAACAAATCGCTCAGCTCATCCAACACGGTCTCCCATGGCTCGAACTTCTCCGGCAGTCGTCGCAGCGGCGGTGGGTCGGAGGGGAGGAAACCTGTTATTGGGTGGATGTCGTAGTCGGCGAGTTTTGGCACAGTTAGGACGTTGCCGTTGGGTTCCTTTGGTTTGGTGAAGGGGTAGACGCCGTTTATGGCGCTTTGGGAGGTATCGATGCGCATATTCAGAAGCGGGGTACGTTGGAGCGTATTGCGAAATTTGTGATGGTGCTGAGCTGCAACGGTTGTTGAAGTCTTTGCCTGGGAATTTCGGAATATCTGGGAATGTTATATGGAGCACAGGCGCCAAAAAGCCACTTTGGTCCGATGGGGTGCTCGTGACTGCGCGCCCTGCCCATGCATCCAGCACATAGCGATTTGCGCGGCCTTAGTAATGGCGTTCTCGAGTTTCGACAGCGTTGTTCATCGGCTTCAACATCAATGGCTGACGGCGACCATCCACAAGAGAGATCATCTGCCTTGAAAATCGATGAATGCCGTTCTAAGGTCTACAGTAGGCTTGCAGGGATGGTATTCGCCGACAGAAGCGACCCTTCGTTACCATCGTAACGCCCATGCAGCCATCATGACACGACCGGAACTCTACAAAAAATGCGCTCTTTCCGATGCATGGAGGCGAGACAGGTCGTTCATCGCTCGGAATTTCGGTTTCAAGCACCGATGAATCTTTCGTTCTGCAGGTATATAATACACCCTTTCCTTCGCGAGTGCCATACTCCCATCTCGAATTATTCGGAACGAAAGAGTGCAGGATATAGGCAGCATGTTCGTCCCGAAGTCTTCCGCAGTGTCTCCGAGGCCCATCTTGGCACTGCATATATCCCCGTTTCCTCGCCTATTGGCTTTACAACGGCCTGTTGGAAACCCCCATGCTCTGACAGTTGCCCCCTCCCCATATCGCTCGTCGGAGTTCAAGACGACGGCCCAGAACGGTGTCTGCGCAGCCGTGCGGTTCGTGTTGCCAGTGTGTTGTGTGATTGATTTGATTGCCCAAGGAAACGCGCGCCCAATGGATTTAGCCGAGGTTGGTCTTTGTTTCGACGCGGGGTCCGTGGTTTCAACCTCCCTTGGCCGTTGCTTGGTCCAGAATTTAACAAACAATAAGCATTTACGCATGGAAATCCTTCACCAACTGCATGGTCCAAGCTCCAACAAAAAGTTTTGCTCTCTTTCCAGGTTCCAATAAGGGTTGGTCCCGGTGATCCTACTATTGGGAATTGATCGTCCTTTGGTATCTACATGGCCCACTGGTACTATGACGATTGTCCAAGTTCCCGAATACCGAATCCCGAATCCCGCCGGGTTTTTTACCCCACGCCCTTCATGGTTGGCAGGGATTGATTGTCTCATCATTAGCGACATAGCCTTATGAGAAATGCATGGGTCTGTCGCTGAGCTCGTCCCGTCTCTTTTCGGGCCCGCCGCAAGCCAAGCAAAAGTCGACTTTTTACGGCTACTCCCGCTCCTTGCTGCTGCTGCCACATACCCCTACTTCAACCTTCAACCAGCCGCCACCCCCACCACACAGTGCATCTTCCATTGGACTTAAGCATATCCCTCGTCACCCCTTCCCTGGCCCATCCCTCCACGCCCGACCAAGTCCATTACCGACGAAACCCCCCCCCCCAAATTTTACTCCTGCGGAATTCCCCCCTTGCTACGCCGTCGGACTTCCCGATAGTATACGACGTGAAGAGGTTGCAAGGATGATGGCTCTTAGGGTCAGTAGGCTTCGTCGCCATAGTGCTTGTGTATCGGGGTTGCGGTGCTTGGGAGCATGCCATTCGCATTGGGTGACCGCACTGTGCCTGGGACATCATGTCTAACCACAATTCCCTCCCATTCTCGCAGGTGGAACTGACCCAATGGGTGGACGGCGTAGCAGCGTTCGAGAACGGGGACTTTGAAGCTGCGCTCGATGTGTTTGAGCCTATCGCGGATACGGCAAGAATACACTTCAACATTGGAATGACGTTTATCAACCTCAACGCTTTGGAAGACGCGGTGAGTTGGGGAACCATATCGCGCACCGTCCTGGGCACAAGTGCTTTTCTTGCTTTGAGGCCGTCTCCTGACCCGGTCTCCTCGATTTAGATATCTGCACTAACACGAGCAGTGGCGTGCGACCCCTTCTTGGCCGTTGCCTATTATATGCGCGGCGTATGCTTCTATAACCTTAATGCGTTGAACGAGAGTCTGGCGGACTTCGGGGAGGCGATTACCGTAAGTGTCCTTCTTGCGAATGCTCAGATGAGAAGAACTTGTCACGCTCACATTTCCATGTCCGTCACTGTTCCCAGTATCTCCGTGGGAATGCCTTCATCGACTATAACCAGCTGGGCTTGGCCTACAAGCTTCACGCCTGCGAGATCCTGTTCAATCGGGGACTGGTCCTTGCAGCCATGAATCGGATGGAGGATGCGTATAGGGAGTTCCAGGAAGCTTTGAAATCACGGCCACAAGACGGGAAAGTCACCTTTGGGAACATAGAAGAAGCACCAAGGATGGGCTCCCGCGCGCCGCAGTATCTTGGCCCGTACGCTGTTCCACCAGACACACTATACAGGCCGCCAAGCGGGAAAGTGAAAAACAGCGAAAAGAAGGATTATATCGGAAAGGCCAAGGTCGTCGCGAGTGTCGAGGCCACTGACAATTACGCGGGGTTCAGTGGGCGAGAATTGAAATTGAAAACCCTGCCCCGATCCAATAGCACGACGGATATACCCACCACCGGCGTGAACGGTCGGGCGATGGCGGACCCCCTGGCACGTTCAAACACGACGATTGTGCGTCCTGTCAGAGCCAATACCACGACTGGCGTCCTTGTCAGATCGGGCACTGTCAACCAACCACAACGGCTAGTAGCTGGCGGAGTCGCCCCATCGTCGATATCGCAGCAGCAACCACAATCGGCGGAAACGGGAGTGTACCGAAGCAGATCCACATCCCTCGGAAGCTCGGCGTCACCGGTACCAGGACCCATCCGACGAGCAGCTACTGTAACCAACATCCAACCCCAACGGGGAACACGGGCAATCTCAATCAACCCCATCGATGAGCTCATGTCGGAATTGAGCATCGATGAGCAGGACGAGCGCGATGACCGCGGATCATATACTGATAATAATGATCGATACCGGGAAGACGATAGACGGAATGGTGGACCGTCGCGGTATTCGCCGGGGAATCAAGTAAATACCACCACAATTAATGTCAACCGACGGATGATGGAGAGCTATGATCGGTCAGTAACCGCGTCACCCGTGTCAAGCATGGGAAGTATCCACACGGTCGCTGACAAGGTATGTCATTGAGGTAGTCGTTTGCAATCTCTCAAATTGTTCCCAGCCTGATCCACATATGTCTTCGCCACCTTGCAGATCAAACTAAAAGCCCATTTCCGAGGCACAACTCGCATCATCCTAATCCCCACAACCCTCCAGCTCCCCGACCTCATGACCCGTCTCTGCGAGAAATTCTGCCTGCCGCCCTCCAACAACCGACCGCCCTTACGCCTCATGTACGCCGACGAAGACGGCACAATGGTGACCATAATGGACCAGGAAGATCTGGAAGTCGCTTGGAACGTGCAGGGGATAGAGTGGGGGGACGGTGGCAGGATAGAGCTGTGGTGTGAGGCGTAGGGGAAGAGGACGTATAGACTGGGGTCAGGGCGTACCGTGCTGGGGGTATGACTCCCTGACCAGGAACATCCATTTTTCTTGTACATAAACCTTTTGAGTCTTAGAACCCTTCACTGTTCTTTCTCCGACTTCCTTTGCGCCTTATATACTATCATTATTGACACAATCATGTCCGTTATTCTTCATCTTGCTTTCCTCTCATATTGCGTTACATACGAGTGCCGATGTTGCGCACCCCTGTTTTTTTACTTCGTAGTCGCTTGCTGCGGCAGAAAACCTCATATCCTCGCCAATCGCTATCCCTGGCAGCTACGTGCGGGAATTCCGTCCATCTCGATATTAGGGCACGCGATCCGAACAGAAGGCATCATTCGTCGTCAGCGCCAAGTCGCTAGTCCAGGTGCGCTTATCTCTTCAGTAAGAAAGTTACACCTTCAACTCTTCTTTCTATCCTCTGTGGTGGTTTGGCATGTCGAAGCGTTTCGAACGGGGAACCGCACTTCGAGATTATCCCCGTCACCCCCCACCTCAACTCCTCGCCGCCCCGCTCCCCGCTTCGACCCGTTTCGAGATGTCATTCACCATGACGCGTGAACTTTTCGGCTGCAATCCGACATTTCCGTGCAACTTTCCGGACCGACCTCGCACACCCGGACACTATTCTGGGCCCTGGCCCGGAGGTGCTCGCGGTGGGACGCTACCCTGTCACCCTCGCTCTCGACCGGCGATGCGGTCTAGGCGGTCTTCTCGGGTACAGGCCGCGGCGTTTTCCGGCTTCAGCCCGGTTAGAAACTCCTCGCTTGCGGTCACTGGGTCGCGGGAATGACGAAGGCGAAGTTACCAGCGGAACTGGCACATCCTTTCGCCGCCACTGCGAGGCACCTGTCCAAGTCGTTGTCACCTTGCCGGCATGCAGCGGCATGTAGGGTGCGGGAAGGAGGTTACCCGTGCCCAGAGCATATTTATGCTGGGATTGTTGACTTGGGGTACCGCCAAAACAAAGCGAACGACCCCGACAGGATCTGGAATGGGCAGGAAGCTTTGCACCCTGCCGCACACTCACCCGTTGACGTAGCTCATCACGAATCATCGGCACGCTCGAACGCCGTTGACAAACTTTGGAGGGGATCCCAGCGGACGACTCTCTCGCGGAGAATGTGGTGCTAGCTCGACGCTTAAGATTCATATCATGAGGGGATACGACACGCTCAATCGACGCCTTCTGGACTCAGCGAGGATAGGGAAGTTATTTCTGGCAGCTCGCCGGCCGGCTATGTGGAGCAAGAACTTGCGGATATGTTAATGCCGGCCCATACCGGAAGCCCCTCTATTTGAACAGGACTGCGACAACTGGAGGGGTCAGAAAGAGATATCCGGACCTTTTCTGCTTGAACCTAGCGAATTGGATATGGAGCTCGCGTTGCATTTGCATACCCCCACATCTTCAAATGCGCCACAAGGAGGAACGAAGGACGCCCATTTCCTTCGCGAGGCTCACATCAGAAACCAAGCCTTACTGCGCGGATCCGATGGGAACTATCTAGGTATTGGGGGAGTTTGGGCAACGGTAGTACGAGAGGCGGAATTCCTCGACCACGGAATACGGGCCACATTTCCGTCGAAGGATATATGAATGGGCGACCCATACGCGGCGGCGGGCCCGTTCCATGCTACGCGACGATCCAAGCGAAATCGAGAATGCGTCTGAGGGGATTTTCTGGGATAGTCCAACGGTTGCCGAAGAATTTGGTTGGAGGTCCCTGCTCAGCTGATGCCGGTTCTCCGGCGAACACGATGCATGGCTGTGTACGCTTTTACGCAAATTCGCTTTCCAGGTCATTGCCGGCAAGTGTCGTTGAGCGAATTCTTAAGGAACTGGACAGTGGAGTCGGCAATGGGGTTCAGCGAGCGACGAGGGTACCATCATATCACTGTACCATGTGGGACTTTGCTGCCCGGCCAACGTGTGGTGTATCGTTCGAGAGCAAAGTATACTACGGCGACAACGACCTGGTGTAGAGTCTGTAGACTGGTGGTTTATAGCGGAATTAAAATAAGAACCAATGCATACCAAAAGGCGGCTAGATTTAGTTTAAAGCTTAAGTACATACGTCCAGCACTCCGATGTCCAGGTTCGTGGCCAGGGTCAGAAAACCCCTGTTTCCCTTCAGCCGGCATACCAAGAATCCCCCCTTTCCTGGTAAAAGAAAGGAAACGGCGAACAAGTTCCGGATAGCCTTTTTGCTCAGGCTTGAGCCGTAATAACTGGCGGGCCGTGGCGGCCCGATCTACTGTACTAGAAGTAGATTTTAGATTGGATCGACCATTCCGGACACCGCCGAACCTTCCTTCCCCCCTGTTGCGGCCACAACAGTGCGACTCGACACAGGGCTTTGCGCGCAATGCAAAAATGTAATAATGGTGGGAGCGCTTTCCACGATGGGCAAGCGCGCAAAGGGGAGCACACAACACGATGAGCAAATGCTTTGGCCTCCTACGACTCCCTTTTCTCCCTTTGCGTTTTTACACAAAAGGAAACCGGCTTGCGGCCCACGCCCTCTGTTGCTCTCCCCAGAAGGCAGGCCCTTTAAACATACATAGACTATAGGCTTCTGGTACGATAACCCGTACGATACCACATACCACAATGTCTTCCTCAGCAGACGTTGTCGTCTCCGAGGCCGGTGGCCACCACATGACCGACGATGAGATCCGTCTGGCCAAGGTACGAGACTTGGTGTTCTGCAGTGAGCGGTCGAAGGACCCTGGGGCTCCAAAGTGTGGTCGGTGCTAACTTCTTTCGTTTACCTTCGGTCCTTCCAGCTTGGCTACAAGCAAGGCTTGAAGCGCCAGTTCTCGGCTTTCCAGAACTTCGGTTTCGTTTTGACCAATGCGTCCGTTCTTATCGGTGTCGTGCCGTTGTTCTCCTTCGGTAGGTGTTTTGTGCCGTTCAAGTGTGGAGTGGGAGGCAAGCGGAAGTCTGACCCCTCTTTCTTTCGATAGCCATGGCGGTCGGTGGACCCGTGACCTTCACCTGGGGATGGTTGTTGGTGTCCTCGTTCGTTATGTGTGTCGGTCTGTCCATGGCCGAGATCTGCTCCACCTACCCCACCGCTGGAGGTCTTTACTACTGGACCGCCAAGCTTGGTGGGCCAAAGTGGGGACCCCTTTTCTCGTGGTTTGAGGCGTGGTTCAACGCTCTCGGCCAGGTCGCCGGCGCCTCCGGATCCGTTCTCTCCGCCTCTCAGTTGATGGCTGAGATGATTCGCATTGGCTCTGGACGGGTGTTGGTTGAGAAGGAGATCTTTGGTCTCTTCTGCGCCATGGTCATCAGTGGTGCGTTGGTTAACGTCATTGGAGGCCTCGGTCTGAAAGCGACGAGTATCGCCAGTGTGTACGTGCACATTTTGGGTACTTTCATCATTGTGATCGTCTTGTTGGTCACGTGCAAGGACAAGGTATGTAGTGTTTGTGCTCGCCGAAAGTACTTGTGTGCCAGATTCCTCGAACCGGGTGCTCACTCACATCGTCTTAGAACTCTGCATCATTCGTGTTCACCGATTTTGAAGACCAAATCGGCGCCACCCAGCACGGCTTTGCCCCCTTCTTCGTTTTCCTCCTTGGTCTCCTTCCCTCTCAGTGGTCTCTTCTCGGCTACGACTCCTCCGCTCACATGTCCGAGGAGACTGAGGCCTCCTACGTCAACGGACCCCGCGGAATCGTCTACACCATCATCGCCGCCGTCATCATGGGTTGGGGTTTGATCTTGTCCATGACCTTCGCCCTGGGAGACTACGCCACTGCGCAGGCCGAGACCTCATTCTACGCGGCACCTACGGCAGCGTACGTGTTCACCCGTAACGCGGGCGACGCTGGCGGCATGGTCTTGCTCTTCATCGTCGTGTTTGCCGGCTGGTGCTGTGGAATCGGCACCATGGCTGCCAACTCCCGCATGTTCTACGCCTTTGCTCGTGACAACGGTCTCCCCGCGTCCAAGTTCTGGACCAAACTGGACGCCAGGACCGGAATGCCCATCCGCCTTGTCTTCCTTTCCGCTACCTTCGTCATCATCCTCGCCATCCCATACATGTTCTCCGCGGCCGCCTTGACGGCCGTCGCCGGTATCTCCGTCATCGGATTCATGGTCTCCTACTCGATCCCCATCTTCCTGCGGATCACTGTCGGCGACAAGTACTTTGTCCAGTCCGAGTTCAACCTGGGGCGCTGGTCGTACCTGCTCGGCTGGATCGGTGTCATCTGGACCGCCATCGCTTGTGTGCTGTTCAACTTCCCCCAGGCTTACCCCGCTGCTGCCGAGACCCTCAACTACACCCCTGTGGCGGTTGGATTCCTGCTCTTGTACTCGGGAGGCACGTGGATGCTGGGTGCCCGCAAGTGGTTCAAGGGTGGGTCTTCACGTCTTTCTGCCAGTGTTGGCTTTGCTGGTTCTATGTTACCAGTGCGTCGTGTCTCACAGTATCTCTGTTTTTGTGTCTCGTAGGTCCCATCCCTGACATCGGCATGGAGCAGCAGGCTGATGCCGACAACAAGACTATCAACGCTGAGCACATCGACCCAGCGCCAGCGTACGAGGTCAAGAACGTCGCTGCTCACTAAAGCAGCCTACTTCGCACTCTGAATATATACTTTTCAGAAGTTACTAAGCGTATCTCGCACCGAACTGGCGCTCGCAACAGGAGTAATATAGCAATAATGACTTTCCCCACATCCGACCGATCAAGTCTGGTACTTGAGAGCGGCTGAGACTCTACTTTCCCCTCATTAGCATTAGCATTTCATCCGAGCGTATCTTTATTTAATACAAGTTGCCATCATCGGCGACGCCTCAGGCAGAGGTACAATGATGTGGATGGCAGATAACCACCGCGGAAAATGGGATGGGGTGAAATCTAGACTACCGGTTACGGGAGAATGCGTCTGGTCTGCGGCCATTGCCAAACACCACCGAGCGCACAATCGAGAGGTAATTCTTGGTGCTTAGGACGTCCCGATTGTGCACTTTCATCCGTAGTGGTTGTCTCCCAGGAATCTCAAATGGCGTCCAGTCTTGGTTGATACATTCGGGGTTGGGCAACCCACCAATCCATGGACGAATTCCATTCTTCCCTTTCTAGCTCGCCACGGCCGAGACGACAGCCGGTGTCGGATGTTTTTCTTCACACGCCCGTGGCAGTCTGGGCACACGGAAGACGTTCGATACTCATCTAGCAAGTAGCATGGAATGCTGTTTCTTGCAAAGAGTGTGCGGAATCTGATTTCCATGATGAGTTAGCATATTATAATACATAGTAGGTACTACCAATGATAGTCTAGTCACTCACCCTTTGGTCTTTGATGACTCGTGAAAGCGCATGGTTTTTCCAGCGTCGCTCCAATCACCCAAGATGACTGAAAAATGCTTTCCATACAGGCGTCGCATGTTCTTGATGAGCTTGCTCTCAGACTTTTGCCGCAGTGAGAACGCCTTGAATCTGCGAGTGACGTGAATCTCATCCTGGTAAAACTCATCCACGGCGGGATCTGGGATATGGATGTCAGCCTATGTATTACCAAATTTGAAAATCAAAGTTGAAGTAGAACATCATACCCGCATGTTCGTAATCCACGATGAACGCTGAGAACGCCTCGATGTTCATGCTCTTGTGCGACGGAATATGTGACTCCATCTCAGCGATGCCGGCATTGAAGCTCTGTCATATCTCTTTGAAAGTACCGAGACTTTGTCTCGACCGCCCGTTGATTGGATGTGTATCTGATACGGGGTGGTGGTGCATTGTGAGAACGCTGCAGCGGAATGTCGCCGCAACGGGGATGGTGGGGATGGTGACGGGGGGGATGGTGATGGGGGGGATGGTGGGGACGGGGACGGGGACAGGGTTGAGGAGGGCGTTGATGGGGATGGCGGGGATGGCGGAGGCGGCGACAGCGGCGACAACGGGGATAGCGGGGACAGCGGGGACAGCGGGGATAGCGGGGACAGCGGGGACAGCGGGGATAGCGGGGACAGCGGGGACAGCGGGGCAGTAGTAATCAACTGAAACGAACCGAAATGGCCGCTCCTTCTTGATGTCTCGACAGAACAAGAGGTCACGCTTGCCCGGATCAATGCTGACGATGTTTGGAGCCTCCCGTAGTTCGGCGATGTGGTGCTCAAAATACAGCTGCTTGACTTCTTCCCGCATTTCGGCCTTGCTGCATATTGTAACATATCTTTGGATTACTTTACATTTGTCGCCAACGCCGACTTTCAAGAATATGATTTGCAACATTACATTATGAAGCCTTTTCAGAAAGCAAGATCCGATGGCACAGCAGGAAATCTGAGACGTCAACTGGAATCCCGTCCAACAGATCCATCTCCGAATCCGCCCTCAATGCCCAGCAGCAAACACCCCCGAGTTTCCCATCCCCGAAATCCGCGGCACCTCCTTGACTCTCAGCGCGACGAATCCAGCAATGATCCCCGACGCCGCGCCAATCCTCAACACCCACCCTACAGAGTCATACGGATCCGGCTGCAAGTCGCCGAGCACATCCACCGCCTTATCCCCCGCCTTATCCCCCGGCGCGTTTCTTTTCTCGATGAGATGGAAGACGGTAAACACGACGCTGCACATGAATGTCGAGAAGAACTGCGGGATGACGATGTAGATGTTGTGAATGCCAAGGACCATGCCTGCTTCGAGCGATTCGGTGGAGTTTGTGGTTGGGGTTGGCGATGAGGCGCGGGGGGATGGGGCGATGCCTTGTGTGCTTGCGCCGATGTACGGGGGTATATGGTCATCGTCGTCATCGTCGTCGTCGTCGTCGATGCGGGGTAGGCTGCCGTACCCGCTGATGAGATTTGCGGAGGAGCCCTGGGCGCTGCTCGGGTTTTCGCGGGGGAGGGTGCGGTTGTCGTTGTAATAGTTGATGCATTCTCCGAGTAGCGTGAAGGGGACCCACTGCATGATTCCCCACGACACGCCGACGGAGGCGATGACGATGGTGGCGGCGAGCACCGAGTTGATGAAGAGTGTGGAGAACATGAGGGCCACAAAGAACCAGAACGCAAACGCCCAGACGACGGGGAGGCGGAGGTATTTGTAGTGCAGTGCTTTCAGCTTTTGGAGGACGGGATGCAGGTGCGAGTCCACCCAGCGTCCGTCGTCTTCGTCACGGCGGACCGTGATCATCGGGAGAAGGAAGCCGGTCGCGAGGGAGATGAGGGAGTACATCAACATGGCAAAGGAGCCTGCTCGTGTCGCTTCGTCGCTGTCTCTTCCACGATCTCCTATACCCTTATGCATGCCGATGGCTTTCTGTCCGACCCATGTTGTGCTGAGATGCAAGTTCCATTAGTATAGGTCAACTGGATGGAATACATCCTGAGTTTCCAGGACACAGTTACCTGTAGAAAAGGAACGGGAAGAAGCCCATCCACCCGAAAAACTGCACCAAGCAGATGCGCTGTATAGTCTCGGGCATACCCCTCATCGCTTTGCCTATGTCCAGCAAAGGCTCATACCAAGCCCTCAGCTTCTCCGCTCGTTTCGGGACATAGCGCTTCTCCTGGACAGCCAAACACGTGGCTCCAAGCGACAGCGCGAACCATATACTCGCAAGCCAGCAGAAAACTCTCATCTGACCGTGTCCGAAAAACGGGAAGAACCGGGGGAGATCCAAAAAACCAAGAAAGTATCCCACTACGTTTCCGATTCCTATCATTCGCCCGCCCCAGGCGTTCGCCGTCTCTTGTTGATGTATGGGCGCTACGTCAACGATCAGAGAGCGACATGATGCTTGAACAGCGTTGATTGAGAAGTCCAGGCAGTAGAATCCCAAAACTGCTGACATGATTGTCAACACTTCGTTCTTAAAGTAGACGGATGTGAGCACGGTTCCTGTTCTGTAGAAAGATTGCAGCATTGACGCATACTCGTTTCGCATCCTTCGACCCTGTGAAGAGTTGCGCTATCTCCGGCGCATACGCAATCATGGCGATCGACGCAAGCACAATCAGGCCACCAACTGGAGTTTCAACACATCAGTGACCTGGTTCCTAAAACATTGCCGAATAGCGAATCTGCACTGCATACCTAACATGAAAGGTCTCCGCCTACCGATACGGAAGCTGCACTTGTCGCTGTACACGCCAACGATCGGCTGAATCAGGAGACCGGATAGTGGGCCTGCCAACCACACCAAAGCTGACAATGCATGGGGCAAGTTGAGCTGCTGGAGGTACGGATTTCCGTACGCCAACTCAACGGTCCCTTTGATGACTGATGTCAGCATCTGACAATCGATCGGGGATTTCTATCTTCTCTCTTCACCTAACCCGCCTCTTACATGTGATTTGCACTCCCGTCAGACATATCGTCAATAAAATCATCGCCGGGAAAGAGAGGTCCCTTTTGACGTCAGAGTCTCCATCGAGCTCCTCTTCCCAATGAGGATCATCGTCTTCGATGTTGCCGAGGAGCTCTGGGGTAATGGTGACATTGGAGTCCCCCATGAGTCTGAGCGGGGTCGCTTTCGACGGGTGAGAACTGAGGTCCGGTGACGACGCCGTCCTGTTGTTGGACACTTTGTTGTAGGAAAACTTGGAAGAGTGGGAGCGAATTCCACCGCAGGAGATGGGCAGTACGCTGCGTATCAGCCGAGGCGCTACGATCCTGCTAAGCTTGTTGAGAACCTTTTTCCCACGACGCCAGGAGCGGCGAAGCTGTTTCGGGGTGACGGGCAAAAACTGAGCGACAAAAGGGAAAATGTCGTTTGGAGCCGGCTCAACATGTACTTTGGAGGAGAAGGGTGGAATGCTTCTGGCTGGCACCTTTCCGAACTTTGAGGAATGAGGTTCCGCTATGGGAACGGGTAACAGTTGTCGAGAGGAAACCACCTCGGTCAATGAAAATGCTCAGGCGGCCTCGCGTTTCGAAGTGGTGTCGTCGACCCCCGAGCCGGAACAGTGCTGAAGGCGGTGGCGAACAGCACCACGTTGCTGGGTCCTTGAGCGGAAGTACTGAAGGCACAGCTGTTGTGTGCTAACTGTATCTGAAGTGGGACGGCGATCTACCAAGCAGAATCCTGCCGACTGCTGCTGTGCGAAAGGACGAGAGCCACACTGCCTCCACTTGCCCCCCGGACGAGACGGATGGCTTCCTGTGAGTCTGTGACGCGTTGGCTTTTCACCCACGGAAAGGACGTCCTAACCCTCTAACCCCAACCCTACCCTAACCCTGAACCTGACGTCGTTTTGATCCAAGCAGCCGTTCGACCTCTTGCGCGGGTCGTTGTTCAGAGAAGCTAGGAGGATCGATCAAATTGAGAAAGTTTGGATGCACAAGCGAAATGCGGTCAAGATGGAAGATATTGCACGGATCCGTGGGTGTGTGGGCCCTCACCCGGAACCAACTCCAACTGTCCCAACCCCTGCTCCCCCGACTCCCGCGCGCACGCCTCTAGGTGAGCCCCACCCGCCAGAACGACCACGGTATGCACCGATCCGGTTCCCATCAATGGAGGTGTCCGCGGTCGACCGCGAGGAGGCAGACCCACCTCGACCGATCGCTCAACCGCGAGCCAAGCGAGTCCGCCCGGAGCGCGTATCCGTGGACGACGGGAAGGCGCGGGGAATGCCGAGGATGCGGAGGACGATGAAAGCGACGAGGTAAGGAGGAGGACAGCGACAACGGGGATTCCGATGACGATGGCAACGGCGAGGATGATGGAGACAACGGGGAGAGCGTGGATGATGGAGACACGGCGTTGCGAGAGAAGCGGGACTTGCTGGGCGCGACGACAGAAACCGCTCCAAGACCTCCCAAGACCGCGAGGGTATGAACGCACGCCTTGTCCGCTACATACTGAAGGTTGCGGAGAAAGCAAACAAAAACAAGGAAAGGGAAAAGAAGAGGAGCAATCCTTCGACAAGCGTCACGGACTTCCTGAAGACCATGAGACGGAGAGAATGAAGGAGGGAGACCTCCATTGAGAAGATCTTTGAGGTCGGGCTAACGTTCGCAGGCTTCTGACACCCAATGACCGTGTCGGAAGCCTGCAAAGGTCAGCCGGCAAGATAAGTGCCACCCTGGGCAACGCCGCCGACAGAATTCTCGCGGAAGCGGCCAACCCCTCCTCTTCGTTCATGCTCTAGTACACACGCTACAGGCCTCGATGCCGCCGGCGCAGGTCATTCTTAAAGGTTTTTCAGTAGAGCTATTTTTGAGGTGGAGGGAGATCGAGACGGGAACAACGGCTGCACGTGAGGTAACGGAGCGAGCACGGGCCGGTGGTACGAGATCGAGTCGAAAGGCAACGGAGCGAGCCCGAAAGGCATTCAAACAAATGCGCATTGCTCTTCTGATGCAGCATTGAGGTGGAAGGAACAAACGCGGTGCGCCTCCCCAGGAACGGTCGACGGGCATAAAGACATACCTTGTAATATACTATCAACAATCATCCTGTCTGAACAGCCTGTCTCCAGCCAGTTCAAGTCTTCTGTCCAGCCAGTTCAAGCGTGAGTGGTGGAACCGTGCAGCGGGGCTTCGTCCGCTTTGATCGCTTTGTCCGAGTGGAGGCTGTGTCGGCTGTGACGCCCCGAGGTCTGAGCACGCACTCTGTTGATTCGGTGTAAGGGGGTTCTGGGTGTGCAAACTCCGTCAACGGGTGGCCGATTTTTCGGGACGGCTCAGAGGTTTGGAGCATCCTGTGGTTGGAATGAAGCAAGCTTGGCAGTCGTCAGAGCGCTGATTCTTTGTGGCGATCCGAGTGTTGATCGGCCGTAGACCGCGGCGGCATTGTCGATGTACCCAATCGGCCGAGTGTTGGGGAGGAGGCAGCCCCGTTGTCCAGAGTTCAACGCTACCGAAGCCTGAAACTTGAAGCTTGTGGAGCATTGAGATTTGAGGCTGTAGGAACATGGCAGTAGGCTGCGGAAGGCGCATGGATCGGAAGGGGTGTAAACTTTACGAGTTTGCGTCGGAGTCGGGGAGTTTGCAGTGGCACCTTCGGGAAAATCGTCTCAAAAACATTCCAGGCGCGAAAATTGACGTGCTTTGACAGGTTTCGAGTGCGTTGGTAATCTCACTCGCTCACAAGCCGTTACGTAGCTGTGCGGTACGTAGTGTACCCGGCTTCCGGTTCGCGTGGCTTTCCGAGCGGAGTCTCTGGCAAGTTTGTTCCCGACCTTCGACCGGAGCCTTTGATCTCGATATGACAGCAACCCGTGGAATTTGAATTTGAAGGCGTTGAGCGGAGCCGGAGGGGCTCCTCATCGGAAAATCGACCCCCCCGGCAAGCAACCTCCCGTCGCTGAGAAAGACAAGCGAATCCCATGGAAGCCTGGAAAGATATAAAAGGGCAGAGGGGCTGGCGTTGGCCTCGCCGTCCCACATCGCTACTATCTCGACACCTTACCCACTTCTAATCTCTCCACTACAAACAACATAATGGGTAAGTTAATTGACTCGAGGTGCCGCAGGTCGAGATCAACGAATATCTAAAGGTCCCTCCGTCCAGCTCCCATCATTGGAAAGAAGGCACCGGTGTTCAACACCCAGGCTCTTGTCGACGGTCAGTTCAAGAAGGTTTCGTTGGACGACTACAAGGGCAAATATGTCGTGTTGTTCTTCTACCCCATGGACTGTGAGTTGATTTGCGAGATGTGTTGTGGGACGAGATGTGTTGTGGGACGTGGGATCTAGATCCGATGGAAAAATGACACACTTTCGCTTATGACAGTCACATTCGTGTGCCCAACGGAGATCATCGCATTCAGCGATAAGATCGAAGAGTTCCGGAAGCTCAACACCGAGGTCATCGCCGCATCAACCGGTGGGTTTATCAATCAGCAATGATCTCGCAATGGCATGTGGCGAGAGGCTGATTCTTTTTGCTCTGCTCGCGCTACTAGACACCGTCTTCTCCCACCTTGCATGGACCAACCAACCGCGAAAGCAGGGCGGTCTTGGCGAGATGAAGATTCCCATCTTGGCGGATGTCACAAAGAAGGTTTCGAGCGACTACGGCGTACTGATAAGCGACGGCGACGATGCTGGTGTCGCACTCCGCGGTACCTTCATCATTGACCCAGAGCAGAGCCTTCGCATTGCCCACGTAAACGATCTGCCGATTGGCCGGAATGTCGACGAGTACATCCGATTGATCGAGGCATTGAGGTTCCATGCCGAACACGGCGAGGTTTGCCCCGCCAACTGGAAGAAGGGAGGGGCAACCATCAAGACTGACCCCAACGCGTCGAAAGAGTACTTCTCCCAGGCGTAGATTTTAGGGGGCGTTATGTAAATGACACCCACTGTATATACTCCAACGGAAATGATGTTTTCCACCCCTTCTTAAAGTTTTTTGAAGTTTCTTCTGGTACGGCTGTTCGAGTCGGGTATTGTTCAAGTCCATCAGGATGGTGTATCTGTTGATGTGGTTACCCTCTAGATGAGCAATTTCAATCCGGAGACCCAGTATCTCAGCTAGCCACGTTGTATTTCGAATATACAGCCTCATACCAGCCATTATGCTACTATAGGATCAAGCATTCCTACAACACCTATCCTTCTGCTATAATCAGCGTTACCGCTTACGCCTCATACTGGTCCTTCCCGGGTGTCTTCCATCGCGAGCCGGTTGCTCTGAAGGATGTGTATTCGACGGATGCAGGGATGTTGGATCATTGCGTCGAGGTGTTCGTGGTGGCTCGCGCTAACTTCCACCCCAGACTCTCTCCGTTCAGTCGTCGTCAGCTTCTAAGTTATGGTTCCATTCACGGCGGTCGTCGATTATCAACGCAGAACGATCGCTTTTCCAATAGCGTTGTAGCTTCCGGCAAACGACAGTCTTTTGGTGTGGATATAGTAATTGCCAATGATTGCGAAGGTCACTTTCCACAAAGAAGCAATCATAACTCATCACCGTCGTGCCTCCTCCTCCCTCTGCCCTCTTCCTCGCTTCCTACAGCTGACCCGCAGGCACGGCGTCACTGTTCGCATAGCTCCAAGGGTGCAACACGCTATCAGAACTGGCCTAACTGTCCGTCTCCTCGTTATCGGTGAGGTTTTCGATTCAGTCCACATCACTGCACGGTAGCGTTATTGTGCCTTCCCATCTCTTCATCCTCGCTCCAGTACGATTGGGCACCACTGCGGCCGCCGCTGGGTGAATCCCATCATTCATGGTCTCTTGAACATCGCCACCCATTTGCCCCACCCCTGAACACGCTCCATTTCGTACGCCCGATCATGCATACTCCTCCACTGGCTTTTCCAATTCTCGCGTGCCCATCGGGAGAAGGTCGCAGCGTTTTCGTGTATCTGCCATAGATTTCGATTCGGCCCATGATGTCACCCTCCATCCCATCATGACAGTCTCTTGACGCAGTGGCTTGGTGTCATCCCTGAAGGAGGGAGCTCGCACATAGAACGGAACCGGAGTTGTCGGTCATCTGGGCTTCGCCAGCCCCGCGGCCGCGCCACTTGAATCGAAGGGTGCCGTTCTTGAACCGCGGCTGGGCTCGAAGTACGCCACTTATCACTCCAAAATCGAATACGCCCCACACATGCAATTTTCTTGCGGACAGGGCAATTTCCAGTTTGGCTTGAAATTGACCATAACAGTCCCAGCTCTCACATCCTTGGGTGCATATCGCCGCAGTGAGCAGCACGTGCCTTCCCAGTCGCAATGGCCTTCCTCATCAATGCGCGGGCAGAGTTCGGGCCCGCTTCACATCAGCCGCCAGATCCTCGTCCTCTCTCTTCCGTTTCAGGCTGTATGCTTCTTTTTCAGCCTTTTCTTCCGCTGTTTTCTTCAGCCTTTTTTCGCGTTCCAAACGCTCGAGTTCCATTTTTCTCCTCCACTTGCTTCGGCCACTCGAATTTTTCGTCCGCGAATCTCTTCTTCATACGCTCTTCCCGCTCCGCAATTTCTATCGGAACTTTCAGAGTCCCTCTTTGGCTTGGGATACGCCTTCTCCGTCGCCTTTTCGCGTGACCCGCCACGCTCAACGCCGTAAAAAGGGCATGGCGCAATTTAAAAACCCGGCCGGCTCGTCCTTGACGGGTGGCGGCTGGTGTACACGAAGTTGCCCGCTTTCCTCAAGTGGTGTTTTGAGTTGGTGATTGTGGCCTGCTGTGAAGGGAATGCCGAAGGATTGCGAATGGAGAATCTATGTGACCCAACGAAACTGCAAGTACGTAAGCCTCATTCGCGCTGTCGAAATCCTTGCGGACAACCCATCGCCACGAAATCATCATCCACTGGACCTGGCAGAATTACTCAAACAAGGGCACTTGGCAACAAAATACGCTCTCGGCGCTGGCAGCTCCAAAAACATCATTAGCACAGAAGAGTGAACCACCCATCTGGGGAAGTGCTCCCGTGGCCGAAGAGACGATCATCTGTGCGCCCATCTATCCGCCAGCCTTTCTCGCCTTTCGACATCTTTGTACGCTAGTCTTTGCTCGGACAACCGGCGGTCTACCATCAGCAACCTCGCAGCTGTCGAACGGTGGTGGGTCCACGAACGTGCAGCGGCCATACGTGTTCAAACCGAGAGCATCGGGGACGGGGACGTCAAAGACATGGTCATTGTCAAAGAAGCGGGAGGAGCTTCAGTGACAGCCTTGCGCCAAGGTCCACCTGCTAAACGTCAAGCAAAAGGTCGTAGAAGACGCTGTAAAGTGAGTCGGAGAGAAAGGAACGACAAATGGCGAAGTGGTCGACGGGCTGCGAAGGTTGTAGTCCGAGTTGGATGCGGAGGGAGCACTGTACCATCTCTCCGGCATGGGACCGATGTGCGAGGAATGCGTTAAGAACAATGAGGAGCTTGCTGGTCTGAAATGGGGGTGCAAGGCGAGCTTCTGGCACATCACCTAGCTTAGAAGGCGCTTCCCTCCATATTTGGGCACCTTTCGGTTGACCGTAGTTCCCAACTTACATAGCTTCCGCGAGCTTCTGCGTAATACCCTCCCTCCCTGCATGCATTCATCTTGAAGCCCGAGGCCCGAGGTGCAATACACAGTAGCAGCCATACACAGCTTACTACCCATCATCACTTCTGCAGCCTATGATACGCAGACGATCATGACAGACGGATCCGCCGACGGGAGACGCACTCTCTGCCGACGTTCGATCGTCGACGACTTCGACGCGAGGTGCACATGCCATGTCGCCCTGCTGGCGCTGCTATGGCGTCGCCGCAAAGGTGGACCTCCTCGTCGTGTCACCCGCCCACGGAAAGGTGTGAGACGAACAATTCCTGGAGCGCGGTAACTTGGCCATCTCGACGTGCCCTTCTGCGCGATTTGCTCCGTTTGCGGGGTCCATGCACGTGAAGCAACTTCTCCCATCCTTCTCTGCGATCGCCTGTCAAAGGCACGAAGGTTTCAGCGGCCAACATTGTAACATGATGTCAAGCCTGCCTCCAGAATCCTTCTGAACAGCCCCAAATACCCGCCAGCTCACTAGGAAGCCAAATCCCTACTGCCAAACCTCACCCCGATCACCCGGTACCTCGACCGACCCTCTTCACACGCCTCTGAAACCTCGTACCTGTCATTCAACCTGTTAAAACTCCGTCATTCCAAGCCTGGTTTCCCAACCGTCCGCCTCGTCACGCTGCATCACAGAAAGATATTTGAACTCTGAGACAGACGGAGGAGGAGGGTATGCTCTCCACTAGCGTAGGCTTTAAGACAGAACGGAGCGGAAATGGTGTGCTCTCCAATGTCGCTGGCCGGCCGGAGAGCAGGAAGAGGCTTGGGAGCGAGCATATAAAGAGAGCAACCTGGGCGAGCCCTCCTCTCTCCCTTCTCTTCATCCCGCCGCCGTGAACCTCCCCTCAACATCCAGCAGAACACGAAAGAATCAAACAAAGCTCCAAACACTGCACTTTCAAATCAAACCTCTTACTCTCCTACACCCGCATAAAAATGCTTCGCTACGTTAACGGCAGCGGAAACGGTCACTCGACCAACGGGTCGACTAATGGGTCAACGGGCAGCAAAGAATCCTTCACCGTTTTCGTGAGGCACAATGGCGGTGGTTCTGTTTCGATGATCGTGAAGCCGAATATGAGGTGAGAATTACATACCTGCCTCCTCATGCCCCCGTACGAGACACTTTGGAATACAAGTTTTTACAAGTTTGGTGACCAGCTGGACGTTTCTGCCCCCTCCCGCAGCATCGCCGAGCTGAAACAAGCCGTCATCAAACGATTCCCAGCCATCCAGTCCTACAACTTGCGTCTCCTTTGCGTCAGCAAGGAACTCGAGGATTCGTGGACTATCAGCCACTACCCTTTCGTCAGAGAGGGGTCCACCATCGATGTGGCGGTCCGGTAGGTGTTCCTTTCCATCTCGGAGCGGCAGGCCTTTTACGATACTGAATTTCTGTCTCCCGCTACAGATGCAACGGCGGCAACCAGTGAATCCAGTCCATTCGCGAAAGAAAACCGAACGACGCAAAGTTGTCGGCGCACATACATCCAGGCGCTTAGGGGGTTCATGAGCAAGCATTGATATCATTCCTATTTTTGTTGTATATACATGAGTTTCTTTGCTGCAAGTTTGGTGAATAGCTTTCCAATGAAATGTTCGAGGAAAGCTCGATGGAGTATCAATGAGAATCACTAGTTGTAATCGACAGAGGGTCCGTTGGACTAGCAACTTCTGATCCCGGGCGGATTTGCGGATTTGCGCTGACCGGCATATCGGCGACCACTTATGGTCCGTTGAGAGCGACGTGGGGGTGACGCTCAGGCAATGAATACTGAACCCGGTACCCATTGTCGTCGCCCGCCGACCCATATCAGGGATGACAGCGGTAATGCATGTGGGCGAAACTCGCACATGTCCGGTGGCACATGCCATCAAATAACATCGTAATGTTCAACCCACTGCGCAAACAACGGCGGAAGAATGATAGCCATAACCGCCGAAGCCACCCAGATAACCGTGAAAGCGGTCGGCTGCTTCGGCGACGGGCTCGGCGGCGGTGGCGCCTCATCTCCATTCGCGTCTCTCTTTATCACAGGATCCGGCACATCCTTCCCATTCCAAATTCCATCCTGGTGGTGAATGCCCGCCTGCTGACTGCGGACTTGCAAGGTATCCCCGACGCTGAGTGTCCAGCCATGCGTGGCAGCCACGACGTTCATGCCGACGCAAGCCTTGTATTTTGCTCCGGCGTCGACGCGTCGAAAGGTCATCAGTGTCGCTGTGGGTTCATTTTTGTGAAAAATGCCCGTGAATGGATTGTTGGTTGGCATGACGCAGCGGGTGCATCTAGAGGCGATGTACATGTCGTGGGTGTGATTGATGGAGATTTGTAGGAAGTCGTCTTCGGCCCAGGGTTTCATTTGAGGTGACGAAATAACGATATTTGGGCGGAAGTTGATCACTGACACATGTGTGATCGGGTTGTCCTTGTATATTTCGGCGTTTCGCTGCTTGATTCGCGATTCGATATCCGCGACGGAGGCCTCCGACAACATCAAGAACGGAAACACGTCCGCGAACGCAGTCTGAAACGATGCATCATAAGATCATTAGGTGCCCCACCAGCAGTGAATATCAGTAACTGAGGGGATCTCCGCGCTTACCTGGGGCTCATGACTAAATAATGCTCTGGCTGGAGTGTGATTGACTGGGAGGTCACGAACGGTATTTGCTTTCACCCAGAGCCTCGCCGGGACTCCAAGAAAGTCTTGCAGCCATGCGGCGGCCTCTTCTCCTTCGTCCACTCCCGCAACATCCCATGTCCACACTGTGATTCTGCTTTCTCCACTATTTTTAGTCAGTTCTGCTCGCGGCCGGAACGGGATCACCAGAGGAGGCATGTTGGGTGCGTTGAGAATCAGTCGACCACCACGTCCGTAAGCGTCCGATGGAATGGATGGCAGTGCGGAAGGAGGTATGTCATTCCCATCCTTGCCCGGTGGGCTGGTGAGCGCCTCGGCCACCACGCAGTCTTCCCCCTCGCCAATCTCCAAGCGTGGCAGGATCATAGACATCTTCGAAATCCCACGTTGCGTAACCTGCTGACGATCCGGACTGGATATGATCCAGAAGCGGTCCAATTCGAGGCCTGCGGAGCATTTGAGGCGCGTTTTCTCGCAGAGCTGAAAGGGCAGTGGCGAGGAGACTTACCAACTTAATACGCCCCGGATTGGAAAATAGCTCAGAGTTAGCAGCTTACGAATGGGATGCCCGGAGCTCACTCCTGAACAAAAAGAACTCACGTTCGCTGACCGCGGCGGACTTTACTCGAATGCCTCTGCAACTCTTCACAGGGTAGACATACAAGCCGCTGACCGTGATATCGTCGTCCACCGGCATGTTGGCGGCCATCCTGGGCGGCTTCGCTTGAAGGGCTTTTCGGATACGTTCTCTGCTTGTCTGCGGTCACCGGAGCGCTTCACTAGGCCGGCTAGTAGGTTGTCCTTCGCAGGTTACAGCGTTGGGATGTGCAAGCGAGTTTTATGCTCAGAAGACGAGCGTCCTTAATATTATTAGTGGGAGCCTGCGGGGGTTCCTTTCCCCACTTCCCAGGGTCCTGTCCTTCCTGCTTCCACTTCCTCCAGCCAAAAACCCCCAAGACGCGGAGGGGCCATTGGGGGGGAAATGCAGACGCGGGGGGACGATGGTTGACTCATCACCCATCACCCCAGATTCCGAGAAAGCCTGGTCTCCTGGTGCACGCCGCTGAACTTGGAAGTTCCCACGGTCTGGACCTGCTGCTGGGGCCCCAGTTTCGACGTCAAGGGTGGGAGCTCGCATCCACCTCGCTACCTACCCATACAGTACCCCGGTCCCCTTCTCATGACCACCGCCGATGTCCCGCACAGCGTCGACGACCCACGGCGGCTCTCCGACGGGTCCATACCAGACGAGAACTTTGAGAAGTACCTCTCCGCCGATGATCTTCTATCCCCCATCGGGAGCGACTTCGGGTCACCAAGAGCCAGCGAAGCAGGGAGGGCTGAGCATACCATAGGGCGGTTCTCTCCGCTTCCCTGGGTCTTCAAAAACTTAGAACGATGCAAGAGCCTATTAGGCGGGGATGGCCTTTCGCCGTTCGCAAAGCAGTGGTTGCGACAGGCGTTGAAGGCTGGCTTCTAGTGAGTCTTGGACGTTTAGCCGTTATTGCCCTATGAGAGGCCTGCTACTGAATGCCACCCTCTACAGCATCTTATCATGGTACACTTTTTCCTTGACTATTTCATTTTACAACACATGGCTCTTCCATGAGGATCAGCGGAATTTTCGGTTTCCGTTATTCACGACGACGTTACATATGCTTATGCGTATGTGTGTGTATTCTTGAGATTACACGCAATTGGCAGTTTTACTTCAGCGTACTGAAGCCCATCTGCTTTCACAGAGTTCAGTCTGTCTGCGATCGCCGTAATATTTGTGTGGCCAAAACTACGGCCAAAGCGGTATCCTGCCATGAAGGATTACCTCACGAAAGTCTTGCCCTGCGGAGTATCCACTGGGATGGACATAGGGCTGTCAAATAGTAGTTTGAAAGTAAGAGTTGCATGTCACGAAGATTTTTCTCCACGAAGCTCACTCATTCCCATTCTCCAGCTGATAACATTATCCTTTTATACGATGGTGAAATCAGGAGCACCCGTATTCGTGCTCCTCTTCGCATTCCTATTCAAACTCGAACGACCGACGTGGTCGCTATCCGCCGTCATCGCTGTCATCTGTCTCGGTGTGCTGCTAATGGTCGTCAATGAAGGACAGTTCAGATGGGTGGGATACCTAGAGGTGCAAACCGCCACGGTCATGTCGGGGCTAAGATGGGCGCTGACGCAGATCCTACTGGAACGCGAATCTATGGGCATGAACAACCCGCTTGCAGCAAGCCTCTTCCTCGCGCCCATCATGGGTCTTTCGCTTCTCGTAGCCTGCATGGCAATTGAGGGCCTCCCGACGATATTAACCTCTCCCGATTTCGCAACCTTCGGCTCAACGATGGGCATCCTTGGCATCCTCTGCGGCGGCGGCGTCATCGCCTTTTTCATGGTCGTCAGCGAGTTTTTCCTCATCTCAACCACCTCCATCGTCACCTTCTCCGTCGCCGGAATCTTCAAAGAGATCCTGACGCTAGTCGGCGCCAAACACGTCTACGGGGACGAGTTCCCGCCCAACAAGATCGTTGGGTTGATCATTAGCATATCGGGGATAGCGTTCTACAATTACCTGCGGATAAGCGGGATGCGCAAGAAGCATCGGAAGGAGGCGCGGAAGGGTGGGGGATTGTTTGCGGAGGCCGAGAGGGAGAGGGGAGAGACGGGTGATGCGGCGGATAATGTTGCGGATGCGACCAGAGGACTGCTTTATGGGTTTCATCCTGTGACGGCGATGGGTTCGCCGTTGAGCATGGAGTCGGATTTGGATATGCCGGGGTATGATGACATTGACCTTGGCGAAGATGACGATGATGGGCTGCTGTAGGGAAGAACATATGTGTAGACTGCCTTTAACTTTGTATATATACCCTATTTAGCACCACATCCTCCCCAATGGCACAGATATCTGTAGATCTAGCAAGTCGACCAAAAGACCGGGAGACTCCCGAAGGCCGTGAAACGATGGTCAAATGCATCTACCCATCCATAACTCTCCCGTCTCGGAGGCTTCTGGCATGGACTGATGGAAGCACCCGATGAGCATTGAGCAGGCGGGAACGATGTAGGCAACGCGTCAGCTTGCGATTGGGCCGTGGAAGTTATGACGTGGACGTGAGCGAGCGGACGAGGACGCTTCTACATCCATACTCCCAACCTTGATACTAATATACTGCATATAAAAACGGCCTTCGCATCGGGTCCACTCACACGCCAACGTTCGCTTTCCCAATACTTTTCAAACATATCATAGTATCATCAACACCAACATGCCCAGCCTCTCAACCTTCCCAAAACCCCCCACCGCCTCCCTCTACCTCCGCCTCCGTATCAAACTCCTCCGCCTCCTCGCCACCCTCATCCGCCTCGCCTTCACGTCCCGCATCCCGGCCCAACGCGTCTTCCCATCCCCCACCCACACCACCCCCTGCCTCGTCTACCACCCGCCCGCCAACCAACCCCCCACGGGCCTGTACGTCAATTTCCACGGCGGGGGTTTCGCGGCCGGCTCACCTGATGCAGACGGCGAGTTTTGCGCGTTTATTGCGCGGGAAGTCGGGTGTATTGTCGTTTCGGGGGGGTACAGACTTGCGCCGGAGTTTCCGTACCCGTGTGGGGTGCAGGATGCGCGGGATGTGGTCGTCTGGGCGCGGAAGACGTACTTGCCACAGACAGCGCAGAAGGTTGCGGTGGGCGGGTTCAGCGCCGGCGCAACCTTTGCGTTGGGTGTTTCCCAGTGGATGGCTAGAGCGGGTACCCCCGTCTCCTACGCCGCGGCTTTCTACCCGGTGATGAACTTCCATCAGGAGTCGAAGAACACATTGAAGGAGCGGAACCCGTGGATTCGGGATCTGTTCCATGAGGCGTATTTGAGTGGTCTGCCGCATGACGAGGAGCTCCTGAGGGATCCGGTGTTGTCGCCGATGTATGCTGCGGTGGATGAGCTTCCGGGGTCGGTCACTGTGGTGATACCGGAGATCGACCCGAATATGCCGGATATGCGGGAGTTTGTGCGGCGGTTGGAGGAGGAGGTTGCGAAGAATGGACGGGGTGCGGATAAGCAGATCAAAGGGTTGTACCTGGAGAAATGTTTCCATGGATGGAATCTTTTGCCTGAACGGCTCATTGGGAAGGATCGGGCTGCGAAGAAGTGGGAGGCGTATCGGACAGTAGCTGACGATGTTAGACGGGTTTTTGAAGTTTAAAAGCGATTGGTCATTTGTACATGGGTTTGAGGCTCGAGAGGAGCATATACATTCGGCGGAACTATGAATACAAACAAGGATATCTACAGCTATCTACGAGTGTTCGAACGCCGTCGCTCAGAAATACGGATTCTTCCAAAACTCCTCGTTATAGCTTTCTATCAGGTCCCTTCTCGTAGGTCCACTCTGCCAATTCTCAAATCCGCCACGAAGAATCAGCACCTCGGACGGTAGAGAGCCGTCGATTGCTGCTTTCGCTACGCCGTCTTCAAGCGCTTGCGCATACCGTTGTGCGCACTTTGGTCCTCGGACTGTCGAAGATACGCGGTTGAGAACACATTTTCTGCGAAAATGACCACAAAGACTCGGACAAAAGAATACCTTGTGATAGCGCACAGTGAAACACAACCTTCGGCACGTCCTTGAACTTCTCAACGTATGCGGCCGGGTCTTCGAGGAATTCGTGTGATGGGACGTTGACTGCTCCTCTTATGTTTCCGTTTGCGAAATCGTCCCCTCGGACATCTACGACGACAAAGTCTTTACCGATCTGCAGCGTAGGGTCCCGTAGGAGGGCGGCTAGGCTGTCGGCGTCGATGTATTTGGGACTTGATGGCATTGCTACGTTGACCGTCGGGACAAACCGTTGAATCGAGAGTGCTGAAAGTTTGGACGGAGATGGGCGGGCATCAAATCCAGTACCGCCGGTTCCATGCGCTCCCGAGGCCCCGGATCCCCATCCGCCAAAACGCGTCCCCCACAGCGGCTCAGCTGTTTCAGAACTTGTGGCAGACAGTGGCTTCTGGTCTCGAGTTGCCAAACTGCGTCGGGGAGGCATCTCCGCCAAGGGCAAGAATATTCCACATCGTTATAAGTACCCCCTGTGCCTTGCAACCGCCGCTCATGTCGACGACCCCTCCTCCTTCCCAGCTCACAACACCGAAAATGGCACGACAGTCAAGCGAGTCGTCCTATCCAATGACCACCGTCGGCGGCTCGGGCTCGGCAACGCCCTCAGCTGCGTCCAAGCGTCCAGCAATGAACCAGCAATTTGCTAACGGGTTCGAACAAGGGATTAATGTCGGCCGTAAAGGTCTTGTGGGAGGTGTCAAAGTAGTCGGGAGTGTAATGGACGACTTCAAGGAGGTGAGTCAAGCTAACCAGGTACCTGTTTTTTTTTGAAGAGATGCAATGCTAACGAAGTGCGCCACATTTATCTTAGTTCCTGAGTCGTGGAAATGTGATTGATCTCGCTGTCGGTCTTGTTATGGGTGCGGCATTCACCGCCGTGGTTACCTCCGTAGTTACGGACCTCATAACACCAGGTTGGTACCCGAGTTTCTCTACCCTTCGACGTTCTGCGTCCTCGTTGAAGCACTTCTCATCGCTTACTGCACATTTCAGTGATCGGGCTAGCGACACGACAAAACTTGAAAAACAATTATCTCATCCTGAGGTGTCCTACTGTGCCTGTTCCGATCGCTAACTGCACTAAAGCAATGTGGGCAACAGTGGCTGAGGCTCAGAAAGCTGGGGCGACCACTTGGAACTGTAAGCTCAACTTGCAATGTCGCGGATTCAATCCCTGTCATATGAATACCCTAACCATATCAATCTTTTACAGGGGGAAATTTCCTAGAAGTCACCATCAACTTCCTGATCATCAGTATCATTATCTTCTTCATGGTGAAAGTGTACGCCGCCGCTTTCCGCCGCAAGAAGCCCGAGAAGAAGACCAAGGAGTGCACTTTCTGCTACAAAGACATCCCTATCAAAGCGATCCGGTGCCCTGAATGCACGAGCAACTTGGAGGATAAGAGGCCCCCAATGCCAGAGAGCGTAGTCACTATCGATTCGTACGGCGACTACGAGCGACCTCGGCCGCAGAAGCGCCAGTGAGGTGGCTCTGAAGAAGGGGTTCTATTATGGATGGCGGACAATAGTCACTGGATGAACTGTCGGCGTAGTTTTCGGACATTTCCGTAGAGCATCCTATACGTATATTGTAGATGTACATACACATAGGCAGGTCCCATGTAGACACTTTTGCATTGTAAGAATAGCTTGATAGACTTCCAATGTGGAAGCAGGACATTCTTCTTGCCGCAAATACGATTGATGGCCAGTGCTGGACGTCGTGGACGTGCTCGATGTGGACGCGCAAGCCACGAGCAGCATTTTCGGACAAAACGCGTCGCTCATGCGGGGTTGACCAGTCCATGGAGTTCCCACAGGAATGGCCGGTTGGACAAGGCTTTCTCAGACCCACCAAAGACAGTCTATTCATCATCGCTGCTGGTCAAGGTGGTAAGAGGTTCATAGGTCAGGTTGCGTAAGGAAGGCACGCCTTGAGTTGAAAATAGCAAAGACCGACGGAGACAATGACTCTGCCGGTTTCTGTTCTCGTGAGGGTATGTGATGTCTTTGGACTCTTGAATGATAGAGGAAGAAAGGAAGTATCAACGCAGCAGAGATATAAGCCTAAGTGTTCCGCACTCTCTAGGTCAGACCCAACCCGTCACTGCGTCCTCCGATAGTCACAGTCGACGAAACTTCCCACAGCGTAACACTCTCCGAAACCAGAAGGTTCACCTACGACGCCGCCTACGGCCCCGAACACAAACAGGCCGAGATATGGAACGCAGCCATCAATATCGTCGACGGGGTGCTCTCAGGATTGAACGGCACCATCCTAGCATACGGCCAAACGCGTTCAGGCAAAACATACACCATGCTCGGATCCGAGTGGAGCTCGACGTCGGCGGAAGACACGGCGGGCGTGATCCCGCGTGCCGTGCGACATATCTTCGATAAGATAGAGGAGAACCGCGCGTCGGCGGATGATGTGACGTATCGGACCTATGTCTCGTTTCTGGAGATCTACCAAGAGCAAGTGAGGGATCTGCTGATGCCGGGACAGAACGTGGATTCGAAGGATCATTTGGCGATTAGGAAGGGTGTGGATGGGGCGATGAGTGTTTGTGGGCTGCTGCAGGTGGAGGTTGGGGATATGAATGAGGCGTTGAGGTAGGTAGGATGCAGTACGCGTCGGATCCGGTTATTGTTCAATCGTTGCTCAAACATGCTTGTCCGCAGTTACTTGGAGCAAGGAAGCATAGCTCGTACCACCGGCGACACTCAGATGAACTCAAAGTCCAGCCGGTCACACGCGGTGTTCACCATCATCCTTGAGCAGCGGAAAGGGGAGACTGTGAAGATCTCCAAATTGTCGCTTGTCGATTTAGCCGGTGAGAAGCAATGTGCCGATGACCCCGTATTCCTGTATTCCTGCTCGACACTGATGATGGCACTCCGTTGCAGGCTCCGAACGTCTGAAGAGGACCGGGGCTGAAGGTGTACGGTTTCAGGAGTCGGTGAAGATTAACACGGGCCTGTTAGCGCTGGGCAATGTCATCAGCATTCTCGGCTCCGAGTTTGGGTTCAAGAAGGGGACCTTTGTGCCATATCGCATGTCCAAGCTTACGCGATTACTTGAGGATTCGCTTGGAGGCAATGCTAAGGTGAGTATGCGCTCCACCGGTCTGATCCCAGCTCAGTCACTCATTGGTTGCATAGACCCTATTGATAGCTTGCGTGAGTCCCGCTCGCGAAGACTCGGACGAAACTCTCAACACGTTAAAGTACGCCCACCGCGCCCGCAAAATCCAAAACAAGCCAGTTGTCAACATCATACGAAACAAAGAGCCTCTTCCAGAGATTATAGATGAAGACGAGATCTTCCCAGATCCAATCGAACCCGACAAAGATCCCGACGTAGACAACGAGGACGAATACGCGGAAGGGGATGCCGGCTACACGGTCCTTGAGGAAGACAGCGCCGATGACCCCTGGTTCCTCGCCGTCATGGACGAGCTCCGTCACCGCACCAGCCGCGGTCTCAAAGCTCAACGGTCCCTCGAAAGCGCCCTGAGCGATCGCGACGCATTGAGCCAACGCGTGGGTCAGCTCGAAAAACTGCTTGAGGAGTCACAGCACTCTATTATGGAGATGCAGGCTTCCAGCGACGAACGATTGAAGGAGCTGTTGAGAGAGAATGAGGAGATTGCTGTGCATGCTGAGGAGGTTGAGCAGGAGTGTGAGCGGGCGCGGCAGGAGCAGGAAGGGCTGCTGACCCGTCTGACGGAAGTGGAGAACGAGCTGCACGCGACGACTGAGACTTTGACGACCGACATCAACCTGACGGTAGATACATTGATTGCCGTCCTCAATGGGGAAGATGTCGCCAAGGTCGTGGAAACGGCGAGAGGGGTCGTGAAGAGATGGCGGCCGGATTCTGCAGTTTGTCTCGAGACAAGCGGGCCGAAGCCGGGAGTGGACCCATACCCGGAGCACCCCGGGCGACAGCCACTTCGACCATCCCGCCCACCCTCCTCCGTCGCATCCGTGCCTGGATCTCTCGGTTACCCACGAAGAAGGGTGCGGAAGGTCAGCACGCCCGACCAGACAGCCGCGTCGCTGATCGACAGGCAGCATGCCGCTATCCGCCGCTTAGAAGACGATCTTTTCGAAAAGGACGAGCAGGCTAGGATCTTACTTCAGGAGATACAGCAGTTGAAGGAGGTGGTTGTCCCGCGACTGGAAGGCGTCAACTTGAAGATGATTGTGGAGAATGACAGGTTGAAGGCGCAGTCAGGAGGGCAGACGGGTGGGCATGCACATCCAACGTCGCATGCAATTGGGGATGAAGAGCAACTGTCGAAGCTGAGCACGCTGTTGGCGCAGAGGGATGATGAGATAGCGTTGCTCAAAGAACAGATCGACGCCTTGACTGCTGAGAGGGATGAATGGGAGGCTGCTGTAGCGGAGATGCAGAATGGGGTGCTGGTCAACGAAGCCGGGGGCGCTGATGTCGGGCAGCCGCAAACCCGAAACGCGGCCTCGGGAGGGAACAGCAATGACAGCCTTTCGCGGCGGAACCGCAACATATCCGCTCGCGAATCGCTGAACGCCATGTTTGTGCATAACGACCGGTCAGCGAAACAGATGAGGACCGCTTTTTGGTCTGAGTCTTTGGGGACGGAGCAGGGGACAACTGGTGTTGCAAATGGTGGAGCTCCTCCTGCCGATGTAAGCGACGTACCCATGATTGCCCCGGCCGCCGAGGACGATGAAGACGACTTCCCCGTTCACGTCAGGTAAGCTCGACGTTAGCGCCTTTGGGTGCAGATGCTTGGAATGTCTAACCTTTTGATTCTCCTCCACAGCGGGATATACGAGGGCCACAAAGACGTTGGAGATGGGGTTACGAGCCCTTCTAGAAATGAGGTCAAAAGCGAAGTGGACGACGGTCCGTCTCGCCAGGATGTGGTTGCTGCGAACAAAGCACGGGTAGAGACGATGCGGGATCTTCGGGATGCACATAAGGAGTATGTGAAGCGCTCGAATTCAATGGCGCAACGCGGGGCCGGAAATAATGTAGTTTATTCCAAACTCAGAATGGAAAAGATCCGTCACCAAACCACCCGCCAAGCCCAAAAACTCCAACGCGAGCTCGACGACGCGCACGCGGAAATCGCCAAATCCAAAAGCGCTTTAGAAGACAAGGAAGCCACTCTAGTCCGCTTGAAAGACGACAACGAGAGACGCTGCAAAGGGTTGGAGACGCAGATTGCGAAACTGAAGGCGAATGTGAAGGATATGCAGAAGCTGGCTGATGAGAAGGAGGCGTTAGAGGGCAAGAATGCAGATTTGCGGGAGGATTTGGCAAAAGCGGAATCGAGGGTTGGTGCGTTGAAGAAGAGGCTGAAAGAAGGTAAGAGGCTGAGAGAAGGAAAGAAGGACCTTCCGCTCGCCTGTACACTCACAAGGCGCCATTTCTCTATGAAAAGAGGCAGAAAAGCTAGCTGAAACCGAATCCCGCAAAGCCAAGGAGGTCTTCTCACTGCGAAAACAAATCGAGGAGGATGCCAAGCGCATCCGCCTGCTCGAGACACAGGGCGACACCTTGCGCAGGCGGCTCGATAGAGCCAAGTCAGCAACGGCCGCGACATCGGCTGATAGGACCGCGCAGCACGCGGCCAGGCGGGATACTCGGTCAGCGTCGGCGGCACATCCAACGAAGAATAGCACTGTTGGGAGCTTACCGCCAATTGCACAAGGGCGGGCGAAGGCAGGCGACATACCGGAAACTGGTGATATGCTGGAAGAGGTGCAGGAGATGGAGGAGAGTTTGCAGTCGCGGGCGGAGGAGATTGAGGTATGACTATGTGGCGTTTTTTCAATGCTGGGCAACGACTGGGGCCATAATCTTCATGTTCAAAGGCATTTAAAGAGTATCACGCGTTTTCCAAACACCTGCGGCAAGTCCGCACAGCTGTTGCGCAACTTACCGCGGATTTGAAAGAAGGGGAGTCCATCCTTGAGACGCTGGCGCCTGAGGATCCGATGCGGCAACGGGTTGGAGTGCGGGTGGGCGAGATACGGCAGGAGCGGGAACTTGGTGAGCGGGAGATGGAGAGAATTGTTAGAGAAAGGGCGGTGGTTGAAGGTATGCGCAGGTTTTGGTCGGATGTAAGGCTTGATTCGTGATGGAGACAGCTCATCAGTGTATCCCCATCAGGTCGACTGAAAAAGAGCCCGTCAGCCCAGGGACTTGGCAAAGACAGCCACGGGTTAGATTTGTCGGCCGTGCAGGACGAGTTTCAGGATCAACCGGACATTATCCATGTTCTCGAGAAATTGGTACGTGCAAGCGTCTGGCCCTGAATACGGTAAAAGCCAGTCTATTAATCATCTTCTCTTCCCTTCATTGCAGGACTCCTGCTCTCTCAGTCAGGCTCAGGAGCTAGTCGTTGAATGCATTCGTGAGCTTTCCAAGTTACAGGTGTGTGAGTGACTCTGAGTGATCGATTTCGAGATGCGGTGTTCTCAACGCTGCATCACCTTTCACGTCTCGAAGCGCGGAAAAGGTCAAACGAGAGGACACGAAGGGTCGCCATCGAGTTCAAAGGGGCTGCAAGACTCGGAGCAGAACAGCAAGATGGTTAAGGACTTGAAAGCGAAGCTTCGCAAGGTTGTGTCTGTCAATCATAAACTGGCCGCCGCATTAGAGAAGGAGCGGAGAGGGGAAAGGTGGGTGTACTGTCCGGGATTTTGTGATTGTGAATAGTGGCTTCCCAGGGACACAGCAATCCGTAACTGTATACCTTCTAACTTCATATTGAATCACAGCCCTCCGAATCCGACTCCGATATCTACCGTTCAGAGTAATTCGGCAGTCCAAGTATCGTGATGCGCAAGGGAAGGCGACAGAGGGAGAGGGAGCAGACGTAGTCCACGTCGAGAAGAGAGTTGTGTGACCGTCTTCTCGTCTGCGTGAATGCCCAAACGAAATATGCATGTGATAGCTGGTACATCGAGCTTCTTCGTCTGAAGATACTCGCCGCAGGGCTCCACGATGGCCACGGAATAGATACCTAAGCCAGATGCTCGTGGTCGAACGTCGCTGTTTCGAGAAGCGCAGGACTGCGATGCCTGAGCCTCCAAATTTCACGTTTGGTGTCCGGAAGCTGAGGAAGCGAAATTGACAGGGAAAGCGACAGCGCGATCCGTATGCACGCCGAACATAAATGCGACGCTTGTGGCGCGATCTGAAAATCATGGGGCTGAAAAGAAACACAGACTCGCACAACAATATACTGTATCATTTGTGCGAAGCTATTAGAGCCAGTGAAATGTGTGGGTCGGTGAGGCCCTGGGGGTCCGGACTCCGGACTCTCGTTTCCAGCAAAGCCACGATCAGGCTTGTTTGATCGCACTGTCGTACGTGTGAGATGCGAACCTTTTTTTGCAGCAAGGAGCCCTCCGGCGACGCCGCTCCGGTATCCATAAAATCCAAAATCATTTCGTTGGAGCATGTTTCCTTTTTTACCTTCGAAAGACCAGCATACCTACTGTACAGTACTGTATTGTATGCTTCCGGCCGACCCTTCTGACCGCGAGGAATATCTCGACTAGATTTAAGATATCCGCCACGGCACAAAGCGCGAATCAGATCAAACCATACATCTCCAGGTCGCATGTGCAACACGCACGCCTAGCTGTTCCAAAACGTTTCCCCAATACTTCGGGAACGTTTTCCCAATGGAGATGTGGGCAAGCCGCAACCGTGGAGCTAATCGCGGGCCAGTGGAAGTGACCAGCCAGCGAGCGTTGCTACGGGCCTGTACACCAAAAGGGTCATGATTATTGGCCGAGAGGTACACGTCCGACAATGGACTGTGAAATGTGCTCGCGCTTGCCACCCGACGCTTGCCACCCGACGCTGCTTGGGGGCCATGCCCTTGAAGGCAGGAAGTGATCCATCGATCATGAGACTCGCTTCAGATCGATACATTGGCGCTCATCTCCGAAGCTGGTGCCCCATCTCATGGGGAGCCTCCATCGATATGCCGGGCACGCTCGTTTGTCTCGGCTTTCGGCAAAGTCTATAAATATCGGGTAGCCCATCCGGATTCCCTCCCTCGGCAACCAACCAGTCTCAGTAGCTGTGACAGCACAATGAAACTTTCCGCCATCATCTCCGTCCTGGCAGTCACTGTCGGCGTCTTCGCCACTCCCATCGAGCCCGAAGCCGCCGACGTTTCCGTCAGCGCCGCGGAGATCGAAGCCAAAGCAGGCACCCTGTAAGTGATCCGCGTCGTGCCTCGGTTCTACAATGTCCAGATCCGGCTACTCTCAAGCGATAATATTGGCTAACGCCCGTCTTTTCTTGCCCCACGCAGAGCCGTCACCAAAGATTGTTCAAAGATCGACGCCCTCAGAGTCAGATCCAGGCCGGGAGGCGGCACAATCCTGGGCCAGCTCCAGAAAGGCCAGTGCCGCCCTTTTTGGAGCGGGTCCCCCGTTATAGTTTCCGGTTCTTCGTACACCGCTTGTGGCGGTACAAGCAGTAACTGGTGCGTAGTGAACTTCATTGAAGGGTGGCGGAACTGGACAATCCACTCATCAGCGCATTCCTCAACTAGGGAACCCATCAAATTCACCCTGTCAAGCGGAACCGTCAAGGGTTACGTCGCCACCCTCTGCACGGAGTGGAAGTAGGCACAGGCGTTCCACTATCGTAGTTTACGTCCCGGGTAGAATACTGGACCTCAGCAATCTCATCATATCCTTTGTTGTTGTACTTGCCACGGCACTGGTTCTTCAATAAATGCGTTCAATGAAAGTACGCTCTCCCTGGGATATAATATGCGTCAGCGTGAAATTAGGCGAGGTCCGAATATGATTTACCAGGGTCGAATTGACGGTGGAGTTTTTCTCATCCTTGTCCGATCCCATTAGCCGCTCCACATTACGCACTAATTTCAACTCGACAACTACCCTACGGCCATCTGCCGAACTCTGATTCCACCCTCATCAATTGTAAAGCGGCGTCGCATTTCCAGAGGACGATGAGGCACGTTTCCTACTCCGGGTCGTTACTTATCCGTGCCGGAATCTAATTGGGTTATGTTAGAGTGTCGTGCTGGCCATGTTGGGCAAACGATTCACGGAGGACGAGTGGAAGTTCGCTCTTGCTGAAAGACGCGTTTGCCCGTATGCGTCGCGTATTGTCATCATGAGGTTGATTTGCTCATTCGACGCGTTGCGACTTGTCCGAAATGAGCGGTTGCACGAGGGCGAAGATTTGCGTTATTGCAATCAACTTCGCCCGCAGTCGCTCAAGTTGGCTCAAGTTGGCTCAAGCGGCTCGAATATGATTATTAGAAGGAGACTCAGGCTAATCATTGGAGGTCCGAGGAATATGGTCATTGCTCAGTTGATGTGCATGATGATGATGGCTCGCCGTTCGTGCACAACTCGCAGCTAAAAACCTTGTTGAGGTTCGCTCATGTTGGCCGCCGCCTGCCCAGGGGTTTCTTTCAGTTTGCCCCACGTCGACCGAACCTATTCTGCCTCTGAGATGTCGACGACCGATTCGGAGGGAATCTGCTGCAAGACCGTCGGGCGAACAAGCCGTCCGGAGTTCATACTGTAGTTAGTCCATTCTGCGGCAGCCCTCAACGCGTTCAGACGACCCCGTCAATTCCCTTGCTCTGGATTCCTGGCGGCGTAGACAGCAGAGAGCGAACGTGTCCCTGTGCAGAGTGAGACCGCCTGCGGCACTCGTCCAGAACTCTCGCTATTTATTGAAACGGACGAAGGGGTTGTTGGGTCACTTGCGGGGTATCCTGCGGCTTGGCCTTCCGCAGCTGAACTGCCTTGTTCCCCTGTGCCCCGCGCGTCTCGCCCCTTTTTGTTTGTTTCCGACCGTCGGCCGTTGGCTGGAGGGGTACTGTTATTAAGGTGATATCACCGGTTGAGGGCCAGCGCACAGTGCGGGAGAGAAGGCAGTTGGATATCCCTCTAGACCGAATATTCCGGCGGAGCATCGCCGGGCGGGTTTCTTCACACTTTGCCCCGCCGTCGACAAGCAATCTTCGAGTAGACCTTTTCCTCGCATAACATACCCAGCACACGCCATATCAGCTTTCGACGTTGTGGAGCTCAAATACTGTTCGAATACGAATGAAGATGGTATCTTACAGGTCTCGTCGCAGTAGTCGGCTCACGCCCTCTATGTCGGTGCTTTGTTTGATGTCCGCAGCAGTGTTTTTTCATTCTGCCGTGGCGCGAAATATACCCTCGCAAGGTATGTTGTTGAAGATGTTTTGTACATCAACCGAGAAGCAGTCACTGATTGAGTCGATATTCTGTCTTTAGCACCTGATGGCTTGCTGCCTGAAAGCCGTAAAGCGGATCTCCTTCCACGTCTTTTTCCGTCATTTAAATCGCCACGGCTTCCGTTAGATGCATCTGCTTCGATACCTGCCGCTGCTCCGTCTGACCCCACGGTCGTGGATCCGAGACCGGCTGATACTGGCAGGATGTCGCAGTCCTCTGCGGCGGTTACGCCGGCGGTGCCGGCTGGGGTTCCATCTACCAGCCCACCAATTTCAAACCCGGCCGCAGGTACACCTGGTAACCCGCCAATCCCAAACTCACCTGGTGGGACACCCGCCAACACGCCAGCATCCCTAGCTACTGGGACAGCCGTCAACACACCAGCATCAAACCCAGTAAGCGGGACACCTGTCAACGCACCAGTCACATCCCCAGTTAGTGGGACATCCCAAAACACCCCCGCATCAAACCCAGCTGGTGGAACATCCGCCAACGCACCACAACCATCATCCCCACCCGCTTCCACTGGCTCGCGACCCGGCTCCGACCCAAATTCCGACCACACCTCAGACCACACGTCCGGCAACAGCGGACACACAAACATGACCAGCGCCAACGGGCCCTTCGCCACAAAAGCCAGAATTCTCACCCTCAGCGAAGCCATGGCTTTGGTAGCCGATCACCCCCAGAAGGCCATGTTGGCCGCACCTATCTTCCTGTTCATCTGCATCGTGGGGATGTTTCTATCCTACATCGTAACGCTATACCAATCGACCTTCCCGCATGCGACATGGAATGCGTCGCTCGACGCCGCTGGGAAGTATGTCGAGCACAAGGAGAGTGATGCCAGCATTGTTTACGCCAGAAAACCGACCACCAATGCCCGGTCTGTAAAGCACGATGATGACGAGGGCAGGATGGGAGGAAAACTGGTTCATAAAAGCTCGCTGACCCGTCTTCCGAGTAAATCGCGACCCCGATACCAAACTGCCGCTGCCGCCGCCGCCGCTGCTGGTGGTAGCAACAATACCGACAATAGCCAGCATCTGGCGCCATGGGAGCGTAAGAAATCACGACAATCGGTCCTTGTCGCCGCGCAGTCTAGCTCCGGACTCGTGGTCGTCGACCCGCCCACGATGCCTACGATGCGAGATTACGTCCCGCCCGAGCGCGATGAACAGCAACAACGGACTCCGCGCCGCATGAATACGGAGACGCCACCACCGCCTATGCCGATGCCCGTGCGGATCGCCACTGCCCACCCGTCTCCTGCTGTTGTTTACCAGATGATGTCGTCGAACCCCTTGGCGCAGGGATCACCACTTTCGCACCAGGCTTCCGTGTACCAGATGATACCCTCAAACGCGTCGGCGCAGGGATCACCACATTCGCACCAGGCTTCCGTGTACCAGATGATGCCCTCGAACGCGTCGGCGCAGGGATCACCACATTCGCAACAGGCTTCACCAAACAGAGGCTTCCCTGAACGCGGACAAAGCCTCGATGCCCAGCGCAACCCATCGGTCCGCAGTCGAAGTCCTGGTAATAATCTCGGGAACGCCCAGCGAAGCCTGTCAATCCGCAATCGGAGTCCAGGTCACAACTTGGTAAACGCCCAGCGAAGCCCATCGGTTCGCAGTCCGAGTCCTGGCCACGCACTGGTGAACGTGCAGCGGAGCCCCTCAATCCGTAACCCGCATGCGGCAGATCAGAATGTGAACGCCGATAATGGGCCGCAGAGGCATTTGATGGACATGTCGCCGCTTCGGCCGGTTGCCAGTTACGGAAACAACAACCAGCCGTCCCATCCGAACTATGGAAAGGACAACAACCTGCCGCCACAGCAGACGAGTCACGGAAATAACCACTTACCGCCGCATGCAAATTATGCAAATAGCAACTTACCGCCGCAACAGGCGAATCACGGAATTACCAACTTACCGCCGCATGCAAATTATGGAAATTACAATCCATTTGCGGATTCTCGCGCCCCAAGTCGGCAGGCACCAAGGTCAAGGTCGCCCATGCCCCCGCCGCAGGTGATAACACCGCCATGGGGCCCACCCATCCGGACCGCGGCCTCGATGGTCCCCCGTGTCGGCAGCCCGGCGAGGGGTATGCCTGTGGTTCACGGCAACACCTACAACATCACCAACAACAACCAGTTCAACCCCGCTCCGCACCCCGCTTACAACCATACTACTGAGACGAACACACCGTATAACAACCCTCGCTCCCACCCCATCGATATCCCGCCCTCGGCCCTAGTCACCCTCTCCCGCTCCAACACCCACACCGGCCTGCGCAGGAACAACACCACAAACACAATCACCTCCACCCTCGCCCGCCCAATCCACCCAGGATCTCAAAACGATCCACGACCCAACCTTATGCGCTCAGCAACCGTAACAGTCCGCAGAGCAGCGTACATGGAGCTCCCGCGCGCGGCTCCGCAACGGACGCAGCAGCAACCCCCGCTGGTACTTCCGCCACGGACACATTCGGCCACGCAGCAGGCTCCGCTGGTGCTTCCGCCACGCACGCATTCGGCCGCGGTGTCGTCGTTGGTGTCGTGGTCGCAGCATCCGAGGCAGACTTTGGATCGGATTTATGATGCTTATGATGTTTGATTGGGGTGGGTGATGGGGGGTGAATTGAGATTGGACGAGGCGTAGGAAACTGAGTTGGGTCCCTAACCTATGCTCAAAGCGGCGTGAGTGAGTTGCGGCGTTGTGGCGGATTTTTTTCTTGGACATGCGATATACCTCCCCATGGGGACCTCTTATGGCTTGATAGTTGATAGTGAGACTTTTGGGTTAATAGTTTTGAGTTTACGAAATGTACATGTGTATGAAGTTTTGAAAGGCGGTGCATCAATCACGTGCAAAATCAGGGAAAACGGCAGGCATCATAGTGATTGCGGAAATGATGTTGGGTTCGCATGCTGCGGTCTGTACACCCAACCCGACTCGTGTTGTGAGGCAGGTGTGGCCCAACTTTCTGCACCGTCTTTCTGTGCTCCAAGCTGCTGCTGCTGCTCCGTTTCCCTCCCCGGCACCGCATTCAACCTCTTGAAATATTCCACCGTTTCCTCAATGCCCTGCTTCACCGAAAACCTCGGTTCCCATCCCAACCACTCCTTGGCGCGTGAAATATCCGGCCGTCTCCGCTGCGGGTCATCCACCGTACTCGGCAGCCTAACGACCTCCACACCGGGGTTGACCGTATTCCGTATAATATCCGCGAAATCCGCAATGGTGTACTCATCCGGGTTTCCCAAGTTGACCGGCTCACTCGCCTCCTCGCAATTCATGAGCATGATCAGTCCGTCGACGAGGTCGTGCACGTACTGGAACGATCGGGTCTGGTCGCCGTCGCCGTAGACGGTGAGGTTCTGGCCGCGAAGGGCTTGGAGGATGAAGTTGGAGACGACGCGGCCGTCGTTTTCGTTCATGCGCGGGCCGAAGGTGTTGAAGATGCGGGCGACGCGGACCGAGAGCTGTTCTTGGTGGACGTAGGCGTAGGCGAGGGATTCGGCGACCCGTTTGCCTTCGTCGTAGCAGGCGCGGGGGCCGATGGGGTTCACGTTGCCCCAATACGTCTCTTTCTGGGGATGCTCCATTGGGTCCCCGTATACCTCCGAGGTGGATGTGAGGAGAAATCTTGCTTTATTGCGCTTGGCGAGTCCCAGCATGTTCATGGTTCCCATGATACTGGTTTTGAGGGTTTTGATGGGATTGTACTGGTAGTGCGGTGGCGATGCAGGGCACGCTAGATGGTATATTTGGTCGACCTCGATCATAAACCGATCTGTCACGTCATGCCGAACCAGCTCGAAATTGGGGTGCCCAAACCAATGCTGTATGTTCCTTTTCCGTCCCGTGTAGAAGTTGTCCAGGACAGTGACCTCATGACCCATCAGCATCAACCGGTCAACCAAATGCGATCCAACAAAGCCAGCGCCACCAGTGACGAGAATACGCTTCTTATCCGGTTGAGCGAGATTCCGCACTGGTGGGTAATCGCGTGCCGTGCTGTAGGTGATGGTCTCTAACGCGTTCTGATCGCCCGACGCGTCGTATTGAAGGTAGAGGTTGCGCAACGTCTCGAGAGGCATCGACGTGCCATAGCTGACACTTCCTACTGTATCGACGTGACCTTTCAGGGTCCGGTCATGTCCGAGCGTGCTGGATGTTGCATGGGTCGTCCGCTTCGAGTTTGGACTTGTCTGGGAAAGGGAAATTCGATCGTCAACCATCAATCACCCACAAACAATGCCCTGCTCGCTCCGCTCGCGACAAGGATGTTGGGCTACACTACATGAATGAGGAGAGTATTGCGCCTGTGGTGCAATGAGGTGCTCGCCGAGAGGCTCGCTAAGAAGTGTGGGAGGAAGTATTGCGCCTTTGGCGCAGTGTGGCTGGCTCCGCTCGGTCCCCCATGCCTCGCCTGCGCCAAATATCCCTGCGCCTCGCTGTTTGCTCGTCGCAGTACAACGCACTCGCTCCCTCCCTGCGCTCGCGTCCGGTGACACCCCCGCTTAGCTGCCGCAGAACAACGCAAAATCGCTCGCTTCGCTGGCGTACGCGCACCTTGTTACTAGTAGCAACCTTGTCATCAGAGAGCCCATGTTTTCCGGTCAAGTGCCTCTGCAAGCCTTTCGTCCCCGACTGCCTCCCCAAATATTTGTAAGAGTTCCCACATATTCCGTGTTCTGTTTGGACCTGGCAGATAACCTGATCTTCCGTTCGGACGAAGTATTTCCAGACCCAGCTGACGCGTGCGCCGAGACTGTTGCTGCTTGTTCCGCGAGGGCGAGTTGCAGTCTGTTGCAAGTAGTCTGGTAGATGAGCGGCTGCTTCTTCGTCGCCGTCCATGTTGGGGTGGTTGGGGTGTGGTGGGAAACTGGGCTGCGAAGTGACATGCATGACCCGCAGCAAACCCGCCGACCCGCCCCGCGCTCGTCCGAGTCGCGTGCGATTCTGACTCCTAACCCTAACCCCTTCCCTCCCAAGAGAATGCGCACCGACGGGATACCTATCTATTTCCCTTAATGCCTTGAAGAGAGATTAAGGGCGGTCGAGGCGGTCGGAGGTGGGGGTAGACGGCTGTGGCCAAATTTTAGTAGATCCTGCGGGGAGGCGTAGTCGAGTTCCATTGTTGCAAGTATCTAATGGGGAGTAGGGGGTGCTGGAAATTTGCTTGAGTCCCGTGATGCGACAGCCTACATGTACTGTACAGAGGCTTGTGTCTAGCAGTGCAGCAATCTCGCAGAATGAAATCGAAAATCTGTCTACAAAAGTTTCAATGTCTTCGAAAAATGCATACCCCCTGGAGAATATAGAATGGAAGTCTCCCAGCTTACGCTAGCGTCCGAGGACCGAAAAGCTTTGCGGAACGTTTCAAGCATAACCTTAAACTGCCCACTTCCCTGCACCTGAACCATGGATAGGAAACGAACGGACCCTCGGCTTCCGGCTCCATGATGGGCTCTCTTTGGAATAAGGTTGCGTATGTTATGAATGCCGTCAACAGTGTGTCAAGTTTAATAGATCCTTTCGGACATCTCATCGATTGCCAAATAGTGCGCGATAAGGGCAATGGATGACAGGTGCGGAGTATGGCTGGTGCGACGGTGAAGTCACGCGCCGCAATTGGGACGACGGACCCCGCATCCCTCATCTCCTCATCAATCAGTCAGCCATCCCCTTCCTCGCAACTTTGATAAGAACGGGCGTCGATTTCTTTAACCTTCGCTGAACGTTCCTCCGTCGTCCTTATCTCTGTTGGCTCAGCTCAGGGCGGCAAGCTGAAAGTGAAAGGCGAGTGGGTGGCACAAGGGCCCCGACTCCGAGGCCCTCGCACCAAGAAGCCATATCACTGTCCCATCGCCACATGCAGATTGATTAGGAACGCAGTTTGCAAGGGACGCCCTGTTTGATTAGGCGTTTCTATTCATGGGAACCCTGTACGCCGCCCTTCTTGTCTTATCTGGCGCGCGTATCCCGTGAACCCTCACTCGCCCACACAGCCAGCTCGCCCGCTACAAAAGCTCAACACCCCCAAACACAGTCCGTCGCAATTTCCTCAACCACTCAGCAGAGAAGCATCGCCGAACGCTTGAACCTACTGTGCAAACCCGCAACACATACCCAAAGAAACACTCTCTGTCAATACCCAAAACCACAGTGAAAGTCATGGCACCCACCACCCAAATCCTCGCTGCCGCCGCAGGCGTCACCAGTCTCGCAGCCGCGTACGTCGCCACCCGCACCAACGCCTCCACCGAGAACAAGCGGGAGCCCGGCACCGTGGGATTCCTAGCACCATCGCTGAACCAGCCGCAGGAGTCCTCCAACCCATTTGGCCTTCACAACGTCAGCATGCGTCGTCGCGTTGCGGCTCCAGCATCTCTTCGTGGGGACAACAACAACAGGTAAATTCGCGCCACCCTCCTATCGACTTCTTGTTTCCACATAGATATTGACCCCTTTCTCACCTCCACAGGCAAACCGCAGAAATGATGGTCCACCTATCCTTCGCCTAAAAGTCCTCTGAACGATGTAACTCCTGCAAAACCTGTACCTTCAATTCATTGCCATCCCGTTATCACCTCGCGCCAAGCCCTTCACGCGCAAAGGTTGCATATCCCTCTTCTTCAAGAACCTCATTACCGAAGTGCTCTCACATCCCATGTACATAGTTTTTTTGATAGTTCGCTTAAAGCGTGGCATTTGTCGTTTTGTTTTTTGAAAACGTTTGTCCATACATACAGTACATCACATACCGAAATGAAAACAGCTGTCCGAAGTCCAAATGCGTTGTTGCTGTTTGTGAGATGAAGACAATTTGTGGGTGGCGACACACGTCACGCTCCAGAAAGCCTTTGTTGCTTGTTCACCGTTTCCACGGTTTTTTTTTTCGTTCGGAAGGGAGAGGCGGAGCACCGGAGGGGGCCATCGGGTATAAAAGCGCAAGCCCCTTGCCATGGAGCCCCCCGCAAGGCTCGCATCCCCGCTGGCACACCCACTTCTACACTTGCAACACTGCAGGCTCATCGTAGCAGTTGACACCATCTCCATCTTCGCGATCTCCCACCCGTAGACTGTTTTACGATGGCGTCCGGCTCCAAGCACCTCCTATTCCGCTCATCCGGCTGCGGTAGCATTTCCGTCGAAGTGCTACTCAAGATGCTCCAAGTGGAATACGATGTCGTAGACATCAACTACAAGGAATTGAAAGGCAACGTCGAAAACGAGTCCATCAAGCGTCTGGCTCAACACAACCCGCTGAAGCAAATACCGACCTTCATCACCAAAGAGGGCGCAGTCCTCACCGAATCCGCCGCCATCCTCCTCCACCTCACCGAAGCTCACCGCCGCGAGACCGAAAAGCTCGGGCTGAGGCCGTTCATCGACCAGGACCCCAAACGCGCCGCCGAGTTCACGAGGTGGATGTTCTTTGCCGCGACGAACATATATGCAGTCATGGTGATGAACGACACTCCCAAACGCTGGGTGGCCGACGACTCGAGCGAGGAGGCGGTGGATGCGTTTCAGACTAAAGTCGACGACCGCATGTACTTTGCGCTCCGGATCCTTAACGACGGTGTTCAGGGGCCGTACATCCTTGGCGACCGGTTGACGATTCTTGATGTGTATGTGGCGATGATCTGCTGCTGGATCAGAAACGGTAGCAAGGAGCGCTTTTCGGAGGAGCTTCCGAAATTGCTGGATGTCATCGCGAAGGTGGAGGAGAACCCGATTGTTAGGGAGGTTTGGCTCGAGAACGAGTTTGTTCCCATTAAGAACTGAGTATGTCGGACCTTCGTAGTCTTTCATCATTGTAGCGGTGCACAATTGTCTTCCTCTAGAGTATACAGTTCCCCTCTTACGGGTTGATGTCTTTCCGCGCTTGTCTTCCTTCAAGCATTGCAAATGTATATATACATCTTTATACCCGTATGTCATTCCTGAACTTTCGGAAACTTCTGTTGTTCGTCCAGACATCGCCTCCACTACATCGCACACGTTACTTTTGTACACTCATCGCTTAGAGGTGAGTAAAGGGCTCTCCCCAATGCGACCTCGCGGTGTATTCGAAGTTGTCGAGAAATGAGATAATTAGGTGCGGCGTGCCCTTCAATTTACATGCGAGTGTGTACAGAGGTTGGGGGTATCGTTCTTAATTTACTTCGTAAACAGGGAGAGACCAGTAGGTGCCCGCCTTCGCGAAGATCCAAAAGCAGGGGCAGCGCCAAGAGCTGGCGTGCCAAAAGCGTTGGGCTGTTGCAGCTGTTGCTGCTGTTGCTGCTGTTGTCCAAATGCTTGTGTTTGTGGCTGGTGTTGTTGGAATGGCTGAGATTGACCGAGCTGCGATTGCATATTTGACGGCCGGAGGGTGGTGGACGCAATCAGTTCCAGTGGCGTTGTATCAGCTACAGTGAGTTTCGGCATGAGTTGAATGTACGCATTCAAAAAATGATCACGAGAGGCACTCATACCATCATTTTGCGTGCCGTTTATCTTCTCAAATCGCCCAGCATCGTTGACTCCGAAGTACTTCTGTCTGTATTCGAGGTACAGCGCCTTTTGCCTACTTATCGCGTCATGAACGGCCGCTATTTTTGAAGCTACGGCAAGGAGACTATCGTCTTGATCCCGCATGATTTCCACGAGCACTACAGAGCGAACGATGCGAGTGAGCGGTTGCCCGGATGGAAACCGGTGTTGGAAGACAATTCTTACCAGCTGGAGAATATGTCTTTTCTTGAGACAGGGCTTTGATGCTCATTTCCAGCTCCTGCAATGATGGTCAGTATCGTCACATAAGCAAAGCGAAAGGTCAAAGACGAACCTGGATCGTATGTCTATATTGCTGCATTCGCTGCTCTAGGGTATCCGCAAAGTCCAAAAAGTAGCTCATGTACGCGTCGTGTTTTGGTGGTGCCGTAGAGTGATGAGATCCGCTTCTGTACCGCTCGATGAATCGCGACACCAAATCACTACTCCGCAGCTCCCGTCCGACCTGTTGTCTAAGTCGTTCGATGGCGAACTTATCCCGTTCTAGCATATTGTTGAGGCCGGCCACTTTCTGCTCGAGCGTCCATCTTCAGTCAGCAGCTCTCATCTTTTCCAACCATGTACTACTACGTACTTGGGACAGTTGCTTCACTTCTGCTGTTATTTCATTTACAAGATCGGAGGTTGTATTCACTGCTACAGACTCGGCTGTTCGTATCTGCTGTTGTATGAAGTTCCTATGCACGCTTTTCAATTATGGTACGCCGACGAGAGTGCAGGGCAAAGACCCACTTACTCGACTTCGTCCACCTGCTTCCTGATATCCTCCGGTATCTCAGAATATTTCGTTTTGAGTGTGACCGGGCCAGCTCTACAAGATTGGAGATCGATCAGCAATGTTCCGAAGCTTCTGAAGAAACTCGAACTTACGGTGTCTGTGGCCGAGGCTGAACAGCCGCCCCAAACGCAGGTTGTCCAGGGGTAGCTGTGGCTGCTGGTTTCGCGGCGCCGAACAGACCACCGCCTGCCGCTGGGTTTGGCGCTCCAAATAACGACGTCCCGCCGGGCGCTGAGGTGGTAGCGGCGGGTGCTCCAAACAGATTCGAAGTGGGAGCGGCGGATGCAGCTGCGGGGGCGCCAAATAGGGAGGGCGCAGGGGCAGCGGAACTAGCGGTTGGAGCGCCAAAAAGGGAGGGAGTTGGGGCAGCGGCGTTGGCTGGGGTTGCGCCGAATAGGGAGGGAGCCGCCGGTTTTGAACCCGCGGGTGAGCCAAAAAGTGGCGTGGTCCCCGGCGCAGATGAGCCGACTGGTGTGCCGAACAGATTAGCATTCGGAGCTGCTCCTGCGGGCGCCCCGAACAGACTCCCGCCGCCCGGAGCTGCCGCTGCAGGTGCGCCGAAGGAAAACCCTCCTGGTTTTGCTCTGGAATGAAGCTATGATCAGCCCGCTGAATGAGACTAGAAGGGTAATAGGCCAAGCGACTCACGCTCCGAACATAGTGAGACGTAGCTATAATGGCAAGGGCCGACCGACTTGAATGCGAAGAACACCGGCTAAAGCCTTCAAAGCTTCTGTATCAGAGACGGTGATCTTCGATCTCCAAAGAGTCCGGCCAGGCGTGGCTGAACTCCCAGTAATTCGGTGTCGCAGCCGTCGTGAGCAGCAGAGGATAGACTGTTGAGCGCTAAACCACTTCCTCCGTATGCCTGTCGAACCGGATGGCGTGGGACCTGCGGATGACCGTCGAGTGAACTGGCAGGTCGCCCAAACTGTGTTTTCGCAGGGGCTGGCAGACGTTGGAAATGACCATGTCCGATCGCCTGGCGTTAGGGTTCAGTTCAGGGTTCAGTTAGGGTTAGCTATGTCTACGCGCGCTCGGAGGACAGTCGTCGTTCGCCGTTTCAATTCCGTTTGACATTGCCCGTTGCCACTGCTATTCCAGCCCACTATACTCTCCACCGACAGCCTCAAGCCTTGGCGCAGTACAATATGGTAGGTATTGGGAGCGAACGGTTCGATCTTGGTTTGGATGTGGTAAGTCTTGAATTGCAGCTAACAAAAGGACTCTGCAGTCCGCCCTGTTCAACTTCCCTTCCTTGCTATTCGTGATACTACTCATCATATGCACGTGCACATATATACGGGGACAGTTCCCATCAATACTGGATCGGAATAAGACAGGTGTGCTAGGATTATTCTGGAAGGCGGCGAGGATCGGTATGTAGTTTTCATGTGGGGAGCATGGATCTATTCATTTCCCCCTCTGACCGCCATACTCTTGCAGGGGAACGATTGAGCCCATACGTTTCGCTGTGTTGCGTATTAATGGCCATCAGATTGATCATCTTTTCGTGAAGGGTTGATCGGGTTTGGAGACCTTTTTGGAGTAGCACTTACAGAGTGCGGTCTCCTACCGTCGGAGGACGTTTGGTATAACTCAGAGCCATGGAGGTTGAAAGATGATATGGTCCCGCCAGGCTAAGTTTGGTATGTTAGACCAAGGTCAAGTTCAGCTTTCGCTGAGGATACCCGCCTTTTTGTCCTTCTCCATTAATTCGGAGGCTCCTGGGATGGCGTGCCGTCGACAGTCTTCCCCATCCAGAGAGACCTCAGGACAGGTTCGCTGCGTCAGACTTTATTCAAATCCCCCGACGGACACGTAGTGCTTCAGAATATCTTATTTAGCTCTAGATCCTACCCAATACATGTACACAAAAAAAACATATATAATATTACAAGGGCCTCACCGCTACCGGTGCCGAGAGCTGTTGATGCCTCCTCCACGCCACTTCTCACTTCAAACCCTTCAGGAACTCATTCATATCCAGATCATCGTACTGGGCTTGATCAGCCAAGTCGCCCAGACCTGCCAGGACATCTTTCGCGCTTGCTTTCTGTCCTGCTGGGCCTTCGATTTTCTTCTTGCCTTTCGTATTCTCGTCGGCCGAAGAAAGAGAGAACAGGTCGAGGATCTGCTCGGTGTCCATGGACTTCAAACCGGCGTTCTCCTGGTTAATGACGGAGGAGGCGATGTTGAGCTTGAACTTTTGCAAGCTACAAGAAGAAATGATGCGGCGAAGGTTAGTAAGGATCCGGCTGCGTTTGAATTTGAAGTGCCATGACATACCCCATAATCTTCTCCTCTAATGTTCCCTTCGTAATCAACCGGTAAACATTCACGACGCGCTTCTGCCCGATTCGATGCGCTCGATCCATAGCCTGGAGGTCCTTCATCGGATTCCAATCATGCTCCACAAAGATGACGGTGTCAGCTCCGGTCAGGGTGAGCCCGAGTCCTCCGACATGCGTTGTCAAGAGCAACACATCGATGGACGCGTCTTCATTGAACTTGCGCACAAGAGAATGACGGGTCGAAGAATCGGTCTGTCCATCCATACGAAGGTACGACACGTTGGGCATGTGCTTCTTGAGGAGGTCGTTCTCAATCATGTCCAGCATCGACCGAACTTGAACGAAGATGAGGGCCCTGTGTGGAGCTGCGACAGGGGTCAGAGCAGCGCTGGCACTGGAAGTTGCAGTTGACGGTGCATCTGCCCCGATGCCACAATCCTGTAGTAGTTGCCTGAACAAAAAATAAGAAATGAGGCGTCAGATATATATATCTCCAAAATCGTGTCGTGTCGAATCCTCTCAGCTTACCCCAATGCCTGTATCTTCGGTGCGTGTTGAAGATCCCTTATGCTGCTTTTCGTGGCGGCCAGGTGTGCTTGAACCTTTCCATACTGCGGATGACTCTCGTTCACAACCAAGGCCGGGTGGTTCACTAGTTTTCGAAGGTACTGCAAAGCTTGGAACACATGGCCAGTCTTCTTTTCCTTCTTCACATTCGGCTCCGAACCGTCGTCGTGCAGAATTGCCTCCGCGCCTTCCTTGGCTTGACTTTTTGCAAAATCCTCATACAGGGTCTTCTGCAAGTCGCTAAGCTCGCAGTAGTAGTCCTGAATGATCTTCGGTGGCAGATCATGCAAGACATCCTCTTTCATGCGTCGCAGAAGGAACGGCAGAACTTGTTTATGGAGCGCCTCCATCGCCAATGCGCCTTGCTCTTGTTCACGAGATGAACTCCTAGCGTCCCGAGACGCCTGAATGGGCTTGCCAAATCGCTCATTGAAGTGGCGTTCTGTGCCGAGGAAGCCCGGCATAAGGAAATCAAACAAGGACCACAGCTCCAAGACATTATTCTGAATGGGGGTGCCAGAAAGAATGACTCGGTGCATCGCCTGAACGCTTTTGGCCGCCTGCGTGATCTTCGTCTTGGGATTTTTGATGATGTGCCCTTCATCGAGGATGCAGTAGTTGAAATGCACAAGTTTCAGCTCGGCGATGTCGTTCCGGAGAATGTCGTAAGACATGATCACCACGTCGTAGGTGTGCAACCGGCGCCGTAAGTCTGCTCTGTCCATAGCAGTGCCTGTATAGATGACAGGTCTCATGAAATCTGCGAAAGTGAGAATTTCATGGTACCAATGACCCGTCAAGGTCGGTGGGCATACGATCAGAGATGGCGAGTGAGCGGAATCAGGTGATCCGGTTTGCTTGAATCGCTCAACACGAGTATGGTGATCCGAGGCGAGAATACATATAGACTGAAGCGTCTTTCCGAGACCCATATCTATTACGAATCAGTGTCAGCAGCTGCAAGATGGATGAGACAAGTTACTCCAAAGACACGTTCGAGCCTACCGTCACAAAGAATCCCGTGCAATCCATAGCGATTCAGGAACGCCAACCAACTGACTCCCTCCTTCTGATATGATCTCAGTTCCGCCTTGATGGGGACATTCAGGTTCATCTCCTCAACCTTCTCAGTCCCGACCAGCTGCCCGATGAACTTCCGCTCTTCGATCTTATGCTTGATCATCTCCTCGTTGAACCCTTCCGGGTCCGGAACACCACTCTCGAGAGGCACCAGCTTGACAAGCTGGGCAAAGACGTTCGTGGACACGAACCGAACTTCTTCGTCGGGATCCGACATCCGGGCAAGCACAGGAATGATCAGGAAGATAATGTAGGGCAGAATGCCGTGGTCCATGCTGCGAACAATCTGATCCACACATTCCGCGGCGCCTTGACGAAAGTGCGCATTGTTAGCGTCACCTAGCAGGGGAATCACTTGCTCAACAACTACGTGCATAGCGGGAACAGTGAGATTCTTGCAGAGTGAAGCCATGCAGCGAGCAGCCAAATGGCGCACCAGGGCACGATTGGATCGGAGACACATCGCTACACCAGTCAACAGCGGAATGAGCTTCGGGTGCAAATCCTGGTGGAGATGCACAGCAAGCCTTTCAAGGAGGTATAACGACTGCACAGTGCTCATCGCGAAATCCTGGTCATCAGCTAATCTTTGGAGGGAACAGGAGGCCGGTGCCGGGGTCGAAAAAGGCAGCAAGTCATCGGACACTATTGCCCACAGCCGCGGCAACATATCGAAGACTCTGGTCCCAAACAGATCGCACATCCCCTTGAACGCGGCGTCCGCCCCGCGCGACTCCACTTTTCTCTTCATGGTCGGTGTTTCCGAGGCGGCCGATGCTGCGTCCGCACCGCTTATGACGTCGGTAACAGAGGTGTCCAGCGCTGGATTAATACTTTTCCGCGCGCCCCTTCCGGCCCCTTTTTTCGTCGAAGCTGGTGCTGCCCCTTTTTTACCCTCATCTGTCGACGTATTTACCTCCAACAGAGTGAGAATGCCGTCCGTTTGCAACCTCACTTCGTCGCCATCAGGGATGTAAGGGTCATTGCACAACGACGTCTTCAGGTTCTTCAACACCTTATCGGTCACCGCCGGCGGTTTGTTCAGCCGAATAGCCAAGTGTATGTACCGAGCCACTTTATGAGCCGTGCGGACTTGAATGTCCTTGTTAACCTCCTCCTTGACACTCGACATCAAGGCTCGGATAACAGGATTGGCTTTAGCTGGTAACCGTCCAAAGCAGACTACGGCAGCGGACATGCTGGATGTAACTTGAATGTCGAGTCTCCTCATTGTCTCCTTAAATGACTCTATTACCGACGCTACTCGCTTGGTCCGATCTTCAATGCTGATTCGAGTCTTCGCTGGGCATTTCGTAGGTGTGAGATGCGGCACAAGCTGGTTAACCACATATTCTGCGATTTGAACGGTGAAGGTATCTCCGAGAGGTGTTGTTGGGCGCTGTCCTTGATGTGAAGGCAGCTCAGGTAGTGGGGGCGGAGGGGCGGTAGGCCCGGAGTCTCCGATGAGGTTGAGGAGTGCGTGACATTCTGAACGGACTTTCTGAAGTGGCGCAACCAGCTCGGTGTACAAAAGCGCTGTTCCCGCATCTGCTTGCGTCAACGAAGTCACCATACTCTCCCACAAGGTGTTTGCCACAGCTAGACTGTCCGCAAAGGACGGCGCCGCCGCGTTTCCGCCGTCAACCTGCATCGCATGCTGCTCCTCCCAATACACTGACCATTCATCCAGCATGACATTGCAGAAAACTCGATGACCAGCCCATGAACTGTTCAAATACGCCGTTATCAGTTCCTTGATGCGAGCTTCAGTATCAGAAGTTGCCGACCCGAGAAGCGTATATATCAAAATGCCGATGGCTGATGCACCCGCTAATCTGCCCCTGATGACGTCGGTGCGAGATACTACGGTCAAATCCTGCAAAGCCATTGCTTTATCGTGAGGAGACACGTTGAATCCATCTATGTGAACCGGCCGGTTTCGTTTATTGCCATCCGTGATGTGCGTCGCAACAGGAGAATAAAGAAACCGAAGGTCTAGCGGAGAGCCCACCGGCGTCATAACCAAGCTGAACCATGCGGACAGAACGGGAAGAACAATCTTTGCCAAATCCTGCGCGGAGGGCTCCATCAGCCTCATGAGTTGCTTCCAGAGCTGGAGTGTGTCCTGCACGATGTCTTCGCGCTCCTCGATGACGAAGTTCTGGAAGACCGAACGCAACAGTTCCACTGTTATCCAGCTCACATCGGCTGCCCGATGGCTAATCTTAACAAAGGTGCTGACTGTACGGAGAACGGCTTGCCGTACGCCCACGATCGCATGTCGAAAGAAAGGATACAAACGGGGAATCAGAGAGCTCAGGGATGTTCGGGCATCGCGTCGCATGTTCTCCATGACATCGGGGTTCATCATGAGCTGTGACAAGAGATCCATAACCGAACCGGTGGCCGAGGTTAAATCGTCCAACTCTTCGAGGCAGTTCCACAACGTCTTGACGATGGAGTCGAAGATGACTTCGACCGGGAGGATAGCGATTAATGCATCGCATATTGGAAGCAGCGCAGATGAGGACACCGCCCGAACATCATCGTCATGATCCTGGAGAGCCTCAATCAGAGCTTTGAACGCCGGTGTACGCCCAGCCTTGCCATCGGATCGCAATATGTTCTCCAAAAGATCCGTTCTGACAGCCATCCAGTACTTGAGCCCGACCAATGCGCCATGCCTCACTTGCCATCCCTTTTCTCGACCGCCTCCAACGCCCATTTCCTGTGAACTCTCTTTGCTGACTTCGAAGAGCTTCAGCAGGCCTTCGTTCACAAGGCGCATGCACAAAGATGGATCACTCCATTGCATCACAACCCCCAACGTTTGAGCTGCTGTCTCGCGGACTGGGGCGACTGCTTGATCACTCCCATAGTCGCCGAAGCGATCCAGCGCCAGCACGCAAAGCAGCCGAATTGAGACATCCTCCAGCCAAGCTCGATGCCGCGATGCGTTGATGTCTTTCGGTTGACCAAGAACTTTCCCAGACCCTGCGCCGTGAGGTTTGAGAACGGCTCGCAAACCTACAGCCGCACCGTGACGAATTTCCCACTTCGGAGAGAACAAATCTAGACACAGCTGCTCGCAGAAGCCTTCAAACGGCCATTCATCCCCCGACTCCTGAATTCCATACTTGTATACCGAGCCCGCCTTTTTCTGCACAACGACTTGTGAGTCGTTTGGCGGTTCCTCGATGGTGGGGGAAAGCCGAAGAGAACCTTCCGTGATGGCAAACGGCTCATCGTTTTCGGTTTTGATCGACAGCGGTACCGCTACTCTCTCGCTAGGACCAGCGCCAGTTGTTGAAATGGAGCTTCGGTGTTTGGTCGCTGATACCTCGACGATCTGCACTTTGGCTGGTTTGTCTTTTCCCATCCTCATCTTGCGCTTCATGCTTGCTCTCTGACGAGCGCTCAGTCCAGCCATACTCGGATCGTCCTCAGTCACACTCATTTGTCGGGACTTCAGAAGCTGCTGAGCAGATTGCTTCGCAACAGGGTTCTGAAGTGATGTCTTCGAGGCAACCACATCGTCATCATCCAATAGATCTTTCAAATGATCACTTCCGAGTCCAAGACGATTCTTCAATTCCTTCTTCTGCAATGCTATTCGCTCTTTGGGATCCAGACCGCCAAAGTCGACGTCGAACTCCTTTCCTGCGCTAGAGAGCAGGGGTGCCCCGTTGTTCACGACGTTCCCGATGTCGAAGGTGTCGAAGGTCAACATCCAGTCGTCCGCACTATCCTCAGCATGACTGGTAGCGCCCACCTCGCCTGGAACCGGCACGGGCGGTTCCCAGCGGGGGACATTCCCTGCGATTGCTTCGATGGCATTCCCTGCAGCTATACGCGTTGCCCACTCTGAACTTCGAAGGTGTACAATGACTCGGCCCAAAAGGTTGTAGAGCTGATCGGGTTGTTGTTTCTGGATCTCCCCTATCTGTTGGGCAGCTGTTGTACGGACGATAGCCGTCGAGCCGGTATCTAGCAAGGAGACCAGTCGTTCAAGCCTATCATGGAGACGTACAGTCAAGTGTTCAGACGATCGCTGCGAGGAATGGTTGCAAGCTGCAGCTGTAATACCTGGTGGCCATTGCCTGATAGGGGCAGGCTCATTCAAAACCGGCTTGAAGGACCGCTGATCTGTGAGAACTTTTACGCAGTAGGGATTCCGTCAAAAATAAAGTTTCTGGGCAAGTTCAGGGGAAAGTTCTCGCCTCTCGCGTTCCCGTCGACCCAACGCGCATTGGCAAATTTCGATTTCAAGGCCCGTCTGTCACGGCATCTTGGAGAAGCCTTGCAAGATGGTCTTCACGACACCAGCGCCGTTCGTCCTGCTGTTGATGCTTTCATCCGCCTACGGTTGCACTGTTCCATGGCCTGCTACTATCAACGTCACATGGGATTATCAGATCGGCGGCTACAAAAATCGGGACGTGGATGTTTATATGCTGGATGGCTTTCTGACCCAGTCAACCCTCATCTCCACTCTGCATGATCAAGGCAAACGGGTATCCTGCTATTTCTCTAGTCAGTACGAGAGCTTTCGGCCTGACGCGGGCAGTTTCCCATCGTCCCTCCTCGGGCATAATCTCGACTCGTGGCCGGGCGAAAGATGGGTGGATATTCGACAGAAGACGGCATTGGAGCCCATTTACAGAAGTCGCCTAACGCGAGCGGTGGATCTGAAGTGCGACGGGGTGGAATGTATGTGCTACCGCCCTGGGACATTGAGCCCGTGGCCGGAAATCATTGGCTAAATCCATTGTTTGCGCTCATCAGGGGATAACATCGATGGTTACATGGACGACAAGAGCGGGTTTCCGGTGACAGTTACCGACGGAGTCAGTTTCATACAGTCCTTGATCACTCTGACGCATGGATATAACATCTCCTTCGGTAAGAATAAAGGTGGTGATTGCTGCTGCCGGTAAGATGGCGTCAACATTGATGTCCCTCCACAGGACTGAAGAACGTGCCGAACCTTGTCGCTCAGTTTGTACAAGCCGCTGATTACTCCATCAACGAAGGTATCAAGCCTTCCTTCGATCAAGCTCCAAAAACCTTACCATGAGACTAATGCGCAAAACCCCAAAAGATTGCGCAAAATACAACGAATGTGGGTCCTACACACCCTTCATCACAGCGGGCAAACCTGCGTTCTCCGTTGAGTACACCGACAACACACAACGGAGCACAAACGCCAAATGCCAAGCGATGGTCAACGCACAGATGACAAGTCCCATCATCCGCGACCGAGGCGTCAAAGCCGACGGTTCCTTTTTGGCCTGCACGAATGCCGCAGGCGTGTGTTCGCCCCCAGCAGGGCCGGGAATGAGCACGGGGCCGACGGGAGGTGGTGATGCGTCCAGCGGTGACACTTTATCGACGCGAGGCAGTCCGTGGCTGGCCGTTAGCTTCTTTCTGTTGATTGTATACGGGATGGCGTAGGACGGTTCTGTGGGAGTGCTATCTATCAGGACAAATGACAAGGGCCTTTCCATTTCCTTTGTCTTCAAGGGTGGAGTCCTGACAGGATGGCCAGCTTGACGGCGGACGCAAAGGGGAATCAGAAGGGAAATGATGCCTCTCGGCTCTCGGCTCTCGGTTCGCGGTATTGATGTCGATAACTTCACGCCGAGCGTTGGCAAGCTATTATTGAGACGGAATCGAGGGACTTCTTCACCTCCCCCACGGCAAGCTGGCACTATGGGCGGCCTTCGCTTGTCGAAGAAGGCACATATCGGCCATGTTACAGCCCTCCAGTTCGTCTCGTCGACCGTCCTGCTCGCAGGTCAAGGGCCTTTCCTGAAAGTATTCGATACTGCCTTGGGACGGAACATCGCCGTCTTTGAAGTTTTCCAGAATGCAAGACTTCACGGCATATGGCTGGCAGGTGTGTGCAACAAGTGGCCCTCGACCATATTCTATAGCTGACGGGTGTACTCTGCAGACGGACAGACGACGGGGAAGGCAAAGACCGCTCGAATTGCATTATGTGGTGGGAAGATATTGAAATTCGGCGTACTCCAGTTCTCATATGACGGCGAGTAAGTCAAGATCACCACCCGAGGGTAATTCAGAAGCACGCAAAGACAAAGGGCTTAGGGTTGCCTGCTTCTTAGTATGCTCGTGTCGTGTTCTCTGGAAGTGGAACAAGAACTTGCCAATCTAAAAGACTGGGTCAAAGATGTTTTCTGGCTATCATCAGAGGTTGGTGAGCTAGGGATGCCAAACTAGGATGGAGAACATGTGCTGACTTCGTTGGCGACCAGCAGGACAGCTCGGCGGCGACGGAGGTAGCACTGGCATTCGCCCATAACTTTGTGCAAGTCTGGAATCTGACGCAAAATCGGACAGTGTTCGAAGTGCAGTGCGAAGAACACTGCATTCTGTAAGGAGATCTCGCTGGGTTGGAGTGTTCGCACGTCCCCGGCATTGACTGGTCGCCCCTTCAGGTATTCGGCCCGCTTTTACCGGACAAGGACTGGAAAGACATACCTTGCCTCTGGGACTGTTTTCAATCAAGTCTTACTTTGGGATATCGACGCTCGTAACGCCAATGGCGAGGGACGTGTACTGAAGAGCTTGGTTGGACACGAGGTAGATGAGTACATGCGTTGTATGCTCAGAAACGCTATAGGATTGTGTCAGCAACTTCAACGCGGTTAGGGATTATAGGGAGTTATCTTCAACATACGCTTTAGCGCAGACGGTGAGAAGCTCGCGACTGCTTCGGATGATCGAACTGTGCGAGTTTGGGACACGGACTTGGACAGCAAGTGCGTACTGACTCTATCAGTCTATTCACTATTGGAATTCCCAAGACTGAACTCCTCTCGCACAGATCGCAGCACGTGTGCCTGTTCGGGCACGCTCATAGGGTTTGGGACTGCAAGGTCGTAGGTCGCTATATTGTGAGCATTGCCGAAGACTCGACATGCCGGGTGTGGGACTGGATGAAAGCCGAATGCATCGCTTGCTGGGAAGGTCACAACGGGAAGAACGTATGGTCGGTAGATATTGATCCGGCAAACAACGTGATCGCGACGGGCGGCGGCGATTCCGGAATCCGCTTGTGGAGTTTGACTGCTCTGGAAAGGAACAAGATAGACTCGGAATCTCAGATGAAATGCGTGTCGGTGCTATCCGGTGATGCAAACCCCAAGTCTCCAATAGAAGTGGTGAAGACCTTTGCGCTGCTGACATTCGAGCACGCATTATCGACCACGGACACGGGGCAGTTTTGGATTCACGATCTTCAGTCGGATAAATCGCCGGACCTTCTGTTTGTTGATCCTGAGTTTGCACGCTACACCGTCATCGCTTCATCTGATTGCGGGAGCCTGGTTGTCGCAGGCGCTTTCGATGGGCAACTGATCGCGATTAGTCCTTTGAAAGCATTTCCGTCTTGCAAATGGGCGTCCCACACCGGAAAGGTCAATTCCGTGCATATATTCCCATCCGGGGAGGATGGAAAATGGTACCTCCTCAGTTTCGCCGAGAAGACAGAGGAGCTGTTCATCTTCGTATTGAAGCTGTCGGACGAAGATGGATCCTGCCTCGTCTCGATGGTTGCGATTGTGACGTTGCCGGATCATTTTTGGCCAATGGGTATTGCATTTTCAGCAAAAGCGAAGGTTCTGATTCTTGGGTCGCGGCTTGGTGCAATAGCTATGTACGACACTCAACCAGTGGCACAAAACAACGTCGCGTCCGACCCCACCGTCCTTGATCCCGTATACGTTCAGCGACGTGTACATGGAAAGGATTCCGTGAGTTCGATCACAATCGACGACAGGGCCTCGGAGAGACGGGATAATGAGCTTATATTTGGAACCGTGGGGCGTGATGGCATGTTCTGCCGCTTCGCTGTGAACAGGACAAAACCCGAATGGGCAGTAGAAAATCTGCACCGGACGAGAATAACCAAAGGATGGCTCGAAAAGCTATACTTTGTGGATGAGATGGCGATCCTGGTCGGCTTTTACAACAAACGTCTGTTCATCTACAACGAAACCAAGAGATACGAGATGTTTTCTGTGGACTGCGGGGGTGGCCACCGACGCTGGGATCTGAAGCTCGAAGATGGGCTACTACAGCGTGCCACATTCGGATTCGTTCGACTGGGGCGAATACAGCTTGTGATCCGTGACCAAGCTGGGGTTGCGGATTTTCGAGACCCGAAACTGCAGGACCATCATTCGGGAATGGAGACTAGGGTTATCCGATTCGTGCCCGGACAGACGGCAAATGACAGCCGTCGATCACTGATATTGACGTCCGGGGAAGACGCCGTGCTACGATTTAGCGAGTTCGACCCATTACGGCGGGATCAGACCATGAAGAGCGTGCTGAATGTCCGAAAGCATATGTCGGTTGTGCGAGGCATCGCTTTTTCCACAGGGCAGACGACCTTGATGTTTACGGCTGGTGCTCGGGAGGAGATGCGATGCTGGCAAGTTGAGACTGACAGTGGGAATCACACCAAATGCATTGAACGAGGGGTTGCCCCTAGCGTGAGCGACATCAACGATATGCGGATTATGGACATAGGAACGACGTCATTGAAGCAATTGGGGCCGACATACACCTTGCTTCATCTGATTGTTGCGGCTTACTCGGACGCAATGGTGCGACTGTGGCTATATGACGAGGCACATTCGAATTTCCATTGCATAGCCGTATCGAAAGCGCACAAGCGCTGCGTGACCAGAGCCAGGATCGTCATTCTTGCGAGAGGAGCGGAAGCTTCGGCCATTGCCGCGACCGGTTGCACGGGTGGCCTTCTTTCTGTTTGGGATTGCACTTCAATCATTGCAGAAGCATGGGAGGGGATACAAAAGGGGACTTGGAAGGGACCTGCGGAACTTGTGAGCATCGTGCATTGTTCTCGGATTCATCAATCCGGCATTAACGCAATGGATGTGAGATGCTCCGTAGGTCAGACATGATTTCTGCCTTCATCTTTCGATATTGCATTGTAACTGAATGGCATCATTGCAGGCGATACATCCGATTTCACAGTCGTCACAGGCGGGGACGATAACTCCATAACAGCCACAAGGTTGACGTTCAATCCTCCGGATCCTTCCGCAAGAAGCCTATCCGTATCTCGGGTCGTCCAGGGAAGCATCATTGCACCTCATTCTTCCGGCGTAACAGGTGAGGCGCAGATATCCCTTTGCCCACTGCCTCTGCTTTGAGCTCACACATGCAACATCCAGGCATCAAGCTACTTTCTGATGACTGTCTGATGTCGACCTCCGTTGATCAAAGATTGAACACATTCCGATTCAGTGCGAATGATACATCTCAAATTGAATTTGCATTGCTGTCAAGTCAGCACATTGATGTCTCGGACATATCAGATATGGACGCTACCGTCAATGGGTAAGCTATGATGCGTGCCATGAAAATTTTCGTAGAAGGTAGTCGACTGACGGTTGCTCATTCATCATAGTAACCGCCTCGAGGTTGCCGTTTCCGGGTTCGGGTTGCAAGTACTTGACCAAGAAGCATCAGAGTTTGCATGAAAAAATACCTCTGCCGTACGCATGAGCATGGAACGCGAATTTCGCATTGCAGCAACCATAGCGGCGGTTCATACAGTTCATTAGAGGTTGTTTCGCGATAGAGGATTGTAGGACAGAAGCATGTTAAGAATCGGGATAGATACACCGGAACGCAGTTTCCATGTTGCCGAACTTGTAGGAAGCGTCCTGCCTGCCAATGGATTTTGCTAGAAAGATTTAGCCCCCTTGGAAGAGGGCTCCCGGAAACGGAACTTTGAGAAAATGCCGGAATTTGCGCCAACTCAGACGCGTCAAAGTGACAGTTTGACAGTTTTTCGAGCGCCTTCTGGCAGTTTCCTCGTATTCCCGTCACTTGTATACGTGCCGGGGGAAGTCCACCTCCCGTTTACCGTTGCATCAGAGGGGGAAAGTTCTCCAATTTTCGCTAGGCCGAAATGGATAGAACAGTTTGACCGAAAATGACGCCCCGTTGGGAAGGTGGCCATGGAAATGTGGAGAGGACTCAGCGACGTAGCTAGATGTGACGTCTGAAGAGCAACGGCGAACCGTAGGCCAACGGCTATAAAAGCCGGGGCCACCCAACGTCCTCTCCCTCCCACCAATTCAGCACTCCAGACCAAAAACGCAAATCTCAAAGCTCTCAAAACAGCTTCCCAACGCTCTTAGCCACACCCACACTCAACTCGCCAAACCAAACCACAAACATGGGCGACCTCGACCGCACCCTCAACCGCGTCCTCAACGACTTCTTCGGCGACTTCCCCGTCTACGTCGCAAACGCTCCCGGAGCTCCAGCCGGCCGCCACCGCGGAGGTCGCGGCGGCGGTCGCGGCACCGGCAAGAGGACTGAAGCTGGGCCTACCGTGGAATGGGTCCCGCATGTCGATGTCCTTGATGCGGGGGACAGCTACATGATCTGTGCTGATCTTCCGGGGGTTACAAAGGAGAATGTTAAGATTGATCTCACTGAAGGTATGTGTTCTCAGCTTGGTGTCGGAGGTGGGAAAGATATCCGGCTTTACTGACGACGTCTTCCCTCTCCCTCTTCATCCAGACTCTACGATGACAATCAGCGGCGAGCGCCCCCAACCCGAGACGTACGAGAAAGCCCAGCCGCTCTCGTGGCTCGAGATGAACTACGGCAAGTTCGAGCGCCACGTACCCCTCCCCATGGGCAAATTCGACTCCAACAAGGTCGAGGCCAAGATGGAGAACGGTGTGCTTCACATCAAGATCGGGAAGGCTGAGCAGGCCCAACCCAAGTCGATTCAGATTGCTTGAGCCAATGTAGGAAAGCGCTCTCTCTGTATCTGTTTGTATATACCATCCTCAGTCGGTCGACCCCGAGTAGGCATACCCTTAATCAGCTAGTCTTCCAATTTTGCATCATGTCGAGAGCCTTTTTCTGTTTCTTGAATGAGAGATTTATCATACTCGCCTACATACATTTGGAACTGATGGCAATGATCAGCGTGTTCGTTGCGGTATGTCGTACCAAACTTTCACCTTTCAAGCCAAAAATTACACATGCAACTGCACAGCTGGGCGCGCTGAGAGTATATTACCGGACGCTTGCCAACGCCAACGTGAGCAAAAGTGAGCGCCAACGCCAGGGTTGCGACCTCGCACTGTGGCAAGATGCAATTGCGAACATCGATTTCTACTTCACAACGGCATCACGCGCCCTAATAACCCAGAGTACGCTATCCTGCGGGACTGCGTAGCATACAAAGCAATGCTTCTGGAAGCCCTGATGCTTTTATCCAGCAACAAACGTATGCGATGATGTGGTGCAGGAATTACGGCGTGACGCAATGGTGAAATCGGTCGGAAAGGCCCGAATGCGTGCACCGGAGACCAAGGTGTGGCGTCGGGGCTCAGGGCAACATCTTTGTCTCCTCATCCCTCACCCACCCGTTGCCTCTCCCGCCGTCCGCTGCCCCGGCTAAGTTAGAGAATGAGTAGGTTGACCGGGGGCGCGGCCCGGCGGGAAGGGGCCGAGGTGAACTTATACTCGTCGGTAAAGATTACTCGGCGTCGAGCTCGAACGCCTCCGAATACAATTTGATGGCATGAACGTACTGCATGGTTGACATTGCCCTGTTGCCAGCGGCCTTCAGGTCCTCAGCGTTCGCCTTGGATGCCTCCGCAGTGGACAACCCTGCAGTCGAAGCACCAGCAGTTGCCTGAGAAGAAGCCTGGTGTTCGAGGCTATTGATGGCTTCAGTGGGGCTACATGCTCGTGTCGGAGAGCGCACCCACGCGATGACGAGACGCGGAGAGATAGGGCGACGCCTGACTCATCACTTTCTGGCTGTGGATTTGAAGATTATCAGCGCGCTGAGCGGTCTTCGAAATCCGCTGCATAACAAAGAGTCCGTCCTTCCGAGACATCCCCCCCCCCCCCCCCCCCTCCTCCAACGAGCTCAGACCGTTTCTGTCCGCCGCACTGCGCTTACCTCGCCTGCCTTACGCTCGTTCAACGCAGGGTCCAGCTTTTCGTCGCACTCCATAGACGCACCTACGACTTCGGAGAACCGCCGACCGGAACAGCGCACAGCATCACGGAGCCCGCCGCCATACCCGGTCACTCGAGGAGCTCCTACTTCGAAGCGTTGAAGCTCTAACCTTTCGGGCTATCCCGACACCTGTATACTTGGCTGAACCAAAGTCGAGTCAGAATGCGGTACCGATCTACCAGGGGAAAGTCCTCCGGCCTGACGTTCGAGGAAGCTGTTTTTGAGGGTCTCGCCGTCGACGGAGGCCTATACATTCCGCATTCCATACCACAAATCCCGGTTGAAGAGATCCTGGGGTGGTCGCCTCTCACGTTCTCTGAGATTGCTGTCAAAATCTTCCGAAATTTCATTGGCGACGATGAGATTCCGGATGCCGATTTGACGGACATTGTTGCTCGTTCCTTTGCCACTTTCTCTACGCCAGAGGTCACGCCGCTCAAAAAGTTGCCAACCCTCGGAGCCGACAACCTCTACATACTCGAACTCTTCCACGGCCCGACATTCGCTTTCAAGGATATCGCGCTGCAGTTTTTGGGAAACCTGTTTGAGTACTTTCTGGAGAGGCGGAACAAGCAAGGGAAGAGCGGATCTCGCGCAGCCATCACGGTGCTGGGTGCGACCAGTGGGGATACAGGAGGAGCTGCCATCTACGGTCTGCGTGGCAAGAAGAACGTCGATGTCTTTATCTTGCATCCGAAGGGTCGCATCTCGCCCGTACAAGAACAGCAGATGACGAGCGTGCTGGATGAAAATGTGCACAACATCGCTCTGGAAGGCACATTTGACGATTGCCAGGACACCGTGAAAGCGGCTTTCTCGGATGAACCTTTCCGCCGCCGCTTCCAGCTTGCCGCCGTCAACTCTATCAACTGGGCACGCATTCTCGCTCAGACGTCATACTACTTCTACTCCTACCTGACATTGCTGAAACAGGTTGGTGCGGGAAGTGCGTCAGCCGGATCCCTCCCGACAATCCAGTACAGCGTTCCCACCGGCAACTTTGGAGACGTCCTGGCCGGATACTACGCTGTCAGGATGGGACTTCCCATCGCCCAGCTCATCGTCGCTACCAACGAAAACGACATCTTGCACCGATTCTTCCAATCGGGCAAGTACGAGAAGCGACACACCGCCAACGGCCACGAAGAGGTCAAACAGACCTTGTCGCCCGCAATGGATATCCTCGTCAGCTCAAACTTCGAGCGTCTCATCTGGTACCTTGCGAAAGGCGACGGGCGCAGCGGACAGGCGAGTGCGAACGAGGAGGAGGAAGAGAAGAAGGCGCAGAAGTCGAGCGAAACAGTGACGCGATGGGTGACGGATCTGAAGGAGAAGGGCGGGTTCGAAGTGCCTAGCGACCTGCTGGCTCGCGCGAGGGAGCTGTTCACCTCCTTCTGCACATCCGACGAACTCACGTCGGACGCTATCCACCGCTACTACCATCACCAGTACGCGAAAGGCGCAACCACCGACCCCGGAACGTCGCCCTACGTTCTGGACCCGCACACCGCCGTCGGTGTCGTGGCAGCCGAACACTTTGCCGCATCTGCCACCTACACCGCCTGTCTCTCGACCGCCAGTCCCGGAAAGTTCCCCGAAGCCATCCTCGCCGCCATCAACGAGCGGCCGCTGCCGGAGACGTCCAAGCAGAACGGGTTTAAGCCCGTGACATATGCGGACATTGCGCCGGCGGGACTCGTGGCTTTGCAGGGGTTGCCGACGAGGTGTTTGGATATCCCGACGGAGGGTGGGAATAAGGCTGTTGCGCTGAAGAGAGTCAGGCAGGCGATTGATAACATCTGTGGAGGGAAGTTCCCTGCCTAAGCATAGGGTCCCGCTTAGAGTATCGTCCTGTGACAATGCACATTATGTACTTCAATAGAGATTTATTGCTAGTAGCAAAGATGCCAGAGAGCTTTCAACCAACATCTCTTCCTGAATCTCATCGCTTTCCCTTCCCATCCATATCTCGTAAAATCACATCAAAAAATGTCCGTGCAGGGCAATAACCTCCGAAGACGAACAAGCTCCAAAAGAAGCATTCGACATCTTCAAGCGAAAGTATCCCGACATCTCCCGTAGAAGAACGCCAGGACCACTCCCGCCGGCCCGCTCCAGTGTTGTGGTCTACTCTTCGCCTGGTTTGACACTCGAGAAACCAACGTGGGGTTATGGACTGGTTGGATGAGTAACATGCCAGGCGGATTTTCATAAAGGGGGGGACGATTTCGGGAGCAGTGATACTGTGGAAAGGGGTGAAGCCGATGGGCTGGACGATGTGAATCGTCATTTCTTTCCAGAGTACAAAGTGCTTCGAGGGATGAGATTCGGTGGGTAGTCGTTGATCTGGGGATAGATTTTGCGAGGACGGCCTGACGATTTCGCAAGAGAAGATCGAGTTGAGAACACGCAAGAGCGAGAAAAATGGGCGTGCACCCTGCATCACGTGACCGGTCGGAGTTGGTTTGGTTTGTCTGTTCGTCGCCGTCATGTCAGCCTGAGCCTGTCAAAAGCGTTCTCTCTCGTCGCTCTGGCATAGGGGGACAGCCGATAACATTCATCTATACGAAAGATACAGGTAAATGTCACAAGTAATAGTCTCCCTCTCTTCTGATGTTATGCGGCCCGTCGCACCGATCTACTGGAATACAGAAGGAGCTGAAGACAAATATTGGGAGGACATAGAGTGTGTTATTACTCCCGCTGACATGAAAGCGCTCCCAGCGCTCATCCCTCCCTTAACGACATCAGTAGCTCTCTAATTCTTTGGTTTCCCGGGAAAGGATGTCGGACACTTGGAGCAATGCGGGGTTGCCGAGATTCCTGAGTGATAAAAAACCGAGGATGTGATTTGCGAGGTTCTGGCCCATTCCAGCTGCCTGCGGGCAAGTAGTACTTACTTGTCCTCATAAGCCCTGTCGAAGCCAAGGCTATGAAAGGGTTAAATCCCCACGAATGCCTCTGGGTCTTGTCCAAGAAATTGTTGTTTCCATAACAAATCTCCTCCCTTCTGTCCTCATTAACACCATCTCTATTTCCTCCTTTTGCCTTCTCCCCACAACAACGCTGATCTCCGATAAATCCATCGCAAATACTCTACCGGTTTGTCATGAGTGACTCGAAGGACGGTGATGCTCACACCATTTCCAAGAGACGATAAGAAAAGCGCCCATGTTGCTAGTATCCCTTTCTCCCTGGCTCCCACTCGGGGGAGCAAACAGGCGTCCCACACTAATGTCGCCTATTTAACCACTTCGCGTTTCTGTTGAGAGAGATGTCGGATGTTCGCGCGAAACCGGTGCCGCACGGCTGGCTGGCGGTAGATGGGGGAGATATGCACCGAGCGAGCTCGGGCTTCGGATCACATCCGTCTCAATCACAACGGGTCGATTACTCGGGCGTGCAACCCGTGAATGGCTGCGATGAGGTGTTAAGTTCGTCTGCCGCCTTTTGATTTCAAACTCGATTAGGTTTAAAGCTCACATGGTGCGTGTCTCTCAAAGAGTGCCACAAGATCATCGCTGCAAAATGCTTACCTGCTATTCATTTCCATCGCCTGCGCCACAGCTTCTCGGGCAAGGTTGTGCCCCTCTTCAAAATGGGAGGCACAGAGCCCGTCGTCCGCAGTAGGTGGGCCTTGTACTGCCCTTTATTACAGACGTTAACCAAGTGATCCTGCCGCTAACCAAGTGATGGGATGGTCCATATCTTCCCCGAGCCTGCTTCACATGTCGATATCGTTCAATACCCCGAGATCTGATGCAAACCGATGGTTTCGAACCATTGCGTCGCCGGTCGGGGTGCGCTGTCCACAGGCAGTGTGAACTGATCGCGGGTGCCCGGCGGCGGAAGCGGGCTGGATTGAATATTGGGCGTGATAGCTCGAAAGAATGATGTGTAGTGTGATGAATCTCGTCTTTCCTTTCTGTGGTTGAAGGCCTGGATGGGGTGACTCATTAGCTACATCGCTGCACCGGAGTGGTAGGGCGAATGTGTATGCCATGAAGCAGTCGAAAATCTCCACATCCCAGTTGGATCCAGCCCGATTGTTGACAAGCTGTCAAAATGGGGGGGGGGGGGTGGCGATGACAAACAGCCACTCGCCACCCGCCATGCGCGACTTGATGAGATATGACTTGATGTGGGGGAGCCCTCTGAGGCCTTGGCAGTGGTGACGTTTCCAGCCTCACAAAACCCAAGTTTTGGCCCATAACCTCTTTCCAAATCTCCCTTCCTTTGTGGCTTCCCACTCGTTTTGGAAGCGTATATCAGAAGTAACACACCTAGCCTCATCTCTATTCGTCTCTCAAACGTACTTGTCACTCAGATAGTCCCCTTTTTGCTCATCCATTCCGGGCCATCATCTCCTCGGCGTAGTCACCATGGCTAAGTATCATGCCGCCCTCTTGGCCCTTGTGGCTCTCATCGGTGAGTTCCCCCTGCACATCCCTCAACTCCCTGAACCGTCCACTCACGCTCACTTCCCGTTCCGCAGCCTGTGTCCTCGCAACCCCCGTCCCAGGCGTCCACGACGTCCACCAAACAACCGTCGATCTCTACGGTGTCGAACACGAGTCTCAGTTTGGCCGTTTTGTAGTTCGTGTAGAGAGGGTTGACCAGATTGTTGATCTGGACGAGAAGAACGAGGCCGCTTTGGCCGCTGACGGCTCCCTCGACAAGATCGATGGGACCCTCATTGCAACCCGCATCTCTGATGTTGTCGTCATGTTTGATGTGACTCCTAAAGCTGAGGTTTTGATTAACGGCAAGCCGGTGCCCATGGGCATGTCCAATTTGCAGGTAAGCCGCGAGCGAAGTGATAACCACCATGGTTGAAGATATTTGCCAATTCCTTGATGATTTATGTCAACCAAATGGTCTTACTGATTTTCCCTGATTTTTCCACAGGTCGAGGCCGAGGTCATCACGGGCGTCACAGCCGCCGGCCAAAAGATGATGAACGCCGAGCAATTGAAGGATGCGTTCGAGACCGGCATTGTGGGGCTCAAGGTCTTTGTCCAGGGCCAGACTTCCGAGGACGGTGTGACTCGCCTCACTATTGCCGAAGCTGTGAACGAGGTCAACGGGAAGGAAGTCATCCAGCAAAATGTCATGGAACATGTTGTTGAGGTCCACCCGGATGGCACTATCGTAGCCAAGAAGCCTTGCGCTGCCTCGAAGGAGACTATTGCTGCCATGGGTATGATTGTCCGCTTTCCCTCGATAAGTTCACGCAATGCATATGTCCGACCTCACATACTCCTCAAACTTCACCAGGCAAACACCACGGCAAAAAGGCATGCATGGGTCGCAAGATCTCCGCCTGGTTCCAGGGCCTCCACTACATCACCAAACTCTTGCTCGCCGCCCTCCTCGGCGTCCTCCTCGGCGTCGTCGCCGCAGCGTTCATGCGGATTGTCACCCTCTTCCTCGCCGGACCCTCGAACGCCGGTTACGTCGCTGTTGGGGAGCAGGTGCCCGTTTTGGTTGCTGTTACTATGGACGCGGATGAGAAGTTGCCGGCTTATGCTGCGGATGGGTACATTGTGGTTGAGGGGAAGGAAAAGGAGGTTGTTGAGCAGCAGCAGCAGTAGATTGTTTGATCACTGTCCCTCTTTCGTACCTGATGGCCCTAGCCTCATTCGTCGCTCTTGGTTGAACGTGTATGAATCTTTTTTGAATTCTCATGTGTTTACGCTTTTGCGTTGCGAATGAGCTGTGGGTTGCTAGCTCTCTACTCTTTACACTTTTGATGTTACTGAATACTGTATATAGTCGTCCGAAAATCAACTCATAAGCGATATCCGCAAATTTCGAATCCACCCGTCTTTCCGATATGTGATTGCAGAAAACTCCATACGTTCATTACAATCGCCGGTCGTCGTCGGGGAAACGTAGGGATGGAGAAAGAATATACAGTACACCGACACATAGTCCAAGGGATATCAAACTACCTAGGGCCTACAAGAAATTACATAACCCTCTCAAAAAACAGCATCTACACGTAAAAAAGAAAAAGACAGCAGTCCTACGCCCTACACTCCGAACGAAAAAGTCATCCTCCACTACACTACACTACACGCACCCTCAAAGCCTGATCCCCACAGCCTTCAACGCATCCACCGCCCTCAAACACCTCCCCACCAAATTCCGTGCACACACCGCAACTCCATCACAATCCGCCACCTCACTTGCCTTGACGCGCCTCGTCACAGCCCCCAGCTGCACCGCCAGCACCTCCACCTGCTCCAAATCCGTCGTGAGCTGCTTGCGTAGGACGGGGTCGGTGCACGCGTCCGCTGGGGGGCGGTAGGAGACGCACAGTTCGCGGGCGAGGTGGGTGAGGTGTTCGGCGGTGGTTATGTATGCGGATTTGAGATGGGTGGGGGTGGTGGTGCGGGATTGGAGGGAGAGGAGGGTTGTGGAGGCGGTTTGGAAGTGCGTGGAGACGGCGGTTAGGTTGGTTATGTCGACGCGGGGGCGGCGCGGGGGGCGCGGAGTGGGTTGGGGTGATGGGTTTGATGCGGTGTTGTTGGACTCTTTCACATGCGCTTCTTGGTTGTTGTTTGCCGTATCAAGGGCCGCTTGGACGGTTGTAGGACTTTCGATCGAGTCGCCGTCAGATACGGCTATTGCTGATAAGGGTATGGGGTGGTGACAGTCGATGATTGTTGCAGTTTTCTCGTCTTCCGTCATGAAGATGCTATGTTCAGCGCCTTCTGCAATGGGGAGTATCTGTGAGATAACGATGGCGCTGGCCGGTGGCTGCACCGCCGGAGACTCGGGTACGCCCATCTGTCCTTCCGCTGTATCGACGTCTCGTACGCTGCCAGCAGGTGTTGGCCCTTCTACTACCGTGATTTTCGCGTCTTCCACGACAGGGAGTATGATGGACATGGGGATCGAGACTGCTGCTCCTTCGATATGAACATCGCACGCCGACACCGCTGATTCGGAACCTTTGACATCAGCATAGGGAAGGTGCTCGGTTGATGGTGATTGGGCTGGGGATGGAAGAAGCGACTTGCCCTCTTCCTCTTTCAAAACGGACACGGAAGCCTGAGCATCAGGTGTAAGGACTCGTGGGCCATGCAAGTCCGTACCCGCCGGCTCAGCTGCTGCTGCGACATGTCCGGCAGCGCTAAGCTCCGCATCAGCAGCCACCGTAAAAGGCACGTCGGCGACAGATCTCGGCCGACTCTTCGACCCCCTAGGCGACGACGACACCGGACTTCTCAACCCGCTATCCACTTTCGCCGCCACTGACGTGAACGACCTGCTTCGCGTCCGCGTCACCGGAGGTGTGACGCTCACATCAAACGCGCCAGCTCTTTTCTGCGGCGACCGCGCAGTGACTACCAACTTCAACTGCTGCTGCCTCTCCGCCTGAATCGTCTGCACCTTTGCCTTGGCTTCGGCTATGCGTTCCGCGCGGAGTTTGCATGCATCGCAGGTGGAGCGATGTCTGTGGCGCGAGAAAGGGATTTCGTCGCGGTTGGGGTCGGTCATGACGGTGACGCTAGGGGGAGGAGTGAGGGGTGCGAGGGAGAGGTTGGCGGTGGCTGGCAGGCTTCGACGGACTCTTGCGCGGGGGGTTGTGGTGGCTAGTGGCGAGGTGCGGAATGTGCTGGTGCTAGTGCTTGACAGCGGGCCGGCGGTCGTCATCTTGGGGAGGAGGGGAAGGGCGATGTTGGAGCGGTAAGACTGCCTCGTCTGCTGCGACGGCCGACTAGTGCTCTCAGTGCCCTGCTATAATATGACTGCTGGACGAGTGAGCGAGAGTAACGCACGAAGGGGCTGCCTATTGAAGCGATGATGCAAGGGAAAAGGACACCGTTTTGACAGGGAAAGGGAAAGGCCGGTGTCCGAATCTTGTGATGAAACCAGTGACGGCATGCTCCACTCGCTGCGCCACGCCTGCGCCACCCCGCGCCCTCCGACCTCCCGCCCCCTAGTCAGTGAGTCACTCTCATTCGCGTGTCTTCTCCAAAAGGGGTTGGGACGTTGAACGAACTGCAGGCGGGACAAGCTGGATACGTATTACTGTACGGAAACAGGCTGCACCGTGGTTTGAAGGACCTGCTTGAGTGTTTAGCGTTTGGCCTCTCAGACTGCAGCGTTTTTCATTGCCGCCTGGGGGACAGAGAGCCCCGTCTTCCTTGCCCCCTTCCTAATGCTCCATCGCCTCAACCCCCGCACAATGTCCCAACTCCGACTCGGTCTCCGCGGCTTTCCACGCCATCCGGCATTCTCCGCCGCCGGTGGTGGCGCCGGTGCCCTAATTCTTGGCCACTCTCCCTTCCTACGGACGCTGTCGACGGGCCCAACTGGCGATGCCGGTGATGGAACGGTGGGGATGGTGACGTCGCTGGTGCAGAGCTTTGCGGCGAAAGTGGGGATTGAGGGCAACCAGTTTGCTACTGGAGGTACTATTGGGATATTGGGAGCCGCTCTGGAGAGAGTATTGGGTGCTCAATGCTTATGCGAAGTGAACACGTCCTCTCAGGATTGACGCTGGCGGTCGTTGGAGCGGCTGTTGGGAGCTTTAGCGTGCTGTGGCGTTACTTCCTGGAGTTTCTGCAAAAGCAGTTGATTGTAGGTGTCACACCTTCGCCCGTTGCTCACCTCGTCCCTCGCGTCGCTCACTAAAGTGTTCTGGCTGAAGGTCAGCGCGGAATTTGAGAGCAGGTTGGCTCATCTAGCGTGACAGATTGTAGTTCGAGATGGATTGCACCCATGCTGATGGCTGTCGTGCTTATATTTCCCTGGATGAACAGGGATGAGGCTTACAGGTGAGGAATGGGTTCGTCGCAACTACGTGGACAGTGAAAGAGTGCTGACATCTAGTGAATTGCAGCTGGCTGATGTCCTACCTTGCCGACCATCCCATGTCGAAGAGGTACCGCGAGGAAGCAAACTGGCGTTTGCGGAACAGATTTTGAACTTTAACATCGCTTCTTGCTGCCAGAACGACACGATTCAGCGTCACGACATCCATCCGCCCGGGACAGAAAACGGAAGCGGACGAGGCTGACGCCAACGTCGGCCTGCCACGTGTCTACTTCCTTCCCTCACCAGGTATGACCCATTGCGCACGCCACCACTCCCCTCATCAATCACATCATCCAACTTCTCCCCTTCACACATCACAGGAACCCACATCTTCACCTTCCAAAACCGCCTCCTCTGGCTCTCCCGCGAGCGCCCAAAATCCGGTCCCGCCAGCACCACCTCCTCCCCTCTCCCTGAACGCCTCACCATTAACTCCCTAGGCCGCAACCGCGCCATCCTCGAATCCCTCGTGCACGAAGCCCGCCGGCTCTGGGTCGAGAAGGACCGTTGCAGGACCGTGATCTACTCCGCGGATCAGTACGGCAGCTGGCGCCGGATCAGGTCTCGCCCGATCCGACCCTTGAGCACGATTGTGCTGGATGAGGGCGTCAAAGAGGGCGTTGTGAGGGATGTGAGGGAGTTTTTGGGGAGTGAGAAGTGGTATGCGGATAGGGGGATCCCGTATCGGAGGGGGTATATGTTTTATGGATCGCCTGGGACGGGGAAGACGAGTTTTGTTACTGGTGAGGGACGCCTTGTCGGGTTTTCGCTCCGGCTTGATATGCAGGGAGATATTGATTTCGAACTCTTTTCTTCAGCCCTTGCGGGAGAGCTCAAGCTCAATATCTACGTAATTAGCCTAGCCAATCGCGGACTAACCGATGAGAGTAAGTGGTTTCAGCTCAAAGTGAAGAATGTCGACCGCCCGAGATCGTAAATCGGCTAACCTACTCCCATACATCCCCACCAGCCCTAACAGAACTAATGGTCGACACGCCCCCCCGCTGCATCCTCCTCCTCGAAGACATCGACGCCGCCTTCATCTCCCGCACGCCCTCCCTCTCCCCCTCCCCCACGCCAACCCCAACAACAACACCAACAAACGTAACCTTCTCCGGCCTCCTCAACGCCATCGATGGCGTAGCCGCCCAGGAAGGCCGATTATTGTGCATGACCACCAACCACCTCGAGAAACTGGACCCGGCTCTGATCAGACCTGGACGGGTGGATGTGAGGGTGTGGCTGGATCTGGCGACGCGGTTTCAGATCAGGGAGTTGTTTGTGCAGTTTTTTCCGCATGTGGTTGGGAAAGAGGGTGAGGGAGTTTGTGATAGTGAGGGGGATGTGGTAGATACAAAGACGTTGAGGAGGTTAGCGGAGGAGTTTGCTGACGCGGTGCCTGAACGGACGTTGAGTATTGCGCAGGTGCAGGGGTTTTTGATGCGGTGGAAGAAGCGGCCGGTTGAGGCGGTTAGGCATTCGGGGGAGTTGGTTGGGGGGAGGGGGAGTGAGGGGCAGGGGCAGGGGCAGGAGAAGGAGGGAGAGTAGGGCGGTGGAGTAGAACATCGGCGTATTTGGTATTGGCTGTACTGTACTGAAAGAACGAGGCTCCTGTAGGCTGTGAGGCTTTGCGTGTCACAGTTACTGCGCGTACATTAGGGGGTCGTCCTGCGCGGGATGGGACGGGATTTGCTGGTCCCGCGTCCTGTCCCGCAGGACGCGGGACGTCCCGCAGGATATCCCGGTCCCGCTCAAGCACACCCAAACACGAGTCTTTAGTAACTGGTAACATGAAAACGAGACTAGCCAGCAGGAATTAGACTCTAAGACCGTCTGCACGCCCCAGATAGGTACTCTTCTAGATGCCTGTGCAGTGCCAACCTCATCTGGGTCAAATCAGAGTTAAAAAGTCTACCACGGTAAAACAATTAGTAAAACAATTAGTAACTGATAACATGAAAACGAGACTAGCCAGCAGGAATTAGACTCTAAGACCGTCTGCACGCCCGAGATAGGTACTCTTCTAGATGCCTGTGGAGTGCCAACCTCAACAGGGTCAACTGCCCATAGGGTTAGGGTAGGGTTAGGTTAGGGGGGCTTGCTGCTTCCACCATGTCGAAATGCTGTTGAAATGCTGTCAAGGCAGTCCCGCGGGATTCCCGCAGGATTTTTGCGGCGGTCCTGCATCCCGTCCCGTGCAGGATGGGACGGGACGGGACGCGGGATATCCCACTGCGGGACGACCCCCTAGCGTACATACATACATATTTGGGCTGTTGAATCACTACTGCCAGCTCTGGACATCGGAAAGCCGCAGACAATACCTCGCGGACTTTGCCATTAGAGCTGCAACCAAACCTACATAGTTCTATCGAAAACCTCCCTCTCCTACCTCTCGGTTGACCGCCACAACAATGACCTCCCACCAAGCAGCCATCACAGAACTCCTCCAAGCCCTCGGCCCCAAAATTACCCTCGACGCCAAATCCCTCACCCGCCATTCCAAGGACAACAGCTACCACACCCCTTACCCGCCGCTCGCCATCGCCCACCCCGAATCCGAAGCCGACATCTCCACCATCCTCTCCATCTGCAACACCCACCGCCTCCCCGTCGTCCCCTATGCCGCCGGGTCATCACTTGAGGGCCACGTCATCCCCGAAAAGGGTGTCAAACCGGTGATTATAGACATCTCGAAAATGGATTCGGTCATCGCAGTACACAAGGACGATCTAGCGGTGACAGTTGAGCCCGGCGTCGGGTGGATGGAACTCAATGCCGAGTTACGGGACCTCGGGCTCTTCTTCCCCCCCGACCCGGGCGCCGCGGCGTGTATCGGGGGGATGTGCGGGACGAACTGTTCGGGAACGCTGGCGTGGAAGTACGGGACGATGAAGGATAACGTGCTTGGGTTGCGGGTCGTGCTTGCGGATGGGAGGGTGATTACGACGCGCAAGAGGGTTACCAAGTCGAGTGCGGGGTATGATTTGACGAGACTGTTGGTGGGGTCGGAGGGGACGTTGGGGGTTGTGAGTCGGGCGATCTTGCGGTTGAGGAGGATACCGAGGTGTACGAGCGTGGCGATGGTGCAGTTCCCGACCCTGGATCTCGCGTGTGTGTATGTGCAGAAACTGGTGCTGGAAGGCCCGCCGACGTTGAACCGGATCGAGCTTATGGACGCGTTGTGTATCCGGAGCGTGAATATCGCGAACGACGAAGCGTGGCCGGAGGTGACGACGCTCTTACTCGAGTTTGCGGGGCCGACGATGGAGCAGCTCGCCAACGACTCGCGGCAATGCGAGACATTGTCGAGCACGCACGGGGTATCCGCGTACAGATTCGGCGGGTATTCAGCGAGGGAGAGCGAGAAACTGTGGTCGATACGCAAGAAAGCGTTTTTCGCGAGTAAAGCGTTACGTCCCGATTTACCCAACTGCGCGATATTGACCACCGACGTTGCTGTTCCCATTTCTCAACTGCAGACGATGCTGCACCATACCCATGCGCTTATCGCACAATACGGTCTCACCTCGCCTATAGTCGCGCACGCGGGTGACGGGAACTTTCACTGCTTTGTGCTCTTTGACCCGTCTAACCATGAAGAATCCGGACGCGTGGAGGGGTTTCGCGATGGATTGATCAAGAAGGCTTTGGAGCTGGATGGGACGTGTACGGGCGAGCATGGGATTGGGAAGGGGAAGCGGGAGGCGTTGGTTATGGAGCTTGGGGAGGATGCGGTGGAGGTTATGAGGAGCATTAAGAGGGCGTTGGATCCGCATGGGATTATGAATCCTGGGAAGGTGTTTAGGTTGGAGGAGGGGTGTAAAGCCAAGCTGTGAGGGAATGGGACGGTCTATGGAGAGATTCTTGGAAGGGGGGGAGGAAGGCAAGATCGGCGTAGCTTTTTTACATGTACACTAGACACCACTGTTCATCTGAAGCATTGCATCTGCAAGCAGCAACACGGCAATCGGAAAATGCTCACTATATCAGGCTGTCGAAAATGATCAAAACATTGTACCCTTTAATTAAGTTTCAAGAATTGAGGTTACCAAGAACCAATTCAGCGGACCATACGTGATCGCCGATGATTAATCAAGTTGGACGCCACTTCGCACACAATGGGATGATTATCAGCCGCACCCTCGTGGATTTCTGATTCAGGGCCCTGGCACGTGGAATATTGAATCCATGAGCGCGCCGCCCGGGAACTTGGTGGGTGCGGTCTCGGAGTGGGGGGCAAGCATGAAGTGTTCGCATTGCAGAGGATGAGCTCATCACAATGCGCCGGTGTTGCGTTCCTGATCCGACGAGTGGCCGGATGAGGCTTCTTTCCCTTCTCATCAGAAATCACAATCCGCTTCTAACTTCCTAGTGAAGGAACGGACGGAGAACGGAGGCGGCCCACAGAGACCCACCAGCGCACACGCACAGCTCCCCCCTCTCACAGCACAACAACACAGGCGTTACAGTACACACACGGAAGACAGAACCACAAACGGCGACACGGGCGCTTGCATATCCCTCCCTCGAAGGACATTCGAAGCTCAGCTCCACCAGTCCACAGCTCACGCCACCAACTGCCCCGTCCATAACCGACGACAGGCAACGACATTTCGACATTCTGGAGATCATTGCACTGCTGTGCCCGGGTCTGTAATTGAGAAGGGTCAACGCACTGTGCGGCTGCGAAATAACTACCGGTCCCACCAAGTCGACAGGCAATTCCTTCCCAATTGGTCCCTACTGGAAGGCCGACGGCACAGGCGCAGAGCAGCGACACTAATTACTAGTCAGAACAATATTCTGGGCTTCAGACTTGATGACGACGGAGTGTTCCTGATAAGATCTATCCGAATATTGTGCCTAGCGGCGTCTGGTTGGCACCATGGATAGGCCGTACCAGGACTATGCCTCGTATGCACATAATGGCGGGCATGCCCCGCCACCGCCGAACGGTATGCCCCAACCCAACGGAGTCCCACAAGACTATAGGTACCCGCAGCGTGCGGCAACTGAGCAAGGGCACCCTGCTTATGGAGGAGGCCGAGGAATGGACGACGGAGGGCACGGTCAGCCAGGCATAGTAGCACCGCGAGAGCCTCAGCGTTATCCGACGGGCCCAGCCCCGTTACCTGTGCGTTATTCCCAATCGCCTTATGGACCTCCTCAACATATGCCACAACATGGTCAACAGCCGTTTTCCCAACCACCCCCACAGCATATGCCGCACGGCGTTACCCATCAGCGCCCATATCCACCTCCAGGATCTGTCTACCGGTTTCCTGCACCACCTCTGAACCAACCGCAACGGCCGTATGTGCATCCCTCGCAAATGGTAATCCCGCAGAGATCCTCGACCCTGCAATCCCGGCCCCCACCTATGTATGCTGCTCCATATGTCATGTCGCCTCAGCAGGAGGAGTACCCCGCTCACCAACGGCCGTCTGAATTTGCGCCACAATACGATCAGAGACTACCGCCCCCGCCGTACCCATACCACCACAACATCCAACAACCACGCCCTCGCATGCAACCACCGCATTACCCACAACAGCAACTCCGACCTCCACCACAACCATTACCTCATTCCCATTCCAGTCAAATCTACCAACCACCACCATACCCTTCCGTTTCACCAACACCTCTTTCGCCGCAACAGCGTTCTACCAGTGCACCTCATCTAGCTCGACAGTTACATCAACGTCAGGCATCCCATCAGCAGATGGGCCAACATCTGCATGCGTCCCAGCCCGCATTGCCACCTCGGCAATCTGTTGAATCACTCAGTGCTTTCCCGCCGGCCGAACCTCGGCTTCCGCAGCGGATGAGTCGAGCATACCCGCCGGCTGCCATTTTCTCCTCATACTCGCAAGGTACCGTATTTTCACAACTGCCAGATTCACAAAACGTTTGCCCGTGCCACCGTTTGATGCTGATAAATTCCGATTTAGGCCTGACTCGCTCTCCTCCAGGGTCCGGGGACTCTGGCTCCAGTCTCGAAGTCACTAGAAATAGCTCTCGGAGAAGCTCCCGTGCGTTGATCGACGACTTTACATACTATCCGGCCATCCTTTCCCAAGTCGCATATGTCTTCCGGAAGCTCGTGCCGACCGCAAGTCGGTACAAGGATTCGCTGGAATATACCGATTGCTTTATTGGGAGGGATGCAGTCGTACGTCAAGTATCGGATTCGCAGTCTATGTAGCACACCTATTGATTATTGTCTCTCTTTCAACAGGATATCCTGTCGACCATCATCAAAAGCAGCGACCGAAATCTATGTCTTTTACTTGGAAGGGCGTTGGACGCTCAGGGATTCTTCCACGACGTCACATACAACCACCGATTACGAGACAGCCCGAACGAACTGTATAAATTCCAGACTGAACAACTGCTGATAGCCGACTCAACCGACGAGAAAGATGCCGGGTCACCAGCAAAGGGCGTCAAGGACGAAACCCTCCCCAACGGCGTATTCACTCTCCTCACCCACTGCTACTCCCCCACATGTTCAGCCGACAAGCTCTGCTACAGCATCGCTTGTCCCGGCCGTCTCGAACAACAAAGCAGACTGCTCAAACAGGCAACGTCACGGTCAAACCTGGAGAGGAGTCCGAGTAGGACGTCGTTTGGGGATCAGGAGAAACAGGCGGAGCTGCTGTGGTCGACCACTGTCCCGCAGGATATTGTGGATGCGGTGTCGAGTGCCGAGCGGAAACGGCAGGAGATCATCTATGAGGCGATCCAGACTGAGAAGGAGTTTGTGGGGGATTTGGAGTTGATTGAGAATGTAGGGACTAGGATTGGATTGGCTATCCCGAGCGATTGAATCCTGACATGTCTTTTACCTTTTTGCAGGTCTTCATTCAACCATTGCGGAAAAAGCTCATCATCCCAGCCGAGAGATTGGAATCATTCATCAGCAGCGTGTTCCTCAACATCTCCGAACTGCACGAAATCAACTCCCAGCTCCTGCAAAAACTCCTAGAACGTCAAAAAGCAAATCACATCGTCGACAAAATCGGCGACATCTTCCTCGCCACCGTCCCGTCCTTCCAAGCCTACGTCCGTTACGGCGCGCAACAAGTCTTTGCCAAACACATTCTCGACCAAGAACGTGCCACCAACCCCGAATTCGCCAAATTCCTCCAAGAATGCGAACGCGACCCGCAGTGCCGAAAACTGCCCATTCATAGTTTCCTCGCCCGCCCAACCACGCGGATTGGTCGATACCCCCTTTTTCTGCAATCGGCTATCAAGGCGGCCGCGGAACACCATCCGGATCGGACTTTGATACCGCAGGCGATTAGGGTTATTAAGGCTGTGTTGATGGATATCAATCAGGAGGCCGGGAGGTCGGAGGATATGTTGAAATTGCAGAGATTGCAGGATTCGTTGATATTTCCGGGGGAGCCTTATGTATGTGACGGGGGGTTTGCAGGGAGATTGTCGTTCGTTGGTGGAATTGCTGACCTCTGTGAATTTTAGGACTTGGGACTCGCGAAACCTGGACGTGCGATCATTCGGGAAGGCACTCTGATGTTGCGGAGGAACGGACATGATCAGGAGATACATCTGTATCTTTTCGATCACGTATTGCTCATGACGAAGACGAAGAAGGGTGGATCTCGGAAGCTTTATAAGCGGGTAAGCATCCGCTTCCTGAGTGAACTGCATCTGCTGAACAAGACGCTGACTGACTTCTTCACATCACAGCCAATACCACTGGAGCTGATAGTTGTAGCCGACACGCAATCCTCAGTGGGCCGACGAGGCTCAATACGGTTCGGATCCTCCAAAAGTTCCCCAGCTGCTTCCATTCTAAACGGAAGCTCCACCCAAAGCTCCCTCCAAAGCTCCCTCCCCAACTCCGTCCATAACTCCGTCCACAGCTCCATCAGCTCCAAATCCTCCCATCACACCACCATCACACCACTTTCCGACGCATCCAAAGGATTCCCTCTCACAATCACGCATCTCGGTCGAGACGGCGGCACCGTCACCTTCCACGCCTCAAACCAAGCCGAACGCCGCCTATGGCGCGAAGCAATCGAATCCCAAAAATCCCTCCTCATGGAATCCAAGCAAAAATTTGAAATCGTCACTTTACTCGACACGTTGTTCCCTTACCACAATCGGGTGAACGCGTCGACGGTTCTTGGGGATAGGTTGATTTTGGGCACGGATGCAGGGTTGTATGTGGGACCGCTGCATTGTGAGGATGGAGCGGGTGAGCAGAGTTTCAAGAAGGTGTTGGATATGGAGAAGATTTCGCAGGTGGATGTGTTGCCGGATCATGATTTGTTGACGTTGTTGGCTGGTGAGTTCTTAAACGTATGGGAGCTGGAGAAAACTCCATGAGACCGTAGCTGACCTTCGTTTGTTCATCACATCAGAAAAATGCCTGTGGTCTTTCCCCCTCTCCATCCTCGACTCCCCCGAATCCGAATCCGGCAAATACTTCCACAAAGGCGAACGCGTCTCCTCCAGCACAAACTTCTTCAAAAGCGGCGTATGCAGTGATCGCACCCTGATCTCGGGCGTCAGGGTCACTGCGCTCAGCTCCATTGTTAAGATCTATGAGCCGATTTCGGGGGAGAGTAAGAAACGCGGGAAGTTGGGGAAGCTGTTTTCGTCCGCGGAGCAGACGGTGAAGACTTTCAAGGTGGGTTGATGAGGGCCTGTTGTCGATGTATTCGGAATCTCGCACTGACATGTTTGTATTTTCGTAGGAATTTTACATCCCAGCCGAAGCTAACTCAATCCACTACCTCCGCACGAAACTCTGCGTCGGCTGCTCAAAAGGGTTCGAGATCGTCGACCTAGACACCCTCATGCCTCAGGGACTGATCGACCCGGACGACGACAAATTGGATTTCGTCAGCAAGCGTGAAGGGCTGAAACCAATCAGCATCTTCCGTCTGGACGGCGGAGATTTCTTGCTGTGTTATGACGAGTTTGGGTTCTATATCAACCGGTTTGGAGCGAGGATCAAGGAGGATTCGCTGATTTATTGGTTGGGAAATCCTACTAGTTTTGGTGAGTTTGGGGTTTCTTTCCGCCCCCTTTCGCTCCGTGAGCTTTGTCTTGACCTTTCCTCCTCCCGCCGTGTCACAGCATTCCACGCCCCCTACATAATAGCCTTCGAACCCTCCTTCATCGAAGTCCGCCACGTCGGCACCGGCGAACTGCAACAGATCATCCCCACCCACAACATGCGCACCCTCAACACCAATCCGGAGATCCTCCACTGCGTCATGGACAGCCCGCTCGAATACCAGTGCGTGTTCAGATTGCGGGAGGTTGTCTCCACGACGGCGGCTGTTATGGATGAGCTGTTTGATGATGAGGAGGTGGGGGACGGGGAGGGGGAGGGGGTGGATGATGGGGGTTCTGTGGCTTAAACTTTGGCGGGATATACCCCCCCCCCCCCCCCCATATCCGTTGTAGGTAGCGTTGGAGCGTTCTTATATATCATAGCGGCGTTTCTGGGAAACCCGCCCCCACACAACCGAGGTTAGATTACTCGAGCACTGCCGCAAACCCCTTGTCGACTTCGATAGTTGACATTTTTTCTTGTCCCTCTCTGGTGGGGAAGTGCTGGAGTACCCACGCACCCTACACCTCTTTTGTCTTTTGCCGCTGCACCTTGTCTATTTTGTGGCATCTCCGGTTTTTCATGTACATACACAACTCACACATATAGAATTCATACGATCGACACATTGCTCGGCCTGTTTCATTTGTGTAAGGAAAATATATTGGTGATGAGATGATGATGGAACGATCTACATAAATTAGGCTGCTTCTATTTAGAGAATAGAATCTGACAAAAATTCTGGACTAGGGTGTACTCCGTTGGAAGGGGGTCGCGGTGAATTTGGTTATTAGGATCGTTTTGCTCGTTTACCGCGGCCCGAGTTGGTCGCCATGGCGCTTTTGCGTTTGACCTGGAGAGATTGAAGAGAAAAGCGGCGATGACAGTGTCAGTATTCAAATTCATCCACGGAAAATCCGCTTGGCCCCCGGTACGTACGGAATCAACCAGTTGAGAGATGTTGACGTCCGAGGTAGCGGGTTTGGACGAAGCCGCGGTCGATTTGGGAACCTCCTGGTCGGGATGTGCCGCAGCGGACCGTTTCCGGCGCTCATCCAGGAGTTTGCCCATCGCTTGCGTCTTCTTGAAGCTGGTATGCGGGAGAAAGAGTATCAGAACCCGAGCTGACGACCTAACGCCAAACTCTACAAATTGCCACTCACTGAGGATTTGTCGGATCAACCGCAAACGCATGATTCTCCAACAGATCCGTAAACCTCGGATCCGCAGTATTAATCTCAAACCCATCCTGCACGCCGCCCTCGCGCTTCTCCTTGTTCGCGTCTTTTTTGTTACGGTTCTTTTTGCGGCGGGACTGTTTTTCTTCTTTGACGACCTGTTTTGCGTCAAAGTGGCGGTTCTCGGTTGAGGTCGGGTCGGCCATCAGGAGTTCGAGCTCGGCTTTGGCTTTCAGTTCTTCGGCGGTGGGTGGTTTGTTTTTGGCCTTTTTGGTTTTGCTGGGTTTGGATTCTTTCTCGGGTTTGGCTATTGAGCCTATGAATGGACATTGATGGTAAGTCGCTGCATGGACGACTAGCTGGGAGTAGGGCACACGCCAAGACCTACCTTTGGGGGCGTAGTTGTCGTCAAACGCGTCACGGAAGAATGGATCGTCCATGTCGACACCTTCGTCGCCAGAAGATACCAGAGCATCTGCAAATCGCGAACGTTAGTATATTGCTGTGTTTCATGATCTGCTGCACGTTGAGTGCCATATTTCTATTACCTTCTGAATTTGGTCCCTCTTCCGCGCCTGCCTTGTTGGCAGCCTTCTTCGCCTTCCGCTTTTCCTTGCGTTTGCGCAAGTAAGCATCAAACACAGTCTCGTCCTTCGAGGCCTTGATAATCCAGGAGAACATCAGAGGCGAGTTGCTAGGAGTCTCCAGCAAAGACAAGCAAAACCTACGTCCTTCCCCTTCTTCTTGTCCAAAAGAGCAGCTGCCTTCTCACTCAACCCAGGCGTGAAGGTGATCTCCATCTCCTCTCCTTTGTCCTTGCTTCCAAACACATCCCCCGCTCCCTCGCCACCCCCCAAAAGAGCCTTAAACTTCTGCCGAATAGCGTCCGCATCTTCACCATCCTCATCCTCGGAAGAAGAGGCCAAGTATGCCTTGAAATCCATATCCTGCAGATCGTCCTTTGTAAACTTCCGTCTCGTGACCCGGACACGGTCATCATCCTCTTCGTCCCAGGTCAGCTTGACTTTGGAATGCTGCAAGGCCTGTGTGACAAAGTCCTTTGGCTGATATACGCTCGGTGGCTCGTAGGCTTCGTCGGCAGGGCTGTCGTCGAACTCCATTCCTTCGGGTACATAGCGCAGGTCGAAGAAATTTGCGGACTTTTCGTATTCTGTACCGTCACAGGTTTTGTAGATCGACCTTGCGGTTTCGACCGAGTCGCATTCGAGTACAGCGTAGTAGTATCGCAACCTCTCCAATTGGTACTTTCGTAGCTTGACATTGTCGTACTGCTCGGTCCCGTCATCTGCTTGGATCAACGGTTTCGACAAATCGTCGCCACCGACGGGCTCAAAGATGTCTGCTGGTGGGCCTTCCCTGGCTTCCTTCTCGAGCCTCTCTTTGCCAAACTCCGACGGGTATATCTTGACACTCTTCACGGTTCCACTTGCCGGCTTGAAACCGTCAAAGATCTTGAAAAGATCTTTTGCTTTCACGTGGTCCCAATCCATATTGACGATGGCGATGCGGGATGTTTCGTCGCCTGTAGGGACCGTCTCTTCTCCGTATGGTCCGATATCCAGTACGTCCCGCTCCTCTGTGTCATCCTCAACAGCATCCTCATCTTCATCCTCGCTCTCAGAATCGGATTCGAGCATTGCACCTCCACGCGCAAGGTCGTATCCTGCTATCCGGCCGCCAGTTTCGTCTTCCTCGTCTTCCTCGTCCTCCTCCTCGCTGTCCACTTCGTCGCTTACTACAACGTCCGCAGAAACGCCGCCCTCTGCCTCGTCCTCCACCTCGTCGCCACTGCCACTTTCACTTCCACTCCCGCTCCCGCTTTCCTCTTTCCTCTCCTCTTCATCGTCAAGCTTGTAAAACCTTTCAAGCTCCTTCTTTGTCCCTTTCTTCGCTCGTCGACCGTAACGGTCAATCGCCGGTCCTGACGAGCCTGTGCCGAACTCCTCACTCTGCAACATGCCGATGAAACGGCTGTCGATTTTGACCTTGTTGGCATCTCGCTTCGCTTTGATGAAACGAGGGTCGGAGTGTACTTTAGCGAAACGGGGATCTGTTGTCAAGGGCTGTGTGGACACCTCCCTAGGGGCCTTTTTCGAGTCGCCCTTCTTTGCCATTGTGTCGTTTTGTGAAGTTACCAGACTATATAAAGAACTCCTTCCGTGGGTACAACCCCTTCAGAACGAGACTGCAGTAGACGCCTGGAAGTCACAGTGGGTCTACCCAGTTGGCGTTCTCTGAAATAGTTGGGTCCCAGTTGAGGAAATGGAGCTGTGGCGAAATGGACGAATTTGGAAGTTGCAAAGACGGAAGCACTGCGAGGGCGAGAAATGTTACGTAAGCAGCGTGGGAATTCCCAACTTTCCCACTCGTCGTCGCCGCTTCTCAAGATCAGGTTGGACGCTCCCCAACAGCACCTTGCAAGAATGCTACGTTTCCTGAGAAGGAAGTCGGGCCCCGTCGCCGCTGCGGAGAAACGCACCGACCCAAACGCCCCCATCAAGGAACTACGGCGGGCACACCTACGAACGGTCGCTGAGTACTACCTCCGCGTTGCCATCAACAAAGGCAGGTCCGTACTCTAGGCCATAATCTCCTTTGGGGCGCCCGCCGAGACATGGTCTGAACGTTTTCCGAATCCCACTGAACAGCTGGTTGTTCTACGTTGTCGGCGTGATATGGCTCCTCTTTCTACCGCAGAGCCAATTTCATCAGCGAAACTATGTCGACGAGAACGCGTTGCTGCCAGGCCAGGTAGGCAGCAACTGCGGTTATGAAGGCGTGGGAAAGTGCTGAAGGACTCTTCCCTCAATGTAGACGACGAAATACTTCTCCGCCCTCGATTATCATTTTGTGAAAGAGTATCGAACGCATATTCAGGCGTTAGCCGCGCAGTCGAAGATAGCTGCCGAGTGAGTGGCCCGAGGAGCCCACTTTTATTTCCACCGATTGCGGCGACTGATAAATGCCGTCCTGTTGTAGCTATGCCTCATTCATCGAGGGAGAACTCCGGTCATTCGGGCTTGACGCGTCAACGCAGGATTTCGTCCGATTTGCGAATCATGGACCGGTAGACGGATCGAACGCATACGGTGTGTTTAGAGCACCACGCAGTGATGGAACGGAGGCGATTGTGATATCGACACCTTTTGTCGCTCAAGATGGACGCGTCAATGCCGGTGGTGTAGCATATCTGCTCGCGCTCGCCAAGTTCGTCACAAAGTTTTCGCATTGGTCCAAGGACTTTGTGTTCGTGGTGACGCATCCAAGTCCCGTGGGGACCCAGGCATGGCTGGAGGCGTATCATGGCAAGCAGTCCCAAGAGGGGGCAGCGCTGCGATATGATCCACTGGCGGTCCATAGCGGCGTAATCCAGGAGGCACTGAATCTGGAGCTAACGGGGTCGGACGAGTACGCAGCTGTGGAAATAGATGTAACGGGACTCAATGGACAACTCCCAAACGCAGACCTGGTGTCTACGGTTGTTCTGTGCAACAAATACGAGGGCATTCCTGTTGCCCTACACCAAGCCGTTGCTCCCGAAAAGTTCGAGAGCGATTGGAACAGCTATCTTTTCAAGGCAGACATTCTGAAGGAATACGTGAAGGCCCAGGCCGCTGGTCTTCCGCGTGGTAACCATGCGCTCTACGCAAGGTTAGAGCCCTTCGAAGAAGGCAGTTTTGTAAAAGACCGCTGCTCAAGTGTTGCATCGACTTGCCAGATATCATATTGAGGCGGTCACATTACGTGGCCTGTCTGACGTACCAGGACGAACATACCGCATCAATGGGGAACAGCTGGGAAGGTAAATGGCGATCCCCGGTCAACAAGGAGTGGGAAAAAGCTTATCAATGTCTGTGCGTAAACCAGATCCATTGAGTCGATGCTGCGGAGTTTGAACAATCTCCTCGAAAGACTCCACCACTCCTATTGGTTCTACCTCATGCCAACAGCTTCGGCGTACATTCCCTTATCAAGGTATCTTCCACCGGTGGCACTTCTCTCTGTGACATTGATATTAGAGGTAGGCGCGAAGGTCGTGCACACGCACATCCCGCCCAGTACTGATAATTCCATCTGTCCGCTACGAACAAGTCTGTTCGTATGTGGCTTGCAGCGGGCGAACAGCTAACAAAGTGTCCCTCTCCGCCAACCCGTATACCGGGAACCAAATACGCCATGAGATCCGCTGAACTGTCCACTTTTGAGCGGATCAATCGACCGGTCTTTCTACCGATCGTCACGCTAGCCATGTGTCATGCTGCGGGAGCTTTCGCCCTCTACATGGCGCCGACAATACGCTTTGTGGCTCAGCATGGAAACATCAATGTGAGTGTCTTTGGTTCTTTGGTTCTTTGGCATGCCAGTCTCAATCATCTTAACCTTTCGCCTTCTGCATCACCACAGCCTTTAAACATGAGTGCCGCCATCCTGGTAGTCACCGCGTGTCTCTACGGCTTCCTCGTCCCCACCCTCCAACGCATCATGGAAGGCTCAGGCGCCAGCACCCAGAAAAGTTCCGCAGCATGGACGATGGTCAAATGCTTCGCCTGCATCGAACTCGGGGCCGCCCTCATCGCCCTCGCAACCCTCAACCCCTCCCTCTCCATCCTCCTCGCCCTGCCCTCCGTACCCGCCATGTACCTCGCGCGCCCGACATCCAACCACGTCTACTTCTGGGGGCAGCTGGTCGCGCTGTTTGTCGCGTCGCCTGTGGGGCTGTTGGCAGTTATGGTATTTGCGGACGGGCTGCATAGTGCGTTGGAGACGGTACGGTTGGCGGTGGACGGGTATACGCTGTATGGGGCGTGGCTTTTGCCGTTTTTGTGTTTGGTGTATTGGCCGTTGAATATGGTTGCGCATGTGATTATAGGCATGGAGCAGTAGATGTTCGCTGGTCTGTTCCCCCCTCAATCGACGAAGCCAGCTCTCTGGACTTGACGTACCTTTTTCGACCTTATGTATATATACCGAGTTATTGGTCTGAAACTAAACCATCATCGTATTCTACTTGTTCCCATACGTGCATTATGTCCATTGCCACCCGCTGAAACGGCACATCTTCCGATCTCACAAACTTTGTACACCATGAATCACACATCCCACATCATCCAAGTCGAATGGCAGACAGATGATCACGTCTCGGAGCATGGCTACCTGTCATGGACGTCAACAGTTCCCGTGCGTAGGAGTTGTGAAGCAAGCCCGAATCAGCGAGCGCTACGCTCAGTTTAAGCCTGGTTGACAAAGAATTAGACAAAATTGCAATGTAGCTACTAGATATGGCGATGAGATCGTGAACATACCTCTTATCGGCCAGCATCTTGTCGACCGTATATCCATCGACCCTATAAAACGGTGTCTAGAACCCGCAAACATCAATACACATCTTACCTCCCGTCCCACCAAATCGCACCGAAACATACATCCTTCTCAGCATCCCTAAACCTCCTAAACGCCTCCGTATCTCCACAAGTCCTCTCCCAATCCCTCGACGCACTCACAGCCACCGTCGCCCGCAATCTCTCCAACCGGCGCTCAAGAGCGGCTTTGGCTTCGTGTTGGCGGGCGATATCGGCTTCGTGGTCGAGTTTTTTTTGGTCGAGGAGGGTCGTGCGGTGGTGGATGCGGGTGCGGTTGTACTGGATGACGGGAAGTGTTGGGTTTGGGAGTATAGGGGGGGGGGGGGGTTAGGTGTGCGGGGGATTTGCATACCTTCATGCGTTCAATGGACTCCTCTTCGTAGGCTTTCCGCATTTCGATGCCGGTGAGCATCTGGTCCATAACCTGCGCTTGTTTGGCGACCTGGTATTCTTTGATCATCTTCTGATGCATCTCGCGCTGGGCCTGCATCTTCTCCTACGGCCGGCGGGTCGTCAGTAGCTGCAAGGACCGGGAACGTCGTTTCAATATTCACTGAAGCAAGCGAAACATACCTCATGTGCTCTCCGCTCCTCTTCCTCAACAACCCGACTCCTCTCCTCCTCCGCCTCCTTCCTACACCGTTCCTCCTCAACACCCTCCTTCCACAACCCCAACTTCTCGTGCATCTCCGCTCGCTGTTCCTCGCGACAACTCGCTTCCTGCTTTGCGCGGAGTTCTCGCCAGTGGTCCACCTCCGCGGCGGCGAACCTGGAGATGGTTCGGGCGATGAAGTCGGCCATCTCGCGGGCGTGCAACTGTTGCAGGATGCTGAATTGGGTGGTGTGGGTGGTGTGGGTGGTGTACCAGCGGAGATACCTCTGAATATGATACCTCGATGTGAGTATGTCGCCTTTCGGGATTTGATGACCATCCAATGCAAATGAACGAAGAACGTACAGAAATATCAGATTTTGGCAATCGGGGCATTTCAAGATGCACCCGATCCAGACAAGACGTCCATTTGTGCTGCTCGGCAGACTCGTACTCGTCGTAGACCTTCCTCAGCTTGAAACGTGTTTCGTCGCTGAGGGTGCAATCGGAAAGCGGGGGATGTGCCGTGGAGAGGGCGCTCACACGGTCTTTGTATGCGGTTATGAGCCTGTGGTGATTGCATGCGTTATGAGCCAAGCTGTTTCCAGCACGCAACTCAGGCTTGGAAGCTGGGTCAGATTACCTGTTGTGCTGCTCTACGCATGACGCCTTGATGTTTTCATCCACGCAAGGCAAGTCGGTGAACTTCATCACCTTGCCCTCGTGCACTATCCACGGATCGTCTCCCTCAGGTTGGTCCATCTCATTCTGCATTCTACGGAAGTGAACCATTGACTGCGATATGCTGCTCGCCTGCTCCGCCAGCTAGGTAGATGGGCGTCAGCATGCTTCTGCATTCGTATCTTTTGCGAAACGCATCGGTCTTCCCTCCTCACACACACCTCCTCATATATCGGCCGCAAGTACGCTTTCGTCTCCGCAAGCGATTCCAAGCAATCTTGCCGCATACTCTCCACCGACTCTTTCCGCCCCGTGCTACTCCTTACGCGATGCATGTAGTGTCGTACGCTCGAAACCCGATCCGAGACCTCTGGAGCCGGGCTATCATCATCAGATACGTTACCAACTCGAAACGATTAGGGGGGATTCCAGCCTAACCGGTCATGAATTCCTCCCGCTCCGCCTCCGCCCCCTCCACCTCGTCAAGAATGTCCGCAACCTTGTCCAACGTGTTCTTTTCGTCTTCATTCAATGGATTGCATTGGGCCACGAACGTGCATAGACTCTCGTGCGCTGACTTTTCTGATACTGTGCTTCAGGTTGCGAGCATACGGGTCAGGCGAAGATGTCACCATGTTGTGTTAACATTGAAGTCCGCCATACCTCAAATGGCTCAAGCGCTCCTGTTCCCTGAACCAAATCTCCCGATGTAACGCAAGTCTGGCGACCGTTCGGTTCTTCTTGACCGCTTTCCCCAGACGCTCAGCCTATCAAGCGAGATTTGCAAAAAGTCAGAACAAAGAAATATTCATCGTTGGCAAGGAACGATGAACCTTTTTGGAGATATTACCCCCATCGCTCGAGTCGAAGCTCTTCAGACGCGCAGCAAAGTCGTCCGCAGTTGGAGCTCTGGACATTGCTTTACTCTTTTGCCGTAATATGACCGATTCTAATCGGGAGTCTGGTATCCGGGAGGAAGGTCAGAGATTTGGAAACCACCCATATTTCCCATGGCTTTGGGGAGACATGCCCATTTTGTGTTTTGGATTCATCGTGTCTAGCATGTTGCACGTCGGGATATGATCTATGTCTCAATCCTTGGGATGCTTGCAAACCAGGCCGGGGGGAAGCTCATGTGATATATGCCTCTACTTCAGGTTCTAGGTGTCTTATTGCTCAGTTAGAAAAGCGGTGCCTCGGTCATTAAGTGCAATCAACGGAAAGCAGTGGATGTAATGTCAATTGCGGAATCAGTCCATATACAGTAAATGTCGAGTTTTGAAGTGTGAACACTCCGACAGGCAAACGCGTTTGTCATGCATTCCCCACGCGTCCGCGGATTGGAGGTCCTAACAACCGAGTGCGTTTTGCAACGCCTGCCCGACGTAACCTCAGGCGAAGGAAGATAATGGAGGAAGACAAACGGCGAAAGGGAAGAGTGGTCTTCATGAATGGAGCTCGCGAGATGGTACATGCCCATCAACGGAGTAGGACTGTCGTTGCGATGTTGACAGCTAGGCTGACTTAGGCCTTGAGGAGACCTCGGCAACGCTTGTGCTCGACATGCTGGTGATTGGAGGCCCCCCACCACAGTGATGAATGGAGCGTTTGAAGACCAGAACATGAAGGAATCAACGCGAAGCTTGCGCCCTATCCAAAATGTGATTCCCCTCTCAAAATATGAATACAAAATGAAGCAAAACTCAGGCATAGCTCCAAGAAGCCTATCCTACCCCACTTTCAGCAGAGAGACATTCAGGAGTTTACAAGGGCGGCACTCCTCACTGTTGAGGGATGCGACGTTCCGCGAACTTGCGCGTCTGATCCCGGAGCTTGTCGATTGGAGCTACGGGGAGGCCAGCTACGAGAGGAGAAGGGGCGGGGGAGGAAGAGTTATTAGGTTTGCTCTCGAAGGCGTTGACAACATCTGGGTTTTCTTACCCAGAAGCTCCAGAGAGGCAGGCTTGTCCGGGGCATTCGGGTGTGACCTGGTCGGGGAGATGGCCTTGCGACGTAGGAACTTTGAGGAAAGGTCGATACGCTCCTTTTCGGACATTTTCTTGGCTAGTAGCGGGAGATGTTTGGTCTCTTCCTCCTTTGCATGGGCTGTTCGTTCAAATAACCTTAGTCAGCGAAGCCGGATGGCGTAATATGCACCTCTCCCTCTTGGCACTCACATTTGAGCACAGCAACCACTCGTGCAAACAAATCGTCAAAGCCCGCATCCCCCACCGACATCTTGTCAAGGCGGAACAGATGGTTCTTGACCTCGGCATGGTCGGCGCGGAGGTGGTCGCCTTCCTTGTCACCTTCAACTTCGTCGATCAGTGGGTATACCGCAGTCTCCTCGGCGATGGAGTGTTGGGCGACTTCCCGGATGAACTCATTGACAATGGCCTAAGGAGGATTCGAGTAAAACGTCGAAGTACACGTCAATGTCAATTTTCTGGAAGGGTATGATGCACCACATGCAGCTAACTCACCTGCTTTGCCTCTTTATCGCCCTTCGTCTTGTGATACCTCTCAAACAGCTCGTCAAACGAGCGGTGATCGTTGGTGATCAACACCTCGATTGGACGGCGAGCGTTGAAGCTCTCGGCTGCTTGCTTGGGTTGCGGGAAGGTGGTGTTGAAGCGCACCCTGGTGCTGGCGACAGCGAACAGAGGCAGTTGGCGGTGGAGGGCCGACGCACGGGGGAGCGATTTGACGAGCATTTTGGGTGTGCTTACTGAGAGGTTTGAGGGAGTGGGGATGGATTGGAAAACGGAGAGGAGTTTGGCAGAGCACCTCAGCTTTTATATGCGTTTTGAGTTACGCGGCTCAACCTTCATGGAAGTCACACGATCCATACTGCATATCTAGCACCTCCATGTCGCAAGCAAACCATCCTTCGTGATTCATCCCCCGTTCCCGTCCATATGTGCGATGTTATTGTTGCTCAAAAGACGTCAGTCAAGGACGGGGCCAGGAGGGACGCGTTCTTTCGACGCGGGAAAGTCGTTATTTGACGCAGCTATGACACAATAATGCTCGGACTCAGCCTAGAACGACGCCCAAAGTCTATACAGTATGCATACTGTACAGAGTGTGTATAGACCAGATGGACACAAAGTACAGGAGGGGCAAGGGGGTTTCGCCGCAAACATGGGAATAGTGGGAACTGACCCCGTTCCCAATGGGGCATACTGTACTGTACGTGCACCTCCTGCCTACTGCGACAAGGCGTATCGCGTTTTCGGTCCTGCGAGGACGTTCTGAGCTGAACATCGGGCCGCCGGGTATATACCGAATGCAAATTCGCCCACCTAGGAATCCTCAGTTGGGAAAGCTGACCAGCGAGCTGTACGTTATACCCTTTCTTTGATGTCCATGGATGTCGAATGGGCCGATAGCCTTGGCCAATGGCCGCTCCACGCGTTTGGAGCGGCGAGGGTTCTTCGGGCAACAGAATGCTCAGAGCGAATCAGTACCCGAAGAGCCTGGCCCCGCGCCGTACATAGATCTAGAGGGGCCCCCGGGAAGCTACCAACCATTCTCACGGTTGCGTGAGGCACGCGTTGAGTGGCGAGCCTGAAGTCCGGCGTGGGAATCCAGATATGTCCCTACTGATCTTGGGCATGTTGCAGCCTGTCCTCGTCTCCGTCCTCGTCCCCTTCCCCATCCCCATCCCCATCCCCATCCCCATCCCCATCCCCATCCCCATCCCCATCCTCACCCCCGTTCGCGGCTTAATCATAACGGTCGTTGAAGACCGGGTAGCATTTAACGCTAGCCTTGAACGGAGGAGGTGGCGAGCAGACATCCTGGAGGAAGTAATCGAGAAGCCGGGCGATGGAGACCGGTTCTTTTATATCCGCTGGGAGAGCCGGGCCATGGCAGGTCAACAGGGCTAGGATCAGGTTCTCGAATGCTTTGAACGGATTTTACTTTCGTCTGAGTTGCGCAATCGCCTGATGTAAGAACCTGCTGACCTGCCAGCCAGATGTGTTCCTCGGCCATATTGAGCAACTCCCGATGTCGGGACGCAAAGACCAGCGCTTGCAGGAACGTGGATTGGAATCTGGACCCTGTGTCCTTTTTTTTTTCCACCAGAGCAGCAACCATTTTTTTCTCTCATAATTTGCGTACGGTCGGCACTGGCCAGCCACCGGCGCGCGGTTTCGAAATTCGGTCCCATGGCTGCGCAAAGCCTCGCTCGGGAGCTCAACATCCTGCCCTGCGACATCGAGCCATATGAGCAATGCGATCTATGTAGATATATGAGGCAAGTTGCTATAGCTGGGAATGTTATGGAGCAAAGATTAGATGAAACAAACCCGCATGGTGGATTGGGGGGGTTGGACGGCAGCAGTGTGTGTGGGGGGGGGAGGGTCTCCGGCAATAACGGGATTGAGTCCAAGCGCGTCCCGGGTCCAAGCCATCTGCCAGATCTATCCAGCAACCCGTGACTGCGACGTGACGAGGACAGAAGGAAACCGCAAACAGGCTCCCCCCTCCGCTTGTTCTCCGGAAAACATAAAAAGGGAAAGCTAAAGCAGTCACCCCTCTCCGCCACTCCCCCATCGCCTATCGCATAAGGACCTCCGTCTTTCGTCTCAAGTTCGCGTTCTCAAAGTCGCCAGACTCGCCTCCAGCTCAATAAGTCCACTAACCCGCGTTTTGGACGGTGCAACCATTCCTGTGAAGTTCAAAAGAGCAGTCCATAAAGTAAGTTGCATTCCGAGTTAGACAGTGGGCTTCAGTTATTCGAGTATCGTTCGAGGATAGTGGCTGCATTTCCCTGCTCGTTTGTATGGTCTGTTGCGGGATTTCGATGCTCATCTAGTCCTCTCTATATTTCGCTGCGCGAGTAGTTCAAACAAAAATGGCCTCCGAAGTTCAGCACAAGTACCTGAAGGCGCCCCTCACCGTCGGCGTCGTGGGAGCAGCATTCAGCGGCGGCCAGCCACGCGGAGGCGTCGAGCAGGGTCCCGCCCGCCTCGTCGAGTTCGGCCTCGTCGATCAACTAAAGGAGCTGGGTTGGGCAGTCAAAGTGGATGAAAAGTTCCCGACCTACGAGCACCTGCGGCCACAGACAGAGCAGAACCACGGCAAGCTCAAGAACGTGGGTTACGTCTCCGCCGTGACAAAGAGCGTCGCGGAGAGCGTCAAGGCGGTGGTTGAGAAGGGGCAATTGGCGTTGACGTTGGGTGGTGACCATTCCCTCGCCATGGGCACCATTGGCGGATCCGCGGCGGTGCACAAGGACGTGGGTGTCATCTGGGTGGATGCGCACGCGGACATCAACACCCCAGAGACCACCGACACGGGAAACCTGCACGGGTGCCCCGTTTCCTTCCTGATGGGTCTGAAGAGCGCGACGGACGTGCCGGGGTTCGAGTGGCTCAAGCCCTGCCTGGCGACCAACCGCATCGTGTACATTGGCCTGCGCGACGTGGACGCGCCAGAGAAGAAGATCTTGAAGGATAACAAGATCAAGGCGTTCAGCATGCACGATGTTGACAAGCACGGTATCGGCAAGATCGTCGAGATGGCTATCGAGTACCTCGGGAAGGACAAGCCCATCCACCTCAGTTTCGATGTAGACGCGCTTGACCCGACCGTTGCGCCCGCGACCGGAACACCTGTAAGAGGCGGCTTGTCGTTCAGGGAAGGACACTTTATCTGCGAGTCGGTGTTTGAGACGGGCAACTTGGTGGCGGTGGATATCATGGAGGTCAATCCGCTGCTGGGAGAGCAGTCGTTTGTGCTGCAGACAATCCAGATTGGGTGCTCTCTTGCAAGAGCGGCTTTGGGCGAGACGTTGCTTTGAAGCATTAAGCACGGGTGTGGAATGTGGGGGTCATTTTCGTACAACCCCTCGGAAGCCGGAGCGGGGTCGACGGTTTTTGAGTCGCTTCATTTTGTATAGATATTTTATCATAGATTCGATCTCTTGGCCGTGGCCCGTGATTGCGTGCATTACATGGAGCTCCGAAGAGGCAGATTTTGATCAGTGAGTGTCACATGCTTCACAGGTAGCCAACGGCCGCCACCGGGTGAAGGGGGCGGTATGAGGAAACCACCTTAACTTGAGGGGGAAAGATTTTATTACCCCATCGACATCACACAGCTGCCAAACCGAAAATATCGGACAAAGGCCTAACGGCCAAAGATGTCTATGTTAAATGTTGTGTAGAATGCCTATATATGAAAAGTGAGCACCGGGGCCAAAATCTTTAGAGAGAATAATCTACATAAATATGGACTATGAATACGACGCCCGCTCGCTGGGATGCCTATCTGTCAACCACCCAAGCAAAACCTCACTTGCGGCCTCTTGAAGAGCCCCCGCCCCTACCCCCACCTCTCCCACCACCATTCCCCTTCCTCACCAGCCTCTTATTCACACTCTCCTCATCATCCTGTTCCGCCCCCGGCCCCTCCCCAGCCCCCGTCCGTTTCCTCTTTCCTACACCCCCCGCCTTCGCATTCGCCAACTCCTCCTTCAACTGCATATGCGCAAACCTTGTCGCCTCCGCCACACGCTCCTGCAGCATCAACACCGCCGCCTTATCCTTGCCCAACGGGTACTCATCCAGCTTCTTGTTCATGGCGTGCTCGATGCGCTGGTACCACTCGACATCGTACTGCGTCACAAGGGTGATACTCTTCCCGCTGCGTCCGGCACGCGCGGTCCGCCCGACGCGGTGGATGTAGTCCTTGGAACTCTGCGGGACGTCGTAGTTGATGACAATGTCGACGGAGGGGATATCGAGACCGCGGGAGGCGACGTCGGTGGCGATGAGGATGTTGCGGGTGCCGGCTTTGAATTTGCCGAGGGCGCCTAAGCGTTTTGGTTGGGACATTTGACCGTGGAGGCAGACGGCTTCGAAGCCGAGGTTGCGGAGCATGAGAGCGAGCTTTTGGGTGCTTGCGCAAGTGAGCGTAAAGACGATACAGGTTTGGCCGGCGAGCTCGTTGAGGAGGTATGTTAAGTAGCACTCTTTTTGGGCGAGAGGGAAGAAGATGTAGTATTGGAGTAGTGTCGAGACGGTGGAGTACCTAGATCACAACTGGGTGAGCCTCAATGACGGACGTCTTTAAAACCGTTTCAAAACGTTCTTACTTTGTGGCAACCTCCACCTTAACAGGGTTGACCAAGGAGGCCCTCTGCAGCTTCTCCACCTTACTGGTCATAGTCGCCGAAAACAAGAAAGTGTTCCGCTCCCTCGGAATAACTTTCAACAGTTTCTCAATCTCCGCGCCGAAATCCAAATCCAGCAAACGATCAGCTTCATCCATGACCAGATACTTCAGCTGCTTCATGTTGAACCCTTTCGTGTTCTCCAAGTGGTCAATGAGACGTCCAGGCGTGCAAATGACGATATGTGGTTTTTTCGAGAGCGCAATGGCTTGCGACATCATGTCCATTCCTCCGACGATGACGGCACAGCGTACGCCGATGGTCGATCCGAGGGCTTCGAACTGCTCTGATATTTGGAAGGCTAATTCACGGGTGGGTGCCATGACGCATGCGAAGAGCGGTTGGGGAGCAGCGAACAAGCGTTGTAGGATAGGTAGGGCGAAGGCGGCTGTCTTTCCGGAACCTGTTTGTGCTAGTCCGATGATATCCCTTCCTTTATGTATGAAGTTCCCCCATTTGTTAGCAAACCCCGTTCTCCCATGCTCTTCCAGTCAGACAAGACGCACCTTCCAGGGCATGGGGAATAGAAGCAACTTGAATATCGGACGGGTGTGTGAAGTTGAGCTTCTTACATGCTTCTACAAGCTGGGGAAGCAGACCCTGCGGAGATAGGCCAAAACACACCATTGTGAGCTCGGAATGCTTTTCACAAGGTCTGTGGGCGCAACATACCAAGTCCTCGAAAGTCTTCTTAACCTCGGCCCCAGCGGTCTCTACTTCGGCGCTGTCGTTACTCATAGCGACGGTGTTTCCTGTGAGTGGAGAGTCGAACGGTGTAGTCGGTTTGTGGGTCGAGACGGGGTTTGAATTGCACCCTTGTTGCAACAGAAAAAAAAGGAAACGGGAAAGTGCTGATTTCCCTGTCGCGTCAAGCTCCTCAAGTGGGGAGCTTCTCAAACTCCAAGACCATTGCGCCGCAGGACTGCCTCTTCATTTGGCCGATTCCCACGAAGACAACAGATGGAGACACCTACAGATACACCGTGATACGCAAAAGGCAACACTTTCGAAGATGGGCGACTTCATAGGTACGTTGGCATAGTCAGAACAGCGCATGAATGCTTGAGTGCGGTCCGTTTGAACAACCTACTGATCACCGGACTTCTCCAAAGATGAACTGCGCCTCCTCCGCAACAACTACCACCTGGGCTCCTACCCCCAAGTCATCGACGAAGCCCTCAGCTCGCGCGACGCCTCCGTAGACCGCCGAGTCCTCGCCTACCGCGCCCTCCTCGCATCCAACAAACTCGATCGCGTCATTTCCGAGCTGCAGTCTTCGCCCGACGCGGAGCTGCAGGCCGTCCGATTGCACGCGCTCCATCAACAGGCGATCGGGACGAGGAACTCGGGGGCGAAGGCGAAAGTTGTTGGCGATATTTTGGCGCTCGTGGGGACGGGGAACAATGCGCATAGTAGTACGGTGCAGGCCATTACGGCGTTGATTTTGTATGCGGAAGAACGGTATACTGAGGCGTTGCAGGGGGTGTTGCCGATACCGCGGAACTTGGAATGGTAGGAGGAAGAGCACTCTGTTGCGAATGCTGAGGGAAATGATGGCGGGCTGGCTTACGTCGAAGATACCTTACAGTGTGGCGATTGCGGTACAATGCTATCTCAAGCTCGATCGGCCCGAGTTTGCACAGCGGGAAGTGGAGAAGTTGAGGACGTGGGCAGATGACGCCACTTTGGCACAACTGGCGGAAGCCTGGGCGAAATGCGCTGTGGTGAGACTGCCGATGTCGTTTTGTAAGGATTCCCATATGATGGAAATGTAAACCCTCTCGGCATTTTCCAGGGTGGACGTCAAAACATTCAAGACTCGGAATACATCTTCGAAGAGCTCGCATCATCTAAATCTGCCACGGGACGAATCATTTCTGGCCGCGCGATATGCAAGATGCAGGCTGGGGAGTTTGCAGAAGCGGAGCGGATCTTGGTGGAAGGGTTGAGCAGGGTATGTATCAGTGAATCACTGGTGGGCGTTAGGGGCGATGGGGAATTCTGGGGATAATAATGCCCACCATTGCTTGCTTTGCAGTGCCCAAACGATCCGGACCTGATAGCAAACCTGGTATCCTGCGCGGCTGCTACCGGCAAGTCGCCTGAGATCATCAACCAATATTTCGGGTACGGTGCCCTGTCATAACTTACAGTTCCTTTATAGCTCACGTCCCGTTCCTTTTCCGTCCATTAACGGGAATTCCTCTCGCTTTCACTCAACAGCAAACTGAAGGAACTGGCCCCGCAACACCCGTTAGTGGAGGAGTACACACTGAAGGAGAGCTTGTTCCAACGGTCGGCACAGCGATTTGCGCTTGCAAAATAATCTGGGGACAGGTTGTAAGATATATACCTTATCGACGAATCAATCATATATGCAGCGTACTGGGACGCTCCATAGCGGATTCGTACGAATGTGACATATGCTACAGCTACAACATCACAAGCACCAATCCGGAGAACCCATAAGGGGTGGGTACAGTTGCACAAAAGCGGGATTAAACTAGCTACGCCCTTCAAAACACCTTATCACAAACAACTACGCCCCCATGCCACCCCGCCACAAAGCTCTTCTTCAAATGATGGTCCACTGCTGCGATACCGGCAGGCACCACGCGATCAAACTCGGTGTGCACGACGTCTGCGTTGAACTTTTTGCCGTAGAGTTGGTCTGAGCCTGTGTTGTTGGTGACTTTAACGACCTGGGGTGTGGGGGAGATAGTGTGAATGAGGGCTGGCCCTCCTTTCGACCCTGTGTAATGGGAGAGGATGGAATGCATGGTAGTGACTTACCCCGCTGAGGCACGGAGATTTCATTGGGATGTCCTTGAGGCATCCCATAATGTCGATCACCCCCGACACGTAGATGGCGCCGGTGGAACCGTCCACCGCCACATTGTCCCCAAGCACCGGCTAAGTGAGACATGCCGTCAGTGAAACTCCCGTGTCCCCCCTCTTTCCGCCCCATTGTTATGCACCCACCACTTCGATCGTATCTCTCAACCGGAGACCGTTGTTGTGTCGGCGCTCGTACACATTGACGATGGCCGCCATGGTGTCGACCACATAGACGTGCTTTTGATCGGCGGAAGTTGTGATCCCGTTCGCGAGGGTGAACTTATCTGCTACCACTCTGCGTGTTCCGCACCGTTAGCGCTATGCTTGTAGCACCATCTCCATGTGGCAGTATCATCAGACCCCATCCACGGTGCTCCTTACCTGGCCTTCCCGTCCTTGCCCTTATACACAACGGTAGCAGCTTTCGACCACCCCAAATTACCCACAATCCCCCACGCCAGCGACCCAACCGCAGCCTTACTCCGATCATTCGTCGCGTAAAAGCTATCCTCATCAATTGGCACCACATCATTCGGCGAATGAAGCAGTTTCTCATCGCGGAAGGTATTGACATGCGTCGCGTGCTTATCGCCGATTTTATGGGTGAAGGTCTCGATCGAGTTGCCATCGAGTCCGACGTTAACGGCGGAGATGATGATGGATTTGGGGTCGGAGCGTGAGGGCGCGATGCCGATGCCGAAGGTGTGGAAGGATGGGGTGAAGTTGTGGAGGTCGAGTTTGCGGGCTTTCGTCGTCTGGAATGAAAAGATTGTGGCTTGAGGAACGCTACCGAGACAGCCTTAAATGTCCTGTTGGGGCATGCATCGTAGCAAACCTTCAAATCAAGAACGACTATGGCGCCTTTGGGCTCCTTAGCGGCCTCACGATCAAGAAGGTGGGCGGGCGGAAACCATTTCGACCTTGTTTCAAGATCCACCGCACAGGCTTAAGAGAGCACCCAAAGCATCGCATCAGACATCCGCTCTGTGATTCAGATAAGGGAACTCCACTGTCGTTTACCAAAGAAAACCTGTCCCGACGCTGCATGAAGCGCGCCGTTCTCGCATCCGCGTAACAAGGGGTCTGTATATGTATCGCATCCCAGGTGAGAAAAATTCCACCATCGCAAAGTGACGGGCACCACGCACCTTGCACAAGCTTGCAAGATGAGTCGGCCGTGTATTGCAACCCCCTGTTCTCTTGCTGTAGCCTGTAGAAGGTTCGCCCTTGAGGAGTGCGAAATGGCGTCAAAGGCTGAAGCACATGATACCGAGTGACTGGACGAGACACATACCAGCGGGGAACAAAGCGCCACCAACGATTGCCAAAAGGGCCACGAGAGCAGTTACGATGATAGCCATAGTTCAAGATGCCGCTTTGATAGAACTAAGAGAGAGCAACATCTCATAAATAATCGCTATACAGGTCTACATATCCTACGTGTATAGATCTGCAGATACCCTGAAGGCTTCCTCTATTCTTGTTGGTGTCCTGGCATTATCCAGTTGTTTTCAGTTAGAAAGTCGTTGACGTTCCTACTTGAGTCGACTCCCGTGTGTGTTGTCGCCGCCGCCTCGTGACCGTCGTTCCGCATGGCGTTTTCTACAACTCCACCAACACCCAGACCAACACCACTTGCGTGGAGGACACGCCCCACTTTCGCATGCAGGTCAAAGAACTTGCGGTCCGGTCGGTCCACTTGAAAGCCATCAAGCAAGAGCTTTTCCCCGTCTTCTATCCGTGCATTTTCTAGTGCCCCGACAGAGCGCCATCTCGGACCCTGTGCTTTATCGAGGTGGGTGATGCGGTAAACCATGTCTCCCTCGTCCGTCTTAGTGGCGTCGATAACCCAGTAGAAGCGCCCGAAATTGAACTGTGCGGTTGGACCTAGCGTGATTATTTTTGATATCACATCCACTTCATCGAACTTGAGATCGCGGTGGCCGAACATTTCGAGCGCCATCTCGAAATGCTTGCTGGCGCCCTGAAAAAGGATACGCACGTCAGCTACACACCCTCCTGCCTCCAAATAGACTTTAACATACCGGCACTCGGGAGATGGATAAGGGTACTATGTGTGCACCTCCGTCATTTGCAAATCAAGCCCCTCTTCCCTCGCATCGGCGATAGTTTGCGGAGGTGCCGTCGACGACAAAAAGCCCGAATAAACGCATCGATAGGAATCTCTCTCATTAGCTTCCTACTTGAGTTCCCCATCCCGTTGGACGGCACCGTCTTTGTTGGTAAATGCAATCATTGCTCGCCGCACGGCTTCCACCAACGTGTCCCGCGAATACGGCGAGCTATGACTGGATCGATCAACCGACGACCGGCGCGAGGACACACGCGATGACTCGGGGGAGCGGGACGCGGACGACGGGCGACTGGCGGGGGATCCTCGTCGCGACGCCCTAGGGGTGGCTCCACCAACCGCCTTAAGCGTCGTCAAGAACAGCTTGATGCTCTCAAAGACGGAATCTACAAAGTGCACTCTTTGGCGCTGTGTGGTACCGGTCTCCCATATGGTCTGGACCGTCCCGAGAACCTTACCGCCCTCTTCGGCGGTAGTAGTGTAAAGACATTCGAAGATCAGCCAGTTCAGCTCACGGATTAGCACAAACTGGTCTTGGCGGTAGTGGGGAGTCGATCCGAGGTTGACATAAGCTATTTGGAAGCCGTGTAGGCCTCACGGAGGTAGCCGATGGCGTCTAACGGAGCAGGTGCGGCCATCACGATAAACGAGGAACGAGGTGGAATACCGTCTCAAGAAGGGTGAAGGGAAGAAGCCGAACGAGGGAGCAAAGTTTGAATACAGACGGCGACACATACAGGGCGGACATTTCTAGGGGAAGGACATTGGGCACCTACCTCAGACAAACAAACACCTGGATTATATTAGTCCCCAAAGCCTATCAAACCGAGACCCCCACAACAATGTATTACCGATCCGCAGCTCTCACTATAAACTGCCGGAAAGTAGGGTTGGAAGTTGGGACAAACTCGGCGATAAGCAGGTAATCAAAGGCTGATTCAACGGCCATGGTGAAATCCGCCGGTTAAATGAACCTTGTATATGGTGTCGGATTGTTCGTGCTCCTGTACGTTCGACAAACAAAGGAGTCGGCATGACAGGCGCGTGAGCATTGTCTCCATCACACAGCTATAATTTCCAATGTGGTGGATAGCGTAAAATGTGCTAACCAACGTTACCTCGGATTTCTGTGGTCTGCTAGCGGCGAGAGCACGAGAGCATATTTCATAACAGCCTGGAAGTCCGGACGCGTTGCAACAGAAGAGTGGATGTCTCGGGTCGTTGGTGGACGGCCTGTTGGACAACTATCTCCAGCCCGCCCCGATGCAACAACGGATGTGGACAACCGTATCTTGATTTGCCGCCGACGACATCAGTCTGCTACTGGTTGCTATGTCTGACTGTTGCCTCCAACCCCATTTATTCCGCCGCCACCTTCTCTAGGGTGCGTTACTGGAGAGGGAAGCCATACCACAACACAACACAACTGGAACAATCATCAAGTCTCCCAAGTGCTTTCATCACATGTGGCAGCTTCCGCCTCAGAAGACGTTCTGGAAATATGTGTGTGCACGCGCACGATTAGGTAATCGTGAGTGTCACGTGACCTGGTGCCGTTTTTGCTTGCCTGGCCGGAACGACGACGGGCGGCGAAAGCAACAGCAAGACAGGTTTGGTTTCCGCTCCTTCCCTTTTACGCACATCCTCTCGCAAAAGGAATCAACAAGGTATATATCACAACCCCCTTCAGAGGAAGGGAACCTATGCCCGAGGAAATCAGCTCAGCCAGCTAACTCAATTTCCTTTCTTGTATAGATGTCATCCGATCTCATTTGGCTGTTGGTGGGTACTGGGAAATATAGGCACTTTCACTAGCGCAAATGCTGACATTCAGTCTCTTGGACAGACCCGCGACCAATCCTCCTTCCTTGTGAAGAGGAACGGCATCCAGTTGACCAGGGAGCCTGGAAATCTTCTTAACAAGAACTCCCTGAAGTACTCTGGTCTCGCCCAGAGGAAGGTGAGGAGTGAAGGAGCTGGGGAATGGGGCATTCGAACGCAGGGGTGGGAGGGCCGATGGACCGGAAAGCTGATCAGTACCTCCGCTTTATGACGTTTTGATAGACCATCGACATCCAGTTCGCTGAGAAGGGTGCCCACATCACACTGAAGAAGACCTCGGTGCCTGCCCACAAGCACGCCAAGTTGGGCCACAAGACCACCATCCAGAAGGGAGTCCGTGCCTCTTCCAAGAGCGTCACCAACCTTTTGAGCACCTACCGCCCCGACCTCCAGAAGGCTGCTCTCGCTCGTCTCACCCGTGTCACTGAGGCTCAACAGAAGCCCAAGGCCCAGAAGCCCAAGAAGCTCCGTGGTGTCCGTGCACGCAAGGCCACCGTTGCTTAAGCGGTTCCTTGTATATACATATCGCTCGCTATCTCAATGAAAAACCTTTTTGCCGCACTTCATCTTTGTTCCGCATCTGTGAACCGCTTCCATTCGAGCTATGTAGCATGTATGCCTACAGATCTGAAGAAGGGTTGTGGCCTGGAGTAAAGAGCTTCCTCCGATAGGCTGGGGAGTACTGGTTCTGACGAAGGGAGAAGGTGGGGTGCAAGGAGCTACTCAGGAACGAGGGTGCTACCTTGGGGGATTCGTTCAGCGAACCGTTCGATGTGCCCAAACTAGCCAGGAAGTTTCTATGATAGGGGGCTATAGATAAAGGTCTATCTTCTTGAGTCGTATGCGACTGCGGCTTCCGGTTCAGCGTCTTCACAGGTTGCAATACCCTTCCGGATCGCGCCCTAGCCTTGAGGAGTCTCGTCGCAAATCCAGCTGATCTGAACGTGAATAAGTGTGATGTCTTGAACACCGATGGCCCACGATTCCGTATCCGCTCCTCCAACCGTCCTCCCACAGCTCGGGCGCTTTCGAGAGCCATCAACCCCAGCGACACCGTGGGAAAGTGCTTCCAAATGTCGTGCAAAGCATCCACAGCCCCTTCCTGCACCCTCATCCACTCCTCATCGTCAGCAACATCAGCCCACCTCTCCCCATCCTGCTCCAAAATCGCAACCAACCCCTCCCCCATCGCCACCCCAACAACCGCCGAACTCCGATGCCTCTGCACAACCGCCCCCAGAAGCACGACCCCATAATACATCATCATCCAATCATCCTTCAACTCCCTCACGCATTGCAAATAGCATTTGCAGGCCACGTCGTTGCTTGTGGCGGCCGTGGCGAGGACCTCGAGGAGTTGCCGGGTGAGGCGCGTCCCGCCCTTCTCGCGCACTTCTTGGAGGACGACGGTGGGGATGTCGAGAATCCGCATCGGGTCCTTCCAGAGCGTGCCGCGGCAGATGCTTTTGAGGTAGGTTTGAGGGGTTGTGGTGCGGGGGTGGGAGTCGGTGTGGTTTGTGTGGAGGAGCCATTGGAGCTGTGGGAGTTGAGTCGGTTATTCACACACTAAAAAAGAAATCCAAAACCCATCGTTGTAGTACATACCGAGTCTTTCGTCATGGCCATCATGACCGTAACAAAATGATCGCCTTCGTATGAGGCACGAGACTCGTCGATGAACTCCAAGCATGTCTGCAGACTCGTCAAAACCGACGGCGGGAAAGTGAACGGCGACTCTTCAAAAGCATACTCCAACCGCTCCACGATCTTCCCCAGACACTGCAACCAAGAAACTCAATCACTCAGATCCCAGAAACCACCATCAAAACATCACAAAAACCCCCGCAAAAGGAAAACCTACCAAAAGCACCAACTTGACCTCCTCCACCCTCCCTTCCCCCCTCCATCCTGCAAGCACCCCCGCAACACCCTCCACTAACCCCCCCAACCCCTCCACCTCAACCGCATCCCCGCGTAACTCATTCCCCGTATCCAACGCCTCATACAACCGCCCCGCCGCCTTCCTCCTCCACTCACCCACCGCACACCCCACAAACACCAAAAGACACAACCGGATCCGCATGGCCGCCCGCCGGGCGGAGTCCGAGGGACGGCAGGGGGCGAGTGCGACGCTGGGGGCGCCGAGGGTGATGCGGGAGGAGGCGAGGCGGGGCATTCCCTTTTTCGGGCGGTATAAGGGGGTCGTGGTGGTTGATTTGGTGGGCTCCGCTGGCGGTGGTGGCGGGGAGAGTGCGGGACCAAGGACGGCGTGGTGCAGACGGTCAAGGACGTCGGTGAGTTGCGCGGTGTAGAGGTGGTGGTCGGTAGGAGAGGTGGTTGTTGAATGGAGGTGGAGGAGGTGGGCGATGTCGGTGGGAAGGAGGCGGGTGGAGGTGGTGGGGAGTGGGGTTGAGGGTTTGGTGGTGGGGGAGGAGGGGGCCTGTTTTTGGGCTTGGGAAGGGGCGTTGGGTTGGAGGGCCCATGCGTGCTGGACGAGGACTGTTACGTAGCCCATTTGAGTAGACTACTGCCGAGTGGTTATTGGTTGTAATCCTGGAAAGCGTAGAGAGAGAACGCTCCGTCGATGTTTCAGTGATGTTGATGTGGGCACCCTACGGCTCTGTTGGATGTGCGGCTTCGCTTCTCCCTGTCGGGGAACATTTAAGGTCCCGACCTACGCACGCTGTCGAAATCCGGTCAGCCGAGGTGACATGTTTGTCAATGGCGACCCAGGCGCTGAAACTGCCAGGAAGTCAATGCTCTGAAAATGTCCGCAAAGAAAAACGCAAAGGAAAAATGCTATATATGTGCATGTCAATGTATGATGCGATAGAGGTCTTTGCGTGAACGGTAAAAAAAATGAGTGAAAGAAACAGAAACAAACGGCTACGAAAAAAAGAAAATGGGAGTCTTCTATCTATCGTGTGAAAGGAATGTTTTCCATTCACGCAAGCTCAATAGCATTCAACAACTCCTCGTCCTCGCTCCCCAGCTCCTCATCCCCCTGCAACCGCGCATACTCCCTCCGCTTCGGGCTCATCGATCTGCTGCGTCTCGAGGATCCGCCCGATCCCAGGAGTTCCCTGACGTTCGCCATCAATTCCGATCCGGCGTTCAGCATCGATGACTTCCGTCGGTCGGCTCTGAACCCGCCGCGGCCGTCCGAGACAGCGTCCCCGGCGTCGATGTCGATGCGGGCCGATATGGTGGGGAGTTGGAGTTGGCCTTCGGGGACTTCGGAGAGGGTTTGGGGCGGTTTGTAGGTTTTGAGGAGGAGGGAGGAGACGACGACGGAAACGGAGGACAGTGACATGGCCATCCCCGCCACCATCGCGGGTAGAGTGATACCCCACGGTGAGAGAAGACCCATGGCCATGGGGACCATGACGAGGTTGTAACCAGTAGCCCAGACGAAATTCATGCGGATGCGGCGGAAGATGACGCGGGAGAGGTGGATGGCTGTGACGACGTCGGAGAGTTCGTCGCGCATGAGGACGATGGATGCGGCTTCGACGGCGACGTCTGTACCGCCGAAGACGGCGATGCCGATGTCGGCTTGCGCGATGGAGGCCGAGTCGTTGATCCCGTCGCCGACCATGGCCATGACGTGCCCGGCATTTTGGAATTTTTCGACGAGGGACTTTTTGCCGGCGGGGGTGATGCCCGCGTGGACGTGGGACTTGGGGATTCCGCATTGTTTGGCGATTGCCAGGGCGGTGGGTAGTTGGTCGCCGGTGACCATCGCGACTTGGATGCCCATACGGTGGAGGGCACGGATGGTGGGGACTGCCGAGGGTTTCATCGTGTCCGCGAGGGCCACGAGCCCTACAGGCGCGTTGTTAAAGGCAACAAAGATGACGGTATGGCCGGACGACTCGTGATGAGTTTGCGCCGAGACGAACGCTGCCGGCAACGGCGGGCATTTTTGGGACTTCAGGAATCTGGCGTTCCCGATAAGCACCTGCACCGGCTTCTTCGCGTTGGGTGGGATGACCTCGCACTTCAATCCCGATCCCGCAACCGCATCAAACTCAGTGACTTTGTGCGGGAAGGACGTGATACCCAACATCATCTTCGCGTGCTTGACAACAGCTTTTCCGAGCGGATGCTCACTGTTCGCTTCTGCCGCGCCGACAATGCCAAAGAACTGCATCTCGTTGTATTCCGTCTGATGCAGCAAAGCTTTGACGACACTAAGCTTCCCAATCGTCAACGTGCCCGTCTTATCGAACACAAACTTCGTGACCCGATGAGCAGTCTCAAGCGGAACACCACCCTTGATAAGAATCCCCAGCTGCGCTCCAACTCCCGTTCCCACCATAACCGCAGTCGGCGTCGCAAGTCCGAGCGCGCACGGGCACGCCACGACAATAACCGATATCGACATACTCAAACAAATCACGATCGTGCTGCTCGTCTCAAACGGATGCGGGCGCCACGTCGTCAACGATAGCATGAAGAACCACATCGTGAACGTGAGGGCGCCGAGGATGATGACTCCGGGTACAAAATATCCCGCAATACGGTCGGCGATGTCCTGGATGGGCGCTTTGGAGGTCTGGGCGTCATTGACGAGCTTGACAATCTGGGCGAGTGTCGTGTCGGCGCCGACGCGGACGGCGCGCATGTGAATGACGCCGGAGCCGTTGACTGTTCCGCCGATGACTGAGTCTTTGACTTTTTTGGTGACCGGTAATGGTTCTCCGGTGACGAGCGACTCGTCGATCTGGGTTGCGCCAAACTCGACAATGCCGTCGGCTGGGAGACGCTCGCCAGGGACCACTTTGAGGAGATCGCCGGCTTGGACGTATTCTGCAGGGATGCTCTTCTCTTGAATCTCCCCGGTTTCAGGGTCGGTTGTAAGCAGGACAGCAGACACGGGAGCGAGCGACATCAATTTGCTCAAAGCTGAAGACGTCTTCCCTTTCGCGACATTTTCCAAAAACCGTCCCAGCGTGACAAACGTGATCAGCGTGGTGCTCGTCTCGAAGAACGTTTGCGGGCGCTTGTGTTGGCTTTCGCATACTGCAACCAGCATGGAGAGAACCGAGAAGGCAAATGCGGCCGTCGTGCCTAGGACGATCAGGACATCCATCGTGTAACTTCCATGCGATACAGCCTTGTACGCGGCGGTATAGAAGCGACGCCCAATGCCGAATTGCACTGGTATGGTAAAACCAAGCATAAGAGCGTCGCCTAGCGCCAGGCCCGGAATTCCTTCCCACTCCAGCAACCCACGCAGGAATGTCATGGGAAGAATCATGGAGAGGAGGGTGACGGGTAAGGAAAGGGCAAGAGAGCGCCAGAAGGCAGACCTCCATTCTTGGATTTCGCGGGTTCGTTCTAACGACTCGGCTTGCGCGTTGGAGCCCATATCAGAGAGGAACGCCGCGAATCCGAGAGCTTCGATCTTTTCGACGATGTTCCGGACTCCGATGATAGATGTATCATATTGGAACCGCCCGGTTTGGCCTAGGAGATTGACCGCGGCGCTTTGGATCCCCGGCATCTTCAACACCTCTCTTTCAATCTTGCCCGAACAGCTTCCGCACGTCATTCCGAAGATTTTGAGATCCACCTTTCCAAACTGATCGTCAGGGAGAACGGTCGCAACGAAGCCAATGTCGTTGATCAGCTCCGCCACCTGCTGCTTATCCAGCACCTCTTCCTTATACTGAACCTCGGCACGCTCAGCCAGAAGAGCAACTCTACAAGACACGATCGCTTTGTTCGAGCGTAGGTGCCTTTCTATGCTGGAAACGCAACTGGCGCACGTCATTCCGCGGACTTCGAGCTGGACGGTCCGCACGGGTCCGGCGGTGGTGGGGGTGTGATTTGGCGAAAGCGCGCTCTTCTGAGAGCGAGCGCTTTCGAGAGAATCTCGCCCCCTCGTGGAATTCGTCCCCTTTGTCTCTATCCGAATTGGGGGTTTGCCGTGGATGGAGTTTTCTGCTTTGAGCGTCGCGTCGAACCCACATTCCTCAATTGCATCGATCACCGTCTGTACTGATATTAACGACGTATCCAGCTCGACCGTTGCTAAGTTCTTTGTCAAATCGACGTGCGCCATTTGCACGCCGATCAATGGCTGAATCTTCCCCGTGATCGTTTTCACACAGGACTGGCATGTCATTCCCTGCACGTCGATTTCGTAACGCGATGGGCCTGAAGAGACATCGTTCGGCATCGCGTATGGTTGCGCGGTCCTCCCAGGCATGGATGCATCAAACCCGCAATCCTCGATAGCGGCCATCAGGTCCGTTGGCGACACTAGGCCCTCGTCGTACTCGATCGCAGCTGTCTCCGTTGGTAGACTCACTACCACCTGGCTAACCCCTGGAACCACCCGTACCGCAGCTGTGACCGTCTTGACGCACGACTGGCATGTCATTCCTTTGACAGATATGGTAACGTTCGAGGCCTTCTTTGCGGCACCTGCCAGGGTAGCCCCGAAGCCGCAATCCTCAATCGCGTCTACAAGTTTCTGCTCGGTCAGGACCTGCGGATCAAACTCGATAATCGCGGAATTCGTCTCCAGTGACACATTGATGGAGGTTACTCCCGGAATGGGTCGCAGTTGACCCTCAATCGTCCTAACGCATGACCCGCAGGTCATACCCTCAATGTCAATGGTCGATGTCTTTGTCGGCATGTTTCGACGGTCCGCCCGGCCGGTTGAAGAAGGAGAATGGGTGACGGGTAAGCGACGTTTTTCAACAAGTCAGTAATGGATCGCGAGCGGCGTCTGCTAAGTGGGGACTCCCCGTCTCGAAGAGCCAGAGACTGAATGCAGTATTTGAAACGTGACTTGCACTTCTGTAGAGAAGAGGTGTTGTTAGTTTAAGGACCAGTATCCAGCTGTCGTCGCTTTCAGGATGCAACAAACACCTCGCAAGCCACGGCTGTGCCGAAGATTTACGGCGACCGGAGTGATGACCAAAATTAGAAACAATGGGGAAGTGGAATTACCGAGCCTGAGCAAAGCACGATCAACTGTCCTGCATCCAGGACAGAGGATAGCGCTACGTACAGTATATGGAAGTGGGAGAACGAGGTACAGTATGGTTGATATGAGCCTGAGATGGATGACAGATGGATGTCTTTGTCAGTCGGGGCTGCGGACGTCCAACTTCTCGAATTCGAATCCGGAGCGGGGATCCGGAAGTGACGGCGGACAATGATGAATGGGCGTGGCGTTTCGGAGCAGCGTGCGCCAGCCACAGATCGCTTGCAAATTGCACTGTTCGTTACCCCGTGTCTTCGGGCATTAGTCATCCCGCTCGCCCCAACAGTCCGCCTGCACCCTGCCCTTCTCTCCAGATCCAAGTGCGAGCCTCTGCGGACTTCTCGAGTGCATTGCCTCTCTTTAGAGCCAGCCTCTTCGCAGATGGAAAGGCGGCTCTCATATGCGGTGATCCCACACTCTTTCACCACGTTGGGAGACAGAGGAGAGGCAACGGTAACGTGCAACGAGTGCGAAGACTGCCGCCAATCTGGGCTACAGGAAATGGCTTGACTACCATCATGCGTAGGTGTCTGAGGCCGGGTACTTGTTTGAGGTTGAGGGGCGGCGACTCTGTGAGCCTCCAAGGTCTGCTTAGGCGTTTGCGTGTTAGTAGCCGCGGGTCCGCCTCTATCCACTTGCCTCCCACCGCCCACAGGCTTCAAATCCATCACATGGGAGCTTTATTAGACCTTCCTCCAGCTCATGCATGTACCGCAGATGGCATGGATCGAAGAAAAGCCATCCAGAGAAGCACTAAAATATGTAGTCTCGTACCCGTTTTCGTATGACATCGCCAGGTGACAAATCACAAAAGTCCGACGCCGGACGATTCGCGTTCAAGCCTCAAATCGAAGCCTTCAAAAACGAGACCATCCGAGGGCCGTTGCATAAAAGCCAGCGGAAATGTTACCAAAACACTTGCAAACACTCCAAGCAAGAAGACTTCTTTTAGCACCCACCTTCCGCTCTACATTCCGTATTCACTGCTATCCCGTTTCAAGCGCAATTCACGCGAACTTCACTTCACAAAGGTGGGTGGGTATTCAGGCGTCGGCGGTGGGCGTGAAATACGCTTTGTCCGCGCGACTTCGGCTCATTGAAATTCCAGGACCTTTCTTTCCACCGCAAACACCAAGATGGTCGAACAGAAGGACGCTGCTGCGTGAGTGTCGGCTCTGGCGTACAGCGTAGCGTTGGTGCGCACGTTTTGCTGACAATTTCTATCCTACGAACAATGGTGATAGGGCCTCCATCTTCAAGTAGGATTACGGAACTGGAGACCAACTCGTACATTGGTCTTGCTCTAGCGCTAACGTCAACTTGATCGCTGCAGATGGGCATCAAAAGACGGGGAGTTCCGTCGGTATGTCCTTCGCCTTCGCATGTCATTGGAAGATCTTCCGCGTTGTACTCACAGTCCACCTCAGCCAGGTGTCATCCTTCCGCGACGTCGTATCCACTGAAGCAGACGCAAAGTTCAAGGCCGAACCTGGAAGATATCATCTCTACGTATCATGGGCGTGCCCTTGGGCGCACCGCGCCATCATCGTTCGGTATGCTGGCATGTGAAGTTACGCCCGATATGTTCAACCGATACTTACTGCCGAGATGTTTCTGATATAGCGCGTTGAAAGGGTTGCAGGATGTGATTGGCCTTTCGGCTGTCCACTATCTTCTGCAGGACAAGGGATGGCGGTTCGAGTATGTTTGTCCTTCTGTACGATTTCGCGTTGTTGAGACGCTGATGTGGTTTTTTTCTTAGCCACCCTGGTGAATCCACACCCGGCGTCATCAACGACAACGTCAATGGCGCTGAGTACTTGCGGGACATCTACTTCAAAGCAGAGCCCAACTACGAGGGACGATGTGAGTACCCGAATGGTTGTCAGAGTACTGCATAATGAGCGCCTGACAAGGCCCGCCAGTCACGGTCCCCGTCCTCTGGGACAAAAAAACCCAAACAATCGTCAACAACGAATCCTCCGAAATCATCCGTTTCCTCAACACCGCCTTCGACGAATGGTCCTCTGCGCCCGGTGTCAGCTACTACCCCGAGAACCTCCGCAAGGAGATCGACGACCTCAACGGCTGGATCTACGATGAGATCAACAACGGGGTGTACAAGGCCGGGTTTGCTACTACCCAGGAGGCGTATGAGAAGAACTATAAGTTGGTGTTCCAGGGACTTGACAAGGTGGAGAACATCCTTGCGAAGAAGGAGTGGCTTGTGGGGGAGACCTTCACTGAGGCCGACATTAGGCTCTTTACCACTATCGTGCGATTTGACCCGGTAAGCTTAATACGATTGCCGCCGAGTTTGGACGTTCTCGACTATTTATACACTTCCATTTCATTAGGTATACCACACCCACTTCAAGTGCACCGGCGGAACCATCGCGCACAGCTACCCCAACATCCTGAGGTGGACGCGCCAATTCTACCAGCTTCCCAAGGTGAGGCCGTCCGCACATCTTGTTCCCACACCACACTGTTACTCATTACAGTCACAGATCGCGGAGACGGTCAACATGGAGCACATCAAAAACCACTATTACATGTCCCACATCCAGATCAATCCTACTCGGGTTGTACCCGTGTGGAATGGCCCGGATCTCACCGTGCCTTACGCTCAGAAGTAGACGGCGTAGGCTCATAGGCTCTCTAGTATAAATAGCATAGTTTTGAGCGATAATCAAAACACAATGCGATGCGTATACACTCATTCTAAAAGGTGTTTACGCTCATAGTGTCACCTATCTCACCTATCTACTCGTATCTACTCTATCATAAGCACGCCGTACCCCTGCACATCCTCGCACATTCCAGGCGGGATGTCAACCCCATGCGTCTCCAACAGGTTCGCAGCGACCGCGAACAGCTCGTTTGTGAACTCAGCACCGCATGCACACGGTCCGGTGTCGTGCAAAACTGATGACAGATTACTTTGGAAGTGGGCGTAGAGTTCCGCCGCCTGTGCACTACTTGTAACGGAAGGAAATGTGTTCAATGAGAGGTGAGACGACGAATGTGGAACGGGATATATCGTGTCGGAAAACTTACGAAATCAACTCCTCGCTATGTCTCGTCGTTGCCGGCACACCCCTCCAAGCCGACTTATCCCCCACTTGCATCTCATGCGCCACCGCGAGGCACAACAACGTATCCTCATCAAACAGCTCGTCCTCATCTTGTGCGGTTAGTGTGCTCATCAGCGATCGGAAACAGTGGGGGAGATGGGATGAGTCCAGGGTGAGGAGGATGGAGGAGATTGGGGAGGTGGGTCCGGCTTTGAGTTGGAGGAAGGAGCAGAGGGCTTGGGTGGCGAGGGTCATGTTGTGGCGGAGGATTCGGGCTTGACCTGGGGCGTAAAGTAGAGGGCACGATGTTAGGTGCCGTCTATATCGATACCGCTTGGTCCATTCCGTATACCCACCCTGGCGATAAACAGTGACCATCCGCACCCGCTCCGCATCGACACCGCCCGTCTGCAACGGTTTTGAGATTTCCCTCAACTTGCCACCAAGCAGCTGCCACAGCGTCGAGTAGGTAGCCACCTCATTCCGCGGGTTTACGGCACTCCGTAAAGCAGCGCCTCCATGCAGATCAAGCTCAATCCCATGCTCATTCATCACCAGAAGTCTCGTCACCGCGACAAGGTCCGGTGGGAGAGCCGTCTCATCATCGCCAGCAAACAGCAGGTGTACCAATCGGTTAGGCTGCACCGCCGCAAGCAGTTCCCGTTTCCGCTGTGCACACGGATCCGATTCATCGCGGATATTGAGCGCGACTTTGACATAGTCTTCCGGGTTAGGATCCAGCACGAACCCGTAGTTGCCCAACAAATTCTCATTTCCCTTCGCGCCATAATTGTTGAACACCTCCCCAGCAGCCGCCACATCCTCCAACGCAATGAAAGAGACGGATTGGCCGTCCTCGATCCGCCATTCGATGCGGTGCCCGCGGCGGTGGTTCAGCATGTCCAGGACGGGGTAGAGGCAGAGCTCGCTGGCGCCGGATGATATCTCCGCTGCTTCCTCGGCTGCGTGTTCCCGGTCTTCTGCAGTGGCTGGTCGGCTGCGTGGGAAGGCGCGGCTGGATACCGCTGAGTATGCCCAGAGGAGGTTTGGCCATATCAGCGAGTTTCTGATGAACATGTCCCCACACGCTTCCCTGACCATCTCCAGCCCTTTCTGTAAAAGCTTCCTGCGCTCTTCGACAATGTGGTAAAGATTCGTCCCCTTCAGCAATTGGGCCACCTCGCTCTCTGGCCACGACAGGGGGAGCGAGTACTCCTCGGGCAACGCCTCCAGGTACGGTTTCCAGAACGAGCCGGCGTTCTCATACATCTCGTACACCAGGAACGCTGACACCAGGATCAGACCGGGTGCATACGGATCCTTCCCGTTGTGCGTGATATCCGACGCATGCTGCTGTAGGTAGCTGTGCAGTTTCGCGCCGAAGGGAGACGAGCGGGCGACAGTTTCGGAGAGGACCAGGGAATATGGGATGGAGGTTATGACTTCTTTTGTGGTTATGGTGTCGGATGCATAGACACCTCGGCTGGCGCACAGAGGATCTGAAAAGAAGGTTGGTTTACCGATTAGACCTGACGCAACGCCGACAAAAATATGAACTGTTTTTTCTCTCACCATCGGTCTGCGGTCCGTCCTGGAAATTCAGCTTTGGGAAACTTGCGCCATGGCTTTTCGCCCATTCGAGGAGCCTTTCAACTTTGCTCCTGCCGGCGATACCGGAGTTTGCTGGAGCATTCTTCTTGGTGAAGTGTACGTCCTCGGCTGCATTGCTCAACCTCCGCTTTTTCGGAATGTGCTGTGAACCTTCGGCTGCCATTGCGTGCCCCGTCCCCAGTTACTGCCCACTCAGACCGTACCGGACAGTAATTCAATCAGGGGAGGGCCCTGGTACTGGGCGTTGGGTTGCTTGGCCACGGGTTTTACTACCTCACCAGCAGCTTTAAGGTGAACAGACTTCTCTTACTCGCAACTTGAACGCCAACGAACGCGTTTCCTCAACCATTGCACGCCGGGCAACAGTTGAACAGGCACGCAATGGGCTTCCAAGAGCTCCAACGTCCTCGTTATACCAACTCGTTATTTCCGGCGAGAACGATGGATTAGATGGAAGTGTTGGATGCTCATGGTGTTGCGAACCCTGCACCCCAAGTATGTACAAACTTTTCAGAACCTTTCGAAACTCTTTCTAACGACCGCGACATCGAAGCCTTCCGACCAGCCTTCCGACGCGTTGGCGCAATGCCCGCGCGATGGCGATGGGTCAAAGCCAGCAACCCCAAGGGGGGCAGCTGCATTCTAAGGATATTGAACCGCATCATACTATCATTCACTCATTCATATAACAACTGCCGCCTTTGTTAAAAAAAACTGCCTACCACGGTCGCTTTGCCTTGAGACGGACAGGATATCCAACATAACCAACACAAGCAATACATGCTTCCGCCCTCGCTGTGAGTCTTCCACAGCACCTCCGAAAGGGTACATTTCCAACCTCACAGAAAAAGCTTCCAACCTATGGTAAGACAAGTGAAGGATCACCGGGACGGATGGAGAGTATTGGAAAGTAAACAAAGTCAGATCGGGAAGTCGAGGGAGGGTGGTCTTTTTATACTCAGTCGGCGGGGCAGGGCGACACGAAATCATGAATACTGGCCAGTGCAGGCTTCTGGGGAGAAGAGGAGACAGAATCGCCCGCCCTCGAACGTCGAGGAAGACGTGAATTCTCTAATGTACAGTATAAAAACAACAGGGGCAGAGGGAAGACGCTGCAAATTTCTATAGTATCTCGTTCGCATGCATTGGACTCGCTCGCATGCATGCATCTCGTTCGTGAGCAGCAGGTTTGTCAGTGGGGTTCACGTCGGAGAACCTCGAACCTGTCGAACGTCTTGTGAAGTGTACAGTATACGAGTCTTGCGTCGACGCGTGGACATGGAGAGCGAAATGTGAATCAGACGTGATGAGGAGGCGGTTCATTCTCCGGGCGACAGCCTTCGCCATCTAAATCTACTCCAGCAACCCTATCGGACTAATCAGAGCCACTCGAGCCTCGCCGCCGGTACCCAATGGCCAACCCACTACCCATCCCCCGCTTCCTCTATGGAACCGCGTGGAAAAAAGACGAAACCCACAGCCTCGTCAAAACCGCAATCCTGCAAGGATTCCGCGGCATCGACACCGCCTGCCAGCCAAAGCACTACAACGAGCCCCAAGTCGGCAACGCCATCGCCGAAGTCACTCAGAACCACAACATCCCGCGCTCCGAACTTTTCATTCAGACGAAATTCACGTCATTGGATGGACAGGACCCGCTGCGTATCCCGTACGATAAGCACGCGACGCTGGAGGAGCAGGTCACGCAGTCGTTCAATGTGTCGTTGAAGAACCTGAAGGTCTCGTACATTGACTCGCTGGTGCTTCATTCGCCGATGAGGACATTGGAGGACACGCTGCGAGTTTGGCGGGTTTTGGAGGGGTTCAAGCAGCAGAATAAGGTGCATTACCTGGGCATCTCCAACGCGTACAATCTGCGGTTTCTCCAGCAATTGTATCAGCAAGTCTCCGTGAAACCGTCGTTTATACAAAACAGATTCTATCGCGAGACGGGCTGGGATCGCGACATTAGAAGCTGGGCTAAAGAGGTCAATATCAAATATCAGAGCTTTTGGACGCTCACTGGCAATCCAAATGTGCTGGCGTCGCCTGTGATTGCTCGCATCGCGAAAGCCAGGGAATGCTCCCCAGAGCAGGTTATGTACAAGGTCTTGATACAGACGGGGATCGTTCCACTGAATGGCACAAAGAACGTGACACACATGAAGGAGGATTTGGCGATCCTGCAGTGGGAGAACTGGTCAGACGAGGAGATCGATGCCGTTTTGGCCTTAGTTGGCGGAAAGTAGGCCGCTGCGTGCTGGCATGACGTACGTGATATGGCCCCTCGATGTAATGCCCTCTACAAAATGTAGGTAGTTATGCAAGCGTAGGAAGTAGGTCTAGTCTTCGATCAGGCGCACGATTATGTACATATCTCATACGAATGGTGACATAAAAAACATGGTATACGGCAGGCTGCGACTATGGTGGAAAGAAATGAAGCTGAAAGCATATCTATATAGTCTCCTCATGCACAACTCCTAATAGGGCACCCCCTCTGTACGAAGGATTCAGAACGCACCCAACGAATTCGAAAGCTACGCAAGTCAACCCCTCATCCGCTCCTACGTCCACCATTGACACCGTCGTCGATTCCAGGCGGCGAAGGGTACATCTCATTCCCCGAAACGGTTCGAAAGGCGGCGAAGGGTACATCTCATTCCCCGAAACGGTTCGAACCCTTGTGCCGTTCAACGGTGGTCGGATACGGACTCAAAGCCTCCATGGTAGTGTGCCATGCCCGTTTCTGCTTGGCCAAAGGGGTGTTCTCCGGAGTGAGGTTTGAGGTTTGCTGCCGATTCGCCTCTGACGGTCCAACCTTGGCGACCAAGCTTGGTGGAGAAGCGGTCTCAGCAACGTCGGTGAAGAGAATTCCGTTGTGGCTGAAGCTGCTGTGAAGTAGGTCTTCTTCAAAAACGAGTAACGAGTCATTCTCAATGTCGTAGGGATCAATTGTGGTTTGCGAAAAGGCTCTGTCAACGGGTAGGCTTTGGGCGTCCTCGGGAAGTGCTGCCGCACTGATTATCTGGTCGAGGTGATTGAGCTCATCGAGAGGAAGGTCACTGTCCATGTCAAACGAATCCGGAGAAGCGGCATGTGGGAGTGGAGCGCCTCGCGGCAATGCGACACTCATCTCTTCCTCGTTCGGCGCCTGCATAACATCGTTGAAGGGACGGCGATGCTCGGTGACGCTAAGCATGGTGTTGCTCTGCATGGCTGGGATGCAGAATATAGAACGTCAGTCGGCGATCTACAACATTAAACAATATACATCGAATTGCGTACGCAGACTGAGCTCATCGTCTCTTTTGCACTGTCTTGTGGTCAACTGTTTGGATCGCATCATGGCGGCCAAGTCGCCATTTGTGATAGTCGCGGGTACGTATTTAGCTTGCCCGTCAGATTGATCAACCTCGGTCAAGTCGTCGTCGTTAGCATCCTCTGCAATGGGTGAAGTGGAGTCGGGCACAATATGTGACGTCCCTAAGTAGTTTTCCGCATATTGGTCGTCGTGTGCAGCATAGTCGTCTTGTACAGCGTGGTTGTTGAAGGTCAAGCGAGGATCCACCGGTAGTTGATTTGGTGTAGGAGCGAATGGGAGATGCAGATCTGACCCTAAAGCTTGGAGCTGACGAGCGAAAAAGTTTGTCGCCGGGAAGGGTTGAGCCCCCGGTTGGAGACGGTGGGACGAGGCTGGGGTTTCCGGACGACGAGGAGCTTGCGGCGATAAGGAGGCAAACGGTCGGTCCGGCCAAGAGAAGAGATCCTGCTCCTCAATCGTTGGCCATGAATCCCAAGTGGGAGATGCAACTTCCTGTACGCGCGACATCCATGTTGGAGTGCCACGTGCGTAAAGTTGAAATCCCTATTTCGGCAAAAGACGTTGAGATGGATTGAAAGGGGAATTGAGGGAACCCACTGCTACCTGTTCATGGTTCGGGGCGAAGAAATCCGCGCCGCTTCTTATAGAAGCTGTGTCAGAGAACCCCGATCTCATCGGTTCCTCCGAAATCTCTCTCGCTCTGCTTTGGGTCGCTACCGTGCTCGCTTTCTGACGCCCAAAGAAATTGTCTTCTTTTCTCAACTGATGTTTATGCTCGGCAGCAGCATCGGCTTCCCTTCCGCCATCTTTCCGGCTTTGTAAAAGGGTCGTAAACTTCTTCCCCAAGCTGGTTCCCCGTTGATACTTCAATCTTTGCTCATCAGCAAAATCGCTCACCGGCGTTGATGTAGGTTTTCCGTCCCTCGCGTTGCGAGATTTCGGTTTGGGTCGCCTTGGGGAGACGAGTTCGTCCGCCAGATCTTCCAGTTGTTGCTTCGAACGGTAGCATTTGAGCCGGCGCAGGTCTTGTATTGACATCGACTCCCAGGTCACTTACCTGCATGCGATCGAATTTGGAGTTCAGAGCCGCGCTTGATCGTCCTGGCACGGGCGGACTCGCTACAGACACTATTTCCGAGTGTATCGATCGGGTATCATGAGGGACGTGGTTTACGACTGACGAACGGCCTGCTTCAACGCGTCAGGATGAATGATGGGATGTTCATACGGCAGTTAATGCAACTCGCCTGGAGACCCGGCAAATTCCCGATAGTAAGGATGGAATACTCCCGGGTTGCGGAATGCACCCGGAAGTCGATTGGCGAAAGGGGAAGGTACATGCCAAGGTTCCTGCTCCTCCGGTCGCCGTTTGATGACTGTAGCCGATACTCTACGGTTGCAGGTGGGTCATCACTGGCACTTCAAAACACCCGGCGTCAAACAAGCGAGGCATACAACCCTGCTACGGAACTTACTTTGCAAAGGGAATAGCCTGCAACTCATCTTCGAGAATTTGTCCTTGGTCTTCGTCCACCGACATATTTGTTCGCTATATTGCGTCCTGGAACCGGAGACCAGCGTGAATGAGAGAAAATCCACTCTACGTTGACCCTAACGGAGACTAAGTGGACGTCCGTTTGTATGGCGATGACCTCTGGGCGCGGGTTGAACAAGCGTGGGAAAATGCTCCAAGAGAAGGCAAACCCTGGGAAAGCTCTCCGGAAAGCTCCTGCGGGACGATGCGGGGTTGGTGGTTAGGGTTTAGAGGCGGGGATGAAGGCGTATGGGTCTTGGCGTAGATTGTTTTGAAGGCGTGATGTGTATGTATGTAGAGGCGTTGATGGTTGTTGCTTTTGCATTTTGGTGGTTTGATTATCATACGCATTCCAAACGGGTTCCTCTCAGGGCAGTCTCAGGGGCACTCATGGTTTGACAGCAACTGACACTATTTTCGCCTCTCGCCGTTTTCAGGGGTTCCCTATCTTCGTTTTGGGTCCCTCCTTGACGCCCTTCTCTACCCATTAATAGGTCGCCCGGATGGCTTCGACCGTGAAACTCCCAACACATCAAAGGGCATCACCAGCACCTCGCTCAATTCCACCCACTCAAACAGTACATGGAACGTGTCAAAGTTTTCTTGTCCTTCCACTCCAGCGTTCCCATTCATGTCCCACAGCACTGGAGCATATTTCCCGTCGTCTTTCCCTGATTTCGTTTTCATGTCACTGTCTCATTATCCTATCACCCCTCGAGACGCGGGTATTTTTTTTGGGATATGTTATATGTACAAGATGGGCGGGATCGTTATGATGGGCAGAACGATTACCCGGAAGGTTGGTTTTTACGCAGCGGGTGGTAAGGGATTGGATATGCGTAAATATGCGAGACGTTGGCGGCCCCACCCATACACAGACATGGGGGAATACAGGCAGCATTTCGCAACCCATCACTCCTTATTCGACGTAAGTTCAATCAACAATTGCCTGCAAAAGCATCAGCATCAGTCGGTTCACCGCCCACTATCACATCAACAAAAACAGCAATGAGAATTGGTATGAGACGTACCAGTCGGAAGGGTTATCCAGCATCACGGACTGCTTAAGAGCTGCTACTGCGTCGTCTTTGCCTAAAGAATTCCAAAAAAAAGGGGGGTAAGGAAAAATTTCGGTTGGAGATCGAAGATAGATTCAACGGCGACACTTTACGATTTACGGCTATACATGCGCGGGCCAATATTTGGAAGGCGTTGTACTGGGTTGGGATGGGAACAATCAGTATATTGCGATCCAGATACCCGCCCGGGCACATCTAGTTACAGGGGCAGATGCATCCTGCATCCCCACCACTTCCGCGGAACCCACATTAAGGGGATCCAAAGCAACGCTCTTCTCAAAACATTCAATAGCTTTCGTGAAATCCTCCTTGTTGTAGAACCCCACGCCGCATCTGAACCAGCCTAGGGAGTTGCGCGGGGAGGGAGCCGATACGGAGGAGGAGCCATTCTTCGGAGCTGTTTTGGGAGGATGAGGGGGTGAGGGTGGGGGCCGAGGTGAGCGGGAGGCTGGTGGAGGGCAGGGTGTCGGCGCCGGGTTTTTTTTGGATGGGTTCGGGGTCGGCGGTTGTTGCAATCGTGCGGTGGGGAGGTGGTGGAGGTGGGGTGGGTCGGGAGTATGGCTCCTCAATCCTCATTCACGCGTCTGCCTTGCTGTCACATCCTTTTCGAGTTTTCGAAAACAAGACGCCGGGAAGACAGGTTTGCTCAGACGCCGCGATAAGCAGCATGGAGGACGGTTGTTGAAGTATGTTCGTCCTGCGCACCGATACAACGAAGCCGGAACCGACAGACGACGTGGACGAGCTGCTTGAAGCGCTTGCCAACGTGACTCTAGGACAACCAGAAGCATCAGCTCAAGAGAACATGGTATCTTTTACTGTTTTTTTCCCAGGCTATTCACTTTCTATATCAGGGTCGCTGACAGCCTGTCCATTTCGTTTGTAAGATACATCCTCGCGTGCGCAGAAAGCGCAGGAAAAAGAAGAAGAGGCAGTCTGCAGGTCTTGCCTGCGAGCGGATAGAGCCTCTCGGCGGTAAGCTTCCGTTGGACCTGGTGAACCCGGAAAGCCGCGACTTTCTTCCTCCAAGTTCCTAAAGACCTCTTCCAGATCCAGCACCACCGCAGGCTCCAATCCCTCCTGTGGCAGAAGTCATCGACCTTACACTTTCTGACGACGACGAAACTCCTGCGGTGCCGACCTGGCCTTGTTACCAAGCAGAGCATATACCCTCGTCGTTTTTGAAGAAGCTGAAGCGCGATGCTATTAGCCGCGAGAAGGACATGGAGCTCCAACGGTTCTTGCGGGCCGTCAAAATACAAGAAAGGAATGTGGGAAAGGGCAATGACGCACCAATTCTGCAAATTGACAACATACCAGTTTCGATATCGCAAATCGAGGAGTTACTTCGCCCAGGATCTTGGTTGAACGATGAGTCGATCAATGGACTCTTTGCGCTGCTTCAGACGCGCTACCCAAGAACACGTTTCTTCAACACCTTCTTCTATCCGGCGTTATTCAAGGAGGGGGTGTACTCATATAAGGCAGTTCGGCGCTGGACGCGGAAACATGCCAATGGAGTGTTTTCCTTCGATAGAGCTGTGATCCCGATCAACAAGGGGAATTATCACTGGTGAGTTTTATAGCATGGTGATATCCTACAGAAGCGTTGCACGAAAGTTGTCTGTGTGTTTACGAACTTGTCACACAGGTGCTTAGTGACGGTTGACTTGGTGGAGCATCGCATTGCCTTTCATGACAGTATGGGCTCTAGCGCGCGTTACGGCAGTAAGGTCATGGCCACCATCAGGCAATATCTGCTGGATGAGGAGAAGGACAAACAGCGCTCTGGGATGCAAAGTGTAGGCAATATCAGGCCGTCCCCGAAGCTATGGACTGCATCATCCCCACCGTGTCCGCAGCAGCAAGATGGCGGCAGTTGCGGGGTTTTCACCTGCCTCTTCGCGAAGAGGTTCGCTATGGGACGCGAGATGGATTTCTCTCAGAGCGACGTTGATCAATACAGGCGGAAGATCGCCTGGGATCTGGTGGGCTTGCGTCTGTGCTCGGAGAAAGCACAGCACGCAGCTAAGTGAATTTTGGCACCGTATGCAAAATCCCCGGAGCCTCGGCGTATGGCAGGCTGTATTGCCAATGTATATAGATGTCGGATGAAGGCGCACTGTATTTCCTCAACACATGTGGTGTCTCGAAAAATTGAAGTGTACCGACACTCGTTATTCCTTGGTTATGGAGCTAACCTGCGCTCAGGCGAACCCTGCGAGGATCTTGGTGATTCGCCTTGATTAGCCTGTTGATGTAATATCATCGTAATATCGACAGCCCCGCGCGCAGAATCGCACTTTTCTTTTTTTGGAGTATTGCAATAGCTGGAATTGTGTTCACTCACCGTACGTAGTGTTACGCATCCCACAAAACAATGAGATACCCCTTGGGAGCCGAAACTGCTCGACAGCTCTCTGCCCAATCATTAGCGCTGTTCCGCGGTCTCGCGTCTCAGAACATGTTGGATTCCGCCCTGGGAAAAAGCACCTGCCCTCCGGAAACCTCATAAGGATCTTCCGTTTCGACGGCCTGCTGGACAAACGAATATGAAGCCAGAAAGATACCTCGGATGGACTGGAGTCGGTCAATTTCCCTCGCTCTGACTTTACCACAGGAGATCGAGCATCGAGATGACACGCAGGTACGCACAAATAGGTGACAGCTACACCGCGGTTTTGCCTGCCTTCTCGGACACGTCCCAACGTCGCCAACATATCGGGCAGCCTGTTGTTTTACAGGGCGCCACTGGGCAGGACATGCGGAACTTCGTCGCACAGTATCAGCACGCTGAGAGTGTAGCATAATGGGTGCGGCGGTTCATGCGATCGCTGCACTCGTAGTACCTCACGACTAACGTGACGGCCACGACGGTTGGGGGGCACAAGCAGCGTGAAGCACTGTCTACACCAACCATCCGTGATCCCGTCACAGAAAAGTCTGCCCGCCTGCAGCGGAGTGTGTGTCGATCTCCTTCTTAAGGCACACATTGCAATATTCAACACCATTGACCAGCGACCATCATTATGTCTCCCTTTATTCAATAACAGGCGCCATCCAGAGGTAGTGCAATACCGGAGGCACCATAGCCGAGGCATTGAGCAAGCCCAATACAACTCTGCCGTGTTTCAAAAAATATGGCACACGCCCTCCAGTGGGTTTCAATCACTTGAATGTGGCCGTGCATTTTGCTGAAAAGTGAGCGGGTTTCCGAGACGGGAAACGGCTTCTTCTATATACCCCGCAGCGGAGTGTCAACGCGAGTTTGCTGACGAGAGGTCAAGTCACGTGACATCGAATTCGACTCATATGAGTTCTCTTTGCTCCTCGAGCTTAGGAGAGGAGAGAAGCTTCTTTTTGGAATGTTCTGCAATGGTCTGTCCGCCCCTAACAAGTTACGGATATCATAATGAAGTGGCTTTCGAGAATGACGTCGGCGGGTCGGTATTGCACCGCTCCGGCAAGGTCCTTCTTCCCGATATTATTCTCCCTCCGATTGCTTAGTCGTCCGATATCCACATACAGAGGAGGAAGCCAAACATGAAAGACCCTTTCTCTTCAATGTGGTCCCGATGCAATTTATGTTGCGACGGGGAGGGGTTTCCCGTGCGGGTAGACCTCCTCTCACGCGCACTGGCGCGCGTTATGTCAGCTATTCGAACGCGTCCCCTTCGCTTAGAGAAACCTCCCTCGAACCCCTCGCCTACGGGTTTGCATGAACTTTTTTTTTTCCAAGTGGAAGGAATGTGGCATTGCCACGATCCGTCGCCAAGCAATGGCAACATTGCAATGGATGTCCCCTGGGTATAAAATGGCGAGGGACCGAAGCCGACAGGCTACTTTTAAGATCCCCATGACCACCATCTATCTAGCATTGATCAAAAAACGGAAGAACAACAAACTCTGCTCGATATCGCACATCTTTGCCAAACATGAAACTCTGCAATCTCTTCGCCGTCGCGGTATTGGCTCCGACCGCTGCTCTTGCTGCAAAGACTGTCGGCGACCCTTGCGATCCGGCCACGATTCTATTCGGATGCGATGGGACGGACTTCTTGCAATGCACGGTCGATGGAAAATGGGTTCTCCAGGTATGCATCGATTTGATACCCATTCAAGAACTCCGGTTATGACGTTGAAGACTCGGTTACTTACTCTCTCGTATTTATCCTTCCCGTAGAACAAATGCCCTGATGAGTGCGAGACGGACGCTCAGTACGGTCCTCTCTGCGATCTTTCCCCGCCAACGGGTACTGCAACACCAAGCACCACAGCCCACCATCGTCACCGCACCGCTACGCCTGCGGTAACGCACACTAAGAAGCACATCAAGTCCCACAAAACCAAGGCAACCTACCACACCAAACCGACGCATAAGAGTCATCACACGGCGGGAACGCACAAACCCAAGCCCCACAAGACCAAGGACCACAAGACGATCAAGCGTACGACAAAGACTTTGAAGCTCAAGAAGACCAAGGCGACCCCGACAGCGACCAAAGACCACCATAAGAAGACCAAGGAGGCCGCGGCGGTGACGAAAAAACACAACAAGGCCAAGCCTACCAACTGAGGAATGCTTTGATCGTGTGTAATATTTGCGACTATTCCCTGTTGATATGGTGTTAATGTGTAATTTGAATGTATTTCTACGTACCCAAAGATGCTTCTCGATTGGCGGACAATGTAAATTTGGTACAACGTTGATGCTTGCTCTCGTATTCTACGGTCCGTTTGCTATGCGCATCCTACGCTTTGCGAAGTGTTTCTTAGTGCCGCGAAGAGAGCAAGACAGTTTCCCTCCGGTCCCTCATAACGTGCGCAACGTTGAGTCTGGAGCAGCCGCGTTCATCTGCGCTCCGGTCAACTTCTCATTATCCCAGCGGCAGGTTGTTGTACAGGAAATCGGTGGTGAGCGGTGAGACCGGAGTCACTCCAGTCTCCGATTGCGCGTCAATGCCCAGGGTCGTGATTTGATCATCAAGGAGGTGCACACGGATGCCTCATCTCGATACAGCCCTGCGGCTTCGGACCCCGATGACTGAAAGGACGCAAATCGATAGCTGCGTACAACATAATTTTTCACGACGGTGGTCGATGCAGGTGGGGATGGGTCATCCATACAATGTGATGGGAGAACACTTGGCACTTCCAGTCGATAGGCTGTGCATTTTGGAAGGGAATTGGAGTTAGCGGCGGCGCTGAAGAGCCCTGAGTCCTCATGTCGATGCGAAAGTGCGCCAGAAGTAACTGGCAGGAGTTTTCCCAGGATCCTCCAACGTACAGCTCAGGAAGACAGCTTTATGTATCGCTGATGAAGTGCCATAGCGGAAATGTAATTTATTGAGATCAGATATAGACGACGAATGCACTTCTAACCCACAATGACAGGGTACTCGAATACGCAAAATGGAAGATCACTAAAGATCGTTTGGTTAGATATCTGGCTCCCCTGGGTGCTGATTGAAGTCCCGTCGGTGCCGTGAATAAGTCCAGTAGTGGTCAACAAGCAAGCGGAGGTTGGCACCTCCTTCGATATTACGGTCCAAGATCACCTGGACCGCGATACATAAGGAGGTACAAAGCCGCCTCTTTTCCGCCGCCTTCATCCACAGAAATGAACGTATCCATATGTCGTCGCAGTAGTCGCAGTATGGCTGTAGACAATGCCGTCCGGAGGGTCCCATCTTCGGAAAGGATTTTGCAAAAAACGTCGTCGCATGCGTTGGAGTAGTGTGTTCGCAATTTCGAAGCCCCCATTTGCAGCATGGCAGTTGCCGGAGGAACAGTCTCTCGGCGATGAGAACTGTTACCGCCTGCAATAGACGCATGCCGCATCACGGTTTTGACTGGTACGGACCCGCAGATAGTGATGTAGACGCCTAAGTCTTCCCGTCGGCCGCAGACACTCCCGTGGCTCTGGCCCATTTCCGAGGCCAACGCTGACACTGAGCCAGTATCTTGCGGATTGAAGGCCGACGCTGACACTGTGCCAAAATGTTGAGGATTGATGCCCACTGCTCATAAGTGATGCATATACGTTGCATCGTCCATCAGTGCTCGATGCTGGTGCATATTCCGGAACATCTAAGCCCTTTGAATTCTCACGCTTGAACCTGTCCGGCGAATCTAGTCGGTGATTGGTGGCCCGTACCGGAACGGGTAACCGAGATTTGGTTGCTGACGATAGATCAACTCGAGTCTTCTTGCGAAGTAATTGATCGACTGGATAGTTACATGATTGTCGTAAACCATTGACGTCGCAATGTTTGGAGCGACGGACGAGTTCGCCCATGGCGCAGCGCGGTCTAGCACGCAGGTGGGGTCAGCGCCATGCCAAGTATGCGCTGCGCAGGTATCCCTCTAATCCATCATAAATACTTCCTGAGACATTGGGATGAACCGTCATGGTTGCCAGTGAAAAGTTCCACCTGAACTGGCTCCGGGAAACCCCAGGGGTTGCCACGAGCACAAGGGATGCCACTCTGGTGAGGAATAGTGAAGTGTCTCGGCGTCAGACCGCAGAATGTTCATATCCGCCCTGTGGGTTGGCAAATTAGCACTCGTCGCCGATGGTTCCTATAGCGCTGTCCATTTGGAGCCCAATGCCTTGCGGTTCTGGCGAAGGGATCGCGTCCTCGTCGCCTTGTGTGCCTTGCGTCTTTTGCATGGCATTTCCAGCTTAGTTTGCCGTGCGTGCAATTCGGACTTCGTCGCTACCACCATGTCCTTCTTCTGTTGGCGGGCAGTCGCTTGGGACAGGGAGGATGTTGGCTAGAACGGGGGCGAGGCGGGAGCGGTGGGCGGCCTTGACTTGTTCGTAGAGACGGTGACAGATGCATTCCGGTAGCTCTTCCCAGTCTAAGTTTTCGGCAGCGAGGTGGAGCAAGCGTTTTAGGGAAGATGTGGCCATATCCCAGGCACCAGCAATCTTAGCCAAGGGTCTTCGTGTAAGACGTTCCGGACGCGGTCTGCCCCTGCCATGGGCGAACTCGTCCGTCGCTCCAAATCAGCCACCGTTTCCCATCGCGCGACCGGCAGCCTCCACCGTCTCCGTCTCCGGGTGGAGCAGCGCAGCGGGATTTCTCATAACGAGACCTATGGGAACTCCCAAAGGTCTGGGAGATCCGTCTAAGTTCCTGAAGTTTCATTTGATGAAGGCCCCCTAAACCGTCGGTACAGAGTATGAGATGTGCGTGATTTTCCGGTTCATGTTCCGCATGTGAAAACACCATACTTGTTCGGGCGTCGATCGTAGAGGCCGCACCCGCTTGTGCAACAGGAACATCGACCCAAACAGGCTGTTCCTCTCCTGTGGGGTGCGATCATTTACATAGCGTGCTGTGGGTTCTGGGTGGGGGGCTAAAGTCACGCCGTAGGTGAGACCATGTTTTGTCTTTATCTCCCCTGTCGCCTCATAAAACAATCGAAAGTCGAAATCCCAATAGGCGGGTGTCCGTCCGCTGGGGACAGATGTGAACGGCCTTAGGCACTCTCAACGTGCTCAGTTCGGGACAGGTGTTGTATATAGCAGCAGTCCATCACTCTGTAGTCTCGCCTCTTCGACCATGGATGAAGGTGCAGCGGCGGCCGCCAAATGTTTGGCCGGAAAGATTATCAAGGCTGTCTTCTGCCTCAGCCCGTCCACTAGCACCCCCACGGGCTCCCGGTCACCTTCTCGCCATCCCATCTCGAAAATGCCGCACTTTGCGGAATTCAAAATCGAACGTCACGTGCGCACATTCGTCATTCCGGCCACCGAGCAGCTCAGTGCAGGTATCAGGGCATGAATCGGCGTCTTTGCGTGCAAGGCACATCTCCCCGTTCTGGTCTGGCTGAGTTTGATGGCGATAATCGAAACCCAGTGCCTAGACACGGCTGTTCTACGAGGTCCCTGACTGCTGTTGCTGATATTTGATGCTGGCCCACCTGGTCGTCGCCGTTGATACCCCAGTGATCCCCGTGTCTTGGATGCGTGTGCTTGCGACTTTGACATCTCGTCGTTGTGGGGGGATGCGGCTAAAGGGGCCCGTTGGTACAGTACAGTACAGTGTTTACGTGGTCGGGCGGGGGTGGAAGCTTGGATATCTGCGCAGCACGTCCATCTTTCCAATCGATGTCTTTGCTACATCGAGAAAACCGATGGCCATATCCAAATGATCAAATCCATAAAATACGCAGAGACCGGCTCCGAGGAGCGCCATCCCATCCGGCCGCCTAGCGCACAAATGTAGGACTTTATCGCAAAACGTCCATGCCGGTTGAATGGGTATTTCCTTGGGCAGTAATCCGAGTCTGGCGATATAGGAGTGGAAAGCTCGTGAAGCTGGACGTGGGAGAGCCTGGAGGAAAGCCTGGATCTGGAGAACATGTGCACGCTGGATCTGGGGTAAGATTGCATATCATATGGGGCCTGTTAAAATCGCATCCCGAACTGACTCCCATTTCAAGAGTTGGACCGGTGACCCGGTACCGGCGGTTCCGGCAAAACGGTGTGGATTTGGTACGCACAGCTCTTGAAGGGGCGCAACAGCTGCGTCATGGCCGTGCGTCCCATCTGCACCGGGCGGTGCAAATAAAATGTGTCCGCCACCCTTGCTTTTCTTCAGCCTCGGACGTGGATCCTTTACCGCGCGTATATCATTTATCGATGTCGACAATTTACACTAACTACTATAACGAGGTCTTGATTAGATCTTGTCTAATCACTGCGCGGGGGAGAAAAAAGCCCTCCTCGCTGCCCGCGATGTCGCAAATCGATGACGCAGTCAGCGCACACGCAACGCGACATTGCCGGGTGGCGAGGATCGCATTTCCCTGTATAGGCATTAGCTATGGGGCCGAAAAAGGGACCAAGTGCGGATCCGCCCCACCAACAGCACCGGGAAGTGGGCGTGAACACTTTCTCCCACCTCCTTTCATCTCACTATTGTCCAGCGGTCAGCACAAAACGTTTGCAACAAAGAGTAGTCTCACTCGCCGCATTTCTCGGCCAGTCCCTTCTCGGAAAAAGCTCACAAGTAAAGGAGGTGGAGGTGTTTTTATCCTTCTGCGGCGGTATCCTTCGGTCTTTCTCTACATTTCTCCAATACCTCAACGCACATCCTCGCACCATCGCCACCCATCGTCCGCTACAGCAGCATACGATCATACCTTGCGTCCGACGATTCACCGCCGAAAAATCGATAAAATCCATCGCCTTTGCCCGACCACAGCAGGATTTTTTTTTCCTCGTCAACGACTCGAAACTCTTTTATATTCTGAAAAGTCATCGTAGCGTATTTCGCCAATAATGCTCGTCAACGGAGACCGCTATTCATCGGCCGAGACGCATCTGTCGTTACAGGCGAACCATACGCTACCGTTTGTCGCTCCCGACCTCCACAAAATCCTTCAGCATCGTGCTCCTCCAGTCTCGGAATCGCTCACCGGGGGCAATAGCCCCAAACTGTCCGCGAACCGGTCGCCCCCAACCGCTGGCTACAAACGTCCCAACACCCCGCCTCACTATGAACTCGTGCGCATACCATCACCGGCCCCGGCCCCAAACACCACAGCGAGTCAGCTCGCCGATACCAGCTCAGCAGCGCTCTCGAATATCCCACGCAACAGTCGAGGTGAAACTGTACGGTCCTGCCTGAAGCCCGAAGACAACCACGTCCGACGACCCTACTATACAACTGTCCCTCGCGGCAAGAAGAGCCTGACTTTCAACAACCTGCTAGAGCATGTGTGTCTGTTCATACGTGGCTCCCGCGTTTCGGAAATTCCCGAATTCGAGCAATACGGAGTGAGGGACACGGGAGATGTCGACTCTCCAACGCTGTCGGCGTCCCTAGCGCAACTCGAATCCTGGGTCATTGCGTCCAAAAATACCCCGACCCTGCCCTCATTCGACCAATGGGTGCCTGTGAGGCTGGACGCGGTGACAATCGAGAACAGTCGCGTCTTGGCGGGGAGCATCTTGGTCCGCAATTTGGACTTCCACAAGACAGTGACGGTGCGTTATTCGGTCGACAACTGGTCTACTACAGCTGAGGTGCCCGCCACCTTTGCGAACGTTATCACCCCGAGCGGCCATGGTTTCGCCGGCATCGACCGATTCCTGTTTCGCATAGATCTCGGCAAGGAATTCTCAGCTTCGGCACTGAAAGGGAATTTCAGCTTCGCTCTTCGATACGAGGTTGGAGGCCAAACCTACTGGGACAACAACCAGGGCTCCAATTACAACCTCGAACTCACTCGTGCCGCCACCGCGTCCTCAAGCAAATCCCCAACCTCGCCAGTCACTCCCACGACCGGCACACCTACAAACTCACGGCAACCGCTCTTCCCATGGGCAGATCCAGCAGCATTGCCAACCAGCTCGCGGACCACTCGACCAATCCGCCCATCACCATCCGCACCCGTTTTCATCCCCACCTTCGCACGCGCATCATCGCCTCGAGCCGAATCACCTCTCAGCACCTCCTTCATCCCCGTCGCAGTAAGCCGGCCCACGCTATGCGTGGAGGTTTCTGTCCCGCCAGGACTTCAAGTCTCCCCATCCTCCTCGCCATCTTCGAGCATCCCCATCCCCGATCAGTCCTCACATGGGCACGCCAAATCATCACCACGGCCGATCCCCAGGCCATCACTCCCTCGTACAGCCTCCTACCCTCCCGCATCCCCACGAAGCTGCTCCCCATGCCACTCGTCCCCCATCGCCATCGCCGCAGCCAATCATAGAGGCAGGAGCCCGTCACCATCGCTGTACCTGGACTCCATAGAGATCCCCTTCTCGTCCGCATCGGTGGGTAGCATGGCCGACTACCACATCAGCCGCAACTTCCACTCCACCGGCCTGCGCAGGGGAGGCGGGTCGCTATACGCCGACTCGGACAATTTTGGACTTGGATATGGTTGCTCGCCGCCGAGCCCTCACTCTGGCTACGCAGCCTGCCGAGCATGAACGAAAACCACCCTGATGCAGGGAATATCGGCAACCCATCGAGATGCATCCCCGAATCGTCAGAGAGTGACACACCCAGTAGAGTTCACCCGCGAGAGGAACCAAACACTTCGGTATCACCATACCACCAATACCCCTTCCCTCCCCCACCAATCAAGTTACCCCCCAGTGGTTTTGTGTAGACACGCCGGCTTGGCGCAAAGGAAAATGAACATGAAGAGCACCCCGATCGCTCTTCTTTCTCAGAGTTCTCTTGTGTAATGGGTTGTTTTGTTACCCTTCTGTGCTCTCTCATCATCCGTTAGTCTCGCCCTGTACATTTTCTTCGAGACCCCTTCCTGATTTTATGTAAATATATGTTTTGCATCCGGTTCTGTCTTTCTGTACCGGGCGTTGTGGTTCTGTTTCAAATATAAACATCTGTCGACCAGACCCTTCTCCTTGCAATCAAACATTGTGCCTGGTAGCGATTCTGGATGGAGCTGTCCTCACAAGGGCTGATGGTCACATCGAGTGGATACTGGAAGTTGTGTGCAATGCACCAGGTTGGAGCTATCGATATCTGGATCACAATAGAATGTTCTATGGATCTAGGGAATCGAACAGCTTCATATCCTCAAGAGCGCTCGAATAACTACTAAGCTTTTACAGCCGGTATACCCCTAGGAAGGCGTCTTACATCAAATCCCGGCACCTTATGAGCGTGAGAGATGGACGTACGTACGATGCTGTACGGAAACACAGTACGGTTGTCCAGCACCTTCTTCTCATCCCATCTACAAAGTCCTGCACATCCCGTAGGTCGTACATCTCGCATTCTCGGCTCATTTAACCTCTCATGTCAAAGTCCCCAAATATCCGTCCATCTGACTTGGCCCCTCTACCATATTGCATTGGCGGAGCTGGATTCGAAAGCGTCCAGATATACGTTCGCACTTTCACTGTAAGGTGTAGGTGGAGACGAGATGAATGTGAAGCTGCCGTTACTGAGTGTTTAGGTTGGGCGGGCGGCAGATGCCTCAGGTTTCCTGCCTTTGATGTACTGTGGAAGGCAGAGATGTTGACGTCAAAGAGTCGGACCGCCGAAACACCTGGATTTGAGGGGACGCTACCGAAACGCATCTGATCGTGCGAGGGAAATGAGCGACGTTCGAGGTGTAAGCACATCATGAATTATCCGTCGCATATCCGACATCCGCTTGGGCCATCGACCTGTTTGCAGAATGTGTGCAATATGGTAGAGGGGCCAAGGCGGATGGACGGATATTTGGGGACTTCGACATGAGAGGTTAAATGAGGTTCCGTTCGGCAATTTGGAGCTTTGCTGGACTGTGGTACTGGGGACGTTCGAGGATCGATTGGGTCGGAGGGATTGGTTGCACGATGTAAACTACATGCTTTTCGGATGCGAAGACAGGCGAAGATATGATACGTTAGTGAGGGGACCATGATGAACACAAGAAACGACGTCGGAAAGCACTTATCCTCAAGCACTTTATTGTGTGCAAGAGCGCGCAACCTCCCGGCGACGATGGATGTCTGGAGCCAACAGAGGCTTACGTCTGGGACCGTAAGGATCGCGGCTTTCTGATAGGAAAAGAAATGTGAGAAAGCGAGCCAGGACCGACTTTCGAGCTCAAGTCACTTAGCCACACAAACGCAGGGAACCTCGTCCCCAACATTCCCCGTTCATGCGCGTACGAGAGGCAATTCAACGGTTCTCGGAAGTGCGAGAGGACAACGATCGCAAAGGCGCTGGCTTTCGAAGACACCAATCGAAACGACAGTCAGACACAACAGATCACAAAAAGGGGCAAAACGACGAACGAGTAGATACACACAACAAACCGCATCATCATCTCCGTGCTATCAGATCCGAGCCCCACACGCGGAAACATTCGCAGCTCGGGTTTTACCCCGAGCCTCACATCAAACTTGACGGAGCGAATATTTTGTAAAGGTGCGTGCGAGAGGGCGAAACGAAAGCGATAGAATGGTTGTCCCAAGGGGCGGACGCGGAGAAAGAGCCGGATGATGGTGTTTTGTTGCGTAACGTCGTTCGTTCGTTCGGATGAATCTGTAAAAGAATCTTTGTTGAAAAACAATGATGACAAATGGTATTAGCGACTGATTCCAAGAATCAACCGTATAGGGTATCTAACTACCAGACGCCACGCTGATCCCTCCCAACCCATCATTCCCAAAAATGCTGATCAACAGCTCGATCCAAAAGAATACCCGCTCGGAGCAACATCTCTCAAGGCAGCAAATCGAGGTCCGCCAGAATGTTCGGTGGCGGGGTACACCCAATGAAAGATCGATCGAGGGAAGTCCCACCCATCTCGAAGAATTTCTTCCGATCGGCCTCGTAGATCTCCGTCGGATATATCCAATCGGCCAAAGGTGGAGTCATGTTATCCTCCTCGTCCTCATCCTCATCCCCTGCGCGCTCCGATTGTTGACCCACGTTCCACCCCAGATCAGCAAAAGCTTCATCGAGGATGTCGTCGACTTCTGCATCAGTAAGGGTAGGCGGAGAGCTATGTGCGGAAAGTTTGGAGGTGCCTTTCAGGTGACTATCGGTGGCACCTTCGCCATCGACTTGCGTAGTAGGCGAACACGACAGATTTTCGGGGGCGGGAGGCCGATAGAAGTCGCCTTTGCGCCGCCAGTTCTTGGGGCGACCGTAGACCGAGATGTTTTTCCAGTGACGGTGTCGCCGATCCGTTCGACCGGTTTGATCGAAAGATTTTCGCTTGTTCGTGGCTGGCCGCGGTCGAGCCTTTTGAATACTTCCTCCCTTCAAAGGGGCGGCTTGACCGACGGGCATGGAGGAGTCAAAGTAAGAAGGTGCGCGGAAAGGAGCGGGGTTCTGTGGGGGGGCGCGCGGAGTCGTGGCATAATTTGAGGCACCGCGGTAGAAAAACGGGGGAAGCGATGGTAATTTTGGCAGTGAGTGGCGAAAGGAAGGGGCGGTGGACGCCTTCGAGGCGAACGATCGACGTGAACGAAGACCGTCGCTTTGCTGTTTGGGCTGAAAGCGTCCTTTGTTTGACGAATTGCGGAAAGTCTTGGTAGGTCCGGCTCGCCTAGGTGCTTTGAGGATGTCTGTTTGGAGCAGGGGCTTATAAAGTAGCGGAGTTGGGGTGGCCATGTCTCCTAGCGATATGTTGTTGTTGAATATTGAAAGAGGTTGTCTGTGTCGAAGGGATGAAGACATCGTCTGCCAATAGCATAGATGGCTCCGAAATTGAAGAGTTGGCACTCCGTAAAGATTTGCCTACACTCCCGAAATTGACGAGTAGGACGGAACTGAGTACTTTCAAGTATTATCGACCGACAGAGTGGAGGTTTGCCGAAGTTGATAGGTCCGTGGGAAAAATGCCGAGAATCCGTGCGAGGCGCAGAAACCAGAAGAGAAACGACACTTTGGTCCTCGCGGAAACAGGTAAGGGCGGTGCGGATGGAGGCGCTGATTGCTTCTCAGAGTACTTCAACGAGCGAGAAGGTGTATATGTTCTTCAGAATGTCGATTTCAGTTGTTCGTGGGAACGTGATTTTCGCTTGTGGTGGCTGTGGTGGACTTGCTCGCTCCTTTTATACCCACCGCTCTCGCGCGTTTTTGCTTTGTCGTTGGGCGGTCATGCGCTTGAGTCATCGGACATTTATTTGCTTACGTACACACAAATCTCCGCCCCACAAAAAGTGCCGTCTTGACGCTAAACCAAACTTCCTTTCTTCTCCACACTCGATTTCTCGATTTAATTCCAGCGCGAAGTTCATGTGGTCCAGTCAATGCCCGTCACTCCATCGAGTCAATTGATGATACGTTTCAAAACGATTCGTGGACACTGCACGTTGATGTGCCTTCTGGTTGGTTGTCATGACCTGTCTCTCAGATCTCGCAGATTATAGTATTTTCTTTCCCTGTATGCTCAGGAACTACTTGAACGTCAGATTCTCACGATGTTCCGGCATATGTGCTTCATTCGATGACCGCACTCTTTGAGTACTTTCAATACGTTATCTATCAAACCACGGTAGAGGTGAGAGTGTTTGCAAGATCAGCTGGCCGTTGGAGTAGGGCTTATTCGATTCGGAATCTTGATGCCAAAGTCATGTATGTCTCGCAGTCAAATCGGACGCCCTTCGAAGTCGAGGGCCTCGAATTACGCGAGCCAGTGATAGCGTTTAGCGGGGAAGCACAGCGCTCTTTGGCTGATCCCCTGCAAGAGGTTATCTTAAAATGTATCGCCATTTCTAGGTGACTACGCTGCGAAATCGGATTGCTTTCAATGACGCCTGTAAGTTGGTCATGGTGGGCGGCCGTGGAGCCGGACAGTCAACTCTTGCCGAAACGGTCGTTGAAACCATTTATCCTGGGAAGTTCGTGAAAATCACAATCCCGCCTGCCAGCATCGACGCCGTCGTATCCGTCTTCCAGCCGCAATCTCGGCAACTCGATAGGACGATAAACATCCGCCAGGCAGCTGAACTACATTTCGCCTTGATCCAAGTCGTCAAATACGGCTGCTATGTTTATATCGACGAGATATAGCGATGCACAGGAGAACGACGCATCATAGCGCATGAGATTCAGACTATGGGGAAGACCTCACTAAACGGTTTCCGAGGAAAGGATCCGCTGGTGGAATTATTCTCGCAAGCTCTTACGCTCCTCAATACTTGGAGGCAGGACATCCTCCTGCCTCCAAAGATTGGGGAGATGGCAAGTTTTATGTCTCGCGACCATTTGGACGCAACGGCGGTGATTTCGCCACGTGGACCCCGCAAAATGGGAGTTATGCATGCTAGCCCAATTACAGTGGGGTATCTAGATATATGGGACATACTGAAAATCTCCAGTCATTTCGGTTTGAGGACCCTCGTGCCATGATTCGACTCGAAGCTCTTTTCGGTGGTGTAGCCAAATACTACCGTCAGCTTGTTCAGCGGAATTTACTGAACGAAGATATCTTGAATCTGGAATTGGTGCGTTAGTCGTTTTGCTGCTCAACCCCCTTATCTTTTTTTTTCCGATCATAGTCATGTATACAGCTTGGGGCAGAGAGGCAGTTACGGACCACCAAGTCATAGACCTGGAGTGGTTGCGGGAAACCTGGCAAATACGGTGTCTGCGACTACCCCAGGCCGATGAATCAGTGTCCTCCTCTCCACTTTTGGGGGCTTGTTATCTCTCCCATCAATGCTTCAGTTCAGGGTGCATTTAGGTGTTGCAAATACTGCTGTGGTTTCGCTGGATAGTAGATCTAGACCAAGGGACAAGAATCAGTCCGGCACACCAGTTCACAACTCTTTTGCCGTGGTCTGATTGGCGAGGTCGTGGACTCGACGTGGGAGTTGCTTCTGTCGAAGAGACGGAATAAAGCACCACGCGTTCAGGACACGTTATTGTGCGTTTACGTGATCAAGCAGTGCGTAATGAGGTGGCAGTGTGGCAGGAACGCCCATTCTGTGGCGGGCGAGCAGCGGCCGCAAAGGCAATATAGAAAGGTTTGGACGCTGCATGTGCCGCAATGCTTGTGACATGGTTTTGAGCGCCCAGGCCAAGCCGTTGAGTAGCCTGGTTGTGCTGTACATACTGTATATAGAGGGTGCCAGGGAGCTGTATATAAGAGCTATAACACACGCACATCAGTTCCGTGTGACCATCCCATCTGTGAAGCATCTCGGCCATCGGACGCTTCGAGAACTGCAGCCTGCACATATAGTTTGACGATTCCGCCGAAAGGAAAGGAGGAATGAAGGGCTCGAACTCCGACTCGAAATCCGGCGCCCCATCATGGGACAACGCTCAACCTGCTCACAGCAGCAGCGAGAGTTCCCGCTCGTACGCGGCACCTCCAGGTCTCCTCCCCGGCGTGAAAGCCAAGAAGTCGGGCTCATCCTCGTCCTTCAGCATGGCCTCCCTTGCCCCCTCTCTCACGAAACTGGGCGTGCCTAAATGCTTGGTCGACACTCTCCCACCTCCCCGAGATCCTCTCCACCCACCCCCGCCCTCCTTCTCGCGGCCCGCTCCAATCCACCTCCTGAACTCGCCGTACGCCGCAGGCCGCGTGGTCCCCGGGACTCCGCCGAGATTCCCGCCCTTCCAGGTGGTTTCCCTCACCCACCAGCTCCGCGACGGCTTCCCGACCGCATTACCTGCCCAATTGACCGGCTACGACGTCTACCCCCGCGACGACTGGGCCCGCTTCCTGGAGGATCTGGCGCTGTGCGGCAAGATGGGAGGCAGCCAGCGCGCGACAAATTTCCTTGAGAAGAATCTGGTGCTTCCTGGGATGAAGGCTTTGCGCACTAGTGCGGATGAGCAGGCCGCTGCGCATATGAAGACGGTGGTTGATGCGTGGAATACCAACTTCTTTGGGCCGCGTGGGTTGCGAATCACTGTTTTGAACGAGCCTGGTCAGCAATCCACCAGGGGTATAGAGGCAGGTCAGCCCGGCGAGGATGTGAAGAGGACTCCCACGAGTGACTACTTGGTCCGTTCTTCTCGGCGACGCTCCGTATCCTCGGTCTCATCATTATCGTCCTTGTCCTCCTTATCCTCGGACTCTGACGACAAGCGTAGCGGTAAGAAGAGCGGAGAAGCCTACGGAATCCGTGAAGCCAAACGGGCTCAACGCCAAGCCAATTTAGAGCGGAAGCGCGCCGAACGATGTGCAAAGCAGCAAGTTAGAATCGCAAAAAAAGCCACGATGCAACAAGAGCGAATTGCGGAGAAGATGGCTCGTCAGGCCGAGAGGGAAGCTGCCAAACGTCAGCGCTCCCTATCGGCTCTTTTCCAGGTGCCGGGGACTCCCGCTTATGGCGACAGGCTTGTTTGTCTGCAGGTTGCTTGCGTCGAGGCGCCTGGTGTGCAGGGTACTGCCCCTGCGGCTGATGGTCAGAAGGGGCCGTACTACCCTCAGGCTTCGGAAGCGTACAATCCGACTGGTCAGATGCCTTACGCCCCGCACGCTTTCGGTGGACCTGATCGGAAGATGCCTTACTACCCGCAATCATCTAGTGGGCAGGGTCAATACGCTGCTCAGAATATGCCTTATTACCCGCAGCCGTCTGGTGGGCATGAGCAGATGATTTCCTATGCCTCGCCGACGTTCGGTGGGCATGGTCAACAGATCCCACCCCAGCCTCAGGCTGTTCATAGCTACAGCCAGTACGTGAACCAAGGCCCTTCGGCGGCTGGACCGTCCTACACGTACGCCAACGGGCGGTACAATCAGCAGATTCAGCTTCCTCAGACCGAAAAGCCGCTACCGCCTTTGAATCATGGGGAAAGCTCCTCGCACAAGGGCGACGCATACCAGGCCACAACCTATCAAGAAGGCGGCAGCAGCAGTTCAAGCCATGTACCACCCGTTGGACAGTTTCCGGGACCCGCAACGCAGGTCTATAATATGCATCAGGGTGCATCTTATCAGCAGCCGGGGGCTCAAGAACATGTAGACGAGGTAGAAGATGCGCCGCCTCCTTACACGCTCTAAGCGAAGGAAGGCCCGGCTCCTTCACCGAATGGTGAGGGAAAGTAAAATGGACATATGTATGTAGTTTGCACATAGGGGAGATGTTGTGATGTTTACGAATGTTCGTAGTTCGGCGTAAAGTACAGTAGTTTGACGGGTTGAATGGGGAATTCATCAAGTTCCCTTACCCGGGGCTGGAGGTCGACCAGAAGAAGAATTGGACATGACTCGAGAGTCGAGAGCAAGCCCTGTGCATGTAACCCTCGTGGGAATGCCAGCCCGTCAAATCTGTCGGTTCCCCAAAACGTTTCTTGGCACGCCAAATATGCCGAGTAAGTCCGTCCATCCGTGTCTCCGTCCATCCATTCACACATGAACCCCACCGTTCCCCCATATCACATGCAACAGGGCCCGAGTTGTGCAAGGGATAGATGTAGCTTCGCTCGCCCCGTCCGATCCTAGCGCTGATGATGTATGGGAGGATGGAGGGCGGAGTTGAATCCAGGATATGCGTTGTGTTTGACACGAGGGGATGACCAGCGGGTGAAAGGAACAACTCAACGCGCAAGCGCCTCCCAAAATCGGTCCACGCGAGAGATGATGTGATGATCTTACTGTATGGGAAGCGGCAGCGAGACAGGAAGAACAAACTCCGCTCAACCTCCACACATGAGCATATCCATACCCCGAAGAGCCCCGCTGGGGCAATTGCAATGCCAAGGGTCGTTCCCACACCTTGTCACGGCTGGATATATAAAGGCGTCGAGCAAAGGAAGGGTATACCCCAGTCCTCTTTCTCACGAGCCAGTTTTGTCTATTGGTGGCCTGCAGCGAAAAAAGCCTGGTTGTACCTACAAAAAGCTTCGAACCAACCGCAAGTCTTCTGTGGTGACAAGAGCTCTTGACGCTCAGACGGCATACTAATACCCGCGGAGAAGGTTCGGAGCCACAAACCTTACGTCGAACGGGTGGGAGAAGTACAAAACTCACCTTTGTCCTCGCTGGTGCCAGTTCACTGCATTCCGCATTTTGGCCCGACCCTTGGCATTTCTCGCACCGCGGTGACATTCTCTTCGTATACCCTTTAAACGAAACGCCAACTATACTCGAATACCAATATGGGTGCTGCGCCGCGATTCGGCACCGTGAAGAGGGAAGAGAAAAGGAGGACAGAGCCGGCAGCGGCGGAAGCTGAGGTTCATTCGGAAGGGCGGTCTGTCGTGTACAGGCTGTGGCAGGTGCTTATTCTGATTATACGAGCGGTAACGCCGTTGGCGTATCTGTACTTTGGAACGGTTCTTTATGTGAGTGCAAGCGATATTGTTTGGACGTTTCGAGACCTCAACGCTAAATATTCTACTATCTTGCAGTACCGATGGTCCCAACCAGTACTTTTCTATGAAACCGTCGCAAGCACTTTGGCGAGGAAGATTACGTTCTCTGTACTGTCAGCATGGATGCTGGGAGAAGCGCTGTGGTTCCCCTGGTACATTGGAACGGTCGAGCGGCTCCAGCTTCGCAAACCGTCCTATCACGCAACGCACGATTACACCTCCCGGGAAGACCTCGTCGTCAAATGCATGCATGCCCTCCAGTTGGCATCTACCGGTCGCAACACCACAGATCACCAGGCGCGGATAGACTATTTGCGGAAAGTGATTGAGGGGTGGTTCCTTGGCGCCGACTTCTTCTCCATCAAGAGGGAGAACTTTCAGAGTTGGGTCGCGTGGGCGTTCTTGGACGAGGATTTGGCGTTGTTGGACAAGGAGAACAGGCATCAGGTGGATAAGCTCACCAAGATCATTGAGCGAGCTTGCGAGCATTCCTTCCCGCCCGGGAACAATCCCGACTTGAAATGCATTCGGCTCACTCTGGACGCCGTGCAGGCGACCCACCGTCCTCTCATCTACTACATAGTGTGCAAATCCGTCAACGCCCTCTCGCACTTACTCCTGCGAGGTATCGGATTCCGCCTACGTGAACTGCAACGCAAGCATGTGCCTGGAAGCGGAAAGCTGACGTACCTTTACCGCCCGGCCAAAGAGCCTATGCCCGAAGGTGCTCTCCCTATCGTGTTCATCCACGGGATCGGAATCGGGTTCGCTGCATACGTCCCGTTCCTGCTCTGCCTGCCCCGCAATGTCCCCGTCTACCTCCTCGAATGGCCGCACGTCTCCATGCAACTGACGGAGGAAGTGCCTACCATCGAAGAAACTATGGCATTCTTGGTCGCGATGTTGGATACGGATCAGCAGGAGAAAGCTACTTTCGTCGCTCACAGTCTTGGCACGATCGCGGTCGCGTGGATGCTTCGGTCGGAATCGCACCGCCAACGCGTAGGCTCCGTCGTCCTCCTCGACCCCGTCACCTTTGTCCTCTGCGACCCTACCATCGCCTACAACTTCCTCCACCGCCCGCCGTCCAACTCCCTGGAGCTGATCATGCAATACTTCGTCTCCCGCGAGATGTACATCGCCAACTCGCTCAGTAGACACTTCCACTGGAGCAAAAACATCCTGTTCTATGACAACCTCCCCCACCCACAAGATGGTTTGAAACACGTCGTCTCCCTTTCCGGCGTCGACGCCATCGTCCCCTCCCCACGAGTCAAACTCTACCTCGACACCTGCGCCGAAATGGACGGGTACAGAAACCCCGTAGATGTCATCTACCACGACGAGCAGAACCACGGCGAAATGCTGTTCCGCCTCCCCTTCCTCCGTCTGATCATGGAACGGATACGTGAAGCGTGCGGGTCTATCCCGTCCCAGCCGCCTATGTCCGTATCAGGCGAATTTCAGAGCCCACCACAATCCTTTGTGAACACCCCCAAATCCGTAAAATCGTCGCCACCGCATAACATGAAGCTCCGCTCGCACGCACGACGACCGGCGGCTTCTCCCTCGCCTGTGGCATCCGTAGACGCCGCCGCTCCTGTTGTCGTCACATCCACCGCCACATCACGCGGCCGGTCCAACTCAAAGGCGCCTCGGCTGTCTGTCATTGCATGACCACTAGAATCAGGGGGTGTTTGAACCATCCCCTCTCCATTTACAATTCGTGCTCAATACTTGCCTTTTTTTGGCCGGGATACATATGTGGTCAACCGCAAATTATTATAGATTTCAATATTACCTTACCTTGCCGCTGGCTTCATATCTCCCTGACTCGTAGCATATGCACACTTACGTACATATAATTCAATGCAATCTCTCACTGTATGGTCTGCTGTCCGCTGCGTCAAAGATATTCTGCTCTACCTTGGTGGAAATCGTACATAGAAATCGGAAGTGCGATCGGGCGGCACTCATGGCTAAATGAAGCAAGCCTAGGCCAAGTTTTGGAGCTCAGGCCCGGTTTGTATCTGGCAAACAAGTGAAAAAATTCGATTAGAGGAATCCGGCCTAGAAGTGGAGGAAGTATTCCAGAGAAGGAGCTTTCTTTGTAAGCGCATTCCAAACACGGTCAAGCATAACCTAGCAGAAAAAGGAAGGATAAGCCGGAAAATGCCCCGGACACAATCGACAGCGCGACTCGAACGCCGCCACGTCAGTCCAAACAGGCTGTCAATCCGTGGTTTGGGTTTTGGATGTGCCCCATTCGTGGCTTTTCACTTGAGTCCATCGTGTTGCAGCTATTCCAGTACCAGCTGGATATCGTCGTTTGGTGGCCTTTACTTGGCCCGCATCCACTGAAGCATTTGGGCGGCTTTTCGTATCTCGCCATGGACAGGTTTGGGATCGAGAATATTGTGCAGATCGTTAGTGAGGTTATACCCAAGGCGAGACGCTTCTCGGTTTTGTCCGAATATGGTAAGGGGTTCCAGAAGTTTGATTTCTTGAAGGCGGGGGCTGTTTTGAGGCGGATGCCGTGGGAAAGTTGTTGTTTGCTAAGATTAGTATTTATACATTTTCATTCAGAACTGCTGGACCTTTGGAGAGAGTTGATGGGATTTGTAGAGTCGGCGCTCGCTGGCAAGGGTCATCGGCAACAGGTAACAGAGCGGATGTCCCATGACTTCGTATGCCTATCAACAGCTCACATTTCGAGTCCCCTTCAGTCGTTAATACTACCAGGCTACGGCGCATTCCACGTCCGCAAAGCTCAGAACAAAGGTCCCGCCGGCGGACATCGGTACATTCCATACTTCATCCCATCACGCGGGTGGGCGAAAGTCCGGGGGTACCAGGTGACTCAGCCGCCATCGACCCTAGATGGTAGATATCGCATCACAGCCCTGTGCATCAGGAACGCTGACTAACATGGACTCTCACCTCAGGCGCACCACCCCCCGACCCATTCAACTTCTCAGCCTGCGCGCTGCACAGCGGCGTCCCGCGCGAAACGCTGGAAGTGGGGATCAAAGATATCACCCATGGAGTGATTCGGGTGATTAAGAGGGGGGCGACGGTGGTGTTGCCGTTTTACGGGATTGGGAGGCTGGTGTTTAAGGAGGGGAATCTTCGTTTCAGGTAAAGGAGGGAGAGCGGTTTGCATGTAGATGTGGAAGGGGATCTGACTTCTGGGGATGTTTTTAGCTTTTCGGCGGACTTTTTGACCAAGCTGAATGGGAGCGATCAGACGAGGGAGGGAAAGCCCGCGTTGGGGCAGGGAGTAAGGTGAGAGATGTTGTCAGCCTTTTGAAGCTGGGAATGAGCGCAGAAGCTGATATCGTCTCTTCACAGCACATCTGCCGCCGACACCCAACAGCCCGCACAATCAACAGATGCCAAAGATCAATCAGCATCCGCAGAATCCGAAACAACATCAGCACAAAAAGCCGACCCCAAGTCGGATCCATCTTCCGACAAGGACATCCTCGTGCCTAAACCGCCCAGCGACCCCGCCTCCGCCGTCCAAAGTCGACCAGCATCAGCCAGTTCCCGCGCACCATCGAACCCCGAAGACTTGCATGTCATATCGCGGGGGTACCTCAAAAAAACCGAATCGCCGCCCATTCCGCCTGTTCCGACAGCTCCGCCTGCTCCGCCTTCTCCTGCGCCGGAAGAGAAGGCGGTAGGGTCCAGACTGTTGGCGGTTGGGAAGCTGGATAAACAGGGGTTGTTGGAGTTTTCGGTCAAGTCAGGTTAGATCACATTTGCAATGAAAGATTCGCAAGGATTCCGAGCGCGAACTGACCCCGATTCTACACGACAGTGGGAACACACTCACACACGCACTCCGGCGACCGCCAATGGAGCGACGCCAGCTGTCCCGTATGTCGCTCCAACAAAATCCCTCCGCTGGAACTGCGGCACAGTAAAGCGAGGAGGGAGAAGGAGCAGGATCGGCTGCTGTTGCAGTTGTCGTTGGATTTGGATCAGGACTTTCTGTGTAGAGCTAAGGTTGGGTCGGGATGAGTTGAAGATGTTTCCGTGTGCGATGCTGACGGGGCGATTTTTTCGGTGATTGTAGGAGTTGGAATGGGCGAAGAAGGCGCGGGCGATGAGCGATGCACAGTTCAATAGGAACACGGCGGCTGAGATGGTATGCTTGGGAGATGCTTACTCGTGCTCGCGAGTGATCTAGCTGACTATTTTGGTTCATCGTCAGGCTGCACAGCAAAAACAGGCGGCAAGGGTGCTGCCCGTCAATAACATCTTTGAGAACCGGGATCCAGGCGCTGAGCCGCCAGAATCGGCACATCGGATCGCAACCATATTGCGGGAACAGGTACTCTGATATACATGTCTTTTCAGATGAGCATTGAAGGAAAACCTCTGACGGGCTTCTCTTGATGTAGATGGTCTCGAAGCAAATTCAGAAAGCCCATGACCGACTCCATCAGCAATATCAGAACGAGGTCTTGAACCAGAAGTTGATTGAAGAGTTGAGTTTGCACCAACGCTATCCCCAATTCTTCTGCGGCACAACGCCGAATCTCTCATCAGATTCCGCTAACCAAACGCAAACCTCTCGTATTGTCATAGCATCCGCAAATCCGAAATCGAAGCCCACCTCGACAAGCTCCGCAAACGCGCCCACCAACAAGAAGCCCTCGCCGACCAGATCCGGCACAAACAACAACGAGCTGCCGCCGGCCGGGCAAGCGGCGGGTCCGGCGAGGCGCCCGTAGCCGACGTGGACAGCAACCCGCTGCCAAATCCGATGGCGCGAAGCGAGAGCTTGATGATCTTGTATCAGAAGCAGAAGGCGAAACAGCTGTATCAGGAGCAGTTGGCGTTGGTTAGGCAGAAGCAGGAGCATGAGAGGAGGCTGGCGGATGGGGAGAGGCAGTTGGCGTTAAGGAAGTTGGAGGCTTCGAAGGACGAGTAAGATCGCAGGCGTGGCCAGTGATCTCCTCATTCCACATTTAACGACCATATCTGTGCAGGTTATCACAAGACGTCGGCAACACGAAACGTCAAAAGTTCGAAATGCGCCGCTCGCTCGAGCATTTCTGGGACCAGCAGATTGCTCTGAAACGGAAACTCCAAGCACAGGCTGCCGCGCAAGGGGTATGCTAGATGAGAAGAAGACGACAGATGGACCGATAATTCGTAGACAGCATTAGCATATTTCAGTAGTATGGCAGCGTTAGAGCCTGCGTTGCTTTATTTACGGACGGGAGTATAATGATGATTTCGACAGAAGCTATTCTCCGTATGTGTCGCAGCGGTGTGGTTGATCGTCCGATCTTCGAGCTCGCATGTGTTACGCTCCACCTCATCTTTACCCTGAACATCTACACTGAGGATCGCTACGGAAACTCGTGTATTTCTTCGTATGTACAGTATTTACACATCCGAAGATCTCGGCCCATGCGCACCGACTTCAGCCGCTTATCTTCGTTTCTTAGTCGCGGCATCAGCCGGCTGATCCCATTTGGACCTCTTCTTGCCAGGAGCGGGTGCTAAAAATTCACAATTCGCTTCAGACAGGTCTCGTGTCGACATACAATGCCAATCTGCCAAACGCGCATGCATACCTGCTTGTGATGCCGTTGGTAGCGGCTTGTTTGCTGTCGCTGGAGTGGATCTATTTACATTTGAGACAAACTGGATAGCGCGTTGCTGGGCTTTTGCCACCGCTGCAGCCAGCTGTGGATTCGCGTTGGGGCCTGCTATGGAGGATGCGGCGAATTGTTGTTGTTGCTGTTGAAGCGTGTCTTGTGCTTGCGCTGATGAGAAGCGTAGAAATCCGGATAAGTATTGACGGTAGCGTTGAGACAGCTTTTGGAAACGACGCACACCAATCTGATCAAAGAATGCCTCCTTCGGGAAGCTATGTGGGTCGAATATATCCTTCGGATAGTTGGAGCCCAGCTCATCGAGATCCAGGTACTCGATCAGTTTGCTCATGATCGAAGGATTGCGGAATGCATGCGTCTGCTCTAGTCGGTCGTTGAAATGCGTGCCAGACGCCTTTATTGCCAACCATTTCTCGATCTTCGCCTGCACAGTCGATGGAGAAGACTATCAGACAATGCCCATTCGGCGGTCGAAAGAAGATACGCCAGGTTCGCAAGCATACCTGGGTTATGGGATTCGGCTCCCCGTCCGGCTCTGACGGAATATCCATCTCGTCATCGTCAACAAACCCAGCCGGCCTCAGTAACGCCCGCAACGTTTCCGATCTCGTCGTTTCATCCCCCGTCTGAGCCTCGTGCACTTTCCTCTCTTTATACGTGCCCTGCAGATAAACCCTGCTATGGGGTCCTCTACCGGACCCCGAAGCACCTTCGAACTCATTCGTCGGCGAAGAGCGAGACGAGGCTGTGCTCCGATTCAGATGTTGTTGGTTCGGGTTTCCTGGTATCGATCCGGGGGTGCTTTCACCTGACACGCCTACAGGCGGCGGCCGCCTAATGATACCATCTCCGGATCTACCGTTTCGTACTTCCGATGTAACTGCACTTTCAGGAGTGTCGAGTTAGTTTTCCGCATAGTATGAGTTGCTTTCGAGCTTTCGTTCTCCGACTTCTTGGAAGGGGAATTTGCGCGCAATTAGAAAGGGCTTGAAAACGCAAGTTATACCAAACACAGGTTCAGAACTCACCTGTAACAACGAGGTGCCTACCTTCCTTTTTCGGCTGTCGTGGAGAGAAAGACAGTCAATTTCCAACTAGAGCTGAACACTCGGTCGCCAAAAACGCACCTCCGAAGCTTGTGCTGGACGGTTGCTTTCCCGCCCGTTATCCGGCTCAGACGTGTCGCTGTCACTGTCGCCATATGCTAGGCCCAATAAGTTGCTCATTGTTTGGTTAGTCCTTCGCAGGAGATGCCGAGGAACTTGGCGAAGTCTGCAGGAAGCCCCGCACTTGGACTCAGACTTGGACTACTTGGAAGACAGAACGCGCGCGTCTCAGCCCTTGCAACCGACTTGCGACCCTTCTCTCAGGTTCATCTGCAAGTCAGATCTGGTGGCTTTGCACCATCTCGTTGGGACGGTGTCTCACCTTGCGGGCTTCTTCGTCTGCTCTTAGTCGGCTGTCGGTTGGTCCTTGTGCATCTCGCCGAAGCTTTGGAAGGCAACACTTCGGGGTCTGGACTGTTGGCAATCTTACAAGATGTGGTGCAGGGTGTCTGTCACTTTCGGTAGCCGGAGCAGTACGGTCCCACTGCAACAAGAACGCAGCGGTCCCGGTTCCATTGTTCGTTTTGCGATTTCTGGCTACTCTGCTCATATTGCCAGGGCTCGCCAACCGCCTGGGTTTCTACGAAGAGCGTAAACTACATATACAAAACGACACAGAATCCAGTTGGACTAGGGCGGTGGGCGTTAGCAATGACTCGGGATTTGGCCTTGAACGGGGATGTTAGCTTCGATCAAACAGCTCTGGAAGCCCTTAAAATCTGACGAGGCGGGAGTATTCAACACACAACAGCGACTTGAACAAGCAAAGGACGTGGGGACCATCAAAACACCGCAGTAAATCCGGGATGATTGGAGTGCGCCAGGGCAAATTCTGTTACTACAATTGGAGCCCCGCTTGCCGACTGGAGATGAATGATGAACGTGTTGATCTTGGCGGAATGATCAAAAGGAGCTGGTATGGAAAGAGGAGCGTCGGGGATCGCAGGTGATGGCTTCTCATGGGTGGCGTGACGATGATGCGGGCCCCACCTGCATGCATGAGGGGAGACATGGATGGTTATGTGAAGGACTTTCACCGACGATGTGATGTTCTTCGTGACATATCCAGCATCATATACATGTACAGATATACCCTCATAGGTCCGTCTCTATAGTTGACGTGGGGCAAAATAAACCCAGCAACGTGCCTCTTTCAGCCTGTTGGCTTCCATTACAGGGGAGTAGCTTTTGCCGTATGTGCTACCCCTGTTTAAAGGTGCGAAAAATGGGGTGCCTTCGGCCATGTTTGGGGGGGAGCCTCAACTCGCAGGAGCCCCAAAATGCCGAGGAGGCCAGGAAAATCGTGGGGCCTGTCGAATTGTCAATACAGCCCTGACGAATACATAACGAAGGAAAAATGGTAATTAACGGACGTGCCGCTGGTAAACAGACAAAGAGCGGTTTGAGGGTGTTTTGAGGATCAGCAAGCCGTTCGTTCCGCTTCCGCCAGTCGTCCCCGCTCGCTACTACAAACATTGTGACTCGCTCTGCTCGGAGCAAGAATGAACCAGCCAGCCATCGGAACGAAGGCCAAGGCAACTCGTTTCCCACGCTTCGCACAAATACGAACAGAACACCTGCACTTCCACTCCCCCCAACTGTAAGATACTCGGGAAGGCATACACCGTCCAGGGGCAATCGAGCATCTGTCTACTAGACGACGACCATATCGCCACGCTCGTCGGAAGAAAGGACGATTATCGGAACGGAACTGTTGAGCATCGACTTACGTTCAACGTGCGTCACTGACGCCTACTCCAACTTACACACTTGCAGTAAAATCGACTTTCGGGACGTCCAGACTTCCCTCGATCCGGGGAATACGAATAGTAACTCTACTCATTCTCGGTATTGCAACAAAGCCGCAGCCAGAGTTCACCGTCCGCTCTTTCGATCCCACTTCTGGGAAAATTTCGTTTTCGAGCGAGAGAGGTTGCGTTTACGGTCCTGTGAGCGCACTTAGGACCGTCTCCCTTCGCCACTCGTCGCCTACTGCACTTCTGGGAGACGACGTTCTTCTGGTCGGCGGTGCCGCCTTGCGCCAGTACTAGCACACCGATACTCCACTCATTGACTTCAGTAGCTTGTTTTCTCTCCGGAGTGTGGCTAAGAGAAGCAAACACATAGCCTCCCATCAATTGAACGCTCGATTTCCTCTCAGCCTTACCTCCCGTCTATCCGCTGATTATCAGACATGATGTCTCCACAGGCCCCGTTTGTGGCAAGCACAAACTTGAATCCGGCCCTATTTCAGTCAATATATGACGGGACCGGAGTTAATTTCGCTTCGAAGAAGCGAGCAGCGGACCAGGAAGGAGGACAAAGGAAGAACATGTCACATTTGCCAACAGGCGATGGGAATTCTAGCGACTCTCTAGGTATGAGCGAAGCATCTGTGTTCAGTTGTGAGTCCATTCAATTGCTAACGAGATTGCCACTGTAGACTCTCAGATCTCAAATCTGCACTCACCCGCGGCCCGCGGCGCATCAAGTAAGCGTACATGCCCTAGCGGTCTGCAGCGACACCGGGGAAGTTTAGGGGATGAAATCTCATTGTCTCCCTCCATACTTAGACTCTGACGCGGGCTCCACAACGAAGATCAAAAAGAAGCCAGGCCGTAAGCCAGCCACAACCGAGCCAGCAAACAAACGGACAGCGCAAAATCGAGCAGCCCAACGTGCATTTCGTGAGAGAAAGGAGCGATATGTCAAAGAGCTAGAGGAGCGGTTGGCGCAATTGGAAGATGCGCAAGGGAAGATCGAAGGCGGAGTTCTGGTGGGAGAAAACACTCGCCTGAGGCAAAAAATTTCGGAGCTAGAAAGCGAGAACCGGGCGTTACGTCAAATGTCGTTTACATTCGACATCCCAGGCAGTGACATCACCCAAAGCTCGAACACGAAGCCGAATGAAGCGCCAGAAATCAACAGTGGAGTAAATTACGATTTCAACAATTACGATTTTCTATCAGCAATGGCTCCAGCAAGCACGGCCACAGCGTCGTCGGCTGGAATGCCTATTTCCCCAACTTCGCTCGTTAACTTGGACGATGGTTCGCAACTGGATACGTCGCCGTTCTCGGTGAAGACGCTCGAGACACCCCTGATAAGGGACGATAACAACACCAATTATGCTCTCTTCGACGACATTCATAGCTCCACACTGTCAATGACGTCGGATCTGGAAAGCCAATCGGCCCAAGATTTCAGTGATCTTGACAGTATCATTGCGGGGTTGCCGCTAACACAGTTCTCTTTTGTCGATGATCTGCCAGCAACACAGCCATATGGCTCGACTGCACAGTTTGCACCGCAATATTCGATGTCAACAGCGCCCGCGTATACGCAGCCATACCAAGGCGTCCGGGGACAACAGCCGTTCACCGCGAATTTCACAAACCCGTTCACTACCGACAACAATCTAGCAGATGCCGATTTCGATGAGTTCTTGAACCTCACCGGGGTCACACGACCGGCGACAGTACCACAACGACAGCAACCACAGCAACAGAATGTCGGAACAACAGTGCCATTGCAGATGCAAGCACAAACGCAGATCCCATTCCAGCAACCACGAGGACCGCAAATGGGCATGACGTCCACGATGCAATTCTCCCCGCAAGCAGCACTCGCACAGCAACCTTTCTCCCCTCAATCCGTCCAGTCAACCCACTCACCGTCATCAGCGCAGATGTCTGCGCAATATTACACGCCACCATGGCAGGCAGGCGATCTCTTCGAGCAAAACGAAACGAAGGGATCCGATGTCAAGTGCGTGATAGATCCCGATCAGTGGGAGAAGACCAAGGACTGTGTGCAGGATGCGGAGACGATAGACGATCTGTGCGAGTTGTTCAAAGTATGTTCTCATTGAATTATCAAAAATCACCTCTATGGGCTACTAACCGCCTCGCGCCTTTCCCAGACAAAAGCCCAATGTACAGAATTCCGCGACCTCCAAGACCAAGTCCTTCAGGCTTGCGAACGGGGCAGCAAAGAAGAGGTCATGGATCTCTTACTTGTGGCCAAGGAAAAGAAGAGAATGTACATGGTAGGTCTCCCCTGTCTCTGCCACTGATCCATCTTCAGACGCAGTACCCTGACAGACCCCACTTTCTTTTCACTTGGTAGTTGCGGCAGAAGGCGGGGGTCAAGGTATTACCGCCCAACCCCGAAGCTGGATTGTAGCAGCGTCACCCACTACCCCGTTCGCGCGCGGAAGTTTTTGCTACGATCTTTGACCTATACTTATGTCGCTTTTAGCATGTGGTATTTGATGTATATGCCCAGCCCTCCTTTCTCTTGTTTGTTGCACTACATCCCTGCCCTGCTTAGTTCGATGATCCCTGCTCTTGATAATCGTGCTGAATACATACGTACGAGATTTTTTGATATGCAACTTCCCTCTGGGCATATAGGATCGGGTCCACTGAGGGTGTTGGAATTCGTGTTCTGCAGTGGACTTGCCGATCACATATTCCCGCGTTTTTTCTCACTTCAGGGTCCAGCTGACTTTTGAAACCTTGCAATTGCGGTCTTGAGCATTGCAGAACACCTTTCGAGACCGCCGCTGCATCGCTACAGCGTCCCGTGCCCGAGCGCGCACTGCCAATAATTCCCGCAGAAAATATTAGACTACCAGGACTTCCCTGCAGCAACCGTACGATTGACGATACCCTCATCGTGACCTCATCTTGGATACATCGCGTCGCCGTGGCCGACTTGCAGACGCAAGGACGAAAGGAAAGGGCACCCACCGTCTTGTCAAGGGAGGAGTTATCCTGGAACTCTGGCACGACGTATGCGCTGAATATAGATTTCTTGTGATCGATGGCTGAGCGGGATCGACGGCTCGTTTACGCAAAGGGTATCTTCGCATTTCCGCTTTCGACTGCGTTCCCTAGCTGGTCGATCGGGGGATCGCAGATCACTAACAACATCGTCTATGGACATCTCACACCACAGACGACATCATCCTATGCTACCACGGGCCCCTCCTCTACGAAGCCCGGGTCCTGAACGCTGCCTACTGGGAGTCCTCAGACCCCAAGAACCCCGACTCCAGCGGCCCGCACTACAAAGTCCATTTCGTCGGGTGGAACAAATCATGGGACGACTGGGTGCCCGCGTCACGGACGTTGGAGTGGAATAAGACAAATCTGGCGAAACAGAAGGAGTTGCAGAAGACGCTGGCGCCGACGGGCACAGGGACGAGGCCAGGACGGCGAAGGCAGAGTATTGCACCCGAGGTGGAGGGTGGGGTGAGGAAGGGCTCGGCGGGGTCCGCGGTGGGCGGGATGGAGAGTGCGAGGAAGAGGAGGAGGGATTCGATTTTGAAGGTATGGTTGGCGGAAACTGGTGGGGAGCAAGAGAAATGCATGGAAGAGTTGTGGGACAAGCGAAGCTTACGACGTTTCTCGCTTGCTTGCTTCCTTTTGCGGATCAGTCACCGGACGAAGATCTATCCCACGACGCACCGTATCTCAAGCTGGACATGCCGCGACACCTGAAGGAGCACTTGCGGGACGAGTATCAGCACGTTGCGAAAGACCACTCGGTAATTGCGTCAAGAGGGGGGCCCGCTTCATTAGGAAAGGGCGTTCAATTCACGTCGCCGTGGCCTCTCTTCCAGTTACTTACCCTACCACGAGACCCAAGCGTAACCCAAATCCTCGAAGATTACGAGAACTACTCCTCCGAATCCGGGGATACATCGATGGACGAGCTGCGGAGTGTGCTGCAAGGGCTCAAACTTTAGTAAGCGTTCTCACACATGCACGCACTCTAGTGATTGGCCTCACCATGAATCCCTCTCAGCTTCAACACAGGCCTGAAGAACATCCTCCTCTACCGCTCCGAACGCGCGCAATACAACGCCCACGTCAAGAAGTCCTTAGAAGGCAAGGCTGCGTGTGATATTTATGGCGCGGAGCATTTGCTTAGATTGTTTGGTGAGTCGCATTTGGGGAGTCGCCGACGGAATGGAAATGGATGGGTAGGTGATTTACGCAATTGTTTTGTTTTGCGGTAGTGCGATTACCCTCCCTCGTTGCACGAGTGGGAGCCGACAAGGATACCGCGGAGATGTTTCAGCAGCACTTTAATGATATACTATTGTGAGTGCCGCTTTTATGGCGTCAGAGTCGTGGCGGATACTGGGCGGGCGAGGGAGTGTTGACAATTGGTGATTTGTCGCAGATTCATCAACGAAAGGCGAGATCAGTATCTCACCGCCGACTACGGGAACTGATATCTTCGAGCCGTGCCGGGTGGGGCACAGGAACATTCGAGTTTTGAAAGAAAATCATCTCTTCGATATATACCCCTAATGCTGATAATGACCCGATATCTTTGGGATGTCTTTGAGATGTGTATATGGACATGAACATTGTCCATTCTAATTTGCTATGGTGGATCGGTGTGTACGATTCATATGGAGTTGTGGTATTGAAGGTCTATTTGCAGAGAAATGAATATGTACAGAGAAATATCGGTCTAAGCACACGCCGAGACTTTCCTTACGCCAAATGTATGGGAATGAAAATGTCTGAGAGGTTTACATCAGAGAGGCTGAAGAGAAAAAATTGTACGCCGTTGGGTGAGCCCCAAGACTTCTATATTGGTAGTGTCCATGTCTAAAGCCATGTCCATCATCTAGTGGGAAGCTAGTGGTTTTCCCGCATCAAAGACCAGTTGGTCAAAGTTCACGATGGAACTGGGGCTCCTCTCCACGATTCGATTCACCGACAACGTGCTGTCGAACGGGTTGATGTCCGATGTGACCAGCGGGGTCATGAGTGGTTGGGCAGGCTTATCGTGCAAGCTGACTTTTTGGAAGCGACAGTCGAACGGGTTGATTTCCGATGTGACCAAAGGGGTCATCAGTGGTTGGGCAGGTCTATTGTGCAGACTGACTTTTTGGAAGCGAGAGGAGAGGGGACCAACAACGTCGTCGTCCTCTTCCTCTTCCGAAGCACTCTGTGCAAGCGGACTCTCTTGAAGTTCGGTGGGGACCTGTTGATCACGGTGCGGGGGCGGAGGCAGGAGGAACAAAGTGGATGGCGGACGACCATAGGACTCGATAAGCTCCATCATATCCACGGTCGACCCGTTGTTGTGATACGACGCTTCCATTCCTGATGGGAACGATTCCGTGGACGGGATGGTAATGATCCCCGCTGAACTTCGCCGCCGGCCTAATACGGGTCGCTTTGAGGACCTGTCGCTTTCGTACGATGATGGGGGCATGTAAGTTGAAATTGAGGTGGTGGACGGGGACGCGACGGGTAGGGCATCAGGGAGAAGGATGCCCCTGCTGTTTCGGGCTCCGAGGGCATCTGCGCTCCTTCTACGCAGTTTTCCGGCACTGATATCGGGTGTATGCGAGCGAGTACGGTGATGGCCGAAATGGAAAAGACGTCGACCTGTTTCCGGATCTCGTTCTGCATGTTCCGGCTCGACAGTTGGGTCCGCTGGGTGGTGGGAAAACTTCTCTTTCAGTTTCTGAGTTATCTTCTCCACAAGGCGGAACGAGCGACGGCGACGATAGTGCCCAGAACTTCCTGAGAGGTCTACTGCGGAGTCTGCGATACTCGATGGTGGTGCCAGAGAGGAGTTGGATCGGGTGGAAATGCTTTCGTTTCTCGACTTGCCGCCATGGGAATGACTCCGCCGAAGGCCCACCTTCGGGTCGGTCGAAGCGTGGGAAAGTGCTGGACTTGCTACAGGGCTCGTGGGAGAGCTAGGAGCGGACACCGCCCTCCTTTCCGCCTGCGTAGGCGTTGCTGGTCTCAGTAAGTTGGACATGTTCAGGTCGCTGAATTCGCCCTATCCTTGTGTTCGTCTACCAATGCTGTCGGCCGGGGAATCGTCGAGAAGTCTGAAATGGCAAGATCCTGGTGCAGGGCGCGCCGCTGTAATAAGGTAGTTTACAAAACGTCTAGTATCCTGCCTTTACTGTTCCCTCCATCTATGTATGAGAGGTTGTTCCGAGGCCCTGTCTTTGCTGAGAAGCCAGGTGGGGAGGCTATGAGCTCCGAGGAGGTTGCGAGTGACCTTCCGGCAGTCTCCGCGTAAGCCTCGCGTTCCCCCACTGCGTCTCCGCTGCGTAACCACAGCGCTTGGAACTCGGACGCTTGGAAGCCGCGGAGCAGGCAAGCCCCATATGTTTTGACCCCCCCTCAGGCCTCATGCGAACGCACAACGGTAGTGCGAAGTCTGCAGAGTACCTCTATATCTAACCTGACAAATGGATGGCATCTCCAGCTCATTTTTGACGGGCGGTTGACATTCTAAAAGGTTCTCACGGGTGGTTGGAGTTGTCCGCCTTGCCGAACAGTTGCAACGGCTATTACGTAGGTAGGCTCCAAGCGGCGACCGAAAGAGCATAAAACTTCACCGCACAGGAGAAGGAGGTGGCTCCCAAAGCCTAGAGTTTCGAGAAGTTGAACGGGAACATGTCGGAAGTTGTGGCAATCGTGACGTCAGAGAAGCAACAAAAACCAATAAATGGTTACATCACGTGAGCTCCGCAGCGGGTTTATTAGATTCTTTGCTCAAACGCTTTCCAGCTACACCTTAACATGCTCTCAAACCCGCGGTCATCTTTGTGCAAAAATCCTCGATATGACTATCTCCGCCGTGCTTGAGGGTGAAGATACGGAAGGGCACCTGGGATTTGTCAATGGCTTGCGGATGGCTCGTCCTGGACATTGTTGGCGTGGAATAGTCGAAGTGACTGCGCTCGAAGGTGCATCTCGTAATGCAGACAACTCGGCTTGAGTCCAGTATCAAGCCTGAAATTGTTCTCAGCACCAGCTCTGGAATACCGGGTCATAGTACCGATGTACAGTATACTTTCCAAGCTCCTTCGTTGATGAGCAAGCGAGTTTTTGTGAGGGCAAACGCGAAGACGTCACAAGCAGACAGAACCTTGACAACTTTTTGACGCGTGCTCGCGCGAGTGTGACGAAAGGGCTCTTCTCGGACATCGCCTGCAAGCCACAGGCGCTCCTCCAGGCTTTTTCCGAGAGCGGATTCCCAAGAAATTTAAGGTTGACATGAGCTTGCGGCCTTTTGATGACAGCCGCCGCCGCCGTCCACCTTGCGCCCGGCGCCGGTCGTCGACGGCGGTGACGCTGTGGACAGTGATGGCTACGCCGGAATGGTTGCGAGAAATGTGTATAAAAGAGGGTAGCAGCTCCTCGAACCTGAACTCACAAACATCTTGAACTGTCCAGCGATCCTGAACTTCAGAGTCATACCCAAATTGAAAGTGAATTACCTCTACCTCTTCATCCCACTTCATCAACCAACAAATCATAATGGCACCCTCAGTCGAAACGTCCGCGGCCAACGTCGAGCACATGGAAGGCAACAAGTCCCTCGCGGACCGTGTTGGCGGCCTCCTGCCCACATCCACTCCCATCGCATCCAAGAAGTCCGAGACGGAGACCATGCGCGCATGTGCTTTCCAAACGTCGAAAACGATGAAGATGGTTGATGTGCCAAAGCCTCTGGTCACCGACCAGCGCGATGTTATCGTCAAGATTACCACGGCTGCTATCTGTGGAAGTGGTGAGTAGGCGATGTGTGCACTCATTCATTTGCGGTGCCTGTGCGGAATCATTCTGATCATTTCTGCCTCTTCGCGACTTGTAGATCTCCACATGTACACCGGCGCCATGAACCCCGGCATGGCCAAGGGCGACATTCTCGGTCACGAGATGGTCGGCATCATCGAATCTGTCGGTGATCAGGTCACCAAGTTCCAAGTCGGCCAGCGAGTCTGTGTCGCCGGACCCATCGGATGCGGTGAATGCGAGTTCTGCAAAAAGGGGCTCTGGTCTTGCTGTGATACAACCAACCCTAGTGGCGCTATGGACAAACTCTACGGTGCTCGTCTCTGCGGAGCTTACGGTTATACGCACCTGACTGGCGGGTACTGGGGCGGTCAAGCGGAATACCTCCGAGTGCCCTTCGCCGACCACAACCTCCTCCTCCTCCCCGAAGACATCTCCGACGACGCCGCCGTTCTCCTCTCCGACATCGCCTGCACATCGTGGCACGCGAACGAGTTGAGCGAGCTGAAGGAAGGCGACACTGTCGCCATCTGGGGATTGGGCCCCGTCGGTCTCTTGACCGCCATGTGGGCGAAGGAGCGTGGCGCCAAGACGATCATTGGTATCGACTACGTCCCCCACAGGCTGGAGACCGCGCAGAAGGTTTTGGGCATCACTACGTTGAACTTCAAGGAGGTTAACGTGATCCAGGAGGTGCAGAAGTTGTGCCCCGGCGGTGTGGACTGCGTAAGTATACCGTGTCTCGCTCATCTATTTAGATGTGACCTACTCAGAGGTTCGCTCGCTCACACGTTCTTGTATGGTGATGTAGGCTATTGAGGTGGCTGGCTTCCGCTACGCCAAGAGCTGGTTGCACGCCATTGAAACCACTCTAAAGCTCGAGACCGACGCCATCGACACCGTTGTTGAGGCCATCACCCTCGTGAAGAAGGGCGGCCACGTCACCATCATGGGGGACTACTTCGGATATGCCAACCACTTCCCAATCGGCGCCATGATGGAGAAGGTGAGATTAAGTTGCTAACTGGCTGCTTCGGACAATTGCTTATCTTAATACCTTCCTCTTTCCTCTCCCTCAGCACATCACCGTCCGCGGCGGCCAAGTCCTAACCCAAAAGTACTGGAAAGACCTTCTCCGCCGGTTCCGTGAAGGCCTCAAGTGCGGCGTCGACCCCACCTTCATCATCACCCACCGCCTGCCGCTCGAGCAAGCACCAGAAGGGTTCCGGACATTCAACGACAAGACGGACAACGTCATCAAGGTACTCCTCAAGCCCGGATTGAAGGCGTAGATCTGGAAACTCGATTCTTAAAGAATCCGAAGGAGTCCCGTTTTTCCATCATTTCATATGTACATATCAAGTAATAAGCTCGTAATAATACCACTACCATTTTGGCCAGGAACCCCAGCCCGTTCTATGAGATCTAATGTCTACCCGAAGAAGAGTCGGCAGCGGCTTTCCGTTCCTGGCGTATCCGATCCAACTCCTTCGCCGCAAGGACTATATGCTCGCCGTGGGGATGGTCAACGGAGATGGGCGGCGTGCCGGTGTTTCCATAGAACACCTCCTCGTTGCTCATCCACTCGTCCATCCGGTCACGGAGGAAGTCCTCGTAGGACCATGGCTCGTCTGGTAGGAGGAGGCTCTCGGGGGCGGCCCATAAGTATGTGTCCGCTTCGGTTTTCACTTCTTGGCCGTTGTCGTTCGTTATGGTGACCGTGACGGTCGTGCGTTCGTAGTCCTATGCCAATGCCATGGATTAGGACCCGACAAGGAAGAAGATGCATTTACCGGCTACTACTCACATCAGTCTCAAAAGCATCCAGCAACCGCAGATCGTCGTGCGATTCTACAGGTACGAGGACTCCTCGGACTTCTGCCGATGGGTGATCGACGCGAAACATGGCCGGGTATGTTGCATCAATGACTTTCACTCGTCGGAAACCCTGCAATAACCGAATATCGTGAGTCAAAATGTTCGCCATACCATGCATCAGAACGTCCGATGGACCCTTACCTTCAGAACAGCGCTCCTCCCAATAGGCTGTGGCTTTCCCATCTATACAGAACGAGAGGTATCATCAACAACTGGTCTCAAGTCGAATCCCGCGCTGACGCATCCTAAAAGCTTACCACAGTCCCATAAACCTGCGGCGCCATCAACGTCCCATAGCAAAAGATCGGCCGCGGCGGACCGGACGCAGGTACAGGTTTAGCACTGACTTTCGCGGGCGGGCAAGTTGCGGAAATCATTATTTTGCGACACTGAATATATCGAGGTGGCGATGGACGAGGATATGTGCGGTGTATGTGGGGTATGTAGGATGTGAAGGCCTTTCCCCATGGGAGGAAAGGCCGTTTATATATGCAGCGCGCGAGCATATTCGTGGGGCAGAACGCCTTGTACGCGGGCGAGATTTCCATATTTTATCAATCGCGGAGGGCGCGGATCTTTGCCTCTCAGAGGAACAAGACACTCCGCCCAGGGACGTGGACCGGGTCAGTCACATCTTATCTGTGAATAGGAAGTCACGAGCTTTTGACGAGATTCATGTCGAATGTCTGGCCATGTACTCGGAAACGGGTAGTTTTTCTGTCCGGCGGTTCTTTGCTTCCCGCCATCTGTGAAATGCACGCGTCCAGAATGGAATGTCGCTGGATTTGGCAACGACCTCTGGCAACGACCTCAGTGCTATTGGCGAGCGAGAACTTCCGCGTAATGCTCCTTTGGGCCGGGTTTACGAGGGGTGTGAGAAATTAATGTGCGCCGTTGTGCGGGAATGAGGATCGGTGGAGATATCTACATGCTCCAACAAAAACTTCCGATACTTCCGTGGAGATGACCGTGATTTGTTCAAGTCTTATATACAAGCAGGTCGGAAGTGTTCGCCAACACCAGCCCCTCCTTCCTCGCCCTCCTCTTGAGTCCTGGTTCCATCCCGACCACAGGCCGTCAACTTTTTCGTATCATTTTTTGTGTTTCTCTTGTTCCTATCTAGGTAACCCCTTCATCGTTTCTGAGCTTATGAGAGAGAGTGGCCCATCATCACTTGCTATGGCGCAACTGCTACTTATTTAGACTACGCCGTTTCCTAATGTCGCACTTAGCTTCCAAATAGTTCCTTCTTCTTGATGTAGCTTTCGTAGAGGTGGTGTACACCGAAGCTCTTCATCCTGAATTGAGGGGGAGATCGTGTGTGACATGGAGGAGGCAGAGGATTCAACCAGGTTGATACAGCTACTTTACCGGTCGATCAACTCGTCCGTTGTGCGGATTTCCAGATGTAAAGGCTTCTCCTCCGACATGTCGTTCGAACTCTCTTCCATGCCACTGTAGTCGACCAGTCTTCGCCAACCATTCGGTGTTGCCGCCTGAAAGTTCTCGCGTTCCAGTGAACGCGGTTTCAAGTTCTGTAGGGAACTCCCCATAAGCTTTCATGCATGAAATGGTTTGCAAATGTGTGATGCTGACCGGAATCGACATCACGAACTTGCAGGTGTCCTCCGCCGTTCCTTCGATAACGATAAAAGGCTTTGATCCAATGCGGGCGAGAATGCCGACCCCGCTTTGCTCGGCTGCGTTCATCACTAGCTTCCGTTCTAGGGAAAGAAATGTGGTTAGGGGCCGTGGCATCTCCCTTGAGCGAGAGTGAAAAGATCGATGTGCAGCATAGACGTACTTTGCATAGAAATTAGTGGATCAACGGTGAAGAGAGTGCGTTGACAATATAAGGTGGTGAACTGTCGAACCTCAGCCGCTGTCGCGACTTTTGATGGTGGTGTCACCGATTTGGCAGCCACTTCCAGTTTCGCAAGAGCGGTGGTGACATCCTTGACGGCATCCTTAACCGGCTGCGACCCTTTCGGCGCAGGTGCCTTTTGAGATTCCATTGCGTTGGTTTGCGTTACAGCGATCTGAGGTTCCCGCCTGGCCGAGCCTCCATTTGACCTGTTATTCACATCGGGGGTCGCTCCCCTGGTCGGGACAGGAGGCGTTGGTTTGCGAGCGACTCCCGAAGCAGATTGTGCGAAGCGCGGACTTTGAGCGCGCGTTTCAGTAGAATTGGCAGCAATGCGATCCTGGTTCTTCGGCGTCCATGCAGGTAGAGCAACAGGTATTGCGTTGCGTGGTTGCTCCACCGACCTCTGATTCGGGAAAACACGCTCAGTTCGAAGAGGCTGCTCAGATGGCGCACGTGTAGTAGATCCAGAAGGTCCAGCCTGCCCTTGTGTTTGAAGAAGTGGCTGCTGCCGTCCTTGAGCTGCCCGTAACCGTTGTGCAGCCCGTTCCTTTCGTTCGGCCTGAGCCTGTTCCTCCTGCTGGCGTAAGGTACATTCAAACTCAGCCCAAGATCCCACGTATTCTGCAATGCATTTCTTGCATCTCCGCTTCTCCTTCCACTTCAACTGGGAGCTGTGCAAAGGACATGGAAAGAGGGAAATACACGGGAAGACGGCTACCCACCAACAAAAAAAAAGAGAAAAGCGTTGGAGTTCTTACCTAGAGTAGCGCTCCCGATCCAACAGCTCATGACACCCGCCGCAGACCTCCGGAGCAGGATCGGGTGGTAGAAAGTCCGGCATTTTTGTAGCGCGGATCCATTCTGGGTTAACCGGCTTTTTGGTCTTCTTCGCCCCTGAAATAGAGGTCCAGGAAGCTGAACCGCGAGTCATTCTCGCGCAAGACCCAGTAGTGGTAAGTCTTCTAAAGAAGAACAAAACGTGTGGGCGAGTTCAGTAAAAGGCCAGGGAAAAGGCATTGGCTCAGCTAAGTGACCAGGAGTACGGATCAGATCTCTGTTCTATTATTACGTGCAATCTTGTTCGGCGACTACCAACTTGCCCGAGAGCAAGGAGTCGAGCCAAATCAGAAACCTTCTCAAAGTTTGCGATCATCACACCGCAGTCCCCACGAAAACTACCAGCAGAAGCCCGTGATTCTCCGCTTACCTTGAATTCCAGCGGTGGCGGAACAAGCGCCTCCAAGCTATAGATTTCCTAAGATGTAGGTATGTAGGCGAGAAGCTGGAAACGCTAAACGATGCGCTAGTGGTATATATATAGCCTGGGAAGCAAAGGGAGAAAGAAGGGAGGGAGAGCTGAGGGAGGAGGACGACCAACAGCGCAATTGTCTACCAATCGACAGCGCGGCGCTTAGGCTCTTTCACGCTTCTCGACTTCCAACACAATTGTGGAGCAGCAGTTAAAACCGTATGTGGGACAGCTCAAGCACTTCACAGTCTGATACATACGGGCCCGCATATATATAGGCACGGGCTAGACTGTGGACGCTGCTGCCACGTCGACTGACGTCTCTAGTCGGTCTGCCAAACAGGCAAGTTTGAAGCGTCGACAGTCTCCGGGCCCTTTCGTACTGTATGCATACCGAAAGTCGCGGTGCCCAGCCTGATATCGGTTCGGCAGGTTCGGCGTAGTGGCAGAAGATACTTCATCCGTCATAGAGCAGTTTAAGTCAGCTGTGCGTTGGAACGACGAGAAAGTCAGGGTGCGGGAGGGTTGGATGCATATGCAGTACACCGTGTCAGATCTTTTGTGAGTGCTCCCGGCAGCGACTTCCACTCGACGACACACTGGGTAGCTCTTCGTAGTTCCCGCAAAAGAAGCGGCCTTGATGTCTAGACGGTCACAACGGCGGAGTGCAACGAAAGGCACTTCAAGTTATCGGGAGCCATCCGACCTTAGTGATGATAGCGAGGAAATGGACACCCAACAGGTCGATCGACAAGTAAAAGTCACCAAAAGAAAGCGCAAAGTGGTGTCAGATCCTTCGTCGGATGAGTCTGATACCGGGGCTGATGAGCAAAAGCAGTATGTCCGGCCGAAGCCTCGTAGAACGGCCGCGACACCGCGGAAACGGGCGAAGTCGGCCCAAGCCCTCCCGGCACCAACCCCTACTGCCCATTCCGAGCCTTTACACGAACCAGAACCTACGTTTGTATCATCGGTGAAAGTCCTGGAACTTATGCGGGTGTGCTATACCGGTGCCCGCGCGGGTGATGTCCTGGAAGGAACCAACCCGGTAACGAAAGGCGCCTTGTTACGAGTTTGCCGAGCCCAAATCCTTCCAATGAAGCGCAAACTCGACCAAGTGCGTGCTGAACCGGCCTTGTGGCGCGCCTTCTTGCGCCAGCTGGGTACGCTCGACTTCTTCAGTGGTATGAGTGAAGCGGGTCGCGCTGCCTGGTTGGAGGCGAATGAGTTGAGCAAAGAGCGTATGGGAAGCGAGGACGATGAGGAGCTTGATCAGTTACGCTTTCAGGTCCTTGGATTGGGGACTAGCGTTCTTGGGACCAAGGTCAGCGCTGAAGACGTGGAGAAGCTCATGGAGCCGCAGCCACGGGAATGGCAGGCCGTAGACATTGCGCGCATGATTCCTGCCAATACCGAGTCTAACAGTACCACGGAATCTGGCCGGCATACGCTCTTTTTCATCAAATCATGGTGGAAGATCTCCACTGATGCGCAAGTTGTCGGTGCATTTGGCGGTCGAACGATCGACATAGCCGCAGGCACTTTTTCATTCGATGGTGGCAGCAACGTGGTTCCGCAGACCCAGCTCTATCTACTTGAAGGTCTTCCAGCAGATGGAGCGCCAGTGGCGTTTCGTGTGCCTGTGGGAGCTCCCGCCACACTGACCCTTGAGGGTCTCACCGAGTCGCACATTATACCGCTGTGGCTTACATTGGACGATAAGCGTGCGCGTAGCCTCGATGCATATCAAGTCCGTAGTCTCGTTCAGACCGTGGGCCAGGCATTGGCAGGCTATGCGCCATCGGCTCTTCGGTCGTTGCTGCAAAAGTTGATTCGATTCCCGTCCCGCGTCTGCACTGACTTCGTGATACCTACTCCGACCGAGAACGACTTAGAGGTCCGAGACTTAAAGGAGGAGGTTGTGGAAAATAAACCGAAGAATGATGCTGTCGCCGTAGGAGTCGATTCTCGAATTGTTTTGCTGACAGCATGTTCCATCTTGCTTGGTAAACCGATGACATTCAACCCCGACATCGGACGGCAAGTATCGGGCATGGAAAGTTTCCTCAAACGCCTTGCTGTTATCCTTTTCGAGGATTCTTCATTCGACGACGACGGCGCTACTGTACTCTCACTCCTGGCAGGCGCTATGATGACGCAGCGTGTGCGAAGCTGGCGTCCGACTAGCGATTTGCTGATGCAGTGGTTTCGTGCCGCGCTAACAGCATATGCTTCCCCTCTGTGCTTTCGCTATGATATCCCTGCGGGTGAAGCGATGCCTGCTTGGACACTGGGTGCCGGGACGACCAAGCTGCAAGCGTCGTCAGCTTTGCTTGACACACTGCGCAGCTTTTCGGGCGACCTGGCCATGGTGCGCTACATTGCGAGTGAGGTTGACGCACGGACATTGCGATTCACGATCCGGGGACATTGTGAATCTGGAGCATCATCGTGGAATAGCAAGCTTGCCTCCGGGTGGCATGGGTTCGAGTCGTTACCGATCTACCACCACTGCGACCAGCACGCATTCCCCAACATCGGCTACTATTACAGTGTGGGCGTGGTCGAACGCGAATGCAAAAGAGCCTCTCCGGGACAGCCATATGCACCGTTATTCAAACGTTTGTTTGAACAAGTCACGGGTGCCAATCCGCGACGCACAATACTGGAGGAAGCCTCGTTTAATGATGATCCCTTTGTACGTGAAACACGACTCGCTCAGCGACGCCTCGTCTTGTCGGCATTCTCACCGCTGGGACCGATGCGGCCAGAGGTGCCCAACATCTCACATGACTTCACCTTTGAGCTCGATCAGTCGTGGTTACCGGGCCTGGTAGGCGCCATTGAACTCAAAGGGCGGGCCAAAAATGCGCGGAAGGGGACCCAAGCCCGCCCTGCTCTCCTCGTCACGCTCTGCTGCGATGACCCGTCGGAACTCATGGTGATTCGCAAGCCTGCACGCGGCCTCAAAGCTGATGAGGCGGCCTTGTCGGACGAGATCGAGAGCGAAGCCGTCGAAGAAGCGCGTCAGCTGTTGAGCGCGGGTGTACCTCTCAAAGCCACTCGCGCACCCTCTACCAACTTCAAAGGGTGTACAGCCATGTGGGATGCCGAGCGGAACGATTATTGGATCGTGTCTCAGAGCGGTCGTGGAGCACGTCGTGTGCTGTGGCAAGAAGCACGTCGCCTCAAATTGCAAGTGCCGGTTCATCCCTCAGTGCCGTATACGATGGAAGGCGCCCTCTTATCGCAAGGTCCAGGCATTCAAGAAGGCGCGATGGAAGCACTCAAGGAATTGGTAGCGAAAGCGCCTTCGCTTGCGGTACTATCCCGCGTGTTATATTACCTGGAAACGTATGACCACGACGTTCGTTTGAATCGGATAGCGCGCAATGGCAACGGGATGGAGTATCAGGTGAACATCAACGATACGGCGGCCTTTCGATGGTTGTTACGGTTCTCGTTGCTCTTCCCCGGTGCTTTGCGTCCGGCCGCACGCCATCTAGCTGCTTTCATCGTTCCGAACGGACCCCTCATCTGGTATGCTGTCGCACATCTACGCACACTCGTGCTGGACAGGCGACTGGGAGAGCTTAAGGATACCCGGAAGCAGCATCCCGCGACCGCGGCCGCACGTGGTGTGGTTGCAGACTGGAAGCCGGACACTTGGGCCGCACCGTTCGCACCATGGTTGCATCAAACCGAGGCTCTCAACGACATGATCGGGAAGCTGAATGCAGGCCGACGCGGGCACTATCTGCACTCCCCAATGGGAAGCGGCAAAACCCTTATTGTCTCGATGTACCTACAGCATCTCGCCGTCAACGGGCTTTTGCCAGAGCATGTTATCTGGTCGTTGCCGCCTCCCGCTGTCGATAGTGTCGCGCAGGAGCTGAAATCGTTTGGCTTTGCGGTGCATTGGATGATGCCAACCAAGAACAACAAGAGTAAGGCGCTGCCTGACGGCGTAGTTCGACAGACTGACGTCAAAAACTTGGCACGCTTTGCGATCACGATTGTACTCCATGACGATCTGAAACGAATGGCTGACGAGTTGCGCCAGGCATCGGATGATCTTTTCTTGGTCATGGATGAAGCACACATGGCACTGGACGAAACGCAGCGGACCACGATTGCGCGCGAGATTGCTAAGCTGTCTCTCGGATTCGTCGCACTGAGCGGCACGCCTACCAAGGATAATCGCATCTATAAGCTTATCCCGTGGATCTCCCTCGTCGTGCCGTTTGCCGTTAACGAGCGCAACTTCTGGGCCGCCTGTAACAGCCTCGTCAGCCAGATCGTCGATACCGGCGTGCACGTGCGTACCCACGAGATCGAAGCGCCATGGTCGTCGCCTGAGGAGGAGCACAGGTACCGTTCCTTGGTGCCTGAAAAGTATGGAGGCGTCAACAATTACTCGTCACGACAAGACGCTTCACGCGCCGCTACGCTCTGTTACGATGCGTGTACGCGTGAAATGGCGCGACTGGCAGTCGAATTGCTTTACGGCAAATTGGAATTCGGCAATGATGCGAAATGGCGAGGTGGCGTTTTCTTGGTCGCTAATGACGAGGTGCATCAAGAAGAGCTCACGAAGTTGGTGATCCGCGTCAGTCGTGGACGCGCCAAAACTTCCGCTGCCGCCTCTAAAACGAACGCGCGCGACCTCGCCGACGCCGACATTTTCTGCATCACGGGTAGAGCCAGCATCCACATGTCGGATACTGCCGTAAACGACAAAAAAGTGCGCGACTACCCAGTCGTCATCACCACCAAGCGTCGATCGACCGGCTACACGTTGTCTCGCCTCAAGGTTTCCATCACATCGGTGTACCCCTCCAATCTCGCGACGCGTCTGCAGCTCGACGGGCGCTTGAATCGGCTATCGCAGTTGGCCAAGGAGCTCGACTATTACACCGTGCACGCGGGCATTCTGTCGTATATTCTGCATAATCATCAGCATGCTGCGTCTATTGACAAGGCGTTTAAGGACATGGGCGTTTATATTGCTGGACCGACGATCTGACACGCTTTCGACACGGGCATATACACAGTTGCCAGCGACCAACTATCCCGATCTTTCGCCGCACGTATCGTCATCTATTTCACAGGTTTGTATGATTTCACACCTCGAAAGTACTCCGTAGCCGTCCGGCAGCGATCGGCACATGCATACCAACGCTCCATCTGGAGCTCATCGCTCTCAAGTCGACGCCTGCCCACGTGGCGAACGACACCAGATGATTTCGCATGGCCACGGGGCTCAACAAACGCAAGATCAAGCGATTCTTCCAGCGTGCGCACACCCAGTTCACACCATACAATAAAAGGCAAGTCTTCGTCGTCTCCTGCATCATTATCTCCGCGCCGTTTTGGGCCCTACCATGTGTTCGAGGGCTCGTGCACTGGACACTCAACGCAGGTTGCGGCGTAAGTGTTAACGAAGATACACAACAGATATATGATGACATCGACATATCAATAGCTTGTGCGGAACGCAAGTCAGACATATGTATGGCAAGATATGCAATGTGGACTAAAAAGCCCCCCAACCCTTCCGGATTCTGTGCAGATGGTGTTCCGCTTCAAAAGGCACTGAAGATGCTACAAACAAATCTATTCATGTAGATATATAAGGCAGATTTGGGTATTCATTTGTAGACGTGGTTTTCGGGTGCTCGGCCTGGTAATCTGTTCGCATAAAACTGTTCGCACCGTTAAGTCCGAGTCAGGCCTCCATATATCCATGCTCGAGCTCGTGTGATACGCGTACAGCAACGCTCACAGCAAACGCGTGACGCTCCGAATTCAGCCTGATGACACATCACCATTTGTGGGAGGCCGGATACCCGATCCAAAATTCCGACATGCGCTCGGCCCCACACCTTTCTACAGCATCGGGCTAACGAGGATCATTCCGAAAGTCCAGAGGCGAATGGGAGTAAGCAAGTTTGTTCATCAAGCATTCGGTTTGTTGTTATTTCAAACGAAAAAAAGGGCCATGGTATACATTTGCGTTGCAAGTGGATGCCATTGTTTTGTACAGTTTTTACCCCACAGCGGAGGTAAGAAAGTGCTAGAATGGGACGCAATGTGCCCCGCCGCTAGTCGGCTCACAGCGGGAGCTTTATTTCTCCTGGCACTGGAAGAAGTTGGCGCCTTCCAACGTCATGCCTTTTTGCTTTGCCCAGCGGTGCGCATTCCAACCGTTGCGTTTGCCTTCGAAGACGCTGAGTTCCAGTTTGGACTTTTGCTGCAAAAAATGACGGGAGAAAGTGAGATCGAATGTTTGACACGGTAAGGTAATGCGTGAGGGGTTGATGAGAAATCCCGTACCTTATACAGCAGGAAGACGTAACGGTGAAGTCCGGTGCCTGGTGGGGGCGTAGGCTCTTGGTAGTCTTGCAAATCCTCTCCTTTCTCGACTTCTGCACCGGGAATGTTTCCGACGACCCAGTGTCTCCATTCGCCCTGTGAGGAAAACAAAGAAAGTGTGAGTATGGGTTTGTGATGACATTTAGACGCGTGGGAAAAATCTTTGGGGCCGGAGGAGCCACGTTTGCAGCGCCGACGACGACGAAGAATACGAGAAGGAGAACATACCTGAGTTGGCTTGTCACGGCTTGGTGCGTCGGGGTCGACCATAATAACGGTGTAGAAGCTCTCGGGGTCGGCAGGCCACGTTACCGATGGTGCAGACAGACACGCAGCAGCCGGGAGCTCTTTCCCGAGCGCGGCCTTCTTCCCTGATGGGAACTTGACGCCGAGCTCGTAGGAGGGCTTGAAGTTGGCGCTATCTGGGATGACATCGGGCATGACACCGTTCGTCGTTAGGGACTTTGTCAGCTTGTTGAGCGCTGCGGCGGTTTTGGCTGCTTGTTTCTCAGCGAGCATGGTTGCGATTTTGGTTTGGAAGTGGACGGGTGTTCTCTGTTGGCAAGTCTCGTTTGGTTTCAAGCGTATGGGACGAAGTTACAGCCTATGTATTATATATTTGAAGTTGCGCCTGCATACGGATATGTTCTCTCAAAGGTATGCAGCCAGTGGAGAGGAACGACGAGAAGGATGGTCTCTTATATAGCAGCAGCAGCTCAACCCGTCCCTTCCATACCCTACTGTACCTTCCATTCGGAAGTGGTTGATGGGGGCCGCCATCCCTGAGATCATCGGGCATGCCACGTCAACGGCACCTGACCTGACCGTCTGGACCGATAACCGTAATAGCCATCTCCACTCTTCCCCCCGCCGTGTCCCGCAACCAGGCGCGGAATTGGGGTCCCTTGGAAGGCACATCAGGTGCAAGGCCAATACAGGTCCCCGCAGGTTGCAAGCTCGCACTTCCGATTTGTTGCATGCCCTCCGCAATTTGCGCCGACAATTTGGGGAGTGCATCGCAGTGCGGCGTCGTCAGGGATGCGAGTATTTGAGCCGGCTATATAGTGCGTATCATATACCCAGCCATCTGGCGGGCTTGCCAAGAAGCCCTGAGACAAGCGAACACCATAATATCACACAATGTTACAGGAAGGGGATCAGGCTTGATTGCCAGGCTTCGTCCTCATTAAGCCGTCGATTTGGTGTTTGGCGCTGGCCATCTGACCCTGGAGAAGGTTTGTGTCACGCATGACACATCAATTGCTGTCAGTCCTGAGTTTCCGACTTCCGGCTCACGCGTCGCTCGCTGCGCCTCGGACAAGCCACACAACACATAGTGACACATTCCGACGACATGCAAACGCTGGCTTCACTATCGATACCGTCCTCTCCGTTAAAAAGGGTTGATGCGTAAGAACCATTGTATTGAAAAACCAAAACGGCCAAAAAAGTTCCTCTCGCTAGCGACGACAGTACATACAAAATGAATTAAGAAGATGCCAAAGCATTGCAAAACTTAAGAGAATTCAATGAGGTGGAACGGGAACTGCTTGCTTCCGAAGGCGTCTCAGAATCAACTCGCAACTTGGGACCCTTTCGCAAAATCAATGAAAACCTGATCCAACGTGGTTTGGCTAAACGCATAGTTCTTGATGTTCGATGTGCGTGTCGCCCTGAGTTCTTCCAGCGCCTCGAATGCGCCTCCAAGACCCGAGACTTTCGGTGCTTGCTCAGCTGTAGCGTTCGAAGCGAAGTCCGACACGGGCACACGGTAGCGACGCATGGTTGCGAAATGATCGACTAGGGCCGCGTTCGGGAAGACCGATACGATCGCGTCATCAGTAGCGTTTTGAGCCGGGGAGGCCGATGACCTCGCAGCCGCAGCCGAGGCGCCATGAGTCTGCACCTCCAACTGATAACCTTCCCCAAACTTGGATTTGAGATGCTGCGCCGTGCCAAAGCATCGTAGCCTGCCTGCAACTTGGATGCCGATTTTGGTCGAGAGAATGTCCGCTTCCTCCATCGAGTGCGTGGTGAGGACCGTGGCCCTTCTATCTTTTGTTCCAAGCAGGATATCCCACAACCGGCGCCTGGCGGACGGATCGATGCCCGTACTAGGTTCGTCGAGGAACAGAACATCGGGCTCTCCCGAGATAGCGATGGCGAAACTCAGTTTGCGGCGGTTTCCGCCACTCAAATTGCCAGAGTGCACAGTGCGGAACTCTTCGATGTCGAGCACCTTGAGGAGGGTATCGATTCTGGCGAGACAGGCATCCTCTTGCATGCCTTTCAACGTGCCGTAAAGCTTGAGATGCTCCATTGGCGTTAAATCTGGCCACAGGGCGTCGAATTGAGGGTCGAAGCCGATATGCTTGTAAGCGTCCGAGTTGCGCGCAAAGATTGAGCGTCCTTGAACGTAGACGTTGCCATGTGTGGGAGCGATGGCGCCGACGGCGATCGAGAGAGTGGATGTCTTTCCCGCACCTGCATATTGGGCACATAACAGATCAGCAATCTGGACTCAATGGGAAAGACCTCAATGAGTAAATGCTTACCATTAGGGCCCAAAAGTCCGAATACTTCCCCTTGTGAGACACCCCAGCTGCTCCAATCCACAGCAGGCCTGACGGTCTCGAGGGCAGATTTTTCCCACCATTTGCGGGTCTTTTGAGCGGGATACGTCTTCCGCACATTTGCGACGAGCACCGAGTCTACGTCAGTGCTGCTGTCTCCCGTCTCCAAGTCCGTAACGGTTTTAGACGCAGAAAGCACTTCAAGCTGGTCTTGCACTCTACGGCGTTCTTTGATGACATCTTCGTCGTCGGCCTCAGCATCCGGACCACGACCCTCCCTTTTCGCACGAAGCTGGTCCATATCGGCGGAATTCCACGGCTTGATGCTCGACTCGGTGAAGCGCGTCTTCTGGAAGTCCAAGTAATAGATCACCATCGACGCCACGCCGAGCTGCACCAGAGCAATCAACAGCGTCGGAAAAGCGACGGCGTCAAAGGCAAAGTAGTCTGCAACCGTCAGCGCGGGCATGCCGGGGACCACACTGTTGATAAGGCTGAGCATGTTGACGTGGTAGAGGATCCCGACGACGGGGTAGTACGGGTCCACGGTTGCAAAGACGTAGTGGAGGGTCTTGGCTGTGTTTTCGTTGCTGATGAGCGTCACCAACAAGTATGGAATCAGAACCATTGGGGAGATGATGCCGGACATCACATTACGTGCGGTCTCGATGTTGGTGAACACCAGCGAGAGTGCGTAGCTGAACAATAGCGCAGATGGAAGGCCGACCATCAGCCCGAGGAAGACGATGGGGAAGGCGGCGCCGCCGAAATTGGCGATCGGGAGCGCAAAGATGAAGATGATAATCACGACTGATGCAGAAGACGTTCAGCACGGAAGCATGGATTGGAAAGTGTGGACAAACCCTCACCTGGCAAGATCATAAAGACGCTCCAATCAACAAGGAATGTGCCCGCCCAATATGCAGCACGCGGGAGTCCCATAACATACAACTGATGAACAATCCTTTCCTGGCGCTCAAGCACTAAAGCGATCGCATGCCCAGCAGCAGAGTAACCGAACGCAAACCCGATCAGCATGGTACTGACAAACGCCCTCGTATCCCAGACTTTCTCGTATACATTTGTGAGCGGTTCGAGAGAAGCTTTGATTTGAGGCACGTCCGTCGTTCTCCCAGCCGCAGCGAATCGTTGTGCTAAGATGGCGTTGTGTACCGTGTTGGCCAGCTTGGGAATCGTGTCGACGTCTCCAGTGCCATTGAAGAAGATCGTTGCTAGGTAATTGCTTGCGCCCGCCGATCCGAGTTGGAAGCCACCAATGTGTGGCTGATTGTTCAGCACCCACTGGGGTCGATTCATTCCGGCGTCGTTGTCAACGGCAGGGGTAGGCTTGATCACGTTGGCAATTGCAACGCCGTCGGTCGCGTTGCTTCCGACAGCATCGTAGAACAAGGTGCCGCTGTCGGAAGAGATGATGAAAGTGCGAGTTGATGTAGATGCCGAAGTTTCGTTTCCTCCCGTTCGTAGGACGAGGCCGACGAGTAGCATGACGATTGGCAATCCGACGGCGAAGAACAGCTTGCGTTTCTGTCGGAACTCCAGGAGGTATCGAAGCTTAGCGACGGTGATCACGTGGCCCCAGAAGGACAGTGGGCGGATATCATTCGCTGAAACCAGGGAGTGTCATGTTAGAGACTTCAGCAACAGACAGTGCCACCACACCATCGGAAATGGAATGCTACGAACCTTTTGGGCGCGGCAAGAGAGCTTCCTTAGATGATGCCCGAACATTGATCACCGTGGTAGCGCTCCCAGATTTAGCATTCGGGATCTCCGCCTCGTCCAGCTCCGCGCTCTTCAGGAACACCTGCTCCAGCGTAGGCATACTCAAGCCATAAGACTCGATGCGTGGCCCATTGGTAGCCTGCCCGCTCGCAGCGCCGTCCAGGATCTTCAATAGCGCCGGGAAACGAGCGACGTGTTCGGCGGGTAGCTCCCATTTACTGACAATGGTGTTGCTTGCGGGTCCAGCGTGACTAGAGCTGTTGTCACCCCCGTATGGGTTCAAGTCTTCATCGGTGAACTTAGCAGTAGGAATCTGGTGCTTGACTACCTCATCGATTGACTCTTGCACATTGGGCGCGTGAACGATGTCAAGCTGGTACCCGATTCCAAAACGCTTCTTGAGGAACATGGATGTTCCCAAGCATTGAACTTGGCCATGCGACAGAATAGCTTTGCGATCTGCCAGGACGTCGGCTTCGTCCATGAAGTGAGTGGACAGCAAGGTGCAGCGGTCTGGTTTGCCGGCGGATAGGAGGTCCCATAGTTGACGGCGCGATAAGGGGTCCATGCCGGATGTCGGTTCGTCTAGAATCAATAACTTGGGACGAGCTAGGATGGCGATGCCCACAGACTGTCACAGACCGACGGTTAGTGGCGAGATCTCCAAGTACGTTCGAGCTGTCGAGTCAGTTCCTTACCAATTTCCGCTTCTCCCCACCACTCAACCCCTCCGCGAACGTGTTTCGCTTTTCATCAAGATGAACTTCGCGTAAGACTTCTTCCACCCGAGTATCCCTCTCCTCCCCAGTGATACCCTTGATCCCAGCAAAACAACGCAAGTGCTCAACAACGGTAAGCTTGTCGAACAAGCAGTCATGCTGCGGGGTCACGCCGAGCAGTTGCCTGATCTGCGGCATGTCCTTGCGAATATCGAGACCGTAGATCGTAGCCGTGCCTTCAGTCGGGGGGATGAGCCCGCAGAGCATGTGGATGGTTGTCGTTTTGCCGGCCCCGTTGTGTCCCAATATACCAAAGATCTCCCCACTATTCATGTGCAAGTTCAGGTTGTCAACCGCAACCTTTGGCTTGGATTTGCCGGTGAATCTGGAACTTTCACCGAATATTCTTCTCAGACCAGTGATTTCGACGGCAACCCCGGCTCCGCTCTCATCGGGCTCCATATCGTCCGGGTTGTCTTGATGTCTCGTATGAGATTCGAGGGCACCTTTCGAGTTTGCCTTCCGACTGAACATCGTCAGGGGAAAGTACCACGGACGCGTTACTCCAAACTCCTGCTTGACGACAGCGTCCAAGTACATCGCCAGGAGTGCGTAGAAAGGCGTCGAAAGCGCCAATCCGAGCAAGTACGTGCCAGCTCCATTCCAAGGAATGGACGACCACTGCATGCCGCTTCCGTTAATCTCCAGTTTTACCACGGTGTTCAGCAGCAGGGTATGGCCGAGGGGGCTGAGGACCATTGCGATGATAACTTGGGCGCCGGAGGACAGCTGCGTGTCTTGCAAAGCGATTTGGAGTACGGCGGGGATGATCCTAATTGCCATGTTAGGGTTAGGGTTAGAGCTGCCAAGGGCGACGTGAGAAATCCCACTTACGTCACGAATGGGCCGACGACGTTCGCCAGCATCGTTTTGGAGAAGAACGGCGAAGTGGCGAAGGCAAGGGCGACGGTCGAGATGCAGTACAGATAGAATATAATCAAGATGAGAAGGAAACTTGTATTTGGCAGGAAGGAGATCCCTTTCACGATCGCCTGCAACCGGGACGTGTGAGCTAGGGCAAAAGTGGAGGATATAGACAAGGGGCTACAGTGAGCAGCGAGAATACTGACCGTTACAATGATGACGACCGGAGGAATGATGCCGAACGCGTAGGTTATTCCCCAACTGAGCCAAAAAGCCAAAGGCCGCAGGCCCATTATGTAGACCAACTCTTTGATTCGCTTTTCCTTCTCTTGCACAACGTAGAAGAGGACCGAGATGTAGAACTGAAAGAAGGCGATCGTCAAGTAAAGCGGGATCATCACATTGGTGGCGCCGGCGATAGTAGACTGCTCTGTTGATTCGGCAATCGGCATCTGTTGAAAATAGTTGCTGACTGACACATTGCTTGACAACAAACGGTTGGAGATCGCCTGGTCCAATGCTCCTTGCAGCGAAAGAAACCCGGTCCGGAGATACTTGTCCATCTCGCATCCGAACCGCATCAAAGTGGGGTCACGACACGCTCCCGGACTTGCTGTAACGCTTTTCGCATTTGGCAAGACAGATGTGTTGAGGCGAAGTGTATATGAGGTAATCGAAGAATCAAAGACGATTCCGGCGAAGAAACTTTCTGGATTTTGGAAGTAGAACTTTTCCAAATCCGTTTCGGACAAGAACGCGCGCGAAGTCAGAGGCTGAAAAGGTCCAATCGAGGGCGAGATTTGAGGAAAGCTCTGACGGGCTGCATTCAGATCTTGGATCGTCGCCGCGATGACGGCATCGGTGTCGGCAGATGGGGCGGTATAGGCCAAGATGCTACTCTGTGCTAGAGGTGCGGCATCGGGGCCAACAGGCCCGGGTATAGAAGGAACAAGCGGGAAGTCGTTGACAGCAGCGAAGGTTTGGGCGCCTGAATCGATTCGAAGGCTCATGATCGAAAAAATGAAGATCATTGGCACCGTTAACTCCGCTATTAGCTGAGGTCGGTTCCTCATCTTGATGAGGCGATTGCGGTTTAGTAAGGCTTTCAGCTGCGCCCACAAAGACGGTAACGGGACGTGGGCCATCTCTGGGTGCACCCGTTGTTTGGGTGACATGTCTTCCATGCCTCCGTAGTGAGAGAAGGGCGGATAGGAGCTGAAGTTCAAGCAGAAGAGCGGCGGGGCGGGGCTCCGTTCAAGTGTTGGTGTCGTGAAAGTTATGTTGCGTGGTGAGCCTCAACGTCAATTGACATGCATGGTTAGGCATCTACCAGCCGTGGGAGGCAGAGGCTGCTGTTTTATACCCGCCCTTTGCCCATCAATCTCCTCGAGATGAGTAGCTGTTCCCAGCTGTTGTTGGAGCAGGGCAACGCCACTGGTGACTCTCCCAGCTCCCAGCTCTCGTGGTTACGAGCATTATTGGAGGACAAGTTTCTTGGTCGTTGGTGGTTGTGGAAAACAAACAACCTGGCAAGGGGCGTGGGAGCGGCGAGGTTGTGGGCCCTTCGCCAATCCACGGCGATTCTAGGATTCCACGCGCCAAGTGACATGGCGACGCGCGCAAAGAGATCTTCAAGACTTCAAGGCTTCATGGAAGGAGCCCTCCGATGGAACATGCAAAAGTGTGCATCTTCTTATTGTCGTAAACTTCGCCGTAGCCCTGCCAGATGCCACGCCAGCACGAGCTGCAGTGTGCACGACACTCTGCCATGCATTTCACGGTTCACCTTCGACAAAGGGCAATCAACGCTAAGACTCTTGGCACCGTACAGCAAGTATTATCAGTAGGGCAGTAGAGCAGTTGCCGAAAAGAAGAAAGAAAAATGGGGCAGTGCTTGCCAAGCTGGCTGCAGCAGTGGACGAGTTATCAAAGAGATGGGGATCTTGCCACACCCCCTGGGGAGGATTCAGACGAACACTGCAAACATTTGATGGTTTCGCCAAGTCAGGAAGAAGCCTGCATATCCGGTTTGAGATTCGATTAATGACCTTCAGAAATCACATATGCCGATCAGCGTATCAGGGCTTCAATAAGGAGGCAGATTTGCTTAACGACGATACATCCGTGTAAACGTGAAGTCTCACACTACAATACAGGTGAAACTTGGGTTACAGACTCTTTTCCAAAAATGTGTGACATCCTAATGTCTAGGGGAGTCTCGGCAATGAATGCAGAAATGTTAAATGAACTACGCGTACGTCCTCAGTGTATACCACGTCAGTGGGCCCTCACGGACGTCGCAGGGTTTGAAGTCCTGGATCGCTTCACCGCCCTCTTTTTAACCGGCACGGATGAACTACCCAAGTCACTAGCAGCTCCAGTTGGGCCGCCCTTGCGCTTCTGCGGCGGCGCCAGGATATGCTGAGTAGGGACGCAACCATTCGACATTGCGAAGCTGTCAGAATAGGTCGCGAATCCGTACGGCGACGTCGGCGTCGACTGACAGTACGCGTAATCCGTACCCGCAGAGGGCGAGGGCGAAACTTGTGTCAGATATGTGTTGCAGTAGTTTGTTGCCGTGGTATAGACCGGGTATGCGTTGTTGGCGAAAGTCGCGGGCATGTAATAGTTCATGTGATACTGAGGGTGGTGTATGTCTAGTGGCAAGGCAAAGCCGGCCGATGGGTAGGTTGGCGTTGCCATTGAGGTATGAAGTGTGTAGTTGCTGGGTTGTCTCAGGCGCCTCGGCGGGCTGGGCGTGGCCGGTGGTTCCGGGACTCGGACTGGCCGTCGTGATGGACCGGCGGTGTTGCTGCCACGTCCTGCGTGTGGAGGTGTAATGTGGTTTGTCCGGGGGCCGGAGGAATGATATGCTGTGTTTGTTCGCGGGCTCGCTTTGGTGCGATGAATGCTGGGCGGTACGATGCGAGGTGTGGTAGTGTCGCGGGAATCTGCAAAAACCATCCCAAACGATTCAGAATAGCATCGGGAGATTTGTTACATCGATTCAACCAAGAACTCACCAGAAAGGGGTGGATAACCTGCGTCCCGAGCGGCCTGAACCCAATCGGTGACCTCTTGAATCTCGTAGTGCAGCACGTTCGGAGTAGAGTAGTGAACATCGTCACTAAACGCTCCACTAACCGGTGTGTATCCCGCATTCGAGCCCGCCGCGTGTGGTGGGCGACCCTTAGGACGTCGGCGCACGGGAATGGTCGTCCTGCTTTCAGCCGTCCTGTTTCCAGCAATATGACGGCGTGGGCTGCTCGACGGGAACGACACTTCAACAGCCGGGGCAATACTGGCTCGGTTGACGGTCGAAGCTGCCGTCGAAACCCCAGCCAGCTGCTGAGCAACAACCCTGCTTGCCTCGGCCTTCTGCGACGATCCATATTTGCTAGACGTCGCTGCCTCGGCCGCACTAGAACGTTGCGCGACGCCTGCAGATATCTGCCCCGACGCAACAAAGCGGACGAACACACCCATAGATTTCGACGATTTGCCATAGGTATCAAAGTACGATGGCAGCTGCTCGTAACTCGACAGATGCGGCTCCTCAAATTCGTCCCGCAAGCCCAGTCCTTCGTCATCGGACGGAGGAAACATCTTGAACCCTTCCCTGTGTAGTCCCATTCTGATAACCTCGGATGTGTCAAATTCCACCTCTGCGGGATTCTTCGGAATATGAATCAGGTCCATGAATTCCTTGAAGCTGCGTAGCGCTTCAACCGTATCCCTTCGATCCAACTTTGACAGTTCCTCCAACACCATCGGAACCGTCGCCGACGCCGTGGCCGTGAGCCCATTCAAGAAGGAGCTCGACACCGACGCCAAAAAAGTCGCAAGCTGCTTGTCAAGCCCAATGAAAGTGTACTTGATCTTGTGCACAAACTCCCACGGCGCCACGTATCCCAGGTGGTACCGGTCCTCGCGCAGGCATTTGATATGGTTTGTGTAGTGAGCAAGCTGTGCGGCGCCCATGAGGAAGTCACGCGTGCCCGCCAGTTCGACAAGGCGTTCGAAGCCTTCGCAGAGGTTACGGTCGGGGCAGGCTTGGACGTCCAACACCCCGCGTGCTAGTGCTTCGATCTCTTTGATGTCGTGGAGATGGCGCTCTTCTGTGCCGATGGGCGGGAGGTCGAATACCATGGCTGGAAAGAGGAAGTCGTAATGATCTCAACGTGGTTGGGAGTTGCGTCAAAACGAAGAAGTCGGGGCGCATGCAGTCTAGCGCCCAGCAGCAAATCCCCTTTGCAGTGTCGTCACCAACTAGTCTACTACCCGAGTAGCTCGACTCCTGTGAACGGTGTCACTTTTCTGCACACTCAATTCTCAAAATTCTGGCGGAAAGATAAGGTTGGCAAGGCCCGGGCGAACGCATAACCTTCGCTGAGTACCCTGGGGCGGGTGCCTACTAACCGTTAACAGGTTGGCGGAGTCGCGTGTTCGAGTGTTGCATAAACATGCCTGCGCTGATGTCATCAGGAATGCTGATGAGTCGTGGGACTTGCACGCGAGCACTCGTTCTTCTTTCTCAATCTTTTCGGCAGATTGCTCGATATCACGGGCATTGAATTCCACTCTCCAATTGTCGGAGAGGGACAAGCAGACAAGCAGAGCTGCTCCGGAGTCAGGGTAGGTGATTTTAACCACTCCTCACAACTTGGACGCCCGCAACAGTTCTGATTTCGACACGGTTTCCCCACGATGAGCGAAAGGTATTCTGCATCGCGAGGGGGAAAAGATAATGCTGAGCGGAATTGAGATCCGGCAAGAGGAGCTCACGCAGCTAAGTAATTTGCACAGCGTGCCTGCCCCCACACCGGGTTCTCGACTCCCACCACTGGAATCTCGCAAGATCACCAGTGCTCCCTCCGCTCGTGAGAGAGAGAGAGAGAGAGAGAGAGAGAGAGAGAGAGAGAGAGAGACAGACTACAACTGTCGACGCACATTGATAAACTAAAACTGCGCGCTAGGGAGTGTTTCGGGCATCCTTTTGACTCTAGAATCCGAGGAATGCTGTGCACAAGGGCGAAGCTGAAGTGGCCTCGTAGGCGAATCCGCCACTTATCCCAAGGAGGGCGAACCTCTGACTGGAATAAAAAATTGTCGAAAGGAATTCCTGCGTGGCATCGCAGAACCCACCACATCCAGTGATGAAGTGGTACGTCGTTCACAGTCTGCTTAGCTCATATTCTCACTCATTTATCTCCATGCTGAAGGTCAAACATCACGATGATGGGTGTGAAACAAGCCTTAGTTGCCAGATTCACTGTTTTGGCTCCCAAAACCGCCACGGGATCCGGAACGTTGCGGCAGCAACAGATGGCTCAAGGCAGTCGCAATGCGCTTTAGAGCACTCCATCGGGCTATCCCAGAGATGATCCCCGATGCCTCCATCGGCAAGCAAACTGTCAGCCTCCACTCCTCCAAAGGACCATTTCGCCAGTATTTAACAGCCGTTTTCTCAACACTCAAGCTGCAGACGGGTAAGGTGCTCCAGCAGCAGTTGAGAACGCCGTTCGATGGTATCCAATATCTATTTGGTCTGATACCATTGAGCGGTATCCAAAAACCCATCCTGTGCAGAGATGTACAGTAGTCATCGTTGGTGGAAAATTGAGCTGTGTCGTTTTGGTCCCTGCAGCTTCTTCGTATCGTAGCTCGCTCTGCGTTCGAAAAGCATTGCCACATGGCACTGCCAGTAGCCTTCCAACTTCTGGCGAGTTCCAAGCCATTTGCTGTGGCTTGTGTGGCGAAGGAAGTGAGCAAGGTTAGACTAATATAGCTTTTGACACGTGCCGTTTGGAAACTGGGACCCTAAAACCTGGGTTGGGAAGTCCTCGGAACGCGTTTCAAATATTCGAGCGAGCGCGCCCGACAGGCATTTTCCCGTTCATCCAGATCCAGCCCTCCAGACCACGATAATACCAAAAATGGACGTGCATTTTTCGCTTCTTTTGGGTTGCTGTGCATGGGACAGGGCTGTTTTTGTCCAACAGTGGAAATAGCTTGAATGGGCCTTGGATCATCGGCTGATATCGGCCGGCCTGCTGTGCATTGCATTCATAACCCAGCGGCCTTTGGGGATTTCACCGGTTCTTCCACTTAAGCGAGCTGCTGGTTATTTATTCGCGCCGGACGTTCAACCCTCTCCTCTTAAGTCCCAGCTCAGCTCGTGGGACTTTCCGCTCTTTCAAAGCACAGTCTCATTACGCCAACATTGAGAGAAGGATGCCAGCGCAAGTCATTTCCGAAGGCTCCTCGTTACGGCAGCGCGTTGGAGCAGAGGGTGCTGCGGACGCGTCGGCTCAGTCGAAGGTCAGCAAGGGTAATGTCGTGGAATCGGCCAAGTACGCGGACCAATGGGTGAAGCCCAACTTCACTCTCAATGATATCCGTGCGCATGTGCCGGCACACTGCTTCAAGCGGGATACTGCCCGCTCTTTCCGCTATGTCTACGCTGACGTCGCAATGGTAAGGCTTATGTTCCGACCATCTTTCTAGCTTTCCGTGGCAATTGCGAACTTATCGTGTTCCTGCTTCGTATAGGCGCTCGTTCTCGGGTTCCTCGCCACGAAAATTCATTTGCTCCCCGAAGCCGCCCGGTACTTTGCTTGGCCCGCTTACTGGATAGCACAGGGTGTTGTCTGCACCGGCTTGTGGGTGATCGCCCACGAGTGCGGTCACCAAGCTTTCTCAGACAAAGCATGGATCAACAACTCCGTCGGCTACGTTCTCCACTCTTTCCTCTTGGTGCCCTACTACTCTTGGAAGTTCTCGCATTCCAAGCACCACAAGGCTAATGCCCACATGACAAAGGACCAGGTGTTTGTGCCCAACAAGCGTTCCGAGTTCGTTGAGAAGCTTGGACCCCGTCAGCGACCTATCGACGACCACCACGATGAGGCCGTGTGGAAGGAGGCCCCTGTTGTGGAGTTCCTTAACATTGTTGCCATGCTCACCTTGGGCTGGCCGCTGTATTTGCTCAAGAACGTCACTGGTCAACGTTTCAACCAGTGGACGTCGCACTTCCGTCCCGATGCTCCCATTTTCGAGCCTAAGCAGTGGTTCTCGGTGGTGCTGTCCGACATCGGCTTGGCGGTGATGGTTGGGCTTTTGGTGTTGGCTGGCCAGATCTTTGGCTCCAGTGCTGTGATTTTCTTCTACGTGATTCCATACTTCAACGTGAATGCGTGGTTAGGTATGTATCTGCGTTCAGGTTGATACTTGGATTCGGGAACGCACAAACTAACTGTCAATCACACACTTCTAGTGCTCATCACATATCTCCAACACACCGACCCCAAAGTCCCCCACTACACAGAGAACGAATGGAACTTCCTCCTCGGCGCCATCTCCACCGTAGACCGCGACTACGGCATCCTCAACCACTTCTTCCACCATATTGGCGACACACACGTTGCCCACCACATCTTCAGCACTATGCCGCACTACCACGCACAAGAGGCGACCGCGGCATTGCAGAAGGCGCTTGGCAAATACTATCTCAAGGATACGACGCCGATCTGGAAGGCGCTGTGGAATTCTAGGAACACATGTAGATTTGTAGAGGATGAAGGCGACGTACTTTGGTTCAAGCATTAGGAGACTTGCAACCAGTAAGCAGTAGAGATGGCTGGCGACGTACTTTGGTACAAACAACGGGAGGCTCCCACTAGTTAGAGATGACGGGCCAGCTATCGATTTTCTTTGAAATATATTTTCTTTACGAGGATCGTTGCGGAGCTGCATGCGGGGTTGTTTTCTTTTTTTTGAATGTTTGGAAATTGGCTTCGATGTCGCCTACCAGGAGGTGAGGCATCTAGGCGGACTCATCGCACCTCTTCCAGCCTATACATATCGTAAACGATACTCCCGTTCAGACCAGCCATCCTCCGATATTCTGCAAGTCCGGTGGCATATCGTCGATAACCTTTGGGACTGGGCGAGGAGTTATGCTCAGACACGGCCGCATCATTGTAAGAGAAATCTTGCCCCCTGGCCGTCGCGGATGTGATTGCCAAAGGAAGGCCTTACTAAGAGACTCCTATTGACTACCGCAAAGAAGCAATCAGCAGCGCATCGAGCGGAATCCAAGTTCCTCAGATAAACGTGCAGTGTATTGTAAATCACACCCAAGATCCATATATACAATTGAGGTCCACTACGCCTACGCTCTCCCTACAGCTTGCTTCTTCCCGCAATTCATACGACCTTAACGATCTGCTTTCCGGTGTTGCGACCCTTCAGCATGCCCACGAACGCAGACGGGGCGCTGGCGATACCCTCGTCAACGTGTTCCTTGTACACGATCTTCTTCTCCTTGATCCACTGGACGATCTCCTGCTGGAATCGCTGGTAAAGCTCCCGGTCGGCGTAGTAGTCGCCAACGATGAAGCCCTGCAGCTTCAGCTTGGACTTGATGAGCATGCTGAGGTTCTTGACGCCGTAGGGCTCCGATGCGTTGTATTGGGAGATGGCGCCGCTGTTTTCATGGAGAGTGGCAATGGTTAGATACGCGAATCGTTGTGTAGCGCAGACTGTAAATTACGTCGCTTACCAAACGGGGATACGTCCGTGAGCGTTCATCAACGGCAGCACGGCGTCCAACATCTCGCCGCCGACATTGTCCCAGTACACATCGATACCCTTGGGGCAGTGCTCCTTCAACGCATCGGTGTACGATTTCACCGTCTTGTAGTTGAAAGCGGCGTCAAAGTTGGCCTCCTCGAGAAGCAGCTTCACCTTGTCGTCGCTTCCAGCCGATCCAATCACGCGGCATCCCTTGGCCTTTGCGATCTGTCCCACAACAAGTCCGACGGCGCCCGCGGCTCCGCTGACGTAGACAGTCTCGCCGGCTTTGGGCTCGCCGATCTTCTCGAGACCGGCGTAGGCGGTGTAGCCGGGCATGCCGAGGATTCCACTGTTAGCGGGACATAGCAAAACCGTGAGCGATTTGTTGCGGTTTCCCACGAGACGGTTTTCATGGCCGTGCAACTTACAGGAAGTACGACAACGGCACATCGGCCTTCTTTTCAACCTTCGTCAGACCCTTCTCGGACACAATAGTCCATTCCGCCCAGTCGACCATCCCAACTACAAGGTCGCCCTTCTGCAGCTTGCTGCCTTCTGCCGCGCGGTAAACCTCAGCGACGGCCGTCCCCTGCAGGGGCTCGCCGATCTGGAACGGATGGATGTAGCTCTTGGCTCCCGTGGCCATTCGCATGCGCTAACACATTTTGCAGCGGTAAGATCAGTCTTCTGAGGCGTGACAGCGCCTTCCGCTAAGATCAACGCTGCGGCTTACCATGTAAGGATCCAAGGACAGGAACAGGGTCTTGACCAGCACATTCTCGGGCTTGATCTCAACGGTATCGGGGTCGAAGTCCTTGTGCACAACCTCCATGTGCTTCTCCTCGACCCATCCCTGTCCAGGGTCCTCCCTGAAGATGACAACGGTGTTCTTGATGGCAGGCATGTTTGTGATTGATTGAAGGGATTATGCGTAAATGCGGATGAGGGTATTGATGTCTTGGAAGTGTATGAGGGTGTTCCAAAAGTGAACAAACGGAAAGGGGGAGCTGGTGGTCTCTCCAGGCTTTTATACTCCTTGGGCCTCACACCTCTCACGCGGCACATGAGTATGAGCGTCTTGAGCGTACATCAAAAACCATCACGGAGGCACAAATCCGATTCCGGGCCCGTGGCTGCAGCCGCCCTCGCTAAACCATCTCATAACCGCATGGTAGTAGCGAACTAGCGGATCGCACTGAACAAAGCGGCCCTCGGAAGACGGATTGTCCACCGCTGGCCGTCGATGGAAGCTTTGAGAACTGGGAGACGGAGGCATTTGTCACATCAGCGTCACACACACGGCTTGCCCAGATTTGCAGCCCTCTTTTTACGCGCTGGAACCCTAACCCCACTTTCGTGACATCAACAACGGCAGCCTCTTTGTCCAGTCAACTCATTATTCAGCTTCGCACCTGGGTGGGGGCAGAGAGGGAGTCCATGCGAGATCAGAAGGCAGAGGCTGCTCAAGAGGACAACTTGGGCCAAGCACCGTTTGGACGACGAGCGGAAAAACGCGAGCCGCCGCCAACCCGTCCTCTCTGCTTATGCTTTCTGTACCCCAAGTTGGCCAAAAGCGTGGGCTTTGTCGCTTATGCCTGCAGCTGAATCTGTCGCTGGGCGACATGGGGACCTACGTTCTCAATAAGCGGCCGCCAACATGAGCAACTCGAGCTGTCGTCGCCAAGAAGGTAATTTCTTCGGAGGGTGGGTTCGATGCACTGGGTGATGTATCGGACCCTGTCGGTTTGACTATGTCCGGCAACAAAGCATTGGGCATGGTTACGGACAGGAGAATGGCTCGCTGATATGCTAACAGCTGAGTCTGCGCACATCTCACGCAATCAAAACAGGTGGACATCTTCTGGGCTGGCCGAGTACGACGGACGGTAAGTCCCTTCGAGACAACGGATTATCATTCCGGCGACAAATCCGCGGGTGTTCCTGAAGTCGGTGAACCCTGAGATGACCATCATTCCTTCGCTGCGCCAGCCGAAGAAGATCCCTTTCATTGGAATGGATGACCAGGAGCCTCATTTTTGTTCAAAGGTGAGTTCTCCACCGCGCAACGGATGCTTTGCACATCATGCAGACAATTGTTGACCATGACCCAGGATGGGCTCGATATGACCTGGTTTTCCACACCAGCCGAACTTCCGATGTCAACGCATGCGGGGCTTGTCAAAAGGGTGAACGCCGTCACATTTATGGAGGCATGCCGTGAAGCTGGCAGGCAACCTTCCTGCGGCAGTATTGAAATGCAAACAATTACCATGCGGGCCACCTAGCGTCCCTAGGAGCTGGGAACAACTTTGAGCACCAACACATGATGTACTCGCAGACCAGATGGCAGAACAGGGCATTCTGGACCGCCATGGAGATTCAAGTGTACCCCTACGACTTGCGCTTATGGCTGCAGAACATAGCAGCAGATACTTCACTGCCACTTGATGTGCACCATTGGGTCTCAGCAGTTTCACCAAAAGCTATGCGACAATGTCTGTATGCTTGTGGGTGCTTGGAATCGGTGATCGGCATGCAAACAACTGGATGGTCACTCCGGAGGGGTTTGTGATTGCAATCAACTTCGATTTGTACATGTCTCGTGGTGCAATGAGTTATGTGCCCGAGGTTCTGCCCATTCGGCTCACCCCACAGGTAAGCTGGCTTCCCCTTCAATTTCCACCGCAAATTTCTCATGTGTATCGTTTCCTCTGCGCAACCAACAGGTTCGGAATGCCATTCATGAGCCAACCTTCCGGGCTATCATGACAGCTGTCCTCCCTGCTCTAGGCGCCAAACCTGATCGCCTCGCTGAAACCGTCAATCCTTGGTTCCTCCCATGGACGTGCTTAGAGTTTCCGGGGATCTGCAGGAGAATCGCGGAAAGCGCCTGTCCAAATAACTTACCTTACGACGCAATTTGCAAGAGATGTCAGGCTACGTGGGAAACCATCATCGATTGAGCCAGGCCTGAGTATCTCCTTGAATGGGACCTTAACGTATACCATCGTAGGAAACCCTGGATTGGACGCCTTCAAGGGAAGATCCGCAATTTCTAGTTGACTGAGTGGCAGAAGGACTGTGGCTTTCTTATTGCGCTTTTTCGGAGTTCGGGAGGGCAACATGTTGAGATGCCTGTGAAATGCTTTGAGATGGTGAAGGTTTCGAAGGCTCTACTATCGGCGGCTGCCCCTTCCGTCAACTGAAATTTCCGACAACTGAATTTCCGTCGCTGAATTTCCGTCAACTGAGACGCGACTGAACTGACATATGACACTACGTTCTGCCGACTCATGGGCGTCCAATCAACTCCTTGGCGCAATTTATGATGGTACTTCGTGCGGAGGAGGCGCTGCTGATGCGAGAAGGTGTGAACTGCCGACATATCTGCGCCAATCCAAACGCGAATCCCCGCCGGTCGCCACTTCTCGTCCTGCACGTTGTTCGCTGCTTCGGGAAGCTATGCCTCGGCCAGTCGAAGGCATCATCCTTCGGAGTCTTTCCCTTCGGCGAATAGGGGAAAGGCTTTGATGACATACTTCGGCAGCCCGTTCTGTAGACAGGAGTCAAGGTACAGTATGTGCAGCCGAAAGAGACCCCTGACTGAAGGTTGCCGACCTCGGCGCATATGAGTTAATCGTCGCATTTTCGTTTGTCCCGGCTAATCTTACTCGAAGTATCTACCAGAGGTCCCGTCCCCATATGCCCTACTCTAATCTACTTAACTCTACGCCGTGAAGCGGGGCCCAGGGGCCCGCAACTTCCTATGCATTCCCATGATGATTTCCACATAGTCTGGTTCATTGGAAGCTGTAATGACGCCGAATCGAATCAGAAACTCGATAATGACCAGGCCTGACTCGGGCATGAACTCTCCACGATGCAAGTGGGCTTGAACCTGTGGAAGGTGGGAGCAAATGATGAACTGGGCCCTACCTTGCGCTGACCATCTATTGCTACGGTCTTACCGTGTCGAGATCCATGAGATAGAATGCCTGTACTTCGCCATCGACTGCCCTGGGGGCAAAGTGGGTAGACAATTCCATATCGTAGACATACTCTGTGTCGGGCACCCATCCTCTTTTGGCGTCGTCCAAGAAGAAAGAGATAGCTCCCACGCTCCTCAATCCTGCTTTCACAGTCGCTGGATCCAATCCGGCCTCCTCATGGCACTCTTTGATGATGTTCTTGTATGGATGAACTCCAGCTGCTAGCCCGCCACCTTATCCCCGAATGGGTTAGCAAGCCATTTCTTATCTAGAAGTATGTCCAAAACCGTGTTTACATACCAACCAGGTTGTCCAACATGTTCGGATATGTCTGTTTCGTCGCGCTTCGCCTCGCTATCCACATTTTGATCGCACCAGTAGCTGGGTCACGGACATAACCGTTCAAATGACATCCATATGAGCGGACTCCAAGCAATCCAGCGGCAGCTCGCTCGACTCTCATGTAGACGCCTTTCCCATTATGTACGTCATAGCGCTCGTTTCGCCATCCATGTAGACATCCAAAGAGAGGGTGATCTCTGCTGCTCTCGTTTCTGAATTCAAGAAGGACACGTTCGACCGCTTCGGTTCTCGCGTCGGCTGTCGTCAGGGAAGAGTGAATGCGTACGCAGTGTTCCTGGACCTCGAAAACCTCTGGGTGAGCAGAAAGGTGCCGCCGGACCTCCGGTTGAATGTACCCTATGATGACATTGTCCGTGGCTTGGAGCGACCAGCCTACGCGTTCGGCCCGAGTAGGGTAAATGATATCCTCTTCCGTGGCGAGCGAGAAACCGTTCGCCCTCCGCACGAGGTCTAGAAGGGAGTGGTGAGGTGCGGCGGACATTTTGCGATAGCGCGGGCTTTGGAATGTTGCAAGGTTAGAGTTCTCAAGCAGCAGCTGGACTCAAAGCTGGACTTTGCAAGCGCAATTAACAGATTAACGCGGACCAACTTCTTTCGGACTTTTTCGAACTCGAGACCACGATTCATTTCGATCCAGCGACATCGGAACTTTTCACATCTCAGCTCCATTCCATCACCGAGGCCCTTGACGTATGCAGCTACTACCATGCTGACCAACACTAAGGTGAGGGATGCGCTCCTACCGTACCGATCTCCGTCAAATCTAAGCCGTTAGGTTTAAAGCCACCAGCAGAGCTCCTGAAGAAGATCAAGGTCCAGACAGGGGTCGTTCGCAGGTATTGGATAGGCTCGGCGGCGATCATATAAGCCTCCAGAAATCCCTAACACGGCGCCATTGAATGCAGGATAAGCAAAGACCTCAGCTACTATGATGAAGAAGCGATAAAACAACAAAAAGCGAATTGACAAACTTATCGCGGACGGAGCGGACGAGCATGATATTCGAAAGCAGAAGGAAGTGTTGGAAGAGACGCACGTGATGATGCTCGATGGGAAGAAGAGGCTGGCGAGAGCGCAGGAGGAGTTACAAGAACTTTTGGACAAATACCTTGTAAAGGAAGGAGGTGTCCTGTCTCCAGCCGTAATTGGTTGCTTACTGTCCAATCTCTCCACAGGGTGCGGTAGATCATGAAGCTGCGACTTCGGAGGAAGTGCTCTCTGCACAGTCGCTCCTGCAGACTCTACAGACGATCATCGTATGATGCGCTACATGGAAGATTCACGTCTTCCCACAAGTGCGGTTTCATTGTATATATTTGGAAGGTTTTACTGGCTAAGCGCCCAGGTTTTCGAATGCTACCGACAATATTACGGATGGTTCTGTATTTCTCCCCGCTGCAACTTGGGTTCGAGTACAGTATGTGGGAAATCAGAGGAATATGCCCTGACGAACCCTGACGACGGCACGCGTTCCCTGTCGAGCTTGGAAGTTGAAGCGTTCGGAACTGCCTGGAGGAATTGCAGCACCAGGCTGGGAATTGCACGCACCGGAGCAGAGCACTACTAAAACATATATAGAATATATAGACGCTTATAGAAAAAGGCTTGCCTCCTGTCTCGCTGAGATATATTAGCCAAGTCTTGCCACGATCTGTCCGACTCAGCCAAACGACGCGGATAGTGGAGCAACGCAATGGCTGGACAACTCTCCTTGCTGCGTGTTGCAGGGGCCATCCGAGCCGCTCGCCCAGCCCTGGGCAGGGTTGGTCTGGCAACTTTAGCAAACGGCTTCGACTACAAGCCAGGTCAAACACTACACGGTTTCATCGTCCAGCGAGTTCAAAGGGTTCCGGAGTTTGACCTATCGGCTATTCAACTGAAGCACGACAAGACGGGGGCAGACTACCTGCACGTTGCGAAGCAGGATACGAATAATGTTTTCAACGTAGCGTTTCATACCCCTGTTACGGATTCCACCGGAGTGCCGCATATCCTGGAGCACGTTACATTATGTGGGAGTAAACGGTATCCTGTGAGGGACCCGTTCTTCAAGATGTTGAATAGGAGTATGGCGACCTTTATGAACGCCATGACTGGTAATGACTATACGATGGTGGGTTCAATGTATTCGCAATGGCGCCGCAGGCGGCTAGCTCACTCACATTGGTACATAGTATCCCTTCTCGACGGAAAATCCCATCGACTTCAAGAATTTGATGGATGTGTACATGGACTCTACCTTTGAGCCTCAACTACGCTACCTCGACTTCAAACAGGAAGGATGGCGGTTGGAGCATGAGGATCCGAAGAACCCGCAGAGTCCTCTGATTTTCAAAGGAGTCGTATACAACGAGATGAAGGGTGCATTATCTGATCTGGGCAACCTTTTCCACACTCGGTCGCAACAACACCTGTATCCCAACAGTACCTACGGTTACAACAGTGGCGGAGACCCGGATTCCATTACGAACCTGACTCACGAGCAATTACTTGCGTTCCATGCCAATCACTATCATCCGAGTAACGCTCGGTTCTTCACCTACGGAAGCTTCCCGCTTCACGAACATCTGAAGGCTATTGATGAGCGGATCAGCAAGTTCGCTCCGTTGGATCTTGAGCCTCCCGCAGACGTACCGCTCCTGAATGGACCCAAGAGCATCCGATTGACATGCCCCCCCGACCCCGTCGGTGAGCCTGGGAAGCAGACAAAGATCGCCGTGTCTTTCCTGACAAACAAAGACGTCGACGTATTCGAGTCGTTCGCCGTTCGCGTGTTGACGTCGCTGTTGCTTGATGGCGCCGCCGCCCCCATGTACGAAGCGCTCATCGAATCGAAAATCGGAACAGACTTTGCTGTCACAACAGGTTACAACTCGCACACTCGCATCACGAACGTGTCATTTGGTGTGCAGGGCATCAAAAAGGAGGACGAAGCAACTGTCGAAAACAAGATCATGGATGTGCTTCGTACGGCCGCACAAACAGGTTTCGACCCGGAGCGCATCGAAACGGTCATTCATCAAACCGAGCTCGGTCTAAAACACCGCAAAGCCAATTTTGGTATGATGCTCGGTCAGCAGGTTGTGAGCCATTGGGTACATGGCGGCGACCCATTAGAGTTCCTGCAGGTGACCGAGCATATCGCGCGGCTGCGGGAGGAGATTGTGAAGCCGGGCTTCTTTGAATCACGAATCGAGAAATACTTTCTCAACAACAAGCACCGATTGACATTCGTCATGGAGCCGGATGAGAAATACAATGACGCGCTGAACCTGAACGAAAAGGAGCGATTGAATGAGAAGATTGCGGCTTTGTCAGAAACTGAGAAGAAGCGGATCTATGAGGAGGGTCTCAAGCTGGCGGAGAGCCAAGAGGGGAAGCAAGATATCTCTTGCCTGCCGACCTTGACCGTCAACGACATCGCTAAACACGGAAAATCGTACCCAACAGAGAACACTGTGCTTGCCGGAACTCCCGTACAATGGCGAAAAACGGCTACCAATGGCGTGTCGTACGTATCTCTAAAGAAGGACGTGAGCACCATGCCACCTGAGTTGGTGAAATACCTACCACTGTACACCAATGTGAGGGCTTTCCTTCAACATCTATCCTCGTTTCCGAAACTTGCTGCTGACCTAGTACTTTTTAGGCTCTCGCTGCACTCGGGACCGCCAAGCGATCACTTCCCGTCCTAGATGAAGCGGTCCGCAAATACACAGGCGGAATCGGTGCGGATATCCTCGCATCGTCCACACCACAGTGTCTTACCGAACTCAACGCCGCCCTTCTCTGGTCGTCCAACTGTCTCGACAAGAACATCGGCAACATGTACGACCTCCTCCACGAGATTATCGCCGCCGCCTCCTGGCAGGAACTCGAACGCCTGCAGACCGTCGTCCTCACCAGCGCCAGCGACGCCAACCAGGGAATCGTGCAGAGCGGCCATCGTTACGCCATGAAAGCCGCCGCGGCGGGACTGACAAAGTCCGGCGCACTGCTGGAGACCTTGTCTGGTCTGACCCAGGTCGGGTTCCTTGGCGGGCTTGCGCGGAATGGGGTCGCTGACGTGGAACAGATCTCAACGACCCTGAAGGAGATTTCCGAGGCCGTTTTGAGGAGTGAGGCGGCGACCAGGGCGGCGGTGAATGCTGTACCGGAGACGTGTAATGTGCATGCGGAGAAGATGGGTGGGCTTTTGGAGGGGCTCAAGTGGACGAATGGAGTGGCGCCACAAGCACAGCCTGGAAAGGAGTCGGCGCCGACGTTCGGCAAGCAGTTCTTCGCACTCCCCATCGCGGTGAATTTCACTGCAAAGTCTTATCTGGGCGTGCCGTATACGCACGCCGATGGACCAGCGCTCCAGGTAATGCCCGGTGGAACTTCCAGGACTTCCGGAACACTTTGCACTTAGCCGCTTACATCCTATTTAAACTTCCTTCGCTCAGCTCCTCTCCTCCTTAATGACCCACAACTTCCTCCACCGCGAGATCCGCGAAAAAGGCGGCGCCTACGGCGGTGGTGCATCCTACTCGCCCTTGGAAGGCACCATGTCTCTATTTTCGTACCGCGACCCACCCACAGGTCTGGACAACACCCTCAGCACGTATAAGAAAGCGGTGCAGTGGGCCGCGAACGCGACAAGGGAATTGGGGCAAAGGGAGCTGGATGAGGCGAAATTGTCTGTGTTCCAGAATGTGGATGCGCCGAAGAGCGCCTCTGATGAGGTATGTGCGATGGATAATGCGGAAGAGGGAGGACGTTAGGGGCTTATCTTGAAACGGGGAGGACTAACTGACTGATCCATGCGCTTCCTCAATTGTCTTTGCGTCAAAACAGGGTATGGCATTGTTCCAATACGGCATCACCGAGGAAATGCAGCAAGAGTAAGCTTCGTCCCCATACCCCGCACTTGACGTTCTCATCGAGCATACTAACACGCGGTTTCCCAGACGCCGCGAACGCCTATTCAACGTCACCCTCTCCCAAATTGAGGAAGTTGCAAACCGATACCTCGTCCCTGCGCAAAGCTCGATAGCGGTGCTCGGGCCGACCGAGGACGGGGAGCGGTTACGGAAAAACGGTGCGGGTTGGAAGGTCTCGGTAATCGAGTGATGATGACCAGTTTGGCCGCGGGTTCAGAGTAACGCCTTACTGCGGTCCACAAATCTTCCGAGCGGAAAAGTGGAGGTGCCGGCTGCCACGAGACCTTAAGGACGGAGGAGGACGACAGTATCAACGGTAACCTCATCATCACCAAAAGGTCACATTTAACGCAGAGAGGCGGTCGCGCAGAAGAAATTCTTCCATAGTGTATGTAGGCCATCCCATCCATAGCAATAGCTGAGTGAGCAACGCTTTTTTCGGCGTAGTTCGGGGCTACCCGCTTGACTTCCAACGCAGATACACATTCGACCGTGAACGGCACATTGTATAATAATTGCCAGTAGAGCTTTATTCACATCGAGCCGCCACGCACGCACTTCCGGAGTGACGCTTGTATTTGGGTTTCTGATGTTGCAAAAGACGTCGCATATACGGCAGCATCCGTTTTTCTTTGGATCATTGCCATGATATTAAGAGTCCCTTATATACATCGTCCCAGCAAAAGCAGACGCTTCAAAAAGAAACAGGGAGTCCAACGGTCCTAATCAACGTCCATCCTACACCATAACTCTTGTCGTCCCGCCCAACTCCAGAGTATCGGCACTATCCGGCCTCCTAGCCGTGGCCGCACTTAACCAGCACCCACCAAACGCCGGGCCGGGATGGAAGATAGCCAGGAGGCCGCTTGCTAAAATGATAAGCATTCCTTCTAGCACCATAAATAGAGGCTCATTGTTCGCTAGCTCGCTGTCGAAGCCACCGGCAAGCTCGGCGACGCGGTAGATGGAGCGGATGAAGATGAGGATGGTGGAGATTGCAAGGGCTGATGAACAAAGTCAGAAGATGCATACCCAACCAAATGCGATAAACGGATGCAACCACTCACCGATCTCAAACCGCCTGAATGCGGCCGTATTTCTGATCCCGACAAACATATCCGCCGCATCCCCGCTTTCAACCCGCTTATCAGCCCCGCGACGAGCCCTCCAATCGACCTCCGCCCAGAGTCCCAAAAACAGCGCCAAGCTCGCCACCTGGAAAGCGAGACCCGCCATCATGATATTCAGGCCCGTTTTGCCCTGGTCGGGGTTGGACTCACTTCCCGAGGCCATCGCGCCCCCCGCGGACTGCAGGATGAGGGCCGTAAGATCGCACGCGATGAAGAGAACTGTGTAGGTGGGCGGGCGAAGGCGGGAGTGGTGGGCGCCGCGGATGGTGATGATGCGAGAGAGGGTGAGGTAGATCGACGCGGAGAGGAGTGCTGGGGCGAGCGTGAGTGGGATGAGGGAGCTGTGTTGCAAACATCATGTCACACATCAGTGAAATGCTATCAAACCGAGGTCCAGGCCGAACATATTACTCTCCACCAGAAAACTTACATCAACACCGTATTGAAGTTGAACGGATCATTTCGCATCATCAACCGACCGGCATACCCCACCATCTCCCCAAAAATCCCGAGCACCACTCCGACCATGAACGTCCACGTGCGGTACCGGATGCCCATGAACGTATGGGCGAGCAGGAGAATGCCGAAGAAGATGAGATACAAGATGTTGCCAGATAGGACGGGCAAGTAGTTGATGACGGCTTCGTGGGGACATGTCTCGATAGTGCAGTTGGCGGGGACTTCGTGCGGCATCTTTGAATGTCGGCGGAACTTTGCGTGGTTTGTTGGTAGTAGGGAGGTATGTGTGCGCCGATGCTTGATGGGTTGCTTGAGATCGCATGGGGAAGGACGCCGCCGCCCTCTTTTTAAAGTCATTCTGCTTGATGTACTATCCCCATCTCAACGTTCGTAGACGCCTAGCCTACGGTCCCTACACTGTCTTCTCCACCTTGCAGACGACTCCAGCTACTCGACAACGAAGCTGCAGGACTATTAGGAACCCTGCCAAGACGTCAACTCTCCTGCCACGCTTCTACCGAGACATCGAAAAGGAAAGAAAGTCTTCCCCCCTATCGCGCCATAGCTGGATCTTCAACCCGAAATCCGAGAAAAAACGCAGAAACCAAGAAATCTACGCAGCGTCCCTGATGCGGTCAAGAGCAGGCTGAGCGATGCGGGGCGTGCCAGATGCGGCGTTTGCGAGCCACCAGCGATGCCGCATAAGACTGTGGAGCGGTCGTTTCGGCGGGCGGCTACAGTACGGTTCAGGTGGTGCGTTGCATCCATCCCCGCAACGTCGAAGTTCACGATGCCGATCCAACTTTGCCACAGTGAAAGGAGCTTTCCCTCCGAATTCCGAGTCTTTCACATGCCTGAAGATGTTAGGTTGATGCCGAGACACGGAGACACGGACACCCTTGAACTTTCGGCGATGTGCCAAGCATCTGCCTGTGCTCGAAGGAGGATCGCCGACCGCCAAGACTGAGCAAAACGACAGCATTGACGGGACGGTTGACAGCGGATTGTCGCGACTCCCGACCAACGGTTGCACAGCCACACGCCCACTGGCGATAAGCGACGCTCAAGACCGACGAGGCATCTTCATTCAACATCCCCGCGTAAGCGTTCTGTTTCAATGTCGTTGCAAGCGGCCCCGAGAGTCTGCATCGTTGGTGCAGGGCCTTGCGGCCTTGCCACCCTCAAGGCCTTCAAAGACTATCCTCACACTCGCTCCTGGGATGTCGTCGCATTCGAGGCAAAAACTGACGTCGGCGGAGTTTGGTACGTGGAACACCTCGGAATCCACTCATCTCCCCACGCTCACTACCACTGGCGGCTAAACCACTCTTTCACTCACTGGCTTTGTTTAGGGTCCCTGACCCACATCCTCCCGTTCCGCCGTCCCATTCCGGTGAAGCGAGCGGCAACATCCCATCCTCACCCATCTATGATTCTCTAACAACCAACTTGCCCCACCATATCATGGCCTTCTACACGCACGCGTTCCCAGACACCGAGATTCCACTCTTCCCACCGCATCAGGTTGTTAGGAAGTACATTCGGGATTATGCCGAGCGCTTCGACCTGCTGCGGTATGTGCGCTTTGGGACACGTGTCACAAAGGCGAGGTTTGTTGAGGAGCCCCGCGGATGGAGGGTGAGGAGTAGGGAGGAGAATGGGTGTTCTGGGACAAGAAATGGAGATGCAGATGGAGAGGGGGAGGGAGAGTTCTTCGACTATCTCCTTGTGTGCGCGGGTCACTACAACCACCCGCGGACCCCGGCTTGGGAAGGCCTGCCGAAGTGGGAGAACAAGAGGAGACGGGTCATCCACTCCATCTACTACCGGAACCCGGACCCATATAAAGGCCAAACTGTTTTGGTCGTTGGAGATGGGCCATCGGCACGGGACATCAGTGCCGAACTTGAGCCCGTAGCAAAGCAGATTCATCGGTCCTTTCCTTGCCCACCTCCACCGACTGCAGGGCATGACGGTATGTACAATACCCCCGTCCTCCATTCGCGCATATCCCGTTTCGATCCCGTCACAGGACACGTACGATTTGAGGACGGTTCCGTCGCGGAGGATGTGGACACAGTGCTCGCCGCGACGGGTTACGAGTTTGTCTACGACTTCTTGAGGCACCGGGCACTCCCTGCGCTGCAATGGCACATGGTACCAACGATAGATCCACAGGCGTACGCGGATGTGAAAGCCAATGCGGAGTCACAACCAGTGCCCGCATACGACGGACAGCGAGGTGGGATGGTGGGAGGGAAGCCTGAAGAAGCCGCGCATGATCATCCCAGCGATCTGCACGACCCATCACCACCACCATCACCTCCACGGATCTTATTTCTCGGCGCCCCTAGCAAGGTGGCTCCTTTCCCGCTGTTCGAGGTGCAAGCGATCGCTGCGACCCGCATGCTGGCCGGCAAGTTTGACTATGCGCATCCTTCAGCGTCATCAGCCGAATCAGCATTGCAATCAATAGGAACGGCATCATCGTTACCAACGACGGCCACCTACGATTTCAGGCGCGCAACGACGACTCACGTTCTCGACGACAAGCAGTGGGCGTTCTGCGATGCTCTCGCCCAAGCCAGCGGGGTGTTCCCTGAGCAGTGGAGCGTGCGGGCGTGGGTACCGCCGCTGTACGCCGTCAAGGCGAGTCTGAGGGAGGCGGCGCGGTTTGTTGGAAAACAGTGGAAGGAGCAGCAGGAGCAGGCAGGCATGCAGGCGGCGTAGATGTAGTATCACTCACTATACCTTGATCGGATTGAAGTGTATCATGGCCTAGTAGGCGTAGTGTAGATGCGCCAAATAAACCCGCACGTGACTCTAAGTGAGATGCGCAGGCGAGACGCGCTTGGAAGGGGATCGCTTCACATCAATCTGATCTCACAAAAAGGCGCAACAACAGTTGGGAAAGAGACCTCGGGGTGCAGGAAAACAGCATTCCCACACATCGCTCAGAATCGACATTACAAGATGTCCGCTTCCGTGCTGTTGGTTGGCTCCGGCGGCCGTGAGCACGCCATCGCCTTGTCTCTCGCGAAGTCTCCGAAGGTCAAGACGGTGTTCGTCGCCCCAGGTATGCACCAGAGAGCGTCCCAACCAGTCACAAAATCTTGAAAAGGCATGCTGAGGCCTTGTCTCTATTTGAAAGGCAACGGAGGCACGGATACTATCCCCGGCGGCAAAGTCAAAAACGTCAACGTCTCCTATGGCTCCACTTTCGAAGAACTCGTCAAATTCGCCGTGGAGAACAACGTTGCACTCGTTGTACCAGGCCCAGAACAGCCCCTGGTCGACGGCATTCAGGGCGCCTTCAAGAAGGTCGGGATTCCATGCTTTGGGCCCTCGAAGGAAGCAGCTCGCCTGGAAGGCTCGAAAGCATTCTCGAAAGATTTCATGAAGAAGCACAGCATCCCGACCGCCGCCTACGAGGTGTTCACCGACTTCAATCGCGCCAAAGCGTACGTGGAATCCCAGCCGCACAACCTCGTCATCAAAGCGTCTGGCCTCGCCGCAGGCAAGGGAGTTCTGCTGCCTGAAACGAAAGAGGAGGCTTTGGACGCGTTGAAGACGATTCTCATTGACCGAGTGTTTGGCGAGGCCGGAGCAGAGGTTGTGATTGAGGAGCGCTTGACGGGCGAGGAAGTCAGTGTGTTGACGTTCTCCGACGGATACACCGTTGTGACGATGCCGGCCGCCCAGGACCACAAACGCGCGTTTGATGGCGATAAGGGTCCCAACACTGGTGGGATGGGAGCATATGCGCCAGCACCCGTCTTCACGCCTGAACTCGCTGCTCAGGTGCAGAAAACGGTATTCCAGCCCACTATCGATGGAATGAGGCGTGATGGTCACCCTTTCATCGGTGTACTTTATGCTGGGTTCATGTTGACGCCTAACGGCCCAAAAGTCCTCGAGTACAATGCTCGGTTTGGCGACCCGGAGACGCAGGTCATCCTTCCTCTCCTAGACGATTCGTCCGATCTGTTCGAGATTATGCTCGCGGCGGCAGAAGGACGTCTGGACTCTGTAAAGATCAACTTCAAGAAGGCGTCAGCTGCCACCGTCGTGCTTGCGTCAAAAGGGTACCCCGGCGCCTACGAGAAGGGAGCCACCATCACAATCAACCAAGGGTCCAGCGAAGGAATAGTGTTCCACGCCGGAACACAGTCGAGCAATGGAACACTGAAAACGTCGGGCGGGCGCGTCATTGCCGTGACAGGTGTCGCCGCCGACCTGAAGCAAGCTCTATCACAAGCGTACGCGCTCATCGAGAAGGTCAAGTTTGACGGTGCCCAGTATCGCAAAGATATCGGCCACCGCGCGCTCTCCTCCGCATCACAGAAGTCGGAAGGTGGTGCCACCTACGCCGCTGCTGGTGTGGACATTGATGCCGGTAACGACCTGGTAGAGCTGATCAAACCGCTTGTGAAGGCCACCAAGAGGTCCGGAGCGGATGCTGATCTCGGCGGCTTCGGAGGCTTGTTTGACTTGAAGGCTGCTGGGTACTCGGATCCAGTCCTGGTGTCTGGCACTGACGGAGTTGGCACAAAGCTGAAGATTGCTCAGAGTGTTGGAAAGCACGACACCATCGGTATGTCGCTCGAAAGCCACGATGTCACATAGCGAATTTGGCTGACATGTACCGTTATGCAGGTATCGACTTGGTCGCCATGAACGTCAACGATGTCATTGTACAAGGTGCAGAACCGCTCTTCTTTCTCGACTACTACGCAAGCAGCAAGCTCGAAGTGAACGTCGCTCGGGATGTCATTGCCGGTATTGCGGCAGGGTGCAAAGAGGCAGGCTGTGCTTTGGTCGGTGGCGAAACCGCTGAGATGCCTGGGATCTACGAACACGGTACGTAATGTAGTGGGCTCCACATGCCTCACCCATTTCATATTGCAGAAGCTCACTCGCATCCGATCCGGGAAACAGGCGACTACGACCTCGCCGGCTTCGTCGTCGGCGCCGTCGAGCGCAACGACGTTCTCCCCGTTTTCGACAGCGTCAAACCAGGCGACATCGTCCTCGGCCTCGCCTCCTCCGGTGTGCACTCTAACGGCTTCTCCCTCGTCCGCCACGTCGTTGCCCGCGCAAAAGTCGACTACACCACCCCGTGCCCGTTCACCCCCCCACAAGCAGGCCAAACGCTGGGCGAGGCCCTCCTCACTCCCACACGGATCTATGTCAAGCAATTGCTCCCCGCCGTTCGACGGAAGTTGATCAAGGCGATGGCGCATATCACTGGGGGCGGGTTCCCGGATAACATTCCACGAGCGTTGCCGGACTCGGTGGGTGTGGAGATTGATGCAAAGACGTGGCCATTACCGCCTATGTTCAAGTGGTTGAAGAAGGCGGGCAATATCGCTGATGGTACGTAGCACTCTTTGAAAGAACATACATAGTCACCCAACCGATCATTGGTGATCATAAATCCATCTAACGTCCTTCCCTTCTGTGCACAGCGGAACTCGCCCGCACATTCAACTGCGGAATCGGCATGATCCTCATCGTCGCACCCGAGAACGTCGCAGAAGTCACCACACTTCTGAACCAGGCCAACGAAGAGGTGTACAACATCGGAACCATCGTGAAGAGGCAGGGTTCTGAAGAGCAGGTCCGTTTGACGGGCACTGAACAGGCCTGGGCTGTGTAAGGCCATACTTCCAAACTGCGCTGGAGGCCCATCTAATCATTGGGTAGTGCCCCGCGGGAGGTCGAGCGCACTTGCACACTTCGGTATTCCCTACCCACTCTGCCACGTTGGCCGTCTCCCCCATCTTCTTGCGATCCCTCAACTGCAGCTAGCACAGTCAACTCAGATCCAACCCACACCGTATGTGCCAGCTACGATAGTCTTATCAGATCTTCGTAGAACAGCTATTTCGAATCAATGAGATATTTTTTCCATGCCATCTTTCCTTTTGTCCGCGCATTGCCATTAAGTCGAATATGTACTGTACATACATGTACTGGGGCCCTTACAAACTTTGATTTTCATTCGCTCCAATACTATACGATACACTACGGTGGTAACTACATGCACACGGCGCAGATAAACATATTACAGGTACTATACACGTACGGAAATAAGGATTGACGCAGGACGAGAAGAACGCCGAATTTGAAGACACATCCAAAAAAAAAGTAGCCCGGGCAGTGAGCCCGTATATGATACGCAAAAGATGCAAGAGCAGGGGAAATATTGATCCCTCGCATCGAGCACGCCGTCTCTTCTGGCTTCCGAGATGGGACGACCGAGGAGCGTGGCAAGGCAGAGAAAATTTCGCGTTCGCCGAATAGCAATAGGTGAGGTGTTCGACCCCCGATTTCCATCTCACCCCAACAATCCCCCCAGACTCTTCACGCCCTCCGCCAGAACAGCCCTCCGTCGCCGCGTAGCCGCCACCTCCTGCTCAGTCCGCTGTCGCGCAGCAGCCGCTTTCCGAGGCTCTAGATCGGAATTGTAGTACTCGTATCGATAATGGTGGTGATCGCCATACGCGTCGCCATCATCATGGTGGTAATCATTATGACAGTCCAGACCGTCGTCGTCGCTGTCGTCGTCGTCTAGGAGCGGGTATCGCCGTTCGGGCATCTGGAAGGAGCGGAAGTTGCGGATGATGGCGGCGGTGCGGCGGGCGCGTTTGAGGTTGACGAGACGTTGGGGTGAGTGGTGCGGGTGTGATGATTGTTTGACGGTGGCAGGTGATGAAGACTGACTGGGGGTCGTCGTCGCAACCACGTGAGACGACGCCAGCGGCACCGACCTTCCTGCTTCTGATGCGGACGTAGGCAGCGCGGGGTCCTTGCGTTCTGATTTCGGAGGCGAGGCAGCAGTGACGACGGAGGACAAGAACGTTGTGTCTGTCGGTTTGAACAAGGGAGAGAGCGGGGGTACAGCGGGCAACAACCCGGGGGCAGACTCGGTCTGGTTCGGGGGTGTCCGTGGCCGGGACTTCGATCGCGAGCGACTGCTACGGTGGCGTGGCGGGCCTGTGAGGAACGCGTCCTTGTTCTGTTTCTGTTGCTGTTGGATGCGCCCGTGACGTTGATGGTCCGACCCAGACGACTCGGATGACGAGCCGGGGCCAACGAAAGGCTCGAAAAACCATCCGACCTCATCAACGTACGCTAGGTCGCTGAGGAAGAGGCCGAAGAAAGGCACAGCACACAGCGACTTCTCCTGTGGCTCGTCTTCATCTTCGTGAGCCGCATCCGGATTCGTCCAAGATAACATGTCCGCTCGTCTCATCCGCCGTGTAGGCTTTGTGGTTGACGACGCACCCACCGCGGGTCTTTTGCCTTTGGTGTCGACGCGCGCCTTCCGACGATCAGGGCGCTCAGACCACCAAGTATCCCAATCCAGAACCACCTCCTTAGCGCACGTCTCTTGCACCTCCCTCAGCTTTGCGAATTTGGCCCGGGCGGGGTCGGCAAACTCGAGGAGCTTAGTGAAGGCCTGGCGAGTGGACTCGGGAACATGATGCCATACATTGACAACGCCGTCCTTTCCAGCCTCCTTAGACGATGCGCCACCGTGTCCCAAGCTCGCAGACGAGGCCTTCTTCGCAACAGTCGGCGGTGCCTTGTTGCCACCACCGCTACCGCCATGGATCCCCAACGGCAACGTATCGTAAGCGAATTTGTACGAATCGACACCTGGTCCCTCGCCGCCCTGCAGCGGCCACACTGATTGCACGGCCAACACAAAGGCTAGCCCCGTAGACCAATTCCTCCACCGCGCCGCGATCCTCGCCATCTCCACCACCCGCTCCAGCATCGCCGCTTTTCCCTGCGCGCCTCCCTCACACTTGCTGAGCTCGCGGGCTACCCACCAGCATGTCGCGTTGAACCTATCGACCACTCTCCAGACGTCCGGAACAGTCTTGAATCCCGCGCTGGATCTGACTTTCCAGCTCTGCGTGAGGAGAAGGTGCGGCCAATCGACCTGCAGGATGTACTGCTGCTCGATGTGCGTAAAATGCTGAGCGAGAGCATGAGGCGGGTAGTCGACAAGGAAAGACCGATGTATAGATTGTGCGCCAGGGTGCGGCGGGTCGGGAAGAGAGGGCGTAGGCGTGTTCGAGCGACTTCCTGCCATGTGCAGCGACAATTGCGACGATTTCGGAGAAAGATGACTGCCCTCCGATGGCGGTGGATCTAGGATTGTCGCCCGATGTCCATGCTTTCGGAAGATCCATGACTTCCATGTCCGGCTTTGTTGACCCGGCACGGTAGACGACGCCGCCGTGACCTGCGATGATACCCCGGAGCGGATGGTATCCACCGACGGCCTAACTTCCGGGAAGAACATGTACGGTTGCGATCGGGCGTCGGGTGAGTCGATTCTTCCAACAGAGGGAGCCGGCGAACTCTTGCCGCCCGCCGCGTAGATGACGCTTTCTGCACTATTATTCGGCGGGCTGCGATTACTTCCCGTATCACTCCCCTTGATCCTGTTGACATAAAGCGTGGGCTCCGTTTGATCCCCATGCCACCTCCGTCGGTGCGACGTGTCGCTGTGTCCGCCAGACCGGGTCTCATCGTCTGAATGATTGTGCCGGTGGGAACTGCGAGAAGGTGCGCCAGACCTGTGATGTTTACTTCGACTCCTCAAACGATCGCGGCTCCTGCTCCGCATGCGCCGTTGCTCTTTCCTCACAACCAGAAGGTCCTGCAATGCACGCACTTGTGCCGCCACGTTCTCCTCCTCACCCGCATCCGACCGCGTCTGTCGATTCGTTGACCCATTGGCAAGGTTTGGATGCGATTCAAGCTTCGTCTTCAGGAACGTGTTCAGCGAAGCCCTCAGCGTCCGCGACGGTGCGAAATCAACATCATACTGCAAATCCACCCAGTATTCCAACAGCATCAGCGTTTTCACCAGCACGAGGCGCCGTCTCCCTTCCTGTGTCCCCGAACCGCTCCACATGCCTCTGAGACACCACACCACTCGTTGCAGGAGCAGACTCATCAGCGACTTTGCGCTCATAAAGACCCGGTAAGTGATAAAGAAATCTACTACGAAATCCGGGGGAGCATCCGTGGTGAGGTACTCGACCAATTTGACAGGCGTTGCCGCTACAAGGTGTTTGGTAACATTGTGTTTTCCGGTGTCGATGACATACTCAAAGACGGCGTTGTGTGGGCCAGAGGGTTCGTCAAAGGGACTAGGAGTCGAATCTTCTTCGGGATATGGGTTTTCAGCGGCCGTGTGGTAAGAGGTTGACGATTCCTGACCATTGTCGAGCGATGAAATCTTTGCAGCCAAGGACGCCAGGGGAGAGGATGGCCCCGCCCGTGACCCGCTATTTGCTGCTACACCACCCGCTGGCGCACGGGTTGCGGTATTCACGATACTAGCCTTGTGACCCTCATCCAAATTTCGTATCGGCGAGCCTGGCACCACTGAGACCTGTTTGAGATGCTGCCCCGGGTTCACGATCACATGCGACATGTCCGGCACCAGATCGCCGAATGTCAATAGGGAAGAATTGGCAGACATATAGCCAGGATCGCTGGCCGTCTTCGCGGGGGATGAAATTCCAGGCTGTTTCGCGCTTGTGTAAGTAAGAGATGACGATGATGGAAGGGTGAGGGTGGTAAGCTTCCGAGGCGATGACGCCGGTGTGCTGGTTTCGAACGACCCGACGCCTGATACAGCCGAGTCTGTGGTTGGGAAACGTTCTTTTCCGTGTCTATCCCAGCTGAGGTCACGAGGATTCGAAGAAGGGGTGGGCGTCGAGCGATTCGTTGCGTCGTGTTCCCAGGACACGTCTTCACGGCCCTGGATGTTGGCGACCTGCACAGTTGGCGAGGTTGCGACAATGTCGGCACCTGTCGGGTCGATCTCAATATGGATCCGATTGTCCTCGCCCACTGTTACCTGGAACTTGAAGTTGTTTCGCGGAGCTCCACTCGGTAGCGGTGAGGTTGGCGACCGCACGCTTTGACTTCCTGAAGGCGCATCCTTATGTGTTCGGACCGACAAGGAGTTCGGAGCAGGGGTAGGCGTGCTTTGACTTGTCCGAGTATGTCGCTCAGACATGGCATCCAACATCGACACCCATCCTTCCAGTCGCTCGATGATAGCCTCCCATGTTCTCGCATCACTCGGACCCGCGTGTTTGCTTCCATTCCTAGGCGGCGGGATAGGTGCAGCATTCGAGGCGCCGCCAGCTGTAGGTCGTGCCGGGAAATATGAGCCCTCCGCCGCAGGTGGAATGCCCATAGGCGTGTAAAACACATCTTCGTCCGCTGCTTTCGGACTCTGCTGGGTCTCAGCTCTCTTCACTGCAGATTCCGGATTTCTCCCCAATGTTCGCATGGCGTCATACCCGTCTATCAGCTCGTTAATGCTCAACGTGGGGGACGACGTATTCTCCGAATTCCCGCCTTTGCTCTGCGCCGGAGACTCGGGATCCTGAGGCGATTCGACCTCTATTGTAGACGATCTCACCGCGGCGCCTTCCTCCGCATCAACATCCGTGAAATCCGTCATCGACCCATCAGTTGCGGACACGTAGCCATCCTCCGGAACGGGCAACGCTGGTAATGGCGGCAGGTCAGCGGCAAAAGCCAAAACGGGCGATGTTGGCGAAGTAGAGGAGTTATCCGTCCTCCGATCCGGCGAGACGCTCTTCAACTTATAGGGATTATGCTGGCGCCACGCCTCCCGCAGGTCCTCTATCGATTTCGGTGAATATGTGTAGTTGCGTAATGGCGAGTTCTTATAGCGGTTGGTGTTGGTTCGTTTGAGCGTCGTGACTTTCGGCGTCGGGGTTGCTAATGAGGGGCGAGAAGCGGTAGGTGAAGGTGGTGTTGTGGTGTCGGGGCGAGCGTTGAGCCAGTCCGTCAAGATCTCGACGGACTGCGTTTTGCGATGTGCGGGCACAAAGTCGCTCGAGTTGTTGGAAAGAGGGAGGAAGGTGTCTGAGTAGGCTCGTTCTTCCTGCACGCTGCCCTGTACTGACGACCGGTATGGTGTCTGCCGACGGTCCATTGTCGCTGGGTGTTCCAATGGTATTGCGGTCTATGGTGATTGGACTGACGCGCCTTGTCGTCTGCGGAAGCCGTACTGTATATGTAAGTTGATCTCGACTCTCCACGACAGGGCTTGGAAGGGCTTGACTATGTAAGGGTAGTGGCCGCGGGTTTGAAGGGTGGCTCTCGGATGCTGGCGGAAGGGATCTTGGTCGCAGACTAGTATTTGCGGTATAACTTTGGGCCCGACAAGACGGCACTAGCGAGTTGTGACGGCTAGTGACGCGGTGCGCTTTCGCAAGGTGGGAGGTGTGAAAGGAAAGCAACAGCGGCAGTTCTGTGACCTCCGAACGAGAGTTGGCTGAGACTCAAAGTGAGGAAGTGTGAAGCGAAAGCGGGCGAGGCGGGGCGGGAGGGAAAGTGGCGACGAGAGAGGCGGACAGACAGGGCTTGCTCGCCGCGCTTTTGTCGTGAAGGCTCTCTTCTGGCAGAAGACAACCGGCCCAGGATCCATGGAACACAGCCGGAAAGACTCGCAGGAGGAAGGATTTCCAGCTTGACCCTCTCTTTGGGACAGACGCTCCCGGCAGGCGCAGTCTCTCGCAAAACCTCCCAGAATTGTGGAGGCGGCAACAATGGTGTGACCGATCGACAGGGGGCCGTCATGACGTGGACACACACACAAAACACACAACAGTCCTTTGCGACCTTCACTGGCCGCACCATTTGCACGGACTACGGAAATCTGAGTGTCCACAGGCCAGACTGCACATGTGTCATGAAGCCAGACTGAACTTTCTCATACGATATCATCTCGAGTCTCCTGGCAGCGGTACTGCAGCCATATGCAAAACGGCATGCCATGTCTGCACAAAACTTCAGACACGCAGATCCCTCCAGCGCCGCCAGTTCCGCCGCCGGGCCGCCCCCGCCCCGCGCCAGGGTCCTGTGCATTTGTCGAAGTGTCACCTATGGCCTTGGCACACTGATGATGGGTGTCCGTGCGCGTCTTACCGTGGAGGCTGCACTCCAAGTGTCAAGCCATATGTAAAGAAGACTTCGTTGTACGTTGTACGATGAAGGAATACAAGTTGCCATCATCGGCGACGCCTCAGGCAGAGGTACAATGATGTGGATGGCAGATAACCACCACGGAAAATGGAATGGGGTGAAAATTCTAGACTACCGGTTACGGGAGAATGCGTCTGGTCTGCGGCCATCGCCAAACACCACCGAGCGCACAATCGAGACGAAATTCTTGGTGCTTAGGACGTCCCGATTGTGCACTTTCATCCGTAGTCGTAGTGGTCGTCTTCCAGGAATCTCAAATGGCGTCCAGTCTTGGTTGATACATTCGGGGTTGGGGCAACCCACCAATCCATGGACGAATTCCATTCTTCCCTTTCGAGCTTGCCACGGCCGAGGTGACAGCCGGCGTTGGATGTTTTTCCTCACACGCCCGTGGCAGTGTGGGCACACGGACGACGTTCGATACTCATCCAGCAAGTAGCATGGAATGCCGTTTCTCGCAAAGAGTGTGCGGAATCTGTTCCATGATGAGTTAGCATAATGATACATAAAAAACAATGATGGTCACTCACCCTTTGGTCTTTGATGACTCCTGAAAGCGCATGGTTTTTCCAGCGTCACTCCAATCACCCAAGATGACCGAAAAATGCTTTCCATACAGGCGTCGCATGTTTTTGATGAGCTTGCTCTCAGACTTTTGCCGCAGTGAGAACACCTTGAATCTGCGAGCGACGTGAATCTCATCCTGGTAAAACTCATCCAGGGCGGGATCTGGGATATAGATGTCAGCCCACGTGTTACCAAATTTGAAGACAATGCATGATACATCATACCCGCATGTACGTGATCCACAATGAACGCTGAGAACGCCTCGATGTTCATGCTCTTGTGCGATGGAATATGTGATTCCATCTCAGCGATGCCGGCATTGATCTTTCGCTCTCTCATGTCTCTTTGAAAGTACCGAGACTTTGTCTCGACCGCCCGTTGATTGGATGTGTATCTGATATGGGGTGGTGAATTGTGAGGACGCTGCAACGGAATGTCGCCGCAACGGGGATGGCGGAGACGGGGGGCTGGCGGGCGGAGACGGGGGGCTGGCGGGTGGAGACGGGGGGCTGGCGGGTGGAGACGGGGGGCTGGCGGGTGGAGACGGGGGGCTGGCGGGTGGAGACGGGGGGCTGGCGGGTGGAGACGGGGGGCTGGCGGGCGGAGACGGGGGTGGGGGGGGGGGTAGCGGGGACAGCAGGGCAGTAGTAATCAACTGAAACGTACCTAAATGGCCGCTCCTTCTTGATGTCTCGACAGAACAAGAGGTCACGCTTGCCCGGATCAATGCTGACGATGTTTGGAGCCTCCCGTAGTTCGGCGATGTGGTGCTGAAAATACAGCTGCTTGACTTCTTCCCGCATTTGGGCCTTGCTGCGCTTCCGGGCCCAATGCCCATACTTGAGCCCTGGCTTCTTGAAGTGGATGGTAGCGGAATACCCGTTTGTGCTGATTGATCCATCAAATTTAAGACCAAGCTTCTTTCGATGCTTGAAGACCTTGTCCTGCAATCCGTCATTCAGCGACGTGAGGTGAGTGAAATAAGCGCAGAGGGATAGAGACTTACATTCACGTTGATAAACTGCCCCCACAGCTCCCGCTTGCGTTCATCGGTGAATTTCCCCATGCGACTTCGGCTCAAGCCCAGGATATGAGTGCCTAGGATCAGCGTGTCGATCCGAACAGATGACTGGATTCGAGATTTGCGCAGCGGGATAGCCGAAAACAGCCGCATTCCACGGCGCTCATAGAGGCGTGAGAGCTCACAATAGGCACCTGTGATGAGGCGAGGCAGGTGCGGACCATGATTAGACAAAAGAGGAAGCGGGGGGGGGGGGGGGGCGGAAATATACTAACTCACCTAAATATGGCATTGCGTCCACCGCAAGGCTGTACGCAAGCGGCTCATCCTGGGGAGGAAACAGAGCCCATAGCTCGTCGAGGACAGTCCGCTCAAGTCGTGTGAGCCGGGCAAACTCCTCTTCGGTTGGAAACTCCTCAAACGTCGCGTATTTTGTAAATTGACGGAACCGCTGATAATACCGTCTCCGCTGCGCTCGGTTGACTCCGGCTCTACGGAGATGCAGTACGACTTGTTTCAAACCAAGCCTTTCATTGACGTAGCGCAGAAGCATTTGAATGAAATGCTCTTGTACGTTGACTTTGAGGTTTGTGAAGATGCTCGTAGCCGTGTACGCTGCGGTCTGTTGGCAATTTCGCATGCGGATGGGGGCGAATCCGTGAACATCACAGTAGTCTTGAACCCGTGGACGCAACTCTTGCGCGATGACCGGATTGCCATTGTAGCCTGGATTGTTGAGCAGCTCAAACATCACACCGATGTGCCTGTCGGTGATGTCCGGGAAATCGTGTAGAGGACGGTCAGCTGTGGCGGGCATTGCGGTCAGGGCATTGTTTCATGGGAAATATACAGTGCAGTGTACCCCAAAAACTCACCAAGGTAGTACTTGAGAAAGAAGGTGGTGTGGCGCGCAAGGATGTGAACATTGCCGATGAATGCTGTCAGGTGCTCCCTTTGCTCCCTTTGAGCTTGATTATGGATGATTCGGTGAAGCGAAACCTTGGTGCTGGCGTGTGTTTGCGAGCGGGGTCGTTGAGGGGGTGGTGGTGGCGGGGGTTCATACACCAGGGGTCCACCCGGTGTGCTGGGAAAAAGGAACGGGATGGGAGCGGGGAGGTTCAACGGACGCTGCAGGCCCCTGTCCACGGGTGAAAGCCCTTGCTGCTGTTGCTGCTGCTGCTGCCCGTCTTCATCGCCGGAACTCTCGCCGGAACTCTCGCTAACCATGTCTGCAATTGCTTGGGGCAAGTGGCGTTGGACAGACGGTGGGAACTCGAATCGCGGGGGTTGTTGCAATGGTGTCTGCACAGCGGCTGGCAGATTTATGGGCAGCCGCGGGGTAGCCGGAGTAACCTTCCTCCTCTTCCGCCGTGGTGTGGTGGCTCCGGTAAAGAAGCCACACCACAGGTGCCCCTGGAGCGACATGATTGGCTGTGCTGTGCCTGTGCTGTGCTGTGCGTGCTAGAGATGAGGTGCTGCAGGTGATTGCCGCGATGGCTGTGTGTCAAAGAGCTCACGTCAGTGCTGTGGTAATGAGGCTGAGAGCGGTGAGGAATTGCGGCTGCTACCTGGTGGCGGCTGAAGGTGAAAGCGGGGAGGCCTACTGCTCACAATTGCGTTGGGAGGGAAGGTGGTTGGGAAGGAGGGCTCCTTTTAGGCCGCGCGTCAAGGCCGAGCGTGAAGGCTGTAGGCATGGTGAGTGGCATTCGTCCTGCGCTAACGTGGCTTCACACGCGTTAGCACCCACGCCCGCGCTAACGTCACGAGTCCAGCGCTAACGTATGTGCCTGTGGTTGCTACTGTGCCTGTGGTATAGGAACGACATTCAACATGGAAGCACGCAGAGCTCAACTTCTCACCCAGCTCCATGAGCTGCAGCTCTGCAGGAAAATGGTCGTCGAGCAGAAGGTGGCGCATGCGGGCGAGCTCAACGACCTCCGTCAGAAACGTCAGCAACTGCGCGATGCCGTGACAACGAGTCGTATCCGGCAGCTTCAGGATCAGGTCGAGCTTGTCCTCACGTTCACAGAGCATCTTGAATCGTCTGTGGGCACGATTCAGGCCGCCGTGGACGATCTCGCTATCAAGACCGGGAAGTTGATTCAACAAGTAGCCCGTCTCGTTACCGACACCCACGAAAGCTCAATCCGAAGGACGATCGCCATCAACATAGAGTACGAATTGAAGCGGGCCTTTCTGGCGGTAGATACCACTTCCTACTGGGAAGAAGATGACATTCTGGAGATGTCTATCGGGCAAGCCCGTGAGATAGCTCGGACACATGATAGGGAAAAGGGCTGATAGGATCTGCAAGGAGTGGTTTCCGGATGCTCAGCTGTCACAACGCACTTTCGCCGAGACGATGCAGCTTCTGAAAGTTGCGAGTTCCGACGTTCACCCGGCTGAAGACATAGAGGGAAATCGAATGACTCTGGCTGTGGCTACCGCCTTGTTGGAGTCTGAATTCGAAGCGCCGAGCAACTCGCGACAGGCTGGGAAACAATGGGAGGAGGAGAACAAGAAGACCGCAATCTATTACCTGAACAAACTGGCTCAGATTCGGGAGATGGAGAAGAGCGACAGGTTGCTCTATAGGTCTTCCGCGCCTCACTTACCTTTTCCTATTGGACCAGTGGGTGGTGGGGACAACCGCAACTAGCGCTATACTCGAACTTCCTGAAGCGAACAAGAAGGGGAGAAATCGGCGGCCGGTTACAATTGAGCGATCAGAGAGGGAGCGGCAGAGACTCGGATGGTTGGGTCTCGGTGACGGCCATTTGCCCCGAGCCTGAAGAGTTAAGAAACATTTTAGATATCTATGAAGCAAGAAGAGGACATGTTGCAACAGTTGATGGGGTTCATTGGAGGCGGGGACCCTCCCCCGGCACCCGTCACCGCTCAAGTTATTAAGGGGCCTTGGACGTTGCGTCAACAGCTAGCGAGCAATAGCAACAGCAGGAACTCTCCCCGGCCACCCGTCACCGCTCAAGCTATGAAGGGGCCTTGGACTTGCGTCAACAGCAAGCGAACAACCTACCTCCCCCGCCACCCGCCGCCACTCGGGTCCTGCCAATGCCCGAGGAACGATACAAACCCTGGAACTTGTATTATGAGGCAGAAAAGTAAAGACAGGCCACACGGACCGAGTCCTTGCTTGCCACTTACATGGAAGACCATGATAAAATGGCTCACCTTCAACGCTTGACCTCCATCCTGCGAGTGAACAGGGACGAAACAGACAGGCGGCACCACGCCTTGGGTATCACACCGGCCCGCGAACGCGAGCCGTATTGTGACAAAGGCCACGTCTGGTGGAGAGGCGTCGGGTGTATCCCCAATGACGTTTGGCGCAACCACAACGAGTTGTGGAGAAAGTCGCCGAACGTCAACAATATCATCTACTATGGTGGAGGGAGGCAAACGGCCCGTAGCCGCCGGATCCGTAGTCGGAGCAAAAGCCGTACCTGCAGCAAAGCCCGGAGTCGTAAGACGCCTGCCAAAAGCAAGCACTCGCGGATGACACGCCGCAGCAGAAGCAGGAGCATGTAACGTCAGAGGAAACTTGGACGATAATGGACCCTTCCGAGAGGGCTGAAAACAGTGTATTGAAGTGAAGAAAAAAATTTGTTGATCTTGGAGTAGCCCATGTCTCTCAAAAACACTTTTCTCTTTCTGTGACTGTATTCCGAGCAATCAGGAAAATTCCCTTGACATGGTAGCACCCCAAAGTCCTTCTTGGGACAATACATATTCTAGGGAGCGAGCATGTAGAAAGCGTAGACGATGCGATTATGACTCCGCTGCCGGTTACCTTTACATGTCCTTGTTAGCCGAGGCAAGCCCGTTCCCGTGATTGCGGGGTCTCAAGGGGTCGTTCGAAGGCCAACCCGCTTACGTGTTGACAGAAACCTTCGCGCCGTTTGCCTGTCCCGCTGGCCTTCTTGACGGGACCGGCTCACTGCGAACTCGCAACCACCCCCGGCAGCCAAAACCCACACTGTTATCATACTGCATATAACTTATTGCCACCCACTCTCCCATGCTGTGCCCCCTTGCCGGACGTAGAAGAAAACTTGCTCTCAGCTGAAGAGCTTTCGCCGAGAGTTACACCTCCAGGTGTTCAGCAGTAAAACACGAAGCAACCCATTGGACACTGTCCTTGAAGCAGGTGTACTCCGTCCAATGGTAAGCCCATACTATGTTCGCCGTCTCTCGTTTGCAACTGTCTGACGCCCATACTCTCTGCAATCCGTCTCACCAAAACGAAAAATAGAACCGATTCTACGACGATCAAATGATGATGCGCGGGAACAGGCGCAGCGGGTCGGTGTTCCCTGACCCCTACGGCATGTACGACGAGCCGGAGTTCCTCAACCAATACACCAACTCCGTAGCAGCCGCGGCCGCAGCAGCCGCCATGGGAGCCACCGGACGTGGAGGGTGGGGAGGAGGGCCCCACATGGGCCTGGCCGGCGGGCAATCGTCCGCCCAAATGCCGTATCGTATGGGCGGGATGGGCGGAGCTGCGGGTTATGGAATGGGATATCCGAACGGCGGAGGGGTGGGGGGTTATTCAAACCCGGCTGCGGCGATGGGCATGGGGATGGGGATGAATATGATGGCGTATCCACCTGCGGGGCTGGGGAATGGCGGCGGAATGGGGTTTGGCGCGGATAGATATATGGGCAGGGGCGCTTATGACGATGTTGGCATGGGGGGTATGGGCGTTGGTGCAATGGGGATGAACGGTATGGGTATGGGCGGCGTTGGCATGATGGGTGCTAACGGCGGGAGAGGATACCCCGCCGGCACGTCCCGTTTGAATACCGGCATGCGCAGTGGATACCCTGCCGTGGGAAACAGCTACGCGCAAGGGATGGATAAGCCAGGGCAGATGAAAGAATCCAACTGGAACGACCGGCCGAACAATACCAGCAGCAGCAACCTGCTGAATATGGGGAGCAGCATGGGCAGTTTGGCCGGCAGTAACAGCAGTGAGTCGAGGCCAAGGGCAGGATTCGGTCAGGGAGCCGCGGATTTTCTCCCAGACCCCGACGTTCGTGGTTTTGACGAGTACAAGATGCGGTGGGATCTCGCTGAGGATGGATTGAATGGAAAAGATGCTGCGGCTTTCAAGGTATATTTTCCCACTGAAAAAGTCTCCTGAAGCGATGACGCGGAGATGCTTACCTCGGTTTCGAATATTGATTAAATCAGGAAGGGAAGGGCTGGGGACCTCAACCGGAAATCATCTTTGACCCGCTCCTCATGTGGCGCCGTACTCCAGACCCGCCTGGTATCCCTGGCCACAGCAGCCGCGCTGCCAGCGAGCTACCAGCCGCACAACCGGAAGCAGAGGTGAAGATCAAACTAGAAAAGGATACTGAGGCCGAAGTCAAAAAGGAGACCCAGCGTCTGGAGCTCGAGACGAACATCAAAGTCGAGCCGGTGCCGATGAAAGCCCTCTTGACGGCAAAGTCGAACAGACCGACGGCGTCGGCGCTTATTGACCGTGCTCGTGAGCGTGAAGAGCGGGATCAGTTCTACAGGGACAGGTGCGTTGATGATGGAAGACTGGTCGCGAATGTTCGCTGGCTAGCACAGCTGTCCACATCATTAACCTTCTCATAATCCCTCACAGCACCAGATCGGCCAACCCTTTCGAAACTCAGGCACATGTTCCTCCTGCATACGACGAGGAAAAGATTTCCGCCATGCAAGCTTATTTTGCTGCTGCAGACACCGAAGCCCACCCGCTTCCTGGACTTTCATCGCATGCTTCCCAAGAGACCATCATGGGTGACGTGTCTCGCCAAGGGTCAAGGATCCTCTCGTCGTCCCTAAGCGGCCTTCACGACAGCTTCCCGATCACGAAACCAGACTTCTCCTCCATGGACAAAGGCGGCAGTCAAACCTCCATCGCAACCGCGTACTCCGACCGCGACTCGACCATCTCCCGGCCCCGCCCAATCTCCCGGCACGCCAGCCTGAGCGACCGCGAAACCACGCGCACGAGCAACACGCGCGCCAGCTCGTCCTCTCGCCGCTCCTCCGCCATCCCCGACCCCGATTTCGACCGCGACCGCAGCCTCAGCCCGCCGTCGTCCCGCAGCACCGACCACGAGAGCAACAACCCGCCCACCGAACACACCTATGCCCAGAACAGCCAGAATCAGTACCAGAATCAGGAACGTCATGGCGGTGGCGGCGTACGGGGCAGTCATAGCCCGGCCGTGCGTGCTCACCGCCCGCCTCCGATCGCTATCCCGGCGAGTATGGCCACCACTCCAGCGGCGTCAGCCGCCTTGATCGCGTCCGCGTCGTCATACTTTGCGAACGGGGCCCTGAACCTGCCCTACACCGTCCCGCATTCCGCAGGTGTCCCCACTGGTAAAACCATCGGTCCCGACGCGTCTCTCCCTGGTGCGGCGCTCAGTGCGGATGCGACTGGCAGCCAACATCAACGCCGCCACAAGCGCGCTGGGGACGATGATGGCTTGTTTGGGTTTGAGTTTGGAGTGGATTTCACTGGTGCGGGACGGCCGAACTCGGCGGCGCATTCTTTGTTTAGTAGGATGAATCGGTGCGTATTTCCTTACTTTCGCGCCTTTGGCGCCCTGGTTTCTCATTAAACTCACTCAATGCCTCCATTTGATAGATACGAGGACGACTAAATCCCACTACAAGCGGCGTCCCCTTGAATTAAGCAATACCCCGCACACCATCCCGCGCAACCCAAACAAACCCGTCCTTCGGGGCATAGAGATTTCCCTCCGTGCGCGAACACCCCTCACGGTTACATGACCCCCGTCCTCCTCTCGGAATCTGCGTATACCCACCCCCCACGTATTTCCTTTTCGTTTTGGCTGCGGTGCTGTCACGAGGGTGCGGTGGTATCTCTTTTTTTTCTCTCTGGCTTTTGGCGGTCTGGGTGTGGGGGTTCGATTTGCGTGAGTGCGGTCTGGTGGCGGTGTCTTTTTTTCTTCTCTTTTTGGACCTTTTACTTTTTGGGTGCTCTTCCTTTTTCCGGTTCGTCTTTGCGATGTATAGTTCGTTGTTGACGGGAGTAAAAATAAAATGGCGTTTTCGTTTGAGTCATGTCATGGAGTGGCCTTTGTGTGTGTGTGGGCATCCATTGAGAAGTGAGCTTGCCCAGGCGTGGAATTCCACACTATGGCCCTTCAAATTCCGTTGCGGACACCTGTGGTCATCGCCGGCTCGACTGGACACTCTTGTGCCTGGCATCACGACGCGAGAAAATGAGCCTCGCCAGTCTGCATCCATCGGCATCGTCATCCCATCAGCGTTTTCCCCCCAAAATCTAGCGCCCAGGGTTCAGCCCACCTGTCCTTGACCCATCCCGTTGCCTGCTGACTTGGCTATTGTTATGCTGATAGCCGTAGATGAATATCGCCAAGCGCTGGACGTTTTTTTCTTGGGCTTCTTCAGTTCAACGTCTCTTGGCGTGAGTCAAATGCATGTGTTGGAACGACCCCACATTCGTGAACAGGGAGGTTAGTCGCGATACGCTTATTTCCTTGCCAATGAATCATGAATGCGAGCGTGATGCCAAGCTATGTGAGAGCCCATGGGTTGCCTGCCATTGGATGGTGGTGCGATTGACAGTGGCCGGAGCGGAGTGGGTTATGTAAAATCTATTGGTGTACGCGCCAACAAGAACATTCCAATTGGAGCGCGTGGCTTTGCAGAGCGAGAACATGCGCGTCATGGAGGCATGACATCACACTAGGACGGGGGGTGCGCCACTCTTGGGCGCCAACCGTGCAGTGACACGCAAGTGACTCAACGACCCCTCACGCAGCCATGGAAAGGTGCGGGAATGACATCATGCGCGAATGCTCGGAGGTGCGCGGCCAAGAACGCGGTCCATGTGGGGTCATTGTCTGATTGTATGGCAGGGTGAGACTGTGAGAGGGAGACGGTCGCCGGATTGGAACAAGCACTTGGCTCGTTCTTGTTCTCGCTGCGGAATGATCTGGCTGCTGGCCCCCTCGCTCTTGGCCCCAACCTGCTACATGCTGCAAAATGGCATCCATGCAAGGTTGAAGGGACCGGCCGACTGATGGATGATGATGATGATGAGCTCCTTGGAATAATCGCAGACGTCACTCGCTCTCTTCCCTGTTCCCCTTTTTTTTTGGTCGACTCCCCATACTATTACACTCGTATAAATACCCCCACGCTCCAACGGAATTCCCCGCTCACTCCACACCCGCAAAAAGCCTCATCCGCCCGCCCACCACCACCGGCCAACGCTTGGGTTGCTTGCTCTTCGCAACATTCTACATCCGACTCGTCGACCAGCGCGCCTATATCTTACACCACACTTCCGACTTGGCAGCTACCTCCTGTTCACCCCACCGACTTGTCGAGATCAAACCGTGAACGATGGCCATACCACACTTCCGCAGCAACAGGAACCCTAGTGCAGGCACTATTCCCCCTTCGGGCAACCAGCCTGTGTACAAGGACGAACCCTTCACCCCCCGAGGCTACATCCGCAACTATGCCGCCGACTACATCATCATGGCCTGCATGGGCGCCCTCGGGCTCGGTATCTACATGCTCAGGCCCGCACCCAACCGCCTCTTCCCCATCTACTTTCAGGATGGAGAGGTCGTATACCCAGAGTTTGCCTACCCGTTGGAGAAAAACATCATTCCCATCTGGCTGGCCGCTTTCCTTGCTTTTACGATTCCGACGCTGTTTATCATCTTGATGCAGATCAGGATTCGCAGCTTTTACGATGCTAATGCGGCGATCATGGGTCTTCTCTTCAGCTTGAGTAAGTGTCTGCAACGAGCGAGGCGAGGGGCGAGTTACCCAAGTCTATTGTCTTTTGGTGTGACGGTCGATAATCGATGCTGACCTTACTTCCCCTTTCTTTTTCCTTTTCCAGTCACAGCCGCGGTCTTCCAAGTCTTCCTGAAATGGCTCATCGGCGGTCTCCGCCCCCACTTCTACGCCGTCTGCAAGCCCAGCATCCCCCCCGCCCTAGCCAACGCTGGTCAAGGCTTCAGCGGCATCATGGTCGACAGGAGCGTGTGCACGGGTGACGAGAAAGAGATCAACGACTCGCTTGAGAGCTTCCCCAGTGGACACTCGACCGCTGCGTTTGCCGGGTTCTTGTATCTGTCGTACTATCTTAACGCCAAGTTGAAGATTTTCTCAAACTACCGTCCCGCGTTCTGGAAGCTTCTTCTGTTCTACGCTCCTATTCTTGCCGCTACCCTCATTGGTGAGTTTTTATCTCTGCCTTTCTCACGACTGAGTTGAGAGACTCCCATACTGAGATAAGTCTTCTCTCCCGATCAGCCGGCTCATTGACCATCGACAAGTACCACCACTGGTACGACGTCCTCGGCGGCGCCATCATCGGCAGCATGGTCGCCACCGGCGCCTACCGCTTCCAATACGCCGCCCTCTTCGACTACCGCTTCAACCACATCCCACTCCCCAAGGGCGGCCAGAACTTCTTCCGCTACGCCCCCGGCGCCAGCGACGGTCCATTGGTCCGCCCGGCAACTCGCAAGGCTGGGTGGGGCGGCGAGTACGGAGCCCCGGTGGCTGGCGCGCCCTCCGACGCGATGTTTGGTGGCGCGGGCGCTGCTGGCGTGCCACACATGGCCGCGGCACCGCAACATGGCGAGTTGAACGTGTAAACCGCTTCGAGCATCTTCGTCACTATGTCTTTGCACATTTTTTGGGTCTCTCCTTTTGTATTGCTGAGCTCGCATATACCGCATGCGTGCGTGAGATGTATCCCCGACCACCAAGTTTGATTGTATCATTAGCCGCTTGCTTGTACAATCAGTGTTTCTTAATGACTGCAAATAAAACATTTCGTCGCACATAACCCTTTTCATGTTCCAAAACACGTTGCATTGAGCACTTTGATATTTACATGGATTCCAATCTGGGAAAGGAGTGTTGGTGTTCATGTCAACTTTCCTCAGCCGACCTGCCCCCTATATAACTTGTATAGCCCCGGCCCAACGTTCAGCGACCCCTCCTCCTCCGTAGCACATCCCTACCGCGCATGAATCTCAACCACATCCTCATCCTCCAACCCCAACCCCTCCAACGTCGCCCCGCCACCCAACATCTCCCCCTCAAACATCATCCTAAAACTCGTACCGGCCGGGGGCCCATGCCTCGCCTTCACAAACGCGTCAATGACCTCGTCCACCGTCGCCGAGAGCTTCGCTTTCAATTTCAGCGGGGCGGTGGTGTTGTGTGTGATTTTGATGGCGACGAGGGGGTCGGTGGGCTCTATGGGGGCGTGGGTTGGTCCGGGGGCTTGTGCGGACGACGACGCACCGCCGCAATGTGATGAGGGCCCCGTCGAGAAATCGGCATGTGTTCGAGGCGGCGACGGCGCATTGGACGCGAGCCTGAACGCATCATACTCGGGCTTGTTGTAGACGTCAAGCACAGAGTCGTCGTCCATGTCGAGCGCGGCGGGCGTGCCATATTTGAACAGCGCCGCGTTACGGCATAGAAAGACGGTTCGCTGTCTGTCGAGGGACCATTGGTTGCAGACGGCGGCCATGAGGTGGTCGAAGGGCTGGTCCTGTGGGGGGGTTAAATGTTAACATCATCGAGAATACCAAATGCAGGGTTTCGGGGGCTGGTTACGAACCCGTCGTAACCGCAACTTCAGAGGCTTGATAAACTCCGCATCAGGCACGGCCGGGTATCGTTTCCGCTCAACCCGGATCGTAATCGGCCGTGAATCCTGGAAATCGGAGGATGAGGACGATGATGTGAACGGGTTTGCGAGATCCATCAGGGCGGGGTCGAGTGTGGAGAGGGATGTGCTTTCGTATTCGAGGATTTCGGGTGCGCGGAGCTCGTTGCATGTTCGTTTGAGTTCTTGGCTGGATGAGAGGAGGTGTAAGCGAATGAAGGGTGAGTAAGGGAGGTGATCGGCGGGACGTACCTTCTCACGTATAGGGACATGATCACGTCTTCCGGGACCTCTGGCGGCGGTGATGGAGGCGGTGAGAGAGATGGTTCTCGTTCTACGGGTGGCGTCTTCTCGACCGGTTTCTTCCCTCTTTTCGCTTGCCTTCCACTGAATAAATCGAGAGATGTCAGCGTCATAGGCCCACACGTCCTACCACACCAGGAAACAACCATAAAAACCAACCTCTCCTCCTCATCCTCACTATCCGACAACGCATAATCCAATGCCGCCACCTTATCCGGCCCAAAACTCCCCACCCTCCCAAACTCCCCTCGCGCACCCAGCGACCCCAGCACAGCCTCCCCTATCCCCATCTGCGACCCCGCAGTTGTAGCCGACTCATTACTCGACCCACTCCCATTCCTCCTCACCGGCTGACGTCTCTGCACATTCATCGTCGCGCGGATAGTCCCCACCGACCCTTTTTTGCCCATATCGAAGAAATCGTCGACATTGGTGGTGGATTTAGACCGGGTGGTGGAGGTAGGGGCGAGTTTGCGGCGGGTGGGGAGGGGTTGGGAGAGCTTTTTGGCGGGACGAGGGGAGGTGTCGGAGTCGCTGGAGTCGGAAATGACCACGGAGTCGTCGTCTATGGGGGCTTTGAGGGGCCGGCCGCGTTTGCGTTGCGCGCCGTTGCCAGTTTTCAAGGGGGAGGCGCCTGCCATGGTTGTCGACGTGTTGCGCAAGGGGCTACGTGTGCGCCGTTGCTGTATTGCTCGGGAGCCGCTGTAAACTATGGACGTTGAATGGAACGGAACGCAGACTTGAAAACGGCATGCGGAAGTTGGAGTTGGAGGAAGGCCGTGCGCTGGCGTGCGAGACGTGATTGACAGCAAAACGTCGTTTTTCGCGTCGTCCAACTCCTCCCCCTTCTCACTTTCGTCCAGAACAGCGTGGACGCCTTGAACACGGATGGCAAAATACTCCTTACGCCATCTGCTTATGTTAGGTACATATACAGCCAAGCGGTCGTGGTCAGCCGCAGGTAGGCAGGTGCGATATGGACCCCGCGGTAGATTCAACACCTCCCGGCAATCCCCCATATGCCCTTAATATTTACTGCAACCGTTTTGCAGTCCACCTATGCCATCTACAGACATTCCACTCCCATGTACAACCTTTTGCCTCACTTCACCTCCTGAATAGATCGAAAGGAAGTACCATCATGAGCTTCCAGTTCTCAACTCGCAGACTGAAAAAGTACCCAAAACACCTACATCAACATTAAGCTCTCCAATGAACAGCGTCTTGTCGTTACTGGCAGACGCAATGATGCTATGTGTCCAGTCCACCTCGTTGCATACTCCTTTGTGTCCCGGTAGCTTGTACACGATCTTCTGCGCCGACACATCCCAGACAACCACCGACCGATCACCGCTTCCTGCTGCGACAAAGTCACTGTGTGGTGACCAGCAAGGGCGTAGTAGGTTCTTTTCGAAGCCTTGCGGTGCGCCTGGAGACAACATCAGATCGTCAGCTCTTTCAACGTCGGTGGTGGACCAGTGAGTGACGTATACCTTCAAGGATCTTCGTCAATCGGCTTCCTGAGGCTGCAAAAGGCTTTACATCCCAGATTCGGACTAGAGTAGAGATCGTCAGTCCAAAGCTCTCAAAAAAGCAAGCCCACAAACAAAAGTCATACCAGTATTGTCCATGGAGTTACTCAAAAGCATATCACCGTCGGGACTCAGCCGCAAACCAGTAACCGTATCAAAGTGTCCCGCCAGCGTATACGCAACCTCCCCCTTCCGCATATCCCACGCCCTAATCTTGTTGTCCAGCCCTCCCGCAAACACCAGTCCGCCGTCCTGGTTGAACTCAACGGAGGTAATCGCAAACTTGTTCTCGAACGAGTGCACCGCCTGCTTCACGCGTGGGTCCCACACTTTCGCTGAACCGTCGTCGCTTCCCGATACAATCAAGTCCGTGCCGCCTACTTCCCGCCGTGTCGATGCGCATGAGTTGACGTAGGAGGTGTGGCCCTTCAGCTTCTTGATGCGCTCTCCAACCTCTGCATCCCATACTCCCAGTGTTTTGTCTGTCGACGCAGAGTACACTTTTGTTCCGTCGCTCGACCACTGGACCTGTAATACTGGCCCCGCATGTCCTTTCAGCACCCCGTAGTTTTTGCACTCTCCGTGTGCTTCCCACAGATCTGCAAAAAGGATCGGATATCAGTATCGAGCCCGCGTCTCGAAAGTTTTGCACACCAGCTTTCTCACATATCAGGCGGTCAAAAGACCCAGACACAAGGTTGCGCCCCGATGGGCTAAATCTGCAGGAGAAGACTTCTCCTTGGTGGCCGGTTAAGAGCATGATAGGGCCTTGTAAGTCGGACGTCCTCTTGATCTATCATCCCGAGGTTGAAAAATCAGCAGTTGGCCACAACACTTCGGCGAAATGGATCGGCGACCCATATAACTCCCAAGCATAGCTCGTCAGCCAACCCACCTTCCGTATGATAGCGCCTCCACCCCGCCCACCAGTCGTCGCCAACGCGAGTCCACCAGATTCATTGTCTGCCCTGGGTTTCTTCGTCGCTACTAGAGCCGAACCAGCGTCTGCTTTCCGTTTCTCCGACATTGCTGATTGATATGCTATCCACCGGCCTGCCGACTACGTATGGGTGTTTCCAGTCTGCTGCGAAGCCGTTGTTGTCCTCCGCCGGCGACTCTGCTGTGTCTGGGATATCGGAGGCCAATTTCAAGTTTGAAACGGGGACAAGTTCAACAAGGCGCGCAACTGTTACATCCAGTGTTACAGTACAGTACATCTCGTCGGGAGCGTCGGGTCAACAACAGTGTCCAGATCCCTTATGCCCAGTGGTCTTCTCAACGCATCGACCTCTCCCACCTCCATGTCCACCCCTCTCGCTCAGCTCGAACGCATCCTCGTTCGAGATCTCGCCCTATGCACGAAACTCCACACTATCAAAACCGTTTCCGGCGGCTGCATCAACGAAGCGTTCAAATGCGTCACTGACACTGGCGACTACTTCGTAAAGGTAGCGCTCGGGCACCGGAGGAAACCGCAAAACCAGACGTTGCCTTGTAGGAAGTCAAGACCTCTTCAGTGATGGCAGCCACTTTTTCGTAGGTCAATCGCGATGGAAACGTCTCAAGCCTCCAGATGTTCGAAGGAGAAGCCGAAAGCTTGAACGCCATTTCCGAAGCAGTGCCTGGTTTCTCTCCAACGCCTCTAGGGTTTGGCCGTCTAGTTGATGGAGATGATAGGGGAGGATCGTTTCTGGTGACCACTTTCCACGACTTGGTCTCAAGGTATTTCCACCAGGGAGAGAAATCTGGAAGACCTGGATATGAACTGCTCTTGCAGGTCAGGAAGACGGGTGGACAGACAGCTTGCATCCAAGCTTGCCGAGATGCATAAGTGTCCGTCTCCCAACGGGAAGTTTGGCTTTGACGTGGTCACCATGTGTGGCTCGACGCCGCAGGTATGGCTGATGCACGTCAAGAGTCGCTTCCCACTGCTCAAACCAGCGGAATCCCCATAGGACAACACCTGGGAATCTGACTGGCCAACTTTCCTGCTAAAGAGAAGATTTGAGCCGTTGCTGCAGATGGTGCTTGAGAAACATCCCGGCGACAAGGAGCTGAGGAGCCTGGGACCTCGCGTGATGGACGGTGTCGCCACGTTGTTCAAAGGGCTGGATGTCAGGCCTAGCCTGGTACACGGAGATCTCTGTGAGCTTCCTCTTGAAGGTTCCGCTTTTTGTCAGAGTAGCTACTCATCAGCCGTGAGGGAGCAGGGAGCGGGAACTGGGGTGTGGACAGTGCACGGCAAGAGCCTCTAATATTCGATCCGGCCGCTTCGTACAGCCACGCGGAGTTTGATTTGGCTATCATGAAGGTCTTTGGCGGGTTTTCGGCAGGTATGCTCCGCCGCGGCTATGACATCCTCATTCCGTTCCCTCGATCAAGGAACAAACACATATCAAACCGATGTTACGGGCAGACTTCTTCAATGCATACCACGAGGTGCATCCGAAACACAGCGGGTTCGAGGTCCGCTTGCAGCTGTATCAGGCGTAAGTTTGGAATAGTCAAGCCGACATGCACACGGAAAGGCAAAACTCACCCGGTCTCCCGTTCGGAATGGGGATGGCAGGTATCACTACCTCAACCACTATTGTTTGTTTGGGCAAGGGTATCGTGCATCGACGCTCAGCGCGTTAGGGAAGGTGGCGAAGGCGATTGAGAATGAGGAATGATTGTTTTGGCGGTGAGAGATGTTTTGATGTCGTATCCACCATGCCCGTCAAGTAGCGTCCGTTGGCGTATCAATCGTTATTCGGTTCTACTTTCCACATATATAGCCGCTTCCGTCAACATCATCGACCTTGTTCAATCAACTTAATCGCATTACTTTACTGGGTCGATTTATCCCAGCCAAACAACCTAGTATTGTTCCTAAACATCCGATCCTTCTGCTCCGGGGTCATTGAATAATCTTCTAGCTTCACGATCCAAAATCTATTCAATCTCGCAGTTCCTCGGCGTCGATTGTATTCGACAACCACAAAACCATACTTGACCCCACCACGAGGCTCCCATTGGAGAGTAGTCCACGGGGATGGTTATGCGCGGGGTACTACAAAACGCCATAGCTCGGCGTGCCTTGCCTTAGGAGACAAGCACTATCTTGCAGTTGTTGCTGTTGGCCCGTACGGGTGTTGGGAACTGGGATCTCGAAGACGGATTGATAAGTCGTGAAGGTGTTGGGATCTCGTCGTAAGATTGCCATGGAGGATGGATGGGATATAATAAAGGTAATGTGAGAAACACGGAGAACAGAGATTTTGACTAGTAAGAGGTGCATAGCTCACCCTGGTCGTTCTGATTCGTGAGAATAACTGCACGAGCTTTTTGGAAACATTTTCTCAAAACCATGCAACACGACAGCCAGGTCCACCCCAAACGGGAACCCCATATAGATTAGAGCATACACTTCCTTATAAGCAGTCCCCACCAACAGTTACTGGGTAGCATTTCCGGCCGCAGCTTGTTTGAAGGCTGAAGTCCCAATAAAACGCAGGAAAGATGCACGCACAGCTGAGCAGACTACGACCCGCCTACTATGTGGACTTCGAGCTGAAGATTCCATGAAAAGTTTCGTTGAGCTGCAGGTGAACCCAACGTGATGTTAACTTGAAGTCCCCGCCATAATGTCCGAGTAGCTCTGACAAGGCGGGCGGGGTAACTGACAGTGCTACCGAGTGGTCGGGACCGCGCCGAATCGATTCTGAGAGGCCAGTGGAAACACTAGAATTCGCATCCAAGATGGAAATATATTGCAAATCACACCCACCTTTTTCTTTTCGGGATCGCTCGCACAGGAACCGGGTGAATTCTATCATATGACGTACAAGATACATGGACACGTAGGATAGATGTTCTTAAACACTTCAGCACGGTGCCTCCGACACGGATACCATCCTCCGCGCCTGTGTCCAGAACTGTCATGTGCACAAGTCCATGTGGAAGCAGTTCAGCAACTGCATTCTGCTGTGGAGGAGATGCTCCTCCTTGTCCTGCAAGTGCGTTTTCACATCCGTGGCAATTTGCACGCCGATGTGGCGGCCCACCGCTGATGCGAAACATGCGGTCCGCTAGCTTCTTTTGCGTGTTTCCCTTCCCCGGGAACGCTGCTCGGCAGCGAGAGGTGGGAGGTGACGAAGGCGATTGAGAATGATGAATAAGGGTTTTCGCTGCAGGAGCAAGGATGGTTATCGCTATGGGAGAGTTTTTGTTTCCATTCGTCTCGCTTGCCCCGGGCGGCAGACACCTGATTGATGTCGCGCACAGGGCTACGAAAAGCAATTAAAAGGCCGCCCACAGTCAGTCACATAGATGAGTTTGCTTTCGGTCTCCCACATCAAATACCCGACGTAGCCATTACGACGCCCTGTGGCACTGCAACCTACAGGCGATTCTATATTCTTCCTAGTGGTGAGGTTGCCAAAGTCCTAGCCACTTCGAATGTATGTATGAGAATATGTGCCTCTGAAATCTACCTGATCTACTAGATCACGAAAGAGCGCCTGTATTATGAAACGAAAGTCTACCTGACTGCCTGCTTCTGCCTACAAACGTCGCTCCCCCCAAAAAAACCCCCCATGAAGAGGCCAAAGTCTATCACGACGCCGGTGATGATGCCGGCGCGGGCGTGTCTTTGGGTGTGTTCTGGTGCTGTTGCTGCTGATACTGCCCCGCGGGTCTCTGCTGATTATGTACCTGCCCCTGCTGCCGCCGAGGTCGGGCATTGCTCAGCTTGCGAATATTTGCGACCGCACGTTGCCGGACTTCCGACACGTCCGGGGCACCTAGCGGAAGTCGTCGCGGCGCCTGACCTTGCCGGGGCGGTGGTCTAGATTTGGGCACACCGCCAGAGGATGGACCGTGTGAATTGGAATAGGTATCCCGCGGTGGGGTGATGACCGACTGGTTGGTAATGGGCGGTGAGGATATCCCCGAATGTAGATGTGCGCTGGAAGCAAGCACTGAAGCGGGGGAGATGCATTCGACGGCGGCTGGGGATGAAGGTGGTGGGGTTGGTGGCGACAGCACTACGGGTTGGTACCGCGATGGCTGCGAGATGGGTAATAGTATTGGTGCGTCGGGTGTGGGGATGGGATTTGGGTTTGTGGGTGCTGCTATGGGTGTTGCGGATGTCGGTACCGAGTCCACTCTGTTGAACGGGCCCTTGGGCCCCTGTGCCGCTCTATTTGGTCCATGACTGACTGCCTTTCCACGGTTCCGATTCTGATTGAAGCTCCTCTCGTAGGTGACTTTCCGCGGGTATGCGTTCTGCATCACCGGATTCGTCGGCAGGGGGTGCAGCGGGTGCAGCGCGTTGGCCGATCCCATACCCTGATCCTTTCCTAAGTCCATGTTGGGAATAGAGCTCGGGCGTGGCGAGCCGACCTTCGCCGCGCTCGGAACCCGCGCCTCTTCAGCTACACATCTGCTGCACATGCAATGGAAGTAGTATTCCTGCTGTAAACGTGAGCGACGCGCGTGGAGTGGGATGTTGGCGTCGATGTAGGAGATGGTGAGCGGCTCATTTTGTTTCACGGGCCGCTTGGTGCGGAATGTTATTTCGTCTGCTGCTTGGGTTGCGCTGGTGTTGGGATCGCAGGAGTGCTGTTCGGGAGTTACGATGGAGTAAGACTTTCGTGCAATACTGCAACCAGAAATACTGCGACGCCAAGAATCTCCATCGCACTCACATTGAAGTAACTCGCATTGGGAAAAAGAGCTCTCCCCATACACTGCTCGGTTTTCGGACTCCACAACCCGAACCCGTTGCTTTCAATCTTACTGACCAGATGCAGAACAAAGTCCGACGGATCTCCCCGGGGTATTGGCGGCACCCGGTCACCGTTCTCCAGCAAGCCACAGTCCTCGAGCAGCTTTACTATCAGATTCTTCGTCTTTCGCCAATCTTTCGCATCTTCCAACGGCCAAGAGCTGTAGTGCGACTGCAGATTGTCCACCTCCGCCCATGTCTTTCCCGTCCCTAAAATGGCAGCTTCGCCTAATGCTGATGCTTGATCACTGCCCTGCTGGACTGACCCAGCAGGTTTGTTTTCTGCCGCGCTGCCATTCAGTATAAATGGTGGTGCTGAAGCCAACGATATCGCGTCCCGCAACGTATTCGATATATGCACATTCCGGCCGCGCTCCACATGCCTGAGGGACGCAAGACGTGGTATCAGCGGCGGTCACGAAGGGATGTAAGACGCAGCGTTGTACATCAACGGCCTTACCGCGCATAAAGCGTCATCAGCAGAATCTTCAACACGCTCTTCTCATGTTGCGGCGCCTTATGCGTCGCCAACCGCCGAAGAGCCCCACACACCACATGATGCCCGTTCGCCAGCAGGTTAGCAAGGCAAGCAGGTGAGCACAAATACACCTGGTCGCAGTTCCTGCAGTGCAGGTGAAAAGCTCCATTGTCGTTGAAGTCCAGACATACCCCGCACACTCGCTTCTTGTGGGAGTCGAAGATAGCGTAGGCGTAGGGTGTGCAAGTCAAGAGGGCGGTGTTGGCGGGGACGTCGGAGGAGGCTACAGTATAGCGGCCTTGAACTGGGTCGTTCTCAAGACGATATGGCGGCGGTGGCGGAGGCTTCTGTTCGATGGTCGCGGGTTTTAAGAGCGGTGAGGACGTTAGGGAGTCATTCAAGCTGCGTGGCTGGAACAACGGCGAGGCCGGAAGACGCTGCTGAGTCCCTGGACGTAATGGTTGCTGCTGCTGCTGTTGCTGCTGCTGTTGCTGCAGCTTATTTTGCTGGCTTCTTGGTGGTGAAAACAAACTCATAGCGACCTCTTTGCAATGCTGAGGAAGTGTTCCGTCGGGGTTTTCCGGTCGTGAAATAGGTCCAAAACTCGCTATTGCCAGCGATACCGGCACGCGGTGAGAGCGGGAGTTGAGCCTCTGCACTGATGAGGCAGTGACTTGATGGAGATGGTTATCAGGATTGCTTCCGAGCCTTTACAATTACGGACGAGAAAAGCGGGAAGGAGAAGGAGGCGCGACTTTCGAGACTTTCGACCCTGACGCCCCGATTTGCCCTTTGTTCGTGTGGCACAGTTCGCGCATCAGCACAGCGACCCCAGTCTCACTAAGCTTTGACAACATACTGAATGGACATAGGAGTCAGGACATGCAGGCAGTGCAGGAACAAGGCTTGCGCCCGGTTTTCATTACGATGAACATCCGATGTACAAGAAAATGATACATAAACACAAAAATGGGGCGATCCAGACATCCTTTCTACAAGTAATATATGACGTTCGTGATCCCCACCCATCTATAGTCCGCCAGCATGGTTTTTCATATATCTCTTCATTATCTGAAAGAAGGGCTGGCATCCCCACTGAGCGAAAGATATTGGCAGAGATATGGGTAAGAGTTGTTGATTGCCTCTTCGGTTGACAGGGCGGTGACGGCGCCGGGACCTCTCGTGGGACCGAGCTGGAGGGTGATGTTGACCGCGCCGTAGTCGTCTCCGTTCCTTTGAGATGCGCAAAAACAAAGTGGGTTCGCTGTCAGGAATCTGCGGAAGCACGGTCCGTCCGGACTCAAAGCACGACGCCAGAAATTTCAATCCCAACTCACCAAGAAGACACAACAACCTGTTTCCCCGCCCCCACACAATCATACGCGGCATTCGACACATTGAAGAAATTGTAATACTCCAGCTTGGCCAGCGCGCCGCCATGGCTCTCGCACGCGTCTGCCGCGTCGACGGGGAAGGTTTCATTGGTGGGGATGTAGAACGTCCACACGCTGTTGTACACGGTGAATGCGCATCCGTCGACACCGTCTGGTGGGCTTGGGGCCGGGGTCGATTGGCGGTGGAAGAGGCGGGCGGGGAGGGCACGGGCGGCCACCAGCTATGAATGGGAGGATAGCTGATTAGATATAGTGCGAATGGGGGTGGGGGTGGCATTGGCAGGCGTTGTGCGGACGGAGAATCCTGAGATACTTACCGCGCACAAGACTTGGAAAGCAGCCAAAGCGACGAGTAAGAAGTTCATCTTTATTGCGTTGATTTGTTCTTCGGGCGGGCGTGGAAGTGAGAGAGAGTTTTTGGGACGCAACGAAAACCGACCAGCGTTTTATATCGTGCGTTGGCGGTGAGACGCCAGCGGTATGGGCACCGGAGAACACACTCCATGGCATCCCATCATGCCAGCGTCGCCTTCTGCCGTGCCCATGTCCATGGCACCGATAGCTTCGACCGTTGCGAAACGAGGGTTGTGCCACCAGAAGGAAGCACATCCGTGCCTTCTTGCCGGTGAAGAAAACGAAGGTTTTGACACGTCCCGCGAAAAAACCTTCTCGACCTTCTTTTCGAACGCGCGCGCTCGATTATGTCAGCGCGCGTCTCACCCATTCTCACATCAAAAACCCCATCGAAACCCCCAAAGTTCTTTTCTTCCCAGTTGTGACTTTCTGGTGGACTCTGAAAATATCTTTCACCGACGCCACCGTATGGGCTCGGATAGACTGTACTCGAGAACCCATCCGTGGCGCCACGTGCGAGACGGTCGATATCTATTCGAATATCGAAGACCAAAAAAGGCGCTTCCGTCTACGATGGCATTTCGTCCACTCGATAGCGTTGAAGCACAGCAGACATCCTCCCTCTCGGCGAGTGCTGAAAACATATAAATGGCATTCGTTTTCCTGAACCCAAATCAGCCGCCAAGGGGACTTATATACACGTACATAGAGGGTTCTTGTGGACAATGGGTTCATTGGCTTTATCCAGCATGAACATCGTCCAAACACATCAAAGAAATCCCAGCTCTTAATCTTAAATACTCTATCAAGGGTTTCCGCTTTTCTGCATATGTTCCACAGAGGTTCGAAAAACAACACATTCCATCTCCCTCTCCTTGATCCTCATCCCCTTAATACTTAACCGTCTTCCCCTCCGGCGTAACCACTGTAAACACCTCACTTGTCCAATTATCCCCCCTCCCCCTCCCCCTAAACCTCACCTCTGCCCTCCCCTCACTCCCCTGCACCCCAAACCTAAAATCCGCCTGCCCCTTCTGCATATTCACGTCCCCTTCCACGCTATGATCCCGCTTGGCGTCGTAGGTGATGTCCGTGCCGAGGAGTTGCTTGGCGGCTGGGTTGTGGCGGAGATGGAACATGACAGCTTTGAAGATGCCGGAATGCGACTTTTGAACGTTTACGCCGGAGAGGACGACTGAGGTCCACCAGCTGAGACCGGCAGTGGCGGCGGCGAGGTAGGGGTAGGGAGAGCGGAGGGAGAAGATGCGCCGGAGGGCGGACTGTTGGGACATGGCGTGGGAGTGCAGTGCTGTTTCGCTATTGAACTTTTCGAGTCCAAAGGGGGTATACTCTAAATATACTCAGGTATCTGTGCCGCCGACGACGGGACTTGCAGCTGGGGATGTTGCCGTGAGAGATTCCGCTGAAGTGAGGTTGCAATGAGCAGAGCTGGGCTACGAGAAGTTGCACCCTGTGCAAGTTCCGTTTCCGCGTTTGTGTTGACTGGGATTTCCTCCGCCTTGTTGACGGCTTTTGACAACTTTAGCAGAAAGGCAAACAGGGCAACCCGATGCCAGGTCCCAAAGAGGTCGCGTGAGAACGAGAGTAAGGTTATCGCCAACAAAGCTCACTCTTACTGACCATGGCTTCTGGGGAGACATATCTAGGGCCGGCAAGATAAGAAGGAGAGCGGAAGAAGGCACGGCCATCTCTATTTGAGCAGCACTCTCCACCATCTTTCGTTGCTTGCCGACTTCGCGCATTCTACGCCTTTCCATCCACCACTTGGCACCCATCGACGAAGCTCTGAGAACAATCTTCAAAGTCTACACTCCCTCGACATCTACTCTCTGTGCGTGAGGGAAGAGAATGATTCCCCTCGGTCGGTCGATTCCCAACTTGCCTGGCAACACTCCTACTACGAGCACCCAGGCCAACACGGGTTTGGGAGGGGCGGCGCCCGGCGGCGGCGCTGGGCCGGCAGATTTCAATTCTGCGAGGCGTCGATCGTCTATTGATGTGAGTTCCTTACCTTCAAGTTCAGTAGTTATTGGACGATCTTCTCACATTTCATTGCATGGGCAAATATAGGCAATCATGGGCCATCTCCGCTACGTCGGCTCCTTCCCAAGCCGCGTCATGCAAGACTTGTCTCAACCGAACGCCATCAATCGCCCGGGAACACCAGGAGGAAATCTGCCTGGCGGGTTTTTGGGGATGCAGTCGCAGACTTCATTCGGATCTTCCACTGGGTCGTTGCGCGCTTTTGGGAGGTCTTTCACTGATGTGAATGCTGCTGCTGCTCAACCGCAGGCCGCGCCGGTGAAGACTACGCAGGGTGGAAGCAAGGTTCCTGCGGCTGAGGCCTTCCTCTCCATTTGATCGGGGGATACGTGATTGGGACGATGCAGTACCGAGGACAGATGCGATGGGACACCTTGCGCCACCTTGTAAATGCATTTGTCAGTTGGATAGTTTCCTGCGAATGAGAGAGCATCGAGTTCCCGTTTAGCCTTTTCATGCACGGAGGGCGAAATGAATGACGGTGTGGCATACAAAAGAAGAAGGGGAGACCTGATGAAGCGTCCCACGGCAGCCCACGGCGTTGCAAACCAAAGCAACCCGAGGGCCAACCCGAAACGCGTACGCGAGCGAGCGATGAATCCCGTGAATCATCAGTTGTGTCTAAACACAAGCGGGGTGGATCCGACTGATTTGCTTTAGGCGTTCAATCAAAATCGGACGGCTCGGACGCCAATCAGATAAGGTGCGGGGGTTACCCTGGCGTCGCAGTCACCGGATACGTCCCATGAGAGCTGTCGTTTCTCCTTTTTTTTCCCTCTCATTACAGCACTACTTATTTGTTGGCACAGTCCTATCCTTCACCCTCAGTCCACTCGCAATCGCCGCTCTACCCACGCCAACAATGCTCCTTCGGAAACTCACCCCACTGGCCGCCCGCGCCTCGCCATTCCTCCGCCCCACAGCAGGATGCAGCAGATCACTCGCTACCGCCTCCACCCTGGCGCCGCTGCAGAGCGCAAACCTGCAGAAGAAGTTGACGGACTCGCCAAAGACGAAGCTGGCGAATAAGGAGTTGCAGTTCGGGAGGACTTTCTCGGACCACATGCTTTCGATTGAGTGGGATAGCACGAAGGGTAGGTCTCGGTGATGGCGACTGTGAGCGGCGGCAGGGTAGGGATGGTTGGGACTGGCAGGCGACGGTTAGCTGGGGAGCGCTAGTGGGCCGTCAGTGCGAAGGAGTGCAAGCGGGGGGATCAAGAGCATCGCTTGCGTGAGGCCCGCTATTGACGCGGGAATGCTTGAGGATGGCAGTACTGGCTGTAGGTGCTTTGCGAGCGCTTGCGAGCTTTCGTGCTTAACAGACCCCGAATCTCCCTCGCGAGTAACAGCGAGTAGGAAATCCTGTTACACCCAAGTCAAACGTATGATATAATATCACTCAACAATACTCCTCCCGCTTTTGACAGGATGGGCCACGCCAAAGATCCAGCCGTACGGCAAGCTCTGCCTCGACCCATCAGCTACCGTCTTCCACTACGCCATGACATGTTTCGAAGGCATGAAAGCTTACAAAGACAAGCAAGGGCGGATCCGTCTCTTCCGGCCCGACATGAACATGGCGCGGTTGAAGAAGTCGTGTGAGAGGTTGACCCTGCCCACTTTCGACAACGACGAGCTGTTGAAGTGCATTAAGGAGCTGCTGCGGGTTGATCACTCGTGGATTCCATCGGAGAGGGGTTACTCGCTGTACTTACGGCCTACCGCTATGGCTACGCAGGAGTCTTTGGGTGAGTATTAATGGAGCAGAGCCAGCTCACATCAACAATGAGACTTACTGTTTTCCCACTCGCAGGCGTCGGACCATCGGACCGATCTCTCCTCTTCGTCATCGCATCGCCCGTCGGCCCATACTATAAAACAGGTTTCGCCGCAGTTTCGCTCTACGCAACACAGCACTACGTCCGCGCATGGCCTGGAGGAACAGGTGACGCCAAGATCGGCGGAAACTACGCGCCTGGCATCAGGCCTCAGATCGAGGTTTCGAAAAAGGGATACCAGCAGAACCTGTGGATCTTTGGCGAGGAGGAGGCTATCACTGAAGGTGAGTTATTTGTATTTTCAGGTGCGGCAAACCGGTAGAAGCGGACGCTAAAGGTTATCGCTTCTCTAGTCGGAACGATGAACTTTTTCATGTACTGGACCAACGAACAAGGCGAACGCGAACTCGTCACCCCACCCCTCGACGGCACCATCCTCCCCGGCGTAACCCGCGACTCGATCCTCTCCCTCGCGCGCCAATGGGGAGAATTCAAAGTCTCCGAGCGCGCCCTCACCATGCCCATGCTGCGCCGCGCTGTGGAAGAGAACCGCGTGCACGAGCTGTTTGGATCAGGAACCGCCGCGATTGTCAGCCCGATCAAGAATGTGAGGTATAAGGATGTGGACTTGAAGATTCCGCTGGATCCGAATGATAAAAGTGCGCAGGCGGGGCCGTTGACGCAGAGGATTGCGGATACGATTATGGGGATTCAGTATGGCGAGATTGAGCATGAGTGGTCTGTTGTTGTTTAGGGTGGTGGATGAATTCATGGTTGGATGACACGGTTGGACTCTGTGGCTGATGGGATGCTATAGCACTCCAACGCACACACACGCAGACGAACCCTAGATAGATCTCTCTCTAGGACCTCTCACTACGTTCATTTCTCCCATTCCATTTGTGCAATTGAATGCTCGTTTTGGCTCTCCGATTGGCTCTCCCGTGCTCCCATCGGGCGCCTTATGATGCATCTCATTAAGAGATCACCTCTAGACAAAGAAAGCTACAGCTAGGGCTACCCTCTGATGTTCACCAAATCCTGAAGTCCCGGGGAAGCACCTGTATCTAAAAACACATCGCTCTCCACCCTCCTCTCACCACCCACTAAAATCCCCAAACCCACCCTTCACCTTCTTCTTCGCCGGCGGACCACCCACCACCTCCTCAGCCCCACCCCAGTCGATCCCCAACCCATCATCTGCCTGTCGTTTGGTTTTGCTGGGCGCTGGTGTTGCGAGGTATTTACCCACACCGCTTGTACTATCTGGGGGTGTGGAGATTGTGGAAGTGGAGGGGTTTTTCCCTTTGGGAGCTTTTTTGGACTCGAGGGATTTTTGGAAATCGTCGAAGGGGTCGATGAGTATTTGGATGGCGAGGATTTTTATTTCTTTCTGTGTGATCGAAAAAGGTAAAGAAGACGGTTTGATTGTCAGGTAGGAATTCTCGCGTGTTTTGGATGGGCGTTACTGGGTTAGGGTTCATACCTCTGGTTTATCGGCCTCGTCGGTAGGCACCTGCTCGATCTTTGTGAGCACGTCGAGGCCGCCGACTACTTTCCCAAAAACCGTGTGTTTGTTGTTGAGGTGTGGGCATGAGCGGTACGTTATAAAACTGTGGCACCATAACTGTGAGTGGACGTGGCCCTCCTATGTCGACATGCCCAGTCCATCCATTGGGTACTCACAATTGACTGGTGTTCGTATTCTTCCCCTTATTCGCCATACTCAGCACGCCACGACCGCTATGCGTGAGGTTGGACTTGAACTCGTCCGGGAAGGGTTTGCCCCAGATGGATTCGCCGCCGCGGCCCGTGCCGGTCGGGTCGCCGCCTTGCACCATGAAGTTTTTGATGGAGCGGTGGAAGAGGGTGTTTTCGTAGTAGCCTTTGCGGAAACGTGGCGGTGTCAGTGAGGACTAGAGAGTGGTTCGGAGAGAAAGACACGGACCAGATACCTTTCTTGGCCAACTTGATGAAATTATAACAAGCCCTCGGCGCATCCCCACACAACAACTCCAAATTCACATCCCCGAGATTCGTCTTGAGCTGCGCATACCCCTTCCCCTTGACGCGCTCAAACATATACTCCTCCTCATCGATCAGCGCGGCCGGGTTCTGCGTCTGCACGGGCACGGCGGTGGACGTGAACGATGACGACGCCGCGCCGTTGGAGTAGTGCGCTGCGTTGTATTGTTGTTTGTCGCGGGAGACGAAGGAAGGGGTTAGTGAGGTTGTTGGAGTGGGGCTGGATTTCGCAGCTGCTTTGTCTTCGGTTTTTTTGGCGAGGGTTTTTAGGAGTTTCTCTGTTGCGCCTAACGCGTTGATCTTATCCTCCTCCTTCTTCCCCGCGCCCTCGTTCTCGACTTTCATATCCTTCTTCACGTAGTAGAAATCCGTAATATTCCGCATCGTGATGTTATGAGGGTCCTGGAGGGTGATGACGTCCTTCCGCTTGAACGGTACATCGGTCATGAGGTCCGTCCAGTTTTTGGTCTTGATGTTGAGCCGCTCGACGGCTTCGTAGCTGTAGACCTGCCCTGAGGGCTTGATGGCGACGATGTGAGTGTTTTCGTTGAAGACTTTGAAGGTGATGGGGCAGTGGTAGGCGTCCGAGGCGTTTTTGTGGAAGTGGAGTTTTGTTAAGTCTTTCGCTTCTAGCTGGGGTTGGTGGGTTGTTAGAAAAGGGGCATTTCATGCTACACTTATGCGCAGAACACCGCTTCGCCCGGGACCTTACCTTTTCGCCCGTTACTGGGTTATTTCCATGTTTCTTCAGCCATGGCACAATATTCCTAACAATGTGAACATCATTAGGGCCCGGTACTCCATGATTTTGTCTTTGTGTTCATGTGTCCTCAAGTCTCAACGCTATCGCACTCGCTCCGCTGCACTATGCTCGCTTTGTCGGCCGGCATACATGTCTTCCGGGCACTGGCTCGTAGGAATTGCCGTTTTCAACCGGCCCGCCTCACTCCCTCGCCGAAGCCTCATTGAACTCCAACAACACACCTCCCCATCTCCCTCCCCTCCCCCTTCTACCCTCCTCTCCTCGGTTTAGTCCCTACCTACATGAGATCAAACACCATTCCCTCATTCGTACACACAGGGTGCTCAAAAGGCTGCAAAGACAGCGCGCAACAACTGAATGGCAGTCGCTTGAACTCGTTGCCTGTATATCGCTTTGCTCCTCTGAAAAAGGGATAGGATGTTAGACGAGGACTGTGGGAAGGGGCGACAGTGAAACAGGAGGGCTTACCCAGGCCCGGCAGCGTGCTCGGAGTGCGTTACGTAGAGTTTGTCAGTGTTTTTTCCCATTGTTATGGAACGAACGTGGGGAGTGGGTGCGTGACGACGGGGGTTTCAGCTGTGGTTCTTCTGCTGGCGTACGGGGTAATAGTGCTGAGCTGTTCGCCACTGCCGTGTTGGATGCCGGGGTAATGTGGGTGTAATGTTGGGTTGGAGTGGAGGTCCTTCTCTCTTGTTTGTGGGACGCGTTTTTTCTCACGGCCCAAGCACCCCAACCACCAGTAACGCCAGCAACGCCAATAGACATAGACCAACAATGCCCAAGGTACGTATCAAGAAGCCTCAAGGCGACGACACGGCGAGGGGACATCGACCCCATGTCGTTGTCCTCTCGCACGTCAGTCGGGACGTGGAGTGAACGAGGGACGCCACGATTGTCGAACGGACGAGAAGCCATCTTGGGAATCGAAAAGCATGGAGGGAGGAGACAGGGAAGAGCAAGAGGAGGTGTATCTCTCCCGACTCGAAAGCTACGCCGCAAATCATGTCACCGATGCGAAGATCGTCCACACGTCAAACCCCAATGTCAAGCCACGTCCCACTCACACCCAATTACCCTCCTTCGGTTCTTCATATCCTCAACACCCCCCTCCTTCATGAACCCCCTCTCTCCTCTCACCAGATGATTCTCTACCTCGAGCCGCGCCCCAGCACCCCCCTCCGAGCCCACCTCGACACCTTCCGCACAACCACCGCCGCGTCATGGGGCCCCACCGACGCGCACGCGTACCACCCGCACTGCTCGCTCACGGGCTTCTGGGATTTGCACGTGCCCAAGGACAAGAATGGGAGAGAGATAAGGAGGACGTTTCAGTGTGTGGCTGAGGAGCTGGAGGCGTATGGGGTGGGTATGGTGGAGGCGGCGTTGAAGGCGGCGGCGGAGAAGGTTTGGAGGGAGAGGAGGGGAGGGAGTGGAAGTGGAAGTGGGGAGATCAATGGACGTGGAACTGCAACTGGAACTGGAACGGGATCTGGAACGGGATCTGGAAGCACATCAAGAACACCACCACCACAACAACAATCGCCACCCCAACATCCCACCACCCAGGACCCTCTCAACGACACCCCCCCGCACATCTACGCCATAACGGACACCGACACCACCGACACCCCAGCCCTTCACCTCCGCCTCCTCCTCCCCCCCACAAAAGTCTTCCCCCCCCTCATCCCCCCCCACAACCCCCGCTGCCTCGTCCTTCCCATCCTCCCACCCCCCGAAATCACCGAACTGCAAAACCTTATCATGGAACTCTTCGAGAATTCGGGCCGCTTCGTGAATCGCCCGGCGAAGAAGAGGGGGGATCATATCAGTATGGCGTATTATCCGAACAGGGGGGGAAGGATTGCTGATGTGGCCGGAGCGGGTGGAGGGGATGCAGGGGCGAAGAGGATGGTGGGGACGGCGGTGAGGGAGGCTGTTGCGGTGAATGGGTGTGCGGGGGGGATACCGGCGTCGCTGGCTGCTGCTGGGCATGGGGACCACCACAACCATAACCATCCAAACCACCGACGGAACAGCAAATCCAAGTCCCTCGGCTCCCTCAACAACCACACTCACCCACTCACCCCCATCGAAACCCTCGAACTTGACAACATAGCCGAAATGAAACACCACGCAGACACGCTCCTCGCCCCGCTCTTCCGCGACCCCCACGGCGGCGCGCGGGTGTACACGTTCGAGTGTGAGGGATGGGACGTGGCGTACTATGAGCTCGTCAGGGAGGAGGAGGAGCCGAGTAAAGGGGGGTGGCATGTGTTTCGGGAGTGGGGGAGGTGGAGGGTATCGTGACGGTGTGGGTGGATGAGGAGGAGGGAGGGTGATGGGGAGTGCCAGTGGGTGGGCGTAGGTAGCTGAAGTCAGCGGTACTTTCGTATGTGGGTTCTTGTACATTTAGGAGATGTTGTCTTTTCTTTTCAAATTGAGATTTTGACCCTCGAAAGAGATGAGGACGTTGGAACTCTTTTTTTCCCTTCCACATTGGAACTCCCAAAATTCACCCTCCACTGTGCTGTTCGTTCCGCCCGATTAAGCAAGTAATGAAACAAGAATCCATTCATAAGGGACTTGGAGAGAGGTTTCAAAAAAGAACAGCGCATAATTTGGTATTGACCGACAAAGAAAGATTGTTCAGGCCTCTATGAAGAATGGTAGGCGTAATGCCATGGGAGGGTAAATCGCCCGTCCAGGTGCGGAACGGGGTCATCTCTATGGCATCGCCGTTGTGTGTGTGTGTGTGTGTGGAGAATTGTTGTGTTGCGTGGCAGTGTGGATGGGTGATGGGGGATAAATTAAGCGGTGGCCTCCTTGAGGTAGGCGATGGTGTCCGCACGATCTTGGGGCTTCTTGAACCCGGCGAAGACCATCTTTGTCTGGTTGGGAGGAACAGTAGGATGTGATGAGTTATTGATTCGAAAGTCCGACATACGCCGGCAAGCGTCGGACAAGGACTGGAGCTGTTGATACTTACGCCAGGCACAAACTTCTTGGGGTTCTCGAGGTAGGTGAACATGTTCTCCTCAGACCACACCACTTGCTTCTTTTGCATACCGGCAGAGTACGAGAACCCGGCGGCGGTACCCGAGGTACGGCCGAAGAGACCGTGAAGCGAAGGGCCGACCTTGTTGACACCCTGTGAGAGAGGAAGAGAGAGCGGAGAGTTGAGTTTTCTCGTTCACTGTTTCGCATCGTGTCTTCACTCCGCTCGGGGAAACAATCGTCGGAGGTATGATGGCGGGAATTTTACTTACAGGCTCAACGACGTGGCATTGAGCACATCGGGTCTTGAAGAGCTTAGCTCCGTTAGTGGCGTTACCTATGTGGATAGAAGAGGGAGTCTGACGGTCAATTCGTTGTTCTCCGGGGCACAGTGATTTTCCCACGATTCGGTCGGCCTCGAAATCTTGAGAGTTTCACCAGCTCCGACAAAAGGGGAGTACTGCGAGACGGCGGATACGTACCAGCGGGCATAGACATGGCTGTCAATATATGTGTTTGTGGGTGAGGTGGGTTGGGAGTCGTGGAAGCGATGCGTTGTGGTTGCGGGATGGAGTTGCGGGATGGAAGGGGGGTTTTGTCGGGTTGAGGGGCCCAGTCGGGTTGAGGAAAATTTCTTACTGTATTCCGACGGTAGTTTTTAGCCATCGATATGGGCGCGCATAGTAACAGCCAAGTGATTCATCATTCATGGGAGACGAGACTTTTCTGATTGAAAGTTGAGACGGGAGCCAAGGGTCAGTTACTATTTGCGTGGTGGGTGCTTTGTGACGTATACCCTGTCTTTTGCGTTGTCTCTCTCTTTGGTTTGGCGTCCACCCGGAAACACCCGATTCCCCTTGTTTGCGAGTCTGGCTGGGGCGCAGGCGTGGCGCAGGAAGTAGATGACTTACGTAAGGAGCGCCGTCACTGTCGATTTGCGCCTGTGTGCCGCCGCTATAATCATTCATTGCGGTTTGTTGTTGCTTTTGGCGCCCTACTGTCCAAGCGGCCTCTGTGGATGGACGACGGTGATATCTGGGGGGCCTTTTCGGGCGCTGCAGGTGCAGGTCGGTTCAAAAAGGAAGCGAGAGGCCACTGACAACAGGCGCTGACCCTTACCACGACAGGGTGTGAGCTCAGGGAACCTCTTGGGCTCCTGCACCACTAGAAACCCAGACAAGGTTCGAAAAACGCTGGGGAGAACATGGCGGAACGAACACCAGCGGCTACGACCGTACAGGAGCCGGTAGAGAGAAGAGATACCCCAGGTTCGACAGCGCCGGACGCCGTCACCTTGAACGCCAGTAATACCGATAGCATATCAGCACCCAACAGGGACGGCAATGGTACGGCAACCGAGCCAACGCCTGTTGGCGGCACCACCACCACCACCTTACAGTCACAAACCCCAATAACCGTCGCCGTCTTCGGACGGTCCAGAGCCTGTGCAGTCATAAACATCAACATAAACCAAACAGGCACCGCACTCCGCCGTCTCATCGCCGCAGAGTTCTTCAAAGGCTCGCCATTGGAATTCAATCCGCATGATCTGACCCTCTTCGACATCATCCGGGAGAACGTCTCCTTCAATGACCCGCGATTGTGGGATTCTGCAACGCATGGCGGGGACGACTTGGGCGATGATGGCGAGAGGGATGAGCAGCTTGTCTCCCTCCTGTTCCCGAGTGCTTTGGAGATCTCCCCATTGGAATACCTTTACACGTCCTTGCCGAAATTAGGAGGCTTAGATGTTAATGGAATGGTCAGAGTTCTCGCCGTGATAAACTTAGTACCGAGACGTGGCACATATGCAGGAGCTTCGAACTCAAGCTCGGCCGCGGAATTTGTTGACTCGGCGATGGGATCAGATACACCGCCGGAATACACGTCGCTGCCACGCACGCGTCCAGTTCAACGACGAAGACGAAGCGTCCCGGATATGTCGGATGCTAAAGCGTTGCAGGATTACTTACAAGCGGCAGGAATGTCAAGCACTGCAGGGTCTTCGAACTTAGCGGCCGAGAAGCGTCTCTGGAGGCAGGAGAATCTCCCAATGATGGGGCTTGGGTCTATGGCGGATAGGGATATCGAGGCTGCACCAGGCAGCTCCCCAGAATCGAGGTTTGATGATGGACAATCGTCAAGCGGTGGTGCTGCAATCGTTTCGCTGGCTCGCTCCCCGCCTTCTACCGAGCTCCTGATTACGCAAAAGAGCCAAACACCGGTGAAGAAGTCGTTACGTCGCCGCCTGAGTGGACGCAAAATAAGGGTCATTGGCATAATCGGATGCATCCTGCTAATACTTGCCGTGGTCGCGGTAATTTACGCATTTCAAGCTCGGAAGCGCTCCAGTTACAGCGACCCGTCGGGGACGATTTCCTCATTCGCCTCGCGAAACAACCAGGTCTACTCCAGTTCCCGTCTGTCCCCCGACGGCCGATGGCTCCTCGCTGGGTCAGCCAACACACCCACTTGGGACCTCTATGACACAAACTCAAACACATACGCGCGATCCTACGACGGCTACACGGCCGCAATATCGCCCACGGACAACGACATCATGCTCACAGCCTCCAACAACCCCGCGGGCCCCAACATCGCCCGTCTCTGGACCCTCACCGACGGCCGCGCCCTCTTCTCCGAACCCCTCGCACACCCCGTCCAAAAAACCCTCTTCACCTCCGACGGGCAGTACGCGCTCTTCCTCGGCGGCGACGCCACCACATACACCAATCTCACCATCTACCAAATCGTCGGCAAACCCCCCGTTCTCCAATTGGTCGATTTTGGAAACACCTACACGGGCGTCCCGCTCAAAGATTTTACCTGGGACCTCACCCGCCCCAACGACCCGGTGTGGACAGTCAGCCTCTCCGCCACCTCCAACGAGGTGCGCGTGTTTTACCTCTCCGGTACCGTCGTGCGCTGGTCCCTGGTCCCAAATCCACAGAGCTTAGGCGCCCTCGTGGGCGTATCCTACCCCTTTGAGCAAAACGACACCACAACCGTGCACATGATGGAAGACCGCTACGATTCCCCTTCGATCCCCTGGTTCCGCTCCTCAACCCGCTCGATCCACAAATGGGACCCGGCGGCGACTTCACCCACCGCCACCCGCGTCATCTCCAACATCGCCGACGCCAACATCACCTCCACCTCGTTCCAATCCTTCGACGTCGACACGGACGAAAAATACTTCTACCTCGCCTTCGCGAATAACGGGACGGGGGGCGTGAAGGTGTTTGATCTTGCGAGTGGGAATGCGACGCCGGTGAGGACGATTGATCCCGGGTGTGCGCCGAGGCATGTGAAGGTGGCGAGGGATGGGAAGGCGATTTTTTGTGCGTGTTTAGAGGGGACGAGTAGGGTTGAGGGGAGGGTGGTGGGGGTTGGTGGGGGGAATGTGAAGGTTGGGGGTGTGCATAAGGTTTTGCTGTGAGTGGAGGGGAGGGATCGATCTTTTGGGATGGGTGTGGTGAACGGGAGTGCGCATTGGCGGCGTGATTAGACAAGGTGCTTCTAGATAGCTTTCCTCTATAAGCTAGCCATCGTGGACAAATCAACTATTTTGGCAGACGTTTCGGCGTACGTATACATTTAGAGTAGAACGCATTTCGACGTATTAAAAGTTACAAGAGACTTTTGCAATAGTACGAAGGCGCTTTTTTCCATCAACCATGTCTGGTTCAAGACCTCGCTTCCCCGACCCCAGTCTATTAACGCCCGTCCCATCTCTCGTGTAAAGTTCCGCCGTACATGCCCGCTACCAAAATGATGGCAATATACATTGAATCTTGTGTTCGATGTACCAAAAAAATCCTTTTTGAAGGTCGCCATCACCATCCAACATGATATTGAAACCAGAAACTTGAGAGCGCCAGCATCCACCTTGTCCAAACCCCACTCCAGCCACCTTCTGCCCAGCGAAGCGCCGCAATCTCAGTACTGAATCCTCCCTTTCTCTTGATGAAGTCCTATCAGAATCCTCCGCGCAAACACATATTAAGCTTGTTCGAAGCAGAGTTTGCTCAACGTAAACAAACTCCGCGGTGCGCCACCTTTTTCGGAGTTGTGACGGCCAGGTATAAGAGCCGGGGGGATGCCCTTCCCCCTCGTTCGTCAGATTTTTGATTTTTGGTACTATGCTGAGTTGCTCGTTTTTTGTTCCGGGGTGGTATCTAAGTTGTGCTTTGCGCGAGGTCAGAGCTACCACATTACCGCGCACTGCTCGTCGTCGCACTCGCTATGTGCTCATCCCAAGAAACGGAAGCTGTCCTATCGCACTGTAACGTCATCATCCTTGCACCCGGTATTTGCGTCGTCGGAACCAACAGTGCTTTTCATTCAGCTCTCATACGGGCCGATGGTCACTAATCATTCCCGGCTGCATCGAATGTGTACCCGAAATCGCTTAAACCCTTGGTGGCGGGGGGAAGTCTGCTGTCCAAGTATTTGGCTTTCCATATCAAGTTCATCGCAAGGGACGACCGGCATTTCCACCGCAGCACTCATAAACGACCCATTTCTCATCAAATCGCCGCATGTCTCTGGCTTCAGGTGCTATATTCGCCTCCCGGCTACTGCATCGAGCCCTTTTGCCCCATGCACAAGCTCGGGTGTCAGTGGTTTCCAGTCGAATCATCGCTTTCTCCCATGTCATGAAACACCGTCAATCCCAAGGCAACCAGCAACGTAGTAGACGCCCAATGACGCCGTCAAACGCATACTGGCTCGAGACCGACGCCCTCATCGACTCGTTTGACTCATCTCACAGAAACTTTCCTATGGCCCGCTGCAAAGCTAGGCTGTCCATGCATTGGCTTTCCATCTGAATCATCGCTTCTTCCCATATCAAGAAACGACCATGGATTGTTATCTCGACCTTGCGATTTCGACTTTTTTTTCCCCACCTCGCTATTCCCGCATACCGGCTAAACATTCATGTGGCGAATTCGACCGGATAATCGTGATCCACTACACCCACCCACCATCCCTGCAGCGAGGTCGAGTTACCCTGTATGAGTCTGCTTACCTCAACGTGCGGGGACGCGTTTTCCGCTTAGCGAACTCAACCCCTCAGGCCCATCCCATTCCATCGCCATACCCCTGCTCGACTTGCGCAATTCGATATGTCAACCTAGAACTCGGCAGGCAGCGAGGTCAAGTTGCCCTGTCCGAGTCTGCTTACCTCAACGTGCGGGGACGCGTTTTCCGCTTAGCGAAATCAACCCCTCAGGCCCATCCCATCCCTATCGCCATACCCCTGCGCGACTTGCGCAATTCGATACGTCAAACCAGAACTGGCCCGGCTCGGGAAGTGGCGCAAGAGTGGTCGCCTTCGCCACTTTCGCCCAGACCTCGCAGCCTATAAATACTGGCCTCGAAGCGATTTCCCCCATCGCTTTTTTCCCAACTTCCTTCGCCCATCCAAACTCGATTTCGAACCCGTACTCGCATATCACATACAACGGTTCCACATGTTTTCGCACTTGCTTTCGTCGGCGCCTTCATCGCTCGCACTGTCTTTTGCCTTCATCTACTCTCGCGGTCGTCGCTCTCAAGGTCTTCCATCCATCCATCGCTGTCAAGTTCGCTGGCCAGCACGCGTTATTTACGCGTTTACCCGCTCGCCATTCAAGATTCTGCCCGACATCGTCTTCACGATCTACCATACAAGGCTCATCGTCGCCTTGCTATCATCGGCAAACCACAAGAAGCCCAAGACCCTCTCGTGTGGTTACAAGATCCTTCAAGTTCGTCGGCTCCTTCATCCTCATCGGCTATTTCACCCACGCGTGCGATACGCGTTCAAGATTCTCGATCTTGATACCCGAAGGCCAAGGTCCCACCACCATATCGTTCGTCGTGAAAAGTTCTTCGTCGACTAGTACCTACACCGTCGTCGTCGGCCAAACCAAGCGGGTTCCAGATGCCTCGGATCATCGGCTTTCAAGATCTTCAACAAGCATTACCTCTCTTGGTCATCACCGACTTGGACCCGAGCTTTACGGCAGCACCCGGTGTACTCGTCACACATCCTCACCATACCACAAGACTGTCTCTCAGTACCACCTACCTTCCACACCGCTTCTTGAGCCCAACGAATGAAGTCATCGTCGTCACTGATTCACGTAAGTATGGTATGTTGTTTATATTGTGGGTCATCCTCCGTCCTTGTTCTGACTTCTTTCACCTTCTTCACCTACAACCCTCAGGTCCTTTTCAAGCCTGCCTTACTTCGTCGGACGTTGCTACCTTCGCCCTCACCGCTTTATCAAGACCGCTTCGTTTCAAAACTCTCGTTGTGCGCTCGATCACCGTGCACCCAAGATCCGCGCAGCAGTTACGGCATCAAGTCCTTCGACGCGTCCTCCGTCGGCACCCACTCCGACTTCAGCCTCCTGCGACTCCTTGCTTCGTCGTCAGCTCACTCGAAGCCTCAAGCGTACCTTTCGCCGGCGAACCCTGGATAATCCCCACCCAGCGAACCCATGTGAAGTCGCATCATTGTTGAAAGGTCATTCTTTCTTGGTGAGGATGGAAGACCGTTGATGCAATAACTGCACCGGCCTGAAAACTCGCTCCTCTATGGAGAGGCAATGATATGATTGAATTGGTAAAACTGGTGTGATTCGCCGTCGTCGGCAACGTTTCATCACTACGACATCTACTCTTCGCCGGTCATTAGCACGCTTCAATAGTTCATCGTCGGCGCTCCGCAATATTAATATCGGTCATCGTCATCACGCTTCTACCGCAAGTGTCGCCGTTCATTCTTCGGTCTCCGGTCCAAATACCAAGATCAAGCGTCTACAGTCACTCCAAATTCATACCACGTCGTCGGACACTCGGAGGTCGTCAGCCACGCTACTCGGCAATCTACCCAGCACTATCCAGCACTATCCACCCGCATCCCAACATCAAGGCATCAAGACGTCGACATCATTGGCAGTACTACTTGCAACCTCTACTGGTTCATCAGGCTCTGGGTTGCCTGGGGGTACCCATCGCCCTGGTACGTTCTTCGTTGCCTCTCTCAACTTTTCATGGTCTCATGATCTTCTACTTCATTTAGTCCATGGGCTCTCCACGCTACTCTCCATTCCCTCCACTATTCGCCTGCCACACGCTCAGTGGAATGCACCATCGCTTGTCCTCGTCGCATGGTAAAGCCCTTCAGTGAGGCTGGCGACTTTGGCTCAAAGACTCACTGAAAGGGCAGGCATGCGGCGACGGGGACTTTCCGTTGGTCTCGGCTGCTGAGGCCTAATAATCAAGATCATCCACCATCGTCGCAAGTCATCTCACATCATCGGAGCATCGGAAGTCGTCAGCCACGCTACTCGGATATAACAGTTGTCGCCTACCACCCATCACTCCTACGCAAGTCGCCTCCAGTACTTTCTTGCCAAGACTCCTTATTCACTTCGCCCCTATACCTCGCGTCATTGGTCTCAACACACCCTCCCTTCGGCATCTGACCGTCTTTCGTTGGGATCGGGGTTGCCTCGGGGCACCCATCGCCCCGGTATGACCTAGCCCTCTTTGCACATCGTTTCTTGTATGGCTCTCATTCTGACCACCTTCTGCTTCCTCAAGGTCCATTCCACGCTACACTCCGCATCGCTAATCCTCATCAACGCCCGCTCTGTCAGCTTTCCCGTTAGCTTTGCTGCGGGCACACCTCTTCGGGAATCGGCGTCCGGTCTTTTAGCAAACACTCGACTCGGCAATGTCGATCCACCAATGTCTACTCGGCGGCGTTCCTTTTGATTCCGAGAACTACCAAGACCTGATCCTCCCCTTCGACATCGCCATGGGGAGGTAGGTAGGCAGCACTTCGGTGTCCGGTCTTTCGACAATCTCCGCCCGGCAATCCCTATCCACGGACTCGCCAATGCCATCTCGATACAGCCATCTGGACTCGGCAATCTGATTGCGTTCATCTGGACTCGGCAATCTGGACTCGGCAATCATTCATCTGGAGTCGGCATCATTCCGTTCATCTGCACTCGGCAATCTGGTTTGCGTTCATCTGGACTCGGCATCATTCCATTCATCTGGACTCGGTATCATTCCGTTCATCTGGACTCGGCAATCTGGACTGGGCAATCCTGGGGACATATCCTGGAGAACTACCAGGGCCTGATTCTTTCCCCCCCGACAATCGCCAACGGGGAAGATAGGTAGGCAGCGCTACGGCGTGCGGTCCCAAGAACTACGTGGGGTCTGATTCCTTCGGGATACGTAGGCAACGCTACGGCGCCCGACCTCAGGACTACGTGCGACCTGATTCCTTCGGGATACGTAGGCAGCGCTACGGCGTGCGGTACAAGAACTACGTGGGACCTGATTCCTTCGGGACACGTAGGCAGCGCTACGGCGTGCGGTCCCAAGAACTACGTGGGGTCTGATTCCTTCGGGATACGTAGGCAACGCTACGGCGCCCGACCTCAGAACGACGTGCGACCTGATTCCTTCGGGATACGTAGGCAGCGCTACGGCGTGCGGTCCGAGAACTACGTGGGGTCTGATTCCTTCGGGATACGTAGGCAACGCTACGGCGCCCGACCTCAGAACTACGTGACGTCTGAGTCCCCACGCGGGATACGTAGGCAGCGCTTCGGCGTCCGACGCCCAAGTCAGTATCTCGTTTTTTCGCCGCGGAATACCACTGACCTTCTTCGTTCGCCGCAGATGCCAGTTCACCATCCTACAGCTGTTCCGTGGATTTCGACGCCTGACATCTCGCGGCACCGACCATTTCACTATCTTCCGCTCTCGGTAAGTCTCCGCATACGTCATCTTGCCATCCTCCAAAATATCACGCCGATAATACTTCGCCCTTGTGCCACTCAATACTGAGTCCGGCTCACCAGTGAACAATCGACTCGCCTCCGCCACCTTCGACATCTCGTCTCCCCGAATTACAATCGACTCCTTACCAGCCCCCCGGTAGGCCATTCGACAATCGACCCGTCTTCGCCGCCTTCGACATCTCGCCACTCCGATACTCGACAATCGACTCGCCTTGCATCGACATCCGACTCACGCTCGCCTTCGACTTCCATTCGCCTTCGGGAACTACTGAGGCCTGATTCCATCCCCCCTCTGGTAGCGGGGAATGGATAGGTAGGCAGCATCCCCCCTCACTGGGGGGGTGTCCGGCCCTCGACATCGGACATTGCACCATATTCACGACCGCTAGCGACATTTGCCTTCGATGCTCGAGCCAGGTCGCCATTCGACACTCACCTTCGATTCGCCTTGGCCTTCGACACTCGCCACACGCCCCTCGACATCTCGACAACCAGCCAACCCGCCAATCCGTCAACCCGTCAACCCATCAATACAACCCGCCAGGCCATCACTTTGACATTCGTCATTCAGTACCGATTCGCGCCGATTTTCGACGGTGACATTCGACGCCTTCGACGCCTTCGACGACTCGCAAACCCGGAAATCCGCCAATCCCCTGGGTCACTACTTCGACTTCCCCTTCGCATTCCAGGTCTGATTCCTCCTCCTCTCGGGGGGACATAGGTAGGCGGCACCCCCTCCCTGGGGGTGTCCGATCTTCGGAATCCAATATCTGGCAACATCCAAGTTCGCCACCAACATTCGACGCTCGGCCACTTCGACACACACACTACGCCGTCTCGCCATTCGACTCCCGAGATCTACTGATCTGATTCCTCTCTCCTCCTGAGCGATATCGGGGGACAATAGGTAGGCAGCACCCCTTCGAAACGTGTCCGATCATACAAGTCGCCAACAACGTCTGACCGATCGACGCCGTGCCTTACGAAACCGCGACACATCGCCATTTTGCCATCGACCTTTCGACAAACCGCAACGCAATATTATTCGCCGCCATCCTCTCAACTTCGTGAATTGTCAAGAGTCGAGTCCTCCCTCGAGTCCTCCCCTCCGCCGCTGGGGAGGATAGGTAGGCAGCACTTCACTGTGTCCCGTCTTCGTCACCATCCTTTCAACTTCGAGAACTACTGAGACAGTCCTCCCTTCCGCCGCTGGGGAGGATAGGTAGGAAGCACTATGGTGTTCGTTCTCCACCCGTCATTCGTACACACCAATGTTACCGCGGCTTTTGATTACCATGTGCTGACAACTGTTATGCTTCCTTGCTTTTGTCTTTCGCAGGGTCGACGGCAAGTCTCGGATTGGCAGCAAGCTGAACGCCGTGCCTGTGTTCCTTTCCTCGCAATGCATATGGACTCTCATCTCTCTCTCGCCCCTTCCCACATGGGTGTCGCCTATCCGCAAGTCGGCGTCGCAAGACTCGGACAGAAAGATGTGTGGTGAGCCGTGAATTTACGTGGCAATACGGCCTGGCTACCTTTGACCCCAACGCGCCCGGAATACCATGGATTTGCTCTACGACAACGACGACTTCCAATCAATGGCATCAGTGAGGCGTATTCTACGATTGTCAGACGGATCCGTTTTCAGTTCTGGGCTCTGGACTTTTGGACCGCGAGGGAGATGGAGGATCGGACGTGGAGGAGTGGCTCGTGAAGTTGCAACATTCGATCAGACGCGGAAAAGTTCTCTTGTTGGTGGTACACCTCTGTCCCGTCTTGGCAGGAACAGGCTAAGGTCTTTCGTCTTCTCATCACATATGGCATCACTCTTGGCATGAGGGCATGCTGGCGGCATGGCGGCAGGGGAGTCGGCCGCGATGTGGTAGATCTTTCGCCTCGGCAGACGATGGAGGAGCTTTAAAAAGGTAAGTCAGTCGTAGGATTTACCACTTCTTACCTCTCCCTTTAGGGATTCGCCCGACGCTCAAACAGGGAGGCGAGAAGGATCTTCGAGGAAGGGGTCATCCTACTTGGACTATGCGTCTTCGGCATTCCGAGGACGTTCGCAAAATAAATACGCCGTGATATGCCGATGATTAAAAAAAGCTACTATATGCTACTATGATACAGATGCGGAATCACAGGATCATGGGGAATAATGCGCCATGGACATGCAGTCAACGCTCGGCATCTTTTCAACATGGTCCCAAAAGTCCCAGCCCTTCGGTTGATCCATCCCATTGCCCCTCTGCACCTTGGCCGCGTACTCCGCCTTAGACTTGACTACATAGTGATGCAGCGCCATCCGCTGCCGTGTAATAGGCCGTCTAAATGCGTAATCTACTTTATCGCCGTTTTCTCCCACCGTGATGGTGTCGTCGGTTGTGAAGAAGGAGTGGGGGGATGTGGGGTATGAGTAGTACGCGGTCCGCACGATGGACTTGATGTGTCGGTTGTCCTGTTCAGGGTCGTCGACGATGCATCTCGTGAACCCTTTGCGGGCGGATGGGGGCCGTTCGGTGAGGTTGTTGGAGTTGTGAACCTGCCAATTGACGCCGACAGCGCCGACTTTCGGGTCCTTCTCGAACTCGCGGAGGACATCGTCCAGCGTCTCCCTCTTTGTAGTGGAGGTCATTTCGAGGAACTCGTCGGCGTCGATGTATGCGATCCAGGTATGGCGATCGCGGAACCGGCGGTTGCATTCGTTGTACATGTGGTTCTGCATGTACGGCATGCGGTCCGTCTCGTCGAAGTACTGGAAGGTGATGGCCGACCGTGGGATACCGTAGTGGTTCTCCGGCTGCTCAGACAGGGGCGGTTTTGTCCCGTCGTCCATGATGTAGAACCTCCGTATGCCGATGTGGTGGTAGTGGTGGATGAACCATTCTGGCAGGTCGCGGACTTGGCCTTTGACCGAGAGGCATATTGCGACGTATTCGGGTTGAGCGGTTCTGTTCTGAGCCCGGTTCAGAAAGGTGTTGCGGAGAGTGGAGGGGAGTGTGATGGAGCTGAACTTGCTTTGGGAGACGAGGATCGTGTAGGAGAGCGATATTGTGATGACTGTAATGATGGCTGTCAGGGCGAACCACCATTGGCGGGGTGTCGAGGCCATCGCTCCCCGCATTGCGCCTTTTCTTCGGAGTTCCCCGGGAGGACGAATGGGGTGAGGAGGGCGGGCTGGAAGGAAGAGAGTTGGAGAGGCCGGGTAAGGCGACAGGGTCAACGTTGTGCGCTGGACGTCTAGAACGTTTGGCAGCTGGTTTGCTTGAGGGAGTTTGAGCTTAAATCGGAGCAAGCAAGCGAGAAAGGGAAAGAGAAGAGAAGGCGCTGCCGCTGACAGTTCCGGACGATCATTACGGCACCGCCCGCCCGGAGCGCGGTACGGGCCGACCGGCTGGGAACCATGATATTCGTACTGTCGCCTTCCTCCTGCTTGCGAACTTTCAGGTTGGACGCCCCGATCCCCTGCAGACGCCGGCACTAGAGTCAATCTATCGTCTATCCTTCCTCCAACCATGGTTTGCAAAAAGTGTAAGATTGCTTCCCGTCCATTACCTGCACCCCACCCCAAAACTCACCGCATATACCCCTCTTCCCACCCCCCCAATCCAGGCGAAAAGAAACTCTCAACCCTTGCAACAACCGACCCGTTCGCATCTAAAAACTCCTCAACATCCTCCTCCAAACCCTCCTCCTCATCAACACCCTCCACCTCCACCTCCACTCGCAAACTCAACGAAAATAAACTCCTATCGTCCAAGAAAAGCGGCAAATTCAATCCCTATGCTGCCAAGTGCAAAGTGTGCAAGCAGACGGTGCATCAGGCGGGGAGACATTATTGTCAGGGGTGTGCTTATAAGAATGGTAGGTGGGAGAGGATGGAGTAGGTAGGAGTTGGGGGTTGATGGTGGGCGGTCGAAGCTAACCTGCCATTCGATTTTCCAGGGATATGTGCGATGTGCGGGGTGCAGATATTAGATACGGCTGGGTATAAGATGGCGTCCAAATGAACGGGTCGACGCATGTACATAGGTTTGTTTTTGCAGAAAAATATACACACTTTTTTGGGGGAAACGAAACGTTGCATCATTGGAAAATGTCACATAGGTACGATTTATACATGGGTATACAAAGAATGGAAACGATATCGAAGCTCCTAGCGACAATGGCGGTGGTCTCTACAAATTCGCAGCGTTGGCAGGGCCCAATGGCACGCTCAAAATACTCTTGCCGCCCTTAATCTCCGCCAAAGTCGGCACCCTCTTCAACCTCAACAGCTCCGAAAACTGACTCACAACCGGATCCTTATTCAGGCTCGCCACGGCAACAACGGCGCCCTTGTTTGCATAATACGCCACAAAGCTGGTCTCATCACCTTTTTTGCTGGTCAAGTCGCCGTCCACATACACTTCGTCAAAGGGGCCGCCGCCGGCGTATCGTACGGAATTGCCGTATTGGACTGTCCAGAAGTACGGCACTTTCGTGAAGGGTTCCAGTTCGGAATCTGCGGACGCAGGGGGTTGGGACCCGGAGGCAATGGCGATGTTCCGCGCGATGGAGCGCCCCGTGTTGCGGGCGACGTTCCAATGTTCCACGCGGACTTTCTGGTCGGTCCCCCCCAAGGGAATCCGCGCGACGTCGCCGGCGACATAGACCTCCGGGTGGGAGTGCACGCGGAGGAAGTTGTCGACTTCGATGGAGCCGTCGTCGTTGAGGAGGCCGGTGGGTTTGAGGAAGGTGGTGGCAGGCTGGGCGCCGATGGCGACTAGGACGACGTCGGCGGCGAGTTCTTCGCCGGTGGTGAGTTTTACTGTGCCGACTTCTGACGGGTTTACCACTGCGAGAATGGAAGAAGGACAGTCAGTTCGAGCCAATCCAGGACGATATCACCGGAAAGGGTGCATGCGCGAGGGGACAAACCTGAAGGCTCGAACGATTTGGGTTGCGCGACCTTGAAGGTCACTCCCTTTTCTTCGTGCCATCGTTTGATGAACTTTCCAATCTCTTCACCCAGAACGGGCTTCAGTGGTGTCTGGTTCGAAAACAGGCCTCAGTCTAACATAATGGACTCCAAAGCGGATGGATGTGGCGACCCATACCTCATTCCTTGCCAAGACGGTCACACAAGCAGTCCCGTCCTTCGCAAGCACAGACGCCAACTCCAGTCCAATAAACCCAGTCCCAACAATAATAACCTTCGGCTTCTCCTTCGACTTGATCGCCTTATGCAAGGCATTGGCATCCACCAACGACCGCAGCAAATGAACATTCTTCAGCTCCTTCCCAGGCACGTCCAATGGCCGGGGATACGAGCCCGGCGACAGAACAAGATGCGAGTACCCCTGCGTCGTCCCATCGGTCAGCGTGACCTGCCTTTTAGCAAGATCAACCTCCTTGACCTCCTTCTCGGCGTGCAGCGCGATCTCACGCTCGCGGTAGAACTCCTCAGGCCGCAACGCGATCTTCTCCGCGGACACGTCCAGGCCTTTGCTGAGCTTGGTGCGGTCGATGGGGAGGTACGGTTCTTTCCCGAAAACGACGATCTTCCCACCAAACCCGTGCTCCCGCAACGCCTCAGCGGCGGACTGACCGCCGGACCCGTTGCCGATGATCACGACCGTGTCGTCCTTTTTTGGGGACGGCCGGTTGGGGATAGGCACGGTTTGCTTGGCGGCTTCGGGGGTGACTTCGATGTGGATCTTGTCGCCGGAGATGGCCACCGGGAAGGTTTTGAGGCAGGCCATGCCTGGGGCGTCTTCGATGTCGCCGGTTTTCACATTGAAGCAGGCGCCGTGCCATGGACTGAATAACATATCATGCCGTCAATTATCCGCCTCCCTTTCGTCTGGGTGTTTGACTTTCGTATGAATGTCTTACCAAGTCAAGCGCCCATCGGCTGTAAGCACGCCCTTCTCCAACGGCGCGCCAAAGTGCGTACACTTGTTCGTCGTGGCATACACTTTGCCCTGCACTTTAGCGATCAGCACTTTCTGGTCGCCACCAACGTCGACTGACTTCATTTGGCCATTCTCGAGGTCGTTGGCGGTGATGATGGGGGCGGGCATCTTGGTGATGGGGGTGGTTGAGAGGCTTTGGAAGTGGGTGGTGGGGACTCTTGGGAGAGAGATACGGGTGCGAAGAGCGAGCCGGGAGAGAGGTAGGGTGTACGGCGTTGGAAGGAGGAGGCCAGAAGGCATTGACCTTTCGACGGCGGAAGATGGAAGGCGCGGGATACTAAAGCTGTATCGCCAAAAACTAAGTGATCTGGAATGTGATGCTTTTACGGTAGAAAGAGAAGGGGCACGGCTAGCTATATGCGTTCTTATTATATACCTCCTGAGAAATCTCGTTGACTCTGCTCTTGCGTGGTTTCCTGCGATGCGGCAAAACGTTGTGGTTGCAGCCCGTCTGGGAGGTGGATCGTCGATCGCATGGCATTCCCCCATATCGATACGCGTTGACGACGTCACGGAGCGGGGCTTGCTTTTGGGCTGGGAACCGAGTCTCGCACAGGCCCGCATGCATTCATCAAGGTCACACCGACCCACAGTGCGATGTTCTGCAAAAGCGACCTCCTATTCTACCAAGACTTCCTATCATACTTCGCATAAACGGTCGCACCTGTCAAACCCCCCAACCCTACTCTACCCTGCTATGATCACCTACTCCTCCTTCCACTGCTCAATGTCCCTAATCCTAATCCCCCTCGTCGGCCGCTCATGAATACACTCAATCCCGTTGATCGCCAGCAACGTCTCCAGCCCCTCCAGGACGCGCCCGAACGCCACATATCGCTTGTCGAAGCAGGGCATCGCGGCCGTGGTGATCATGAATGGTGTGGTGGATGTGTGCGGGCCGGATGAGGAGGGGATGAGGTGGAGGGTGTAGGGGTCGTGCGGGTGGATGAAGTTTTCATCTGGTGTTCGGGGGTGGGGTGGGAGGGGTTAGTTAGGTCTTCTCTCATGTGTTTAGCGAGCGTAGGTGGGGGTCCAACTGACCTTCCAAGACATTTCCCGTGCGAAGTTGGCCATCTGGACCGCGGATTTCTACCAGAAGCAGAATGATCTGAACCATGCATGTGGAATTTCCTGCAACATCTCCAACCCCCCACTCACCTCCACACTCAATCCATCCCCCCTTAACGACCCTCGAGACCCCGCTCCCCAAATAACTCATCCCCCCCTGCCCGCCATCCACGTACTGCAGAAAATGCCTCGTAGTCTTCGGACACGTCTCCGCAAACAGCTCGATCAATACATCCCTCCCCAGCGGCTCGAATTCCCCATTCCCGTCGGCATTCTCAGCTTCAAACCCAATCTTCACCACGGGGTTGCCCAAGCTCTTCAAGAACCGCGTGTGCTCCTTCGTTGCTACGTCATCCCCCGTGGCTTTAGGCATAGCGACGTTCTTCCCCTCGGCGTACGTGACCAGGTCCGCGACGTTGAGCAGCTTCTTGGTCGTTTTGGCTTCCGTTTTCCGGGTGCGGTTGACGAGTTTGTGGGTGGTTGTTGTTGTGCTGTGTAGCTCGATTAGCGTGTGTGGGAATAAAGAGGCGTGGAGGTTCGAGTAGGACGATTGGAGGGCGTGGCGGCGGAGGGTGTAGGCGGTTTGCGGGAGGGCGTGGAATTCGGTGGTTATGTTGGGGAGCTTGGCTGCTGCCTGGATGTTTTACGGACAAATTTAGGAAAACAGTTGTTCGACTGTTCTCTTGTCAATATCGAGTGCATACCTGTGCAACCTCCTTGGCCCTATGGAAGCTCGAGTGCGAGATATCGCCGGTGACAATAATCTTCTCGGTGAAGACGGTCGACGAGCTCGTCGCCGTAGATGCGGGGGTGAACGGGACCACCGTCAGCGTCGTGGGTAGCGGCATTTCGATGTTCTTGGATATGCAATGAGTTACAAAGTTGTAAGAGTTCCAGGTCCAGGAGGGTGATTTGCTTGCTTTGTGTCCCTGGTTTTGACGGAAGCTTGAAATTGGGTTGCGAAGTTAGACGTCACGTAAGCAGAAATCGACAGCGCGCATACGACACGACAGGGACGTCGCTGGCGCTTCCTGCATTCCGGACGGCAGTGGACTACCACCGACGCATCGTACGAGATCGTTGATCTGGACCATCGGGATGGTATGATTTTTGAATGCAGCTGTAATCCGATGCAGTCGCGCGCACGCGGGCGGTCCTCCACGGTCGCAGCATCCGAGTATGAGACATGCGTGCGAAGTGGACGCATACGAAATGCCGTCCCAGGCTGTCTACACCGTCGCCGTAGATATCTCGCCCGCGGGCGTCTTCGCACCGAGGGTACATACGGCACTGGGACGGGCGGCCAGACGGTACTTGGTGTATTGCGCAATTACACGTGTGCGGGCGAGGGGAACGCTCCTGGGAACTTGGATGATGACGCCTACACCCATTTTGCCACAATGTCTCGCTGGCGGATGGGGCTACACCCTACCGGTCCATACTCAACGTTTGGGAAGCTGTGTCTGTCGCTTGTGGCCTCCTACGAGCTCAGCCGCTGGGGGAGCGGTGCACAGTCCATTTGTGAGAACGCGTCGCAGCCCAATCGCTCAATGGAGAGCTCCAGGTCCCCAGGGTGGCAGGGAACTTACAGCTACTCGCATGGCTTTGTGTATAGCTGTGAGACCCCCCCGATTGTCTGCTTTTGGAGATCGAGGTGCGGGTGTCGTTTCCGGGCCGGGATGGACGGGGCAGCACTGCTCCGGTCAGCCCGCTGTGTCCGCTCCCTATATCTCCCTTTTGCTAAACAGTTGTAGACACTTTGAGACGGTGGGACAGATACGCTGTAGATGAATGCGACACGCGGAATGGGCCGTCATTGCGAATGGAGCATCCGGCGTACATCAACGCATAGGGCCTTCCACAGGTTGCATGGGAACATCGCTATCAGATATCTGGTCTTACGAAATTGGGCCACTACCATACATTTATCATCCCGCAGTGTATTCCACACGCAGTGGTTTGCTCCTACATATGCGTTATATGCAAAGATCGGATACATTCACTTCGTAATAGATGTCCTACGAGCTACGCACGCACAACTAAGGGTGGTCAGCGGTGCAATTCGGTTGTTGATTGTGTGACACCCTATTCATACGCCTAACTCAACAAAATTGTTCAACCTGGCATCCAGCGCAATGGTGTTGATCACGGCATCTCGAGGCGTCTTCGACAATGTCCAAAAGCAGCCCGTTCTGCAGCTTCAGAGAGAGCAAACCGAAATGACGTCCTGTCATGCGTCGTGCATCTAATGGGACTTATATTCGTTGCCGAGAAGCTCAGGAACTTCGCACTTATCGACGATGTAGAGAACCTCGATACAGTTTGGGGTCTTATCCTCGTTTAGAAACTCGACCATTCGCCCCTAATCAAGTCGAAAATGGATAGGGCGGGCTCACGGCGCAGTTGGTTCAGGTATTCCGATATACAGTCCATAGTCTACGGCCTTGTCAACAGCTCCCTGCTCTGCTTCCAATTGAACCCGGATGACCTGTCCGGTAGTCGCATGTGAAAAGTAACGTGAAGAGCTGCTACACGGTCATCGACGACATCTTGGCCTCGCAAGGTTCGTAAATGATATCCAGAAACAGTTCAAAATCAGGCTTCGTAAGACTCTTCAGGTGGATCGGGGGCTCAGAGGGTGCATACTGGGGCCGGCGACTGGAATAAGAGGACCTTGTGCTTCACGCCAGGGGAAGTTCTTCAGGAGCGATTTGTGAACGGCGAAGATGGTGTCATCTCACCACATTCTGAACAGTGGCATCCTCGTAGAAACGCTTTGCCGAACGGGTAGGGGATATGGTCGGCTGCTCGGGAGCTCATGTGGCTGGGGGAGCGTGGGAATTTGGCAAGGGCCCGTTGAGGTTGGAAGTTGCAGTCGAGAAGGAAGGGAAACGAAGGAGGGAGAAGCCGCGAGAAAATCACGCGCAGATCATGCATGCGCCCACTCTCCCACGTCCTGCTGGAACAAACGTGAGCTCTAAATTCACCCTGGTTTCCCCACACATCTCGCTTCTGTTTGTCTTCGCTTACCAAGGTGCGTTAATATACTCTGTAGACGGCTGTTTCGGGGGCCAATTCCCTGCAGAGACCCGGCTGGACACGATAACGCTGTGGCATTTGTTCAACTCGCCAAGAACATTAACTGATCGTCTCCAATTTCGCTCTTGGTTTTCGCAGATCACAGAAAAGACACACGCAATGATGACCGCTGCGTAAGTACACGCTCCCTTGCGACTTTCGACCCTCCGTCTGCAGTGTCGGGGAAAAACAGAGGCACTATTGGAGCCGGTTGGGCCATGCTGGAACCGAGTCCCGATCTGCCCTCTAACGCTAATCATTTACGGGTTTCGCTTTCACAACTCGACCGATCTACAGAACAAATACCCTCATCCCGGAAGTTCTTTGGGCTCAACGGACCGACGAGCTCTTTGTCACCATCAACGTCAGCGATGTTGAGCACCCCGAGGTCAACTTGAGCGCAACGGGACTCAAGTTCACTGGCGCGTCCCACGGAAAGGAATACTCCCTCGACCTGGAATTCTTCAAGGAGGTCGACATTGAGGTTGGTTTCTCTAGTCACTTAACGGGTGTGCGTTGCGGGCTTTTGGGGGTTCCTTCGGTCTCCTGCTGGGAAACCTTTTCTTCCCTGTATTCACAATCCCAACTCGATTCTTCCAGGCATCGAAGCAAAACATCACCGCGCGCAACCTGAGCTTCGTGATCGCCAAGAAGGCGACCGGAGAAGAGTACTGGCCCCGCCTGACAAAAGAGAAGGCCAAGTACCACTGGTTGAAGACGGACTTTTCAAAGTGGAAGGATGAGGACGAGGTCGAGGAGGAGGTTGCTGCTGGCGGCCCTGGTGGAGCCGGTGGATTCGACGGAATCGACTTTTCGCAGTTCCAAAACATGGCCGGCGGTATGGGCGGTATGGGTGGCATGCCTGGCATGGACTTTGGCGCCAACGGAATGGATCTTGGAGGAGTAAGTGATGACATTGGCATAGGGAAAGAGAAGAGCACAAGCCCATCACGAAGGACGCTCACTGATCAATCATCTGTACTTTCTCCCATCCCTCACTCACAGGAGCAAGACTCTGATGACGAGGAAGAGGACGGCGATCTCCCCAAACTCGAATCCGTCGAATCAGTTTAAATACTCAACCCCAAGGTTCCTGTACCCGACTGACGACCACACCCGAACCTCCCTTCCATGTGCTCCTCTCCAACACTCGCAAAATACAACCCCCGTGATTTATCCCTACATTATTATCCAAATATTGTCAGCCGTTTCAACTCCTTTTCAAATATGGTGTGCATGTAGCCCCCTAAGTACATTTGTGACGTGAAAAAAAATGGCATTGTACATACACGTCCGACCGCGAAATCCAATGTGCAGAACATATCGCAGTGTGATAAGTTAGTGTCCTCCTTGGGCGGAAACTTGGCGAAGTTGCTGTAGGATTTGGGGCTTGGGAATATGGAAGTTCGCGTGGGAACGGCGCCGTTGGCCGCTGGGACTCGCACGAGCCGCTTATGAAAAGCAGTGCTCAACAGCGCCTTTTCTGAGCGCTCCCTCTCAACCCATTGACACCCACTGCCGTAAATACTGTATTAGCCGGATATAGATAGGAGGCTAGCCGTCTTGTATTTAGTTAGGCACAGTCCCACTTCAGTCAATCAGGCACCCGAGGTTCATTCATTTCACGCATATCGATCTTCACATTTCAGTTGCAGGCTTTGAATTGTCGGCACCTCAACCCTCGGCGGACCTCTCCCGCCACCATGTCGCCATTCCCACGTATCCCATCCCGCTTCGACTCCCTCGCCGAAACCAGCGGCCCTCTCGAAGCCTTCACCAGCCTCCCCCGCCCCACCTCCTCCAAACCGCCCCTACCCTACCGCGAGCCCTCCTCCATCTCCACCTCCACCACCGAATCCTCCCGCTCCCTCTCAGAAGCCACAGGCGGGTACCAACCCACCCTCGACGTAACCATCCACTTCCACAAAGCGACGAACCTGCCGAAACTAGACATCCTAGGCTCGATCGACCCGTTCTTTCGCGCGAATATTGATTCGCAGATCGATTATTGCTCGGCTTGTGTGTATAATACGCTGAATCCGGTGTGGGATGAAAGGTGGAGGGTGAGGAATGTGCCTGTGGCGGCGGTGTTGAGTGTTGTGGTGTGGGATAAGGATAAGCATACGGTTGGGGATGAGGTTGCTGGGAAGGTATGTGTGAGTGGAATGGAGCGAGTGGGGTTGATGCGCGGAAGGCAGCCTGAGAGCCCACCACCGCGAGCAATGCGAGCGGCGAGCGAAGCGACGGAGGTGCAGGAGCGCAATACATATCTCCTCGCCGCCGTGATTCTATGAAGGGCGCCTCCGAGCGTAGGTCGTTTCTGAGAGCGACAGCCAGCATTCGAGTTGTTTCACACCTCCCTCCAAGTTCTTGTCGCGAGCAGGATGATGGGATTCTATCTGTGCAGGATTTCTCTGATGATTTGATCGACCATTGCGTTCGCACGAGCTCACCCATGTTTCCTCACTACCACCTATTTTCCAGTGTCAAACTCCTCTGACACCCGGCCGCCACACCCTCACATTAACCCACCCAAAGACCGGCAACTACCGTGGCGAAATACACCTGGAAATCGAAACAAGCCCGTCCGCAACAAATGACAACAACAGCTCGACGTCAGATCCATCCTTTCCCCTTTACTCATTTGCAGGCCCCGTCCGCTACACTGTACATCACTCCCCGTTCGTTGGGCAGCTCACCCGCACGAACCAATCGCGTCTGTACAGCACGTGGAAGATGCATCTGGTAGGAATCCAGGCGTACCTGGAACCCCCTACACATTGGAACGTCAATTACCAAGCTGCCCAGACTATTTTCGCTAGCTCAATTTCCAGCGCGGCTTTGAGGGAAAGCATCAAAGCTGCACATCGGCTGTTGTACGCACGGACGTGGAACAATGGCGCGGGGGTGTTAATGAGCGGCGACGAGTTCATCGCTCTTCTCGTGTCAAGTTCGGAAAATCCGGCCGCATCAGCCGCCTCTGCGAGCAGGCCGACGAGCCAGAGCACAGCAGCGACGAATGCTGCGGTGAACACCGTCACGCAGGCACCCATCCAGGAAGTGCAGCCGACAGTGACCGGGCCCGGTATCATCCCTTTCCCAATGCCGCGCTTCGACAACGACCCCAGCCTGGACGCGCCACAACAACCCACCCTCCCCGCCAACAACAACGCGGAGGATCTCCCCAGCACAGACGTCAACGAACCCGGGCCACCGCCACCAAAACCCTGCATGTACACCTACGCCATTGACGACAACACGCTCCGGTTCTCGGAGACCGGCGCGGCGTTCATGTTGGACAATGCGTCTAAGCATGCCATGCATGCCAACTGCTCGGAATATATCCGGTATGCGGGCGAGTTCCATGTGCGGCCGGCGTGCGGGTGGGCGCAGATTCCGCCGCCGGCTGAGTATGTGCAGATGGGGATGGGGAAGGATGATTGGGGGTGGGAGGTTGTTCTTGGTACGTCTTTTTCACCTTTACTCTTCTCCATCTGGTTCCCACATCTCACACCCGCCTCTGTCCCACCACCAGACAACAACTCAGGCACCTACGCCCCACCCGCCACCCTCCTCCCCTCCCTACACGCCCTCATAGTCTCCAACTTCCCCGGCCTGCGACTCCGCTGCGTCGACCGGCAGGACCCCTTCCTCGAGCAATCGCGAAAGGAGATGCAGGCGTACGCTAAGCAGTATTATTCGCCGAGCAGTATGAGCGCTAGTGGGAGTGCAACGGCGGAGAAAGGCGAGGATGGGGGGGATGGGAGCTCGAAGGCGTTCGGAGCAACATTCTTTGAGAGGTTGAGGGGTTTGGGGTTGAACCGTTAAAGTCGGACGAGATGGGACCTCTCGCAATCGCTGCATGCAAAGTTCGGTGGACGAGATGGCGGCGTATTGTTTAAAATCTCCACAATCTAGACTGAGACTCTGCGCTATCTGGAGCCTAATATTTGGTGTCAATGTGGAACATCTCTTCCGACAGCTATGAGGTCGCGGACCCTGTCATCCGGATGAATCGGCAGCTTGTGCTATCGAAATCAATGGGGTTTTCGGTCTACTACCGAGTTGGCGATGTCCCCTCCGGAACGCGTGCGTTCTTCTCTTGACGCGGTTGGATGTGATTTTCGCACAGCATCGGGACCCAACCTTCTTCTTACTTTGGCTTGCGTCATCTCCACAGCCAAAAGGCAAATGTCAAAACGAGGTATCTGCCTAACGGAGACGAAGTAAAAGGCATGCCATATCGTTTGACATGCGGTACTCCGACCTGGATCCTTGGGAGTTTGTCAACATGGTACCGGAAACGAGAAGACCATTCTCTTGGCTGTGGGGCTGCGTCCTGCTGACGGCAATGATCTGGTGGACTTCTTCCGTCGTCGATCTGCGTTCGACCTCCGCCACTACATAGCGGGATTGAGTACGGAAGAAGACGCGTCGGACGAGTTGCGGTTGCGGTTCGACGGACGGACGGTAACGAATGAGCGTGAGGTTCTCAATACTATCACTCGCTGGGTACGGAAACATCGAGCGGAGTTGGGGATGTGCATGATGTGCTGCAACGAGGTCCCAAAAGACGCCATATTGCCGTCCTGTGGCAGAAGAGGATGTGACGTGCGTTGCTGCAAAAGTTGCCTCGACCGGTGGTACGGCGTGCTCGTTCCCGGGCGATTCATTCCGCCGGCAAATACCCGGTGCGTGTTCTGCCGACGCATCCCCACCCCGGAGGTCCTGTACAGACACAACGGTATGGCCTGGCAGCTGCGACGAGCCCCGTTGGACACCTTCGACCCCGCGTGGCATTTCGGATTTTGCCTCGGTTGCAACCGAGCGAAAAGATGGGTCGAACGCGTATGCGCCGCCGAACCTCCCACGGAAGATGGATTCCGGTGTGAAGATTTGCAACCTGTTGGCCAACGCGCGGGTCGTATTCACCAGAGATTGTCCAGGTTGCTGTGTGACCATTGAAAAGACGGTGGGCTGCGACCACGTCACTTGTGCCCACTGCCAGGAACACTTTTGCTGGAGATGCGGCAAAGCACACCCAGTTCAGGATATCTACCCCCACATGTCGAGCTGCCCTGGTGACGACGTCTATCAGGCGCACGGTGGGCATCGTGCGCCGGACGGAAATGGATATGGAGATGGATATGGAGACGAGTGGGACGATGACGACGACTGTTATATCCATTATTAGTGCCGCTCGAGGATTGTCGTTGCTTCGGATACATACCGCCATTTGGGTATATCCGGACGTCCCTTGAACGAAGAGCCTTATTAAAGAGGAGCATTTTGAGGAGAAATTGGGGGAAAAGACGTAGTAGATAGTCCTTAATGGCACGTAACTAGAATTATTTTAGCTAGTGTCATTTTGTACTGTCGACGTACATACAGTACTAAGATCCAAACACCTCAGCAGCCTCCTTGTGAAACGTCTTCGCGATCTCTCTTCGTCATCACCAGTTTCTCGCGCAATAGCCATGAACATCTGCTGCATCTCGCGCTTGTATCACTTCCACACGAATATCTCAATGGCGTTTGAAATTTACGTCGACCAAAACACCCTTCTCCTTTGCCAAAAAAATGGTACAGCTCGAATTAAATGGAGTTACTGTACAAAGGCCGACGTGGATCACGCTGACGCAGAGTCGCAATTCCAGCCCGAAATCCACCCATGATGCTTCTGATACTACTCGGAATGCTCAACACCCCTTCAATAGCCCTAACGAGTCCTTTTTCGAATTGGCACTCGTCTTCTCAGCTAGCGACCTAATGCCATCATACAAGGCGTCCGTTCGGTCTTCGGCGATATCGACGTAATGCACCAGCTGAAGGATATCGGCTTTGATCTGCGAGTCCAGCACGCCAAGACCATGTACAAATTGAAACCCAGCCCCTAAAACGATTCCAAAAAGCGCAAACAGGAACACCGTTCCCGTTTTGGCGGCGGGCTGCGCTGCTCGAAAGCACAGGCTGGCGACGATTATCCATGCGATGGCGACAACCGTCGCTATAACAAACTTTAGTCAGTGTCAGCCATCAACGTCTGTGTCCCTGCGTCCTCGCGAGAAAACGTCACTAACGCTCACCAAAGCGTCCGCAAAGCTCCGCGTCTTAAGCCTCTCTTCCGCAACCCGGCGGATATCGGCAAGCCTCCGAGCGGTGTCCGCCTTGACCTCGGCCAATTTGGCTTCCGCCTCGGCGCGCTTAACTTCCGCCTCGGCGCGCTTCGCTTCCACCCAAGCTAAAAGCACCGCAGCCCTTTCGCTCTCAGGTAGTAATCGAATGGCTTGAGTGATGTCTGTGATGTCTGCAGACATTGTGTTTTGCTTTGCTCTGCGTCCTCGGTTTTGATTTCGTTCAGCTTTTCCAAAGCAAGCTGTTCCAAAAAGCAAAGAAGTTCTCCACCAGTTGCTTGATGGCGGGAAGCAGTACGATCTGGTGGTCACTTCACCTCCTTACAAAATCGGAAAGCGGTATGATCGAACCGGGCCCCACGCTGATTACCTCGCTTACATGAAGGAGAGATTGCAACTGGCCGAAGCATTGGTGAAGCCTACCGGGTCGTTGTGGTTGAATCTAGGCTACACAAAGGCATACAACGGGCAGCACTTCCCTCTCTCCTACCATTTTTGGGATGCATTTGCCACGCTGGAGCTTCGACAGGAGGTTATATGGCACACTCATCGCGGAATTCGTGTAAGAACTACTTTTCGCCCCAACACGAAACGTACATGTGGTTCCAAAAGATAGGGCGTGATCCCTACTTTGACCTGGAGGCTGTCCGAGCACCTCACGACCAGAAAACATGCACCTATGGTACACGTAAAGGTGTCAAGCGTTGCAACCCGCGAGGAAAGAATCCATCGGACGTTTGGTTAGATCTGGACCTCGATACGACATTGTGGGACGTTTCCAGCGTGGCAGCAGGCGAGGGACGTTCGAGCGCTGAACGTGTCGCTCACCCGGCTCAAATGCCACAAGAGATTCTTGAACGGATCATCAAAGCTTGCTCCCCAGCGAAAGGCAGCGTTCTAGACCGGTTCGCCGGGTCCGGCAGCACTCTGATTGCCGCCATCAGATGCGGGCGCGAAGCTGACGGAATAGAAATCTCGCCTGAGTATGTGGCTTTGGCGAGGGAGCGTTCTGCAATCTTGCATCCACCCTCCTGATCCGAACATGACAACGCCTGCGCCAAACATCTACGGAGCACGATTTCGGGATTATTTTTGTTTATCCCCCTATCACATCGTATCTCGCACCGGAACTTAACTCAGCACGACCACGATCACCGATACCATTATCGCCCCGAAGATGGTGACAATGTCATCGTCTACGTCGTACATACCGGAATCTACATACAGTAGAACACGAGGAGTTTCAAGGCCGAGCAAAGTGGGAATTCAACGCGGTTTCAGGGTATGATGACGACGAAGACGAAGCCATCAAGCGCTTCAGAGGTGGGTTCGATGGAAATCCCACGGTCATTGTCATAGTGGACGTCGCCCCCGACGCCGTTCGCGGCAACGCAGTTAGGACCGACGGACGCTCCGCGGCGGGGAGGTGGGAACGCCGGCGGCATGGATACGGCATTGTTCGTCGGGAGTGGTGGAGGTGAGGCTAGTGGCGCGTCCCGCCCGTGTTTCCGTCGATAGTGGTGCGTGAATTCAACCACAGAGCTAGCCTCTTTGCAATTCAACACGCAGCAAGGTATCGTCTCCGCGGCCGCTGCAGTGAGCGACAGAACAAGATAACACCGAATAAGTCCGGTTCTACTGCCTCCCAGTCGCCCAGAAGGGTCTAACCTTTCTCAGGGTCGTGGTCGCAAGTAATCGTCTCGACGTGGCATTTCCAAACACGTTCGCAGGTCGGGCAAGTACGGTCCGCCAGCGGACAAGCGCACATTTCCTTCGTATGCCTGCGAAGGGCTTGTCGGCTCTGGCACAGGTAGAGACATAGGGGACAGACGTGCCTGCCGGAAGCCTTTCGCGGGGCCATGGTGTTCCTGTTGTCGCTCTTCGCTTTCTTTCCTTCACTTGTTCCGTGCAGACCCAGAGACCTCCGTTCCCGGTTCGCCTCCTCGCTCACTGTTGTAATACGCTTTTATTATACTGTGCGAGAAAGCTACTGGGATGGCTCGATTTCGGCCCTGTCGAATTCACTGACCGCTTGAATGGTCTTACGGAGCACATCCTTCAGCGGTCTCAGATCGGGTGGAAAGGCTAAGTGTTCTAACGCAGCGATGGCGGCTTCAGAAGTCTCATTCTCGGCGCGGTGGAAGGTGGTGTTGCTGTTTTCCTTCATATGGAGCACCGCCTGGAGCTCGTCCAGCGTCAGATTGTGCGTCGCCAGGATGGCCTTCAAAGCGTCGGTGATGACGCACTGAGGCGTCGGTTTTCCTCGTCGGAGAGCTTCCGCTTTCGTCTTCTGCTCTTTGCGAATGTCCTTGGCTATCTGTCCCCAGAGCGAGTAGTTGCGACCCACAAATTTCTCACTGAGGACATCGGTCAAATAGTCCCGAAGGTCGCCGACCCACTCTCGGTATTTGGCATAGATTTGCACACGAGCTTCTCCATACTCGAAGGCTGTGTTGATTTCGTCGAGGAGCTTCAAAATGACGTCGTTGTGCTGGGACTGCTGGCGCAGGATGTCGAACATGCGCTCGGTGACATTCTGTAGCTCAGTGATCAAGTGCCCAGCATCGTCCCACAACGCTCGCACTTCCGAGGTCATGTTTGCCGCTTCGACAGCTATGTCTTCCAGCAAGACCTTGACCAACGGTTCGATTCGCTGCTCATGACTCTGTTTCGCCCGTTCGATAGCATCTGCGAGTTCCTTACTGCGGCTGCGTACGTTGCTGATGCGGAGACCGAACCTTGGTCCCATGTTGCTGAGTTGGGCTGAAAAAAAAAGGCACTAACAGTGAGAAAGGGCCGTAGGATTTGTTGTATTTGTTATTCCTCCAACATACATAGATTTAGATATACCGGCACCACCGCCTACCTGTAGCCCACCTGATGTAGTTGATGTTGAGTCAGTTGCAGATGCTAACTTGGAGGAATTATCCGTCTTATTGACGTGAAAGACTGGGCTCGACTGGGCTACTTCCTCCAGCGGTCGTGTTCAACAACGACAGGAAACCAACTCCCACTCCATCCCCTGTGGTCGTTGAGTAGAGTTCCCAAGATGCTCCACCTGTCGATGTATTGTTAAGGTTTAAACCAGGCTGGGTACCAGCCACTGCAATGCCTGATGTTCTAGCGTTTCCAATAACATTAAGAACCGATAACGTCCCAACTGGAGTAATCTGAGCCTCTGAGGCTGACTCGCATTCACAGAAAACGTATTTGAAGATCGAGTAAGGCCACTTCCTGTATTAAGAAGATTATCGACATAAGTCTGATTCGTCAAATGGGTACTTGCTGTAGGGACAGTCGAGACTACAACATTCCCGCTGATATTTGCATCTCCTCAGCCTGTAATGCTAAGACCTTGCAAAGTTCCCACTTTTGTGATAACGGCCGACTGGTCTGCATTAAGGGACAAAGTAGTGCCAGCCTTGGAGAGTCCGGCTCCTGCAGTTGAGACTTGGCCATCGACATAGGACTTCTGTGCGACAGTTTGATCAATATTTGCATATGGTAGAATAGGTTCTTACTTGACAACGAACCTAATGTAGGCAGACCAGTCAAGGTGGAGTAGGCAACAGAGTTCTGAAGGGCAACTGAGCCAAGTCCTAAAGCCGTCCTTGCATTGCTTGGAGTTGGCTTGGAGTGGTAGAGACAAAATTTGTTGAATCTCCGACCAGAAAAATGTTAAGACTGGCAGTACTAGAACTGATGGCCGTAAGTTTGGGATTAGATGGCTGGGAACAAGGGTCCCGCTCCAAGAACACCCACGCTCAGCAATACTCGCCAGTACTCAGCACCAAGCGCCCGCTGGGCTGCGTTGGCGACCGGAGTCGAAACGGTGGTCTAATTCGGCGCTGACTGGAACTTCCTGGATATCTCCAACGAACGGCGAGGCACCTATCCTCGTTGTTCGCGAAGGAAGACACTGTGCATTGCGAGTCAAGGCTGCATTTGGAAACATTTGATCCCCTTCTGTATGCGAAGCGACTCGGTTGGCACTCCGAATGTGTGATCGTGTCCACGACCTCACGAAACTGGCCGTTGACTGCAGTAGAACTTGGAATCAGGCGAACTGGTGCAGCATTGAAATCGGAGTCGGCATCAGACCCTTCGCTACGTTTGGCACGTAATCTATATCAAGCCATGTACAACAGCATTGACAATTCACCTGTCACCCATGCCCTGGACTAGGATCTTCTACGGCGGAATGACGGCCATGACAACAATCTAGCATCCTCTGCTTCGAGGCAAACGACGCGAGAACCCTCACGTCTCGAAGGGCTTGCAACTGATGTGCATGGTGCGTGATATGGACCTTGACGGAAGGGAAGGGGAAAACGAGACTCAGAACTCGTATGTGCATCGCTCGTATCTGGGAGGAGTGGTGGCCCTCCGTGAAACGGCAAAGATACCCGCGGCGGAAGAGGAAACCACGCAACGCCTGCACAGACATATCAAGCATGATGTCGCCAAATGCCTGCAGCTAGACCTGACTGCGGTACCGGAGAAGCCAATGCCATGCGGGGCAAAGAAGTTGAAAGAAGTGTCATGCACCCGGGCGCGTACCTCTTCACCGTCAATGATCAGCAGTACGTCGGGAATACCGTCTGAGGTCTAGCTTGACGCTGTTTATATCAGCACCTCAAAGCCGAGTGCCGTGTCGGGGTAAAGCCAGCAAGGTACTGCCGAATATGAAGCCACCAAGGAGAACATTGATAGCCCAAATCATCCCCAGGCAAACCTTGAGCTTCTGGACACAATTGTTCGCTCTCCAACCGAGCAGCCAAGGTGCAACGCGATTCACGCCTCCGGGGGAGCTTTGGACCAAGAAGCCTGAGCCTCATGTATTCGCCTTGTCGTGAGCCATCGAGGCATGAGCCGATTGCTGGTATTCACGATCCGTAAAGTGTGGAGCGTTTGCGTGAAAGTCGATGGCGTGAGCGAAGCCTGATGTGAAGACTCGGACGGTGCGGCGCTGGATGGAGCGAAGCGGCCCGCCCGACACACACCGATTATTTGTCCGCGCACACTTACCCGGGCGTGAGCAGGCCAGTATGCGCAGACAAATGGTCACTGAGTGGAAACCCATGACGCGAGGAATGAGGAGTAGTGCACATTTGAAGCGGACTACCATTTCCGAAACAATGAGCTCAAATGCGCCGGGGAAAGCAGGCACGACTTCTTGGCGGCATCATCCCAAAATGAGTTCTGGACGATAGCACCATGTTCTTTGCATTTGGCCGTACAATTCCTTTTGTATCTCTGCAATTATTCAATATGAGCGGCGGAACCGTGCACGCAAAGAAGAACCTCGGATCCATCCAGCAAACTGATGTAACGTGAGCAAATCGCAAATTGTTCTCGCGCTCCGAAAACTTCTGACAGGTTCACTGCAACCTTTCCGCCGAACACCAGAAAGTTTTGGTAAAGATTCGCTCCACCAACCACCGGCGGAGATTAGAGCCAAAAACTCGGGAAGACATGTCATTAGACAGTCAGGCGCGCGAACTTTATGGCGCGAAATCGGGTTGCTAAACTCTAAAACAATTTAAACTGTTGTCACTATTGTCCATAAACAATAAACCTTCGATTTCATTGTCAAGAAAGGCGGCCTGCTCTTGGGGTAAGCGATTCCGCTGGTCCCGGTTTGGTTGCCTTTGATCGCTGACCCAAAGCGCCTAGCAAAGCGAAAATTCGAACGTTTCAGTTTTCTTGGCCGTTCTGGGGGTCCCAGGCCAGCGCCGGAACGAATGGCAACGCGACTCCGCTCAAAATTGACAGCGGCAGAAGGCGAGCGACGCCAACTTTGACAACGCGGGCACTGACAGTCCGATCTGGCTGGTCGCGATGAACCTTCGTAGCACCCACGCACATGTAGAGCGATGCGCCGGGGACCGGCAGCACATACGGGCAGAGGAACGCAGATGAGGGAGCGTCGGGTCGCATAAAAGCAGAGCTGGGCGAGTAGCATCCCCTCCTTCTTCACACCGCCTCACACCAACCCAACCAACATACACAGCCCCCAACCCCCAACACCGCTACAATCATGAAGGTCGCTTTCATCGCTGCATCGGTCCTCGCCGCCGTCTCTTCGGTCTCAGCCCACACGTACCTTGACCACGTCGTCCTCCCCGGCGGCGCAACTACTGACTGCATTCGACACACATCGACGTGGACAACCGGCCAGAGGAACTTCCCCATCAAGGACTTGGCCAGCAAGGACATGATCTGTGGGTTTGCGCCCACTCAGCCCGCGGCCGCCACGTGCCCCATCACCGCCGGCAGCAAGATGTCTTTGTTCTTCGGCCACGACCGTGCTGGGGACGACATCATCGCGTCCTCCCACAAGGGTGCTTGCGAGGTCTACCTCGCCGCCGCACCCGCGGATGGCAGCATGCCCACCGGCGACGCTTGGTTCAAGATCTTCGAGCACGGTTTCGACAAGGCCACCAACAAGTTCTGCACGGAGGTCCTGATGGGCAACGGAGGCCAGCTGGACATCACCATCCCCGCCCAGGTCCCATCGGGCAAGTACCTCTTGCGCACGGAGATCAACGCCCTGCACGAGGCCGACACCCTGTACACCAACAACCCTGGCCGTGGGATCCAGCTCTACGTGTACTGCGCTGAGATGCAGATCACCGGAACCGGCAACGCCGACTTTGAGCCCAAGACCCTCATCCCCGGAAACGTCAACTTCCAGAGCCCCGGTGTCCTGTTCAACCTCTACGCTCCTTACGACTCTTACCCCACCTTCGGCCCCGCCGTTGCCACTGCTGGCGGTGCTGCCCCCGCTCCCGTCCCGGTCCCGGCTCCTTCCTCCTCTCCCGCTGCTCCCGCGCCGGTCTCTACCCCCGCGGCGCCTGTGCCTACCTACACGGCGCCCACCGACCCCGAATACTCTACCGAGGCGCCTGTGCCTACCTATACGGCGCCCACTGACCCTGAGTACTCCACCGAGGCCCCGGCCCCTACTGCTGCGCCTACCTCTGCACCGGCTCCCCCCAAGTGCCGCAAGAGGAACTAAGTCATTTGCGATATGACGAATGTCCCATCGCAAGTATATACCGTTCGCCCGACTTTATAGAAGCTTGATCTCGCTACAAAGGCAAGCGATTTGTTCATAGATGCGAAATGCAAGATAGATGTAGATAGATACACACATATAGATAGACCGATTTCACAAGATAGATGAACGAGATGAACCGTTGAATATAAATAGAATTACGAAGCTTTGCAAACCACCAGACTGCGTTTAAATGTGGGAGTGTGACGGTAACCTTCTTCTCGACCTGGCTCTGCACTTTCGCAAATACTACTGCTTTCAAATGTGAGATACTTGATGGTATCATTTCGGGATGCTTTGATATATATAAGACTACCGGACATCGGTAAATACAAAATGAAGGCAGTTCAGAAGCCTCAAAAGAAACCTCTGGCACCGACACTCGCGTATCCTCCCTCAACCCCAACATCACCATCTTCTACCACGACCACATCGCCTCCTATACATATGAGCGCATACCCCGTCCCGCCCTTCAGACTCTCCTCCACCACGCTCAAATCGACCCTCACGCCCACGAGCGCGTTCCCGCCCAGCGCTCGCGCATGGGCCCTGAGCACGGCATGGATCTCCATCAAGAACGTATGCGAGAACCCGCCCATGCCTCCCTGTACAGAGTCGAATGTGATGGCGGCCTCCTTGACAAAGTGGTGGGATATGCGGCCGAGATGCGTAAGCGTGGGGTGGGAGGGGATGTACCATAAGGGTGTGAGTGGCACCGGACCAGTGTAGGTGGAAGGAAAATTAGGGAAGTGGTTGGGCCTGTGCGATGTTGATATCGGAGGAGCGCCCGATCCTGGTGATGCGACGGCGGACGAGGGTGGAACGGTGCTGGTAACTGAGGCTCCGATGCCGCTCGGATCGTCGGCGTCGATGGAGAAGACAAAATCTTCGTCGATGCTGGTCCCGCTGGTTCCCATGGATGTAACTGTTGGCTCGCGGCGGAAGAATAGACGGGTGGCTTCGCGCACGATGAGTGGGCTGGAGATGGTCAGCTTTTTGGGCATCGGGTCTTCCACAGCATGCACAATGCTCGGTCTGCGAGAAGATGAAAGGTTCCCAGATCGAATCTCCTCCAAGACTTCGTCCAGCTCGATGGTGTCGGTTTCCGCAGTCAACGTTGCATAATCGAGCGACGAACCCAGAGCCACCCCATTGAGCACGATCTGAATCTCGCATTCCTTCACAACCGTCACGTTGTAGTCCAGTCCGGCGACGACACACTTTTCAAAGTACGCACCCAACTGCATGATCAGCTCCTCATATATCTGCCTGAACAGTCCCGCCAGCTGCCTGTTTGGGTGATGGGAAGCACCGGTGATCATGGCGTGCTTGATCATCGTGATGCCCTGAACGCTATCCAGTCCGTGCGGTTCAAATAGGGTATCACTCGAAGGTGGCACGGAGGTATTGCAGATCGCGAAATTGGAAGGAAAGGAAGGCGACTGCAAAAGCACCAGATCCTCATCCTGCTCGTCATCGATCTGTACAATGACGCTGCGATGTCTCTTAGTCTGCTCTTGCTCATCGTCGGAATCGGAGTCAGACCCACTGCCGGAACTTGACGAGTCGTCTGCGTCGGTTTTGAGAACACGGTTTTTGACCTCATCCTCGTCTTCGTCTTCGTCCAGTTGTCGCCGCGCCCGCTTTAATGCCAGCGACTCCTCTTCCAAGAGTTCAAGCGCGTCCTCGATCATTTTTCGATTCTCCTCACTTCTGGCCATGATGCCTCGCTGAATCTCCAGCAGCCGTTGGTCCTCCTCATCGACCACTTCCAGGTTCCGAAACACTTTCAGTGGCGGTGGAGCAGGGAGCGCGCGCACATATGTGGCAGTGCCAGTAGCGACGGCCGTCATCAAAGACTCGCCTACGCTAAATTGTATTTTCAGCCCAAACACCGCATTGAGCCCGTTTATCCGCAGCTTATAGATAAGCTGTCGATGGATGTCGTATTGGGCGAAGGGAATAGCTTCAGATATGACACCTGGCCTGGAGTCTCCATGTATCCGGCGATACCTGCAGACTGACGGTGTATTGAAGCATCTTGAGCTTCAATCTTACAGAGCCAAACGCACGCGAAGACGTAATTGCATACCATGTGCTTCGAGCAAGATGCCATTACTCACGGTCTCGAGCTCAGGGGGTGGGTCAATGGTTGTCAACAAAACCTCCGGCACGTATTTCTTCTTACAGAGACCGCATTTGATATACGACATGGGAAATGGTGAGTCGTCGCGCCTATACGTGATATGACATGCTTGACAACCTGATTCGATGGGTGCTTAGAGGCACAGCCTTTTTCCACAGTGTGCCAATGAATCCGGCATACCTTTCGCTCGTTTCCGGCGTCTTCTCCTCTTCGCAAAAGCGTCCCAAAACGTTTCCCGAAACTCGCTACCTGTCAACGAGCCTCTTGGCTGCCCTAATGACCCCTGCGACAGCCCTTCTTCCAGTTTCGCGTCACGCGGCACAGATACCGAGTTCCGCCTGCTAACCGAGCTGGTCCCATTATGTGCATCGTTCGCAACCGACTCTCGCTTGGCACTGCCAGTCGCCGTACCCAGCACCTCCGACGTAGCATTGCCGCCCATCATCGCCATATCCATGATCGCCGCGGTCCCACTGCAATGCAAAACCGCAAGTTCGCCGTTGATGCAGCTGTCTTCGGTATACCCAATGACGAAAGGACACCCAAGAGCTCTGGCATGCGACTTAATCTCGTCGCGCAGCTCCGTCCACCAGGCTTCCCGGATCTCGGTTTTGCTGTTGTCGATGACTTTGACGGACGTAGCGCTCACAAGTCCGCCGATTCCGAGGATGGAGCCCGATGGGAAGTTGTGCAGCGTGAAAGTGACGTGCTCGGCGGATTTGTAGCCTGTTGCGGCGGTTGGTAGCAGCATGGCAACAGTCTGGTCCCTATGAAGGGATGAGCCGTCCTCTGATAAGCTCAACGCGGAGGCATGCGCATTGGGAGACGTGGGTACCGTCACCACCGGGAGCGATTCGCTAAAAGGTGTGCCGCCTAATGGCGAGGATGTCGGAGAATGTGCCAACGACGCCCAACTCGCGCCCCGGTCCAAAGTCACTTCATCCGGTATCACGAGTCGTACGGCGGTACCGATGGCCCGCGCTGTAATCGACCGCTCTTCATTTTCTATGTCGAAATACTGCTTGTATCCAATGACGGCATTCCCGTTCAGCTCGAGCGCTTCCTTCCCGATCTTCCTCCTGAGCTGTCCGCTCAAGCGGTACATGACACGCGTGCGCGATTCGTTCGACGTCCTTGGAGTTCGGAAGTTATCACTCCAGTGCTACGATGCATGGTCGAGTGTCAGACGCCCGCTTCAGCCTCAGTCTTGCATAGCTGTCATGCCAGTACTCACGTATTCAGGATCGTCCTCATTCTCGAGAGCAGATACAAAGCCCAATACGGACTGAACATTGAGGTTCGACGGCAGAGCAGTGGAGGTATAGAACTGAACACCGGCCGAACTATCTGGGCGGCATCAACGGATTCTCCTGTAAGCATCATATCCCCAGCGCACATGCCTGTCAAGCACCGCTCACCTTTGAAGGGATTCACATCCCCAAAAAACTGTAATCGGACCTGTACATTCAGCTCTCCTCTGACTCCCCGGAGTGTATCAAAGCTATCATACGCGGAAAAGTGAGCCGCAACGCCTCCACATCCTCCAGGACCCACTCCTATGCCCAGCTTACATCGGAATCCACCCAGAGATCTGCGACTTCGAATCCCACGTCAGAAGCGGGTTCATATCAATAAACACAGTCCCGATCGAGTCATTGTACGTGATCTGGTCGTAATCCATCACTTTCAGCTCCAGTGGCTCGTTTTGGAGATCGGCATCGTCGCTGACTTCCTGACAAGTTGGTTGATGAGCCTATGATCCCATTGCCTAAGGGCGAGATCAAGGAACGTACAAATCGGAAATCCTCGTTCCAGACGGGGTTCAGCGTCCTTTTGCAGATCTGCGTGCGGAACTCATCGTATGCTGCGAATTTCACCTCGACGAACGCGTCTGTAGCCGAACGGTGTTAGCTGAGACTGCGTAAACTACACCATAGTGGTGGGGTCGGCCAAAGAGCAGGTGGACATACCAGTCAGTTCGGTCGCTCGGTCCATGACCGGCAGGTTCCGAGCTGCGACGATGCGCACTTTCAGAATGCAAGGCTGGGAAGATTGTCATTTCGTCAGTAAACTCGAAATGGCCCGAACACAGCATATAACAAGTGTTGCCCCAACCATTTCGGGAAATGGCGCCGGGAGACCGGAGGGAGACCGTTGTCCAGTTTTATGTATGTGTGCCTCTGCCGAATGCTGTTCGGGACAGAGAGTCGCACCCCCTTTCGCAAAGTGCGCGAAAGACGGTGAACGCCTGTGAACGCGTTGGAGCGTCGGCATGATTGGAGTCGGTATCGCCCCCGCTGCCGTCGGTGTCGATATCATGCCATCGTCCAGCATAGCTGGTGCCATCAGAAATAGCGAGGATCCAGCTCCTTTCAAACATAGATATGTACATATTATAGAAGACGGCCTGTTTCTATACAAATCGAAGGGTTGGAGAGACGCCAGTCGCATGGATAAAGGACGATGTACAGTATACGTCGCTACGTTGTACACTACCGCCCAAGATCTCGGTCCAGCAATCCTCACCGCGCAAGGCGGTACTGCTCCCCTTGCAAATTCTCCATCAAGAAGTTCCACAGGCGGACATACACCTCCCTGGGCGCGCCGCCGGCGCTCATGCTGTGGTCCGAGTCTGTGTAGACCTGGACTTGGTAGTTGCGGATGCGGGCGTTGGTGAGTTTCCAGATGAGGGAGGCCGTATTCTGGAAGTGGACGTTGTCTGGTATCGAGGAGGGTGGAGTATGAGTGAGGTGAAAAAAGAAGTGGGAGCGTGGCGACAGTAAAGAGTCCCCGCACTCACCATCAGCAGTCCCATGCACCAAAAGATACTTCGCATTCCGGAAGCCCTCCATCTCCGTCACGGCACTGCCCTCATATCCCTTTGGGTTACTCCTCGGCGTCTTCATATACCGCTCCGTGTATATCGAGTCATAGTACATCCAATCCGTAACGGGCGCAACCGACATCCCCAACGCAAACCGGCCACTATTCGCCTCAATGCACTTGGCGGTCATGTACCCGCCGTACGACCAACCCCATATCGCGATTCGAGCGGGGTCGACGAAGGATTGCGTCCGTAGCCAGTCGGCGGCGGCTAATTGGTCGTCAACCTCGACGCTGCCGAGATGGGATGCGACGGCGGTGCGGAATTTGCGGCCCATGAGACCGGTCCCGCGGCCGTCAACGGTGAGGGAAAGAAACCCGCCGGCGGAGACGACGGCGGTCATGAAGTCGACCGAGAAGCGTTGCTGGACGAGCTGAGAGTTGGGCCCGCCGTAGACGCGCATCAGGACGGGGTACTTTGTGGTGCCATTCGCGTTGAAGTCATGGGGGCCGCGGAGCATGGCGTTCATCATCTGAGGGGACTGCCGTGCTTCCGATGACGACGAAGTATCTCCCGGCTTCTCACTCTGGTGCGCGATGGGAATTTGAAAGTATTGTATCTGGGGAACTGCGTATTGGCCGATGACATTCCACAATTCCTTGTTGTCCACATCGGTGCGGAACTCGGATAAATCAGCTTTGTATATCCTGCTCCACGGAACGCCTGGACCTTCATACTGAAGGACATAGAATCCGCAACCCGGTGAGAACCTAGCACTGTAGAAGCCGGCATCCGCCCCACTTGCGTCCAGCGCAATCCCCGCCTCCCTGCCCGCTAATATATTACTCGGCACGACAGGGCTTTCCGGCAACTCGCCCTTGGGCGGAGTCAACCGCTCTTTCGTGCCATCGAGAGCCACGCTGAAGATATGCCGTTGTGTCGGTCCATCCTCCGTGCTGCTGTAGTAAATCAACCCTCGCTGTGCATCCACAGCCAGGATCTTCTCCACCTCCCATGCGCCCTTGGTGAGCCACGCAGGGTCGACGCTGTTCACGCTTTGGAAATGCGCAATGTGCATGTATCCGTCAGCGTCTTCCAGCAGCTCCACGTAAGATGGTTGGTTACGGCCTATCGCTAGGGCTGGCGGGATAAAGGTAAGAGGCTGCAGTTTCGTAATCCAGCCTCCGTCCGTGGTGGTCTGGTTCCGCACCAAGGTTCCTCGCCACCGCGTCGTATCGTTCGCAGTCACGGCTTTCACCAGAAACAACCGATGCGTGTCCTGCACGCGGTTCGTGGTGCGTACGAGCAGCGAGTTGTCCGTGACCCATGTGACTTCTACGAATAATCGGTCGTTGTCGGGGAAGTAGTGGAGCGGGTCGAGCTCTACGAGGTTATCCCAGCCAGCGGGGTTCGTCGCCCCGGGTGTCGCGATATGCAACGTCACGACTGGGTTGGGATACCCCGGTTTGGGATATTTGACCGACACGCCCTCCGGATACGAGTTCTGCTTGTTGCGTTCATAGTATTGCAGATTGTATTCGGGTACTTCGGTTTCGTTGAATTTCAGATACGCGACATGGGTGCCGTCTGGCGAAAACCACATCGCCTCATGGCTTCCAAATACTTCCTCCTCGTAAACCCAGTCCGCAATGCCGTTGATAATATTGGCCGATCCATCATTGGTGATCGGGACTTCGATATGCGGGTCGGCATTCAGTGTGACGTAGATGTTGTTCTCCCGCACCCACGCAATATTGTTACCGCTCTTGCTCCACATCACTAGTGCAAGCTTTTTAGTCGGTTCCGACGTTGGCAATCTCGTTGCCTCCTTCTTGTTAACATCCCAAAGCCAATAATTCGCCAAAAACGAGTGACGCCAGCCCCGCTCGTAATCTGTTTCGACAAGGACATATCGCATGTCAGGAGAGATAAAGAAGTCTTGTATCGTTATCGGTTCTCCATTTGGCTCTTTCAGATCCTGGAGGATAACCGACTCGTTCTTCACATCCAGTGCGTGCTGGACGACAATACTTTTCTGGCGCAAGAAGGCATGGAAACCATCCGCCCCTAGAAGCAATGGCGTTCAGATGAGCGAACAATTATTGAAAACGATTAGCGGTTCCTTGGGGCTCAAGCCCGCTTACCCGGCAGCCACCTGTAATTTGACGTTCTGGGGCTGAACGTCCCATTGAAGAAGTGTTCTAACGTGACATTGGGCAGTAATGATATATGTTGCGGTTCTTTCACTACGAGGAACGAGAAAAACAGTTAGTCTGATGGAGAGCTCATAACACCTCTCCCGCTCGAATTAAGCGCTTACCGAACGCAGGCCCATTCGACGCAACAGACGACAGGATGATCAAACCCAGCACCAACGCCAGCCCACACATCAAGAACCATGGTTTCCGAACCCAATGCTTCATCCGCCGTTTCGCGCGATGCCTTAACCCGCCCAACAGGCCCTTCTGCGACATATCCATGTTCATATCGTCCATGTAAGCATCGTCGAAGTATGCGTCCTCGTCGTCGTCTTCATCATCGTTGACGTCGAAGCGGGCGCGCTGGCTTTGCGTTGTGGAGGATTGCTGGGACGCTTGGAGTGGGTAGCGACCGCTTTTGCATTGGTCGGTCGTGCGCCGGCCTTGGGTGGGTGATTGGCCTTGCGCGAACTCGGAATAGACGGGAACCGGCCAGGAATCGGCTTCCGGCCCGCCGGACTCGGATAGGTCTACTGCGGCAAAACCGTGCGAGCCGTCATTTGATGGCCGTGAGGAAGCCATTGCTTGGAGTCCAGCCCAAAGCGTTGCGGTGTTCGCAGCAGTAGCACGTCCGAGTGGCACTATTTGGAACGGAGGCCTCCTTTCTTTCTCTTGAAGAACAGATGCAGGTAGCCCCTTCTAGTCGGCACAACGAGCGGGAATGGTTGCAAGGGCGAGGGCAATAGCGATTGAACCCCTGCAACTGCCTGCAGGAAAGCTCTCAATTGCAAGGACAAACAATGGTTGTGGGGTGGCTGCAGTGCGGCCAGTTGACCGTTGACCGTTTCGGAGCGTCCGGGACCTGGTCCACCAATTTTTGACATTCCGGAAACGCAGCCTAGACCGACAATGCTCGCAGTGTCGCACATCAAGTCGAACCCAAAGTACTACATATTTTGTACATCTACATGTACACATCAGTCTACATTAATCTACGTATGAGGGGTGAGAATGATATTATTGTGCGATGTAAGTAAACCTTCCACTGTAAATTACTCGGTAAGGAAAATCTGCGCCCGTTCATAAGCCTCCACCACCGCCGGATTCATCGGCATCAAGATCGGCTTCGCAAACCGATACGCCATGAGCATGTAATACGTCTTCCCTTCGCTCAAATGCCTCAACGACGGCTCCTCATACACCCCACCCCTGTCCATCTTTGCCGCATCGCGCAGAATCGGAAGCGCTTCATGCAGGAGGTCGATGTCCGGATCCAGTCGGCGTCCAATACCCTCCAGCAGAACGATCGACACACCAACGTTAGCGAAATCGCCTTCGATCTTGATATGGTGCGTGCGGACCATCGAAAACACTTTCGCGAGAATGTCGCCGACTTTGATGGACCCGAGTTTAAGCGTGTTGTATTTCACCGTGTTGAGGAACTCTGCCATCGTGTCTACGAATTCTTTCTGGTTGATCACCGTCTGTGGGGTGCGTGAGCGCTCGATCATGAGGTGGCCGACCCGCTCGCCGTCGAATTCGGCGACGGCGCGGAAGAGGTCGAGGAAGTTGCGGAGGTTGAGTGTTGAGAGGGTTGAGACAAGCCCGGCGTCGAGGAAGATGAAGCGAGGGGTGTAGCCTTTTTTGAAAAGGTCGTTCATGGCAACGTGCCATTCGGCGGATGGTAGGGACGCAAGGTGGGATACTTCTTCCGGGCTAATTGAGTTTGGCTCTGCTCCTATATCGTTTGATTTCCCGAAGAGCGAGGAGAGTTGGCTGGATGTTGAGGGTCGATCGAATGTGATGAATATGTTTCCTGCATGATGCATCGGGAAGTAAGCAAGTGTAAAGCGTTCAGAGATGGCCAGAGATTCAAAGGATCTTACCAGGGTGCAGATCCGCGTGGACGAAGTTATCCAGAACCAGCATGCGCTATCAGATACAGATTGTCAATGCGTTAGCCACCCAGTTTCAACACATGAACGAGATCCTCAGCCAATGACACGCACCAAGAACGAATCCAGCCCAATCTCCGCCATCGCATGATCAAACGGCGTATGCCCCTCATCCAAAAATTTGCGAATCGGGATCGCATGTGCAAACCGCTCAATCAGTACAGTACGCCTGGCCAGGGCCATGTACGGCGACGGGAACGAGACTTTGGGTCGGTTTCGGAAGTTTTCGGTGAATCTGTTCAGATTCTCAGCTTCGCAGCGCAAATCCAGCTGTTCGTGCATCATCTGGCCGAACATGGCGACTTCGTCGGGAAAGGAGAGCCACTGGGCGTCCGGGAGGAGGTTTATGACGGATGCGACAAAGTGCATGATTTTGAGGTCCGCGTTGATGAGCCATTCCACCCCAGGGTGAAGGACTTTGACGGCGCAGGTTAGCGTCGGAGAGTCGGAGGCACCTGGAGCTGTTGGGCGGAGCTTGGCTTTGTAGACCTGATGTAGGGGAACTTAGCTTTATTCCTCTGCTTGATTTGTCTTCCATTTACATCATTGCTTACCTGGGCGATGGCGCCAACCCCAATGGGCTTCTCATTGAACTCCTCAAACATCTCCTCCAGAGCTACTCCGTACTCGCGCTTGATGATACGCTTTGTCGCACTGAAGGAGTGAGGTGAGACATGGGATTGAAGTCGGCCGAGGATTTCGCAAACGTAAGCTGGGAAGAGGTCACTGCGGGAGCTGGCCCACTGTCCTAACTACGAATCGAATGAAAAACGAAGTGAGCAACGTAGTTGAGGGCCCGACACATCAATAAGCTGTTGTACCTTGGTGAACGTCGGTCCACTGATCTCAAAACTCCACACCAGGTACTCGACCCACCACAGATTTGGCGTCGTGCCCAACTTGAAGCTTTTCCTTTCGGTCAGATACCATATTGGAAAAGTCAAGATGACCGGCCCAAACAGAACGGCGAGCTGCAAGAAGCGCCATGATACACGGATCGCGCTCCATGTTGCAGCCAGCACTCGCCTGGGTATAGAAAATACCCCTGTCGAAGTCGTACGTTGGTCGGCAACTTCGAGTGGTGCGGCGGCGAGGAAAACGGTGGCTGTGGCTGGAATTGAGCGGTGCGATGGAGGAGCGATGGAAGTAAAAGAGGTGGTGGATACATGGAGGCCCGATACATGGAGGCCCGGTACAGTCGCTACGAGCAGCCAGCCGGCTTTTGGTCTCCAAGAAGCGTTCCCATGACGCTGACGCGGACCTGCCCTGAAAGCAGACCACCACCAAGACCAGTCTCGCTGTTTCTGCTGTTGCTGCCCGTTGCCGTGCCGGCTGTGGAATCGATTATTGTGGAGAAATGACCTTTGGCTTTGACGTATCGATGCAAAGAGGTTGCGCCGTGGCGGACGGGCGGAGTATAAAGTGGTTGTGGCATTTGAAGGCAGCCGGCCGTAAAGCGCCAGTTGAATGCGCAACATGGGCTGGTTCGCTAGCCCGATGAGTGTGAGTGGGCGTGGAGGTGATCAACCTCCAACCCTCGGTGCGTCGGTAATGTTTCGGTCGTTTTGTACGTAATTTGGGAAATTGGAGTGGGAACTTCGGAAAAGCCGAGCCCAAGTTCCTTCGGAAGCCGTCGGAAATCGGTCGCCGATGACGGGTGACGGGTGACGGCAAACTCACAAATCAAATAAAAGCACTTGTCATAGCAGTAAGTGGGCCACACGCACTCCGACACCTGTCAAATTTCGTACTCGCCATTGGCGAGCAATGCTTTCATTGAGAAGAAATGGTTTTTAGTTCTGTTCTTTAGTTGGTGCGGTGGCGTCTCTATATGACCGGTGGCATAGAGCAGGGTACGATCCTAGTTAAGCTTAATCGGACAAGACAAGAAAGACGGTCTTCCGCGAAGGTCCAGGGTGGTGTGCAAACAAAGCGCATCTTGTTCACGCAATTGGTGGATCAATCTCAGCGAGGAAAGCCTGCGCTCCGGCCGAGTCTCGAAACAAGACTTACAGGAATGGTAAACATTGGCCATTCAGGATAGGGCATTCATGGGGCGCCCGCCGCCTGAGGGCTAAAAGCATGTATCCCATGAAGATGCTGAAAACCTTGGTGGCGTTCTTGTTTGCCTATGTTTGAGGAGCAAGGGCTTGCCCATAGAAATCCCGCATCCGTGAGGCCATGCCTCTGGTATAAAAGCATCTGCTAGAGGAAAGTCCCCGTGTTGTTGATTCCCATACACCTGCCCATACACCAAGATGGGCGTACACAAGGCGGCCCCGGTTCTGCTCGTATGCTTCCTTCTCTGCCTTTCGTCCGTCGCTGCCATCACCGCGAAGCCGGCCACTTCAACGAAAGCAGTCACCCCAACCCCTACCACGGCTGCGATCACTTTCGTCGAACCCACATCCGAAGCTGAAATTATAAAAATCGTTAGCGATGCATACAATGCTAGATCCCTGGTCCGCGTCGTAGGATCCAACCATTCCTGGGCCGACGTGGTCATCGACAACACTCCAGCCAAAAAGCGTGTACTCATCTCTTTGGAGAATTACTCGGGTGTGACGGTCGACAAGAAAACCAATATCGCTGTTGTGAAAGCCGGTACTCATATCGGAGATCACGCTCATTCGGCAAAGGGCGTTGCCGTTGATAGAAAAGTGACTTTGATCCATGAGCTCGAGAAGTATGGATACGGACTTCCCGTCCTCGCGGGAATTCAGCATCAATCTGTTGGTGGCTTTTTGTCAACTGGTGCTGCTGGAGGTTCCGTGAAACGATCTTTGCTAGATGCGGTTGTGAAGATTGCTCTTATCGATGGTTGTGGAAAGAAGGTAGTTGCTGATGTACTCCCAATTAACGTCGAACGCATCGAAGATTTAACAATGCGTTTCTTTTTTAGCAAGTCTATGCGCCGCCTCAAAAAGAGTTCTACGCCGCCGGAGTCTCCCTCGGATTGTTAGGGGTCGTCACAGAAGTCCATCTCAGGCTCGATTACAAGCTCTACAACATTTCCGGCTCTGAAGTTGCTTGTCCCGTCACTCCTCTATCCCAAAACAACTCCCTCGGAAGCCCTATCGACTTTTTCGGCCCCGGGAAAACTGGCTACCCGAGCCTTCTCCAGTTCTTCACTGGAAACACAAACGATGGTGCGCGCGTCCAATGGTATCCTCAGAAGCTCTTCAATCGTATCCAAATCTACCAGTGGAAGCAAGCTGCTTTGCCTGCGAAAACCCCGCTTTCGCCTTTTGTGATCTTTGGCGGTGCGACCGGTGCGGACGCAGTGGCGATTCAGGAACAAGTCGCTGGAGGATTACAGTTCCTGAACGCTGCCAACGATGAATCTCCGGAATTCTACGAACAAGCGGCTGGCATCCTCGACCAATTCGTACCGTTCGAAAGGCAAACATTTTACGATGTTTACTATAACAGTGTCTCCCCCGATAATGGGATCTCCGATACCATTCTTCCCGTAGTCATATCCGAATTCTGGTTCCCTCTGGAAAAACTTCCCAACATCCTAGCCACGTTGAAAACCTACTATGCCAAGAACGGATACAACGCCACCGGTGCCACCTCCGTCGAAATCTATACTGGCAAAAAGAGTCTTTTCTACTTGGGACCTTCCTACAACACGGACGTCGTACGTCTGAATTACGTCTGGCCCTCCGTCAATACCATTGGTACCCCGCAAGCCTGGTTCCAACAATTCTGGGATTTGCTTAAACCCTTTGAACCCAGATTCCACTGGGGAAAAGTGTTGCCGTCGTATTACAAGGGTGCCTATCTGACGAAATCCTATCCCAAGTTAGCCGACTTCTTGAAGGTACGCCAGGATTTAGATCCTCGCCAAGTGTTCGTCACCAATTATTGGCGCAACATTTTGGGAATTCCAGCCGCGACCGTTGGCAAGAGGGATCTCGGCGACGACCAAGGTGCTGTTCGCGAACCTGATGCCTTTGGAGTTGGTCAAGAGGGCGTTTACCCGGACCTTCAGGACTCGCCTATCCTCAACAAGGAAGCTCAAGAGAATACAGAATACCGTGACGGAGATTTGAACGAGGCTGTTGTCGCATAGTTTAGATTTCTTCTCTCTTATTGCTTCAATATACCGTACCTTTGGTCCTTGAAAGCTTTCGTCTTGGAGTGCGCCGGCCTTGCGGCAAGAGAGCGAGCCCTCCATGGACTGGGGCGACGCGTAAGTTGCTTACGCCAAACCGACGACCTTGCGCATTGATCATGAACCCTAACCCTCTAACGCTCTCCGAAATTTGCAAACCTTTGTGAGCTGCCCCGTTTTCCTTAACCCGCTTGGCTTTCTCAACATTTTACCACGCACGTACCACACACTCTTCTCTCGCCACTCAGGACGTAGAAGACATGAGCGACAGAGGAGGCAGTCGAGAAAGAGGGCGCGGCGGTGGTAGCTCTCGTGGCGGTGGGCGGGGTGGATTCAGAGGCGGCCGAGGAGGTGGAGGAGGAGGAGGCAGTCGCGGCCGTGGAGGTTCAATGTCTAGAGGAAGGGGACGAGGGGGACGAGGAGGCGGTGGCGGAGGCAGAGGAGGAGGAGGAAGAACGAGGGAGTTGAACGATACTACGAAAATGCCCGCTGTCTTGCAAACCCAGTTTGAAAACGAGGGACGCGGTGAGTCAGCGCAAGCAAGCCCATTCCGAGCATTAGCGACTCGTCGGGTCTCGGACGAAGCTGACTGGGCATGTATCGTTGCTTCGGCAGGTGAGGACAAGGAGCTGGATAGACGGTTCGCCTTCCGTTACAGCAAAAAGTCTTTGAACCGAAAAGCAGAGCGAAAGGAGAAAAGGCTGGAAAAGAAGCAGAGGGTGCACCAGCACCATTCGCAAGCGAAAAAAGCACATTTGCAGCCAGCGGAGGAGGAGGTTTGTATGGCGTGCAACTGGTAGCGTATTAAAAACTTGGAGGTCGCGACTAACGAGCTTGCTTCCAGGAAACGCAATCCAAAAAGCGCAAAATCGACCTCGAAGAGGAACCACAGCCCCCAAAGAAGCTGAAGTCCTTAATACCAGCCCCGAAACCCGCAGATCCAGCAGCCGAAACCCGAAGACTCGAGCGTCTCGCCCAATCCAATCCCCACTTCTACCGCCTACTAGCAGAACAAAACCTCGTCGACGGCACGATCGGCGGCGCAGGCCCTAGCACTAAAAAATCGGCGTTTGCAGACGACGACGCCGAGATTGCGAAATACGCCAAGAAGCTGAAGATTAAGGATAAGAGCAAAGTTCCGTCGACTTTCACGGAGGAAGGGCTGGACTTCTTGTTCAAAGGGCTCATGGGTGAAGCGGGGTCGGATGATGAGGGTGGTGTGGCTGGGGGCTACGAAGGCTACCTTGCGAGTAAGCGAAAGAAGACTGCAAAACCGGCTGTTCGGGCGGGGAAGGCTGCGGAAGCAGCAGGGTCGGCTGACGACGAAGAATCGGAGAAGGACGACAATGCGATGCTTGGGCTGGACTTTGCGTTTGAGGATATTGAGGACTCGGATAATGCCGAGGATCGGTTTAGCGATCTGGAGGTGGATATGGGCGATGATTCGGACGAAGAGGAGTCTGATGAGGAGGTGTTTGAGGATGGGGATAGTGTTGAGGGCGAGGAGGGTTTCGAAGATATGGTTTCTGAAGATGAGGAGGACTTGGAGGACGACGATGAAGACGATGAGGAAGACTTCGATGTTGAGGATCCTCTGCAGATGTCCGACTCGGACGATACCGGCTCCGAAGGGTCCGAGGACGATGATGAAGCTTTTGAAGCTGCAAGTGATGCAGGGTCAAACGCAGAAGACGATTCCAGCGAGGAGGCAAATACTTCGAACAGTCCGACCGAAGACGCCGACATATCACCTCAAATACAACCTTCCGCCCCAGCACCCGGCAAATACGTCCCGCCACACCTTCGCAAGCAGCCCCCAACCAAATCCGAAGCCTACCTGCGCCTTAAACGCCAAGTTCAAGGTCTTCTCAATCGTCTTAGCGACGCCAACATGGACTCCATCATCTCCGGCATCGAGGAGTGCTACCGCAACAACAGCCGGCACGACGTGACAGAGATTCTCACTGACTCCATCCTGTCGTTTGTCGCTGACCACGCGAATCTGCTGGACTCATTTGTGATGACGTATGCCGCGTTCATTGCGTCGCTGTATAGTATCGTCGGGATTGAGTTTTGCGCGCATTTGATGCAGACGGGTGTGGAGTTGTACGAGACCTCGCGCAAGGAGTATTTGGACGGGATAAAGGTTGACCCCGAGGGATCTGACGCCAAGAGCAAGCGATGCATCAACGTCGTCACCCTCCTCGCCTTCCTCTACAACTTCGAAGTCGTCTCCTGCGTCCTGATCTACGACATTGTCCGCGAAGCCATCGGCACCCTCAGTGAACTGGACGTCGAGCTCCTGCTGCGCATGCTTCGAATCTGCGGGTTCCAATTGCGCGCTGACGACCCGCTCGCGTTGAAGGACATCGTCCTCGCCATCCAAGCCGCGGCCGCCAACCGCCCCGAAGCCTCCTCATCGCGATTCAAGTTCATGGTCGAGACGATCATGGATCTCAAGCACAACAAACGCAAGCTGGCTAAGAAGGGCACGACGGCGAACGCGGGCGCAGACATGTCGCAGCAGGAACGGTTGAAGAAATTTGTGGGGAATATGGGCAAGAAGCGGGCGACGCTGCATTCGACGGAGCCGTTGAGGGTAGGGTTGGAGGATATTCGCAATGTCGTGACGAAGGGGAAGTGGTGGCTGGTGGGCGCCGCGTGGACGGGACATGAGCTCAATAACAACACCAACAACGAAAACCAAAACGACACATCCGCCCTCCCCACATCAACATCAACCGACAATCCCACATCCCTCCTTGCCCTGGCGCGCTCCCAAAAAATGAATACCGACATCCGCCGTTCGATCTTCCTCACCCTCCTCTCCTCCGAAGACTGCCTCGACTGCTTTTCCAAGCTGCTCAAGCTGCACCTCAGCGACAAGCAGGAGCGCGAGATCGTGCGCGTGCTGCTGCACTGCGCCGTGCAGGAGAAGGTGTACAACCCTTACTATGCACTGGTGGCCCAGAAGCTGTGTGAGTGGAAACATGGCATGCGGATTACATTTATGTATGCGTTGTGGGATGCGTTCAAGAGTATGGCTGGGGATGATGGGGGCGAGGAGGAGGAGGGGATGGATGTGAGGAAGTGTGCGCATATGGCCAAGTTGTATGCGTATTTGGTTGCGGTGGATGGTGTCAATTTGGGCGTGCTCAAGGTAATGGTTTTACGGTTGCCTCTTTGCAGTATCTTTGCGATACATTTACTTAACTTTCCATCTCTTTCGTAAACAGGCCTTAACATTTACATCCCTCCAACCCCTGCACCACCTATTCCTGCAACTCCTCCTCACAACCCTCTTCACAACCTACGCAAAAACAACCACCCAGATCCACACCATTTTCGCCCGCGCCGCGACGCAGGAGAACGTGCGCGAAGGGCTGGTGTTTTTCATCAAGCGCTGGGCGAAGGAGGGATATGCTGTGCCGGGGGTGAAGGTGGATGTCGACGGCGTGAGGAAGGCTTGGAGGGCTGCGAGGGAGGCGTTGGGGGGTGGGGGTTTTTGAAGAGGCGTGAACAGGGTGTAATTTATATATATTTTTGTATTTGCGTAGAGTAGGTAGTTGATATGATATAGAGTTGAAAAGCGGAAGAAGGTCTTCACAAACGTTTTGAGGGGGAGGTTTGCGCTGCTGACTATAATATAGCGCTGCACTAAAAAATGGAGAGTAGGTTGAACCAGTACGCAAATCATCCTAGATGATTGCATTCCGGGAAGTGGTGTGAGATTTGGCGCGTCGGAGCTCGTCTGAGATCTGGCGTGGTGGGTTTTCACCAAGGTTTTCACCATCGCAGACAAGCAGGGCAATCATCGAGGACGGACTTGCAACGTCAACATTGTGTCCCAAACACAACGAAGATGACAGACCAAATGCAAATAGACACCCCACCCCTCCTCTGTCCAGCATCCTCGTCAAGAATGGGGTCATCCAGCGCAGGCACACCGTTCCCACTACCACCGTTACCACCATTACAAACAACAGGAGAAGCAGACGAGCCGGAAGAAGCGGCACGGCTACGGTTCCAGCTAGAGTTGGAGTTTGTGCAGTGCTTGGCGAATCCGCAGTATTTGCAGTGTGAGTTTAGGGGAATGTTATGCCCATATGGCAGCGTCGGAGGTGTCTTTTGGCAACTCTGCAACGAGGCTGACCCCTGCTCTTGTCGTACTATCAAGTCCTCGCACAACGGCAATATTTTGCAAACCCCAGCTTTCTTAACTACCTTGCGTATCTGCGGTATTGGCAGGAACCGCCGTATTCCAAGTATATCACGTATGGGAGGGGCGGTCGATACCTCACGCTTTCAGGAATTTAAGATCTAATCCTAATCACCCATTATATGGCTACGTTTTCCCAGATACCCGTACAGTCTGTATATGCTAGATCTCCTCCAGCATGCTGCATTCAGGGAAGCCTGCGCGTCAGCGGATACAATGCGGTTCTTGCATGAGAAGGAGTATTGGCATTACAGGACGTACCGGAAGAACAGGATGCCGGAGTCGCATCGGGCGTTAGATAGTATGTAACATGTGGTTTACAGAGGGAAGGGATCTTACGCTAGGATTGCCGGCTTTTTGGATTGGTCGAGTTGTGGCGCAGAGTGGCGAAAGGAAACATGTACATTTTAGTCTTTCCATGTCCATTTGAACGTCATAATATTTACATTCGTCGGTGATCGCATCCAAAGCGACCGGACATATGTACTGTCGATGTCATCTCTCCCATCGCCACGCATCCCCCCGTCTCACAGCTTACTGCTAATAACAACATCGCGTTTCTCCATCTGTTTCTCAACCTCCATCTCCGCCTCCTCCTCCGCATCCTCCACGGGATCCACATGCCCAATCCTGCAAAACATCGCTCTAGCCTCCGCCCTCCTGATTCCCTTCGGCACCGGCTCCCTCCCAAAATCATACGTCGCAAGATCCATCCCGCCCTGTCCGCCTTTATTCCCCACATCAAAGACGCACCCCTCCACAAACACCTTCCTCCCCTCTCGCTTCGTGATCCCGCAGTGGAACCCCAGCACCTGCGCTAGCGGGACCGGCCGCCGGTAATCCACAGTGAGTGTGAGCGTCATGTGCGGGACATGCTTATTAGCCGGATCCGAGTGCACAGCAATCGCCAGTAATTGATCCAACGCCGTGCCGATCGCGCCGCCGTGCACGCACTGCGGGGCGCCCTCTGTCGAATGCGCAAAGTAAATCAATCCGACGAGGTAGTAGTTCTCCTGCTTTTGGGTGGGGAGGAACGTGCGGTATTGGAAAGTTTCGCCTGTCCCGTAGAAAAAATCGGTCCCGCTGAATAGGCCTGACCGCGTGCGCGCGCTGTAGGATGGCCACCAGAGTTTGGAGTCGGGGGTGAATGTGACAGTCGGGTTGGAGGCGAGCGAGTGCAGCGCGGGTAGCCGGGTCGGGAAGCGAGTGAGGTTGCGGTCGTGGATGGCGGTTGGGAGGGGATGCGGGGTTTCTTCGGGGAACGCCATTGCGGGAAACATCGTGCGTTCGATTTTCGCCGTCCAAGTTGCCTGGCTTGGGTGACCGTCCACTGTCTTTTCGCCTTTACCTGGTCCGCCTGTACCCATGACTTGCGAGCGAGAGGAAGATGAGCGCACTTACCTTTTTATGAAGAGTGTAAATGTCGCAGGGGTCCCTTTCCTCCGAGGGAGAATAGAGATGGCCGCCGCGGAGGCCGGGAGAGGTGTCACGTTGCAACCGCCTGACACACGTTCGTCCTCCTGCACTTACCGCTACCGCTTCCCAATGGCGGCGTGTAGATAGTGAGTTTGGCAGCACTTCAGACTACAGCAGGGACTTTCGGGTAACGAGTGATAAGAGCTCTGAATGTCGTTGAACGGACCTTTCGGGACGAGCAAGATGTCAGGGCGTCAATAGGAGCTACTGGAAGGCTTCCTTCTCGTCGGTTTGTTGTAGTGTACTGTACAGTACAGACCCCTCGCAAAAAGCCGCTCCCCCCAAAATCAAGTGAGTGCTGCGGCGCCCGACTCATCCGCTTGTGAAACGGACGCTCACTTCAATTAGAACGGGACGAGCTCTTTCCGAGGGGTCTGTACTGTATGTAAGCGCGCGGGCCCGAGGGCGGAGTTTGCTCCCCTTGCGGGCCTAGGGGCAAATGTGTTCTTCGCGGGCCCAGGGGCAAACGAGCGAGCGAACGAACGCGCGCGGCAAGCAAGCAGCGGAGGAGGAGCATAAAAAGAGCACCCTCATCCGCATTCCCTCTCAACTTTTCAACCAGCTTTTCACAACTTCCGGCTATCCATTAGTACCCTTGGAGTTGACCGCGTTGGGTCGGGCTTCGGTGCTCTGGAAGGAACAAGAGCAGGGGCGATGTGGTCGCTGGTTAAGAGAAATCTAGACCCTTCGCAGCGGGTTGGACATCCCGTCGCTCGTCCCTTGGTCGTGATGGCCGGTTGGGGTGGAATGCTGGTTTCGCCATCGGACTATGTGGAGGATTGTGTGGAGGATTGCGCGCGCTGTCAGAAAACGATAAAGGTGACGTGCATTGCTTTTCGCTGTTCTTCACACAAGTTAGGCGATTGTACAATTGTCAATCGGCTAACTAATGAGCCTACGGTGGTCCCAAGCCCACAAACCTCTTTCGAGAGGGAATCCAGAGGGGTTAGCACTAACTTGTACTTCTTCGTCGGAAAACTCCCATCTGCTATAATATTGTCAAAGGCTTGCGATCCTGTAATATACATTCTTTCAATATATAATTTGTGCCGTAAGGTCACGCTCCCGCCGCCTGCAACATTTTGCCCACAAAAAACAGCAAGTATTTGGTGCATGTATCGTCCGACGGCGGTCTCTGATTCAAACAAATCTCGAAACCTGCAGAGATGGCGGATAGCAGTAAGCTGGACGCAGGCATTCGTCGACAGCGGGGACAAGATTAACGGCCACCATCAGTTTATTGCATGCATAATCCGAAGGCGCAATGAATTTTCCTAAATCATCCCCTCTAATCTACACACAAGGCCTGCATATCAATCAACTGATGCATCTCCGTGTCCTCCCACTCCACCTTCTTCCGCGTCTCACCCTTATTCCCCGGCCCCCGTTTCTCTACCGTGACCTCCGCCGCCCTCGCCGACAAATCCACATCCGGCACCGCCGGCAAACCATTCGGCCTAATCTTCGTTCGTCGCGCACTCTTGGGCGTGTAATTTGGGGATGCGGTGACGGAAGCGGGGGAGGAAGTGTGCGTTTGCGGTTTTGCGGGGCGTTGCGCGGGTGAGGCGGGTGCTGGAGGGTACATGTACAGTGATGGGACGGGTGGGAGTTCCTTTTCCTTACGTGCCGCGGCGGTTGTGGAGCTGGCTTCGAACACTGTTAATGCGGATTTGACGTCGGCGTCGAGCTGGTTGAGCAGTTGCGAGACGCTAGATGACTCTGGTGGCGTTGATGGTGGTGGTATCGACGACATCTCCGAATGATCGTTTCCGCTGGATAATTGTTTGCGACCGGTATTCTGGTTCTGAGCCGCCGCCGCAATCAACACAGCCTGTGCTTGCGCCGCCGACATCGGCGCCTTCCTCCCACTCTCGTCGTTTTCCCGATCAGCCTGATTCCCCGGAATCACCTCCACCGCACCCTTCAGGAAAATCTCATCCGCGTTCCAGATCTTATTCAGCCGTTTGATGTCCGCGACGCTCATCCCGTACAGCACTGCGATGCCTTCGAGCGTATCCCCCAACTTCACGGTGTGAAAGACCCTGTTGCGCTGTGATGGGCCGGTTTTGGGAGGGACGGGTGGTGGATGCACTTCGTTCATTCTCGATGCCGGTGCTGCATTTCTCCCACTCGATCCTTTCGCTCCGGTGAGTTTGTTGTGAATAGCGCCAAGTATGGCAACGGGTTCGGAACTGCATCGACGGCGGGATAGGCGGGATGAGGTGAGGGAGTAGTCGTGCTCTGAGGTATAAATAGCTCCTTTCTGCGAGAGCGGGTGGTCGATCGTTAACTGGGTCGTTAGTGTTGGTCTTGCCATCGTTGAACGCGGACCGAAGGCGAGTTGGGTGAGGGGAAGGATGGGAACCTTTCCTGGCTAGCTCGGAATGAATCCTCTCGCAAAAAGTTTATATCTACGCTCTAACACTATTCTAGCACTAGGCGAAAGGGCTGCTATTTTGATACGAAGTTAGGCGGTTGGGCGTGATATGTTTACGAGCGTCGACGTCCATTCGGATTTTTGTGAATTTGAAGGAAGAAGCGATGGGAAATGCATTGCCTGTGGCGTGCCCACCCCACCGTATTGGGAAGCAACAACAAGGTTGAGGTTGAGCGTACCTGAGGGACGCTTCTCTCGAGAGAGACGACTTTTGGCATGTTCGGAGCAAAAGCGACAGCGTGCTGGCTGTCAAAATCGTTTATAAGTCACGTGCCGAGTTGATCGCCGATGGATCGCCTGATTTGCGCAAGAGGGATTGCCAGAGGGAGAAGAGAGACGAGTCCCGTTTCCCTAGACCCTCACTTTATCCCTCGACACAACACACCTACTCAGTACCCGTATATTATCAGAATAGAATGGCTAGCAACAAAGTTTTCGTCGGTGGTTTGGCGGTATGTCTCCCTCTTTTGTTGCGCTTCTCAACTGCTTGCTGAGCCAGATCTGGGGAGGGACAGCTTTCTGCCGGCGGTCTCCTTGATCTGAACTTCTTGAAACTCGATCGCTGATCCTCCTCGCCTTCCTCTAGTGGGAGACCAACAACGACTCGCTCCGCACTGCATTTGAGAAGTTCGGCGCCGTCGAGGACTGCTATGTGATTTCGGACCGTGAGACAGGTGCCCATCTTCAACCGTGATTCCGAAAGTCGGATGCGGCCCTTATCCCATCCCCCACCACTGTTGCTGTCCCTTTCCCGTTCTCGATACTGTTTCCTCCTGTCGCTGTGCCATGCTTTGGGCACTGAGCTTTCTGGACAGGAGTTTCATCTCGCGTCGAGACTGTTGACCATACGGCGGGTTTTCGGTGCCCTTTGCGGACGATTTCCAATGTCTAAGAGATGGATTGTGCCACACACATGTTACGACCGTTTGCCAAAGGCTCCGACAGTCTGTGTTTCGACGGGTCTCGCGCAACGCAGGCCGAAAATGGTCCACATGAATCATGATATTGCCACAGTTTCGATCTATTGCCTGTCTTTGGCACATACGCCGCATGTCGCCGTTCTGTTGTTGACCTTCTGGCGCCCTTCCCGTTCAATTTATCTCTATGTTCCCGCGGAAATCATCTCATCGACGACTCGTCTACATCCATTCGACTCCCCTCAATCGACCATCAATCTTCCGATAATGACGCTTTCATCATCAAGGTCGCTCCCGCGGTTTCGGATTCGTTACTTTTGCGGAGACCAAGAGCGCTGAGGAGGCTGTTAACGGAATGAAGGACCAGGAATTGGATGGCCGGTAAGTCATTAGCCTAACTCTCACACTGGTTGTTTGCGATATGCTTTCAAATTCCAATCCTAAATCTATGTATATTTACAGTACTATCCGTGTGGACCTCGCCAACGACCGCCCTCCTCGTGGTGAAGGAGGCGGTGGTGGTGGCTACCGCGGTGGCCGTGGCGGTGACTCCTATGGCGGAGGTGGTCGCAGCTACGGTGGCCGGGATGGCGGTCGCGATGGTGGCCGGGATGGCGGTCGCGACGGTGGCCGCGATGGAGGCCGTGGTGGAGGTGATCGTTACGGATCCCGCTACGACCGCGACGATCGCCGCGATGGAGGTCGTGACTTCGAGAGGAAAGACGACAGGAGACGCGAAGACCGTGGAGACTCTCGTGGAGACAAGGGAGGCGACCGTTACGAGCGCTCGGACCGCAGCCGCGCCGACCGCTAATTACCCTTTTTCGCAAACGTGTTGACCCCTGTCTGTATCCAGTTCTACCCAATCTTGCGTAGCGCTCAAGTCATAATATCGAAAAGCGCCCATTTTTGTATTTAGTTTGGTGAAATAAAGTTTGGAATGTGAAGCTGCTTCTTGTCCCTTCATCGCCCATTCACGCCTATATACAACGGTTCCATAGTCAAGATCTCATCCCACAACCATAAAGCGTCCTCGCCGCCATTTACTTCGAGCTCATATTATCGATCAACGCCAACTGCTGCTGCTGCACTTTATTCAGGGAATCCGCCTGCGCCGTCAACCTATCCAGCTCAGCCTGTCGCTCCTTGATCAACATCTGCATCTCCTTCTGCTTGCGGCGGCGGTTGTCGAGCTCGCGTTCGGAGCGGTTGCGGAGTCCGATGGCCTGTGGGAGAAAAATGTTAAGATTTTCATGGAAGTGACGGGAAAACGGACATCGAGGCTTTGATTCGTACTTTGAGTTTCTCAGCCTCAATCTGTAGCGCCTTCTCTTCCATCATCTTCATGAACATCTGGATGATATCGTTGAACCCATTCATCCCTATCCCAAAACACGTTCAGTTCAACATCCAGCGTAAAACAAACAAACTCTCTTCATGCTTTTGATGCTTAAATCCCAAACACCCACGCTCTGTAAACTCGCTACACTCATCCTTCAGCCTTTCCGACGCCTCGAACTGCGTTGGGTCCATGACCCGCAGTTTGGAGAACTCGTCGAAGGTCACGCTTACGGGTTGGTTTGTGATGCTCATTATAGCGGTGGGGTGGGATGAGGCAGAATCGCTATAGTGTTGAGGTGGCAGCGGTTGAGGAAATGGATTGGGTTTTGGAGTACTGAACGAGTTGACGGGCAAATGCGCGCGACGCGCTGTCGAATAGCCAAGTAGCGCAGTCAAGGGAAACTCCGAAACACTTTTCGCACCGCAGAATGCGGCCTTTCAATAGGAGCTCTCTAACCGCCAGGGTGTCTAGCAGCTCAGTGTGGCGGCAGTCTACGTTGTTCTGATAGGGGGGCGGGGCCGCGAGCCAGAGTAGAGTGAGTCGTGTAGTTGGCCCGGCCAGTGAGATCTGCTTAAGCTTAAATCCGACATCCTTGTTGATCTGCCTAGAGTTTCACCCCGCTATAAAAGGTGGACAGACATAAAGAAATGCACTGTGATCTAAGGATCAACGGACTCTGTGCGGTGGACTACTGTTTACAATCGTTGCTGTAACGGCGTTGGCGACAGATCTGGAGGAATCAGCCGCTTGCCACCGCCATGCCGAAAGAACAAGCCGGCCATCTTCGGCCCTCACTCTATGCCTCCTCCGACCGGATAGACCGCAGTGCTCAGCTCACAGATCATGAGATCCAGCGGATGGCGTCGTCGCCATCCTATGCGAACGAACAAGCTTATCAGCAGCATGCTCACCACCAAGGGGGTTCTGCCCTGGCTTCACCCCCAAATCTACATGACGCACCTACCACCACCGAGGAACTGCTGCACTGGAAACCCGCCATACCGCCCTCCCGCGGCTGCTTCCCCTCGGGCTCCCGCAAGCCCGCAATCGCACCCGCAGGAGTGAACCCTTGCACGCCACTAGCGAGGCTTGTGAACCCAGAAGGTCTGGTCGGCCCACCATCCCCGTCGCTCAACACCGACTTGATAATCGACGCCGTATATGCCATATGTCTAAGCAGAATCCCGCTGATAGTGGCTTCCAATGGGCTGGACAAGTACGCGATCCTCCAGTTCGTCATGGTTTACCTCCCCTTCCATACAACTTACACACAACTGGTCCTGGAGCACGACCGCAACTTCGCTAAGCACGACCTGCTCCATGTAGTGTACACATGCCTGCGGGTCGCACTTCTGTTCGGCCTGGCGTTCGTAGCGCCGATGGTGTTTAACATCGTCGACGCGACATGGAAACCGTTCGCGAGCCTAGTTCTAATCGGACGCGCGTTGAGTGGGTTTGCGCACGTTGTTGTCGGATTGGAGGCGTGTCGGACGAGGTCGGGGACACGGGCATGGTGGCTGATCAGCGTGCGAGCCACGGCGATCCTGCTGCCTTGCCTGCTGTGGGGCATTCTTCTCGGCTTCGACAGTGGGCAGGCGGACGTAAGGGAGAGTGTATGGGTGGCGGCGGTAGGGCTTGATTTAGCATGCGTGCTGCTGCTGGGGTTGAGCGAGGCCTGGACCGTGAAGAAGACAATGTATGATGACTATCCAGCAGCTAATCGGGCGATTGAAGGGGAGGATGGGAAATTCGAACAGCGGACGGGTGCACTGCTGTCGCTGATACTGGCGCTGGGCGTCACAGGTTTGTTCGACACCAAGCCTGGAGTGGGAAGCCCGGACACGTACACGGCCGTGTCGTTCTATGTCCGGTCGTTTCTCTGCGCAGCCTGTGGAGTCGTCTGCCTATACGCCATCGACAGGATCTACAAGGGATCTCAAGCGACGCTACAAGTGCATCACACGACCGCATCCCACCCACCGAATCGCATCACTGTGTCGCCCGGCCTGCCCACCAATACGTCAGCGCTTACCACCACATCGAAAACGACCACCCCCAACCATATTGCCCAATTCCTCCGCGCCTCCCTTCGCTTCCCTCTCTACGCCTTCGCAATCCTCTTCGTCTTCGCCCTGCAAGTCGCGATGGAAGGCATCTCCTACACCGTCAGGGAGATCCCTGCCTACGACTACACTCCCCCGTCCAACGCACCCTTCCTCACCGCAGCGAACGTCGCGCAGAATAACAGTCCGGCGGCGGCACTTTACGTACAGACGTACAACACAGAGATGCCTTACGCTGCGGCGCTCTTCCTGCCAAATCCCGTGCGCGGTGGGACGTCGACGTTGACGGATACCAGGAAGTGGACGAATAGCGAGCTGATGAGCGTTTGTGCGGCCTTGTTGATTGGGGTAATGGCGTTGATGGGGTTTCTGAATAGCAGATGTGGTGGTGGCTATATTGGGGCTTGGAGCGTTAGAGGTTTGGCGCTGAGAGTCATCTTTACGATGATGCTCGCCGTACCGGGATTGATTGGTGCTACTGCTGTTGTGACATTATTGAGTCTGACGGTTCTATTGATCGTCGGGTGTATCTTTGAAGAGCTGTTCACCCCAGCTCTTTGACATGAGGTTTTCTCTGCGCAAACTTTATCTGTATCATTTGTTATGTTCAATGTCAAACATTCGATCTCCCTGTACGTCCGACATGACAGCGTCTCTGACAGCACCAGAAACGTCTCTTGCGGCTTTCATTTTCCTTGGGCGTGTGCATCACTTGGGAGCCTGATCGTAGTTGATCGGCGTCTCCTATTCGCTGAGGCTTTGATCCCTGGACGGGCAATGGGCATGGGCTCTGTGCAGTGGATGGGTCGGACATTTCCCATGGACGGCATGTCCGAAACGTGGGAACGCTTGACGCGTTTCGCCCCTGGACGCGCCCAACGAAAAGGGCAAGCATATATAAAAGACATGACCAGAACATCCTCCCGAGGTCCTCCTCGAACTCACGAGAACGAATAAGAAGACATGAGAAAAATGAGCAAAGAAGGCGAGCCAGCAGTATCAACTGCTTCAAATGAAGATCTTCCTCTTCATGACGCTACAGGGAGATCCGCTCTATGAAAGAGAACCGGTGTGAATTCAAACAACGGCAGCGATTTTCTATCATCCTTACTGAGTAAGCAGACTCTTCCTCTTTAGAGGGCTTTCTGGATGTTATCCCTAACGAATGTGGAGGTATGAGAGTGCGGAGACAACACGACATGGTGAGAAGATGCCTCTGAATAGGGACACCGTCCCTCAGGAACTTGACCCTGTTCACCAGCGTCTTACTAACCGGGTCCAAGCGAGCTTTTCAAAGCTCACGCAGCCTGGCGTATGAGCCCGTTGATGCCTTGTAAATCTCGTGCCGTGACATAACTCACTTACCTTTGATACCCCCAGCGCCTCGGGCTTCCACAAAACCTGACGTCCATCGGACCCTTGCCAGACATGCCCCAACTCCAGGAGCTTGACTACTACGACAACAGGCTTGTGAAGATAAGGCTCAAAACTCTTGACGTGAGCGCCAACAGGATAGAGCATTTGCAAGGATTGGAGGCCCTCGAGAATCTGCAGGAGCTCTGTGGGCCATCTGCTCTGGTGCGATCTGACGTCCTTCCTGTTGACACGCAAACTCCGCCGTATCTAGGCAAGCACTGTCATCCTCTGGAAGTAGAATTTCAGCTGGAGGGAAAGAAGCGACTAAGGACAGTCTATTTCGAAGGCAACCCTCCGCAAACCGCGGCGGGTGCAACATATCGGTCGGAGATTGAGGCACTTCTCCGCAACTGACGCAAATCGACGCCACCCTGGTCCGCTAAATGAGCCGCTCAAGAATGAAGTTTTGCGAACGCTCGACAGCGAATCGCCACCTCTTCACCTTACAGAGGCCCGTCGCTAGGAAGGTATGAAGTGCGATGATTTTGAATGGTCCGATCCACGTAGCTGAGACGATGGACCAGGCAGCTTATTTCTAACTTTACTTCTAGCTTCACATAGCCTACTTACGTAGTAGAGAGAGAGGAGGGAGAGAAGCAAGATATGATAATCGATCTGAGCTAGTCAGAGAATCGCTGTGCGTTCGCAAGAATAGACACCGGTTTGCGATCTCCTTAGAGGGTTTAGAATACAAGTTTTAAAATAAATCACGTGACTAGAACTCGCTTACTTGCCTCGGCGTGAGCAGTGAGGATTGCAGAGGGAGATTTGCGTTGTGGGTGAAGTTTAGATCGTAGAGTTTCGTATATTCGAAGTTCGCCTACCAAGCGTGAAATCCTCTACGTTAAAAGTGAGCAACGACTGAAAAGTAGTGAAGACGGCAGGATCAAAGCAATTCGAGAAATCACCGTACTGGAACGAACATCATGTTCTTGTACAACTTGACCCTTCAGCAGCCCACTGCTATCACTCAAGCGACGCTTGGTAACTTCTCCGGTACGAAACAGCAGGAGATCTTGGTTGCCAGGAACTCCGTGTTGGAGCTGCTTCGGCCAGATTCCGACACGGGCAAGGTTCACTCCTTGCTCACCCACCAGGTGTTTGGCATTATCAGGTCGATAGCACCGTTCAGGCTGACAGGGGCATCCAAAGGTGCGACGGTGGAACTTAAAGACATGTTAATTCGTGAAACGCCCAGACGCTGACTGGACTGCCTTTCAGATTACATCGTGGTGGGGTCAGACTCGGGAAAGATTGTGATTTTGGAGTACAACCCCGAGAAGAATGTGTTCGACCGAGTTCATGAGGAGACTTTCGGCAAAAGTGGCTGCAGGCGGATAGTGCCGGGGCAATACCTGGCCGCGGATCCGAAGGGGCGTGCGGTGATGATTGGTGAGTTCTGAGCGACCCAGATTAATTGGGACCTGTCCCGGCAACTCACAGAGCATTGGTTTCAGGTGCGATCGAAAAGCAGAAGCTCGTCTATATCCTGAATCGTGATGCATCAACAAAGCTCACGATATCTTCACCGCTCGAGGCGCATAAATCGCATACACTAGTGCACGACATCGTGGGGGTTGATGTGGGATTCGAGAACCCAGTGTTTGCGTGTATTGAGGTGGACTACGCCGATGCAGATCAAGACCCATTGGGAGAGGCATTCCAAAACGCAGAGAAGGTGCTAACGTATTATGAGCTGGATTTGGGTCTGAATCACGTTGTGAGGAAATGGAGCGACCCAATCGACACAAGATCGAATAAGCTCATCGCGGTCCCTGGTGGAGTGGACGGCCCTAGCGGAGTCCTTGTGTGTACCGAAGATTACATCACCTGGAAGCATCAGGACCACCCCGCGGTCCGAGTCCCCATCCCAAGGCGACCAGATCCATTAAATCCCATGCCAACGAATAACGGGGAGGATTTCGACACCGGCAGGGGAGTCATCATTGTCTCCAGCGTCATGCACAAACTGAAGAAAGGGTTCTTCATATGGGCCCAGACCGAAGATGGTGACATCTTCAAAATCACAATGGATTATAGCGCGGGAGCTGATGGGGCAATCGGAGGCGTCCAGAACTTAAAGATCAAGTATCTGGACACAATTCCTGTTGCAACCAGCATGTGCTTGCTGAAGTCTGGATTTCTTTTTGTGGCGAGCGAATTTGGGAACCAGTGAGTGGAAGCGTGCGTGATCGACTTTCTTGTTATCTGAACTCACGTCTGTTTCCTCTAGCTACCTCTATCAAATCGTGAACCTTGGTGACGACGACGAACAGACGGAGTACCAAAGCGCAGAGTTGCCACAGGGAGAAGATGCGGAGGATGTTCTCGTTTATTTCAATCCCCGACCTCTGTTGAACTTGGCAATGATCGATGAGATGGAGTCCATCTCGCCGTTGATCGACGCAAAGGTGCTCAATCTGGCGGGAGACGACAGTCCTCAGATCTATGCTTTGAGTGGACGCGGAGCGCGATCCAGTTTCCGAACACTCCGGCATGGTCTCGAAGTCTCCGAGATGGCAGTGTCTGAGCTCCCAGGTCACCCGAACGCAGTGTGGACTGTCAAAGCGAACTCTCAGGAACAATTCGATTCCTTCATCATTGTATCGTTCGTGGACGCTACTTTGGTTCTGTCTATTGGGGAGACCGTCGAGGAAGTGACGGACACTGGCTTCCTCAACAGCACGCCGACGCTTACCGTGGCTCAGCTGGGTGACGATGCTTTGGTGCAGGTGTACCCCCGTGGTATTCGACACATCCGAGCCGACCGTCGCGTCAGTGAATGGAAGACTCCCGGGAACAAGGCCATTGTCAGAGCGGCGTGCAATCAACGCCAGGTTGTGATCGCTTTGTCGGGAGGAGAGTTGGTCTACTTCGAGCTTGATCGAAGTGGACAGCTTAACGAATATCAAGATCGGAAGGAGTTCGCTGCGCCTATTACGGCCCTAAGCATTGGGCCCATTCCAGAAGGACGCCAGCGTTCCAGTTTCCTCGCGGTCGGTTGTGAAGACAACACGGTCAGGGTTATCTCCTTGGATCCGGACAGCTGCCTCCAGTCTATGGGTGTGCAAGCTGTGACCTATACACCCGTGTCGTTGACGATCGTACAAATGATGGATACGGGGACGCCGGTCGGAACCCTTTACCTCCTCATTGGATTACAAGCGGGTCTTCTTGTGCGGACAACACTTGACAGTATCACCGGAACATTGTCGGATACTCGGCTGCGATTACTCGGATCACGGCCGGTAAAGCTGTTCAACGTTACGATTCAGGGGTCACCGGCGGTGCTAGCATTATCCAGCCGGCCATGGCTCTCGTATACGTTCCAGGGCCGATCCAAGCTCATCCCTCTGTCGTTCCCGATGCTGGAATATGGCTCCAGCTTCTGCTCCGAACAATGTGCGGAAGGCATCGTTGCGATCGAGTCCAACAACCTGCACATCATAACAGTGGAAAAGCTTGGAAATGTCTTCAACCATAGTGTTCTTCCGCTGAAGTACACGCCGCGTCGGTTTGTCTTGCACCAGCCTTCAAATAACTTCGCTATCATCGAGTCAGAACACAACACCTGGTGTCCGTCAGAGAAGACGAAGAAGCTAGAGGAAAAGGTGCGTCGTAGCATAGCGTCCGCATACGCTTGTGCCAGTACTTACTCTGTTTCCCATTTTCTTGTAGGCCAACAGCATGGATGAAGGCGATGGTCTGGTTCTGGAGGAGCTTCCTCCGGACCAATTCGGGTTACCAAGAGCTGAGCCCGGGAAATGGACTTCGTGCATTCGCGTTGTGAACCCTCGTGAGAACGAGACGACCCACCTCATCGAACTGGATGATAACGAGGCAGCTTTCAGGTTTGTGGATGTGTTGTTTTGCTGAGCGCAAGACGGCTTTCGCTGATTTCGACAACGGTTCTTAGCATAACGACATGTATTTTCAATGGGCAAAATGGAGAAACCCTTTTGGTGGTTGGCACAGCAAGCAATGTAACCATGTCACCAAGAACATGCACAAGCGGTCAACTACATACATATCGATTCTCGCAAGATGGATCCTCCTTGGAGTTACTGCATAAGGTATATTGAAACGGTGCTGACGCACTATGGCATACCAACGTCTGACCCCCTATTTCCTCAACTAGACACCGATAGACGAGATCCCACAATCACTTTGTGCATTCCAAGGTCGTCTCTTGGTCGGCATGGGTAGAACGTTGAGGGTGTACGATTTGGGAAAGAAGAAACTGCTTCGCAAGTGTGAGAACAAGGTATTACTGGCATGGTTGTTTACCATCTGTTTGGTCATTTGAGTCATCCTAAACCCTCCTCGCTTCTCAGCAATTCCCAAACAACATCTTGACGATACATACGCAAGGAGACCGAATCGTGGTTGGCGACGTGCAAGAGTCCGTGCTCTACGCGTCATACCGTCACTTTGACAACCGCATCGTCATCTTCGCAGACGACACCACACCGCGCTGGATCACAACAACGACGATGCTAGACTATGACACGGTCGCAGGAGGTGACAAGTTTGGCAACCTGTTTGTGGCCCGGTTACCAGCAGAGACATCGGAGGAGGTCGATGACGACCCGACGGGCAATAAGCTCGTATACGAGAAGGGGTACCTTCAAGGCGCGCCACACAAACTGGAACACACCGCCGAGTTCTTTATCGGCGAAACGCCAACCGCGATAAGCAAAACGGTGCTCGTCCCTGGTGGACGTGAGATAATCGTCTACATCACCCTCATGGGTACTATCGGCTGTGCCATCCCGTTCCAATCGAAGGAAGACGTGGACTTCTTCCAAACTCTGGAAATGCACATGCGGGCAAAGGCCCCGCCGCTATGTGGTCGCGACCACTTGGCCTATCGGTCGTTCTACATTCCGGTGAGGAACGTGGTGGATGGAGATCTTTGCGAGCACTTCAACCTGCTGCCTGCCACGGCGAAACGGGAGATTGCAGAGGAGCTGGATAGGGAGGTACATGAGATCGCGAAAAAGTTGGAAGACGTTAGGAATAGAGTAGCGTTCTAAGGGCCGTAGGTAACTCGTTATATGCGTCCCGGCACTAGAGCGTGTAGCGGCGTACTCTGGCGTCGTCTTGTATCTGTACAATACTCTATATATACATCTTCATGGCAGTTATACTGCCAGCCTAGTAGGCACATCCACAGAGGTCTTTATCTTAGCAAATGTTGTGTGTCTTTTCTGTTTTTCTGTGTTGGCAACTTGGCCGTGAGCGACTCGGAGGACATGAAAAACGCGTTTCTGTGGGAAGCCTGGAGCAGAAATACGGTATGACCACGCTTGTCGTGGTGTTTTGAACCTCCCCATTTTCAAACATCGTTCCCACAAACTCACTACACTTCAGAAAGAACAAACCCCGCAGTCCTCACAACCAAGAAGAAATAAATACCTGTCGGCCTAAGTCTTTTCTTCCGCCCGTCGCATCATGGTCCTGGAAGCAACCATCCTCGTGTACGTTACGCCAGAGAGCTTTTAGACGCGTCGTCGCTAAAGCCGAGAGCATTAGCGTACATCTTTGGCAGCATGGCTTACGATTCCTCTGGTGATCAGGTTGGATAACTCGGAATGGATGCGAAATGGCGACTACACTCCCTCGAGGATGGAGGCCCAGGCGGACTCTGTTACTCTGTTGTTCAACGCGAAGACGCAGTCCAATCCTGAGAACACCGTAGGCCTCATGACTATGGCTGGGAAGAGGTTGGTGTATATTGCCGGACTCAAGGATGGGATATACCTGGTGGACAGATGGCTGACTACCGCTTCCCCACGGCAGCCCAGACGTATTGGTGACTCTCACCCCCGACATTGGTAAAATCCTCACGGCACTCCATCACATCGACATCAAAGGCAACGCCAACCTAAGCACCGGGGTGCAAATAGCGCAGCTTGCCCTGAAACATCGCCAGAACAGGAACCAGCGGCAGCGGATCATTGTGTTTGTTGGGAGCCCATTGAAGGAGGATGAGAAGACCCTTGTGCGTCTAGGGAAGAAGCTGAAGAAGAACAATGTTGCGGTGGATATCGTCAATTTCGGGGAGGAGCTTGAGAACACCCAGAAGCTACAGGCCTTTGTTGATGCTGTGAAGAGCAACGATAACAGGTACGGCTTGGAGACAAACGTGGAAGAGCTTCAAGCTGACAGCGGGGTGTTTCAGTCATCTAGTGTCCGTTCCACCTGGCCCACACATCCTCAGTGACATCTTGTTGGCATCACCCATTATCTCCGGAGAAGACGGAGCGCCGCCCGGTTTCTCGAACGCCGGTGCCTTTGAGTTTGGAGTTGACCCCAACTTGGATCCCGAATTGGCAATGGTATGTTGCCACTTCACCTTGCTTCCGACTCGACTTCCCCGTCTTACTCCTAGCAACCCTTAGGCCCTCCGGATTTCCATGGAGGAAGAGCAGGCACGACAACAGACGACCACCCCTGGCGCACCAGCTGCAGGTGCTAGTGAGCCAATGCAAGTGGACGCGGCTTACTCCGGAGCTGGAGCTGTTGCCGCTGGAGGGGAGGAAGATGACATGCTCGCACAGGCATTGGCAATGTCGCTTGGTCAGCAGGAGGTAAGAAATCCTTTGTCTGGGAAAATTTGTCACCCATGTATACTTGAGCTTACGCAATGTCTCTCTTTGCAGCAGACAGGAATGGACGTAGATGCCGCGCCGCCAGCAGCTACCGGAGCCAACGTGGACATGAACTCCATTCTCGGATCGCTGCCTGGTGTCAATTTGGACGATCCACGATTGAGGGCGGCTATGGGTGGAGCCAAGAAGGAGGGAGAGGGCGAGAAGAAGGATGAGAAGAAAAAGTAGTTGGGGGATCATGTTGGATGTAAGGCTCTATCTTCCTGAACATAGGTGTATGCAGTGAATTGGCACAGCAACGAATCTTGTGGGATAAGTGTGAGCTTGCTTTCGATTGTCCGAATCAGGATCTGTTTCTAGGTGAAGATGGCATTCCAGAGTAGTCGATTTCCCTCTGGTAATGGTATGCCCGCACAACGAACCGGAATGCAAATTCGATTACATGCGGAAACCAGCAGTCTATTTCAAAAAAGTTGTCATGGATGGGTATACAATTGCACTAGAGTCCGCTGTCGAGAGCTATACACAGCACCACAGACGGAGCATCACCGAGGCCCAATCCGATCCCGGATAGATATCTTCCTTGGCGACCCAAACCACGTGGCCACTCTTTCCGCCGATGGGAGTAAGTCTACCAAAGATCTCGAACCCGGGAGGCCAGGTACGCCGAGTCTAAAAGTGGGAGGGGAGACAGACGAGGCTTGGGAATCAGCTGGGGAAGGTGATCTCAGCTCATTCGCTGGGGAATACGCCGCGGGCGACTTATTAGCTGATGCTGAAGACTCTAGCGACTCGTATTGGGCCATGGAGGATGTGTCCGAAGACGAGAATGATGGTGAGGAGGAGCGGGGTGGGGTGCTCATTTGTGACGGGTGTGAGTGCGGTGGTGTGTCTGCCGGCGAAGAAGGGGATGGAATTTCCGGCGGCGCCGCGTCATCATCTTCCGGAGATGACTCGTCACGCCAGAATCCACTGACGCGCCTTCGAGGCATGTGCTGTGATCTGTTCGGCATTGTGAAGGCGACAGTGTTGAGATCCGGAAGGACGGGGGTTGTCGACGAGCGCTTCAAGGAACCGAAGCTCATTGAGGGTATGGCGCGGGCGAGGATGTTTGTCGCGCTGGAGGTGTTGATCGGCACCGCGGGGAGAGGTTTGGGCCGGCCGGCCGTAGCTCTGGATGTTGTCGTGGATGGCAGGATGTGTGTTGAGGTAGGCCGCGGTTGGTCGGAGAGATGTCGTGCGCGGTCCGGTTTCAAAGGTTTCGTCGGAGCTGTGATCTCTCGAAAGAAGTACGCTTTGAACCGTTGGGGTCCCGTCATGTAACCCGAGTCGCGCTTGTCACGTTCATCGTTTTCGGGCGCCGTGTGATCCGGCGTTTCGGAATCGCTTACGGAAACCGACGCAGCCTTCTCAGTGATTTTCTCATAGTACAACAGGGCATAATCATTGATGGTGCCTTTCAGTCGGCAGATGTCTTCCAGCATGGCCTGAATAAGACTGACAAGCGGGGCCAGAATCAACTGGTGCATCTGTGCTTCCTGCGAGGATGCTATCTCTGACTCCTTGAGGGTCAAGGGCATGTTGAATCGCGTGGACATGCCCTGTACATCGGCGCGAATGTTATCGATGACCGTTTGCGACAAACGCGAGAGCTGTGTAATGTCAAACCGGCGACGAATCTTGCGGTTGAGCGCGTGTGGATCGGTCGTTGTCAATTTCGTGCGGACCGAGGTGCCGACTCTGAGCAGCAGTCGGAGCTGCGAGACGAAATCGCTCGTTGTAATGTTATTGGCAAAAGGCGGTGCTTGTGAGCATTCGCTGCAAGTGTTGGTGAATATGGGAGCGGCTGCTGCCGGAGTCGAGTGCTTGTCACCGTAGTTCAGTGGCAAGACTCTTGTCGAGGTGCCTACCGACTCTTTGCGAATCGTCCGCGGTGACTTTCGTACCACGTCTTCCAGTTCTCCAAAAACAGACTTCTTGGGTTCCGAAGCACTCCCGGATGCCGAGCCGGTGTCTTCCAAGAAAACCGAAGGTGGTCTCTCTCTAAAAGCTGTCACTTCGTTTCGTGATTGCGCCAGCAGATCGCACGCCTCGTTGAGCTCCATTCTGAGCTTGTCATTCGCTTCCCGGAGGCCTGACGCCTCAGCAAGTTCCGAGCGGAGCTTCGCATTAGCTGCTTGCAACTCGGTTGCGAGAATGTAGAGAACCTCAGCTTCCGTCTCTGATGGCTGCGAGGTGCGATAGGGTTAATGGATCATCAGACATGCGGACAATTGCAGATCAGAGTCGAGCCTCACCTTCACAGCCAATACAGGCGATATGCGCTCATCCAGCTTCTGACCCTCTGTTGCCACCTCGAGACGCACTTTCATAGAGCTCAGCTCCGCACGGACCCTAGCCTGCTCCCGTACTGCCCTTGCTTCCGCATCCTCAGCTTTCACGACCTCTGTTCGCAGGTTATCAGCATGTGCATCCAACGCGGCTCTCTTCGTTTCGAAGTCCCTCTGAGCTCTCGCCAATGCATTCTCCGACTTGTGCAGCTCGTTGTTTTTCGACTCGCATTCCGCCGCCAACTCCGCACAACGCGCTTCGAGCGTCGACTTGTCCTGCTTGTGCCGGTCCGCAATACGCGTTTGTTCTTCCTTGTCCTCCCGTGCGATCTGCAGTTGCGCCTCAAGGTCCTTGGCTTTTGCTTCCGCTCTGTTGCAGCGCTCAAGCAACTGGAGTCCGTATTCTTAACAGAACAGGGGTAAGCGTGGGAAATCCGGCTTTGAAGGCGGCGCGGCATAAGCACCACTTTTCTCACCAGCGGCAAGTCTGAGTTCAACCTGCTTCTCCTTCAGCGCCCGCGCGGAAGGACAGGGTGCGTGCGGGTCGCAGCCGTCGACGGAAGGGCCTCTCCTGCGGAAGTCAAATTCCTTCCAATTGAGCGGTGGCGGACCCGTTGTATTGTTCCCAGAAGACGCTTAAAAGGGAAGGTATCAGTCTACATGTCTGCCCGACATTTGGGAGTCACAAAACCGGTGGACTCACTTGAGACCTCTTCGTCGTGCTTGCTATACTCCGAATGTAGGCGCAAAATGTCAATGGTCAAGGTCTGGGAACTGGGGTCTCGTTCAAATGGGTCCATAACCCTGCACCCTATTGGCCAGTGCAGAGGCCGTTAGCTGAGAGAGGAGTCAAACAAGTCCTCCTGAGGGTTATCGCTCCGGTGGGAAAAGCTCGTCTTGAGTAAATAGTTGAAACGTGATTCGGTAATGTTCAACACGTTCCAAGCCTCTGCTCGACATGTTTCTGTGTATTCCTTCGACTTCGCATGTCAAGTTGGAGCCAGAACTCATCTCAACGCGTGACGCAGTCCCGACATTTTTCACTCGTCTCAAACGCTCACGAGGCATCGCTGCCAATTCGATAGCCTCCCATTCGACAACACAGAAACGGAGAACAAGTTCAGATTTACACGTGTGTTCGCTTACCCGTGCAGTGTTTGGAAGGAGGTCGACAGCCGCTTGATTCGTACCCAAGGCATTAGCCTAGGGGATAATTGTAGCTGTGGGAAGGGATTCTCACATTGTAGTAACCACCTGGCATTGCTTCACCGTTTCATGTGGGCTACTTGATGATATGGAACTGGGAAGATTCAGCTTGAAAATGAAATGAATCAACGGAGTCTTCTAGGGGAATTTGGCGCAATGAAGCTCGAGGAAGAGAGTCGTCCCCTGCTCCCAATGCTTCTAACTCGACTGCCACATCTTCAGAATACCTCTACTCATACACCCCTCGCCGACATTGAACACTCCAACAATATCTGGATGGCTTTTGGGTCCGGTTTCCCAGTCAGAAAATCCGAAAGGGAAGTTCATGCAGCAAACCGCCAGTTGCTTCTGTCGTGAAAAGTCGACAGCTGGCATGCATGGATGGCACGTCAAACGCACGTCAAAAAGCCTAAATCCAAATCTGACAGGACGCCGGCGGCGCATGCGTCACGATCGTACGAGCCAGAGTGCGGCCAGTCACCGCTTGACGGATTGTACGCGCTCTCCAAATGTCTCCATTCTCCACGACTTTTCGCGCTCTGAACTTTGCCGTGCGACAAAGCAAGGTTCTTTTCGCCATCCTTCGACGGAATCCCAATGCACTACGAAGAGTATAAATACCCCAAGCGAGAGACGATATTCCCCGCAACTCAATCGTCGACCAGAATACCCTCTTGACTTCGAAGAAGAAACCCCGCCGCAAATGCGTTCTTTCACCTTCCTCACCGCCGTCCTCGGAGCGGCCGCCGTCCAAGCGCAGAATCTGTCGGTCCTCTTCGACCCCTCCGTCTCCCAACCCTGCCAAGACGCCGTAACCACCCAAATAACCAACGTCCAAGCCCTCATCATCCCCTGCGGCCTCATTAACACCGCCGCAATCCTCATCGGCAGCGGCGGCAAGTTCGACAACAAAACCCTCAGCAATGCAATCGACAGCTCCCTCAACCCAAAGAGCCTCGACGCTATTTGCTCCGACACCTGCACGGCCGCCATCAACAACTTCGGCACCGTCGTCGCGGGACCATGTGCGAACCAGAAACCGCTGTTGAGCCCGTCTATCACGGGCGCGGCGGACGCGGACACGCAGGCGTTGTTGAAGAATCTGGGTGCGGCGGATATCTCGCCGATTTTGAACTACCTGCGGAAGACGGCGTGCGTGAAGAACGGCGCGACCTACTGTGCGGCGGATGAGCATGACGCCGCGCAGAGGGGAATGGCTGTGGATGCTTGCACGCCGTGTGCGAAGGCCCAGTATGATGCTTCGGTGGATACCTCTTCGTTGCCGGCGTATGCGAAGCCAACTGTGGATGGAGAGGTGGCAAAGGTGAAGACGCAGCTGGATGCGTGCCCGGCTGATAAGCTTTCGAACTCTACGACTACCCCAAAGACATCTGGTGCTATTGCGATCGCGGGTCGCAACACTGTGATGTTGATACCTGTGGTGGCCTCTGCTCTCATGATTTGAGGGTCTGGAAAGGCATCATTTTTGTTGTCGGATGGTAGTTCGGCAAATGTCATTCCAAGCCCTGTTTACTCACATGTATCATAGACATAGAGATCTCGTCGAGAATTCTGTATTTACTTGTCATTTGAATATTTTGATCCGCCTTTCAGCATCACAATCATGGACGTAGATATGACCGCCATGTGGCCCATGCTCTTTATTAGCTATTCTCATTCAATACACCGCTGTCACAGCAAATCCTTCCGTCCCACCAATCGATATATTAACAGCTCTATACTCTGCGTCGCGGCCGCAGGTGGCAGGCCCGCGGCCGGTGATTCTTGTATGAGTAGGTGATGCATCGCTTGCGAGCAATCGATGTACCCAATGACCTCACAAACGTATTCTCAAACAAACTCATCTTTGTCAGTGCCAAATTCCTTGCTATCCTTTATCCTCGAAGGCATTTCCTCCACGTCCCCATCTTTCCTCGTTTTCGCGTCCCCAAAGCTCTCAACGGTTCGCTTAATGGGCCTCACATTCACCAGCATTCCTCCCCCGGACGTCGTCTTCGAGCAAGCATCGTCGCCCGCCTCCTTCATCGGCGCCGTCAACAACCTCCGTTTGAGAAACACGGCGGCAAAGTATTCCCGCCGTGTCCGCTCAGCCTGCGGGACAACGACCAACCCTGCCCCACAGACGACAATCATATGCTCCAGCAGCAACCCTGATCGGTTAACCTGGTTGGGATCCAAGATGAAAATAGCAATCGTACATGCCAGCTCGATGCCCGCGCAGACAAGTCCGTACCGCGCGAGCAGGCAATCTGCGTTGAAGATGGCGACAGCGGAGTTGTAAAGGAGTTGCATCATTGAAATATACACGGAGTTTGCGATCGCTGCTCTCCGCGGGGGTCCCTCGTGTAGGCTCGTTTCTCTTTCTTTGGCGGTGATGAGGACCATGCTGGTTGTACAAAGCCGCCAGACGGCGTTGAGTATCGTCAGAGCGACTTGTTGCCGTCTGGGGTGATGTGCCCCGAATGCGGGCATAAACGTTATCGCGAAACATATACAGCAGGCCAGGATAAGGCTGACGGCTTCCGGTAGTCCCTTCAGACCCGCTGGCCCTAGAATGATGTCCGGGTACATAATCAGATGCGTCAATTGTGAGACGAGGGTCGATATAGCGATGACCACGCAGATGAGCCGCATCTCCTTCTGAGCCACCGTCGCGAAGTATCTCCTAAACCCTTGTTCGTCGTCGGGATTATCGAACGTCTGATGCATTACGTGGTTAAAGGACAGGACAACCCAGCGTAGTGGGGAGGTTATCCAGTGATGCTCTGCTTCTTTGTCATCCTCTGAACTGTCCTCGGCGGTGGTGGACAGGGCAAAGCTGGCCCGTGCTCGCTTGTCTCGTCGGTATTGGATATAGAGGGATGTCAGGCAGATCGCGTTTTGGAGGAGGCCTTCGATGTCGGATGAAATCACCTCGCTGTGGAGGATCCATCGAAGGCCCAGACGGCAGATGATGAAATAGGTAGTAATTGCGATGAGCTTGTGGAAGAACTGAGCGAGAAGACATATGAATACTAGTTGCCGCAATAATCACGTCCAAGAAAGAACGATATTACCAGACAATTGATGCACATCAGTACACCCCAAGTGACAACAATCTCCGCGGTTGTATGCGCTTTAGTGAAATCACTTGCTTGGTCCGGCATATCCGATGTGACGCTGAACGATAGCAAGAAGGTACCGAGGTTCTCATTCGAAAGCAGGCTGAAGCTGCATACGCTGACCATGACTGAGATTGTGGTGGGGCATGCGAAGGATTGATACCGTAGGGTGATAAACATCACCACCAGCGTGGTCAGCGTGGAAAGACTCATCTGTCGCATGTTTGGAAAAACAGAAGATCAGAACGTGTGTGAAATGTCAGCGCACAGGCGCTAAACAAGAGCAGGTTACCCACACAGCCGGCCGCAATATAATAAGTGTTTATAGCAGTAAAGTTCTCAACAGGCGGGGTAAAAAAGGTACCGGCGCTGATGATCAGTGTGACGCCTGTTTAAGGGAAGATAGAGGTGCCGTCAGCGTTCTACATGTTCATCGGGTAATGCCGTAAAGCGGCGAGAACAACCCGTACAGAACGTCATGCAGTTCGTTGTCAGTTGCTGATGGAAATGCACCCTTCGAAACCTGGTCCGGAAACGAATCAACGGTCGTCCCCGGGCGCACACAGACGCTACGAAGTCGCCTGGGTATATTTCCTCATACCTCCTCTCCAGATCGTTATCCACAAAGTAGTTCGACCAAGGTTTCATAGGAAACTGCTTGAGGGCTTCTACTGGTGGGTCGGTCTCAAAGACGAAGTTAAGAAGAGCCCCCAACCCGTTCAGGTAATCGCCGAAGTTCCACATTGTGTCTATCCCAAATTACAGCCAGCCTCGACTCTATGCTGCTCCAAACAACGTCGATAGAACCAAGGGCGAATTCGCAAGTCAGTCGGGCATGCAGGTATAAAAGTCAGGTGCAGGACCGATTTAGAATTTGGGAGCCGCGTTGTGGCAAGGCTACCGGAGCAAACCTTATGTTTGCTCCGATGGCACCGAAGTAACGACAATGGTCGTCACCCACAAACCCGGAACAGCTGGATGACGTTTGCCCTCTTCGGAACTACAACGGGGTTTCCTTTCTGCCGACTTTTGCGGTTGGCAGTCGTAAGTTGCGCGCCAACGGACATTGTGCAGTCACGCCCGCGGTATGTGATACATCACCATACGATACCCAATGGACAATGGTGGCAGGAATAGAGAAGGACTTACGATCGATTTTCTCAGTGCTGGATCGACCAGTTTTGCCACTTTTTGCCTCTGTCTGTCCGCGTCCCCGATCCCTTTCCCCCTGCTGCCCGCGGGCCTCGGGGGAAGCGATCCTGCAATGTACTTTTCTTCTGTTCTAACAGGCGAATGAGGGTTCATCGAGCATGCATGCTCGTATTGGAAGACATCTCAACCACCGGGCCGGTCTGGCTATCATTCAGATACAAAATGCGAACTTTCCGGATGTCTGATGGAAATGCCCGAAAAAAATCCCCTGGACTGTTGTTGAGCGGGAGGCGTAGCGACGCGCTGTCGAAACCGTGTTTGTTACTGTCGGAAACTCGGCTCGGTCTACCGTCAACATGAGAGTCGGCCCAGCAACCTGTTCGGACCGTTTGAGACCAGCTGCTCCGAAACATGCAGCTTCCCGCAGCGGTCCTTTGCTTGTGGTGAAACTTTTCAAGAGAGACTGTCCCAAACCAGACCCGCAGCTCAGCGGACCCGGACCCGTCGAAACTTGTTCGCAACCTAGCACGGGTTTCTTCCACGGGTCCAATCCGACCTCAGCAAATCCAAGGTCCTCCCAACGCCCAGAACAATAAGGCAAATTTGCAAATCTCAAGGTTACTTGGGATATCCGCATCGACACGTCCAGGCCTCAAAGACAACGCTCACGCTCGCGCCGTCCGAATCTACATCCATCTTCAGTGTTGTTGTACAGGACGACAATATTGTGACGGTTCCAACGTTTCGCGTTCAATGGGCACCAAAAGAACGAAAGTGAGACCGACCAGGAGAGGCGGGCTCGCTCCCAGGCGGCCAATAGCGCGGCCGTCCAAGTTTACCGGGCTAAAATAAGGAGAGGATTATTGCGGCTCATTGCGGGCTACCCGAACAAAGGGATGTATTATGGTGCATCGCCACCTACATAGAGTCTTGCTGTTGATTTACGCCACCCAACCTCACGCAACATGCCGAACTAAGTCTCGACCGCATAGAGTCTCATCCAAGCGCAAACAGGTGGATACAGCTTCTGGGGTAGGAGAGACGACGTAGCCATTGGGGCATGGACGTGCCGGAGGAAATATACGCAAACGCCGCTAGCCAGTTCAGCAACAAGTTCCGGGCCCGACAATGCGTGTTCATACATTGGTCCACAACCAATTGCGACTACACAATACCGTCCCGTCTCGCAGGACCGTTCCAAGCTGAATGGTGGCTCATCAATCTTTTCGGTTTGGCAGCACTTCTATGGCTACCACAATTGCGGAAAACGTTGGAAAATGTCACCGACACACAAATCTCCGCAGCATCAGCATTCCCAACTGTTAGCAACCAAACTCTTCCCTGATAGAAACCATGTATTTCACACGGCGGCCAGTGATAGTAGAGCTTTGCTAGACATCTTAGCGTTTTCACAAGGGTGGTATTGCGCCTTGGCTTGAACTTTGTAATTGTTATGGGACCTATTGCTATGAATATATGTGGGGAGTTCTCCCAAGCAACAGCAGCGGTAGCAGTTTTATAGCTAGCAATTTCCTTTTCACGGCGTAGTCTTGGCGTAAATGTTCCCCGGTCATTGTCATTTAGGAAAGTTTCTCCCTAAAGTTTTTTACTGCTGCTCCTTAAATCAAAGCTGAAGAGGGTATTCCGCTCTAGAAATACCCATGTCTGTAACTGAAAAGACTTTCGCGTAAGCCTGAGAGAACAGCTTGTGAAAAGTCGTTGGTGAGGAAAAGTGACGGGAGCTGTCATTTTGAGCTCGCTCATGCCCCCCGCGGAGCGCCTCTCCCTCATCGTCAATCACGCCGATTCAAATTCAATCACGCGTGACCGCCCGCCTGGCAGTCACGTCGTTCATCAAAGTCACGTCCGCTTCGCATATATATATATATGAGGAAGCCACTCTCAAGCCCCCCCTCCTTCCCCAGCATTCATTTCCTCCCGATACGCAGCAGCAACAGCAGCAATGACCAACACAAAGCACTCCGTCAGTAAGTGCATACACCGGCTGCCTTTTTTCTTGTCGGGCGACGAGCACTCTTGTTAACGGACGAACTTTCCTCACCCAACAGTTGTCGACACCGACCCAGGAGTGGACGACGCATTAGCGCTGCTTTTCGCTTTTGGCAGCCCCAACATCGATATCCGCGCCATCACCGTCACGCAGGGCAACACCACCCTTCAGAACTCCTTCCGCAATCTCAAGCAGATTCTGACAGTACAGGCAGCTCATGAGCGTTACCTTGCGGAGCACAAGACGGATGCGACCGTGAACGCCCCCGGCACCCTGCTTTCCCGCGACGAGCCAGTTGTGGTAGCTCTTGGGGCTGGCAAGCCATTGGAGGGAGAGCCGACATATGCGCATTTCTATCATGGCGACGATGGACTCGGTTTCTACTTCAAAGATGAGAAGCTGCAGGAGGACGATTTGGACCAGACGAAGGCTGTCGCTGGTGCGACAAAAGCGGCGAATCCCACGCAGGAGGACAAGGATGCTGCAAAGGAGCTGTACACTCTGAGTGCGCGATCTGCTGAGGATGAGATTCTGCATCAGTTGGAGACACACCCGGAAGGCACTGTCAGCATTGTGGCCCTTGGTCCTTTGACAAATGTCGCAAAGGCTATTCAGAAGGATCCCTTGACAAGTGAGTGTGCATCCGCTCTCCCAGACGACATCAACGTCAGCTGACTTCCTTCGTTCCATCAGTGAAGCGAGTCAAACACATCTTCACAATGGGTGGTGCCATCGACCACCCCGGAAACATCACTCCCGTCGCAGAGTTCAACTGGCACGGTGACACTCTCGCAGCGCATATCGTCATTGCGTCCGACCTTCCTGTCCGCGTCGTACCTCTCGACGTCACCATGGTCTCCTCAATCGTCGACAGCCACTACCTTAAGACGCATGCGGAACCTCTGCAAACACCCCTGAGCAACTTTGTATCTACAATCACGGACCACGTGCTTGGCCTGACCGAGCGTACAATAGGTTTCAGGTGGTTGTTTATGCACGATCCATTGACGGTGCGTAGAGGCGTTTGCTGCATCAGGTGTTTGGATACATCCCGCGACGTTCCCGGCTGACATCGTTTCCCTGTTCCACAGATCGGAGCTTTGGTGGACCCCACCCTCCTCGAGTTCACCCCTCTCGACTTCCAAGTCGAGCCTACCGGCACCTTCACGAAGGGAATGTGCGTCGTCGACCGCCGCACCGGTCCGAAGGGCACCCCCGCCTCCAAAAAACGCACGAATATTGAGGTCGCATTGAAGGGTGACACACACAAGTTTTTGGTCATGTTTTACAAAACGCTTTTTGGTCTTGACTGGGACAAGTTTGAGAAGGTGCCTGCTAAAAGCAGTGCTTCCTAGGCTGGAGAGTGATTCGAAATTCAACCGGCGTTTGCATGCTTATACTCCTTCAAGATGTCACACTATGTACACTATTGGCTATGCAGCTACGAATTCCTAGATAGAATTGTAGATATGTAAAGAAGCCGAAGACATTAAGTTAGGACTTCCTGCCGCAGCTATTCAGCTCAAGAATCATACGGATCTGTGAACGAATTGGTTCAGATGAGCACTGCCTTCGGTTGAACGATTTAGCCAAACGGATCTTACCATAATCTCCATCGTCGTCCTCATCATCATCAAAGTAGTTTTTGTAGCCTCTTCCTCTCCTATACCCCTCATCCACATCACTATCATCTGATTTCTCGCTATCCGACGCGTCAGGATACTCATTTGCATAGTAGTCTTCCGCATTCGAATCTTCGTCATCATCGTCATTGTTATCGGAGGAGTCGCCGGCGTCGGCGAGGAGGGTTGCGGAAAGGTCTTCGAATGTTCTGCGTGACGTGCATGATCAGCTCGATGGAGTAGAGAGAGGGACAGAGAGATGGACACCTACAGCTCCGCGACGCGGCTATGTGCTTCCGGATCCATTTCGGGTTGCGCGTAGTAGATGTCGTAGACGTACTCGCTGGGTATTGGCCCGTCTTTCTCCTGTGAGACTTTTGGGAATGCCCCTTTGTGAGTTCCATGCTCCTCATGCCCTCGATGAAGCATCCGGGCGCTCACCATGCAGGTATTCACGCATCATGGGCATCAAGCTTTCCATTAGATCGCTTTCTGGTATTGGCCCACTCTCATACGATGTAGTGTGTGGCCCCTTCTTTGGTTCATCAGACGTTTCTTCGACGTCTAGCAGCTGGAATCGGGTACGTGTCAGTTCTACCATCACGGCAAGGTGTGAACGAAGACATACCTCGACATCATCAAGAATCTGCCGCCGATCTTTCACCACACGATACCGGGCTGCTTTTCGTTCCGCCTAGAGATTGATATGCTCTGTCAGCTTCCGCACATCTGAACGGATCCGTTGAAACAGGATTTTGTGCCCCTCACATTCCTCCCGTTGATCGCCTCCGCTCGCCGCTCATCCGATGGAGATGGTGGCGGGGACTTGATGGATTGTTTGTTGGCCCGCAGGTATTTCAGGCGCTCGCTCGTAGCCTAGAGCATACAAGGGATGCGTTATGGGACCGCCGGGCTGAAGCGAGAGACCACTCCGGTCGCCGTCTACCTTTAGCCTCGTCGTATCATCGAAATCCCGCGTCTCGACGGTTTCGACTCTTTGAAAGAAGCGAGCAATCTCCGCTGGTGGTTCTGATATGATGAATACCGGGAGAATGAGAGATGAGGTCTCACTCCGGCGAGGTATAGGAGGCCTCGGCTTCACCAGAGCCGGCGCACGTCGGGCCCGGAACACCTCCACCATCATGACTTTACCTTCCCCTGTTTTCGTTCGCTTCTCCTTCCGAGCTATTTCCTCCGTAGCCACGACTGATGGAAGGGCAAGTCATATTGTCAATACGTCAATACACGCGAAAAGCAGGCTACGGCGGCGAAGGAGGAGCGGGCTTACTGAAGGCGTCAATGGGATCTTCGTTCCGCTTGCGTTTGATACGCAACATCGGGCCCGTAGGCAGCATCTCAAGGTCTGCGGTATCCGGTAGACTTGGGTTTGATAGCATCATATTGGTAGGTTTGAGAGAGCAATTTCCCGAAAGTCGATAACAGCAGAGCTTCAGACTCCCGAGAGGGAGAGATCAGAGCTGCTCTGCTGCTGTCAATTTCAACAGCTTCTTCCCACCGCGTCTTTTTCGAACTTCAACTTTTTGACATTGAAGAACTCCCGCAGAATCCCAACGACATGACCGGACGACGAAAAGCCCCTCCACGGGGTCAACGTGCAGCAGCAGCACCTCAGGGAGAAGCTGGAGCGCAAGCGCCCGGCGAAAGCAGCAGCACCGCCGAAAATGCCTCCACAACGCCCGCCGCGGCGGACACTCAGCGACAGTTTGGGACCATCGACCCTGCAGCAGGCTCCAGCGCTGCGCCGGGGCGGTTGGGCTCGTTGAGGGCACCACCGGATATTAGGACTGGGGTGGCGACGGGAGGAGGAGCTAAGGTATTGTGAAATTGTGCTTTGGGGATTGTTCTTCGACGAGCTCGCGTTCAAGGAAGCATAATCCTTCGACGGATAGCCCAAGTTTGCTCCGAAAATCCCAACAACGAGGCGGAAAGTGGAAGAGTATGTTGTGCTGTACTTGGAGGGAGAAGAATGGCAGCTATCTCATCATATTAACACTGCAACCCATTCTGCCACTCTTTAGAGTTGCAGCACCAGCGCCAAGCGAGAGATCACAATTCGGCGACGGCGCCCGGGGTGGAAGAGGTCGGGGACGAGGACGCGGTAGAGGAAGGGGAGGTGCAGGTGCGGTGATGGGTTAGAGCCGATCTCTTGGGGTTGAGCCTCTCGCTGATCAAGCCTTTCCATGAACCAGCGGGCCCCGGCGGCAGACAGGAAGTAAAGATGACCGCATCCGGCCCGTTTGCTTTCGGACCGGCGCAACGAGGTATGCTCTTTCCTTTAATGTACCGCTCCCCGCTGGCGATAAACAAATCAATTATATGCCAGGCATCATCGCAACACCCGGCCGAGCATCCGGTCCATCAGCTAAGCACGAGGTCGTCGATCAAAAGGACGCCAAAGCGGCCGAGGAAGACGACAACTCCTTTGACCCCACCGATCAGTGGTCTCCCGTGGTGGTGGGCAATGTGACGCGCCCGAAGCGGGAAAAGAAGCTCCGGGCTACAGACCGTGTGAAGGTGAAGACGGAAGCTGGGGTGGAGGCTCAGGACGGGGCGGGAGCGGATGTCGTCCCAATGGATATCCCGAGCACGGCGGAAGATGTGTTGGATGAATTGGCGGATTTGGGGTTCAAGCCTTATCCGCATGAGCAGCAGATGGAGGAGGAAGAGCCTGATACCGTGAGTCACTGGGTTCGAATCTTTACCGGCCCCTCTCCCTCTCACAGTATGCTAACATCGTTCTCGCGTCAGACCAAAGTCCTCTTCTTCCAATTCCCATCCATCCTACCGAAATTCCAAGACACGTCCGCCATGGTCATAGGCGGCGACAGCGCACCGGTGGCACCAGCGAAGAGCGCCAAACGACGGCCCAGTAAAGATGACGGGGCCGTGAAAATGGAAGACGGGGCGTCGGGGAATGTTAAACCGCATCAGGGCCCTGACGGCCGGGCGGGGAGATTGGTTATTTACAAGTCGGGGAAGATGAAGATCAGAATGGGCGATATCTTGTTCGATGTAAGTACCCCACCTTCGAGAAACTGCATGTGTTTTCGAGCCATTGCGTTTTTTTGCTCACGGATCTTCCCATCATCAATAGGTGACACCCGGCTCGCAACCTGGCTTCCTGCAACAGATCGTGGCGGTCGACACGTCGCAGCCAGCCTGCTACATCCTGGGCAAGGTCGCCAAAAGATTTGTCTGCACGCCGGACGTGGAATCGCTTCTCGCAGCCGATCCCTAAATGATGCCGATGCCCGGGCGTTCTCGCTCGTCACATCACGAAATTTTCTTCTTGGTCTTTACTCTGTACATATCCATCTCTGCTACGACACCCCGATTATCATTATGACCGATTCTATAGAGGCCGGTTCCCGCAGCCGCACAAATAGATATAGTTCCGTCCAAAATAGGCGGTAGGCTGTTTCTGTTTGCCGCAAGATACATACATTTCCAGGGCCGCACATCTTCCGGCGGCCAATCAAAAAGCCCCATCTCTGTCTCTCCAAAGCATCTTTTCTCGACCTCCCCAAAGTGAACAGGAGTTCATCAATACTGATCCAGCTTCGTGACAATCCCCACCCTCACAGCTTGGTCAAACGCAGCATAAACACACAACCCCTTCTTATCCGGACTCCAGTCAAACGCTGCGATAGGCTGCTCGGCGGCGTGAGCCGAGTTGATGAGCTCGAGTGTCCCTGCGACACCTTCAAGCACGTTTTTGGAGTCTTTTTTGGTTCGCTGATCTGGGTAGTTGCTGAGGAAAGGATGCCGGAGGGTTAGACATGCGGAGAGAGAAGTGAACTACGGGTAAATCTTACTATTTGAAGAGCTCGAGCGATCCATTTCCGCCGGAAGTCATAAATATATCCCGGTTCTGAGGCAGATGCCGCGCAGTCCACACGGTAGTCGCATCATGCGCCTTCTGATTCACATGCGCAAACCCATTCTTAGGATGTTGCGTGCGTACATCGTACACGCGGAAATTGGATTCAAGGGTGGTGACAACGAGTTTGTTCATCTGGATGTCTTTGCGGTCGAACTCGACTGAACAGACCCCGTTTTTAACGTTGGTTTCCCAGAGGAGGGACATTTGTCGGAGGTCAAACATTTTCACGTCGCCGTTTTCGTAGCCGGCGCATACGACGCGTTCTTGATCGTTGTACGAGTTTCCTTTGAAGGATGCGGGATGAGCGGTCCTGTCGCTGGTGCCGAAAAATAGAACAGTGGCAAAAACGTCTCTGCTCACCGAACGCTACTGCCCATGTATCATGAACGACTTCGCCTTCTGCGGGAGCAATCTTTGCGACAGGCTTGTCTTTTTGCCTCGTGTCCCATATCTTGACCGAGCCTGCATCCGACAAACATTTGTGAGATCTCACGTCCCATCCGCACCATCTTGCAGTGCAACGAGATCCAAGACCGCTACACACCATCTCGGCTCCCAGTAGCGATCTCTGGTGGTCCTTGTGGAGAGCCGACGCCTCCAGCCCCATCGATACAGTTGATGATCTGCTCATGGGCTTTGACGGAGTATAACGGCGTATCTGTCTTTTCAAGGTCCCAAAGTGACAGTCGCCCACCGAAATCACCCGTCGCCAGATGCCGGGACTGTAAAGATGATGCACCGAACGTCCCGCACTTAAAAGCGTCTTGCTTCTCCGTCTATTGTGACGCGAAAGTTCTCCAGTGAGCTCCCAGCCCTCTGCAAGCCCTTCGTGCGGGGTTCCACAACGTCCACGCAGCTCACCCACCTCTTTGATGAGCTTGATATCAGCTCCACTCAGCTCATACACCTGCAAAGCTCCTGTGCCTCGTGGGTGCTGTCCCAGGACTACGAAGCGCGCCGAGCTGGGAACCCACCGGACATCGTAGGCCGTGAAAGGTAGTGACTTCTGGATATGAGTGATGATCTGGCTTTTTTCTAAAGTCATGGCTGGTATATGAGTTGTAGCAAGTGTTCCGGCTGCAAGGGAGTCTGTCCTCTGAGACTGGAAGGGCTGTTCGCAGCACGGTAACGCTAGAAATCACTGGCGGTAATCGACTTGTCAGGCTTCTGATATTCTACGTGTGGAAGGGGACAACCTCATCATCATCATCCAAGGAGCGACGCGTCGAGACTCTGATCCATGGCCAGTCTCGCTCATCCCACCCAACTTCATCTCACCCATCACCCGTGCACAAAGATATTGACCAGCTTCACGCCGATGCTGCCTATCTTGCTTATCGAGAGGCACTACATAATACACCCCGGCATCATAAAGCTGTTGGTAATACGTCGATAGTCCATGTCAACTGCATGAAATACTGTACTGTACGTCCTCAAGACGTCCTTTGCAATTCAAACTTCACGCGCTCGGGACGCTGGTCATGTGACCGGCGGGTGCAAGTTTATTTGAGCGTCTTCCCTTTCTGCTGGTGCGCGAGAAAGTTGCTGCTTCGCGCCGGTCGCACCGAGTGAGAGCCACCAATAAGCGGCTAAGCGGCCTCCTATGAACGCGCACCCGCGCCCCCTCTGCGCGCGACATGTCACTTTGCGCTCGTTGTGTTCTCTCCTTTCCACCCCTCGCTCACGGCTTCTCTCACGGCTGACCTCCTGCAGGCAGGCTGCCAATATCCATTTATTCTCACCGCTCTATCACCCACGAGCGCTAGCACTGGACGACGAACCGGTTCCGTCTTCACCTGCGCTGCGTTCACGTCACGTCAATAGTATTTCAGGAAACTCTTGTTTGAACTCGAAGTCGTTTTCGTCGAACCAATTCTCGTGTCGCCCGCCTGTCAGGATAAACGAATAGGCGATCAGGGGAAGGTCTGTCTAGTTCCCTCAAACCTTTCCACCGCGCCGCCGATAATGTCGTCCGGACCGCCGTTTGGAGGAGGAATGGCGGGCGCGCCACCAATTGGACAAGTATACGGAGACAGTTTCGCTTCGACATCGAGTAACTCTGCGTTCGGTGGAGCTGTGCACCCATACTCTCAGCAACCCCAGCATTCACAGTATGCGGACTTCCAGCAGCCGTCCCTTCTTTCACACACTCCCGCCCCGCCGGGACCACCGCTGGCCTTCCGTCAGCAGCAGCAAGCTCCTTTACAGCAGTCACGGCTACCCGCGGCTTTTCCCACGAACGCTGGACCGTCGCTCACACCAGTCTCAGGGGCTATAGCACCGGCGTCGACTTGGAAGTACCCGAGACGTCCGGATGTAGGCACGGCGGGTCGTCAGATCCAGGTTCGCGCGAACTTCTTCCCGATCCTCAACTTCCCGAAAACAATGATCCATCACTACGACGTGGCGATTTTGCCTGACGTTCCACCTGCCAAGAACCGAAGAATTTATCAGATCTGGGAACAGGCATTGAAGTCGGGCAAATGGAAGGGACCTAACCTAGGATTGGGGCCCTCAAGCGTCCCACAACCGGCTGACCTGGGGGACAGGCCATTCATCCCGCCCGTATTCGACGGAAGGAAGAACGTATATAGCATTCAGGATCTTGGACTTCCTGAGGGCATCGATTCGGTCTATGAGCTGGACTACTTTGAGGACGAGGAGGCCAAAGTGTATGTGACGCTCTCATAAGGATCAGGCCTACGCATTGACATACTGATCAACCTTGAATATTTCATATAGGCGGGGCGGTAGAAAGTTCACCATGGCCATTCGAAAGGTTGGAGAGATTGACATGCAGCGTTTGGCTGCCTTCTTGGAAGGCCGCACTGGGGAAACACCCTATGATTGCATGGCTGCAATGGATATCCTTCTCCGCCACCGTCCGTCCTTGACGTACACAACCATCGGTCGGTGTTTCTACACGGCGGATTCCGCCACCACGATTGCCAACGGAGCCCAGCTGTGGCAGGGTTTCCATCAAAGCGTGCGCCCGGCACAAGGGCAGATGCTCATCAACCTGGATGTCTCAGCAACGGCCTTCTACCAACCAGGCCCTGTTGTGGAAATCGTCGCAAGGATTTTGGGACGACATGATGCCTCTGAGCTGCGAACACCTCTGAACGAACGCGACCGGCAGAAGGTCGAGAAAGCGCTCAAAGGCCTGAAGATTGTCGTCACCCACCGAGGCCAGATCCGCCGGAAGTTCCGCATCTCAAAAATTACCAGCACACCCGCCAATCGCACCATGTTTGCGCTTGAGGAGAGTGGTGCCGAGACATCCGTCGCGGGCTTTTTCCAGTCCAAGTACAACCACACCCTGTACTTCCCGCATTTGCCTTGTCTGGTGGTTGGAGATCCTGCGCGGCAGGTGTTCTTGCCATTGGAAGTTTGCGATATTATGGCTGGACAGAGGCATCTCAGAAAGCTCAATGAGAAGCAGGTATGTTTGCCGTGCACTCAGAGTTTAGATTCTTGAAGCACTTATCTGACGTTTCTGGCGTGATCACAGACGGCTGAGATGATCAAGTTCACTTGTCAACCACCCCATGTGCGCTCCAACAAAATCTCTGCCGGAATCACCCTTCTCCAGCAAAGAGACAACGAATACTTGCGTGACTTTGGTGTACAAATCGGGCACGAGATGGCCATTGTCAATGCCCGGGTTCTGCCAGCCCCATCGATCTCTTACCACCCGGCGTCGAAGGAGCCCATCATCACACCGCGAGAGGGTGCATGGAATCTACGCGATAAAATGGTCGCGCAGGGAGTGACCATTCGTTCGTGGAGCGTGATCGCTTTCGGACAAGAGCATGATTACCCGATTGGGGCCATTCAGAAGTTTGTCACCCTCTTGGTGCAGACCTGTGAAGAGTGTGGGGTGTTCATCGCAAACCGACAGCCACCCATCTCGTACGCCAACCCTCATGGCAACATCGAGAAGGCATTGATTGATGCGTACATGCTTGGCGGACAATCGTTTAGCGAGCGGCCACAGCTCGTTGTCTGCATCCTACCCAACACTGGCGTGCCTCTCTACGCAGAGATCAAGCGCGTCTCCGACACGGTCATCGGCGTCGCCACCCAATGTGTCCAAGCGAAGCACATGTTTGCCGCAAAACGCCAATACTGTGCAAACGTTTGCTTGAAACTCAACGTCAAGCTCGGAGGAATGAACTCATACCTCTCTAATACCCAGTTGCCTTTCATCGCTGAACGACCGACGATCATTATCGGCGCGGATATGACCCATCCAACCCCCGGCTCTGCCTCCAATCAATCCATCGCGGCAGTGGTAGGCTCGATGGATGCACAGTGCTCTCGGTTCGCGGCATCCATCCGCGTGCAGAAAGGAAAATCAGACTCGATCCGCGACCTGTCGGGAATGATCATCGAGCTGTTAAAGACTTTCTACCAAACTTGCGGCGCTAAACCCGAACGCATGGTATACTACCGCGACGGCATAGCAGACCCCCACGTCGCCGAAGTGCTCGCGTACGAGACGGCCGCCATCCGGCAAGCCTGCGATACCCTCGAGCCGGGCTACTGCCCAACCATCACCTTTGTGGTCGTCCAGAAACGCCATCACGCTCGGTTCTTCCCTATCCGCAAGGAAGACTCTGACCGTTCGGGCAACATCCTCCCCGGCACAGCTATAGCCCACGGCGTGACGCACCCCTCCGAATTCGACTTTTACCTCTGCTCGCACCCCGGTCTGCAAGGCACGTCTAAACCGACGCACTACCACGTCTTGCTGGACGAAAACAAGTTCACGTCCGACGGCATGCTCGAGCTCACGTACAGGCTGTGCTACCTCTACTGCCGCGCCACGCGCAGTGTGTCGGTCGTACCCCCGGCGTACTACGCTCACCTGGTCGCCGCCCGTGCGCGGTTCCACGCGTTTGGCGAAGGGACGTGGGAGTTGCCTGCAACCAAAGACCACCTCATCTTCACCAAGAAGAGCGCCTCGGCGGCCGCGGCGGCGGAACCGTACGTCGCTTCCCCGCTGACCCCGGTCGGCGGGATGGCCACCGGAGCGGAGTTCGGCGACAACCTGCACACTTCATTGTCCTCTTTATCCCTGTCATCCATACAATCAGCTCAGATCCCCTCCGTCGCTGCTGCGGCCGGTGGGAAGCCCGGCGCCAGCGCAAATGTACCGCCGACCCCGTGGAACGGACGAAAGGCGAAGGATGGACCGGTGCGCGTGATGAACTACGGGACCGTGAAGGAGGAGTTGAGTCGGGTTATGTACTTTATGTAAACGGGAGGGCGAGACATCCTAGGCGGTGGGACCGGTCGCTGTGATGGTGCTTGTATGAGCACGACGGATTTTTGTTTGCCATGTGTTCCGAAATGGATCTGGACGTTGAAACTGGGGATGGGACGTTGTACAGCTGTTTAAGGGGTTTGTTATTTTGACTGGATCGGGAGATTTTTCTGCTTTCCGTTGTAGGTCTGGGATGCTCCCTTTGCCTCATCAGGTATTTTGTAAAGTAATTTTGTTGCCTATAAAGCGTTAATAAGGTTTGGATGAAGCGAGCGAGTATATGGTCGTGGAAGTCGTCGGACTCAGCACAGGACATCGCTTTAATAAACCAGGGTACGAGATGCGGGCGGGATATGGGCAAGCCGCCCGGAGCTTTAGCGATAGCGGGTGAGACGCAAGCGGCAGCGGAAAAGATCAAGGAGCCCAGCAAGTAGCAGTCACCCGCGCTGGGATCTCTCCTCCTGTCGGTATGTATTGACATGAATAGAGTTTCACATATATGTACAAGAGGGTCATTCGCGTCTCGTTACGCCTCTAAGAGATCATTGCTGTGCAGAGATCGATTCCGCAGGCTGGGAAGGAATTCCTACACTTCGTTTCGAGAGATTTGCTCCCCTCAATCCACGTCGCCACCGTCAAAATCGGTCGCGTCGTCGTCCGAGGTTGGGGTGAAGGATGCATCAACGCCTTCCTTCGCTGGGTACCCCAGAATTCCCGACAGAGGTCACCGCACCCGCTCTCATACGTAGCAATCGCATCAAGCCCACTCCCAACTCGCTCTCCGTATACCAGTGAAGCGCAAGCACGGTCCCTCCCCAAACCTCCAAATCCCCTCCCATCCAACGCGGGCCCCAAATCCATCTACCTTCCCGCCAACCCCTCCCCACCCCCGCCACTCCCCGCCTCGGCCCTCAGCTCCCTGACCACCGCCGCAAGCGCCTCCGGGTTAACGCCGCTCTCACACAGTGACACGCACAGCGCGAGGGTTTCCCTGTCGAGTCCGGTGTGGAGGATCTGCGAGATGGCGTGGAGGATGTCAAGAGTTTCGTGGGCTGCTGTTTGTGTGCGGGCTGTTGTTGATGATGGGGGTGGTCGTGTTGTTCGTTCGGAGGTGGAGGAGGTTGAGGGGCGGTGAGGGGAGGATGAGGAAACGGATGCCGGGTGGTGGTGGGCGGTTGGACTTGACATTGACATTGAGTGTTATTGCGCGTCGGTAAGGCTAGCCCTGGAGCGAAAGCGGAGGCTGTGGTGAGGCGTTGGTAGGGTGGTGGCCACTCTTTAGAGAGATGACTTTGTGGGCAAGGTTGTTGGGCAGGTTGTTGGGAGTGATCTCGCTGGTCGACTGTTGAATATGCGAAGTCCGATACATACAGTATTTACGAGTTCGATGACACGCTGGATGACACGCTTGCTCGCTTGCTGTCCCCCAAGTGTGACCCCCCTTCCCCAGGATCAGACTTGAGAAGCACTTCCTGGACTGAGATATCAGAACACTCTTGGGAACCATTCCTACTCGTCCGCACTCACCAGATTTGCAGCTGCAACCTTTCGTCGTCCTATGAAAGTAGTGCGCAGTTGTAAAGCATGGAACGCTCCGTTATTCTTCAGGAACCAGAAGAGGTAACGACCGCTTTGGTGGAGGAACGCCAGCGGGCCCGGTCCCCAGACTCGCACTACCGCCAAACACAGTCTCGTGCGAGACACCAGTCTCCGTCTAAGCGACGATGTAGCGACAAGGAGAAGGAGAGGGATCGGTCGGCTAACGGGTTGGCACCCCTGGAGAGGACACTTGAAGAAGCGGAGGAAGATATCCAGCATTATGACGATACGTACGGCCGGAGGCCTCAGGATGAGGTTGCGGACGAAACGGCACAAAGAATGGAGGAGAAAGATCTGTGGCAGTTGTTGCAGGAGAATGAACGCAATGTGAGGGAAGCGAGAAACGTGTGGTTGCGCAGGGCACCAGTGGCCGCCCTGCCACATGAAATCATCGCAATGATCTTTGCTTGTACGTATACTGCCTCCCCGCTTCTGGAAGTCTGGTGGAAATTCGTCCCAATCGACGATGTGTGAACGACGTCCTAATGGCTACCCTTGGTCCTGCTTCCAGACATCCACGACCAGCCAACATTCGCAGCCCTTGCGCTGGTCTGCCAGGCGTTCAACATATGCGCAACGCCTTTGCTTTATCGTGCGCCTCAATTTCAGACCACTTTTCAATGGGCGCAGTTTGTACAAACATTAAGAGGGTCCGCTAACGGGAAAAGAGACCTAGGCGCTTTCGTACAGGTAGGCTACTTCCTGCACATTGGGGGAATACAGGAGGACCACGATGTTTGTCGGCGTAATCTCATTTCGAATTCCACGCTCGACAGGCGATCGATCTCTCTTCAACCGTCATGAAGAAGACTGTCGTTGAAGCTGAGGAGGGGAATCGAAGGAATAGAGTTAACCCCGGCCATCTCCACGGCGGATTAGCTCAACAAGTGTGGACCCATCACATCAATGTCAACAACACCTCGGATAGAGACGGCACGAACAACGATGAAGAAACCGAATATGTAGCCTTCGTTCCCGGTACTGGCGTTGCGTTGATGCCTGCCGGCATCCATCAAGTTGTGAGGCAGGGAAGCGTCTCGTCGCTCGAAGGTACCATCAGATCGAATTCCCGGCGTACGAACGTGGCACCGGCATTGGGAGGAGCCGGGGCTTCTTCGCAGAGTATCGTGAACGCAACTCAAGCTCCGATTCAGCAAACGGGCCTGCCACATCAATCAGAGAACGAAGTTGAACCTTTGTCCTCTGCTGTATACCCAGCCTCTCAGTCGACTGCGGGTCCGAGTGGAGATGGGCAATCCCGTTTAGACCGAGCCATTCAACAGATGCACAGTACTGTGAACATAAGTGATGACCTTATCAATGCATGCGGCGGTAGCAGTGATGCAGGACTGAACAGCGGAAGCGCCATTCTAGATCTGGCTAGGGCTCACAATGTCACTGGCGAAAGTAGCAGCGGTGCATTTGCGGACGACCACACTGATGCCATTCCTGGAATGAGCATTGGGAACTCAACACGTCGGGACTCGACAGCCACATCCACTCAGATACCCGTGGACTACGATACCATCAACAGACGCACCCCCGAACCCATCCGCTTCCATCTCCTCACATCCTCCCTCACTTCTCTCGCCGAACGATGTCCAAACCTTCTCTACTTGAACATCGCGAATTCACCAATGTCGGATGATACTTTGGTCGTCGAGACTGGGGAGTACATCTCGAGCATGGCGCAGCGAGCACAAGACCTACTCAACAGGGATCTGAACCATCCTTCGGAGAATTGTGATGACGGTGATCCAGACGACTACGGACACGATCACTATGCACAAAACTTACTGGAACGCAAATTCAGCGGAACTTACCGACGCCCATGTCCGAGCGCGAGTCTTACCCTCCGCACGATCGATGTCGCGTACTGCATGCATGCACTCGCCACGAAATGCCCTCATCTCCTCAGTGTCGATTTCCGAGGCGCCGACTGGCTCATGATCAACCATGTGACAATCCTGGCACGATCCGCAAAGAATTTGAGGGCCTGCAACCTAGTGAAATGCAATAAACTGCCTACGACTTTGGCGAAGCTGTGGTACTTCAAAACGCACACGAATGTGTGGGTGGTTCCCCACGCTGACGAGGCCGTCGGAGGGAGCGCTGGTGCGGCGGAAGCTGACCAGACTTCCGATGACTGTGAAACTGCGGAAGGACTTACGCTCTTGGAGAAAATGTTGCCGTGGCCGCAAGCCAACACGTTGTACTCGCTCATGCATGGTACCATGGTGGAGGCTTTGCGATCAAACAGCACCAGCTGAGTCTATGCAGATCTTCATCAGGAGTAGGCTGCGCGGCGGATGATAACCGAGATACCTCTCAGGTAAAGTTTGGATGGAAGGAGAACCCATCCTTTCAATCATCAATATAGTTTTAGCTGTTCAGTTTTGTTCCCCCCTACCATGTCGGCATGGCTTTATACCCCCCGCAGGAGTAGGTTAATATTTGTTAATGTGAATAACCCGAGTACGTACGTATGAATATCCCTGTCGCATTGGGCTGAATGAGAAAAACGTATGATGTGACACGCGGTGACCCTGACGCGTTGCTCTTGTTTCCCCGCTTCTTCCCCACTTCTTCCCAGGCTTCTTCCCTTCTTCCCTGAACTTGAAAACCCGCTCACCAAAAGAACACCTTTCCCGACCCGTTTTTTCGCAAAACATTACCCTCAGGATGTTCTCCAAAACAGGGCTGAAAGCCTACGCAATGCCGTCCGCCACCTCCGCCGCCACCTCCGCCGCCAAGCTCCTCCCGCGCCGCCTGTCGCCATCTCTTACCGGCCTCGCAAGCCACGTTTGTCGGCAGTCACCAGCACATTCGCTCGTCTCATCCCGTCCCCTCTCATCCACCCGCTCAAACTATCACGACCAGTCCTCCGCCCCCGCCCAATCAAAACACGTTCCGGTAGGCGGTTTCGCAACCGTCCCCGAAATCCGCGAGGCGCTCCCGCCCAAAGTCGCTGACCTTGTCGAAGACTACCCGAGCCTTACTACCCTCCCCGTCCAGTGGGGAGAGCAAGACCCGTTTGGACACCTCAATAATGTCATTTACCTTCGATACTTTGAGAGTGGGCGGATTGCTTATTTTGATCAGATCATCAAGCCGGGGCTGACACAGCGTGCTTACAACTCGTTCATACAAGGTATCTATCTGAGGAGATAAATGACGATTGAAGAGAAAGGCTAATAGCTCAACAATCCCCAGCGAGAGGAGTAGGCCCGATCGTTAAAACCGTATCCTGCAAATACAAGTCTCCCGTGAGGTATCCCGATACGATCACGGTGGGCGTGAGGATTCCGAGGGAGACCCTGGAGAAGGACCGGTTCGTTCAGGAGGCGGTGTTGGTGTCACATGCGCAAGGGCGAGTGGTGGCGACGGCCGAGTGCCAGGTTGTGACGTACGACTATGGGGAGTTGCGCAAGGCGGACATTCCGCCGGAGGTTATCAAGGCTTGGAAGGCTGGGGAAGGGATCAAGTGAGAGGAGTCTCCGCTTGATGAGGAGTAAACTACCTTGCAGTAATTTGCAGCACTAGATAGACGCCCGATCAGACTGTAATAGGGAGATCCAACTCAATTCATAGTACAAGCGCACACAACCTTAGAGCGAAGCAGTCTATGTCCCGATGAAATATGCGTGTAAACTATTTGACATAAATACAGACATGGTTGTATGCGCGTGAAGCCGCCGGAACTCTATTTTGCCCCGGCCTCTACACGTTCTTGTACCGGTACCGCTTCTCCTTCACGCTACGCACCATCTCCCCACTCCCCTTCGCGATGTCCCCCGTCCTGTTCCTAACCATGGCCGCAGCAGCCAAAACGGTGACACGAGGAATCGTACGTTTCCCAGCCGCCTTCGGAGATGCAACATCAGCGGCTGCTGCAGCAACTTTCGCGTTCTTCGCACCTTTCCCACCCACTTTTGCGTTTGCTGCATCCCTCTCCCTCTTCTGCAATATCGCTTCCGCGTCCGCTCTCCGCATGTTGTCGACAGTCGTTCCGCGGCGGGTGAGCAATCGCGCTGGGCTCAATGATTCCGGGCGACCATAGTTGAGGGCTTTCAAGGTGGCGGCGGAAAGTGCCGCGATGGGGCCAGGCAGGGAGGATGCGAGGTCGGTGGCGGTTTGGATGGAGGCGACGGTGTCGCGTGGAGATTGGAAGTGCAAGCTACCATAGACCGGTTCGTGAATGCCTGGAAGAGGGAGATACAAAGGTTACTTGCGTTTGCGGTGATGCGCACAGGATTCTCTACATACCAAGCTGGGAAAAGACTGCTGGGGTGTGGATATCCCAAAACGATGTCATGAATCCACGACCCTTCAACGTAAGGTTGTTGTCCTTGATGAATTTCGTGATTGGGAGCAGCAGACCTCTGTAACCGGGGCGAACGTATCATGAGCGACGAGCATTCATTCAAAGGCTATTCGGACATCAACGCAACGCACCTTTCGCGGACCATAATCTCCGCTTCACGCTCGCCTAGCGCACTTCGCTCCCACTGCGGCAAACCCGCTTCTTCAGCTTTCTTCTTCAACTCCGCTTCGGTCTTCCTTGCCTGAGCTTTGAGACTCTCCACGTCAATTTTGACCGACCCCTCCTTCTCCTGCTCCAGAACAACCAGCATGTATCGATGCTGCTTACGAGGATTGGATGCCGGCGGGTGTGCCGGAACGTAGGGAAAGACAACGTTTCCGGGAATGACGGGTGCCGTTTCCGGCGCTTTTGGCACAAAGTGCGCTCCCGTCAACATCTTCTCCAACTCCCCCTTCGCCGCATCGTCTTTCGGCGTTTGCAGGTATGGCGACGATCCACCAGGAATAACCAGCCTCCTCTGCACGGGAACATCCGTGATGAGCCAGTGACACCATTCCTCGTACGACTTGGTATCCGAGTCAGGACGGTCAACGTCTACCAACGCAACAGTGAAATGACGGACGGCGTCATCGTTGGTCGTGATGGTGACTTCGGGAGAATACAGCGTCCAAATCGGCGGGACAGGCTGACCGATAGGTGCGAGCCACTCAGTGTTTTGGAAGTTCATCTGGACAATGACGGTTGGTGTGGTGGACTTGGGAAGCACGTCGCCTATGATTTTCCAGTTCTCTTCCGATTTGCGGAGGCGGGGAACGAGTTTGCTTTTCCACCGTTGTTGGTGCATGGCCGCGAAGACGTCTTGCGTTGGGGCGCCTGACAAGGATTCCGCATGAGTACTGGGTTCTGTACGAGTCCCTAGCCCTCCTTCGAAACTGCAATCAGCATACCTTTCCCAGCAACAAACGCCTCATGGTTCTTGGGATCACTGTAGCCTAAATCCACTTTCTTTGCAAGGAGTCGTGCCTGAACCTCCTTGTCTTTCGGATCCGCCTTTTCCAGAGTCGCTATCTCCTTCCTTACTATCTCCCTGTGCTCCTCCAAGACCCGCGACGCAAATTTCTGTGCGTGGCTTGACGCCGAGGAGACTGTCGTAGCCGTTCGCTTGCACTGTGATCGGAAGGGTCTTTTGCCACCTACCGGAGACCGCTGAGCTGGCCGCAAGCAGCTTGGTGGTGGACGGAAAGGCATTCTGCTGCCTACGGTGTGTGCGAATAACGTATACAGGCGCCCCTTTGCGAACCGACTTGCCGCACAGTGACACTGGAAAGCTCTTGTCCAAAGTTGCTCAGACCGAAATCGGTTTGCCGGAAGAAACGAAGACCGAAGGCAGACACTGGACGCGCTTTGAACTTGGTCGTTCTCACAGATCAGAGCAGATCAGACCTCACGTCCGTCGGGCCTGAAAGTCCACATTCTCACTTAAGTGCGGTCAACCACAAAAAGGGCGCATGCCCTGTGTATGGCAAGGCAGCGTCGATGCACATTGCGCTTGCATCACCCTATCGGTGGCCTCGAACGGAAATCCTATATCTTCTTTGTAAATTTAGAGTGCATAACTGCTTCTGGTACTTCCCCAGCTTGCGGGCATAAATGAACTCGCAGGTTTCAATAAATGAACTTGCAGACATGAAACGATGCGATGAAGTTTGTCTATTGTATGTACATGGGATGAGAGATTCGATTTTGCCACAGCCTGATTGTTTCGAGAGGTTTGCCGACAGCCCGCGTCGCGCAGGATCTGATATCGCCGAGTTGGTCGGACGTGTTGTTTTACCCAACTTGATACGCTTCCGGTGGTATATTTCCCTATCATCGTGACAACATGGTCAGCAATGCACATCGCTCAATCAAGTATTGATGCAGTCGGAATATCGCAAGCGAAAAGCTCACCTTAACATTCTGATACGCCTGCATCGCTGCGGGAGTAGACCAGCCCGTTTCTGATAGGCATTGTAGACTGAATTGATAATTTAGGCCTGTGGCACGTGCGAATTCGATGACTTGACTCTGGCGGACGTCGTCCTGCGAAAAAAGCGGATGAACCTGGACATCAGACATGGAGCCAGCACGAGAGTCCCCCGTAAACAACTTACCAATTGATATTGTAACTGCAACTGCTTGAGTAGGGTGGGATCAGGTAGCTGCGGTAGGTGATGATGGGCTGGCTGCGAATGAGAGCTTCCGTTCGGAGCCGTTTCCGTGATGCTCGCCCAGGCCTTGTTGCCGGCATATGCGCGAATATTCAGTTGATCGTTTGACACACTATAAGGTAATCCTGCAGCAGCAGATCTTGAGCCTGGAGGTGGGGTTACGAGCACGAGGGTGCGATCGAAGCTACGATTTGTGTTTGTTTCCACTGAATGCGATGATAACGTTGTTATCAGCCCACGGCGCGCTGACGCGTACGGAAATTGATTCGGGTACGCACCTTCTCTGAACTCTCCATGTAGCAGAATGAAGAGGGTGAGATCTACACCCGCGCCGGTTTGATAGCCTTCAACGATATACGAGGGGCTAGGGTATTGTGGGTGTTGGGTTCGTGGTATTCGCTCGTATGCTCGTATTATGTTCGTCCCTCCTCTCGCCAACGCCGAAACTCGCTTCTCTGAGAAGGTTATGTCAGCCTCGATGCCACATATTGTTGCTGTGCACGCTCCCGTTATGATACCTGAGCTCTTAACTTTCTCCAGATTGTGATCTACATCCCTCCAACTGGCGAACGCGAGTTGATCTCTCCCGCGAGGGTCTTTCGTCGACCTCCCAGTGGAATCCAGGGAAAGAGAGAAGCATGCCTGATCGTGAAAGAGATCGAAGAGCGCAATTCGGTTGGCGTCGAATGATGTCAGGAACCTAGGTGAAGGGAAGGGTTAATCAGGTTATAATGAGCTCGTCAAAGGTCACAGTCCTCACTTTTGTACGAAATCGTTTACAAGCGCAGCTGTGCCCGGGGAATCCACGAATCCAGTTCTTGATTGTAGGGGCAATTCGACGGCCATTGTATCTACTCCGAAAGTTATTTCTGCGCCAACAGGTTCCATGTCGAGAATTTCGATGGTTGGGAAGAGCTTTTGGATATCACTACAGTAGAAACGAAGGGTTACACTACGTTTTCGACGCTCAGCGTAACTGATCTCATTTCCTCACCCGCGGTAAACGACATCACCACCAGGCTTCTGTAATGCGATGTCTCGAATCGGATTTCCAGAAAGTAGCAGCTCGCGAAGTTGACGGAACTCGGAGCCGCGCAACGGCTCAATGTCTCTCAAAGATCGGAGCTGATTGTCTTGGAAAGACAACGCCGTCAGGTTCGGCGCGTATGTCGGCAATATGGAGAAGTGGGATAGCGTTGTCAAGCGGTTGGACGCCAGCGACAATGTCTCCACATCCGGGCAGCACTCTCCGATCATTTTACAAATAACACCTCCCATCTTAGATTCTGGCTCGAACCCGCGGATTCTCTCGTTCGCTAATAACGGATCCTGCATCATATTCGACAGATCAAGATACTTCTGTTCCGGTTGGTAGCGATTCCGCAGTATGGTTCTGAATGCTTCGATTGCACCCCCTGGTCGGCTCTGCGGGGCTCTGGCGCCTGCAAACCCTGTGTTGTTTACAGGCGCGCGCAAAGACGCATGAGCTTGCCCTTGAGAGATCGCAAGCTGCGTCAATCGTTACCGGATTTAGAATTTTCATCGATCGCCATCTAATCAGGTAGAACTGCGTTCCCCACCTTCTTCGCTCTGAAATTAATGCCATTCAGCTGCATGATTGCCTGCGCTTCCAGAGCATTTGCCATTTTGAAGACTATTGCATTCCCACGAGTTTCGCTCTAGAATGGAGGATGAGGTGGTGGCACTGATGATGACCTATTGCATGCCATAACATGTACGCACCCCAACAAAGTTCAGCGATCGGCCGTGTTGCGCTTGATACTTCCGAGATAACCAGACCCCGAGCCCCTCCGGTGCTGTGTCGTGATCTATGTTTTCAACCTTCCTTTCTCGTAAGTGACAAATCCATATTGACGAAACGGTTACACAAACAACCACCCACCAATACTTCCTCCACTGCGAGGTTGGGACCAGCGCTTTCCCCAAACGAGCTTCCCCCTCGTGATCTGCCGGGCCTGAGAGAATAACATGAAAATTTTTAGATACGGAAAGCCTATTACGAGCGAAACTTCCTGGGAACGAAACGAGTATACATACGATTGGTTTTGTCTATGTCCCAGCCCATCGCTCATCATCGCATCAGCTTCAGACCCTCTCCCGTCATTGTAGCCACCTCGCCCTCGACCGCTTCCTCCTCTGTATGGCCCTCTGGCATTCCCGCCGAAGCTGGATCCGCCACTGAAACGGGACCCACTCTGTCCCCCGTTGATGGTGTGTGCAGATCCAAAGTCGCCTTGATTTTGTCGTGAGTGCCCTGATACGAAGGAAAGGCCTCTGCCGCGCCGGCCACCCTGTCCTGAAAAGCTCATCTCTACTCCAGTAACGCGATGAGGGCAACCTGCTTTCCACCTGATCTCCCAGTTGGTTGGCCGGGCGCGAGGACAGGAGATCGTGTGTGCTGGTCAGGCGGCAAGGAGAAACTGGAGGCAGCCGCTACTTCTCACTACTGAGCAGTTTCCGCGTCCTTGTCGTTCGCTTGCTTGGAAGGAAGAAGTGCTGTTGCGTTCACACGGAAGGTTCGGAGTGGTGCATGTGCCAGCAACTCCAAAGTGAGGCCTTGTCCACAAGTCGCGGAAAGGTAACCGTCAATACAATGTATCACGTGACCGGGAGTTCAGGTTTGATCTCAGCGTCATTCGGCATAAAAAGGGAGCCTTTCTTCCTGAGAGCTGGGAACAATATCGAGACCGCTCGTGGGAAGAACTTTGGAGAGCCCCAGCTATATCGAGCACTATCAAGCGACGGGTGGTGTCAACTTAGTCCATATCTTTCTGCCCTACTGCCTGGTGTCCTCCGCGGCAGACCAAGCGGGCGGATTGGAACTCAACCCAGCTAGCCCGTGAGATTGACCACCAGGATACCGCATATCGACAAGTACCGCGGTATCTCTAAAGATAATTCTGACTGGTTAAAACGAGGTCTCTTGCTGAAAGCAAAGGAGCACTCTTCCTAATTCCGTCAGAAGTGTGTTGGCAAAGTAATTGTGGCGAAAAGGGACGTGTTGCAAGGGTGTCTCAAGCATGGATAATTGGGCCGGACTACTCGGCGTCCCCAATAACGTCCAAGGGACTATGCCAAGCGAAAGCTACTCCCAGGAAGTTCCAACCTCCTTGGCCAACCCTCATTTGAACAATGGTGCCCTCGTGGGAAATTACGCGACCAATGGGCAGCTTGAGCCACCAGCATTTCAGCATCATCAATATCAGCAGCCCGCATCAACGGAGTCGTTTCACAGAGGAACCGATCCTACGTCAGTGGCCCCTACCAGTGGCTTCCCAAGTGTTTTGTCAGCACAACCGTCTTCTTACGCCTCGCGATCCGCTGTACCATCTTCATACGGAGCGCTACTTGGTAGCCAATTTCCTTGGGCTCAGTCGCTCACGCCCACTATTGCTCAGCCGCAACACCCATACACAACATTCCAGCAGCTTGGCCAGTATGACTCTACCCAGGGAGGATCTCCGTCAGCCGGGCCCACTTCCTTAGGCCAACATACTATGTTGGATGCGAACGTAGTTCATGGTGCGAGTGGAACCTCTTCAACTTCAGCGTATGGTAAGCGAAAGTGTTTTTCTGTTTGCTCCGTATTTAGCCTGAGATCCATGCGCACATATTGCGTCAATTTTCGGCCGATCTTAGGCAGTCCAAACCTGCCCCTGAATACGCAGGCGCTATCCATTTACAGTTGATGTGATGCTTATAAGAATGATCTCGTTGTCAATAGCTGCAAATGCGTCCGCTCCAAAGAAAAAATTCACATCAGAACAGACGGCCGCACTGAAAGCTCATTATGAGGAGAATGACAGGCCTTCCGATGCCATGTATAGGGCGTTCAGCCAGGAAGTGGGATTGACAGAAAAACAAGTAATTACTTGACGCACATGCTTGGTTTCCAAAACGATTCGCTGATTGTAATACCATTGTTACTAGATCAGAGACTGGTTCAGCCGTGAGCGATCTTCTCGCAAACGCCGAATGGCAAGCGGCACGCCCGACCTCGACACCAGTGCATCATCAACGACCAACTCCCAAACCCCGGCGACGTCTCTGCAAGATGGCCCTCCAGCTGCAGATGGATTCTCGGCCTACGCCTCCCTTTCACAATCGGCCCATTCTGGTGCATCGAACCCTTTTACTGCGATGAGCGCCTACCATCCCGCAACGAGCTCGCTTCCTTCTGCCCCAAGCATTGCAAATCAACCTCTCGACCTTTTCTCTCGAGGCAAGAACCTGTCCACGGATATGGTGGCGCAGTTCCTTGGTCGACTGAATGGGTCCTACGCTGCAGTGGATAATCAACTATCGGCTTCTATCGCTCCTCTGACCACCGCCTCTTGGATGCCCACGGGGTACCCGTCACCCATTTCCTCAGCAACGGCTCTCCCAGGCCAAATGTCGACCACCTCGTCGGTTCCATCTGCCCAAGCAGCGGCAAAGCCAGCAGCCACCCAGATAGCCCAGCAAGCTTTCACTTCCGCAGGTCCGGATGTGGTCACCGTTCCAGACGATGGCCCGTTGTTCACACCTGCAAGATCCCCATCACCTCAGCAGTTGATGGACGTTGACATTCCCGAGGAGACGAAATCTTTCGACGAGATGCTTGCACCTTTATTGGACGCTCGGGGGCAGCTCAGTGACGTCACGCACATGTCGCAATTTACGAAACTGGCGGGGTCAATTTCAGAATGGTCGGAGCGACAGGTGGTTCTCCGAGTTTTGTCAGACGCGGAAAACACCGAAGTTTGGAAAAGGTACCTGTCAGTCGTCCTTGATGAGGCTCCCGCTGCAAGTCTGACATGTATCTCCATTCCTTAGTTTCCTAGGTTTGAACGGCCTGAAGCTTGTGACGAAGATGCTGCTGCAAGCAAAGAATCTCATCTCAGACGTGGAGGCGGCTGCGGCAGCCGTCTCAGCTCTGGGCCTCCTAGCAAAATTGCCAGTCGATGTCAATGAACTTCGTGAGGTAAAAACTGGGAAGGTCGTAAAGCATTTCGCCTCGATGACAGATAGCGAAGGTATGGCGGCGAAAGGTACATTTGTACATATAAGGTTAGCTAACCTCCAATTGCACGTTGGTTGTCAGCTGTGCAAAGCGCAGCGTCTAAGGTCATGAGTAGCTGGCAAGCTTTGGTCGCAAAGCCGAAAGAAGTTCCAGCTGGTTCCGAAGGAGCACATGCAGCCGATAACGAAAAGAAGCGGGAACGGGAGAGTAGTCCGACTGAGCCTGGAAATCTGGCCAAAAGAGTAAAGGATTCGAAGGACGCGCTACCTACATCGAACCCATCCGCCGTCGTGGACGATACGGATATCTTCGTATCATTATCCAACGCGAATCTACCCAAAATCAAAAAGACGGACGGCGCCGCCCCGGCTAAGAATACGGAAGTACGATCACCCGACAAGCTCAAGGAACAAGTACCATCGCCGCAAATCAGGTATGTTCTACTTTCCGTCGGAGTGGGTATTCTTTTCATGCTCAGACGTTGCGGCCCGTACAGATCTGAAAAGCTGGAGCCTGAGAAACTTCCAAGCTATCGTGCAAAGACAGACAACCCAGCGACTTCCGACGCAGGTGTCTCGGCTGGCAAAAAACGTGTCAGATTCGCCGAGGGAGACAAATTAGTGGCTGTGAGATACTTTGAGAAAGATGAACATCTTACCGACAATGAGGTACATATGAGTTACGTTTTTATCCGAAGTGCTTACGGGCCCTTCTGACGTTCTTGTACAGGCACAGAAAGTTACACCCCATCAGATGGGCAACGCGAGAGATCTTGATCGCCAGGAAGGAAAACGTGCATTCCAGCGTGATACTGTTCCCGTTGACAAGTGGACCCCGCCACCAGGTAAGAACAGAGTCTCCCAGCTTTTTTCTCCCGAACCTGGGTACATGTTTCTTATGGATCCTTTTAGTACTGAACTGGAAAGTAATGAATGATGTAACGAAGAAGCTAGAACCGAAGACGTTGGAGTGGGGCAACGAGTCTGAAGAGCAGAAAGTGCAAGACCAACGCGAGCGGACGACTCTGGGCACCTATTACACTGACAATCAGCAGATACCGCCCACTCCTTCCGAGCCAGATACGGTCCATTCGTCGTCACAATCTACTTCTCCCAAGGAGATTCTGTGGGAACCACGTCCCGCGGCGGCCGCTGTTGTGAGTTGCTTTCATAGTTTTCTGGAAGTGTCTGACGGAACACTTATGCTGAATCCCTTGCAGCCTGCACCAGCTGCACCTCCCCCAGGTCCAGCAATGCAACAACTTCAAGCCCTGAATCCTGTACTCTTGCAGCAAATTCTCGCGGTTGTGGGGCAACAACAAAATCCCGCAGCGACGCTTCTCGCGGCTTTGGGGCAACAACATATACCACCATCGATACCGGGGCCTCTGTTTAGTGGCTTTGGGAACTCACTTGGTGGACTAACCGGTCAGCAACCTGGAATGCTGGGACCACTGGCCGCACCACAGCAACAACAACCACCGACGTACGATTCCGTTTTGGTATGTTTGTACGCGCGCACACGTTTCCGCCCTTGACTATCACAATTTCTGACATCTCAGTGTTGGATAGGCTCAGTTATCACAGGGGACACACGCTCCAGCCGCCCTCGGGTTATCGAACGTGGGCCAATTCGCTCAGCATCACCAGCGTTTCCCGTCTCCACAAGTTCAGCAATCCCCTCTTCAGGGCGGCGCAGGGCCAGTACAAGCGGGGCAACCTCACCAAATGAACGGCCACCAAAACGGTGGACAGGGGCGGTGGGGAAACAACCGAGGGCGGGGACAAAGCAACGGCGTACCAAACACCACGGGTCCCACGAGGGGGGGCTTCAATCGAGGTGCACGTCCCGGACCGTATGATCGCCCACCGAACAACAAGGGACATCCGCAATACAAAAAGCTCCCTTGCCGATTCTTCCAACAAGGCACTTGCAAGTTTGGGGATGATTGCTCATACCGTCATGACATGCAGTGAATCATAGTCAGTCGCCGGTGGACCTATGTATGTATACCTTTTCATGTAATTTTGGTAGTCCGCGGGCAAATATACACAAATCCCATCCCCCTTCATCATGACCTTTGGGTTTGGGTTCTATGTTTGGATCACTTGTTTCTCTCGGGCGATATTTCCAAATTCGGAGCCGGGCACGGAGAAAGGTATGACTGCTTGGGCCCTTCTCTCATCCCGAGCTCCTTCTCGACTTTCACATCGGCAACCTGTACAACCTGGGTTAGAAATGCGCATGCCATGCTAGGTTCATGTGAGAATTGCTACCAATTGCTTTCTGAGTGTTGTACCGGCCCTCTACGAAAGAATGTATTATATAAACAATATGATGTGAAGTGCTATGTGCAAAACCGGTTCTACTCGGTGGAATCTATTGTGAGCTATGTTACCGCCCGGCATCGGTACTGGCTCCCTCCGTTTCCTCCGCATTGGCGCTAGATCCCGCCTCCTCGTTTTCCTCCTCGGGCTCGAATGACTTCAGCAAAATGTTAACAGCGTCCATATGCCCTTGTTGTTCTGCAACGGTCACCGCACTCCTTCCCGACTCGTTCTGCAAAGTGGCGTCGGCGCCGGCGTCCAGAAGAATCTTGACAACGTCCACTTTGCCGTTAAGCGCGGCCCAATGGAGTGCGGTCGACCCGTCGTCGTTCACTGCATTGACGTCGCCGACGGTCAACGCCGGCAAGAGATGTTTGACAATTTCGATTTCGCCATTAGCCGCGGCCATGTGCAGGGCAGTCGCGCCGTTCGGTAACCGGCTGGCGTAAAGCGCCCTTGGAGTTAGGTTGGCTGGCGTCGGGGTTGCCGTTGTGGTTGGGGAAGTGGCGCCGGTGGCCGTAAGGTAATTGTCTACGAGTTCCTTCAGGCCGTCGAGGTCCCCGTACCTGGCGCAGGCAACGAATTCTTCGACATCAAACGTTGAGGAGGCGGCCTGGTCGTCTTTGACTGGGGCAGTAGGAGCTGCTCCGGCTGGCGTTGCGGTGGTCATTCTGTGTATATGCGTTGTGTGGAGTTGGTTTCAAGGTGAGCTTGTTGCAGTGGAAACCAGAGTGGAAACCGTCTGAGAAAAAAACGAGTTCTCCGTGAGGAATCATTTTGAGCGCGTTGGCGGAGGTTAGGAGAGGTTGGTGGAAACTGGGTGGAAATGAGCCCATGCTGCAAGTAATTCCTGGTGACCACTTGACAGCGCATAGAGGCCCGCACGCGCACGCACACGTCGCTGCATAGCGATTGGGCTGTAATATATCCCGAACGGGTCTCCAGGTCTCCTCGACACGCATAATGACGATATCTAGCTCGGCCGACTTTATCGGCGTTGCTTGCAACCGAGTCAGTCAAGCAACAGACTGCAACCTCGACGGCCTGGTGGCTTTTGCGGCGGGACGCTTTGTTGCTTTATATCGTCCTCAGGTGTGCTCCGGTGCGAGTTGCTGAGACTCTAGATCACCATATTAATGTTGGCATGCTTGATAGGATCCAGCACGACGGGGGGTGAAGACGACGTTGGTGGGACATAAAGACAGAGTGAACTGTTTACGGTTCTTGCGACGAGGTACTATCAAAGGAGAGAAGTGGGAAGGACTTGGTGTGGAGTTTCTTACATCGTTCTCCTCAGGCACCGGCGCGGAGCAGAGAGACGTGGGATTGGTGACGGGTTCAGCAGACAACACACTTCGTATCTGGAAGCAAAGGGATGGAGACGAGGTAGACCACTATATTCTGGGAGGCATTCGATGCCTGCGTCTAACATCCCAAAACAGTCGTGGAGTTGCACAGCTGTTCTAAAGGGTCACACGGCGGGCGTGTCATGTCTGGGAGTGTCCCGAGGCCGTAACATCCCTGGCGAGACCGACCTGGTCGCCTCAGCAGCCTCAGATGGCACCATAAGGATATGGGAACGCCGAGAGAACGGGGCTGAAGGTATTTTGTTGAGTGCATTCCCCACAAGCGCTGAGATTCCTCACAAGCACCGTGTCATCCCAACCCCAAAGACACCACGGAATGCGTGCAGATCATCAACGTTGGATCTCGATATCCGATGGCTTTGGCTTTGGGAGTGCTCCCTGGGTCGGATGGTGGGTAGAGCTTCGTGAGAAATGGAAATGCACGCGGGAAGGCTGACGACGATCTACAGAACCAGTGCTTGTAACCGGGAGGACGGATAGCAAGTTGAGCGTCTATACTCGTCGCGATGGAAACGTAAGCTGGAAAAAGCGAGTTCTCTGCCGTCTGCGCTTTGTAAGATCCTCATAGATTGTAGTTTGTGGAAAGTCTGGTTCTCCAGGGCCATTCGGATTGGGTGCGATCCCTCGAGATCGCAACGTACACGGCGAGCTCCGGAACCAACGAGCAGTCGAAACACTTCAAGGACGGCGACTTGATAATCGCTAGTTCCTCGCAAGACCGATACATTCGTACCTGGAAGATATCGCAAACTTCTTTGGATGCGGCGAATCCCGTGGCGGATGACTTCACGTCACTGATGATGAGCGCTTTGGCGGAAGCGGGATTGTAAGAATCTTCACAAAACTATCTCGATCGCATGAGTCGGACATCTCACAGATGGCTTGACTGCAGAGACGAAGGAGACATGCAACTGAGTACTAAAGCGCATATCATGGACCTGGACACGCCAGCTGGGTACGGCCAGTGAGACATTATTTTGATCGCACCACTTCATCGTCAAATGACGAGATCGACTGTCGCAGGAAACAGAAGTATGCCGTCATGTTCGATGCGCTTCTGATGGCCCATGACGACTGGGTACATAGTGCTTGGTGGCAACTACCTACAATAAAGGGTGAGCTCGTAAAGCAAATCTGATCCTGCGCCATGATCGCAACCGACTCACCGCACTTCCGCAGATGGCACATATCACCAGCCCATGACCCTCATATCAGCTTCCGCGGATAAGTCGATCATGATATGGCGTCCTGACCCGGCGACTGACACCTGGGTGAACCAGGTTTGTCTGAAGAAGAGGGGTAATTGCTCAGACGATATGCCCACTGACTACCGTTTATAGGTGCGATTGGGGGAGATTGGAGGAAGCACGTTGGGCTTCTACGGTGCTCTCATAAGCCCGCAGGGCACGACTGTCATTGCCAATGGCTACAACGGCGCTCTGAACGTCTGGTCAGAAACGAGCAAAGATGGTACGAGATTGAAGTCGATGAAGCGACATTGTAGAACATGCTTTCTGATGATCGTTTCTTCAGAATGGTCGCCGCAGGTGGGAATCAGTGGCCATAAAGCACCCGTTGAAGACCTCCAATGGGATCCATCGGGTCAGTTCATCGTCAGCACCAGGTAAGGAAGCGCCGGGGTGATGGGACAAATCTCTATGGCGTATTGACCAATGGTCCGTCTTCCATCTAGTCTCGACCAGACGTCGCGGCTATTGGCACCTTGGAGGCGAGGAGATCTGACAACATGGCATGAGATCGCTCGTCCGCAAATTCACGGATACGACATGCACTGCTTAGCATTTTTCCACAAGTACGGTTTTGTCAGTGGAGCCGACGAGAAGGTACTATGCGAGATAAAGAAAGACGGCATATGTAGCTAAGAGCTGACGACGTATGAATAGATTTTGCGAGTATTCGAGGCTCCAAGGACATTCGTGAGGTCTCTGGAACAGCTGACCCAGGAGCGAGAATCGGACGAAGTGATGGAGCAGCGGCCACTCGGTGCCAGCGTACCTGCTCTTGGATTGTCCAATAAGGCCGTCTTTGAGGGTTAGTAGGGAGTTGGTTGCATGCTTCATGCTTAATATGGCCAGCTGACTAGAACGATTTTAGGTGATGTGGCCGGCGCACCAAACACGCACGACTTTCGAAATCTGTCTGCATACACCGCTGTCGCGAGTACCTCAACATCATTCACGGCTACAATGGCGCAACCACCGTTTGAACAGCATCTGCTGCAGCACACGTTGTGGCCTGAAATAAATAAACTTTACGGACATGGATATGAGATTGTGAGCGTGGCAGCAAGTCACAATGGAGCATACGTTGCTTCAGCTTGCAAGGTATAAAAGGGGTACGAAACGCTCAGATCGTATCCTGGCCCTCACGATGATATCTTTTGTTTAGGCCGCCAAACCAGAGCACGCCTCCGTTCGATTATGGTCGACGAAGACGTGGAAAGAACTGTGTCCACCGCTAGCAGCACACACCCTGACAGTCACCGGAATCCGATTCTCGCCGGACGACCGTCGTATCCTGACTGTGGGACGCGATCGTGGATGGGCCTTATTCGACATAAATGAGGATGCAGGCACATTCACCTTGCTGGAAAACAACACCAAAGCACATTCCCGTATTATCTGGGACGGTACCTGGACTCACGATGGGAAGTATTTCGCCACCGGATCCCGTGACAAGACTGTCAAGATCTGGCACGGCGGGGAGGACGAGAGGTCATGGAAGTGTGTGGAAACTCTGAAGTTTCCAGAAGCTGTTACCGCTATCGACTTTGCGCCTTACTTTGTTCATGGACGGTGAGATATCATTCGATTCGGTACAGGCTGAAGAATCTGTATCTGAACCTCCTTTCGCAGGTATGTGCTCGCCATCGGCTTGGAAGATGGACGAGTGCAGATCGTACAAATTTCAATCAATAATGGCACACTGACGCAGACGGATGCCCAAGACCTCTCGTAAGTACTCCGCTTTCTCATCCCGCTTTCCGAAAGAGCAAAAAATGCTTATTGGTTCTCTTTTCATATGTCGCGCCGCCCCAGGGATGTACATGTTTCGATTGTGAATGCGGTGAAATGGCAGCCGATGAAATCGCCCGCTGATAACAGTGCCAAAGAAGTATCACTAAAGCTTGCAACGTGCGGAGACGACTGTTCCGTCCGGATTTTTGCTGTCACTTTCACCTTATAATCGGCGTTGTTGCGTAGAGTTCGTAGCGCGCAGAGAAATAGAAACCTTGGAATTCTCGAATAGAAACGAATAGAAGCTCATTGAAGGAAGCTTTCATAATGCGTCCATAGGATGGATATTCTCAGTAGTTTTCTCCGTGAAAAATACCCCCATATCCCTTTATAACGCCACCCTGCGTATGGGAGGACAACCTGGCACCGCTCTTTGGGAAACCTTCGACCCCCGCCGTTCTGTCGCCTTCCTGACGATGCCCCATTGCCCCCGAGGCGAACTGTGCGTACTTATCTTCGGGACTGAATAAGACGGGCACGTCTTCCGATGTTGCGAAGCACCCCATCTTGCACTGCTTATACGCAAGTCTGTGGTAAAGCGTTGGGGAACTGGACATCAGGAGCCACTATACAAACGACGTGAACACTCCTCCCTGCCTCCTCCCTGCCTCCTCCCTCCCACCCCTCCTCCTCCTCCGTCGCCCGCTGCGTGATGGTTGGCTATTCTTCAAGATTAGTTTGGTGTCCAGGCCTCCCGACCGTGGGCCTGGGCTGCGAAGTTTTTGTGTGTCTTGTGACACGCATGGACGCACATGCAGACTCATGCAGACGTGATGCAGACGTCCAGAAAGCCTCCACAAGCTCCCATTTTCCCAAGATCTTCAACGACATCAGGGCCTCCCGCTGTCCCCACTGTTGTCCTTCGCATACCACTTCTCTTTCCCACGCGACGCTCGACCTGCTAGCTCTTATAATACTCTTGTGAGGTCAACGTCCGCTCATAAACCACATTTCTGTACGGTAGTCGGCGAAACGATGTTCTGGCGGTTTGGGTTCCACAATGCTTCGGTCATAGACGGACTGCTAGAGAAGGAAGGCGTGACGCTGGACGAGCTGCTGGAGGAGGACGAGCTGATGCAGGAGTGCAAGGCGCATAACACGAAGCTGGTTGAATTGTAAGCAAGTGCCGGTTGTCTTATCACAATGCTTGGAACAGTGAACTCAGCGCCGCGTCTCTGCAGCCTTAGCAAACCCGAAGTGCTCAAACAGCTGCTAGGCTTCATCATCAAATCGGAAGATCTGGACGAAAGCAAGCGATTCAAGTGTGTAGCCGTACATGGAATCGAGGACATGCCCCTCCTAATACTGACTACGGCTTACTCTTCTAGATATCCATTTGTAGCTAGCGAAATCATCAGCTGTGAGATCTACTCGATATGCGAGGGAATCATGGGAAGCGAGGAGCTGCTGAATGAGCTCTGGGGGTTACTGGACCGTCCCGCACCGTTGGATGCCTTAACGGCAAGCCACTTCGGCAAAGTCATTGGCGTACTCCTAGCAAAGAAGACACCTGAGGTATGCGCTGACAATCGAACGATGTGAAGCTCAAGCAACTCACAATCGTTGGACCTCAGATGGTTGCGTTCATCCGCAAACAGCCCAATGTGGTGCAGCAGCTTCTCACACACATTGCTTGTTCTGCAATCTCCGATCTCCTGCTGAAGCTGATCAGCATGAACGACATTCCAGAAGGGGCCGGTATCGTTGAGGTACGACTATGCTCTGGGATAAGGACAGCGGAGCTGGATCCTGACTTCCGTATGTCTTCCACTAGTGGCTCAGTAAGGAGGGACTCATTACGACGCTGCTGAGTCGACTGGACCCGAAACTGGACTCAGAGGTACTGCACATCACGCTCCTTTCCGACACTGCGTACCGAGCTTCACTGCTAAACGACAGAATGAAACATAGGTGCATAACACGGCTGCCCAAACTCTACTGGACGTCATCGCTGTGAGCTACCAAACAGTTAGCCCACAGGATATGATGAATGCTGGCTTCGGAGGATCCTTGCTTGGCGAGGAGGCAGGTTTACCACCACCAACTCCTGGAAACACCCTGGTGGACGAACTGAAAAGGTAATCTTCCTCGCCATTGCATGCCCACCTCATCAAACTGATTGACTTCTTGGTTCAGTGAGGGGATGATGAACAAGCTTGCCTCGTATATGCTTGATGACCCAAGCTCGCACTCCGCAAGTGCTCTGATGAACGGAATCAACATTATCATCGAGCTCATTCGCCGATATTGCAGGTAATCGCGGAACACCGCGTTGTCAGTGATATTCGTTCAAGCTAACGGAGTGTCTGGCATTTCAGTGAGATTGAGCAAGCAGAGTATCTCCAGCACCAATACCAACTTTCGCAAGCACACCAGCGACAAGCAATCTCCCCTCCATCACAGGAAAAGCTCAAAGCGCTAGCTACCGATCTCAATGACTTGCTACACGTAATCGGAGATCGCTTGACGCAGTTTGCTGAGCTGCTGCATGGTCCTCCGAAATCGGTATGTCTTTGTCTTATGCAAAGCGCCGCGTTCGGCAAGCGCTAACGCTGACCAGGCTCCACAGGAGAACCCTACGACCACTGGTCAGATCACACCCTTAGGGTCTGAACGGCTCAAGACCTGCGAGTTATTTGCGGAAATCCTGCATCTTCAATATCTGTACACCTCTAGCCCGCTGTTCGAGAGGTTTATCACTGCGGGCTTTCATGACCCATCGGAAGAAAGGGCCGAAGCGAAGGAAACGCCGAGCGATTCGGGAGAATCCACAAAGTCTCCGCCCACACCTCCGCACCCTGAGAGAAGGGTGGCTGACGAGCTCGTTGCCATCACTGACAAGTTCATAGACGCAAAAGTACTACCTGCATGCTTGGTAAGTCCTCGTTCCACCACATCTTACAGCAGCGCGACAATGTTATTGACCCTGGCCATGTAGGACCTTTTCTTTCGCTACCCCTGGAACAACTTCCTCCATTCTGTCGTATACGACATGATCGCGAAAGTGTTCAACACTTACCAATATACCAGCTCAATCAACCTCATCAAGAGTCCTGAGACTCAAAAGGGCGTAGAAGCAGGGTCCCCAACAGCCGCAACCCAGTCAGAACCCGTAAACCCGGCGCAAGCTGCTGTGGAAAAGCAAATGGGTGCGGTGCAAGTTGTAGTGAGGAAACTGGTTCTGTCGGTATGTGTCGTGGTCTCCGAGTGCAGGCGGAAAAGGCTGCCTGAATATTCGATGATAACGTGTACATTCAGATTTTCCAAGACGGGCAATTGACAAAACAAATAATACGAGCACAGAAAGAAAACGATGAGCACGTGTAAGTACCCTTCCGACACGCTGATTTAATGAATTCCGAGGTTTACTGTATCGCGTTCTGCAGAGCCAAACCAAAAGGGGTACGGCTAGGATTCATGGGACATTTAACGTACATCGCTGATGAAGTGAGCAAGCTATTGGAGAAATGCCCCGAAGATCTGGTTAAGGAGCTAAGTGGTGAGTGCCACCACCGGTAGAGACAAACCACAATTGCCCGTGCTCATAATTGTTCACGACAGATCATATCGTAGCCGATGAGTGGCATAGTTACGTCTCCGGTCCGCTGAAGGAGACAAGGGAGCGGGATCGACAGCCTCTCGGTGGCGTGCGGCCAAACGCTGGTCCACAGAATCAAAATATACCCATCCTGGGAGCAATTGGCGGGAGCTTCACAGGCGCTCCAGAAGAATCGGAAGAAGTCAAAATCCGTGACGATTTGTATCAAGAAGCGGCAGAGGCAGATGATGACGATGACGACGACGATGAGGCCCTAAGCGGCATAACTGGTGGTGATAATGGTCTTCCTGGGGATGGCGACGGCACTACCGTCCCGACGTCCCCACGAGAAGAGCATGATTGGGAGAAGAATGTGGATGTGTGGTCGGCGGATGCCAGTTACGATTAACAGCACCGGAAGTCAAGGCGGCGGAAGGGGCGACAATTTTGGGTAGAAAAAATACTGATACGACTATGACTACGTTAGAAGAGACACATATGATGAGATACCCTCCGGAGCCGTTGGAGCCAACTGTTGCGTGTAGGCAGAATGAGGGCCACGGCCCGTAGACTCCTTTTGCACTTTATTTTGTTAATATCATTACGCGTTACGTTAGTTGCTGTGGGTAAGGAATGCTGCTCACTCCCGTTTAGCGGACAAGAAATGGCCTGAACCTGAAGTACAAATGACAGACGGAAGCGGTTCTTTTATACCCGCCGCTTACGCTTACTTTTTGTCTTGCTGCATGCACGCGCCCTTCCGCCAAAACCGGCGAGATTTCGTCGAAGGGCGGGCGACTGTGACGTAAATCCCCGTCAAGAGAGCCGCCGCGCACTGATGACACACGCACGGCCTCCCCTCTCCCCCTCCTCCGCCGAAGCCACGCCTCAACTCCAGGAGCCTCAAAGAGCTTCTCCGCAAAACGCAGATATAAGTAAGCCGAGGGACAACCGTTAGCTCCACCACAACACGTCCCACGAAACAAACCAACTCCAACAAGGCTCTCAACTACATCATACCAAGGTTGCATCTTTCTCTCATCTTGGACCATGTCTTGTGCGATCTACAAGTTTTGGACTCTACGTCATACACAGAGGCGATAACATGGGATGCTCATACTTCCTCTTCTTTCTTTTTCTAGCCTTTATCTCAGCCGTTATCGAAAAAGTCCTGCATCCGACCTCACATAGCACCACCATCACAGAACATAACCACACCATGCCAGGACAAACTGCAGACCAGAGCGGCTCCCAGTTCGACCATGTCTCCATTATCGTCTTTGGCGCAAGTGGAGACTTGGCCAAGAAGATGACCTACCCAGCTATCTACTCGCTGGTGAAGAACGGCAGACTGCAGAAGGACAAGTTACACGTTGTTGGCACCGCTCGGAGCGAGTATAAGATTGAGGACTTCCGCAAGAAAATTCAACCTGGCATTTCTGTACGTGTTTGCGCGCTGGTGGTGATTTGCCGACCGAGATCATCCTTTAAATATGACCCTCAAATTCAATACAGAAAAAGGACAAGAGCGAGTCAGAGTCGAAGGACTTCCTGGAAATATGCTCCTATGTCCAATTGAAGGGCTACGACGACGCGGAGTCGTACAAGAAGCTGAACGACGAACTGAACAAGCTCGAGAGGGGTTCAGGGAAGCATCTGCGGTTGTTCTACATTGCTCTCCCGCCGTCCGCCTTTGAAGATGTGGCTGCCAACGTTCGCACGGCGGCATGGGCAGAAGGAAAGACGAACCGTATCATCATTGAGAAGCCGTATGGAAAAGATTACAAATCTGCAAAGACTCTGTCTTCTCATTTGGAGAAGCTCTACAAGGAGGAGGAGGTGAGATTGAATGCTTGGCCTCACATTTCCCATTCCTGGTTTCTATTACTCATACAGCGGTCAAACAGCTCTACCGGATTGATCACTACCTCGGAAAGGACGCCGTCAAATGCGTCCTGCCCCTGCGATTCGGTGCCAACCCCATCCTCGCAAATTCGTGGTCTCGCGAACACATCAAATACGTCACCATAAACTTCAAGGAGGAATTTGGCGCTGAAGGACGTGGCGGTTACTTTGACGAATTCGGCATGATTCGTGATGTTATGCAAAACCATTTGATGCAGTGGATCATTTTGTCTGGGATGGAGAAGCCCAAGAGCTTGTCTACGAACGATATTCACATCGCAAAGGTACTGTCCGCCTTGTCCCGAGAAAGAAAGCGAACATACGTGGTACTCAACCTTCAACTGTTGCCAGTTGAACTTCATCAAAGCTTGCCGCCCCATCCGCCCGGAGGACACGTTAGTTGGCCAGTACGGCGCGTCTTCCAAGGACAAGGACAAGAAGGCTTATGTCGACGATGATACCGTGAAGGACGACTCGAAAGCCAACACGTTCGCCACAGCCGTTCTCTTTGTCGACACTGAGCGATGGAAGGATGTTCCTTTTGTCATCCGTGCAGGAAAAGGTGAGTTTTAGAACATACTTGATGCAGGGTAGCACTGATCGGCTATAGTCTAATCAACCCATGAACAGCTCTGGACGAAACGCGCGCCGAGATCACATTCGTCTTCAAATCCGACAAAGACGCCCTCTTCCCCACCAAAGCGCCCACCAGCTTCACCATCCGCGAGCACCCCCACCGCTCCCATACTCTCACCCTGTACACTAAGCAATCCGGCTCCGGCTTCAGGGTCGTGTCCGCGCCCCTCGCCGTCGACATGGTAGACACCGAGCTTGGCACCGCCGACAAGTACCAACCCAGCGCATACGAGTCCCTGATCTACGATGCCGTGCAGGGTGACCAGACATGGTTTATCCCACGCGAGGAGGCCGAGGAAGGGTGGAAGATTTGGGATGATGCGATCAAGGGCACGGAGAACCGTACGCCGTTCAAGTACGAGTATGGAAGCGAGGGCCCGAAGGAGGAGAAGGAGTTTTTGGAGAAGTGGGGTGTGCGGTTTGGAACGCAAGAGACGAGTGTGGCCGATGTTACCAAGTTGTTTTCTGCGGCGAAGATCTGAGAAGGGAGGCAGCGGGTAGTACGTTACCCGTGAGTAACTGGAGTCTTTGAGGCCGAGTGGAGCTCCTGTGTGTGAGGATATCATATGCGTTTGTACATACATAAGCTGGCAAAGCAGCGTGTCTCTGTCGACTACCTTTTTGAATGCAGGGGTTGCGGGGGTAATGATGAAGTGAGCGCGTCATGACGGGAGCGGCGCCTTCTCTCGCGTCGTTGTCTTCCTCCTTCCGCGGCTGCGTTCCATCCTTCCGCGGAACTTTCCAGCCTTCCGGAATGAGTTCGCATCGACGTGCGATATCGATACTGCACTCGTTTAACTGGATAGTCGCCCGGCGCTCTTCGACCGGTCCTTCTACTCCTACTCTACGGAGATAAACCTGTCCAATAGTCTCCTCAAGATTGCTACGCGTGCCAGCACAGCACTTCCAACTGAGCGAAGAGAAGCGAAATTTCTTAGACGCACACACAAGAGGCATAAGCTAGCCTCCTGAATACAAACCGAGAAGTCTCGCACACCGGCCTCACGCCCATCGTCCACATGTCCGCCTCAAAGCTAGATCTCAACAACCTCACTGAGGACCAAAAACTCAAAGCCCTCGCCGAATTCCGCACCCTCCTCGGCGCCGAAGAAGGGTCCAAATACGATGACCCAACCCTTCTCCGCTTCCTCGTCGCGCGGCAACTGAATGCCCCAAAGGCGCTGGAGATGTTGAATGGCTATGTGGAATGGCGGGAGAAGGATGGGATTGACAAGCTTCCGATACCGGGGGTGGATGGGAACCCCGTGCAGCAGAATGTAAGGGGCTTCAAGAGTGTGCCGGATGCGAATTGGGATATGACGAGGGAGGGGATGCCGGAGGAGTTTAAGAAGTTTTATGCTTGCATGGGTATGTGCTCCCAGAATCAGCCACGGAGGACGCCGTGTTGCCACTTGAAGAATGCACCCTAACCGTTTTAGCGAATGATAGGTGGAGGGTGTTTCCATAAAGTCGACAAAGAAGGCACACCTGTCTTCATCGAGCGCACCGGCTACCACGACGTGAAAGCCCTAGCAGTGAAATGCCCGCCGCCCGTGATGCTCGACTGGCACATCCGTAACAACGAGATGATTTTCAACGTGCTGATGCCGGAGTGCTCTGAGCGCGCAGGCAAACTCATCGAGAAGCATACGGTCATCTTTGATTGCACGGGATTGGGAATATGGCAGTTTGATATGACGGGGCTGAATCTGTTGAGGGCTGTGTCGGATTTGGACTCGAAGGTTTATCCCGAGCGGTTGGGGAAGCTGTTTATTGTGAACACACCTGGTGAGTCTCATTGCTTTGGCTGTTTGTGCTCATGAGAAACGGCTAGACTTAACAACTCACGTCGCAGGCATCTTCACACGCGCATGGAGCATCATCAAACGCTGGTTGGACAAACGCATCCTCGAAAAGATCTTCATCTGCGATTCAAACTACAAAGAGGTCCTCCTCCAACACATCGACGCCGAAAACCTGCCCGACTTCTTGGGAGGCACCTGTAAATGCAGCCACATGCCCGGCGGCTGCGTCCCATCACCCTACCTCGAAAGCAAAAAAGCCTCGGGCGGAGGCGACAACTTCCAACACAGCGCATCGCTGGGCTCCTCCACGCACGAGCACGAGCTCCTGGTTCCCGCTGAGGACCTCGAAGGCGCGCAAGTGAGCCTGAACTACAAGTTCAAGACGACGAAGAAGGGGGTGACGTTTGAGATCAGGCATCGGAAGGAGAGCGGGGAGGAAATCGTGGCGGTGCCGTCAAACTCTTACGAGAGTCATAAGGAGACCGTGTCAGCGTCTGTGCCGGCCCTGCCTGGGAAGTACATTCTGTCGTGGCAGAAGCCGTCAGGGGGGTTCTCGCTGTTCAACTCGCTGCAGTTGGACTATTCGTGTGATTTGGAGTTGCAGGATGGGGAGGAGGTGGTTAGCGAGAAGGTTACGATCTCGTCGGTGGATCCGTCGCAAACGACGACATCGTAGTGTACAGTGGACGTTGCGGACGCCGAAGCATTTGAGTATTGTCCCGTCTTAACATTGTCAAATGAACATTACACCCTTGTCTATACGCTTAATCTATTAGTTTTGTTGAGTCTGGCGAGTCAAAGCATATCATAGTATTCCGGTTTATTTCTCCACATCAGGACACCAACTGGTCTTGCGATCCAGAAAGCGCCGTCGGAGGAGAGTACGTATTGGGGTTGCCCGACAGCTTCACCGCCGGCGTCGATGGTTTTCCGAACCGCTTCTTTTGCCTTGGTGCACGCGGGATCGGTTGGTGGCACCCTGCAGCGCATGCATTCATGTTCATTGTCAGCAGGGATCGAGAATCGATGAAGGAAGGAATATAAAGCACTTACCAAGATATGAAGCATAATTACTCGTCCGCTCATGGCGGACAGGGCCGTCATTGTAAACGAGATCGAAGCCTCCGACTCGTGGTCTGATGCTTTTGCCGGAATGCCTGCCCATTCCCGGTTACATCAGCAACCGCCGCACATCCGGCGCTTTGCACTTGATTCTCAAAACGCATACCTGCGTTCCAAATCGACGACATCGAAGCAGTCCTGCACCATCGCGTGCTTCAGGTCGTAGTCCCATTGCGTTTCGGCTGTCAGCGATGGGGAGGCGTTTACTTCTAGTAACCATCTGTGGGTTGACTTGAGTGAATGGATGTCTGTGACGGGACAACTTATGAGGAGCAGGACTTACGGCTTAAGGTTTTGGTCAATGAGGATGTCGTAGCCGTAGCTGGCGGGATCACGGTTGTGAGTATCGGTACGATGGACCTTGCTACACCAGTTTTCAGGTCAACTTACAGCTCAAAACAGTGCTTATCATTGATCATGACCTTCTGCACGCTCATCAAGCTCCTAACAACGCTCGCCTCCATCTCCGTAAACAGGTCATCGACCGCTTTCGACCCGTGTCTGGCCGTAAGGAACAGCTTCAGGTTGCGGAGCAACCATTTGCAGCCCCGGCCGGAGATGTAGTTAGGCGAATGCTTTTGGATGGCAACGTTTGTTGCGTGTATATCTATGATGTGTCCAAAATGGTAGGCCTTGTGAGATTTCTTGTTCACATGTGTGGGGGGAGGATTTGGGGGACGCTTACACATGTTACTGATGTCCTTTGCTTGCATCGAGAACTGGGTATTCGAGAAGCGGCAGAATCCGTTTCGGTGGATGTAGATCGTTAACGGGTAGTATGAGGTGACCAGCACATACACACGGATATCAAACTTCTTTCCTGCAAAATGACCGCCCCATTAGAATCTGAGTGGAACAAGCGCCATGCATCGATGAACTCACCTCCTATGAGCAAAGGATTCTCAATATACCTCTGTACGATATACGCCTCCGGCGCATCATCCCCATCCCTATCCCCCTTCACATTCCCCTTCACATCCTTCCTCCACCCGTTAATCTGGCTGATCTTATTGATCAAGAAAATGCCCTTGCCCTGCGCCTTCCCGACCGGTTTCATGATCCAGACGCTTCCCGGGTTGCGCTTGAACTCCTCGGTGAACAAGGCGTGTTCGGCGGGAAGGACGTAGGATGGGGAGAGGAAATCGAATTTCTGGGATTCGGTTTTGCCGTACTCTTTCTCGATGGATTTGATCATGCGCTTGACGTTTTTGACTAGGAGGTCTTTTCGGGTCAGCTTCCCTTGTCGTGGTGGAGATTGTTGGGAAAGATAGACAGGTAGGGATTCGGTAGCGAAGGAAAGGAGAGGGTGAATATGAGTGGGCTGATATAAGTTGGTCCCTCCGTCTCCAAATGTACAGGTGCGTTACTCGAGGCTCCAATATCGTCGTCCAGACGCATAACGCACCTCATAGTGGTTACGAAAATGGTTGATCCGTTGATGCTCCTGCAAGTACACATGATCGAAAGTTTCGTGGATCCAGTGTACGTCCGCCCAGAAGAAGTCCCAATCCATGTCCCTGGTTCATCATGAGAATATTCAGTTCGGACAAGTCTTCACAAAAAGCTGAATGACAACCGTACACACCCATCAGCCTCCTTCCACCCGCGATCTCGCATCGCATCATACACCGTATTCCGAATCCCAGTCCGAAACCGAATCGTTTGAGAGGGACCAGCATTCGCCGGCGATCCATTCGATGCCATCATGGTGGATGGCGACTGCGATAGAACCGTATTTGATCCTATTGCCGCCTGGTTCAAGTTTGACTGTGATGCGAGAGGGGTTGATCGGCCTGATGTCGCTAGGCCGGTCGATAGCCGTGCGGCCGTCGTTTTTTCTCGGGACATCATTTTGAGTGGAGCAAGACAACAACCAACTACTGCATTCGCCGATAAGAAAATGACGCTTTGACGTTTCTACCCGGCGTAGAACAGTGTCTTCTGACAAAATGGCACTGTTCTCTTAGATGTGGATGAACGGGACTCGAGGGACTCGATCAAGCTGTTTGCGAATTGACGGGTTCCGACGTTCCGCCTCCGCCCATGACTGTGTCGCGTTTTGTGACGTTCCCTTCTCTCCGCCAATCCTCTCGCTTTTCCGTTTCCCAGCAACAAGAACTCTATACACCAAGCCGGGATCATGTCGGAGCTCATAGACCTTGTCGAACGTCAGTGCCGTCGTTGGCTTGAGGCCCAACGAAATGTTCAGGACAGCACCTCGAATCGCCCTTTCATCGTGGGTATATCGGGCCCTCAGGGGAGCGGTAAGACCACGTTGACTCGGGAGCTTGAACAGCGGTTGGCTCGATCATCCACCCCTCTGACAGCTGTAAGCCTGTCCTTGGACGACTTTTACCTCACGTACGATGAGCAAGAGGCGCTGGCAGCGAAGAATCCAGAAAACGATTTGTTGCGGTATCGGGGCAACCCGGGGACACACGACGTTCCGCTGGCGATGAAGACTTTAAATGCGCTTGTGGCCGCGCATACCGAGTATTTGCAAAGGGGCGTGATTGGTCGGGGAGGGGAGGCGGGCGTGAGCGTACGAATCCCGCGATATGATAAGGGCCTGCGAGCTGGACGGGGCGATAGGCTACCATTTGAGCAGTGGGACGCCGTGAGCCCACCGTTTGATGTGGTTCTTCTTGAAGGATGGTGTGTGGGCTTCGAGTGCATGGAGGAGGGCGCCTCTCTCGAACCATTACGTCTGGATCCTTTCATCGATCCTCCAATTGCCACACTGCTGCCTCACGTTACTAAGTACCCGAGCGCCCACATTCAACTGCTCAACGAATATCTACGCAAATACCATGCATTGTGGAAGTGGCTTGATGTGCTTGTGCATATATGCGCTTCTGACATTAACGATGTGTACTTGTGGAGAAAGCAGCAAGAGGAGGCCTTGAGGAAGTCGGCCACGCACGGACGGGGCGGGCTCAGCGATTCCGAAGTGGAAGACTTTGTTGATCGCTTCATGCCTGGTTACCTGATTGGGCTGAGGTCTCTGCAGCTAAGCGTAGATCTAGGGAACCGTAAATTAGGAGGGTACATGAGAGTCACCCTGGACGTACATCGTTCCGTCAACATGATCCTTATAGCTTGAACGAATGGATTTCAAGGGAAATAGCCGCACAGTAGACAGTTGTCAGCATTATGTCGATGTCAGCATAATCTCATTCGGCGTATTTACAGCATATAAGCTCGAAGGCTAATCCCTCGCTAGTTTCCCATTTGAGTACATACATAAACTACCGGCTACCTTCAGTGACCTGTCGGACCTTGTCTACAACTTTGGTCGCCACGCCATATGCAGTCGCCAGCACCGTGCCTACAATGTTCGCCCCCTGGTCGACACCTTGTTCATAGGATCCTCCCACTTCGGGCGCTTTCGCGAGGGCACGAGACTTGTACGACTTGCGGCTGTTGCTGTTGTCATGATATTCATAGTCAGAGTCAGAGCGGGCCTGTCGGTCGTGAACGTGGCGAGCATGCAATGGTGTTCGGAATCTGAAGCATTTGTGTTATTCGATGACATGTCTAGCAATGAAAATCAAATTGACTAAAGAAGTGAACATACCCGCCAACAAGGTCCACAAGTTCGGGCTGAGTTGAAAGACCGGTCTCGATTGGTTCTGGGTTAGGATTGAGACCTTTCAAAGCTGCCTCGACGGGAGTGGGGAACTCGTTCAGAGGGTCGTTCGTTGCCGTAGTGCTCATTCTTCAATTTTTGTACGGGATATTCGCTTGCGAGCGTGTTTCTGGGAAAACGAGAAACAGTCAACTGTTAATACGTTTTTCTTAATGGGAAAGTGGGGGTGCGTGGGGCACCTCACTGGGTGGAGGACTTACCGGTGCTGATCTTGCAAGATCACTTGATGGAGATGGCGAGTAACTGTTTTGGAAGAGGTTGAGGTGACCGGGCGAAGAAGGCAAGAAGGGGGGGCACCTTGGTTTCCGGACATGGAGATGGATGCAAAAACCCCTTTCTTTGCTGTGGAACATTCCCGCCTTTTGCCCCATGTTCCCCCCCATGTGAAAGCTGCACCACACGCTGTCGAAACCCTGCGGCGTGCACGCGTCACCCGTTGTTCCTGGGTGCTCTAGATGCCCGCCCCGTTCGCAACCCGAGAATAAATGCCAAAGACGGCCCCACGTTGTGTGGGCGGGCCTGCTAAACTCTGCAACGGGTGGACACGGCCGAGAGGGAGGCCACAAGATAGGCCAATGTACAGTCGTCAACAGGTACAGTACGGACGAGAAGTTCTCCAAAAAATCATAGACATTCTGCCCATTATGTGGTCGTATTTGGCGAGACCAACGGTATGGGACTTCATTTCAATTTCCATCACACCACACCAAAAACACCGAGCAGCATCAACAGGTTGGTGCTCGGTGCATCAGAGGTGGTCGCATCGGTTAAGTGTTTGGTGAAGGTTGTCGAAGCAGACGAGCATCAGAAGAGTTGCGCCCCGACAGCAGCTGCACGTGCATAGGACATGAAAGATTAGGCTCCTGTCCGGAGCTGCACGAGCTTAGCAGCAAGGACACAATCACTTAAGGAAACGGAAAGCCCAAGGTATGCTGTTCAGATGTTCAACACTATCCTTGATCAGCGTGCCATCACTGCATTTCCTGAGATATCTTGCCAATTCCCTTAACCCTAACCCTTCCACAACTCATCCAATCGCGTCCTACATAAGTCCGAGAGGGGCTTCTGGGCTTAGTTTCGGGGCACGACTTGTCTCTTGATTAAGGTAAATAAATAAAGCACACGGTCGGCGGTCCTATGAGCCGCTCAGCTCCACACCCACCAACTGCTGCTGCCTTCCTGCTGTCTGTCAACGTCAATAGACTACTGTAGAATTGAACTGGCCAAACACTCAGGCTGGAAGCGACTATCTTGGCGGCCGGAAACATTCCTAGCTCGGCAACCCGCTCTCAATACCTCAACCTTGGTGACGGGCCATCGCTAGGGCCGTCAGACGACACTCGCTTACTTCGCTCGCTCAACCTGAGCGGGCTCCTATAATAATCCGTCATCAGTTGGAGCGGTTTCGATTTTCCCACGAAGCCCGCCGAAGCGTTCTGCCCACGAGCGGGATATTGGTTGAGCTAACGTGAGTGTTTGGGAGTGCTTTCATGGGAGTTAGTGCTTTCGGCTTTGAAGAACCTAGGTGTTTCCACTTTCTAAGTGGCCCAGTTGGGTCCTTGACATCGACTGATGGGCGGATGGGCGGAGAGTAGCTACTTGAGCCAATGGTTTTGGTCATGGCTACACGTATCTTGCTTGAAAGCTCTTCTCATTCTTGTCTGCCCCTTGCAATTATACTCCACATGTTGCAGGTCCCTTCCTGTGGACATCACTCTTCGCGTGCCTCAAAAGGCTGATAGTGGCTCTCCAAGAGGCGTCCTCTTTGAGGGCCCATAAAGAATGCTGACGTCGCGTATACCCCCTGGAGCCGATTCGAAAGGCGAAGCAGCGTACAAACAGCGCATGATTATTTGCAGCAAAGACGGCTCGAAAACTGCGACTATCTTGCATACCGTGAATCCCGCTACTCCAGTTCCCACGAGTACTACACCGCCTCAGGCGCAGTCACATCAAATGCCATTACCAGCCGGAGCACGTCCTGCGCATGATCAAGCCGCATCCGTCGGAAGGCGCAAAAAGGTATGCAGATGAAGGGAGTCCTTCGAATAGCAGGTCAACACTGGTTTACACATGTTGGCTTAAGCAGGGAAAGAAAGGCTCGAAAGGACCTGGTCATTCCCCAAGCCATCACACGCACCAACATGCGACGTCGAACGGCGCGACCCCGCAGGGACATGTGGACGATGAGGAGCTTGACGATGGATACGTGGACGAAGAGGTTTACCACGCGCGCGGACGGGGCCAGAACCGCGACCATACCGCATCCCACCAACAGTCACTGTCTCCTGGAGACGAACCCTTGACGGACGATGACGAGACAAGCCCAGCTTATCAGCCACGGAATAACTCCGAAGGGAAAAAGAAGAAAAAGAAGAAACGAGGGTCCACTGCTGGTCATAGCCATCAGCATGCCGACATCTGGTACAAATCAGATGCGGAGGAGAAGCAGCGCATCAGGGAGTTCTGGCTCCAGTTGGGTGAAGAGGAGCGGAGGGCGTTGGTCAAGCTTGAGAAGGAAGCAGTGCTGAAAAAGATGAAGGAGCAGCAAAAGCAGACATGCTCGTGTTCTGTCTGTGGGAGGAAAAGGTTGGTATATCATATTGGACGCTCGAAAGAATGTCCGTTTCACACCTAATAGGATGAATTACAGAACTGTTATTGAAGAGGAACTGGAGATTCTCTATGATGCTTACTACGAGGAGCTCGAGCATTTCGCGAACGACCAAGGTACGAAATCCTTTGTGTGGCTTCCCGTGGTACTTTTCAATTTCTTTACGCCGGAGAGCTCCTCTCAGATGGAACGCCACGGCCTATTGCTGTGCCAGCAATAAGGGCGGCGCCCCCACTTCATAATGGACGGCATACTCACCCGGTGCCAGAACCGATATATGATGATGACGAGGAGGACGACGACGAGGAAGACGATGATGACGATGAGTACGATCACGATCCATCCGAAAGCATCTTCGAATTTGGAAGTAGTCTGACAGTCAAAGGTGCGTCAAAAAAACATGTTCGCGTCGAGGCGATCATACGGTGACGCTCAACCTATTTTCGATCTATTCTTTCTTGAAAAGGCGGGATTTTGACGGTTGCTGACGACTTTCTGAAAAATGACGGTCGCAAATTTCTCGATCTCATGGAACAACTAGCGGAACGGAAAATTCGCCAGCTGGACGATGAGATGGATCGGAATGGTGATGGAGGACAGGAATATGATGACGGTGAATACGATGACGAAGAGTATGACGAGGAGGAAGAGGAGGTACGGGGTCAGGCTGGTTGTTGTTGTGGCAGGCGTGCGTTTCTGACGATATCATGCAGGACACGCTCACCGAGGAGCAGCGGATGGAAGAAGGCAGGCGAATGTTCCAAATATTTGCTGCGAAAATGTTTGAGCAACGAGTACTTCAAGCGTATCGCGAGAAGGTACGCTGTCAACTGAAACTTTATGCGCTTACATCGCAAAGCTGATTATGGGTCCGTGCAATGAAGGTCGCACAGGAGCGACAAATGCATCTGCTGGCCGAGTTGGAGAAAGAAAAGGAGCTGCAGGCGCTTCGCGAGCTGACTCGGCAAAAGAACAAGGAGAAGAAGCGACAGCAGAAAAAGTAAGCCTGATTTTGCGACGGTGGGGTTGCGATCATTTTCTGGTCTTCTAACGACACTTTTGGCATCAGAGCACAAAAGCAGCAAAAGGAAGAAGAGCAGCTAGCGCTGGAGAAGAAGAAACAGGAAGAAGAAGAGCGGCTTCGGGCGGAGAAGGAGGCAAAGCAAGAAGCTGAGCGGTGGGTTAATTTTGAACATCATGTGTGTTAGGAAGTAAGGACTCAAATCCTCATCCTCAGGCTGAAGCGCGAAGCTGAAAAGCAAAAACGTGAGGAAGAGAAGGCACGTCGAGAGGAGGAAGAACGGAAAAAGCGAGAAGCCGAAAAGCTCCGGAAAGAGGAAGAGAAACGGAAGCAACGCGAAGCTGAAGAGCGGAAGAAGCGAGAGAAGGAAGAGCGCGAACGTCTTGAGCGGGAAAAACGGGAACGTGAAGACCGCGAGAAGAAAGAGCGAGAAGACAAGGAACGGAAGGAAAGAGAGAAGAGAGAGCAGGAAGAACGCGAACAGCGCGATCGGGAAGAGAAGGAGCGACGCGATCAGGAGGACCGCGCACGTGCCGAGAAACAACGACAAGAAGCGCAGCTACGACATCAGCAGGCTAAGAGTGCAAAGTCGCCTCCTGGAAAAGCTGCAGCTGTGTCAGGACCACAATTCAAGGGGCATTCATCGCCGTCGAATCAACCTCACTCAACCCGTTCGACTCTCGGTGGCCGTGCGCCGGCGTTGGCAGTTCGGCCTGGGTCCAAGCCTCAATTCTCTTCGGGCGCACCGGGCTCGCAGATACAGCGGCCTCCATCCGCTTCTGGTCCGCTCTCAAATGCACCTACCAGTCCGCCGCCGCATCCGACAAATTCCGTGCCGAGCCAAGCTGGCCGCTCAGGCCAGACTGTAACCGCGGCCCCTCACCCCAATTCGCTGTCTCCTCATGGACAACATCCGGGTCAGCCAAGCAACAACCGTCATCCGATGGCATTTGGAGTCCCAGGGCAGCGACCAGGGCCGATGTTTGGGCAGCCTCCCCTCCATAGCGCTATGCTCCATGGACAGCCGCTTCCTCATTATCTACCAGGTCCTCCCGCACATCAGCAACCCAATGCAATACCCCCTCCACCCTCAAGTAGTTCTATGCTCGGTGACGCTCAAAGCCCACCGGACTTGTTTGCCAATGCATCATTCCCCGCCATCGGTTGGGGCGCACCCGAACAAGCGCCGCTCCCTCTAGGGTACCATCCTGGCCAAGCACAATCTGGCGGCGTCTCACAAGCACATTCTGTCCGGCATCTACAGTCAGACAATGCAGTGCAACCCATAGGTGGGAACAAGCCGATCTCGCGGCCAGCTCCTATCCGACGCCCGTCAGCGGTCCCGTCCCAAGGATTGGAGAATTTCGCGCGGATGGGTGTCAGGGACGATGACGAAGGTGTAGCTGGGAGTGCAGCCCTCGGTGGGGAGGTCCTGAACGACGACGAGCGGATCACGGGTGGCTCGGCATGGCGCCGACCGTCTGTGCCATCCAACGGAATGTCGGGTCCACCAGCTGTCGCAATGTCCATACCTCCGGGATCTATGGGAGCGCAACATCCGCTGGACGTCTTTGGCGCGGGGACTCCCCCAAATGTTGGTGCAGCGAACAACGCTCTTCGAATGTTTGACGGGTTTTCGCCGTTTGGTGGGACGTGGACCGTGACGGAGCCCATGGGGACGCAGAGTACCTTCACTGGTGAGTAGCATTGTGGGTGCTGTTCCCTCATCACGATTCTTACTGTACATCTGCAGAGCCTGGAAGACACAGGACCGGGACAAGCCCAAATCTTACGGCGTTCTCGCCTCCTCCAGGCGGCAGATCACCCGGACTTGAAGCGTCCTCTGCAAGCCATCTGTTGGCACCTGGGTTCTTTCCCCTTGGATACATGGGCCCTACATCCACACCCCCACCCACTGGCGGAGGTAACATTCCCGTTCCATTGAACTCACCAGCAGGACCGATTGGAGCGGCCCCGGGTTCTGGGCGGCCTCAAAACTTTGGAGGTCAGGCGCAACCACAGGGGTCTCAACAAAAGATTCAACAGCAGCAACCACAGCGCATGTGGTAATCCTGTTAGCGGTCACCAGTGACGGCTCTTGTCGGAGTGGTTCACACCGTTTTGGCGGGAAAGTTCTGGACCTATCGGTCTCGTTCAGTGCGACCAACGGCACTCAGCTCCCAAGTTGCTATACGTGAGGCAAGGCTTTTTTTCCTCCTTCGCTACAGGGGAAGCCGAGTCCCCGGAAGGAATTGTGTATGCAAAAAACCCCCTCTCGCGTACGCGCGGTGTTTCTATGTAGGCCTTTTCCCATCCCCCCCCTTTTTGTCGTTTGATTCCCATGTTTTATGCGGGGTTTGTGCATTTAATCATGAAGCACGTTGTACAAAGAAATATCTTGCTCTCCTTAAGCTATCGTCGTCCTTCTTGACCTCTGACTTCACGACTGAGGAGGCTGGAAGTAACAGAGTGACGGCGGCGCTTCGACTCCAGGACGACTCTTACTTTCAAGAGCTCCTTCACCTTCACCAGTCGTGTCTCAGCTGGGCGTCGCTGGCGGCGTGGGATATGTCTGAAACCGGGATATACAGTACGTGAAGAGGATATTTAACCGAGACGCCACTGTATCTTCTGCATCTTCTGCGTCGCCTCGCACAAATGACCATTCAAAGCTTTTCATTTGGTAATGTCGCCCACCAGCCGACTTCGACAGTGGGCGCTTGATCGGCTCCCGGGAGATGAAAATCATGAGATGGCGACGAGGAAAAGTTCCTGGGACATGGTGGGTCCCCCTGCCTGCACGCCCGTCGCTACGTCAATTCAACTTCAAGAAGAGATGGGCATCGACAGTGGGCACACCAGGATGAATCTACCCGGGGATGGGCCTTGTGAGAGTGTGAGGTAAGGCGTGTGACGAAGGCAGCTCGTGGAAGGACATCCCGATTCCCTTGACACGACGCGTCGTTGGTTATCCTGCCGCCCACCGCCAGGGCGCCTACAACTCGGATATGAATCCGTTCGTTGATCGAGGCTTGATGATATCGGCAGCCTTCTCCCAGGCCTTCTCCGCTGGGCTGCTTGGGCTTGATTATTGTCGGTCTTCGTCAAAAGCCGTGGTGCGGACTAATCGGAATCCGAAAAAGTTTCAGCGAGCGAGAGCAACGTTTACATATATAGGACGGCGGTTGACTTTTAGACCAGAGGCCATATTACTGTACTAGATAGAATACCGAAACTGTTTTTCACTCTGCAATCCGCTCTTACTACAAAGGCCTTTTGTGGTTCTGCCCAAGTTACCTACCCTCACCACCTACAAGACTTTTGTTTTTACGCGATAATTACGTTTTTCCTCCCTGGCGCTATGGGTTCGGAAGCTACCGTTTTGCTCGGATGCATCTCCTTGGTAGGAATGCTGTCTTGGTTTTCTGATCCGCACGCCTGACGCTAACGGATTTTTGGTAGCGTAGATAATCGTTGCACTTACAGTAAGGGCCATGCGAAGCAGGATGAAACCTCCCGTCGTCGATCATGACCAAATGGAACCTCCATATTATCCATATGGATGCGACGACACTCTCAGCATTCGAACATTGCCGATATATACAGGGCGGACGGACTGCCCGCCACCTTACACTTTAATGGACAGGGCGGCCGCCGCGTACCGGGCAGCGAACGACCCGCGAAGTGAAACGCTGAATGCAGACAATTGGTCTAGTAGGACAGAGGTTGACGGACCAACGCTGGTTCTGTCGGTCGTCGATCTGCCGTACGAGGAGCAACCATGGCCTGCAGCGCAGTCCCAGGCGGTCATCCCAACAAGTGATTCTCCAATAACAGTACATCAACCTCCAACGAATCCTCCATCGCCAGCGTCCACCAGACCCGCGCACGAAACCCAGATTCAGCCGGAAATGTCGAGCGTAATGCATTTATATCCGCTTTCGCCTTATTCACCGCCGCCGGATATCGAAAATCAAACGGCCGCCTTAGAAATCACAACGACCTCATAGTCAACCTCATACCCAGACACTAGCCCCACTTATAACCGGGGATATCTTGGCTTCATCTATGGATGGGGCAGTATACCCTTTCCCCGGCGTAGTCTCACCATGCCTGCACGTGTCATGCGTCCGCCCCCTAATGTATCTTTACTTCTTCGGTCCATTCTTCCTTGTACTTACTCTTCGTGAATGCAAACGCCATCATGATCTCAGGCATGTACAGTACCAGCACTTTCAAACCCCAGGTAGTTTTGAAGAATTTGACGGAATAACATTGCAGTGAAGTTGACTGCGTAGTAAACACATAAGATGCTGCACACATGACGTATATCTACAAATGCTACGTCTACGTCTACGACAAGACCTGAAAAATGCGGGGGAATAGGGCTGTTAATAAGCCGGGCAGGTACGATACGTCGCTATCCATCTACTAGGATTGAACCAAAATGCCCGAGCGGCTCTTAGGGCCTAGCAGCCGAATGCGGCCTCGCTGTTACGCGGGTCACATGCGTTCTAACGGAACCGCGCTCATCCTCGCCCATCGAGGGCTTACGAATGTGCCTGGTGGGCGCAGAGACCGGTCTTGATCTTGGCTGCTGCTCGATGTTCTTCACTCGTCGGAAAGTGCACATGGGCAGAATGCCCGCAATCCATGTCACCTCCACATCTGTCCTGCCGAGAGCAAGCATGCGGCAGTATTGTGATCCAATGACGGATACATATCCACTGTATCCGCTCAACAAGTGCCACCAAGCGTGAAGCTCGAGACCGATGCGGAACGGGTAGCCAATATTGTTGCGGTGCTGTTGAATGGATCCGCAGTGAATCTGGTCCGTGTTCCACAACGCGAAGGCAGCCAAAATCGAACCGACGGCCAAGGCGGTGAGGCCAAACAAAAGATTTGTTTCACTTGGGTGGATTTTGCGAATGATGCTGATATTGCGGAGTGCCGCAAACAACTGCACAAGCGTGAGACCGACGAATGAAAGCTGGAAAATGATTGGCGTCTTCAGGAAGAGGTGCGATCCTGCCACCGACGCGAAAGTGCAGAGAAGGCCAATGATTGTGAGCGGAGATGTGTTCTTGCTGAACATCTGGAGACTGGAAGAGAAGGAAGATGTAAAGTCAGTCGCCAGCTTTTGGGACTGCATTAGGAACGATGATGACAGTACTTACTGGCAATACACAAAGACGCACGTGGCCATCGCCATCGGCAACTCATCCAAAAGTTGCATTGCGTACGTCAACGATCCATGGAACAAGAAACTCCCACTGCCCACCATCATTAACGCGATGTAACTCGCGTAGAACCTTGGCTCAGCGCCTGTCTTGATGCACGAATATATTCCGATTGCGGGCCATAATAAGAACACCAGGTTGGTTGTTGCATTCCACCATTCAGCGAGATATGGCGATACGATGTAGTTTTCTTCGCACCAGTCGAGAGTTGACGTTACAGGACCCCAGTAGCCGGGGAGGCCTAGCGCGATGGATATGTTGCTTCCGCCGAATAGCGATGTAATATTGTAGCTCATCTTGTTACGAGAAGGCTGGTTGATTGATTGTGTGTGACGATTTAGATGGCGGTGAAAGGGCTTGAGATTTGGCGGAATCGGAACGACGGGCTTGGATCTTATAGGTTTGCGTTTAAACAAAAAGATTTGCAGGCGGCAACGGAAGCAGCGTGCCCCGGTTCTATATGCGGATGGGCGATCTCTATTTCCTGGTTCTAGCGCGATGTGGCCTGGCGTCGATGTTCCTATTTTAGAGCACAGTACAGGTTGTCGGGCCAGCTGGTTCTGGTCAGCAGTACGATGAATGATCGTCGTCAAAACGTCTCAAGTGGGGAACTGAAGCTTAACAGGTATAAGAAAATCGCAATGTGCTTTGACGTCCGTATATTGTGTCAATGGGGTTAATCTGTTTATCCCTGAGTGCACATGGACAAGCACATGGGACACGAATCGCTTGTTGACGTCGACGTGCGGGTTCCTGGTTCTTATCCTGTTGTGTCTTGAGTCGTGTGAGTAGGGGTTTTGGTCACGCCCATACGCAGTTTCGTCTTGGCAGAGGGAAAGCAAGGTCTTTGAGTGGGAAAAGGGGTCCCAGCCGTGCTGTGAAACAAGGACCCCCGTTGACTGACAACCTGTCAAAATGTGGCGATGCTTACTAGATCTGGGCGCGTCTTCGCAAGCGTCAAGAAAAAGCGACGCAACGCCGACCGGGAGGGCATAGCATTATGGGGCGCATTCATTGATGAGAACGCTTCCCTTCGCCCATCTTGAAGCGTCTATAAAGCGAGCACGTATTCCGTTCGATAATGGGAACTATGCGGGTCTGAGAAGAGTAAAAATTTCGTATCGTGGAAGGCGCCATGTCCTCAAAACTGTCGTCATGCAAGGCAGGAGAGGAACGGGCCAAACTCAGCCGCAGCCAAACCACTGTAGACTGCCCGGCAATGCTAAATTCCCCCGCAGGGAATCGAACCCTGGCCATCACGGTGAGAGCGTGAGATCCTGACCACTGGACCACGAAGGATGTCGTGTCCGAATCATGTGCGACAAGCTACGACAAATTTGGGAGGTCTACATGCGTGGGAGTTCGATCGGGGTGCCAAAGATGGAGAGAACACATGGGAAGGGAAGTCAACCAACGCTGAACAGTGTCCCCGTATCGGTGTTCTATTGGTGTGGCGTTCATGAATTCCAATATGGATATGCCTCCTCGTCTGATCTATATATGTCGGAACGGTAGGGGCGATCGGCCTCAGCCATCTCAAAGGTTCCCCTCCGAACGGCCTGTCACTTTGCATGGCAACTATACGACTCATTCTCCGTGAAGGGCGAGGTTCGTACCCCATTTGCCAAATATTGTACAGGTCATCCCATCTATGCATCTTCTACGCAACTAAGCGAGTCCACCTCAGCGCTTAAGGGTTCAATCGTCCCCAGATGCAGGTTGTGAAGCACCGTCAGCACTTGCCGAGTTCGATTCTGCTGGCCCCATGCATCCCGCTCACATATCCTCGTCATCAAAAATAGACCCTCCCAAAATCCCCTCAATTTGCAATGCCCGTGTCGTGAACGTCCGTGCAAGCACTTCCGGGACTTCCGAGGACTTCGTGCACACTCTCATTGCGCACGATATTGATGGCGCTGGGGTCGTTGGAGTGCTTGATGAGGAAGTATTCGGAGGGCTTTGAGGTGGTGCTGCTGCCCTCGACGACGTCTTGCTGGGACGGGGCGTACGTGGCGACGTGAAGCTGGCGGCCGGCGATGCTGTTGTGAAACTCCGCCGTGAGTCACCCTGTTGCTTTCGGCTCGATGTTGGGGAAGATGCCGTTGGTCGCTGTCGGGAAGCGTCCGTCGATAGAGGTGAGGGAGGGGAGCATTTACGAGAGGACTTCGCGGGAGTCCCTCTCGAGGCAACGTTTGGCCCTGCACGAAACATGCTGAGTAACCACTGAGGAACAGAAAGGCTGTGGTATGAACCGTTACGAGGTTGATACAGCGGAGCGGAAAAGACAAAGCTGCAGGCGAATGAAGGAGCTGAGAAGACGAGAACGGAAAAGTCGCGTCCTTTGCACAGCGTCAAAAAGTTCCCAACTCATCGCGGAGCTCATCCCAACCATTTTAGCAGTCTAGTCCTCACTTGGACTGGGACTGCGTCACTAACACGGGAAACATACTACATATACGGCACGGATAGCTCGGATGGATGCCTCTCCTGAGGATGTCGGGAGACAACCCCGCGAAAATATCGCCGCCACGCAAGATGTGCTTATGCAGCCACGTGCCATCATAGGAGTTTCTGACGAACCAGTGGTTGCGTCGCCCGCGGTGATGAAGAAGGAAGAAGAAGAGCCGGAAGAAGGAGAAGTCACCGAGGAAAAACTGGACGTTACTTACCCCGGATTCTCTACGCCCCTTTTGAATACGTCATGGCGCTTGGGCTCCCGTAGCCCGCCAACACCCGACATCTTCGGGACCCCTCCTCACGACGATGTGCACGACGAAGATATAGATGCGGAACCGCTCCTGGAAGATACAGCCGGATTGTATCGAGCGGTTCAAGACATCCAAGAATATGAGAAGAACGTAAAGGTCGGGCAGGGCACTTTCGGGTATGGGATGTGTGTCGTGTCTCATCATTTCTTGACGTAGGTCTAATTCCATTCTTTGATCATTAAAAGGGAAGTGACTCTCGCTACTCACAAGCAAACACAGCAAAAAGTGGCGCTTAAACGAATCATTGTACATAAGCACAAAGAAGGGGTATGGACCCTTTATAATGCGGAATTTTCCAGAATACGTATGATTCTGAACATTCGTCGCCCCAGTTGCCCATCACTTCCATTCGAGAGATCATCATTTTGAAGGCCTTGAAACATAGGAACATCATAAGTCTTGATGCACTGGCCTTCAGCAGAGGTAGATATCTGGACGCGTTGGGAATCTTGACGAATTTGAATAATCTGATGGCGTTCCATCAGGCGACGAAGAAGAGTACGAACCCGCAACGATATACTTGATTTTTCCATACATGTCCCACGATCTGTACGGGCTCTTGAAGAATGCCCAAGTCACTCTGGAGCCAGCGCAGATCAAATCTTTTGCGCATCAAACGCTCGAGGGACTTAGTTATTTGCACAAGGTTCGAAGTCAATGATCGAACGCGCATGCCGCTAATGTTGAGGATGCTGCTAAACTTAATCCATGATTGCTTTCAGAATAGACTGTTACACCGGGATCTGAAAAGTGCCAACATTCTTATCGATGACAAGGGAAACCTCAAGATTGGCGATTTTGGCCTCGCTCGTCGGCATGTGACATCAGCCAATGTAATGACCACCTTGACACCAACGGTGGTGACATTGTGGTACAGACCTCCTGAGATTCTCTTTGAGGAGAGGAAGTATAACACCGCGGTGGACATGTGGGGATTTGCATGCATCTTCGCGGAAATGTGGGATCGGACACCGGTCTTCCAAGCGAAAAATGAAACGATCGCTATAGATAAGATATTCACGTTATGTGGAACACCGACGACGAAAGACTGGCCTGAGCTCCAAAATATCGCACAGCGGCAAAAACTGGTTCTGAAGCAGGAAACCAGAAAGGTGCGATATATATATAGTCAAGAACGGTGAGTGAGTAAACGGACAGCAACGGGTAGGCGTGTGTGGTGGAGATACACAGCAAACACAAGCATACTAACCGGGGCTCAGTCTCGATGTCCACACCATCAATTTCCTAGATTTTCTACTGACGTTGAATCCCGCAAAACGGCCAACCGCGGAAGAAGCCTTGCAACACGAATATTTCCTGATCGAGCCAGCGACCGCCAAACCCGGCACAGCAGAGTGAGGGCCATTAAAGTGTTTCGAGGTGCAATTAACGTCACATGCTAATCATTTCCTTGTCGCATCTTTCACAATAGCTTCCCAGGCTGGCCGGAATCCCATGAAATGGCCATTCAGGACCGAATAAATGGAGAGCAGGAAAGAGCCCACGAAATGGCAGAAAGCCTCGGCCAGGCCTCACCACCACCGTTCGAACTGCGGCTTCCACCTCACGCGGACGCCCTCATCGTCGACGGAGTTCCAACACCTCGACGTGCGTTGCCCGTCGCAGACGGAGGGCTGAAAAGGCGCCGGGAAAGCGGCGACCATGAAGGGGACTTGGAACGCGACCGGAAACGCTCTGTGGCATCATCACCACCACTTCCACCACGGCCGAAAGGGGACGGGACTAGGCGTTACAGTGAACGAAAACCATCCGCGCGTCCGGGCGTAGGGGATTGGTACCAACCACAACCACTTGGCCATCGAAAACGGACAGATGGGAGAGGCAGCGGAGGTGGCGGTGGTGACCGCGAGCGCGATGAAACGGGGCGCAATGATTCAGCGTATGATTCGCATCACCATCGGGATAATGAAAGAGAGCGGGGACGGAAGCATGAGAGGGGTGGTCATTGGGATGGGGATCGCGACCGGGACAGGGAGAGGGACAAGGATAGAGAATGGGATCGGCATAGAGATAGGGATAGCGATAGGGATTGGAACCACGACCGAGACCGTGATCGGGATGGCAGAGACAGGGGCAAGCCATCACATCCCCGACACAGAGACGACAGAGGAGGACCGATCAGTGCTGGCCCATCGCGAAGACCACCTCACCATGAAGGCCAATCTCCGGAACTCCAAGGGCCTAGGCATGCATTACCACCTCGCCCTGAGATATCGTATGATTGAGCTCGCCCTCCAAATATCTTTTTGACTATCTATTCGATCCTGCGTGTCCCGTTCATTATGCGTATGATGCTAGTGTATGTATTTACAAGTATTGGGAGGTGGCTATCCTATTCTGGTGTATACAAACGTCCCCGTTGGAGTAAATACGATTTTCGGAGGTGTATCTATGGCTTTCTCCGTCCTTTTCCGTGTACTTTGCGGCATTCATGACCTCCTACCACTCTTTCCCGCGCTTCGCTACGATGTCTGCCGATTTCTGCATTGCCCCTCGCCACAGCTCCTTGAAAATCTGACCATCCAGGATGGTCGTCTGCAAGATGGGTCGCACATGGCACGCAGTTACACGTCCGTACCAATTTCCATCCACCGCTGGGTTGCGGTGGTAAATGATGACATTGCCTGCATATTTGTGACCTGGAGGAAACACGACGATCAAAACTCCCCTCCCAAGGATATGGCCCCAGGGCAAACCGGTGACTTACCTCCAAAATGAGAGCAACCGAAGACATGCACATCATCAATGTTCATCTCCTTGAGAGCCCTCCTAAACTCGTTGACGAGCAGTGGTCCAGCCACTCCACATCGCTTGTCCCTTTTCTTGTGCGTACATACGAAAATCCACGCTCGCCCTTCCAAGGGAACGGGTGTCAATGGGTTGCTCGATGTTGTTACGGCGTCGATGCTGTTCGCCGAGGGATCCACGGACGGCACAGGCGCGTCCTTCATGGCCAGCAAGGTGTCAATAGCGCCAGTAGCTGATGCTGCATCCACGGACGGGATGGAAAGAAGGTCGGGGAACAGCCACACGGCATGTCCTTCCGTTCCTGCTGAAGCGGCAGCATCACTCTCCTCCGGCATGGGATCGCACGCCGTCACAATCGTCCTATATCCCAGCTCTGCGATCTCAACCGCTTTCGAGACGGCGTTCGTGACCTTCTCCTCGTCGCCTTCCTCTATCCTCTCCCTCCATGTTCTGCTCGTTCCCTCGACGACCATGATGTGACGTTTATAGGGCTTCATGGTTCCCACAAGAGGTCCTGGTTCGATTTTCTTCTGCAGGTAGCCCGGGATCTGCTCGTGGGTGGTGCATGGCGTTGCGCAACCTGCGCACGGGTCAGCATCTGTGAAAGGTACGTCGGCGGGAAATGGGTTGACTTCGCCGACGCCGAGGATTTTCTTGAAAAGGCTGGCCATGGCTTTTGTCAAAAGTTTCGTGCTTGCTTTGCCGAAGCTGTCTTGGGGAGAGGAGCGGCAAGGAGAAGGAAAGTGCTACTTATATACCTGCCAGTCGGGGGACAGACGTTCTATTTGGTATGTTCATTGCCGGTTCAACGCACTGCAACCGGACTCGGAGTTCCTACTTGCGAAACGGATGGTCGAAATGGAACAAGAGAACGGCGGACGCGATGAAATTTGTGGGGTTGGCGTTCCCGGAATCCGGATCGTCGGTCCAATCGGATTTGGGGTGGCTCACTCTGACTGATGCTGACTCAGCGTGGCTTTGCTCGGACACGCACGCGTTTGCAATGGGCGCATCAGCTCATCAGGCCACCGGTCTGACGCGTTCAGGAAGAAGCATCGCCTGTCAGTTTTCACGCCCGATTTCTTATAGGAGACGGATGGTATGGAATCGCGATATCAGATGTCCCTTGCTTTGAGTTGGCTTAGCACATGTTGTGCGCCATGCACAAAGTGAGTTGTTAATCCGAGTGATCCGACCCATAAACCTCCGTAAGTAAAAACGGCGTTACCGGCGGCCACCGCAAACCTGCCTTTTGCTGTACAAAGTTGGAGGTAGCCTTGGTATATATATCGTCCTCCCGTCTCCTTTCCCCACTGTGTTTCTGTGTGCACTTGAAAGGTCCATCTCCATCCTACCGTAAGGCGTCCATAGAATATAGTTAAGTCCCGCAACTAGATACGTGAGCGCCATGTCATTTGATTTCGAAGGCGCCGTGGCGCCGGCTCTGAATGCCACAAGGTAAGGCAAAGCATCTGCACCAGCATCGACGCCGTTTTGGTCGGTTCGGTTTCGGAAAGTGGCTAACGGTCGCACTTTTTCGTATATAGCGGTGTACCACCGCCCTACATGCCCAACTACCTTGAGCGGAAGTGGCTGGAGACGTTCGACAACACCGAGTACGCAGGGATGAAACTTGCCCTCGCACTCCTCCTATGGCACGAATTTGTATTCTTCGGCAGGTTTTTGCCCTACTACATCATGGATCAGATTCCATACTTCCAGAAATATAAGATCCAGGATGTAAGCCTCGCGAACGAGTATTGCACTTCGAACGCCGCCCAGGCCATAGCTGTTTGACGCTCTCGAACATTTCCAGGCCAAACCGAATACACCAGAGATGTACCGTAAATGTGTGATAAGCGTGATCAAATCTCAGCTCTTTGTGCAAGGGCCGCTGCTCCTGCTTTTCCACCGTTCGGCAACATGGCTAGGCATGAAGTTCTTGGAGGTCCCGTTTCCTTCATGGTAAGCCGGATTTTCCACCCTCTTACTACATTCGAGGTGTAATTTTGACATCTCTCCGTAACAGGACGACCATCGCTCTCTCCTGCCTCTTCTGCCTCGTCATGGAGGATACATACCACTACTTCGTCCACCGTCTTGGTCACCACCCCGCCCTCTACAAGCACGTCCATAAAGTCCACCACGAATTTTCAGCACCCTTCGGTATTGCCGCCGAGCACGCCCACCCTATTGAGGTGCTGGTTCTGGGACAAGGTTTCTTCATTGGGCCGGTGTTGCTGTTGTTGATGGGCGTGGACATGCACGTTATCACCATGTTTGCATGGCTAGCGCTGAGATTAGTCGAGACGGTGGATGTGCATGCCGGATATGATTTTCCATGGGTACGTTCGGGGGGTGCTGTCAGCTACAGACTTGCAAGTGCCAGTGCTCATCGACTGCAACATTTTAGTCATTCCACAAGTTCATCCCATTCTGGGGCGGCGCCGAATTCCACGACTACCACCACATGGCGTTCGTAGGCAATTACTCTTCATCGTTCCGGTACTGGGACTGGTTATTTGGTACCGACCAGGCTTTCGAGACCTGGAAGGCAAAGCAGGCCAACAAGAAGGTCGCTGCTGGGGAAACACCCCGTGCCGGTGTCCCAGTCACGAAAGAGGACTAGGTTTAGTATCATGGGACCGTGAGGGGCACCCTACCCTGGTCCTCAGCCGTACTTTGTGTTGTAGATCATATGTGAATTTCTATATGGATAATGAACGCTTTTCGAAAACGGAGTATCGCAGCCGGGAGCAGACAAAAGTGTTTCTTCGAGGCTAGGCATCCCGCGCCTGAACGTCTAGCATACAACGTGGCCTCTATGATGTCTATCCTGGGAACAACAAATACGCCTTCTAATCCAAAAGTATACATACACTCCCAGCTTGTGCTCAGTCGCGGCGCACTAGTATAGCGATGTTCTCCACTTGCGCCGTTTGCGGGAACATGTCGAAAGGCTGCACATGTATAATATCGTACAATTTCGGTTCGGATCGTATGATGCTTCTCAAATGCCCCGCGGGCTGGTGGAGCTCGTTCAATCGGATCACTTTCCCACCGATCCGTAACGTTTGAGAATCGGTGGAAGATTTCCGCAGCGACGAAGGCTGTTTCGGCTTGACTTGCGCGTTAACTCTTCTTAAAAGCGAAGCCAAGTCTCTCGTTTGCGAGTGCACATTGCAACTGACATAGACGATCACTTTCGGGTTGAATTGCCTCAACTGCTGCATGAAGTCCTCCCCGGCGCCTTTGGATGGTGGGTCCATGATGACGGCTGTGTGACTTGGATCCCGTCGTAGCTTCGGCGAACCATCTCGTGACCGTGATCCAAGAGTACGACCGAACTGTGCTTCCGGTTCAAATGCTTCATCGTAGATGCGTTCGGCTGACCCCTTGATGAATATCGCATTTCCGATGCTGTTGTTCAGCGCATTTTTTGATGCTGCGTCGAGAGCTTTGCTGTCGATCTCGATGCCAACGACCTTCTCGAAATCGGGGGCGCAGGAGAGCGCAAACAGCCCCGATCCGCAATATGCGTCCACGAGCACATTCACGCCGAAAGCGGATATCGTATCGCGCAGGCATTTGCGAATGTACGTCGTCATTTCCGGTAATATGGAGGAATTGTTTTGGAAAAAGCTGTGCGCTGGGAAGGTAAACTTGACGTTGTTGACACAATCTACCACTGGCAGTTTCGAGTGCCGGACCGATTGTGCGGATAATGCTGGTGTAGGCCACGGTATGGGATCGGATAGTGGTGCCAAGGGGCGCCGACGGTCTCCCGAATACTGCTGCACAGGGTGGAGTTTAGGTAGTACCAGAGAATGCCTGAACGATAAGGTTGAGCCGTTGGCAAACCCTGGGCTGGTGGAACCGATCAGCTCTCGTCTTAGAGCCTTGAAGTCATCCTCGATCTCCTTCGTCACGATCGGACACTCCTCAATGTCAACAACGGATTTACTCCCCCGTCCGTTGAAGCCGATTTTCTCGAGTGGCTGATATGCGGCTCGTCGAGGGTAGTGCGGAGTCATCTTCGTCCTGTAACCATACTGCAAAGGCGAAGGTATCACGTCCTGCACTTTAACAACCTTCACAGGCGCGTCTGTGTCGACTGGCTTTGCATTCCCGTCGGCGTCGATGATGGTCGGCGGCTTCCACAGGGAATCGAATGCCCGCTTCACCACTCCATGCTTCCGCCGCAATTGTTCTTCGTAGGTCACATGCTGAAAGGTGCACACCGAACATTCCTTGAAGTGTTTGCATCGTGGTTCCACCCGTATAGGACTTGTTTCGAGCACTTCTAACAGGTCCGCCATCGAAAATCCAGCCCCATCTCGATATATCTTCACCCGAACGCGTTCTCCCTCCAACCCACCATGCACCAGCACGATCCAGTTATCCTTTCCGACCGCAGCCCCATGTCCGGAATCGCTCGTTGCGATAATAGTCACTGTATCTTCCTCGTGATACGCGTACGGGGATGGCGTCGTAGTTGGCGCATCGAGGTATGGGATGGAGCCTGGGAGGTTTAAGGATCGAAGGATGTCGGCGAAGTCGGCGACGAAGAAATTATCGAACGGCGTTTTCTCAACGGCGGGTTTGCGAGGACCTGTGAACGGTGTTGTTTTCTTGCTTGGGAATCTGGGCCTCGGTGACGTTCCGTCACCATTCGTCCTCCACTCTCTCAGCGCGCGAATCTGCTCTTCGGAAAATTGCTCGTCCTTTCGAATTGGCTGTTGCCGCGACCTATCGGGCTCCTTACTACCGGGTCGATCTGAGGGAGTTGAGGGCCCCCGATTTCCTGTTCCCAACGCCCTGTTGAAGACGCGGGGTTTCGCGCACTTCCCAGCTGCTTGACCGTGACTTGAAAGCAGCGACTCCCAAGCTGACGTCCGTAGCCTCGAGGAGCCCAAGCGCCATCGTTGCGACATGGCGTTGCGTGCACATCTTGCCCGACCGCCTGTCATTGCTGCGACTTGGTTTTTGCGATAAATTGCTAGGGCCGGCTCACGAAATGAACGACTCGGAAAGTGACATTCGTGATGCCGTAAGCGAGCGCGGTCCGTGTGGCGGACGTGGCGTTCAAAGGGCTTGGGCACTCTGCTCCAAAATGGTAGGCCAGACCGGTTTCTTGTTCTCTCCCTCTTCGCCAATTTCGCAGCTTCAAGCTACAGGATCGCATATTACAATGTCCAGCGGAGGTGTCACCGTCAAGGACGTCAGCGCTCACGCTTTCGTCAAGGCTTACGCTGCCTACTTGAAGCGTACCGGTAAGCTCGAGGTCCCCAAGTGGGTTGACCTCGTCAAGACCGCTACCTACAAGGAGCTTGCTCCTTACGACCAGGACTGGTTCTACATCCGTGCTGGTATGTGTTGTGATCCCACAGGAAGGGCTTCGTCGGGCAGGGGTTCGGTCACTGCCTGTTGTCTGAACTAACCCACTCTCACACGATCAGCTTCCGTCGCCCGTCACATCTACCTCCGCAGTGGTGTCGGTGTCGGTGCTTTGAAGAAGAACTACGGTGGCCGTCAAAACCGTGGCAACAGGCCCCATCACCACGCCATTGCCTCTGGCTCCGTTGCCCGTAAGGTCATGCAGGCTCTCGAGAAGATCAAGGTGCTTGAGCAGGACCCCACTGGGTGAGTTGCGAGAGATTTTGTACTGGCTCAGGAAAGTACCCTCGTCTCGGAGCTAATCATAGTATCCTTCTAGCGGGCGTCGTATCTCCCAAGACGGACAGAAGGATTTGGACCGTATCGCCGCCCAGATTGTCCGCACCGACGAGTAGATCTCGTTTCCTGTGACTGTCTGGGATCATATGTAGATCAGTGATAGATCCACTCCACATGTAACCAGCTTCCGCACTCTGGCAAGCCGGTCTTCCGTTGCAATACCGCACGAAGACTGAGACAACGCTTCAGGGAATAAATTGGTGTTGGCCTTGCGGCCTATCTTCAGCTGGAAGACTGCCCCTTGACGCTGAAAGGAACTTTGTTCTAACCCGGTGCCGCGGCACATCTATCGACCGTTTCAGCTGGATAGTTGATTCCCTTAACGTGGATGGCGGGTATCATCCAGCTTTCGGAACTCCAAAGCGTGACGGATACTGGCGGAGGACAAGGGCTGATAATCAGCATGATAAGACTTTTGAGGTTGAGCTCCGACTGCCCAGCGGCTCGCAGGCCAAGTGCCCCCAACACGGAACCAAGCCCTCCAACTCCTGATTTGGTGTAGATGTCAGATTCGATATTTTGATTAGGTTCGAAGGAAAGTCGAGAGTGATGTACATTTTCTATTACTACGAGCGTCGAGGATATTATCTACGTATTAAGGGGAACTACAAAAAAGTATATACGAGGGTCTGGATTATGTGGAGGTGTGCCAACGAATGGAGACAATGTCAACATACACTTGATACAGGTGAGGGTGGAACTATACGCCGTGAGAGATCAAGGGCGACGACGGCTGTACTACTGCCGCCAGTGCCACGATAAGGCGATGCGTTTACGCCAAGGTACGGGCCTGAGCGAGCTCCCAGACTCATAGGTCTCCCTCGTGCAGGTCTTCGTTTTCCTCGAGATAGTTGTGAGCCTACGGACGACTTGAGTTAACACTTGCCAGCAACAGGACCGATTTCACAACGCGTAGGAACTCACCATCCTCAAGGAATGATTATATTTGTTCGGTATATGGTGAATCAAGAAGTTGGTTTTGAACTGTATATTGCAGAACAACTCCTTAGTCGATCGCTCCAGCAGATAATGGGGCGTAGGGTCGTCAATCAATGGGTTGCCCGTGATCTCGCGTTGTGCCTGGCCATCTTTCCGTGGTCGACTGGTGGAGGAGAATACGCGGGTAGACTTGTAGACGTAGAAGATTTTGCCCGGAATGAAGACCTTCGGGTGCTCGTTGGATTCCTTGAGATGGGTATGATGTTCCGCAAGGCGCTCCATACGGTCCTGCGTCGAGAGCTTCTTCTCGTTCAACAGGTCGTGTCCTTTCAAGATGAGGTCCCTGAAATCGCACACCGCTCCCCAACTGGACCGTGCAACGAGGTCGTTCTCGTTGATGTAAGTTTCGATGTAAGGTTCGAACTCTTCACACAATTCGGCGTTCACACTCGGAGGCGAGCCGTAGTTGTAGCACTTGAGCTTGAACTTGCGGTTGTCGCTCAGTTGACGGAGTTCCGGAATGTGGCTGGTGAGGATCATCGTGAGGAGGGACGCGACACCGCCTCCCAAAGAGTGACCGGTGACGTAGATTGCGGAGCACTTGTACTGCGAGACCCAGGCTTTGATTCGATCGAGGTAGTGGAGCTCGAGGTACTCAGCGCAGCGCAACATGCCTTTGTGGGCGTAACCGTGGGAGAACGGGGTGTATTCAGCGGTGATATCCACAATCATCTCATGGAGATTCTAGAGGAGTAAGGCACGTCAGTATCAACCTTCACAGGAACATATGAAGATCGTCATACTTACGAAGGTTCCCCTGATGGCAATGACGATAGCGTTCAATTTCGGGTCCCGGCAAATGAAAACTTGAGGCTTGAAAAGCTCCAACTGAAAGTCCCAGGCAAGCATGTCGTTCTTCCCCAATCCCAAGTGCTCGCGAGCCGTGGCCGAATCCATCTTGGGCCGAGCAGCATCACGAAGGTAGCCCTTTCCGTAGCCGAAGAAGTTCATGAGCAGGGAACCATATGCGCACATCGCATAGTTCAAGAAGTAGCAGGCCACACGGATTTGACGTCCGTCTGTGACTACGTCATTTGTCATTGCGCTGAGAGAGATAATGCGTCAGTCATGAATAAGAGATAAGCTTTGGCTTTCATCCAGATGAACTTACTTGGGATGGAACTTCTGGTAGTACTTCTGCACAAAGAGCATCGATCTGGCGATCTCCATCTTGTTCAACTTCCAGCCCGAACCGAAGAAAGCCGAGGCCAGCTGCGCAACCTCCTTGATTCCCAACATGGTGTTCTCAGCGATGATCCTCTTCCGTCTCCTCTTGGAAGTTGCGGTCGTCGCGGAGCTGGCGGTGCTTCGCATACTGATCATCGATCTCGTCTCCGAAGCCATGTCTCCATACATGTCAGCGTCCTGCGCCTGCATCTGCTGGTAGTAGTCCATGTATTCGCTGGTTTGCATTTCCTCTTCGGACGATCCAATCATCTTGTCGAGCAACATGCTCTCGTCCGAGGGGCCATGGCGGCTGCTCGCGCTTTGGCTGCGAGTCAATGTACCGCCGCGACGCGCGCCGATGAAGCTGAATCCGATGGTAATTTCACCAATGTCTTTGCTGGCCAGCTTGGAGCTGCGATGGGCCTTGCGATGGTTCAGGGTATATGTGCTGCAAAATTATGACATGTTAAACCCGACCTCACAGAAACAAGGGCAGTCCATCAAATGGCACTCACTGTTCCAAGTCGCCAAGGAGTTGCGGCAGTCGGGACAATCGAATGTGCACACGCCCGATATGCGATCCAAAGAATCCTCCCTCATATATATCAACCTTCAAGTGGTCGAACAGCAAGGAATGGTAGTTGCATTCGAATTTCTGCTTTTGCTCTCGGTGTCCATGGGGGTAAGGTGCCGAGTCCACTTTCACTCTCTTATGGCGAAATGAGAAGCGCACTTGAATGTTGTTCACGGGGCGTCGTAAGACGATGTCCTCGAGATGTACCTGCAACGGGCAAACACATTAGCGGGAGCGGATCGGATACACGATTTTGCGGCTCTCTCTTACCATCATTGTTGAAGGATGGTTGTCCCAAGAGAGACCATTGGTTGAGGTAGGTAAGGTGGTGGGGTTGAACATGGTTGCCGAGCGATGTTTATCGGCCGTCGCCGGCATCGACTGCACTTGGTTAGCCTGAGAGATCGATGCTGTAAAGGAGAGTCGCCATGTAAGCGCCGGAATCTCCTGAACAATTCAATGGAAGGATTTGGCTGCCATACTACGTACCAATATACATTTGCTCAATCTCCTGAGGGCTCATAGACGAAAAGTCCAGCTTCGAAAAGTCGACTAGGCCGGTGTTATGAGCATACTGGGGAACGGAAGAGTTGGCTTCCTCGACTGTGGCGTCGAATTCCGGTTCCGCATACATTGCGGCTTGCAGAACCTGCTGCTTGCTGCCAACGTGCCCGTCGCCATTGGAGGTGTCGGAGCGGACTGGTGTTGGTACGGGCGCCATTTCGTCGTTGCTTTCCGAGGGCTATGGAGTGAGGACTTTTGCCAACGATATTGTCTGACACTACTTTGCGTTATTCTACTTCAACCTCTTGACTAAACTGCTGGAATGAATAAGGCTGGCAATGCAACCTCACGTATATATGTATGATGGGACTGGGCTTGGACTACATCCATTGGCTGGGCTGGGCAGTGCAAGGTCAATATCCATCAGTTCAAGGTCAACATCGTCCGCCAGGCCGCAGCTTTCGAAATTTTTGCGTTATTTGTCTCATCAGTATCCCGTCGGCGGTAATCATCATTGTTCGCATGTGGGCAGTCTCCCACACCGCAAAAGCCTCGTCACGATGGATTCGCTGGTGTTCCGGGCCCCAACTCCACAGCGTTACAACGCACGAGCGCCCAGCTATTATGAAAGAGATGCAATTGATTTGGCCTCCCGTCACCGTTGGTCCGCTATCCACGGTTCAAAAAATGAATCTTCAAATTCAGTGCGGATCCTGCCATAAAAAATTTGCCTTGCACGCGAGGCTCTTTGATCGTTTTCTGGGACCCGCTCCATCGCTTTCTCTGGGAGGCCTTACGTTCTTCTCCACATATGATAGATATGAACATATCTATTTCAGCCTCCGAAGACGGCGGAAATCGACGGCGGATGATGGTCATGACTCTTGAGGCATCTCATGTTCAATCGTTGATAGTGGGTGGAAGACGAGGGACGCTTTTGAGATCGGACAACATTTGGGCAGCAGGGAGCAGCATTTTCGCCTCGCATGCGCTCCCACCGCCCTCCTCCACTTTGACGAATGTTCTAGTACTGCGAATTCGTTCCCTTCGAACTCGATGTCGTTGATGAGGGATGCATACCGTGTACGGTAAGGGAGGACGGAGAGGCAGACGTTTTGTCGTTCACAAAGCTCCACGCATATTTCCTTTGGATGCCCAAGACAATCGTAGGAAGTTGAGGCCAGAGTGCCGTTCCCGAGATAGCATGTCTCTCTCTTTGCATTTGGGGACACTAATTTGAGCAAAGCATGGCACACTGGTCATGATATGCTTTCTTATAGATACATGCAAAACAGAGTATGTCCCCAATGTGCGTGCGAAGTTGAGAAGCATCACATTTAACTTTAAATTTAGGCTCTTCAGTCCAAGAGGGATCATTGATGCCAGGAGCTATGCCGCTCCCAGTCATACCTACAGTAGGAATACTCCACCTGTAGTAGGAATACTCCACCTCCTCCAGCGTTCCGCTTTCTATGAATCCTGCGAGCTTTGACGGAAATGTGACTGCCGCGAGCCGCTCGTGCTGCTAAGGTTGTTCACGTCCAGCAGAATAATTGTCTGCATCAACAACATCCCTTCGAACGTTTTCCCAAGTGCACGATCCAGACCAACGTGAAGCATATTCTTTGTCTTCAGAAGAAGGGGCGAAGCCACGACTTCACAGTGCAAGGATGGATATCGTCATTGCGGTGCTCCACGCTGTTCGGGGTCAACTCGGATCTCTCGCTAAGAGGAGCTTCTCATTTCGTTCAGAAACGCAGTGCGCCGGACGTGCGTTGCATTCCAATGTCGCCATGGCCTCACGACAATAGAAGCAAAGCATGTCGGGCGCACATGCGAATTCTTTGGTGGCCGAATTCAGAGACCTGCCTACGAACTGGTTCTTCCATTTGAACGACGGTGGCGAGCGACATTCATGAAACTAGGCTATTATCGGTATGGGGAATGGCAAGCAGGAACCCGGACTCCTAAAGTCGTCGAATGGCGTGGGAAGAAGAATGGCTCTCGACTTGAAGATGGGTACAGTACTTTTACTCGTCACAGATCACAGATGAAAAGCGAACCTCGCTGAGTTACCGAGAGACGTGCAAGTCCGGTGCATAATATGCCCTTGTCGTCCTTCCCGGTCCGTTGCACTCCCGTCAAGGTCCTCAAAACTCAATTGCTGTGGGCCCTCGAAATTACATTGCTGTGGAGTGTGGGCCCTCAAACCTGGCCTCAATGCCGAGCGGTGAGCGGTTATCGTTGATAAGATTCGCGTTCGACTGAAATGACGAGGTTAGAGCGCCACCACGCGCCGCTGCCAAATCTGACGCTGTTCCAGCTCCTCCTTCCCAGCACCAGGGAAGAAACGGCAACACAGGTCCGAGTTCCAACCGAGCCCATATTCTCTGGTGCTTGCCACTTCTTCCCGGGAGGAGGCCGGTAGATATAGAGGCTACCGTCGACCGGGCAATGCTTTCTGGGAATCTGGGGTTTGCTGGGCCACTAAAGTGGTTTCCAATGATTTTCAAGGGCGTCTTATGGCTACATGATGAGGCCGCACCAGCTTTGAATTTCGATGAACGACCACCAACTTGGACCTCCTCGCCGTTTTTATATATGTGGCAAACTTCAACTTTGGGCCGTAATAACTGCCTTCGTTCTTGGGAAACACTCTTCATAACACTGAGTACTCAACGCCATGCCAGCCTCCATAAGTGATGCGGTCTCGCTCAAAGAGGCAGGAGATTCTTCGAAGCCATTGCTGGCACCATACCCAAGAAGCACCTCAATGACACCATCCACTCAAGTAAGGAATACGAAGTGCATATCCGCGTTCCGAGGTTGAACCTAGTCTAACCCGTTTTCAAAGTCGTTGAGCGCAACTGTAGACGTAACGGATGCATTACCCGCGGGCACTTCACCGTCGAATTCCTCAACAGGAGGCGCCACCAGGAGCTCCGATACCTCGCCTATGATATCACAAGATAAAAGTGCTGTTGTCGCAGCGGCAGCAACGGCCAAAGCGTTTCGTCCTCCAACGCCTCCTCCTAAAGATCTCATATTTGCGCCAAAGGCGGGCCCAAGTAGTCAATATCCCACCCCGGTTCAGTCGCCGCTGCGTAAGAAGTCGCTGATACAGCGGAAGGAGGATCCTTCTCCTAAAGTGGTACCGGCCGTAGCGGCTGGTTCTTCCACTGATATTGAAGAAACGCAGCCAATAAAGCCCAGGCCTTACTCATTCCAGGCCGATCCAGGAGTTGCGCCCTACGTGCTTGGTGCGGTGTCGAAAGTTCATTCTGAGGCTCCAAGCTTCAGCTTGAAGGGTCATCCAACGACTTTCACGAATGTTGTGGACGCCGGCCCTCTAGGACCACCACGGAACGAACTTCAGAGCCATCAAAGAGCCCTGGCGAATAACGAAGCCGACAAATCGATTGTCGGTGCAGCTGCAAGTGCGCATATGAATGGGTCAGCGCATTTAACTGACGACATATGCGCCCCAAGACGACCTTCCCGGACTACCTCACTGTTAGCGCTGAACACTGGTTTGCCCGTACCGGAAATGTTAGGCCTTAGCCACAAGGCATCCTTTGCCTCCTCCGACCACTTTTACCTCGCGCCGGAAGCCACCGAAAACATGGCAAAAGCGGAAGCAGATGAAGACGTGCACAGTGATCTCGAGCCGCGTATAGCGGAACTATCACCAGTTCCGGAGGGGGAAGGGGATTCAGCAACTCAAGCAAAGATATCAGCCGAAGGCAAGGAAGCCGGAAGCGCGGAAGTCCCAGCCGAGTCTACGCTATCAGATAGCATCTCTGAGACCTCGGATGAAGACACTGTCGGGTCGCTGAACTCCCCTATCTCCCCTATCGATTCTACACCTTCAGACGGCGCATCCCAAAAATCACAGGACGCAGCAATGGACTTTCCAACGGACCCGGCTGCGCAATCCGCTCCAACGGTGGCTTCCTCTCAAAGTTCAAGCAATCCGGAAACCTTAGTTTCAGAGTTACATGGCTCGACGACACTTCAGCCCCGGCCCAGTTTTCGCAAATTGGCAGTAAGAATACCGGATGGCCCGTCTCCTGGCGGCCCGCCATCCTCAAAGGTTACAAAAATGTCGATAGAAACCACGCTTCAGCTCTACAAGGCCAACGCATTGAAAAGCAACGATGATAAGCTGAAGTTTAGCTTTGCCAAATTCTGTCTAGAGGAAAGTGGCAAAGCGTCAGAACCTGCTCTGAAGGAACGTCTGCTGGAGGAGGCCTATGCTGTTTTGCGGGAGTTGAGCAGGAACGGAAACTCTGATGCGATGGTAAGTTTGGTGCAGTTTGGCAACACTGGTAGAGATGTCAAAATCTCATCTCCTTCTGCTTTTCTAGTATACGCTGGGACAAGCCTACTTTGACGACCGCCAGTACTCCCTGGCCTATACTCAATTGCTCAACGCTGCAAAGCGCTCGCATCCCGGCGCCATGTACTTGGCCGCCATGTTGAACGAAAAAGGTGCAGGCACCAAGAAAAGCTACCGTGTCGCTTTGGACTTTTACACAAAGTCTGCGCAGGCCGGATACCGACCGGCACTGTATCGATTGGGCATGATCGAGCTCCATGGCCACATGGGAGGGAAGCGGGACGTGCGGAAAGCTGTGACGTGGTTCAAGAGAGGCGCCGCGGTTGCGGACAAACAGCACCCGGAATGCTTGTATGAGCTTGCTAAGATTTTCGAGAAAGGCGTACCTCCACACATTCAAGAGGATGAGCCGTACGCGTTTGGCCTCTATGCGGAGGCAGCCGAGCTGGAGTACCCGCAAGCCCAGTACAAACTGGCGCAGTGCTTAGAGTTTGGTCGGCTAACGTGTTCTAGGAATATGGTGAGACTGAACGCGGTCTATGTAGTCCACTTTCGGAGCGTAAATATCTTACCCGCATATCTTTCCTCTTTCAGCGCGACGCACTTTACTGGTACGGTCGGGCCGCCGAAAATGGGAATGCAGATGCGCAGTTCGTCCTAGCAGGCTGGTACCTCCACGGCTTCGACAACCTTCTCCCGCAGAACGAGCACGAAGCCTACGCATGGACGTACCGTGCTGCAAAGCAAAACCACGCCGAAGCTCAATACGCTGTAGGGTATTTCTGCGAGAAGGGCGTGGGATGTGTCAAGAGCGAGGAAAAGGCTCTACAATGGTACCAAATCGCCGCGAAAAACGGCGAGACGAGGGCAATCGCGAAACTGGAAGCTGCAAACCAGCCTATCCCGATCTCCAGGGCTTCGAAGTCTTCCAAGGGCCGGCCCAGGCCAGCGGTGAAGGAAACAGGTTCCTCGTCGTCGAGCACGAGCGCCAGCAGCGCGGCAAAGGATTTGAAGAAGAAAGCACTCGGATTCCTACGGAAGTAAGCCGAGTTCGGACAGATGGACAGACTTTCTGGCGTATTCCGGCGTAACATCACCACTGTATCCTTCCTCTGCTCCGTCGTACATAGATATCCATAATGTAGACCTTCGTAGTTCTGTAGGCACGGACATGTACATATACATTTGGTGCGCCCCATATGCGTCACCTACCACGTACTCCCATATGAGCGGCATCTTTATGCATTCTCATCATTCTGACACTGCACCAAAATCGCGATGCCACCCTAGTCTAACATCTATCACCGTGTTTGTTGTAGTCCACCTCTCGCTTCCCACCACTAGATACCGCCGTGTTGATCTATGAACGTCCGTCCTTGGTCTTCAAAGAAAAGTCGCTGAAATCCCAAAATAGATATAGTCCACCCTCGCTCTCAGTTATTTTCCCGCGGGGAATGTTGATTCGCTGCTGATACAAAGGCCCGTCGAGCACCATGGTATGGAATTCCTAAGAGAGACACCCGGAAGAACGACGACTCAGCAAGATGCCCATGTGCTGGGTCCATCGACGTCAGGATAGACAACTTTCGACTTACCCCGTTTTCCCCGCATTGATCCACCGACTCACACCCAGGCTGTGACAGGCAATGCGCAAGGAGTTCCTTCGTCAGCACCCTTCCCAGCATCAGAGCTGCCACCTCTCGTGGGATGGCCGTTGAGTTCACGCAGGTAACGATGAACTTGAGGGCGAACTCGTCATATAGTTGTGCCAACAGTTTTGGCCGAGGTACCTCCCATAGGGGCCTAACGAGAGGAAGCCCAGCTGCCCGCGCCGCTTTCCCCATGAAGTCCGAGCACACGTCCTCAATGTCCCCGTTTGCGAACGCCTCGATGCCTTCCGATTTCAACAATTGCATCTGTGCCACATAACACGAGAGGAAATCGTTTCGTCCCGTCGCGGTTGCGCAGCTCTGATTTGCTGCATCTGAGTTTTCGCTGCTCTCTGCAGGTTGTCCGGGGTCGATAACCAAAACCCTATGAGGGACTCCAACTGCCTTGGCAATGGCCTGGATCAGTTCTAACTTGTGGCTCAGGAAAGGCTTCGCTTTCGCTGGAACGAACGTGCAGAGAAGCGCGACGTTGTATAGTTCGGGGCTTTTGGACAGGATGTGCAACACAAGAGTCGAGTCCTTGCCGCCGGTGAAGGAGAGCACCACTTTCTGGGGCGCCATTGGTCTCGCCGCCGTGCGCTATATGTCGAATGCCTGCCTCCTGCCTTCCGAATCATCCGAAGCCATTGCGAACACCTCTCAAACTTCGCCATCGACACAAAATCGCCCGATCGTGACTCATCGTCCCGGACATGGCTGATTGCGCCTTTCAAGTTTCGGATGCTTATCAGCGTCGCGGCGATAGGGTTGACTTGCGCTTGTTTCACCGCCCGCTAAGCCATGATTTGGAGATGAATCCGCAGGAACAATCGAACATGTCCGACGTCGGAGTCTCCAACCTTCTTTGGCTCGTGCTAATGACAGCCTATGGTGTGAGATATCAACTCACTTGGCGAATGCAGGGGTTAAAGGGGATCTCGGTGATTCCGCTTGAATAATGTGAAAGCCCTGTTGAATCACTAGTTCAGAGCGTGCTTGAATAGATAGATGCTGTGTGGGAAACCCCTCGCTCGCACGCCGTCTCAATCCGTTTAGGAGTACGACAACCGACAAGTGCCGATTTCCACTTACTTGAATGTATGTCATCTGGCTGTCCCGCCGCGGTATATGCTGCACACCGGAAAACCATCCCTGTTGTGCGCACCACCCCATCGATTGAGGGTTTACCGAACCATTTACGGTTTACCCATTCCAAAGAGACGTCTGTGGACCAGGAGAAGTCCCGTTCGTAAGGTGAGCTTGATCTTGACGATTGTGTCCGAAGGGGTCCTTCGCGCGAGTTGTATGTCACCAATTGTGACATAACCCCCAGCAAGGGTCTTCCCATCTTGGAGCATCTTCCATCACTTTACTGACCACCGAGCACATTCCATTTTTGTTCGGCAGTGAGTGTTACTCTGCGTTGAACCCCCTTGGTCGGCCGGGTCTCACTGGGCCCACTTCGCTATTTGCTCGTGGAATAGTATACAGCTTCGCTCCCTCTTGGGAACCCCGTTTCGCCTCTACGCTCTTGGGAACCCAGACTTCAGCCTTGCGCTCAAGGCATCTGGATCTATAGGCCTGGACCTCTGGGGGCTATCAGTTGCTTCAGTGTACCCAACAGATACGACAAAGATCCCCGATTTCCCTGCTTCGACGAGTCACTCTGGTCATTTCTAGACCACTGCCTTCCCCGCCCCTGAACCTCACACCGTAACACACTTCCCAACCCCAAACCATTGTTCCTATTGCGAACTCTGCACAGCCGCCTTCATTTACATACTTCATCGGCACGGCCTACGCGTCAACCTATGTCTTCGTACGGGGTGGCGGCCCAGCCTAGTGCTTTCTCGCTGTCGATAGGGCCTTTGACCACATTTCCGACCACCCGTCCGAGGGCGATATCTTGGCCGACGAAGATGACTGCTGGAACGGCTCAAATTGTGGCCCCAGGGATCAACACTTTGCACATAGCGTACCGGTAAGCAGAACGGATTACAGCTACATATACAACTTTTTGGTCGATGCTGACCTCTCTGCGTGCATGCCTCTCTCGCTCATGTTGCTCCCACAGCCCGGGCGTCACAGATCGAGGTCAACTGTATCTGCACTTCCGCACATACGCTGGTTTTGAAATGTTTGCGTTCTACGATCACTACTGCTTTGTCCGCTTCGCTTCCACGGATTTTGCTCGAGAGGCGCTGATGAGACGCGTTCCTGTTGGCATCATCACGTTGGAGCCAGCGCAGAAGAACTATCGAGTCCCATATCCACAACCTGAAGAAGAAACTGCACCGTCCAAGGCGATTCATGTGACGCATTTGCCAACCAACTATTCGAAGGATGAGATGTGCAAGGTGTTCCGTGCGTTCCCAGGGTGAGTACTACTTGACTACATCACCCTTGGCGTTTGATATCTGACTTGTCTTCATCTCCCTGTTCGCAGATTTCTTAGCATGCAGTTCCACGGCAAGTACGCGTACGTTTTCTACGAGAGTGGCATGGCGGCGTCGAAATGCTGGATCACGCTCCGCCAGGAGACCAACCTTGTCGTGAGCTATGCCAAGAACGCAAAGGAAATGGATGCTCTTTCAGAAGCCTTGGAACAGATATGCATCGCGAATACAGGAAATTATAGTCGCGAAGCATTACTGAGAGGGAGCTATCAAGGCATCTCGGGACCTCGCCAGCATTACGGTTATGATGATAGATACACGTTCCTGCCTCGAGACAGCATCAGACAGCTGGATGCCGACATCAAGAATGACTTCGAGAAGCTCCTCAGCGAGTCCCATTGCCGACTCTGCCCTCCTCCAATCGGAACACAAGTACACCCAGGGAAACCGCAGTCAAATGGCGACGAAGATGATGCTACATGGTTCAGTGACTCGTCTTGCGACATCGAACAATCCCTAGCGAGTGACGTCGATTCGATTGCACCAGACCTTCTCAAAACTGGCACTCGCACCCGAAACAGTTCTACCAGCACCTACAGTCCAGACGACCCGACGAGCAAAAACGCCCACAGATTATCGGAGCCATCTTCATGGGAGCCCGCTCGTGGCCACGCGTTCCCGGTCGCATTCACAGAGCGGGCACAGGCACGGGACCCATCTGTTCTCCACAAGCCCCCCAGATATCATCGAGGCTCAGTCGGGGACATGGAAACTTCAGGAACGGCAGGAAAATACTTCTCAGCGACGCTGCCGCGATTCATGGGCTCCGTTGCTCACCAAATATCTGAGGAAGACCGGAGCCAAGAGAGCGAGCAGCCACCGCTGGGACGCCGAGGGAGCTGTCCGAACCCTTTTCAAACTGCTCCGGCAGCCCCTCAACACTCATATCACCCGCAACGCCCGCACGCCACCATAATTGGAACCTGGCCTCGCGTACCGACGTATCCTCTTTCTGTAGCATTCGACCCGCAACATTGCACGGCTCCCGCATCCGAAGCAAACGTGCAGCTCGTGTAGCGACAATCGGCACGCCCCTTCCATACTACATACATCATCACGAACTTCACAAACCACCCGTTCCAAAGCACCATCGTTCATTCGCCGACATTCCAGCCAAACTCCTTCCTTGCCTCTGTTCCTCAAATTGGATATTTATCACGCGCCATGGTTCTCATAAGGCTTGTTTGACACTCGTGTTTTGACAGCCGGGACCATACTTTCTGGACTGGAGGTCGGAGAGACAATGGATTCACGAGCATTCTATACTCATCCTCGCTTGCCGTTGCTGTCTGCCTCCTCTACGTTGTATTGCACATAATTTGTTTTTCGGTTTATGTTCCCCTTTTTACAGTTACATGTATAATACTTCTATAATCCTTCTCTTCTTCCTCTGTTCTTCCTTCTCACTTCATTCTGATGTCTCGCTGAGTTTGTGAACTTTCGGAAATAATGGACATTTGTAGTCAAAAGGATTTGTACACCATATCTTCCTGTAATACCATTAAGTTCCTGCGAAATGTTCTGGATACCTGCAGTCTGTTTTCATAGAGAGCGTAAGAATACGCCCATGGAATGTATGGAGGAGTAGATTAGGCAGTATGACAAGCGACAGGTGCGGTCGGGTAGTCCTTGCTCTCTATTTGACGTATTTGCTCATAAACTTGCGATGAAAATCGCTCCGTAGCACATCATTAATGAACCTCTTCTTCGGGTTGTCCTCCACACCCCGCGCCTGGTTCTTGAATACCACGTCGTCGTCCCAGCGCCTCTTCACGGAGAAATCTTTCGACGCCTGGCTTTCAAGTAGAGGGTTCCCCGTCAATGCCTCTTCCTCTCGTTGCTTTTCATCTTCTTCCATCTTTGCCCTCTCCTGACGTTCCTTCTCCTCTGCTCGCTCCCTCCGGATCTTTTCCAGCTCGCGTAGAAGCTCAGCTTCATCGTCATCATCATCGTCGTCGCTGGAGTCACTATATATAGAGAGAGAGTAATCGTGAGCTGGCAGCCGAGAAAGTGTGAGAGACGCGGGAGGTTCCTTGAACCTTCTTACCTATCACTTTCCGATGCCTCGTCATCGTCCTCCGAGTCGTCTGCATCTATATTTGGTTCTATTTTTGTCCTCTGTCGCTTTGAGCTTTCATCTTCCTCGATCCCGGCTGATACTGGAGTGAAGAAGGGAAAGTAAACGAGGTTATCAGATTCTCCAATGCTCTAAGAAAACGTCGAAGACGGGCGGCTTGGGAATCCAAAACGCAACCTACTCTCTTTCCGCTTCTCTCCCCTTCTGGCCTTTTCAAAATGCTCACGCTCCTTCTCTTCCAATCTCTCCTTCATACGAATCTCGTCAAGGGAGTTCAGGTCCTCGGGAGCATTTTGGCCGGGTTGACGCAGCTTCAGCTTGGTTTGTGTGGCCAAATCCCTGGCGCTGACCAAGTGGACAGGTGCAGCGTTGGTGTCACGGAGCTGCAGTCCGCCAACGGCGGGATGCCAAGTGGGTCTTGCAGCTGTAGTCATATTGTAGATCGACGTTCAAAATGGACTTTTGGAAAAGAAATGGAAGAGCTGGGCAAGCAAGAAGCTGGGCCTATCAGAGGGTGTTCAGTCAATGCTTTAAACTCTGGCTGAAGATTAGAAAATGCGGTATGTCTAAACAAAATGTCGAGTCCCCGTGGCTGGAAACTTAGAAGGGTCACGAACACGTAACGTGTCCGGCTCGCTGACCTTTCTCGAACGGTATGAAGACTTCACTGCCGCATTAGGCTTGCAAACCTTACACCGTTTGTTCACAGAACTTCGAATATCGACAAGAACCCGGTGTGCCGCCGTACCCTGGTATGGCACCTTAAAGTCATTGTGCACGCCTGCTTCCTTTCGTGTCGCGAAATAGGGTGTCCAAACGGAGCGTTTCTCTCGAGAGGTTGTCGTTTCCCACGAAATGGAGCCTGAGAACCAACCGACGGCTCGCAGAGCTATGAACGTCTCTTGGGCGGGTCAAGCCGATAGGGAGGTAGCAGCTAGTCTACCAGGTGATCCGACGTCTTGGAAAAACCACCGTCCGTCCTTTTCGTCCAGTGAGCCATATTCCACCTCGGCCCCCGTGGAAGAACTGTACTTCTCCATGGACCAAGAGGGCACCCCGCTGCTATCAAGTCATGAGCGGAGCCAGCCTCGCATACTTCCTCGAAGTGCTCATGGAGCGAGGAGAACACAAGGGCCTCGCGCATTGACGCTTCCCGACCTCGCTTTAAAAGGCACGTCCTCACGAACTTCGCATGGGACGTTCTCACCGGTACCAGCAGGCTCGTGGCGTAAGTCACTGATATTCAGCAAACGGAAAAGCGAGACCTATGATGAAGATGACGAGACGGCGGCAACGGGGACGGGCATGAGGGTGTGGTATCAGGACTTCACCACTATCGACTGGATTCATGATACAATAAAGGAACGAGTGCGACTTCGCACTATGCGTCGCACACCGGGAATGAGGGGGTGGCTAACCGAGAAGCTTGACGGGTCTATTGCATGGATACTCTTGGCATTGATTGGAGTAACCTGCGGATGTATAGCGTCACTCATCGAAGTGAGCTACACCCATATATCGGATTGGCGGACAGGGTTTTGTGGCAGAAGCATATGGCTTCGCCGGGAACATTGCTGCAGCTCAGGTTGGTTGGATGATCTTGGTCAAGCCCCATCATTGTTCTATGCTCATCTTTCGATGTCTTTCAGAGGAATGCCCAGAATGGTCATACTGGTCCGATCCCGTTGCGTCACACATGCCATCGCGAGCGGAGCAGTACACGCAGTACGCAATTTACGTCATCTCTGGGGTAGTACTAGCGCTATTGTCAGCGGTGGTGACCAAGCAGTCTAGAGCTTCCACGGCGTCTAGCGCCCAAGCGAATCGTACAGTGACGGAGCCGAGCTGGGTAACGAATGCGCGCGAACAAAGAGGACTACGGCGGAGCAAGAGCCGGGAAGAGGGTTTAAAGGCGGGCAAGAAGCCCAAGTTCCATGCGGCAGGCAGTGGGATACCGGAGGTCAAAACCATTTTGGGTGGCTTCGTTATTACCGGTTTTCTTGGCGCCCGGACATTGGTTGTCAAAGTGGTTGGACTGGTAAGGACAGGCAAGCGCATTGGTTTCCTCGAATTGGCGCGCTAACCCGAGATTGTATAGATTCTATCCACTGCTTCTGGACTGGTGGTTGGTTCGCAAGGACCGCTCGTACACATTAGCTGCTGCGTCGGGAATGTATTGTCCCGGTTGTTCAATAAGGTGGGAAAGCGCAAATATGGTTGCTTCATTGAATAACGTACTCACCTGGCATCCTCTCCAGTATGCCAAGAACGAAGGCAAGCGACGAGAGATCCTGTCTGCATCATCCGCTGCAGGTGTTGCCGTCGCCTTCGGAGCTCCTCTTGGTGGAGTACTGTTCGCACTAGAAGAAGTATCTTACTACTTCCCTATGAAAACTATGTGGAGGAGCTTCTTCTGTGCGTTAGTTGCCGCCGTCACTGTCCGTATCATCAATCCCATTGGTGGCGGCCGGGTCGTTCGTTTCCAAGTTCATTGGGAAAACCTGGAATCGCGAGGTGTATGGTCTTTCTGGGAACTAGTTCCTTTCGCGGCTGTGGGGATACTTGGGGTAAGTGTTCGTGATTTGGTAGTCCGGACCCCGCACAATCTGCTCACCTTATCCGCAGGGGCTGTATGGAGCAGCGTTCATCAAGTTGACGAGCTTCTGGTCACGAGTCCGAAGTCGAACCTGCCTGGGTAGCTGGCCTCTTGCCGAAGTGTTTCTTATCGCATTGATCACTTCCACAGTTGCGTATCCATGGGAGCTTACCAGGTAAATATGCAAGTCTTACTTCTTGCGCAAGCCTGACCACTTATCTCATATTGCATGTGTAGCCTGGGAAACAATGATCTGCTCGGTCAGCTTTTCTCCCAATGTACAGAATCCTCAAAGGACATCATTTGTCATCCATTACCGCTTGCGTCCCACCTGGGAATGCTGGCGCTTGCTCTGCTCATCAAGTTCGTTCTCACAATCCTTGCCTTTGGCATTAAAGTGCCAGCGGGCATTTTTGTCCCTTCCATGTGCGCCGGTGCGCTGGTCGGACGGATGGTGGGCACTGTTGTGCAGTGGACGGTTGCAACGTACCCGGAACACTACGACGGAGCCTTGCCAACTGCGGTCGTTCCTGGTTTATACGCCGTTGTCGGAGCGGCGGCAGCTGTCGGAGGAGTGACGCGGATGACGATCTCTTTAGCAGTCATTATCCTCGAACTCACAGGCTCTGTGTCCTCCTTACTCCCGTCTATGCTCGCCATCATGTTGGCCAAGTGGGTAGGGGATGCTCTATCTCCCCAAGCGCTTTTCGAAAAATCTATCATCGCCGGAGGTTACCCGTACCTCGACTCCAAGAGGCCGATTCGCTCAGATCCGGGAAGGATGCTCACAGCCATGGATGTCATGGAGCGTGGGGTCAAGAGCCGCAAAGTGATTCGCTCAGATGTGCAATATACCATCGAAGAACTGCTGGGCTTGGTTGGGAGTGTCAGCATGACCAACCTGGGCCCTATCCTCCCGACCTCTTCGACACCGCACGGAGCGCCGCCTGCCGTGCACCCCAATGGTGTATACGAGGACACTGGCTTTCCCATTGTCGACCATTCAGACGTTCTTGTAGGCTATATCGCCGCTCCGGAATTGATGCATGCTTTGGGCCTTGTCACCGAATCCTTGGAAACCGAACACGGCACGAGACGGCCAAGCCCCCCTATCATCTTCCATCGACCAGGACGTGTCCCCAGCGTCAGTGAAGTATCCAGTGATCGCCGTATTGACGTCGAAAGCTTCTTGCTTACCTCCGTCAGAGGCCGCAGCCCCGCAGGTGGATCCCGGATACCGCGCGCCGGGTGGCATTCACCAGCACGAGGGTCGGAAAGAAGTATCGAACGCATGCCTATCGTCGCTTCTCCGGCAGCTACCGAACTTGGACCCGCGGGCATATCACGGTCGAACACTCCTGATCTGTTTCGCGGACGGTCCGAGCAGCTCGCTGTGCAAGGTGGCGGGCGAACATCCAGTCCCAGCCCGTTGAGGTCCGGTTTGACTGGCTCGGTTCCGGGCACCACAGCGATGCCGATGGCGACGCCTGCTTCATCGATGTCATTGCCTCTGCTCTTCCAGCCGCCCTCCCCCGGAATGCCATCCACTTCATTCCCACAAGTTACTCCTCACTCATTCTCAATCTCCGAGCCAAGCGAAAGCCGCGACGCATCCGACAACGTCCAGGACTTGACACGATGGATGGACCCGTCGCCCTTATCTGTCCCACACACCGCATCCCTCGATCTCGTGTATGAACTCTTTGTGAAGCTTGGAGTTAAGACGCTTTGCGTTGTGTGCGATGGGAAGCTTGTTGGCCTCATTCACAAGAAGGGCATTGTTGCCTACATCCGGGGTGAAAATTCGGCGTATACTCCGCCCTCTATGTAAATATCTCGTCTATGTTGCGGCGTAAGTCTGTAGGTGACACTGGTGCGTAGGGCACGTGTCAGAGTAGGGATGCTAATGATGGGTATGTGAATTTTGGAATACATATACAAGTTTGAATGTCTCTCAGATAAGGTATATTGGCCTTCATCAGCCCCTCTGTAAATGCTAGAACCCAGTCCGTGCGTCCAATATGTCAAATCCACGAATCCTGCAAAGTCTGCCACACCATGTTCATCCATCCGCTCCCGCCAGGCTGATAATACAGGTCAGCGAACCTCGTGGCATTCATGCCACTGAACAATAAAGCTGGAGTCGAGTCCTTGCTATCAGCCACAGCGCCAGCAGTCGCCATCTTCGACACTGTGGTGTACACGTCGTCCGCCGTGGCTTCCGGGTAAAGAGAAAGAAAGATGGCCATAATCCCGGCTACGTGGGGTGCGGCCATTGAAGAGCCTTGCAGGGTGGCGGTTGCCGAACCAGGGATATATGTTGACGTGATGTTTGTACCTGGAGCAAAGATGTCTGCGAGGAGTGAAGGATTAGTGCCAAGGTTTGACTCTTCAGAAGGCCATTTGAGGTACTCACTGACGCAGGGCCCGAAGTTGGAGAACACGGCGCGCTTATCCTGTTGATCACTTGCACCCACAGTCATGACAGCTCCGGATGAGGATGGTGATGAATCGCACGCTGTGGAAGAAAGAGAAATGAGTCAGTAAAGTGGCCCGCTCATGTTGTGCACTTGAAAGTCAGGTCCATATCCTCACCATTGATATTGTCATTCCCCGCCGCCGCACTAAGCGGAACACCCATCTCCCGCCCCTTCCTCACCAACTCGTCCAGCGCCTGCGACTTGCCTCCCCCAGCCAGACTCATATTAATCACGCCCCGCCGCGTGCCATTCCCCACCGCCAAAAGCGACCATTCGAGGCCCTGCACGACCTGCGACACGAATCCCGTCCCGTCGTTGTCCAGCACTTTCACACCAATGATGTTTGCAGCTTTGGCCACGCCCCATGTCGAAGATGCAGCGATCCCAGCCACGTGCGTTCCATGACCGTTGCCATCCTCCAACCCGTTCGAGGAGAACGTCGGGCCTTGCCGCGCTCGGCCTTTGAAGTCTGGGTGCTTGTGGTTGATGCCCGTATCCAGGATGTAGATGTCCACGCCTTGCCCGCCGTCTGGAGGAAACACGTACACGCCTTTCAAGCCCGCCTGACGGTGCGTGATACGGTCGAGACCCCATGGAGGGTACTGTTGCACCGCAGCTGAGGAATCATCGACGTTCATGAAAAATCCCGAGGACGAGACGAATTTCGATCCATCCTCGCTGCCGTTCGATTTGGGCGCCTGTGCGTGGTTTATTTTCTGATCTTTTTCCACAAATCGGACCAGCTCGCTTTGGTCAATCAAATGAATGATACCCGGTGGGAGATGCGCAGTGTAGCCTTTGAACACATCGGAGTTGAACATTGTCGCGATCCCTGAGAACTTCTTGGCGAGCGCAGGTGGAATGATTCCACCATTGAGGAGCGTGTTGCTAACCCACTGCACATGTCGATCGATGTCCTCTTTTGTGATGTTTTGCAGCATGGCAACGATATATCGATCGTCGCTTACGCTGTCCGTGCCTGCTTTGATTTTCGACAGGACTTCATCGGTTTTACCGCTGTCCGTCGCAGCCTTCACATTGGCCGAACCGGGCCGCTCAGGGGTTGATCCCCATTCACCGCCTGCCGAAGGAAACGAAGGCTGTCCTCCCAGCCATGCTGAGTTTTCGGGATGATGCTTCTGTAATTCCACCGGCGAGAAGGCGTCCAGATCAATCCGGAATTCTTCAGGGTGCTGCTGCGCGAGGGTTTGCGGAGATGCTACTAGGAGCAGTAGCACCGCTATCGAATGAGGTAGGGTGAAGAGCATCGCGCAATCGCACTGGGAAACTGATACTCAGATCGTAGGCTTTCCAGACCCCTTCTATATGGCAAGCTATAGGCAACGGCTTGGTCGGCAATGGCGGTACCTCCTGAAAGTCGAATATCACACGTATATACAAGGAGAGGATCCCACCTCCAGGGAATAGCGATCTATTTACCTATATACAGGGATACCGTTGTCCTCCGTCGCTTTGTGTGTACTGCACATTACTGCCTTGTTCTCACGCCATCCAGGTTCGACTTGGCCCTTTCCCAGGCTGTTTCCCAGGTGAGGCTGAACGCTCTTCTCAATGCGCGCGCGTTTTGCAAATGGGCCGCCGCCACATTCCGCCGCCTCCTCCCGAGGTCAGAAATCAGGAACCTCGCGAACTTTCCACTCTGCTTTCGACTTTCGGACGACAGATAGCCAAGTGCGACTCTGGGCATGGGCGACGGTCTGAGCGAGGGTAGGAGAGACGGCCAACAGAATGGAAAGGTCGACAAAGGAGGTTCATACGTATGAGCCAGTCCTCACCGTCACCAAACAAGAGCGGAAGGTAAGATTGGTGGTATTGAGGGATGCAGTAGTATCTCCACCACACGGAGCGCTTTGTAGTTTTTCTTCCTTAGGTCCGATATATCGTGCATTCTACAATATGCGGTTTTACGGTGCAATTGTCCCGTCCAGTTCGGGGCGCAGGTTCAAGGGGCCGATGTATACACAACATGGCAAAGCGATCGGAAGCTTTTAAGGTTTTGCTCGGCGTCGTTCGCTAGGGTCTGGGGTACCCTGGACTCCTGGAGCGTCTGTGTCGTATCAATCGGCCAACCGGCTTCGTCGGCGACTCAACTCAAAAGAGGGACATTCAGCTGTGCATTCTGCTCCCACGCCGCTAACGACTATCAAAACTGTCAGCGGGATGTGGTGGCCCGTCAGCGTGAACAGAGTGATTCAAACCCTACAAAGAAAGTGTATGATGCGACTGCGCGGCGCATTATTGAATAACCCTAGGCGGAATTCACGATTGGGGACTCGAAGCATGAAGCATGGAAGCATGGGGTGGAAGTGGATGACTGCATGGAAGGCAACGTGGCTCAAGCATATCAATACGCTATGCTGGCAAGAGAACGAAGTTGTGAGGAGGGCCCCCTAGCTCGTTCATTCATCTCTATCCTCCCATCGAATCAATGTTTCCACTTGCGGGACGCACTTCTTCTTCGTCACCTTGAGCGTATGTATGTACATATACAGCACGTGGGGATGAGATGCCCCTTGAAATTGCGATGAGACTGTCCTTAACCCAAATCAAGGCGGCACACGTGGGTCGAAAGTCCTTCCCAACGTAGTCATTCACCGACGTCTCGGGGTTTGCATATATGGGCATACACCAACTGCAGGAAGTCATATCCCAGAGAACCAGTCAATCGAAGATATGGTTTCCCAATTGAAGAGAAGGATATGTGGGAACGTTTATCGAGACCCATCTGTACTTTTTGACATGCCCGCTGACCGATTCACAGCTCAGAACGTGATGGGAACTGGGGTTACGGGCCTGTGCACGTGGTGCGCTTGATCTTGTTTCGGTTCTTATCACGTCAGGAGTGCGCAAAGACATCAAGGGCGACGCACTTGCCTGACTTCGCAAGACGTGGCGGTGCGTGGGTGTGACAGTGGTGCTTGTTGTATGGTGAAGGACGTACGCGCACCCGAGCGGTTGAAAGGCAAAAAGGCCAAGTGCGCCAGGGGTGCCTTGCCTTCCAAGAATAACAAATGACAGCACCAAGCGGACGGCTCGCGGGACTGCGCTTCTGTGAAAGACGGCGGCATGGGCATGGCATGGGCAGGCTGCGTATTTCATCACAGGCCCGACTGCTCCATCTCTCCGGGGAAAAAGAGAACTCCCACCATCACCAAACCTCAACCGCCAAGTCCAAAGTGCGCCCGATTCACGACCCGGCTTCTGCCCACTATCGTCAAGGCCAACTTGAAACTCACGCCTCCTCTAGCGCAACTCCGCCAGGTGTCGCCGTCTTGACATCTCTCAGCTATTCGACAGTGACATCCTGTCAACGACGATCACTTCAAGTTTAGGCGCTATTATACTTGAGCCGCCGGGGCTTTAGCCATACGCAATTGCCAAGTTGCCCAAGCGTTTGACGGCGTACCGCTGAAACTATCTTGAGGTCATACGATTACCTGCCTGCCTTAGCCCCGGACCTGTCTTTCAGAACTGCTATCCGCTTAAGCGAAGATGAGCTTAGCCAACTTCGCAGTTCATCTTCGTCAAAAACTCTCTAGTGTGCTTTCAGCCGTCGGCGTTGGCTCCGCGAGTGGCGCTGGCTCTTCGAACGCCACCGCCGGGGCCCAACTGCAGCAACGGCAAAGGCAGAAGAATAAGGAAGCCGTCCTGCTCTGGGCAGGTTTGCAACAAACAGACACGACAGCGGCACTGAACGCTGAACTTCGACGAGCACACATTGGGCTCGTCACCAAAACAAACTACAAGGCACCGAAAGACCCAGTGGTCCTTTGCCATGGTTTGTTCGGATTCGATGTGTTGGGACCCGAAGCAGTGCCAGGGCTTCAAGTTCATTACTGGAAGGGCATCGCAAATGCACTCCAAGACATCGGATGCAAAGTGGTTGTGTCCAGAGTGGGAACGGTGGCGGCGCTGAAAACGAGGGCGCAGGAGCTGCGGAGCTTTCTGGAAAACAAAGCAGAAGGGCGAGCCATGAACCTCGTGGCACATTCGATGGGCGGGCTGGATTGCAGATACGTCATCACCCATCTGCCATCGTCAAAATTCAGGGTGAACTCCTTGACAACGGTCGCCACGCCGCATCGTGGCAGCTCTTTCATGGACTGGTGCCGGGATTCGCTGGGTCTTGGTCTCCTCCAGGACTATATCAACAAGCAATCCGACGATGTGGTGGCAAAGCATCTGACATCACATCACCATTTACCACAAGATACCAACACCGCAAACCCACTTTCCGACGCAATGACGAGAACACTGCGAGCTCATCCCCTCATCCGCGCACTAGCCTCACCCATCGATTCCCCGGCATTCGCAAACCTCACAAAGGACTATTGCGCGGCGTTCAACGAAATCACCCCGGACGATCCATCCGTCCATTACGCATCGTACGCCGCGGTCGTGTCGCAGATGTCGCCCTTAGCACCACTTTACTTCTCCCACCGCATCGTGTCGGAACGGGAAGGCGTCAATGATGGGTTGGTCAGTCTGGCGAGCGCCAAGTGGGGAGAGTTTATGGGAACAGTGTCGTGCGATCACTGGCAGCTTTTACCGCCCAAGATGCGGGGCGTAGTCTTGCGGAAGAGCGGGTTCGATTCGATCGGTTTCTACCTCAACCTGGCCACCGATCTGGCGGAGAGGGGATACTAGACCTTCATCACAACCTCCCCTTGTAGTTGTGCATGTAGTACACATCACTCCCTACATCTACTTATTGAGTACCCTTACATTACACAAGTTGTTAATAGACATTCATGGAGACACTCTTTTTGGCTTATATCTGTTCGATCCGAGTCTGATTACATGTTCGACGCCCTAACGTAAGTACCGGAGAGCTCCGGATCTCAACTAGAATAGAATAGATGGAGGGGCTTACGGAAGAATCGTAATGAAGAACGCAATCCGACGCTCATATTCCGACGATTGCTGGGTTGTCCGGTCTCAGATTAAAGGGTCTGTCCAAATCCAAAACGTCGTGCTTTGTGAGAGCAATTTTGTTCCAGAATTACAAGCTCTGCCCAAGCGCTCCTCGGTCCGAAAGTCTTACACACAGAAAACGGCCGATTCATTGGGAAGAATGTGCAAAGCGGTTAAAAGAAACCCTGGCAGTAAACCACCTGACGCTTATGGCAGCTGCTACGCGTCGCGTCGATTTATCGGAGTTGTCACAAATGGTGTGGAGCGTCCACCGCAAATCTCGTAGGGCTTTGCAACGAGTGGAAACCGCATATTCGCAGTGATTAGTGCTCGAAAACCACAAAATGAAAGTCTTCATATCCCACATCGATAGCCCCCTCGGACACAACCTCTCCCGCCACTTCTCCACCACCCTCGTCGGCTCCCGCCGTCCCGAAGAGGAGCCCAGCGACGAAGAGGAGGAGGACGCACCCGTCGCCGAGAAACCCAAAGAGAACGAAAACTATATCATCTCCGGAACGCTGCAGGATGCGGATCCGGGCCTCGCGGGATTTCCGCCACCGAGGCCGGGGCTGATGGTGGAGACGGGGGATAGAAAGGCGGATAAGGCGAGGAGGGAGGCGATTGCGAGATTTAATGTTGGAGGGGAGAAGCCGAAATGGGTTGCGGAAGTTGTTGAGGTGAGGGATTATTGTGGTGGGAATGTTAGCTTTACAGCGAAATCAATATGGATGAATCCATCCTGACGCTTTGGGGAATGTGATTCAGAAGAACGACCGCGAAGCGCTAAAACAAGCATTGCTGAGCGCAGACGTTATCGTCTACGACATCGTCGCATGTCTCGACGAGGCAACATGGGCATTAGAAAGTAGGTCAGCACACTTTAAACGCATACCTTCCCACCAGAGTCCGTCTAACCTCTCCACGCATCATCAGCCCTAAGCGCCGAAGCCGACACATTCCTCGACTGTCCTAAAACCTTTATCGGCGTGTCCAGCGTGCTCACATGGGCAAAGACCAAAATCGATCCAGATGATCCTGAGGCGTTTATTGGAGAAGATGAATACCGCCGACGGCGGCCACATCCTAATTTCAAAGATCATTTGGCGTTGGAGAAGAATATCATCAAGGCCGGGAAGAAGAGCGCGTTGAGGACGTATGTCCTTGCTGCTGGGTTGGTGTATCATACAGGGGATAGTATCTTCCATCCGTTTTTGAAGGTGCGCCGGCTTGGATTTGAGCATTCAGAGTGTGTCATTGAACAAGGTAGGGATTGGATGCTCATACCCTCCATTCCGTCAGATGGCATGGCATAACAAGGACCTGACGTGCTACGGGGACGGGGACAACATCCTCCCGATGATCTACATCGACGACTTATGCGGAATCATCGTCGACACCGCCGAGACCCTTCCCGAATCGCGGTACATGCTCGCCATTGACGATTCGAAGCACTCGTTGTACGAGGTTTTGAGGGTACGCAGTGAAGTGATGCACAGCGGAGATCAATGTGAATGCGACGACTGACATTCAAACATTTCATAGGCGATCAGCGAAACACTGGGAACTGGAAAAGTGCACAAGGCATCGAAAGAGGTCGCGCTGTTGAATCCCGACATCCCGCAATTGAATTTCGACCAATTGCTGGTGAATCTAAGGCTTGACCAGGGCCACGTGAAGGAAATGTCGTTTGGGTGGAAGTATGAGGTAGGCGTCAATCATTCTGCTATCTGGATAGGGAGAAACTGACAAAGCCCCCCGCCGGCTTGTCTAGTCTGGGCTGATAGAAAACCTGCCACGGTTCGTGCAAGAGTACAAATATGCTCGCGGCCTGACCCCGTTGCGGATAGTGGTCCACGGCCCGCCGGCGTCTGGAAAGACATTGTTCTCGGAGAAGTTGGCGGAGCACTATGCGATTCACTTGGTCGATGTTGAGAAAGTGCTCGCGGAAGCAATCGCACGGCTGGTATGTGAGCGAAAATCGCACAATGTGGAGCTTTGAGTATGCCTTTCTCATGAGCGACTGCTCATTCCTAGGAGCGGCGAGCAAACGGCAACCTGACAGAGGAAGAGCAAGAAGACGACATCGACGCCGACCGCGAGCTCCTGGAGGAGCTTAAAGAGGCTGCCAGAGCGTCGAATGGGAAATACCCCGAGGAACATATCACAAATTTTGTGCGTGATAAATTGCGGTCGATGCCGTGTAGGAATCAGGGTTACGTTATTGATGGGTATCCGACGACTACGGAGGAGGCGAGGGAGCTTTATCGATGTGAGTTTGCCATCTCAAGACTAATGCCTCGGTCGGTGCCGGGAAGTATCTCATGAACATCGATATACAGCCGCGGATGATGACGGAGGTGACGAGAAGGGACCGGTGAAGATAGACGAGGTCATTGGGCCAGATCATGTCATCTCTCTGGACATATCCGATGAAGTCATCAAGGAGCGGGCTATGCATTTACCCGAATCCGCCGCTGGGACAAAGAACTCCGAGGAAGGTATGTATCACCTAGGAAAATGTACTCATGGCCACGTAAAATCACCAGAGCATGCTCACAATAACCATTCCTCTCGGATACAGCCCTCACGCGCCGCCTAGAAGAGTACCGTACCCACAACACAGACGAAACCACCGTCCTCAACTTCTTCGACGAGGCCGAAGTTCACCCATTCGTGGTGTCCACCGAAGCCAACGGCGTGGAAGCCGTAATGAGCATTCTGACGAAGCAGATTGGCCCAGCTCACAACTACGGCGCCACCATCGAGCAATTGGCGGAGCAACGACGGGTGGAGGAGGAAGCGCGGACGAAAGAGGTCGCTGCGGCTGAGGAGGAACGCTTGAAGCGGGAGAAGGAGGATTCGGAAAGGCAGAGTAAAGCTGTTGCGGAATGGGTAGGGTGAAAACCGCATTTCAAGTCTAAATGGTTGCTATCCCAGAACGGAGCCTTTCACTAACATGCCGTACTGATAGAACGCACGACTTGAAGAGGTTCGGAAACAGGAGGCAGAAGTTCTAGAAGCACAGTCTGTGCCTCTGAGAAACTATTTGATGAAATATGTCATGCCGACTCTCACATCTGGCCTCATCGAGGTGTGCAAAGCTCGACCAGAGGTAGGTCATACTTGATCTGGATTTGCCAGATCCCACGTCTGATCACTGTTCGCTTGGTTCCAGGACCCCGTTGACTACCTTGCGGAGTTTCTGTTCAAGGTATGTGTCCTAGAAATACCGGATTGATTGGAAGTGGGGTCGTCGCTAACCAACTTACCATCATCGCAGCACAACCCTGGAAATGCATGATAGGGAGGGAAAGAATCCGTGTATATGTACACTGTGCATCATATGTCAAATGACTATCCACCACTGTATACATATCGTTGCAAACCTTGGCTTCTTGAGCGTTGCTGCATGCCACATGTCCATTCGTATGTGTTATATTCTCTCAAAGGGGCGAAAAAGCAACTCGGTGGCGTGATGCCGTCAATAATGGGAGAAGTGTCGGAAGCCGCCATGTCTCAGAACCGCCACGTCCGAAGGTTGGTGCGACACCCGACCAGGGCATGGAGCGTGACAAGTTCCACTTGGTACTTTCTGCCCGCCGTTGCGGCGATGCCCTTAACGTTCCTGCCGCTTCAACGTATACCACTTTGCATGTGGCTGCAAAGACGGATGACCCAAGATGGTAAAGTGCCTAAGTGGGCCCAATCCAACATGAACGCCTCGTGCACGCTAAGGAAAGACGCCTATGGATATGTAGGCCTGGCCAGAGCCGTCTTGGGCGTCGTTGCCATTGTTGTCAGACGGCGGGAGGGAGGAGATGGGCTGGAGCGGTAACGACAGTGGTGGAGCGCCAGTAGGCGGGGTCGAGTCTGCTGTTGATGTGGACGGGAAGAGAGCGCCCAGCGGGATAATGGCGTAGGGCGATTCTGCAGCTGTGTACATTGTTCGAAGTAAGCGAAGAGTGCGGTATTGGGGTAGATCTTGCTACATATGATGGCGTGTGAGAAAAACAGCAATGGATCGTTGTCCAAAGGAAAGAGCCAGCGTGAGAAGTTGCACTTGGATGAGTCGTCAGAGTGCGTCGCGTGTGGCATTGGTGTCACTAACGTCGATCGGCATCCTTGCAACACTTGTGACTTTCGAGGCTTTTTTTCGGGCGTAGCCCACCGCCCATCTTCAAGTCAGAACACAAATAACTCTTAGTAGTCTCAGGCCCTTCCTCTCAGCCGATATAGCTGCAGACGACGAGGTGTTCTTTTCCATCTATCGCCGATATCTTTACGCGGCGGGTCATTTCGGAATTCTGTTCTCGGAAAGGCGAGGCTTGTAACGCAAGGGAGGGACGTACATTTTTGCGCCATGCCATCGTCAACGGGGCCGCACAAAGAGGGTGTCCAAGGGGACGCAGAGTCCGCCGTGTTGTCGGAACTCCCGCAAAGCGAGCCGACGACCGGCACTCCCGAGATGAGTGAGAGTACCAATGTCGCGTAAGTACCGTGTTCAAGGTTCGCTTTCCGTTTATCCCGGGCCGTTTGTTTATGAGCTTTGTCACCATATCTAGGGGTACCGGCGTAGGAAGGTTTCGCTCCGATCCCTTGGGATTCATGTTGCGTTTGACTTCCGAGTCTTCCGCGTTCTACACTGGAACGGTACTTACCTTCAGAGTCTGAAACGACCTTCAATGACCGATCGAAACTGATTAGATGCGTCGATGCGTCGGGAACAGGGCTGGCGAGCATATCAGAACTACATAGGAGCTCGAATCTTCTACGAGAAGTACTCAGACGAGATTCGCACCGGGCTGCTGACCTCCGATAGTCGTAAGTCTCCATGGTCTACAATCACACTCTTCCGGTCGGGATCTCAACTCCCTGCTCTATCTTCAGTGGCAGATGCTGTGAAAGCTGTCTCGTTAGCTCGGTATCGACAGCTCCACTCGAGTTACGCGTCGAAGGACAAATTGGCGAAGAAGACGCGAGGACCCCGGAGGGACATTACCCTCGAGGAAGTGATGGCGGATACACAGCGGCGGTTGGTCCGAATGATGGATGGGATGGTTGCTAGCATGAGCTCCATACGAACCATTCGGTAAATGCAGGTGTCGCGATGCGCGCGGACTCGCGGTCAATCCAGGGAGGGCTGACGGCTGTGGTTTCCAGATTCGTCGCTTTCTTCATCAACAGCATGCTGGTTCGCATGTACCAGCAGGGAATCCATATCCGGGAGAATGAGTTTGTAGAAGTATGCATTCTCGTTTGCTCTGCCGTGTCCTTTCGTTCAGCTGCTGACTGATCAATGCACGCCCTCAGCTACAAAAAGTCGCACGCTATGCGGAAAAGAACCGAATTTCGCTCATCTTTCTGCCATCTCATAAGAGCCACGTGGACTACCTTGTTTTGAGGTGCGTCAATGCTATGAAGTGAGACGCGCGACAATGGTTGACCCTAAATGATCTCCCATAGCTACATCTTCTATCGGCTAGGGATAGCTCTACCACACATCGCAGCCGGCGACAACCTCAACATGCCTGTCGTTGGTCAGATCTTGAAAGCTGGGGGCGCGTTCTTCATAAGGCGGCAGTGGGGAGATGATATGCTGTATGGAGCGCTAATGCGGGAGTACATAGAGGTTGGTGCCAACTTTACGATTGAGGAAGGCGCCAAAAACAAACTCACCATGGACGTGTCAACGCCTAGCTCCTGATGCAACGTGGGCACAACATCGAGGTTTTCATCGAAGGCACGCGTAGCCGCATTGGAAAAGTGCTGCAGCCAAAGTTTGGGATCCTCAAAATCATGCTTGATGCCGTCGCGAGCGGACGCGTGAAGGATGCGATCATGGTGCCGATGAGTATCGGGTACGACAAAGTTATTGAAACGGAATCTTATGTAAACGAGCTTCTGGGAACCCCAAAGGAGAAGGAGTCGTTGTCACAGCTCTTTGGCAACCTCAATATCTTGCAATTCAAACTCGGGAGAATCGATATCCGGTTCGCCAAGCCGTACTCATTGATGGACTACATCAAGAGCCAGGAGGTTCGCCGAGGGTCCGAATTTCACCCTCTGACCGTACCAAAGGACAGGACGCTGCTTTTGCAATCGTTGGGTTTCCGGATTCTGAGCGACATCAACGCCGCAAGCGTTATCATGCCGACTGCGCTGGTGGGAACGGTGGTTCTGACTTTGCGTGGACGTGGAGTAGGAAGAGACGAGGTGAGACAAGTGCGGATGCCTGCGGGGGCGGAGTTCCGTCGTGCTCATTGCTTTTACTTCGTGCAGTTAATACGGAAGGTGAACTGGCTGAAACGGGAGATCCTAACGAAATCCGGCCGCGTCGCCCACTTCGGTGATATGAGCACCGCAGCCATTGTCGAACGTGCTGTGCAACAGATGAGAGATCTGATTGGCCAGAGGACAGATCTTCTCGAACCCGTCTACTACCCCCTGAAACGTTTTGAGCTCAGCTTTTACCGGAATCAAGTCATCCACCTCTTCCTGGCCGAGTCTATCTTATCCATGGCCATGTACGCCACCGTGAAGAACGGCGGTCCCGTACACAGTCAACGAATCATGTTGCGACCATCGCTAGCCGAAGACGTATCTTTCGTCTCGCAGCTCTTGAAAGCGGAGTTTATTTACGGGCCGGGCGGTCTGGATAGGAATTTGGAAGACACCGTGTCCAAACTACACGCTGCGAACGTGATATCGATTGAGGAGGAGCGTCTGGGCACCTCCGAGTCCGGCGCGGACGTGGCGCACTGGATATCTCTAAGCCCTGAGGAACGACGACTTGGCCGAGAGACATTTGACTTTTATTGCTTCCTCATTTGGCCATTCATCGAGACGTACTGGCTTGCGGCTGTCAGCTTATTCGCGATAATACCGGAGAACCCGCCAGCCATTGACAATAAGACACCCACATTGGAATGGGTCGACGAAAGAGTATTCATGAACAGGGCGCAGTATCTGGGCAAAACCCTATACTATGAAGGCGACCTGTCCTACTTCGAGTCCATCAACAAGGAAACCATCAAAAACGCGCTCGCCCGGTTCAAAGACATGGGTGTCGTACTCACCCACAAAAGCCCGCTGCCACCATCAAAAACCGCACCGTACCTCGATGTTTCCATGCTGCCACCGAAGCGCGATCCCCGACTGCCCGTCCCATCTGGGACTGTCCCAGCCCCACCACCACAACCCGCGTCAGGCACATCGATCACATGGATAGCCATCGCACCGGAATACATACCCCGTGATAGACTGCCGCCAACGATCGTAGCCTTCCAAGCTCGAGCGGCTGCTGAAGCGGCGTCGATACTCGAATCGGATAAAGCGACGGTCAATGCAAGCGCGGTAGACCTGTTCCAGGCAGGCACTGTGGCAGCTGTACCCGCATTTCCAACCAGTAAGCTCCGACGACCACGCGATCGCCGGCCTGGTCAAGTCCCGTCTGGCACATCGGCGATTCCGGAGGTGCAGAACACGGCATCGGCGGCAACATACCCGTTGACCCCTCCACCAGAGGAGGACATTCAGGATCCCTGGTCTGACATTCACCCTGAATCTGCCCTGTGGGATTTCTGTGAACACATCGGACGGTTTAGGAGGGAAGGGAAGAACAGGCGTGACACCGCAACAGGTGCGTATTACATTTGAGTCCTTCGTTGCGATCGCGCATACGTTTACTAACGTCGATCCATTCCCCAGTCGCCATCCGAGTCCTTCGATTGGCACGCCTGGCCGCGTTCTCAATCGACAGGATCAAGGGCAAAAGCAAAGGGAAAGTCAAGAAGCCCGCAGATCCGCCAGCCGCAATGTATTACGGCGGTGAAACCGCGGCGGCCAGCAGTTCTCGACCGAAACTCTGATTCCATGTCTTACAACACACACTCGTCATTGAGACATACGTTCGAGCACAGCACACTGGTCATTTTCTATGCGCCTTGAAGAAATATTCCTGAGGGCCTATACGGACTTTTTGGCGCATCCAAATTTCCTGTACAAATTGTTCTTTTTGATCATTTGGGGGACGTATCCACTCTTTTGCCACTTAGCTCGTTTTGACATGGATAAACTGCTACCCTTCCAACCCCTATTGCCTTTTGTAACAATTGTGTCAAGCCGAAAGACAGAACGTCTCATAAAAAGAGGTCAATTCACGTGATCCGACATGTGACCCGACGGTAGTCGACTGGGCCTTTGCTGATCCTCAGAATTTCCGAAGACCGAGCTCAAAGGTGGATTAGCGACACATAGTGGACAGGCTGTAACTGCAGAGTCTGACAGGTGAGACGAGGGTCTAAGATCGCACCTTCTTGAGAGGTGTCCAACTCTGGCTCTGGATACTGTCGCAACTTAAATTGACCGACTCAACGGGCCTTTTCGCACATTGGATATAGATCTCCGTTCAACTGGGGACAAACTAGAAACGACACACTCTGTCCGATACAAAACGATCGCCTCACTAGCAACAAAATCCCCGGGCAAACATCCAGGCATTTGTTGTATAGTGAGATCTCCCTCACACGTAAGATGGCGAAGAAAAAGGGGGCTAAGGCCCAAAAGCAACCGCAACAATCGTAAGAGCCTTGGATGCCTGTCGAGAGTAGTGCCTTTGTCGTTCTCATGCGCCGGTTTGCAGATCATCTCGCCACGAATCGGATTCCGAGCTTGAAATCACCTTCGATCCAGCGGCGGAACCCACGAATGGCTTTCACACCGTCAACGGCGATGATGATGCTTTGAACGTCGATGAGGAGGGAAACGATTTGGGCGGTCTTATGGCCACCTTGATGGCGAACAAGGGCGGCAAGAAGGGAAAGAAGAGCAAAAAGAACCGATATGACGACGAAGAGGATGCCGCCGCCATTCTCGCCAGGATGGATGCTGAGGAAGCTGAGGTTGAAGGCAGCCCTATCCCTGATTCCCCGAAGCCGGCTCAGAAAGGAAAAAAGGGAAAGAAGAACCAGGCTGATGATAGTGAGATGGACCGTGTCGCCGCGGAAATCGAGGAGGCCTCTGCCAAACCTGCCGCCAAGGCCAAGAAGGGGAAGAAAGGAAAGAAGGGCGGGGACGATTTTGAGGCGGAGATGGATCAGATAGCTGCGGACATGGACGAGGAACCACAGTCACCTGCCCCAGCACCCAAAGCTGGCAAAGGGAAGCCTGCCGCGAAAGCGGCAAAAGCGGACTCTGACTCCGACGACGATGTTCAGGAGCCCGGTGAGATCAGAATCAAATCGAAAAAGGAGAAAGAGAAGGAGCGTAAAGAGCGGGCGAAGCTTGCCAAGAAGCAGCAAGAAGCCAAAGCAGGCAAGAAGACCGCAACTGCTCAGGCCGCCGCTCCTGAGCCAGTAGAGGCACCGGAAGAGGAGGAGGAGAAGAGTGACAAGAAGAAGAAGGGAGCCGCGGCCGGAAAGAAGAAGCCGGCCGCCATCATTGCTGCTCTTCGTGAGGCCAAACTTGCCCAAGAGGCTGCCGAGGAAGAGGCTCGGAGACAGCAGGAAGAAGAGGAGCGGCGGATAGCAGAAGAGCAGGCTCGCATCGAAGAGGAGGAGAAGAAGCGGGAAGAGGCCCGTCAAAGAAAGAAGGAGAAGGAGAAGGTAGGGACCAGCCCGTGGTCTGAGATGAACACGTTCCGGTGGTAACAGCGTTTCTTTTCCAGGCCAAGAAAGAGGAGCTCAAGAAATCCGGAAAATACCTCACCCCAGCACAAAAGGCAGCGCAGGCACAGCAGAAAGCCCGCCTGGACGCCATGATCGCTGCGGGCATGAAGGTCGAAGGGTTGGGCGAGGACGCTGAATCCGCCGAAGCGGCGGAAGCCGCAAAGCCAAAAAAGGTCGTTTACGGCAACCGAAAAAAGGGAGGAGCTCAAAAGAACCCCGTCGCTGCCAAGGAAGAGGAGGAGAAGCAGCGGGCAGCGGAAGCTCAACGGTTAGAGGCCGAGCGTCAGGAACGAGAAGAGGAGAAGAAACGCGCCGCTGCAGCGGAAGCGGAAGCTGCGAAAACGGCTGAGGAGGAGGAGAAAGAGCGATTACTAGCTATCCTGCAGAGCACAACGAAGCCGGTCGCCGAGAAGGAGAGTGATGATGAGGATGTCAAGGACGAGTGGGACGTCGAATCAGAAGATGACGTAAAAGACGCCTGGGACGCTGAGAGCGATGAGGAGAAGAAAGACGCCAAGAAGGTCGAAAAACCAGCTACAACGAAGGAGGTTGGGGCGAAGCCAGCTGCCAAACCAGCCGGCAAACCAGCACAGAAGGCCGTCGCCAAGAAGACCGACGGAAAGCCAGTAGCTGCCACATCGAAGCCCGCTGCGAACGGAGCCAAGGCGTCGAAGGCAAAACCGGAATCTGACGATGACGAGGAGGATGACTCCGAGGAAGAGGAGACTTCTGACGAGGAAGATTCCGATGACGACGACGATTCCGACGAGGATGACTCAGATGAAGAGATGACAGCCACTCAGAAGCAGGCGCAGAAGAAGAAGGAGGAGGCCGCTGAGCGTAGGAAAGAGCGTCACGCACAAGCTCTCGCCGCTCGATCTGCCGAAGACTTGCGCTCCCCGATTTGCTGTATTCTCGGACACGTCGATACCGGAAAGACGAAGGTCCTGGACAAGATTCGTCAAACCAATGTGCAAGAGGGTGAAGCGGGAGGTATCACTCAACAGATTGGTGCGACTTACTTCCCGATGGAGGCCATCAAGGAAAAGACTTCGCTCTTGCACAAGGGCGCTGACCCGGGATACAAGCTTCCTGGTCTGCTAGTCATTGATACCCCAGGACACGAATCTTTCACGAACTTACGTTCCCGTGGTTCGTCACTCTGCAACATTGCCATTCTGGTAGTTGACATTGTTCACGGACTTGAGCCACAAACCTTGGAGTCTCTTGGTCTCCTGCGTCAGCGCAAAACACCATTCATCGTCGCCTTGAACAAGATCGATCGTATGTACGACTGGAAAGCCATGCCTGATCACCCTACAAGAGATACGCTGGCCTCCCAAGCACCTCACGTTCTTCGTGAATTCAATGAGCGTGTGAAGAAAGTCATACTGGAGTTCGCCGAGCAAGGTCTGAATGCTTGCCTGTACTGGGAGAACAAGAATTACGCCAAGAACGTCTCGCTGGTGCCTACTTCAGCCATCACCGGTGAAGGTATTCCCGATTTGCTCCACCTTCTCGTCGACTTGACACAAACCAGGATGACGGAAAAGCTGATGTATCTCTCCGAGCTCGAGTGTACGGTTTTGGAAGTCAAGGTTGTGGAAGGTCTTGGAACGACAATCGATGTTGTCCTTTCCAATGGTGTACTGAACGAAGGCGATAGGATTTGCGTGTGTGGATTGAACGGACCCATCATCACCACCGTTCGTGCGTTACTCACACCGCAACCGATGAGAGAACTTCGTCTCAAATCACAATACGTTCACCACAAATCCGTCAAGGCTTCCCTGGGGATCAAGATCGCTGCGCCGGACCTCGAAAAGGCCATTGCCGGATCTCGGTTGCTGGTCATCGGCCCTGACGATGACGAAGACGAGATCAAGGAAGAGGTCATGGGTGACCTTACATCCCTTTTGTCGAATATCGACAAGTCCGGGAAAGGTGTCTGTGTCCAAGCCTCTACTCTTGGATCCCTCGAAGCCCTCCTCACCTTCTTGAAGGCGTCGAACATCCCCGTTTCCGGCATCAACATTGGACCCGTGCACAAAAAGGATATCATCCGCGCATCCGTAATGTTGGAGCGGGCTCGAGAGTACGCCCAATTGTTAGCATTCGACGTGCCAATTGATAAGGAAGCCGAGCAGATGGCTGAAGAATTGGGTGTGAAGATCTTCTCCGCTGAGATCATTTACCACTTGTTTGACGCATTTACCGCGTACATGAAGGACTTGGAGGAGAAGAAGCGTGCGGACGCGGCACCAAAAGCCGTCTTCCCGTGCGTCCTGAAAATTGTTCCGGGCGCCGTCTTCTCGCGTCGTAATCCTATCATTCTCGGAGCCGACGTCGTGGAGGGTAACCTCAGAATTGGCACGCCGTTGTGTGTGTACAGCGAGGAGACCTCGAGTGTAATCAAGCTTGGACGGGTTACCAGCATTGAGCTGAATCACAAGGCTCAGCAAGAAGCTAAGAAGGGAGGCCCCGCTGTTGCCATCAAGATTGAGTGCCCGGACTTCGAGACCCCAAAACTGTTCGGCAGACACTTCACGGAGAAGAACGAGTTGTATTCCCACGTAAGTATTTTTGCGCTTCCTCATGAGTATGTCCGGATGAGCGCTTGCTTATCTTTTCACTATGCATTCCACAGATTACAAGACCATCGATCGACATCCTGAAAACAACCTTCCGAAACGATCTCAGCAAGGACGATTGGGCCCTTGTTGTGAAGTTGAAGAAGATTCTCAAAGTCGAGTAAAGGACGAAAGCTTCTATCCTATGCGATCTTCTACACATCTGTACACTGTATTTACTCACCGTCATTCATTCGTGTCATCTGTTTCTGTTTTTGATTCTGCATAACTGTTAATATTGTTCATACTCGTTCACATCAACGAATCCTCAGCGCAAAGCGTGCAAATGGATGGACGCTCACGCTTAACCACACCACAGCCCGGAGGTAGCAGATATGACGTATAATGATGGCAAAGTGATATATTAGGCCCAATGAGAAAAGCAAGAGATTCAGGTTTTGGCGTAAGGTATCAGGAAGGAGGGAGGTGGTCAACTAGCACGATGCCATAGTCTATAGATGTAAACATACCCTTTCATCATATACAAGCACTATTCTAATGCGCACCGCTGCCATCTTGCGTTTCTCGCATTCGTTTGAACTGATGCCGTGTGCGGAATATGTCGTTCTCCGGGGGTCGATTCTGTGCTGGTCCTATTACCAGGGAAATGTTAGAGAACGAGTTCGGCTTTGGGGGGCATATCAATAGTCTCTCTAACCTTCATAACCAGCATCGTCATCGAAACCTCTCCGTTTCATTCCTGTTCGTGGACCGCCCACGTCTGGTCTCGTTGATCCCTGATGCGCCGAGTACAAGTATTAGTTGCGGTCCCTCGACCTATTTATCTGATCTCCAACAACTCCACTCACCCTTCCGCGCCCTCTTCCACGCCCGCGGTCATCTCTATCTCCCATGCGACCCCCACCATAGCCTCTGTCCCCTAGGGGCTGTGCATATCCCCGCGGTCTGAATGGTCCAGATGGCACTCGGTCAAATCGATCTGAGCGATCCACCGGTGATTCTCCTCGGGAAGCTACAGCGGGTTGTCTCGAGATGAAGGGCACGTGAACCATCGTTGGCGGATTTGGAGGTATTGGCAGCGGGATCTGGCGGAACAGGTCGATAATGTCATGGACTGGCAGTGTTGGGCCTGATCGATTGAGAGGAAATCATTGAGGCGCCAAATTCCGATCGAGGCACATAAAGCTAAACCCACCATTGTACAGAGCCGCCGCAGGTAAGACGGACAGCAGCCTCGCAACAGCTTCCGGCACCATCGCGCCAGGGCCTCGTTTGTCGACTGCGTTAAGGCTAGCCGGGGGGGGCCGCGGACTTCCAGTAGCCGAAATCTGACCTCCGGCGTTTTCTTGCTGCAGCTGCTGTTGCGCATTTGCGGGGGTTGGCTCGGGTTTATAACTGACCCACTTGGCCATATCCGGCCGTGGGTACCTCTCTGGATGGTACGATTCGAGGCTCTGGAAGCGACGTCCACCGCTACGGTCGTCGGCAACGGCCTTACTCTGGGTGGCCGCTGCCGCTGCCTGGGACGGGGCTGGGTTTGGAATGGCTCCGCCGCTGTATATTGCCTTTTGTGCTATGATTCGGCGTTCGACTCTCAGAGATCGTTGGATGTGATCGAGATATTCGATAAAACGCACCTGATAAACCTAATTCGGTTTCCCCAACATGGTCAATCCCAAGAAAGCTCCACCTTTCTGCTACGACATTCAAGGTCGCCAGAGGATTCTTCTGATCTATATGGAGTGCCACTGTCAGCGGAAGTAGAGATGCACAAGCGCACTAAAATGTCCGCACCTTCAGGATACGCCTCCGCACGCCTTGTCTCGGTTTTCAACACATTTGCCAAGTCGCCATTCTCCGTTTCATACGCCAGCAGTTTCGCCCACACAGGCTTCGCTCTCTGGGGCGGTAATGCTGCTAGTGCCCGTTCGAATAATGCACGTGTGTCTGCAGCATTGCCTGTTCAGCGCCAGATTAGGAATCACGAAAACGACCGGGGTTCACATACTATTATCGTCATTAAGATGGATAAGAAAGTCCAGGTAGTGCAAGATGAAGTCTGGCGCGTGTGGATGTTCGGCCGGATTAAAGGTTTTGAGGCCAATCTCAAAAACGCGGCCGGCCACATTTGCGTCTTTATTACTGTAGTATTCCATCAAGCCTGGTGCGAAAAGAGTATTATTGCCCATCACAAATAGCTGGCGAATCGCACTGACTGTCCTACCTGCCGCAACCCAGACATGATATGTGCAAAGGGGGCTTTTCCGTGCCTTTGTGAATATGAGACGAGCCGCATTGATGCTCTGTTGTCGACAGATAAAAAAAGGCCGATGAGTGCACCGTCACCCAAAAATTCGCTTCATGCAGACCTACTTGGGCTCGTCTCGATGTACGCATATAGGTTACATATACGAGTGCAAGCGCTTCTTTAATGTCTTGCACATCCTTCTTCCGCCGCTCTTCCACTTTCTCTTCAACTTCTTGCTGTCGGACCTTTTGCTTTTCGCGCTCTCGTTCTCTTCGCTCTCCATCCCAGTCATCCGCGCCGGAAATATCATCACCTTGCTGTAAACTCTGTAGCAGCGACTCCCGCTCGGCGTCGTATCGTTTATTAATCTGGTCGATTTCCGCTTCTAATTGGGTGATCAGCTTCTCGAATATTTTGGCAATCTCCGCGAAATCCTTCTTGCGAGATTCTTCAAGCTCGGCAAATGATAAGTTCAACAGAAGACTGGAAAGAGATATCGTTTAGTATTCCTATTATTATCCGAATGATTCCAAAGACCGAACCTTGTTGGCAGAGTATCAGCTCCGGTTTTCAACATTGTGGCAGCCTCCTCGGTCCGCCCCACGCTCTTCAAAAACATAGCCGCATCATAACTAGCAATCGATCAACATAGCGAACTTGCACAACGGGTGTTCACCGCGGTAACTCACTGGATTTCCGGGTAGAATCGCAACATCAGCAGAGCGGATCTGTATGCGAACGTCACTCTGCTGATCCACCCGTTCTTATCTTCCAGGCGTAGCGGGTTCGCTTTCTCCCAGGCAATATACTTCTTCCAAGCTGCTAACTATCATCCGGATTAGGACATGTTCCACATCTTGATTATTGACGTGCTCAACTCACGATTTGCACATGCTTCTCTGTCCAACTAGGAGGTTTTGCCATCCATGTCCTTTGAGCCTTTTCTATGGGCTCCAAAAGGTGCTTCAACTCTCGAAGTGCAGTTCTCGCTGTCATATACCCGGCGGACTTTTCCGACAAAAATTTCTTGGCCTGGAAGCCCTGGATTAGATATTTTCATGATGCAAATACGGTGGAGATAGCCTCGTACCGTGAGTTTATTGAGACCATTCTCGAAGGTATCATAATCCTTCCAGAGCTGTTCTATGTTTGTCAAAGGGATCCATATGGCACGATGATATGCACGTCGGAGCGAGTCCATTTGTTGCTGGTCCTCATATATTGACGTCGTCTACCGATGAAGGATCGGAAGTTCAGAACGTTGTATCAAAAGCTCAACAAGCCCAACCTATGTTTTTCTACAACGAAAGATGAAGGCTGCAGTGGACGCGGCAGGAAGGAATACCCCGCGACCGTCGGCGCTCACAAGGCCGACATTATCCCAAATGTGAGACGGCCCATAATCACGAAAAAATGCGGCAAGTTCCAGGACGTGAACGGTTTTGCAGAAGAGCATCATGTATTTTCCCAATATGCGTAAAAGCTCAACCACATTCTGCAGCCACCTAGTGCCCGTGCTTGCTAGCGCGTCCATCTTCCGGCCTAAAGGCGCAACACATACCTCTCCACTCTTGATGAAGTTGATGTAGTCGCTCCAAATGTGACCGGCGTCTTTGTCGTTGCCAACATTTTGAAGAACAGACTCGTAAGCCTTCAAAATCGTGTTGCGGGATTCCAGCTTGCTTTCCGGCGGAGCGTTCGACGGCGAGTGTATCCTTCGCACATAGTTCACGTAAGCCCTCCACAGCTCCACCGCCGGTACACTCCTAAGACATCTCCCAAACAACGCTTCGACTTTATTGAAAGCGCGATGCTTCTGCTCGAAATCTATGTATGCCAACCAGTATTTGACCTATAGAAAGTGTGCGTGAGTCGACCTTCACGAAAGCCAAAAACCAAACAAGTGAATTCTTACGGCGGTGGGAAACTGTTCCAAAAGGCCTTCGTACGCTTCTCGTATTCCAGTTTCGTCCCCACGTCCATGCGCTTCGGTGAGCCAAGCTGTCCAGGCTTCCACGTCCCAACAATTCTCAAGTGCTCTTTGGCGCAGCTTGTCAACCTTTTCCGTTCTGTGGTTCCTACCGGCTGCTTGCTCCCGGGACCCACTTTCTGCGTCAATAGGACGACCACCACGAGCAGGTTCTGCTGACTCGCCCGCCCTGGCGGAATCATGTCCCTTAGAGGTCGGCGCCGTGTTCTGAGTTCCGTGGGTAAGTACAGGCGTGTGCGGTTCGGAGCTAAAGTCGGTCGTTACTGGTTCCCCTCCGACACCCTGCTGAGCAGCTGCGTTCATTATGGAATAAGAAGTTGAACTATTATATGTGTGTGTACTCTTGCAGTGGGGGATGAAAAGTTGTTCGTCTCGAATGAGGGAGGGCTGGGAGGGGAGAGAAGACGATCTTTAAATGGACAAGGCAGCCCACGTGAGGAGCTCCGGCAAAATGCTCAAGACCCTTGACCTCTGACTTTCCCTCGTCGGGAATAGATCCCGAGAAGAACTAAGCAAACGTCAAAACGAAGCCCACCTTTCGATCGCTGTCTTCGGCAGCGGGGCGGCTCGGAGCAAGCACAAGGAAGAACCATTTCGCATAACTGCTTCATTTGTGGGTCGTACCTTTAAAAGCCATTATCGCCTAACGAGAAAGATGGGCAAGGTGGGATCTTCGTTTTTCTTGAAGATACCAAACTCTAGAATATAACCGTCATAGTGTTGCAGAAAAAGAGAAAGGAGATGAAGCCTTGGTGCTGGTACTGTGATCGCGAATTCGAAGACGAGAAGGTCTTGATAGATCACCAGCGTATCAAGCACTACAAGTGTACAGAGTGTGGGAAAAAGCTCAACACTGCGAACGGAATGGTGATTCACATGCAGCAAGTTCATAAACAACCATGCACGACGTGAGTATGGGTAGTTTCAAAGATCCTGGGGGTGGCATGGCTGACGTATTCCGTCTCCAGTGTAAATAACGCGTTACCCGGTCGTGATTCGGTGGATATCGAGATATTTGGAATGGTTGGTGTACCGGAAGAAGATCTCCAAGCTCATATAAACAAAATTCAAGGAGGAGGCAATGCGTCCAAGAAGCAGAGGACGGACCTGGGCGCCCTCACACCCGAGCAGATCCAAAAGCAGATGGCGGAATTTAAAAAGCAACAGCAACAGCTGACCGTCTTTGGAGGTGCACCTCAAGCTCCACCCGCGGGTATGCAAGGTGGACCCCCGCAACCTCCATATGGGGCCCCGCAACCATACCCCGGTGGTCCTGGATTTCCTGGCGGAGGATATCCTCAACACCCACCTCCCTTCGGGTTCCAGCAACCGTACGGCGCGCCCCCACCCATGCCTTACGGTATGCCTCCGCCGCAAGGTTTCCCACACTTCCCTCCCTTCCCTCCGCGTCCAGGGTACGTATTGCGGGGTGTCATTAATTGAGCTCAAAAGAGAGACCGTGAGCTGACGTTTTCACAGCATGCCGCCAATGATGGGACCTCCTCCTGGCGCGCCAATGGGTTTTCCACAAGGTCCGTATCCAGGTCCACCAAATCAAAATGGTCCTCCGCCGAATCTCCAGTGGGGCCCACGGCCACCAATGCCTTTACCACCACGGCCACTTCCACCGTCTCAAGGTCCTGGAGCGCCGCCATATCAAAATGGACCTCCTCCTGGACCTGGGTTTCCGCCCAATGCTGGACCTCCTCCTGGGCCTGGGTTCCCGCCCAATGCTGGACCGCCTCCCGGGTCTCAATATGGTGCGTATAGCCAGCCACCTCCGCATGTCAATGTTCACAGCCCTGCCCCGGTGTCAGCGACGACCGTCCCAACGGACACAGCCGAGAACGCCACTATGGCATCGGTGGAAGCCAAGGCGCAGACGGTACCCGCACCAAAAGAACAACGTGGAACCTACTTGATCTACTCGGATAACGAGATCTCGGTGGTAAGTTTTTCTAAATCATCAAATTTTCAACTTGCCGAAAACTAACACTCATTTGCTCGTGCCCCTTTAGGAGGAGAAGAGAGCACTGCATCCCAAATATGCCTATGAAGACGACGAATAGTGTCCGGTGATGTTGGAATGCATGGCTTTCGTGCTTTTAGCATTAGTTGAAGCCATATAAAGTTTGAGGTGTTCTCCCCTTTCCCCATAGGTCGGAACATATGAACTTATGTATCCGGTAACGTCGCGTCCTGTGTATGTGCACTCCCCATCAAAGATAAGTTAAGAGGTTAGTCTGACAAGGATGGGGTTTACAGGACTTGAATGAGCAATACACACTGTTCTTTGATTCACTGCGCCAAAGAAATCCCATATACACCGTTGTCTCGACTCCCAAGCACGACCCATTCGCCAACGCAAACAGGAGAGGAAAAGACGCCTGCTTCGCCTCCTACTGTCAATAATGCCTGCATTTTTCCATTCGCGCTATCCAAGACCATCAGGCCCCCCTTCATCGTAGCGCAGACCAATCCATACGGGCTTATGTACGGAGTTGCATAGACTCCACCATCCTTCATCATCGCCTGCCACTGTATCTCCCCGGTCAACAAGGACAGACATCGTACGCTGTTGTCATGACATCCAACGTAGACAGTGGTGCTTGCCAAGCATGGAGATGAGAAGATTGGCCCACCGCATTTGAACGTCCATAGTATCGAAGCGTCATGGGTGTTGAAGCAGTAGACGAAGTTGTCGACGGACGCTACAATGACCGTGCCGTGTGCTTCGGATACAGCTGGTGAGGCAAAGATGGGTTTCTTCGACGGAACATGAGTCGTCCACTTGAGTGCAGGTGAAGTGTTTGAGCTCGATGTGAAGCACAAGACCGCCCCGCCCAAGGTGCATGCGAAAACGTTCCTGAAAAGATGCAAGGCGTAAGACTCAGGCTGCACATGGATACACGTGCGACGTACCTTCGAGTTCGATCGACCGCACAGGAGGCAAAGACAGAAGCTCCGACACTCCACTTGTCAATGACTCGCAGAGCAGCATCAGCATTCATTGCCGGAAGAAGCTCAAGACAGTACAGGTGATGGTCATGAGATCCAACCCATATATAGTTTGTCTCTTGTTCCACTATTGGTGAGCACTTCACCTCCGCCCCCGTCGTGAAAGTAGCCATGATCTCCCCGGTTTCCGTCGACATAGCGTAGATCTTGCCATCATAACATCCGACAATGACCAGTTTCCCATCGTTTGTAATGCATGCCGAGCTTTCAATCCGGTCTTGTAGTTGTGCAGTCCACCTCGTTACGCCGCTTTCGACGTCGATGGCAACGAATCGGCCGGCGTGAGAGCCAATGTATGCTATGAGTGTTCTCGCCCCTTCGGCGCTTCGGATGCAGATGACTGGTGAGGCATCGACGCATTTTTTGAGGTCCACCCGCCATCGAATGTCCATAGATGGCTGTGTATGACTTGCCGCCCCATCACCGCCCAGGGCACTGCTAGCTAAATCAGTAGAGTTCATCCCGCGGCCATACATCCTGCAGGTCTCTCCAAACCGTCTGCGTTTAGGTGGTGGTTGAGATCCGGTTTCATCCGATTCATCTTCAGTAGCTCGAAAAAGTGTTGTTGCGGTCTGTGTTGTCGACTGGGTGCTCTCCGCCTCTGGGATTTGGTGCCTAGAAGCCGACAAACTGGACGCCAGAAAGCGCACGATGCCATCGTTGCTATCATGAAGGAGAGCTCTCAACAATCTGTCACGGGAATGCAGAATGAGAACCTTAGCGGAACGCATCGGCACGATGACTACAACACAAATTCGGCGCACCTTTCCTCAGATGGGATGCTGTTTTCCGATGCAATCGGCTTGAGAGTTCCTTTTTTGCCCACCCTCAGTAACCTTAGGATGACGGAACAAGCATACCTCCATATCTCACCTAACCATCTGCGCAAGTCACCGGCGACTAGGACCGCATCAATACTTGTGCCGCCTTGTGCGAGAAACCACCATGGTCTTTCGCTTCCAATTTCAATCCCGAGCCGATCTCGTACGATGTTCGAGAGCTTCGCGTGCATCTCTGCGATGGATGGGGGTGATGCCAGAGCATGAGGTGGAAGACCAAACGCAGACCTTTCGTTAAGATATTCCCAGAGCTTCACTCGGTCTGCCTGATTTGGATCAATCGTCAGCATTTCGAGTCTCTTGGTATGCGGCCTATTTACCTTACCTTTCCGTGCGGCGTCATCGGAAGCTCGTTGATGAAAATAAAGTCGTCTGGTCTTGCATAGAGTGGAAGTGCGGACTCCAAATGCTTTCGAATTCTTCGCAAAATTTCTTCTCGTTGAAACATGAGATGTTGCGCTTTGTTGATATCGGCCATTCCATCTCACCCACCATCTTGATCAAGTGACCCCTGCAGCACAACGAAGCCTACAAGCGAACCTTTGGACGAGTTCAACGACCCATCTGCCTCGACGGCTGTGGTCTTGGCGAAAAGGACTCTGGAAACAGGACGCGGTAAACGTCATAGCCCACGTATGCGAGAGTTGGTACATGCTACCCACTCACTGCGGGCGACACCCTCCACAGACTCAATCGCGGCGGCTATCATCTCGGTGTTCACGCGATAGCCAGATATCTTGATTTGACTGTCTTGCCGGCCCACGTACGAGGTGATGCCGGTAGCTTCATCAACTCGGACTAGATCTCCTGTATTCCGCAAGCTGGGAATTAAGTACGTGAGGTGAGCTGATGCTGGTACAGATACGATGTGAGGCACAATATTTACATTTTTCCTTCGATTTCATCGCCCACGAAACAGACCCGTTCAATTCCGCCTATCCATAGTTCTCCGACCCCATTTACAACTTCCCGGACTTCCACCTGCGTATCATCCAACGCATATCCGATTCCCACTTGCTTATCCACCCGTTGCAATGTAGCCCACACGGAGCATTCGGTGGTCCCATAAATGTTCCACAGTTCGACAGCCGAGTTTGCTTGCCGCGTGACCTCAGTCAGTCCAGCTGGAAACGCTTCACCACCCAAGATGACGGCCCTAGCGGCAGTTTCGCCACTGAGTATCAGCCTCTGATCGGCAAGTGGGAATCTCAAGAATAACGACGGTGTCATCGACAGATGGGTAATCGAGTGTCTGCGAAGAGCTGCCGGAAAGGCTGTCGGGTTTTGGAGCGTCCATCTTGAGGGGATGAAAATCTTTCCGTGCAAATACAAGGGCAGCAGGATTTCGATAAGGTGCGGATCAAAGGTGGGCGCCGACACCAAAGCCATGACTGGAGGATCTTTTTTTGTCATTCCTAAGCGATTGCTGGGTAGACGGTGTCATGTGAGATCTAGCAGGACACGGTGCGGGAATCTTGGATGGAGCAGCTCTACCCGATGGCGCAAACATTGCTGATGATGGATCTGGCGGGAACGCGGACGGAAACACCTCCCGCTCCTTTCCTAGTTGTCCCCGATGTCCGTATGATATAAGCCAGGTTCCGGTGTTGATATTGGGTTTCATGGTCTTCTGTATGACCCGTGAGAAAGGCACAAATGTCTGACCCGCGAGGGCTAGAATAGATTGAAGGCCGCATACCATCATTGGATCCAGTTCTGAGCAGTAATTTGCAGCCCGGAAGAACGTCGTCCAGATCTCTGACTTGAGTATTAGGGCCCAACTCATCTAGGAGTTTCTGCGGGGACCGGAGCGTCAACTGACGGATCAAATCTGTTGGGGATTGCTGCGTGTCCAAACCTTTGCGTACTCGTCCGCGCTTATGATATAATGAACCATGTCCATTTTAATCAAGATGGCGGCAGTGTGGGAGAGGGAACGAAACCCGGTGGCGAGAGGCAAATAGGTGGCATGCATCTGTAGTACGCTATACAGTCTTCTATATCAGCCGTTATATCTCAACTACGCTTTCTATGCTAAACCCACCCCAATAATGCGACGACGAGGTTTGCGGAGGCTTCCAAGACGACTCCCACGTAGCTAAATTGCCTGATCTGAAATCATCGTCATTTATCGACCCGCATACCCCGCCCAGCGGAAAGTGAGTGCCTTACGCCTATGGCCATCAAGATCTTCACTAAGGCCGCAACTTTGCTCTGCAGCTCGCCATAGGTAAACGTATCCTGTCGGAAGGTTACTTCCCCGCAGTGCACCGTCTGTGATACCGTCTCTGCTATCAAAGCAGTTGCCGTTGGAGGGCCAAGAGCATAAGCTTGTAAAACGGTCTCACGAGACATGATCTTCAAGATGTGGTCGGCAGTCGCGTCCACCGCACCGCTGTATGCCGCTGTAGGCCTCGTCTCAGAACTACAGTAATGGCGCCGAATACCGGCGCTTGGACTCGCTTGCGTGCTACGAAAGGTTACCGTCTTCCTATAGATGCCCTCTTTGGGTTTCACTGTTTGCCAGAGTCGAATGAGTCGGACGACGCGAGGTTGTGGCTGCCCATTTTCGATCTGGCGTTTCCAAAGCCTCCAAGTTCGTTTTACAGCCCATTTCGGCAAGTTGTGCATTCGTTGTCAACAGCCAAAATGTTCCGCAAGCATATGCAACTTGCCCTTCTGCTGCTGGGCTGTTTCCTTGTGCCAGCAGCCCTCGCCTGGGAGCAAGCCGATTATGAGGTACCTTGCCTTGCCGCGCCGCGCCGTCTCTGGCGACTAAAGTGTTGCTCTGTGCCATGTCACTTACTCACTTATTACACAGATCTTCGACTTGAGCGACGCTTTGAAGAAGAGCGCAGAGGCCGATGTGGATTTCTATTCTGTGTTCAACCTCACGTTAGTTATTTGACGTTTTGCCGCAGGAACTGCGAGTGAACGGCTCATATGAACCACCGCCTCTATGTTTTCAACGCAGTCGCACTGCCACCGTTAGTGAGATAACCAAAGCCTACCGTCAGCTCTCCAAGACGATCCACCCTGACAAGAACCCAGGTAAGCATTGATGCATTCGGCGAATTGGACTAGCATCTGCTGATACTGTTCACTCGTCTAGATCCAAAAGCCGGAGAGCTGTACACGGTCCTCACATCAGTGACTACCCTTTTGAAGGATGAGAAGTCCCGTGAACGCTACGACAACCACCTCCGGAACGGCATCCCCAAATGGCGTGGAACTGGTTACTATTACAACCACTACAAGCCCGGATTCTTTGGGATCTTCGTCATCATTCTGGTCGCATCCAGTTTCGTGCAATACGTGTCGGCATGGATTCAATACCAGCAGAGGAAGGGTCAGGTCGCGGAGGCACAGGCTTCCGTGAACAACCTCACTTACCAGCAAGTGAAGAAGCAGTTGAAGAAGCGAGGCGCTTCTGATTCCCCCAACCTTTCGCGTAAGGCATTCAAGAACACCTCCGCCATCGAACTTCTGGCGTCCACCGGTGAACTGCCGCCTCAATTGGTGGCCATTCCGCCATCGGTGAAGGATACGGCCTTGGTTAGGTTGCCTTTGTGGGTGTTCTCCTTGCTGGTGAGCATTCCGTCTAGGCTCTCTGGTCGGGAACCAGTGCAAGTTGCTGGCGAGCAACAAGCAGCGGACTCCCCGTTCACATCGGACTCGGAAGGATCGGGACGGGATGACTCTGGCTCGGAGGGAACGAAGAACCGCCGCAGGCGGAAGGTCGGATCGTCTTCAAACTTGGCGGAGTAGAGATTTTCCGTGCCTTCTTTCCTTTCTCCTTAACATATTCGATCGAAGAACGTAGTTTTGATGGCTTATTTAAAATGTGGCGATGGGAAGACTAATCGACTCTTTCATGCCCTCATTCTCCTCCCCTTCCCTTGATCTGATTGTGGCGACCAAAGCGCATGTGATATGGCTGTAATTTGGTATATTTTCGGGAATCGTTCAACGTGTACAGGATTTCCCTCCAACATCGTCTCGTCTCTATATCGCCGCACCCTTCTCCTGGTCCTTCTTCTGAATCTCCTCCCAACGCTGCTTGTACGGGTCTCTCCGCGGCCATTTGAAGAATCCATCGTCGGGTTTCTTCTCGCCTCGTGCAAGTGATGTTTCCAACCTTGCCCATTCGGCGCCGGCGATGATGATCGGTAAGAATATGGAGTGCGCAACTACGTGGCTCAGCTTTCCCGCTGTAAACGATGACGGTGAGAACACTATCTTTCGGAAAGTGCCACGCATAGAAACCTCACTCTGGATAGCTTACATCGCAGACCAATCAATGCACCAACGACTGCTCCTCCCACTGGCGCGTTCCACATATCGTCTTTCTCCCTGAACTGTGCGACCGCTACTTGTGTTCCGTAGAACGCGGCACCGGCAACACCTGCGGAAGTTTCCAAACCAGCGTTAATTCCTGAAATGACCACGGCGGGCTCCCAAAAAAGGCAGCCCAGCTATATCGTGCCAGCCGGATCGCCTTCTCGTGCTCACCGAAGAATCCCGCCCCTCTGCCGGCCTCCTTAAGCACTTCATGCCGTGGTGCTGCGATCCACCATTGAAAGGCGGCACTGCTGAGAGCTCCCGCGAAGACTCCGAGACTTCCGACCTTGACGGCCTCTGTGAAGGGCGACGCCTCGAGAATGTCCTTCTGGAGGAAGTCCTTGCTCTTTTCTTCGTGCATGATTGTGTTGGTGAATCTGATGGCGTGGGAGTTGGTCAATTGCCCGGGTGTTAAAGCCAGTTTGGGACGACAAGCCGTATTTAATTTCCCACACGTGATCTGTCCGAAAAAAATGACAGGGGCCAACGAACGGGAACTCATCGCAGCGAAAGAGAGCCGAGTTTTGCTGTTTCCCACTCGACATCCCTCTTGTTCTTCAATACCGAAGTTCCTGGGAAATACCGACAACCATGGCTCCTATCCAGAAGTCTGGCATTGCCACCGGCCTCAACAAGGGCCACGTCACCACCAGGCGTGAGCTCAAGGCTAAGCCCGTCAACCGCAAGGGGGTGAGTGGATCAAGCGCTTGTTTGAATAGCGTCAGGGGAAGGGGTTGGAAGAGGGGTCGTAGGAGGGCACGAATGATATGGGAGCAGGGAGAACCTATGCTGGTGGTGTGAAGATGGAGGGGGTCCCAAAGAAGGGGTGGGATGATGTGTTTTGTGGCCTAATTGTCTTGGGTTTGCCTTTCATTCAGACGTTGGCCAAGCGCACCAAGTTCGTCCGCGACCTTGTCCGTGAAGTCACCGGTTACGCTCCCTACGAGAAACGTATCATGGAGTTGCTCAAGAACTCTGCTGACAAGCGCGCCCGTAAGCTTGCCAAGAGGAGGGTAAGCTGAAAGACCTTGTTCTACATTGGTGGAAAGTGCGGGCTGGGACCAAGTTTGGCTAATCTGAACTCCTCCTTGTAGCTCGGAACTTTCGGCCGTGCCAAGAGAAAGGTCGAGGAGATGTCTGCCGTCATCGCCGAGTCTCGTCGTGCCCACTAAATGCCAACTCAATCAGTCGACACGGGCAATAGCGATTGCGAACCGCGCATGAGGAGCATTCACTAGGACTGTGTTAGATAGCTGGATGGAGATGATGGGACGAACTTGGAGGGTGTTGACAAGGCGAGGAAGAGGATCTCTTGTAGCGTTCAACTACGTTTATGAATCTGTCTCGAATGTATAAAGCCATACGATCGTCTAGCTACCTCACTTGGTGTGAGTCTTTTGCGTATGGCAGCTGTTTACTGATTGGAGAGGTTAGGAGAGGGGTGCCGATGCACATTTCACTGAGCGATCAGGCACATCTGCCATAGCTGGAGGGATTACCAACGGAGTTGGATATGGGGATGGGCTTCGGGCGAATCCAACGAGGACTCGTATGGCCAAAGTTGACGAGTCCCGTCGATGAAGTTTCGAGCCACAAGTATCATACGGACATCAAGCTAATATATTCTATGTCACCTCCAAAACTTTGATATACAAGAACGCCGTATGCAAAGCTACAATATGTTTACAGCTGCAACAGATTATCGGTGATGGAAGCATTTCCATTCACCTTCCCTTCCTTCACCTCGCTCTCCTGCTGTGCGGGTGGTGGAGACATGGTCGGGCTTCGAGTGCGGGTACGAACCTCAGGTGTGTACAGCGGCGGCGCCGTGGTTCGTTGTCGTGAGTCCGGTGTGAATGGCGCAACGCTTGCAGCTCGCGAATTCGACACGGAGCCGGGTGTTCGGGAGGATATAGGAGTTTTGGAGTAGCTGGCTCGCAACTGCGCGTCGAAGGATTTGTTGTTTGTGAGGAATGAAGCTGCCCCGGTTTTCTTGAGTAGATGCTGGGCACCTGGGGATAGGGAAGCTGAGCGGATGTTGAGTGGTGATGCAGATACGTGGGTGTTTCTGCGGGCGCCTGGCGTGGATGATCCGGGTGTCATCAACCTCGCGGGCAGACCAGGTGTCTTGAACCGGGGCGACGAAACTCCCGTTTCCGCCTTCTTGCTTCGTAAAGACTTCGCCGCCTTCTCAGATAGTTTGTGTCCCAGGGCCTCTCGCTTGGGTGTGTTGGGTATCTTGAAACTCCTACCACCGCTGTGATCTGCCCCGGCGTCAACCAATAACGGTGTTCCTTCAATGAAACCCCACGTCATGAGCTCAGACGGATCTATGTCCTCATCCGGATTCAAAGCAGGCGTCGACGAGACATAGGCGTATCCGTCAACCGCTCCTTGCACCTCTGCCGACTGTTCCACTCTGGGTAAAAGACCTGGGGTCGCTCTGGCCATGTCCCGCCACACTTCCTGTGTTCGCATTCGTTCTGCTGTTGCAGAGGCTACATCCGTGAGCTGCCCGTTGGTAAGAGACGGGTCGAATCGAGTGGAAGCGTGAGACACGGCTTTCGGCGCTCCGCGTGATGCGACTTGGTCCGCTGGTGTGTATGGTGCGCCCTCCGGGTAGTACATCAATGCGTTTCTGGCCTGAAAAGAGATACCAGATGTGAGCACCTGTGTCTGACATCTTTCCGACTGGACAGCCCTCGCTTACCTTGAACTTCCAGTCCTCCACGCCTTTATTCCCTCCTTCTATGAGTTTGCCATTCTTGTCCGTTGGAGCTGGCCCGGTTCCCAAGAGCAGCTGAGCCTTCTCCTTTTCGTAGATCCATCGATGCTTTTCCCGTTGCTCCTTGTTCGCCTTTTCTACAATCGTGGCAAATGAAGCATTGTCTTCGCTGGTGTAGGCGGCTTGGAACTTATCAAGTGAGAGCCGCGTGTTCATATTGATGGGGCCTTCATGTGTTGCGGTTGCCGCTTGCGAGACGTTCGATCTGACCGACACTGGCGTTCTCGAGCCCACCGGCGTGTGAAACGGAGCTTGCGGTGTGAATGAGCCCGCCATAGAAGCTGGCGTCCTTCCACTAGTTGCCATGCGAGCCATTTCAACACCGAGGCTCCTCGCAAGACCTATTTCTCCACCCTGTACAGCTGCCAGGAACTCGTTCTGCAACTTCATTTTCTTTAGGTTGGGGAAGAAATCGCGTTCGATAATGTCGGATACGGCTTGTACGTAGACGTCTTCCTCTAGGACAGTCGGTTCCTTTGGCCTGGGACGTTTTTGTCCATTTGGTGTAAGTGACACGACGGCCTGCGATGCTGTCGCCGTGCTGGCCACAGTTTGTTCGTTCGACATTGTTGTTGAGTCGACCACTACCTCCAAATTCGATATGTCGCGGAAGTGGACTTGGCAGTGTATGGGTCGAGGGAGTGCCCGCGAGCGGCTGAGGTGTGCGTATCGAGAGCGTTGAGGCTTTTCCGGAAGGCGTTGCGGCGAAGCGGATAGATCTTGGGGGTGGTTGAAATGGGCTTTTTCTGGTTTTGCCGTCTGGAAGGTGGGGCTAGGTGGGGGGGGGGGCGGGTGTGATGACGGATGGACTCATTTGACCGCGCTTTTGGGATTTGACAAGCTGCCTGTCTTGCTCGCCCACTGCGTCCTTAGTTTTGCCCCGTCGCCTCTCCGCCTTCCCGTTCAGAGAAGAGAGAGGAGCCAAACACAACCCCACCAGCCCATACCGCCAACCAACCGCCAGTGCTTCGAGGCCTGCTCCTTATTTACATAGCCTGCACATAATTTACATATACCCCCAAGAGTCGCTTGCGAAACCCTCTTTCGTCCGCTCCAACAGTCTCCCACGCATTTCGTCAGAAGGTGAGATACAAAGGCAGTCAGTATACTCAGCCGCGGCATGGCCAGGGCGACTTCGGGGCACTTCCTGGCAAACCCAACACCACCCTATACTTATGTTCTTTCAAGTACCATAGTCGTCCTCAGCGGTTTACCCCGGCACCCGAGCTTCCACTTGCGAGCCATTTGCCCCGCGTCTCCGCTGACGTTGCACGTGCATCACCGCATCTTGTTGCTTACCGGTCCAGCACCGCCATATCAAGCTTTGTAGAGAGGCGGCGGCGTAGTTCCTTGCCTATCCGTTGTAGTCAAAGGTGGGTACCCCTGCTGGCTATATATACTTGCATTCTCACCTTAGTAAAGCTGTTAGCACCCGTAGAGGTTCCCACGCGCCTGAGACCCTCGTTCACCGCCCAGAAGGGCGAAACAGAATAAGGACCGTATTTTTTTGGATTGGTATCAAATCGGGCACGTTATGTTGCCGTTTGCCCATCAACATCCACATCCCGCTGTGCGGGACGATGCTCTGATACCACCACCGGATGCCAGTATACCCATCAAACCATCTGGCAGAGAGCGGTTTTCTGGATTCATGGATAGCGCCGAGGTGAGGACGCGTGGGGATGTGAGCGATGGCTGGGGGACGACAATGATGCGCGCGAGAAGCAAATCCTGTGCTTCGACAGCTGGAGGAGGTGGCCGCCTGGGAGTAGTACCGTGGCAAATGGAAGCTGTAGGTGGCAGAATGCTTGGGCACTGCTAGTGTCAGTGAGGGTCTGTGAGACGAGGCCAGTGCAGTAGCGCTTTAAAGGGCGGCTTCTGAGCGATAGCTAGTCCCTTGCCCCATATCCACGATAATGCTCTGGTCGACGGTGGTTGGCCGAAGGAGCAAGAACGATGCCGTTCAGACTGTCGTTAATCGAGCGATGGGAGGTTGGGCGTTGTTTCCCATGCATTCAATGCCCGACAATGTCTTTGAACGATGAACTCATCATAATCCTTGAACTCGAATCAAAGGCGGTACTGGGTGACGAAGCCATCAACCCATTCAATTGGAAGCGGAGACCGTCACCAGATCAAGTACCTCACGAACTGGATGAGGAAACGGAGATGCTCCTTACGCTGGAAATCAACGCGTTAGCCGCTGTACGTCCCCTTGAAAGCATTGCATAATGAATGGCAACTCTATCGTTCTGGGAGTCGATGACGAGAACTCGGACCTGACGAAACCTCACAGAGCCTCACACCTTCACAAGAAAGTTACCAACTGAGATCGCTTTTCATCGAAAAGCTTCAGCGGATTTTAGATTTAGAGTGGCCGGGGAAGGAAATCAAAGCTCATGTATTCGGGTACGTCCTCCAGCGTGAGTCCTTGTGTGCGACTCGGCACTAACTCGGCAGTATCGACGGCCATCAGGTCTACTGTCAATGGCTTGGGAACCCGGACAAGTGATGTCGATGTATGTTTGACAACACCATGGGATGACCGGATAAACGGCATATCAAATATGCATATCCTAGCCACAGGATTGAGGAAGCGTAAGTTCCAACGCACTGCTCAGACACCATTAAACCATGCTGACGTTGGGCTCCATTCCAGACGGCATGGTTAGTATATATACGGTGGCAGCTGCCAAGGTTCCCATATGCAAGTTCTATGATCCCGAATTGTAAGTCTGCAATTGCCGTGGATATCGTCTGAAGTTCACTCAGCTAACATACAATGCCTAGCCATGTCAACTGCGATATCAATGTGAATAATGCGATCGCGCTTAGAAACACCAAGCTTATCAAGACATATGTCGATCTTGATCCTCGAGTGCGGCCGCTGATGCTCGTCGTCAAGTACTGGACACGGCAAAGAGTATTGAATGATGGTAGCTTGACGTGGTTTGCGATTCGATGCATTCCCACATACCTGACTTTCGGTTTCTGCAGCTGCGAAAGGAGGAACTTTGAGCAGTTATTGCTGGGCAATGATGGTACGTCGGCATACCGTGAGTCTCGTCTCGGATTACAAAATGTACTCATTCTACTTCTCCCTCGGTCGTAGGTGCTCAACTTCCTTCAGATTCGGGAACCTCCGATTCTGCCATGTTTGCATGAAATGTACTTTGCGAAATTGAAAGCCGACGCAACAAAAGTCAATCCAGTCATTGTCAATGGGGTCGATTGCTCCTTCCACGAAGATGTGGGTTCTCTGAAGGGCTTTGGCGAAAAGAACGCAGAGACGCTCGGAACGCTATTACATGCGTTCTTTCGGCGGTACGCTTTCGAGTTCGAATATGACACCTACGTCATATCAGTGCGGCATGGGCGATACGTACCGAAGGTAGACAAAGGCTGGGATGTGGACATTGAGCGAAACCGCCGCTTTCTGTGCGTCGAAGAGCCATTCAACCCACAGCGGAACCTGGGCAACTCGGCAGATGCATTCTCCGTCGCGGGACTGAGAAAAGAGTTCGAACGAGCTCTGCCGATCTTGGAGAGCGGAGGGACTTTCGCGAGGGTGTGCGAACCGTACATTCCGCCATCCCATCGAGTGATCAGCAGTCAGCCTCCCATGTTGGCCAATGGGAACGGGACGTATTTGCCTGAAACCAATGGCAAACTGCGTGGCGGCGATGTCTACACCAACTGGCATGAGGCGTATAGGTTACAGCTTCAACAAACTTACCATCACAAGTCGAATGGATCTGTGGGCGGGAGCTTCTTCCCGCGCAACAACAACCCTACTCCATACAAGCTGAATGGAGCTTCAAACGACCGCAGATCGGGATACACCAACGGACAGAACAACGATCGGCATTGGTTGGCCGGGCTCAACCTCATGCGGAATCCGGTGCCTTACTCGTCGGATGATCGTCCTCCTCGAGACGATTTCCATCGAATACAGTCGCTGTCACTAGAAAGTCGGCAGCTGGACAACCACAACAAGCGCGGAAATTACAGTTCGTTGATTTCCGATCGTCGGTTGATGGACTCCGAGAAATCGAAGAGAAATGGGCCGTCTTCCTGGAGTACGACACCACCTTTGCGTAGACAGAACGGCACACATGCCGGCCAGCCGCCGGGGAAAAGCCCGGTTGAGCCAGAGAAGGAAAAGAACAACAAGATTGTCGAAACAGACTCTGACGAGGCTGACGGCGACGCGCCTGCGCGAAGCCCCATCACCGTCATCATTGAGAAACAATCAGAAGATAAGAACACGGTCGAAACGACAGTAGCAGAGATTCGCAGCGGCGGGCGGCGGCGAACTCTCTCCTGCAGTCGATCAGAGATCCACTCTGAACGATCTAATCGGGGTGGATTAAGCCCTGACCGGCGGCGAATGTCGCCATCGCCGAGTGATGGAGACGCTGGCAAACGGCATAGGAGGCGGACGTCTACGCCAATGGCGCAGAATACCACTGACAGCTCGTTCGAGGCACGACCGGCATCCGTGGAAGCGAAGCCAATATCTACGCCTCCTCGACGGCGGACAAACAGTCGAACAGACAACATACAGACCGATAGGACCGATAGCCACAAGCGGGTGGCGAAATCTATCGATTCAGGGTCACGGTCACCCGACCGGTTAAACAATTCGATTCACAGCCAGAAGGGTACCACTGTTAGCGATTCTGTCGAAGTCAATGCCCCTGCTCCGGCGCCCCCATCGAAGCCGCCGCAAAGCAACGGCATCATGCCTGAGCGGGAACGATATGCCAAGCGAGCAATGCACTCGGAGGCAGCCGCGTCGCCAACAGGCGAATCGTCTGCCAACGGGAAGAACGATACAGGCGATTCCGCTCCCGGCGCCAAACGGAGGGGAAGCAAAGGCACTCTGCTTTGGGCCAATCACTCGCATCGGAACGATGGCCGATCTGCGCCAAGTAATCCGCGACGGCAAAGCCAAGGTGGTGGAAATTCCGAGCCATCGACTCCGAGAGCAGAGGATGATTCGGCGATCGCGGATTCACGGCGGGGGAGAGCCGCGTCTTCGGGTGGAAAGTGGGCCCGGCCGCGCTCGCTATCGGCATCAGATACCCCCAGAATGAATTGGCCAGGCGTCCGGTCTGCACCGAGTCCGGAACGAATACAAATACGGGACTCGTACAATCAAGTCGCGGCTAGGGCCCGGGATAAGGATGCCAGTTGGAAGGAGATACCAACGACTCCGTCCACCGTGAGCACGCCTTTGAATGGGTATCATCAATCACATATGCAACACGACTCTTCAGCATTCCACGGAACAAAAGGACTGCAGCGGATACCGCGGTCCGACTCCATCGAACATTTCCCGAATGAGAAAAAAGTCAACGGAGTCGCGACGCCGCCTTCGTTGGTGGGAACATCGATCGCGCTGGCTGCTACGCACACGTCCAAGGACAATGAGCTGGTAAAGCGGCATGTGGCTTCAGACACCCCTCCCTCCTCCCACTGCAAAGGACCGAATGGGGTGTATAGCAAAGCCGGGATCATCGGAGACGCCGCTGAACAGCCATCCGCAGGCCGGCAAAAGGGGAACGGCATCCACCATGGCGCCCATCACCAGACCGGCAGTCATCGTCATGCGCTCTCTCAGCAGCAGCAGCAGCAGCCAAGCCGGAAATCCGATGCATAACCGACAAGCACCATGTCTGGGGGCTCCAGCACGTTATCGCCTCCGTGCTTCTCAGCAGGGAGGCAAACACACCTGCACGTTAGCCTTACGTTTTCAGAACCAGGTGGGCCCCCCCAGATTTGTTCATACCCTCACAATTTTGTCGCTTGTATACCTCCCTCTCTTGTACGTGCATTGTTTGCCACACTTGTATTTTAAAAACGTTAAAACACTCCAAAAATAGGAAGAAACATGTCTGCGTCCGGTATCTGAAGGCTTTTGGGAGTAGCTCCCTTTGTATTATTGCACAGGATGTGCCAAAAATGATTGAACTCATGATGATAGCTCTATGGGTTATATAGGTAAGGAGCAGGTGTTGCAGGAGAGAATCGTCACTCTTTCGGTGTAGCGGGCGGTACCCTAAACCTCGCCTTCTCATGCGGCGCCAATTTCTCCTTCTTGACCTTCTTCGTCTTCCCCGCATCGTACTCCTGCTCATACCGGTCCGTCCTCCTGATCCGCACCTTGGTATGATCCACGATACGGGTCTGCTGCAGCGCCTGTTGGAAGACGTCAAACCCTTCCCACTGTTCCACCGATGCCCCGAATTGCGTGCTCACACCGCCGTTGGAGGCAGGCATGGGCCGCGATCGCCGTTCTGCGACTTCGACAAGGTTCGCGTTGCGTATGCTAGGCGTCTCGACGGCTTTGGACGGCTTGCCGCCCGTCTCGATGTAGTCGCGGAAAGGGTTCATGGATTTTGGTTTTGGCGGGGCTTTCACCTCGATCTTTGATATCGTGCTGGCTGCATCACTCGTTTGCTCAATCAACGCAGATGCCATATGGCTCTCTCCCGTTTCACCTGCCGGTTCAGCGCCGCTTTTCGTCCTCTTCCGCTTCTCAAACGCAAGCTCGACCTCATCCTCCCCATCCTCCCGCTCCCGTTTGCTCGACACAGGCGTGGTCAACCCCTTCGATTTCCCTTGCTTCCGGTGAGGTCCTTTGTTCCCCTTCTCCCGCGGATTCACCGGTAACGCGGCAATCACCGACGCCAAGTTAGACAGCTTGTCCCCTCTCCCGCCCCTCAATACCTTCCGACCGCGGTCCTCGCTCGACTGTTGACCTTCCTGTCCGTCCGCTACGTGCAGCAGCGGTGCATCAACCTCAGCTGTCCCTCCTCTCAGAATCTCGCTAATAGCGCCCGTCTGTGGCGACGACGGAGTTGAAGGAGCGTTGATGGGTTTGTATTTCTTACGTAGCTGTTCCTGCATGACGTCCGCCGACCGGACTTCTTTGAACTCGATGCGTCGCTCGAGGAGGGCGTTCGTGTAGGATCTTTGTTGAAGCTTTTCGTTGATTCCGAGGTCAGAGAGTGAAAGTGTTGACGGTGTAGAGGACTTCGCCGACGTCGGCCGGGGTCTCTGGACTTTGACGGACATTTGGGATAGGTGGAGCAACCTTTCGCAAGAGAGAACATTCAATTGCAGGCCTGTAGCGCTGAAATGTTCATTGCGAGAAGCAGTCGAGTTGACTTTGGATGGCCATGATGTTAAATAACATCCTTCGTGAATCGTTAAAACTGTTAAGTGTCCAACCGAGCTTGTGTGCAAGCTCACTTTTTGTTGGCTTTGAAGTTTGGAAGTTTGCAGACTTTCCACACTACGACGTCCAACATGAGCGTTATGGAAGTCGACAGCCAGCCGGCCCAGCAACGCTCTGCGCCAGTAAGCAGCTCCTTGACCAACCGGAAAGCCATTCTCGAATTGCTGTTGGTATACTTTAGCGACTCGGAAATCAAGGGGACGGTTGCCAATATTCCGCAGGGTGCATTCTCAGCAGAAGACTGGGTTGTAGGATGTAAGTAACTCGATTGACCACCACCCGCTGGCCCCCAGAACGCATGCGGGTGGACTTTATCGTCGCTACTGGCGATTCCGGACTAACGCTTTCTTGCCTTTGCAGGGATCCCAATAACGACACTCTGTTCTTTCAAACGCCTGCAGAGCTTGACAAAGGACCCCCTAGAGGTTGCGTCAGTGGCACACGAATTGGCTCAGGGAATACTGGAAGTTAGCACCGATGGGTCAAAGCTGCGTCGATTACGTCCCTTCACGGCGCAGGACGTCGCCAACCTTTCCGCCTTAGCCGCTCTGTCCCAGAATGTCGTTGAAGTGACCGGGTTTGCTCGATTGACGCCGGCGTCGGAGGTCTCCGCTTACTTTTCTCGCTTCGGACCGGTTGCCAATGTAATGACGGTCCCAGGTCAGGCGGAGCCAGTCTTCCATGTGGAGTTTCAGCAGGCAAAGGATATGGTGGAAGCACTTGCTCGCCAGCACTCGTACGAGGACGCAACGCTTCATGTTGTCGGAAGAACGAAGAAGACCATTGCGGGGGCGGAAGAGTCTCAGAAGAAGGGACCGAGCAACAAGAAAGCGTCGGTTTTGGAATCACACGCTGGCGGAGACGTACCTCGTCGCGATAGAGTGCTGAGGTTTCAGCTCGCTGATGGAGTAACCGCTACCGGGGCTGAGGTCAAGAACGCTATGAGTAAATTTGCCACTGTGCATTCTGTCGAACTGGATAAGGAAGCTACGTCGGGATACATCCGTCTGAAAAAGTCTGTGGCCGTTCAACTTCTACCCATTATCGCACGTCAAGGTGGTGCCCTTGTGCATGGAGAACCTTTGAAGCTGGGACTCCTCGGAGGTGAGGTTTGAAGAGTGATCAGGGGCATTCAACAGCTTCATGAATACTCACTGGCTCCTTTTTCTTTCAGATGATGAAGAGCGTCTTTACTGGGAAGTGTCTAAGCAAAAAGAGAAGATCGCGACCGCAGAGAAAAAGGCAGCACCACCATCCGTGCCAGTAACCACGGAATCGAAACGAAAAGCTGGTCGACAGCAGCGACGGTCTGACCGGGGACCGTACAGCAAGGGACGGAAAGGCAATGCAAGGAATACTCCCAAAGAGAAGGTCAAAATCAACGAGCTGGAAACCCTCTTCTCGAGCTGGGCTGTTACGCCGGAAACAAAAGCAGAATAGGATACGTAGCATCATTTGCAGTTTTGAAAGTAGCGCTGGTAGCTTCTCAGTCTGTGCCTCATCAAGCGGTGTACTGTATGTAGTGTAGTTATTTAAGTATTTAATGCCAGAGGTGCTTGTGCGATGGGAACGTGGAAGCGTTCCTCAAAGGTGACTCGCTCTCGCGTTCGGACATCGATTGATTGCATCTGGACTCGCATGCGGACTTTTTGAAGCCTTCAAGCTTTTCGTGTCCCGCTTTTGCCCCTTCTCGCTTTTCTATTTGCAAAGGCATGCCGTCCGATCTTGACCGAGATCTTGCCCCATCCCTTTCGCGCCAGTCAGCCCAGTCGGACACGCGCATACCACTCTCGCTCGCATCTATCACAACTGGCACTCCACGCTCACTACGTCGTTCTTTCGTGGACTATCTCGAGCTTTCAAGCCTTCCAATTTTAATGGTTTTCGCGCGCTCGCTGAAAGCATAGCATCCTTCGACGAGACCAAAGCTATGGATAAGTACGATAAGATCGAGAAGGTCGGAGAAGGTACCTACGGTGTCGTATACAAGGCTCGCAACAGGGAAAATGGCGATATCGTAGCTTTGAAAAAGATCAGGCTGGAAACGGAGGACGAGGGTGTCCCTTCGACGGCCATCCGCGAAATCTCTCTTTTGAAAGAACTGGACCACAGTAACATTGTGCAGTGAGTTTTCCAGTGGCCGATGGGCAGTTTGTCCTGCTCAGCCTATCTGCTCTTCCATTTTGCCCTTTCCGAAATGACCGGTCTGTGGTCACTCGCAACTCGGAGCTGACACATTTCCGCACTCTTGTACAGATTGAAAGATATTGTTCACAACGATACCAAACTTTACATCATCTTCGAATTCCTGGACCTCGATTTGAAGAGATACATGGATTCGCAGACGAATGGACTCTCTCAGCCGTTGATCAAAGTAATACCGTATGAGAGCAGGTTACGGCGTGGAGCTTAATGTCATACTAACATCGATTCGACGTTCCAGAGTTACATGTACCAACTCATCAAAGGAATTTTGTATTGCCACTGCCATCGTATTCTCCATCGTGACTTGAAACCACAGAATCGTAAGACTTTCCGCTTGTGTAGCTCATCAAATGCGTTTAAATTTACTCAGTCGTACCCGCCCCCGCCCTTTCTCAGTGCTCATCGATCAACACGGAATCCTGAAGATCGCTGATTTTGGTCTCGCAAGGGCTTTTGGAGTACCTTTGCGCGCTTACACCCATGAGGTGAGCATTTGCTGTCCTTCCTGAATGTCGGAAAGTCCAATCTCACACACCTTTCCACCTTCTAGGTCGTAACGCTCTGGTATAGGGCACCAGAGATTCTGTTGGGAGGAAAGAACTACTCCACAGCAGTTGACATGTGGAGTATTGGTTGCATCTTTGCCGAAATGTGTATGCGTCACCCGTTATTCCCAGGAGATTCTGAGATCGATGAGCTGTTCCGCATCTTCCGGTACGTTATCCTAACGGGCTGGCCTTGCATCCGTACTCATCCTTCTGACCGCTCTCGGGTAATAGGACTCTGGGTACACCGAACGAGCAGACCTGGCCTGGCGTTTCAGAGCTGCCAGACTATAAACCTACGTTCCCAGTGTGGTCCAAGCAAGATTTGGCCAAAATGATCCCCAATTTGGAACCCACTGGAATTGACCTTCTTTCGGTAAGAAGCTCACTAGGCCCGATATTTGTTAGTTTTTACCTTGGAGCTTACGTGCGATGGCTTTTCTGCAGAGGCTATTAGAATTCAGCCCAGCTGAGCGAATCTCCGCAAAGCAAGCGCTGATCCATCCGTACTTCGATGACGTAGAGAAGGACTATTCGCGTGCCATGTAAAAAGGTAAAGTCCTCTTCGACGTGGTTTCTAACACATCGGATCTCTGACGACTCACCTGGGGGTCCGCTCATAGGTGTCCATGCTATCAGTTTGAGGGACGAGTATGTATAGAGTTGTATGTCAGAGTGCCATCCCAGTTACCCAGATCTGTTGTCGCAAGCTCGATCTACCTCCGCTCTCGCCTTAGGGAGAGATAAGGGACATTTTTGTATATTGTTTTCATACATGTTGTTGCACATGGACGTTCACTGCTAAGACATTCTGTTCAGCGCTCTTGAAAGCATTACGAGGATCAGTGCTGTCTCTTCGAATAGTTGCTATGAACAAGTATCTGAAACCCTATTGCACATAAATACAACCACCAAACGCCCTCAAATCATCCTCCTAAATCTCAACAGGTTTTGCAACCGTGCGCCGGAAATAACGCATCTGGGCGCCCTTCTCCCTCGGCCGGAATGGGGCATACCCACCATAGGGCTTGGGTATGGGCAACTCGGCCAGCAGCGATTTTGGACCACCTGCCGCGCCGCCGGCGATGTCGGGGATGTAAGCGTTCGGACGCGGCTCAGCTGTGGTTCGAAGGCCTGAGTACAGGTAAAATCCGTCGTCCCTGAGATGATAAGAAATATTTGGTTCAATTGCGATGCTCCTGCGGAACGTGGACGACGTGCGACAGAACTTACACATCCAGACATCCACTCGCTTGTGCCTGCATGCGTCTTTGTGCGATAGCCTGTTGTTCTTTCAGACGTTGCTGTGTCCGTTGTTCTGACCGCTGGAAATCGCGCACTATATCTGCAGTTGGCGGGTCACCGGCTGCTATGCGTGACTTGGCTTCCTCCAGCATCATTTCCTGCGGGTATATGCACATCAGAGTGAGTGTGAGTGGAAGATATTGCGGTCAGATGCACGAAATGGAATCCTCGCAAATCACCTTGTCGATCTTCTCCTGATATAGACCCATCGCCATAGCCTGATGCATGGCCAATTCTGAAACTCGCGCCATCATCGCCTTTGTCGTGTGCTTGATGCGCTTAGAGAGATCGTTGAGCTTACTGGCGACCTCATTCGAGTCCGTGCGGCCCTCAAGCGTTTGTCGTTTTAGGCGGTCTGTGAGGGTTGTAACTTCGGAAAGGATGAGATCCTTTTCGAGGATGCGTTCCTGTCATATGCGATTTCCGCTGATGAGTGCGGCTTCGTGAATCTTCGTTGTCTCAAATATACCGTACCTCACGCTCAGCCAACTGCTCCTCAATACGATGCATCTTCTCCGCCAAATCCTTCTGCGACGGGTCCAGTCCTCCCAGATCCCTCGTCCGTGTGCCTTCCACCGGTGTCTCCATCTTGTCACTCAACTCGCTCACCCTCTCCTTCGCACTCTTCAAAAGCGTGCCCAACTCCGCCACCCGGTCCTCCCACTCCTTCACCTCCTTCTTCGCAACCTTCTTTTTCCCAATCTCCACGCCCCTGCTCAAATCCGCAATCACAATCTCGAGACGTCGGATGTCGCTCTGCGCATCGGCCAGCGCAGACTCGCCTCGTGTTGCAACGTCTTGCGCGAGGTTGAGCTTTTCGTAGAGGATACAGAGTTCGTCGTTGCGGTCGAGGAGCTGCATGCCTGTCGTGTTGCGGGTCCGGAGGAGCGTTTCGTGCCGTCGGCGTAGGGCAACTAGGTCGGTTTCGACGGCTGTAATTAGCATCTGTAGCGTTTCGATCCGCGAAAGATTTTGATCGATTTCGGCTGGCGAGGAGAGAGATGGCAGGTTAGCTCAAGATTTGTAATGCTTTCCACTCGGCTAGGCAATACCTCTGCGCTCCCTATACTGTAACAATAACTTGTTCGCCTCGTTTTTGGCAGAGTCTCTTTGCGCGTAAGCCGCGGTGTTTGTTTGCCGTCTTCGCTGGTGTTCGCAGAATCAAAGGATGAAGAGCAATGAATGATGAGGGTTATATTTGGTGACAGGCATGCCTTTTTCAGAGCTTACCGTGAGCTCGCGGTCTTTATGTGAGATTTCGTGGCGCAGAATCTCGATCTCGTTCGACAGAATCTTGATCTTCTCCTTCATCTCAGCAGCTCGTTGTGTGGTTGCTTGGATTTGATTCAGCTATAGGGGCGTTAACCTTTTTTAGCTCGTGCCTTTCAGCATTACCCCCAGAAAGATTTTTCAACTCCACGTACATATTTGTTTCGCTCATTCTTCACGACGTCGTAGAGTGTAGCGAAGTCTTTCAACCTGATGACCGCCTCTTGGCAGCGTTTGGAACCATCCAGCACAGCAATTTCCTTGACGCCCACGTCATCTTTGATGACTTTCAATTTGTTTCGGATGCGGATAAGTTCTTTGGACTACACTGCCAAGATTTAGAGGAAGGACTGCCGCATACGAGGATTTGACTGGGATGTGACGCACCTTCAACTCTTTCTCGACATTGAGTTCGTCCGCAGTCTTCCTCAGCGCCTCAACCTTCTTGACCTTCTCATCCAACTCCTCCTCCAATCGTCGGTTCACACCCAACTCTCTCGCAAGCGTCTCCCCCTGCGCGTGCTCGGCATTCTCCGTCTTCAGGAAATCGTAAATCGTCAGATCGATCTTTTTCCTGAGCAACTGAACTTGTTTTCGATAGTGCTTTTCGTCCCGCTTCGCGGTTTCGAGGGTGCGGTTGTGCTCGATGAGTTGCTGGTGGAACAAGGGAGTCGACATGCGGATGTTGGTTACGGTTGTCTCAAGGCGGCGTAGGGATTTGACGAGGACGTCCTTCTCGCGGAGGGAGCGGAGAAGGAAGTCGTGCTCTCTTCTGATCTGCATGAACCATCACTGGTCAACCGAAACTGATTTCAAGAGTTTTTCGAAGGTCGAATCTTCGCGTACCTCAAAAATACACTTCTTCAACGCCAAGTCCAGTCTCACTTTCTCCGCCTTATGAATCCCCAGCTGCTCCTTCGATATCTCATGCTGTTTGAAGATCTCATCGCACTGCCGCTCGATATCGTGTATTTCCCTCCTTCGCTGCTCATACTCTGCCGCTTGATCCAGCTTTTGTTGCTCGAGATCCTACCATTGAGAAGAGAAGCGAGGCTGCCATGGTTCATGATTTGCGATTGTCTAAGAGTGTGCCGCAAAGTAAGGGACCCTACCTTTCGTCTCCTGGCAAGCTTTTCGAGTTCCTTTTCAAACTGCTGGGAAAGGCCGCTTTGTTTACTGTTCTCGGTAACGAGGGAGTTTGTGGCGTCGCGCAGCACTTCCGATTGTTTGCTGGTAGGGAAGGGGCAACCTTCAGTGACGGCCTTCACATGTCCCTACTATCTTGTTGCATCATTGCTTACGCACATAATCTTCGGTGGCATTTCATTTGCCTGGCTATATGCCGTTGCGTGTCGCTCTCGCTCTAATTCCAACCTTTCAACGTCGTGCATGACCATCTCATATGTCGCATCTTTTTCTTCTTGATCCTTTTCCAGGTTTTCCACCTGATGCCGCCGCTGAATGACCTCCAACTAATCGCATACAATGCACATCAGTATGTCGCATCTATGTAATATAGTTCCTGATGCGATGGCTCACTTTGAGTTCTTTACTGGAGGCGATAAGCTGGGGTTCCAGCATGTCTGCTTTGTGTCTGCGAATTTCTTCTATATCCTCAGTGAGAGTGCGCCTTTTCTCCTGCGACTCCTCGATATCCTTCTGTAGTTTACTCTCCCGGTCTTTCGCCAATTTCACCTCGTTCTCGGCCTGAAATGCGGGTGGTGATGAACACCGACTGCTGGGGTGTTAAACAAATAGAGTGGATCAAACCTTCATGAGCTCCCGCTTCAGTTCACCAATCTCCGTATTCTCTGTGAACTGCTTCGTAGCTGTCCGGTCGATCTCCAGTCGGAGTTTGTTCAGGTCTTGCCCCACATCCTTAGTACGCTTTTTCAACTGCTTTTCATATTCCGCGCACGATAAAAGGAATCTATGCAAGGAGTGCGTTCGTTCCTCGAGAAAGTTGATGCTGCGGTGGGCGTTAGCTTTTGGGAAGCACATCCGGCAAAAAGGGGATCGCACCTACGTGTTCTCGTCTACATCTTTTCCACCCTTTAAGCTCTCCAGGAACTTAAAGCCTGGAGACACCTCGAGATTGAACAGTCCTCCAAGGTAGTAGTCGTCATCCCCTTCAGGTTCCTCCGCTCCCTCCTGCGCTGTGGCAGCCCTCGTTGGAGCGCGGGTGTGTTGTTGTCGACCTCCTTGGGCGGCCGGGGTTAGAGCCGCTGCTGCTGGGGCTGGTGTTGAGCGCTCAGATACATCTGCTGCTGATGAGGCTTTTGTGCCGATGCTTGGTGCTGCTGGGGTTGCACCACTCAATTGTGCGTTTGACTCTCGGGGAGAGCCGACGACGGAGCGCTCAGCTTTGGGTAGAGATTGTTATGCTTGGTTAGCAGTGTGCTTGCATAGACTCGGATGGACCCACCGGAACCGGGAGAAAACGAACCTTTCGCCTCGTCGCCTCGACCAGCGCCGGACATCGTTGGACTTTGCGGCAAGGGAAAATATTACGACGGAGATTTCTTAGAGCTAAGTTCTGCCAGATTGAAATGAATGGCCTGAATTGCGGATCGGCACTCATAACCTAAGCCACCCTGCACGCTGTCGAATACCGTCGACAGAATGTAAATTTAAAGACAGGTCCTTGAAGAATTTGAATTCAAGTCGGCGCTCACGTGATGCTCACCGCAGATCTCGTTTGTCGCTTCCCTCTTTTCTCGCTCCTCAGCTGCAACAACCTGCGAACCAACGTCAATTACACATAAGTCAGTAACGCAGAATGCCCAAGTCTAAGAGAGTGAAAGTGGGTGAGTACTGGACGTCTGTATCTTGTGTCTGTCCCGCTGCACGCTCTGTCGGCGGGGAAAACAGGTGCCAAGCATTTCCCAGTTCTTTTTACTCACTTCCAATTCTTTGGCAATTGCGACGATAGTCAACCTGACCAAGACCGACAAGAAGACGAAAGATCACAAAGTAGAGCTTGTTACGAAGATCCGCGAAGCTTTGGACTCTCATGACCACGTCTATGTCTTTTCCGTGGAGAACATGAGGAATACTTTCCTCAAGGACGTTCGCAATGAGCGTTCCAACGACCGCTTCTTCTTTGGCCGTGTGCGGGTGATGGCCAAAGCTCTGGGAACAACAGCAGAGGACGAGCAGAAAGACAACTTGCACCTTCTTGCCGACAAACTCGTCGGAAACGTCGGCTTACTCTTTTCGAACGACGATTTGGCGAAAGTGAAGGAGTATTTTGATGGTTTCTGGAAGAAGGACTACGCGAGGAGCGGTTGCACTGCGACCGAGACCGTTACCATCGCGGAGGGTCCCGTCATGCGCGGCGAGGACGGGTTTCCTCATAACATGGAGCCCCAACTGAGGTCGTTGGGTATGCCAACGGCGCTTGTAAATGGTGTTGTCACATTACGAAGCGAGCACACGATTTGCAAGGAGGGAGACGTTCTGACACCGGAACAAGCACAGCTCCTGGTAAGCTTCATGGGCGCCGGTGGACTCCACTTTAATGCTTGTGTGCGATTTGTGATTTCCGGCTTACAGCTTATGCCCCACAGAAACACTTCTTCGTTCAACAAGCCGACTTCCATGTCCAGCTGATAGCCCATTGGACAAACGGAAAGTTCGAAGAGATTGAACAGCCAGACGCCGACGCTATGGCATAGATTTTTTGGGCGAACCTTTTCGAACGGCATTCACCTCATTTGCCTTACCATCTCGCACACTCATCGCACTACAAATTCCGGAACCTTGCAATCCTGGAGCACGCTGGTCCCTACCTGAACACACAGTTGTCTGATGAGAGCAGTTCATAGATCAGTGTCTGAACTCGTCTAGTTCATGCGATCAGCTGTTTTAGTCTCACTTCTTGTAAAAGTGCTCAGTTTGTGAGTCTTCATACCACAGCTGCCAGTAGGCTAGATGAAGTGTGATGGACGGGCGTATGCAAGATCTTCTTAATTTAAATGCAATCATGGAGCAAAATTGGGGTTCATGCGTACAAGTGATGTTAGATGCAACGGAAGGTGGTGGATTGTGGCTGGGTGCAAGCCGTGATCTTTCTCTATACAAGAAACCCGACGAAGGACTGGATCGGAAGCTATGCTGAGCGGGGTGTGGTGGTGGAAAGGGGATAACCTAACACTAAACAGGGCAACGCGGCTTGGTTGCCGAGAGCCAAGGGTGCCTGAGAATGTCTTTAATGGTAGCTCGATATCGTTGCTTCTTTTGCAGTAAGCTAGCGATGAGATCTGAGCAGCTAGCGGAGCATGGTATCGCACGGTAGCCAGCGAACGCCGTGGCTTCAGGGGATGCGAATGGTCCGTGGCCTTTGTTGATCATCCCGTAGAGCAAAACACCCAGCGACCACGTCTCGGCCTTCTCTGGATCGTAAGCCTGGCCGAGGATGACTTCGGGTGGCGCAAACTCTAAGGTACCGTGGAAGTCTGCTTGCCCGCACATCCTCCTCATGGCAACGTCGATGGTACCTCCGAAATCGATGAGCTTGGCAAGCGGCTCGTCGCCTGTCCAATCGATGAGGATGTTCTCATCTTTGATGTCGCCGTGGACGATGTGATGTGTGGAGATCATGTGGTCGATGCAATGTACGACTTGCAGGAAGATGATGCGGGCTTCGTCTTCGTTGAGATGACGCACTTCGAGGAGTTCGAAGAGGTCCATGGCTCGTGTGCGCGCCGGCCGGCATGCCAACGGCAGTGGGTTGGGATCCGACGAGCGCACGGTAGAGGCACGCCAGGACCCGCCGAACACCTCCATGACGATGAGGAAGAAATCATCCTCTTCGAAGAGGTCGAAGAAGTCGATAGCGTTGGGATGCTTGACGTTCTTCAGTACGGCGACTTCGCGGGGTATACGTCCGTATTGCGCGTCACGGACCCAAGCGTTCGGTGGAACGCACGCCCGAGGGAGGATCTTGACGGCGACTTCCTTGCGGTCTTTTCGGCGGATTGCGGAGAAAATGTGGCCGCTGCCGCCGGATCCAAGGTTGTCCTTCACCGTGCCGTATTGCTCGAGGAAGGCTAATGGGAGGTGCCATCGCATCTTTTGATGCGCGCGGTGCTGTGGAGGTGGTGGCGCAGGCGCTTGTTCAGCAGCTGCTGCCGTTGTGTGCGCGATGTTCGCGCGGAATTGAGACTGTGCGAGCATGAGCCGCGGGCAAGGAGGTTTTGGCTTTGCATACGACTCGGTTTGGTATGTTGCAGGCGAAGAGCGCGGGATATAATCAAAAGATGAGCTCGAGTCATCGGACGAGGAAGTTGAAGACGTCGGCGACGGCGGGCAGGCCATAGCGAGCCCGTGCGCATTGTAGAAAGCGCCTTTTTCAAGTGAACACGGTCCGGAGCGACTTGAACCTGGTCGTCCGTATGGACCCTGGGTAGGTGGCGCATTGGGACCGCGAATGCACTGTGCGGGCATTTCGAAATACGTTTGTCCGATGAAGATAATATGTGTGTTGTGGTTTTGCGAAGATGGTTGCGACTCAGAAAGCTATGCTATGAGTGAAGCAGAGTGAAGACGTTGACAGCGATGAAGTAGTTCTGAGGATGCAATGAGGGAAGAGAGGGATGCGAGCATTCTTAAGCGGCTATATATATTTGTGAAGGCCCATATAGGAATTTTTTTTCGTTCATTTGTGCTTAATGAATTGAGCCTGTTTCTTCCTCAATAAGCTTAGAAAGCTACATGATGCATGCACAGTCCCCCGGCCCGAAACTAATCACGCTTGTCAATTGCTGGCGAGCCGATGCGATGGATTGAGATGGGGGGGGAAAACCCCGATGACGCGGAGGAAAAAGGCGATGTCCGTGGATCTCTATGTCCTTCACATACGTCTGCACGGCATAAACAACCCTGACACCTCGCCCTGGTAAGTGCGCGGAGGTGGGGGAAAGGCCAGAAGCCCTATTAGCTTTAATAATTGCTGGGAACCCCGGGCACAGTGCGAACTCAGAGCCGCGGCAAGATTATTTTCACAGCGTCGTTCTTTTCTAATGTGCCAGATCTCTGACTGTTCCCCCACATTATCGACTTTACGGGCTCCCGGTCCCGGGAGGCATTCATTAAGAGGGCCGTGGTGATGGAAATTGGCAAAGCTTGGGGAGGCAGAGTGCTTCGTGCACCGGGGCACATATGTAAAAGATGAGCACGGGAGATGGGGGCTGCTCCGAAGGCTCCAGCGAGGCGAGTGCTGCGAGGCGAGTTCAACGAGAACAAGGAACCTACACTGGATCCAGATCCACCGCACTGGGCATTCAGGGTTGCTGTGTAATGCAAACAGGCGTCTCTTGGCTCAGCAAGGGTCCGTCTTTCATCTTGGCCTTACCCAGGATCACATCTCACATCGATCTGTCAGCATCATCTCGACGTTTTCTCGGGGCAGAGCGCATCATCGTCGTAACGTACGTGCATGTGTGAATCTGTGAAGGAGAACGAACACAGATTCACATCGGAATTTCCCGTGGACGCGGCGCAGACCAGTGAGGTCATCGCCACTGCACGCTGTCGAATTTACGTTTGCCCTCCAAGCTCAGTCGTGATCCCAAACGCAACTCTTTGACAGACGTCCTCCACTACCATGCACTTAAAAAATGGCTACTCGCCCGCAGTTCACCAGTTACCCCATTGCGCCGTTGCTTCCCGCGGCCAGACATTCTATCAACTCGACCGATCGCTTCGGCTCGGTCACCCTTCACCCGTGCCGCTCAAGCGCCCCGTCAGGAAATTCTCGGTAAGGGACGTCTTGGGATGTTAAACTCGCCATTGCACAAAATTCGACGACAACTTTTCGTGTCAGAACCGTTCTTCACCGTCTCCTCCATTCCTCCTGCTTTGCCCACGTCTCCCCCATAAGCGTAATAAAGGATCTGCGATTTTTCGAGGATCAGCTCTCGATGGACATTCCTGGATCTCGGACGCACAGTACTGATTAGAGCGATCCGCACAGCTGTAGAGTATCACACGTCCAGCCCGAGTGATGAAGGAAGAAGAGTCGGAACGCCAAGGGGAACGCTGGATTGTCCATTTCCAGGAATCCGGCCCTCTCTATCCCATGGAGTCACGGTGCTGAGCTTCCCTCCCAGCATATGAGATCCCGCACGGAGATGACCCACGTGGTTGGATCTGGGCACAGCAACTGCGTAATGAGGCGAATCACAATCAGCGCCGGAATCACGCAAGGACGATGCAATATGAGTTTTTTTTTCAATCTCTAATATAACATGATAGGCGGAACGTAGATAGAAGGGAAGAGATCAATTGAACCGAACAGGATCTGGTAAATGCGGGTTTCCTTTTTACGGCTATTATCCTGGATTTGATGGGAGACGGGAGTAACGGATGTTGCGTTCTCCTCCGTTGGTATCGGGAGTAGGGTTTCAACATAGAACTTATGCGAGTCCGGCTTCCTTCATGGCCTGTTTTCGAAAAAGATGTCAGAACGCATGATCTTCGAAGCACCATTAAGGAATTGTGCGGCATGAACATACCCGCTCCATGTAGACACCGAGCTGGGCGGGGGATGGGGTAACATGAACGCCAGCGGCCTCGAGAGCAGCAACCTTGTCTTCCGCTTTACCTTTTCCACCGGCGATGATGGCACCAGCGTGACCTATTTGGTTCCGACATTTAGCGTTGGTGATCCGAAGTATCAACTGTCACGAAAATTGCGAATACTAACCCATCCGCCTTCCAGGTGGAGCAGTACGTCCGGCAATGAACGAGACGACGGGCTTGGGGTTCGCCCGGGACTGGTTGTGCTTCACCAAGAATTCCGCAGCCTCCTCCTCAGCGGAACCACCAATTTCTCCAATGAGAATGATACCTTCCGTCTCGGGGTCGTTGAGGAACAAGGTCAGGCAGTCAACGAAGTTGGTTCCGTTGAAAGGGTCACCACCAATACCGATGCAAAGAGATTGACCCAGTCCGACGGCAGTTGTTTGAGCGACGGCCTCGTATGTCAAGGTTCCGGATCGGGAGACGATTCCGATCTTTCCCTTCTTGTGGATGTGTCCGGGCATGATACCGATTTTGCACTCCTCAGGCTTGATGATACCAGGGCAGTTGGGACCGATGAGACGGGTCTTGTCCTGGTTCTTCAACACCTTCATCACGCGGACCATGTCCTGTTGAGGGATACCCTCGGTGATGGCGACAACCAAAGGAATCTCAGCCTCAATAGCCTCAATGATGGCCGCAGCCGCGCCTGGTGGTGGGACATAAATGACGGAGGCATCGGGCTTCGCTTCTTGCATAGCCTATGTGATATTTCGTATTAGCATCGTATCCTTCTTTCCCATGTTCCATCAACTCTTTGCATTCCCTCCACGGACCTCCTTTGCCGAGGCAAAAACGGGCAGACCAAGGTGGGTGGTTCCGGCCTTCTTGGGATTGACACCACCAATGACGTTCGTTCCGTAGTCGATGGCTTGCTGGGAGTGGAAAGTACCCTACTCGACGGATGCATCACACTGTGTGTTGAGTATAATGCTACAGCTTTACGGTAAAACCCAGGTGAACACGCAAAACCGACCTGCCTTCCCGTGAAACCCTGCGTGAGAACCTTGGTGTGCTTGTTGATCAACATGTTCATGGCGGTCTTGTCGTAAAGACCAGACCCAGCGGACACAGCGTAACCCCTAGAAAGAACTGATATGTACCACACGCCATCAGTATGGCTCCCCTTCTCCCGGTCTGATTCCAGCTCGGTTTCCCCAGTTCGCGCCTTCACGATGGCGGCCTTTCCGAGCACCCAATACCATCCCCAACCTCCCCAACCTCCCCAACGCTGTGTGATTCCATCATCAATATTGCCGTTTCCCTCCTCCGAAAGCCGCCAGATGCCATTCAACTCGGTACCCCAAGGAGCGGTTGGGATCGCGATGCAGTTTTGGAGGCCCCTGCCCGAGACGTGGAAGTTCGTGAATGACTTGACACTTACCAGGGGCGCCTTGCGCCTTCATGAGCTTGCAGACTGTGGCCATGCCGGCGGGCCTTACTCCTGACAGAACCATCTTGATCGTTTGCAGGTTGCTTCTCGGGGATGAAGGTAAACGACCGTTGCGAGGATGCTCCTTGGGCTTGTTCAAAGCTCCATGTGGGCGTCTTGCCGGTTCTCGTACACGTGAGCGTAGCATACAAATCTGGGAGGGTCTGTGTCACGTGCGTTGAGATCGATTTAAATGCCGGTGCCGGAAGATATGAGAAAGGGAACGCACTGCGCCAGGTCCCAGCCCCACCCGCCACTAGCACCTCTGCGACCTTCCCCGTTTCCCAACACACTTTTCCCACCGAAAAAACACCAGTACTGGAACAGCAAGATACCCTCAACACGCAGGTCCTAGCGCAGGCAGCTTCCAAACCCCAAACTCTCGCGTATCGCTGGACGTCCCTCGTCTTTACGCGCTATTTTGGTCGGAATTCCAGTAGAGGGCCCATCTTTTCCGAGGGCACTATACACTGCACTTTTTAAAACGGAATTAGGTGTTGAGCATGGCGGTAGGTCGCGCTGATGTCTCGTTGACGGGAGCTCAGGGCTCTCGTGTCTGTGTCGAAGCAAATCATTCACACGTTCACTTGCAGGAACCAGAGGGGAACGAACGCGCGGTCCAGCACAATCAGCTGGATTCCGGTGATGCTAATCCTGAAATACCCATGTCGGTTGGGGAGCATTCTGCTTTCGCCGGGCAACAAAACGCGGACGAGCAGCGCGCTGCATATCAAAGCCTTCAGCCAAAAGTGGACGCTGCTCAGAGCGCGGCTTTTCTACGGGCCGCGCAAGCAGCGCTTCAGTCTTTGCTAGCGAGTCACCAGTTCCAGGGGCAACTATCTCTACCAAACACGGCGCAACTTACTCAGTCGATCGCAGAAAGCAGAACAGCGGAACAAAGTAGTGCGGAAGCAGAAGCTGTAGCAAGCGCTGCTGTTGCTGTCAACGCAGCTGTCAACGCGGCAAACGCAGAAAACGCGGCGAATGCAGCAAACGCAGCAAACGTGGCAAGTGCAGCGGCGGCCAACTCGCAGAATATAGCACAGTCGCTACCTCCCGCTCCCCAACAACCCGCGATGCCCGATTTGCAACAGATGATGGCCCCTGCTTTCCCGAATCATCGAGACGAAACGGCGCAATTGCTTGCTCACTTTGCCAACAACCCAGCTGCAGCAGCGAATAGTTTGATGTTACTTAGCAGCGCGGCGGCTGCTGCAGGCAACCAGAGTAGTCAGCAAAAGGCCTTGGAGAATAGCGTGGCGATGCAGCAGAATTCCAGTGTACTCACCGCACAACTTGCCGCTCTATATCCTCAACTGGCTGCCGCTACGACAACGATGGATCCTTTCGCGTCTTTGCTGACAAGAGCTTTACAGCCGATGGCGCCGGGAGTTCCCCAATTCCCTTATTCCCTGTCCCCACAAGCCTTACAAGAGGCCGTGTTGGCGGCAGCAGCTGCTGCAGCTGTAGCGACGGGCGATTCCTCGAGGGTTGCCGATGGATCAGTTCGGTCGTCACAGGGCTCCGTGTCGCCCACAAGCGGCAAGCACTCGGACTTTTCCCTGCGCGCAGATCAGGTCGTCCCAGGCAAGGACGGGCGGTATCCCTGCACGCATTGTGAGCGAAGCTTCAGCCGGTGAGTATCCGCAGAGCGTGTTTGTGGGGTCGAATGTTCACTGACTGACTTCCCCATTATAGCCACTACAATCTTAAAAGCCACTTACGAACGCATGAAAACCACAGGCCATTCGAATGCACAGTCTGTGATCTGAGATTCACGAGGTAGGTTAGCATGTCACTGTCGCAAAAGACACCGCGCTGCCCAAGCTACGATCATTGACACACATCTCCTGCGCTCCGTAGGAACCACGATTTGAACCGGCACATGAAAACGCATTCTCGCGAGAGGCCACATGTATGTAGCGGATGTGGACGGAAGTTTGCCAGGTAATTACACAATTGAACGAAATGGCCGGTCGCAGCAGTTTGTGCCCGTTCTGATGTGGTCATTTTTTGCAGGAGAGATGCACTTCGTAGACACGAACGTATGGATTCCGAGGGCAAGCGAGCCCACTGTGTGCCAGGCAATCACAACAATCATCCGGCAGAATCAGGATCGACTCCAGGTCCATCATTAGCTCATCCAATGTCGCCGCATGCTTCGGGCAGTCGGCAGGAACCACTATCACCGCATTCCTATCAACAGCATCTGCAAGGACATGTACCTAACCAAGATCCAGCCAGCGGCGGTGCACCATCCACGGCTGCTGCCGCTGCAGCAGCGGCGGCGGTGGCACAAATGTTACCAGGGCCTATACAGGAAGCCCTTTACGCTGCACTCGTCGGCGCTGCGCAGGCTGCCGCCGCAGCCACTTCCGGCACCAATGTGCAAAACATGGGAATGCACCCTGACGGCGCGAGCTCAGCTGTACCCGCTCAACTACCTGGCGTTCCGGCCCCACCGACGTTGACCAATACCCCCACCCCCGCCCAGGTGCAAGCCGGCGTACAGGCCTTCCTTACGGCCGCTCACGCGCAAGCACAAGCCCACCTTCAACAACAAGCAGCTCACAGCGTGGCTAATCAGGGCGGCCCAGGCAACATGGGCATGCCTCAAATGACAATCGAGAACGCTTCCGCAGAGTTACAACATGTGCACTCGCATCAGCAAGAGCACCAACAAGATTCACCATCGTGACACTTCACCCCTTCTAACTGGCTGCCTAACTCCGCCAAAGTACTTACTTGTCGCTGTATCCTGGTGGTTCTCACCGCCCGCTCTCACTCCCAAGAGTCCCGCTCCTTTACCCGCCCCCGCACCTGGTCGGAGAATGTGTAGTATATTCCCCACCTCCCTATACCCCTGGTTCTGGACGCAACCACGATGGTGCAACCCAGTCCATCAGAGAAACCAGATCTTTAGACACTGCAATGGATATGAATTATGCATGCTGGAGATGTGTAATAAAAATCTATACGCGCGGTCAAGCGCTCCATATCTACACGTGAGGGGAGCTGGTGTCGTTGCGACCTATATCTGCCAGGCTGGGCTTCGAAGTATCCTCCATCGCAGGACAAGGCTGGCTCGGACAGAAAACAGCGTGTCCGTGCCATTATAGGGGCAACGTCCTCGTGGTCCCTGCGGACGAATTGCAACCCCTGTCCAGCGTGTGCACGGTGTTCCCACGGCCATTACGACCATGAGCAGAGTCATACCCGCTCCATTATCATCACGGCCGTTTCCCGGGCAAAGATCCCGTCTATTCCTGGTGATACATCTCCTCCAAGACCTCCACCGCCGCCTTATCCAACACCAAAATCTCGTTCCTCAACAACGGCGTGACCGAAACCTCCCTCGCACTCGACACCAACAGCGGCTTCTCAGCCGGCAGACCCGCAAACCCCTTCGCCTTTGGCACCGGCTCCTTCCTCTTGAACTTGCCCGCGGCCTTGATCAGCAGCTCCTCGGGCTCCTCGTTGCCGTACATAAAATACACGGTTTTGTTATTGACGGATAAGGCGAGCAGTTTCTCCATTAGGGTGGCTTTGAGGTCCGAGTCGAGGGTTAAGCTGTCGACGACGAGGAGCTGGTCTTGGCGGAATTTGGCGGAGAGGGCGGAGCGGATGGCAAAGGAGTAAACTTTGCGGGGAATGTCGGTGGATTTGTCGTGCGGGCGGGGGCCGTGTACTCTGTAACCTGTGTACATCAAATTAGACTCGTCAGTTCCTCTCTGGAATGGGAATACTTCGAATTCTTGGCCCGCGGTTCGACGCCATACCTCCTTTCCATTGTGGTGCACGAACAGTTCCCACACGTGCTTTTCCCCTTCCCTTTTGCGGAAACGCCTTCCTCGTAGATCCACGGACCTGCCCCAACGCCTTTGTGCTCTCCGTTCCCTGTTCCAACCAACTCTCTTCGTAGCGAAGTGCGCGAGCGAGCAAATCGGATCGCGGGTCGGCTCCAAAGACCGTACGGTCGAGTTCGATGAGACCGACCGACTGACCTGTTGAGAAGGATTGCAGGAATGCTTGGATTGATGGGGATTTCCAGTAGTAGTCTGGGAAAACGAGGGCGGTAAGTAAAGTGCTTTGATGTTGCAAATGTTCGTTTCGGACTTTCGGGCTATCGCGGATCCACCCAGCGGACCTGAGAGCTACGATGCATTTATCCTCGGTTCGCTCGCCACTCGTCCAGCCCGAACCGAAAGTCCGCAGATCTTCCGTCCCAAGATACATACTGTTTATGTCTTCGAAGGAAGGTACGTCTGTGAGATCGAGCGTATCAGCTCCGCGAGCCACCGGAGTAAGATGATGCAGCAGTGTGGGAGTTTCCACTCCGTAAGGGTTCTCGAGATTGAATGTTGCTGTTGGGTGGCGGGATTTGGGTGTGGTGGAAAACTGCAGGCGTGACGATGCTAATGGCCCTATCGCTTGTGATAGCGCTAGTGCTTGTCGGGAAAAACGACATGGTGCAGTTACACCGCTAATCGACGGTTGCCGTAGTAGGCAGGTTGGGCGTAGCCGGATGCTTGGTCTTACTGCAGTCATTGTCTGCAGGTTGTCCCGAGCACTTAATTGGTCGGCGTTGGGATGCCAGCAGGCGTTGTTGTCGAGGTGGTTGCAGGGAATACGAGTTTTTCAAGACGACCTAGAAGGTCATGTGATCGTGATATAAATGCTGGAAGCGGAGCGTCATCAGTTTGCAAAGTGATGACTCTCCATCGCGTGCCCATCGCCCACTTCCGCACTTACTGTTCAATCTGCTCAAAAGTTCCCATGGGCTTTCGATAGACCCATCGTAAAGTTTCAAACCAGAGTTTTCCTACGGTCCATTGCTCAAACTCCTCAGCCGAAAAAAGTTCATTAACTTCGAGAAGGACCTGAAGCATTTGGGTGTGAGGCGATTGAGTCTATACCGACTCGTTCAAAAAGGAGCAGGGAGGAGACATTATGTCGTACTTTTGGCCGTTCTCCGGATGGTCCGTGCCGCAAGGACTTCAGAAGCGGCTATTGAAGTTCCTATTGAAGCGAGCGATTGGCCAGTTTCTCGCGGCTGAAATCGACCTGGAAAATTTGGATGTCGAGTTTGGCAAGGGACAAGTGGTCCTGAAGGACTTGGAGTTGAACTTAGAGGTTAGAGATCGCCAATGACTTCAACAGCAGTGAACCTTTAGATGCTCACGGAGAATGATTTCGTTTTAATGATTTCCTTTTAGGTCCTGAATGATCTCGTAGCTGACCTGCCGGTCGTCGTCACGAGCGGAAGCATCAAGAGTATTCAGGCGTATATACCATGGAAGGACCTGAGCAACTCAAGCTGCACTCTGGAATTAGATGGATTAAATATCGAAGTTGCCTCAGTCGCGGACGACCCGGAAAATGGTTTGTATACAATCATGTGCAGAGGATCCTGCAATTAGATCCTGATACCGCGCTACAGGTCTCTCCAAGTCATCGCAGATGTCCGACTCCCATATCATGTCGTCCTCGATACATTTCGCCGAGAACTTCCTCCGTAGCGAAGCTACCGATGACGACGAATTTAGCGGAGGAGCTGAAGGTTCTGGTGCAGACGATCCCGGCGCGTCGAGCTTCTCGAACGGCGGGGTGCCACCTGGTGGATTAGAGGGTCTACAGGTGCTTGCCGGAGTGATCGACAAGATCCTAGCGAAGGTTAAGTTTACAGTTCGCAATACGAAGTTACGCTTTTGTCATTCGTCACCACACTCGATGGCAAAAGGCGTTCCGGGAAGCGGTCCCCATATATACTACCTGGACTTCGACCTATCCTCGCTGGCGTTCCAGGACGAAACGCCAGAAGCCGACGTATCGAACGCGTCGCTACCATCGGCTCCCAAAGTGAAAACCGTGCGCTTCTCTGGATTGACCGTTAGCTTAAACCAGCTCCATCCAGAAAGTATTCCGGCAGAACCCAACATGCCAGCAAGAGAGCCAACATTCTGCTTCTCTGCAGTCCTTGCATCGACAGCCAAAAGCCCGGATGATGAGATCCGGATACTCATCGATGAGGGCAATCACACAGATCAGCACTTACGGCAAAATATGCCTGTACGCCGACCGCGTGTTGAGGTGGACATCTCAATATTCTCGATATGCGCCCTTATATTGCCATACCACCACTCAATATTGATGGAGATGGTCTCGTCACTGCAAGAAAGCATACTGATACTAGCACAAAGCCGGCAGTTTGAACAAGGAAGCGAGGATATCAACATGTCGAACCTCTCTCGCAAGCATAGGTCCATGTCAAGCTCCTCACCGCCGAGTGATATCCAGCAGGATTGGGGAAGTCGTGGGTATCCGGCTGCTGGGGAATTTGTCAACAACAGCGATACGCCACTTCCGAAGTCTCTCCGAATACACATCAGGACCGCGCATGCCCATCTCTACCTCGTGACGAGTTTAGCGCCGCCCGTGATAGACGAATCGATGTTCTTCATTACATATTTCAGCGGCAGGCGTGATGTATTGCATTCTGATCTATCACGGAGCTTCATAACAAAAGTCAACACGAGACTGAATGCCGGGAAGCTGTCGGTGGACGTGATGCTTGGAGAACTGATAGGCGCGGATCATATCAAGATTGCCCTCCATGGCATTCTGGCAGCTTACGGGAAAGCTCCACGCGGGAGAAGGAGGAGCCGGTCTCCAGACGATATCTCTGAGCTCTACATTGCTGAGGCTGGACTCTCAGAATGGGTGCAGGATACTGGTATGTCACCGCTCTAGGGCCGTTGCTTGGTGACTGTTGATTAACAAAGGACTTCAGACGCAGGACCGAAATCGACTCCGAATTCCTATCAACCAATAGTCATGTTTGACGTGGGGGCAAATACGGACGAGATTCGAGATCTGTATGCGCAACTTGGGAAACCGGTGATACCCGCGTCATCCATATATAAGCCTTCGAAGGCCATGCCGACGTTGCGGAATGATGTCCGGTCGCCCGTCGTAGGAGAGACGAGCTCCTGTGCAATAGTCGTGAGCCTGCAGGCATCGAGAGCTTCATTTTCGGACCACTCCTCCCACATACGGCCATCGCCAAAAGTTTCCGTGAAGCTTGCACCGGTCAATGTGTATATCAACGCAGCAGCCATCAACCGAGTTTTGAGGTTGGTGAAGACCGTTGATACGGAAGCAACCGGGGAAGGGTATACTAGCTCGTCTCCATTCGACGATACACCTGTCGGGAACATTATGGATGACCTAGCTGGGAGTAACAGCAGCTTGGACATGGACAACGGGAACCGGACATTCCAGGTCCAGATCGCGTTGTTACGTTGCTGGCTGAACGTGGCAGAGCCGACGTCCTCTATTCCCTATGATAGCTTGCTCCTCGATCTCATCGATGTCGATGTATCCACGTCGCTGGAGGTGACGGAACATACGAGCAAGAGGCGCGGTAGTCTGGGGTCGCTGCACCAACCTTTAGGAACCTGCTCAACGCACGGCCTGAATGAGAGCAGGCGGTGGTCGCTGTCCTGGGAAGTCGGTGGCGTTGCTCTTGTTAACTCGAGAGCCAGCCCGTCAGGTATTACCTTTCGCACCCTTGGGTCGGCCTCAAGCGTAGGACCTTCATGCTCACGACGGATTTTTATGATTCATCCAGGTCTTACCATTCAACCATTCATGTTGATGGATAAGTCCGCCACCACCTCACCTCTAGGACAAACAGGCGACAGCCGACCAAGTATAGACGTCACCCTTCGGTCCCATGTATGCGATGAGTTACTCGAGAGACCTTCCCTCGATCTTCACGCCGCAAGTGGAGGGTTTACACTCAATAGGGAAAGCAGTGAGGAAGATCTATCGCCTTATGGACTGCAGAGCTGGCTGGATGTTGGCAAACAATCGGCAGGCAGTCCGAAACGGAAGGGCGAGAGTAGTGAAGATAAGGATCTTTTGTGGTTTAAGCAGCGGGCTATACAGGAGTCGGTAGGTTGCGTTGGTCTGTGAGCTCTGTGGCAGTACCCTTTTGCTGATCTATCTGGTTTAGTTAGTACATATCGATGGATATGTCCCAACATGTTGCGTGAACTTGACGAAGGATGCGTACGATGGCTTGCAGGTTCTGCTGAGCGTTTTGGCACCTTATCAGGAAGAGTCGGCCAAGACAGAGATACCCGCGCCCCCTCTGGGACTCTCCATGCCCTTAATACCCGTCTTGGAATTTCGTCAGCCTGATACATCGACTACGTTTCCCGAATCGTATACAACCTCACAAGAGTCTCAAAAATCTCCTGTCAGGCGCGATCCTTCGACGATGACACTGATAGTGAACTCGAACGCTTTCAGCGCGGTGATACACGCAGCCGATGCGGAGGAGAAGCCAGATCCAGACCAGCAGCTGATGTACACACTGGACGCGGAAGATCTCCGCCTGTTCGTCGTCAACGGCCACGAGGGAAAGCCCACGACGTATATCTGGATCGACGCCCAGGATCTGTCGGTGATCAAAACATCAAAAGCAGAGCAAACGCCCTCACCATGCCTGGATCGCACCCTTCCGCATGCGTCACAGCCGCAACAGATGCTCTCGGTATCGTTCTCTCTAAAATTCGACGAGGAGCTGAATATGAAAGAGACTTGGGCATCGTTCAACCTGCACGCTTTCACCTTACGGTCCGCTGCAGTCCTCCCACTCGCCCGCGACCTCGGCAACTTTTTCAAAGAGCCCCCAGAGGTCGCGTTGGTCGACACGGCGAGCAGATTCACAAAGCTGCATGTCAATCTACTGGACGGCTGTGTGGACTACAGCCCGGTCGACATACCGTCGCGAGCGGTTTTGGTCCTTGACAGTGTGAAGATCTCCTGCGATTTGATACCAGAGTCGCCCACTGTCAGCGTGAAGGTGTTGTTGTACAACGCATGCATATTCGCCATTGAAGACGACAGTAAGCGGAAGGAAGTCGAGTTGCAGACGTTGGGTGGTTTCATGCACACTAAGAAACATTGGACGGTATGTTGCTCCTTTCTCGGCATGATATACGGTGTTTAACACAGAATTCCGTAGAACATTGGTTTCGCACATGTCTTGGCATGCAACTTTCTGGAACTATCTCTGCGGACCAACAGCGGAAGCATAAGTCCGTCGCTGGAAGTGAGTCATTTTCAACGCAGCCGGCAGGTGGCTCTTTCGATCTTTCTGACACTGCACTTTGCAGATAGATGTGACCAACAACCAACTCAGCCTGGACACTTGTGCCGACTCTTTTCAAACTCTGATTTCGTTGATCAAGAACATTGGCGATAGTAAAGGCTCGGAGGACACTGAGTACGTATAGGGGCAGGATATATGGCATCCATGCACCGTATGGCTGACGACTGCGCAGGAATCCGCCTGTTAATAGGCACCCGGAGCCGGTTGCTACTATGCTATCGGGGAATCATGATGATCTTATAGGTACTGTAAAACCAGATTCTTATGAATGGACATTCGTGTACTATCACAGCTTAAACCCGTGTTCCCACAAAAAAACGTAGCGAGTCTCGAAGAAGACGTATTTGGCGGTGTCAAATCACGCTCAGCGGAATCGCTTCGCAGTCGGAGAGATTCTTACGATCTGCAGATGGAGTCTATCGACAACATGTCTGTCGGCCGCAGCATTGATGGCAGTTCCCCGGAAAGCGAATCCTTCTCTCCTGGCACGTCTGATGATTTCGATTTCGGTATTGGTGAATCGGCAATCACTAGACCACACGGGAGCAGCCCTGGGAAGAGCTCACAAGGAGGGAATGCTGAGAATGAACGGACTCGGGTGTTTGGCGATCAGAAGGGGTTCACGATTACGGAGAATTACTTTGCGCAGGTGTCTGCTGCTGCTGAGAAGCGGAATATGGAAGGCAACCGGTACGACAGAGTATGGCTGAGAATTCGTCTGCTCATATGACGCTCACTCTATATTGCTCACGAAGGGGAGGCGAGAAGAGCATGTTCCGCGTTCGCTTACATGATCTCGACATTGTCTGGAACATCTACGATGGATATGACTGGGAGGCTCATCGCGATTTCGTATTCCAGAGGAGCCACGCTCAAAAAGCCGATAAACCTCATCAACCCCCGAGTGATCATGGCCACACTCCGCCAAATAGAATGCAAAGAGCAGCGAGTTTTGGGTCTGCGGGCAGTTCACCGTCTGGCGAAAATGGGATGATGAGGCCCACTCTTTGGAGAGAATCGTCGACGGAACTTGGCGTGCCGATCGAAAACAATGCGTTTGAGATCGCGCATCAGTTCCTACCCACTTTGCAGCAGGGATCATCCGCGACCTTCGATAATTGGAGAGACCACGACGATACTGTCAGCGAATACAGCACCGCTACTGGCGTTTCGTCGCGGCCCCAAGAGGAAAAGAAGTCGAAGGGAACAAGGCGGCGGAAAGTCCCAACATCCGTAGCAGAACTCGTGCGAACGCAGACGCCGCAAATCATGTTCCGCGCATACGCGGTCAACATCAATTATGATACATACTCTGCGACGGCACAAACGGCGTGGGAGCTTGATGTCAATGTCAGGGACTTTGAGATCATCGACAACCTGTCCACGTCTAGGTGGAGAAAGTTCCTCTCCTACATGCGACCGGAAGGGAACGCTGCACCGCGGGAGACGAGCAGCAAGATCATCAAGGTCAATTTGAGCAGCGTGAGGCCGATACCGGAACCAAATGGCGACGAGGAGTTGAGATTGAATGTGAGTGATGAAGCAGGCCCCATTCGCACAAGCCCGCTGACCGGATTGTCCTCCAGATCGAACTCCTCCCTCTGCGCATGCATGTGGATCAAGATGCCTTGACTTGCCTCATCCGTTTCTTTACGTATGAGCATCCCTTCCCTCCGTCTCCTCCTGGGCCACCAGCACCCGATAATACCTTTTTCCGTAAGTCATGAGAATCGTCCAAGTTGCTTGCAAACCATGTCATGGGAAGCTCATGAGATCCAATATCCATACAGAACTCTGCGACATACAACCGTTGTCCTTGAAGATTGACTACAAGCCCAAGCATGTAGACTACGCCAATCTGAAAGGCGGAAATTTCATTGAGATTTTGAACTTCTTCCCCTTGGAAGGCGCGTTAATGAACTTACGCGGTGTCAGACTGACAGGGGTAAGTACGGACATGCGTGTTTCCATCCATGCGTCTCCGTCGACTGAGCGCTCCTCATGATTCCAGGTGAAGGGCTTCGACAGGATTCTCGATGGTATCTTCAAACAATGGCTACCGCACATTCGCGACACCCAACTGCCTAATATGGCGTCGGGCGTCACCGGGGTGAAGTCAATCGTCAATCTCGGTTCCGGCATCGCGGACCTCGTTCTCCTCCCCATCGAACAGTACAAAAAGGACGGCCGGATATTGCGAGGCCTGCAAAAGGGTGCAAAGTCTTTCGCGAAGGCCGCTACGACAGAAACCATCAAGATGGGCACGAAGCTCGCCGTTGGCACACAAGTACTACTTGAGCAGGCAGATGAGATACTGGGTGGTGAGGGTGGCGGATCCAACGGCGATAACACCGAATATGGCTTTGGCCCATCTGGGAGTGCCGACCAGATCAGCAAGTATTCGGAACAGCCGCTGGATATGCGGGAAGGTGTTGAGCTCGGTTGGAAAGGACTGAGTCGCAACGTCGCTACTGCCGCAAGGACCGTTCTTGCGGTGCCCACAGAAGTCTATGAGAACACGGGCACACAGGTTTGTCATTGCTCCGGGTGCCGACGTCGATGTGATGCGATTCTCACCATTCTCACCTCTACAGGGCACTGTACGCGCCGTCATTCGGGCGGTCCCTGTTGCCGTCCTTCGACCCATGATTGGAGCGACAGAGGCGGTATCCAAAACCCTAATGGGTTTGCAAAATAGTATGGACCCAAGTCGGAAAGCGTCTATGGAAGACAAGTATAAAGGCTAGGTTGTCTTCCTTGGCGTTTCATTTTACCCATATGCATTGTATCATATAGTTCTGTACATAGTTTTGTCGCGAGTTCCGTAGTACAGTCAGAGGAACTCCGGGCAATTTTTTTGGAAGTATCTCTACGTTCATGGAGTTCAATATCAATCTGGCATATGTGTCCAATCTTTCATCAAGTCTGACATGACCGAGACGCAGTGCAGACGGATATTTCGACACGGAAATGACATTTCGACGGGTGTCGCGTGAAGTCCTAGTCACGATCGAAACTCCGATTTTTGGGGTAATTGATCTGCCTCCAGAATCTGAGAAGCAAATGGTCGAAAGACTGGGACCGAGTAAGAAGGACCCCGTGTTGATTTGGCTTCAAAATGAGTACACTAATGAGCTTTAAATGCATTCCGCGCCAAATAGCGAAGAACAATTTCCCAGTGTGCTGAGGCCCATCGGTAGCTTGTCTGCTATCATCGTGCTGGCCTTCCAGTACAAGGATAGTTTCCTCCTGTGACCTGGTCGAGGAGCAAATGGATAGATTCGATCTTGATCATGGAAGATGCAAATGAGCGCAATTCTGGAGTTTCCAAACTGACGGTGCGACTATATTCTATCGACGTGATTGTATCAGACATGCACTGATTCTTCCAGTAGGTGTCAGTCCGCATTCGCCCTCTGGCTCCGAAAGACTTTGCAAAAGAGAACGTACAAACGACCGCCCGAGCGCTAGACGATACAGTTAGTGTCTATAGAAAATTTTCGGTCCACCACTGCATGGATATTCGGTTGTAACGAGTATTCTGCGTCCTTAGAACGTGATCGTCACTGAACCTACTCCTGAGACTTTTGACGACCACCTTCGGAAGGATCGTCCGAAAGAGCGCATATACGCATTCGACCGCGTATTTGGCGAAAATGCGACACAGGAGGAAGTCTTCCAAGGAACAGTGGAGAACTTGGTCCATTGGGTCGTAGACGGGTTCAATGCGACCGTTTTTGCATACGGTAAGCGGCAGTTCCAGTGTTTCGCATACGAGCGCTGCTGACCCACTTGATGTCTTCCAGGGGCAACTGGTAAGTATCACTAAAGTGTAGCGGAAAAAAAATGATGAAACATAGCGACCAGAAGTAAAGATGAAGCCACTGACCTTCGTTGCCGTACCTCGATGTCGAAAATGAATCTTCAGGAGGTATGGGGTTCAACTCTTTTGATTTGTGTTGGATCACTTTCTTACTGAAGCATCAATTCTAGCGGGCAAGACATATTCCATGCTTGGAAACGACACGGAGCCCGGCATCATAAATCTGACTCTGCGGGCACTGTTTGCTGTCTTGAAGCATAACGGTGATCAGCCAGAAGCACGGTCGAAACCAAAAAAAGGCCGGCAGCCCTCATCAACCCCGTCAACCACCTACACCGTCAGTCTCACTTTCCTGGAAATCTACAATGAGAACATTCGAGACCTACTGTCGGGTGTCAGTGTACCAAGAGCTGACTACTTGGACCTCCGGGAAGATCCGACACGGGGTGTCGTGGTGTCGGGGATTACGAGCGTCCGAGTCAGAGATGTGGAAGAGATATTGGCAGTGTTGAAGAAGCGGAACCGATATCGAACACAGGAGGCCACAGGCGCAAACGAGGCCTCATCTCGATCTCATGCGGTTCTGCAGGTGAGAATGTGCCCATATGCTAGGAAGCTGTTATGTCTAGACCTGCGTCTCACGTACATAGGCCGATCTTGGTGAATCTTGCACTTCAATTGTCCTTTCCCCAAGGTGCTAGTAGGCTGTGCTACCGCAAACAAGACCGGGAAGAGAACAGAGCGTTATGGAAAACTCAGTATGATCGATCTGGCGGGATCAGGTACGTCTCACCTGGAGCATGAGACTCTTCAGCCCTGGTCAATACCTAACGCTTACGCACATCATTGCAGAAAGGGCTGCTGAGACGAAGGTAAACACATCCCTGGACTTCACCACGGCTCGCCATGACTTGACACATTATATATTTCCAACTCATCACTATTCCCGCATATACACCAGAATCGAGGCTTGAGAATGATCGAAGGCGCGAATATCAATCGATCATTGCTGGCCCTGGGCAACTGCATAACCGCCCTCGCCGATACCTCGAAGCGCGGAAAGTACGTCAATTACAGGGACAGTAAGCTCACCAGGCTCCTCAAAGTAGGTCGGGCATTTCATCTGTGTCATCAATCAACTACTATCCTTCTCACTTCTGAAGCACCTGGAGAGCTTGCACCGATTAACAACATTTTCACCGACTAGGACTCTCTGGGCGGAAACTGCCGGACAGTCATGATAGCCAACATCAGTCCAGCTTCCACAAGCTTTGATGAGACTCTGAATACTCTAAAATATGCTACCAGGGCGCGCACCATCAAAACGAAGGTAAGCATGCAGCGGCAGTAGAGTCGAAAGAGAGAGTCTGAGATGTGCTGCCGCTGCTTCTAGGTTACGCAACAGGTATCCACAAAATATGAGCCGTACAATGCCACGATACAGCAGCTGCAAGGGGAAATCGGAGTTCTGAAAGACCGACTGACACGTGCGGAAAGCACGCACCTTCTCGCTGATAATCCTATCAGAGCGGCTGCGAATATCAGTGCCAGAGATCTGTTCCAAACACAGGGGCCCGGAAGCAAGCGTAGCAGTGTCGCTGGTCGACCCCGATATGAGGAGAAGCTGCCGCCGTTACATCGCCCAGGGACAAAGGAGTCGACATACACCACAATACAGCAGCGGCGGTCTGTTGGATCCATCAATGAACCAGCGAATGAAGCTCCGTCCCCAATATTCTCGCAATTGCGGACAGTGTTAGAAAGAGCGTTTGCACGACATCAGGAGTCCTTCAAATATCTGATTGCGGCAGAAGAAGACCTAGAGGACGAAGCAGAGCTAGATGAGCTGCGGACCAAAGTTGACGGCATCGAAGATGAGATTCGTCACATCCAAAAGGTGAATGCCTTTATCGTGACGTTGGGCGCTTGCAAACAGCACGGGACACCTGACACAATCAATGTAGAGTTTACCAACCTCCCTTGATGCTCGCGAAAGAGAAATCTTGGACCTAACTGTTCGCTTGCATTTCTTTCGAGCAGATAGTAAGTTGCAGTCCAGTTCCCTCGGCGCGGTTAGTAACATACATATCTGATCACCAAAATCTATTCTATAGATGAAGATCTCCAGCATGTGACACAAATGCAACGCCTTGTTCAATCGCAAACGAAAATCCTGATGGACGCATCCATGCTGGCACACCAGACAGCCCTGGACAGAGTGTTGGAGTTGCAGAAAGGGGCTGCAAGCAGTAAGGGAGGGTCAGCTGTCGCGACGCAGTTGGGCTCTCTCCACAATGAATTGCTTGCGAACAAAGCAAATTTTGCCAATGGTCGCGATGCCAGTAGAACTTTGGAAACCAACATCCAGCGTACGGCAGCTCGTATTCGTCAACGGAAAATACTAGATCAACATGGGGTACCAACCATCGTGGTACAGCCTCGAGATGGAGGAGACCATGAGGCGAATATTAGCGATGACGACTTCGATGAGGATGATGAAGGGGAAATGGAGAAGAACGACAGCAAAATCTCTCGGAGGTCATCAGACGTTGGATCAGGACCTGTTGGGAAGAAAAATGCCGGAACATCCATGAATACGTCACTATCACCTTTACCCGCACTGCCTCCGAACAAAAACGTTACCAAATCGCAGCCGAGCGATCGAAGGATGGACCTCATGAGGAAGGCATATAGTGTCTCGAAGCCTGGCGCACGCCGATGAGACCACATTCGTAATTTGGCGTTCTGGAGGACATGTGCTTACTGTATATATACCGCTCGCTTTTGTTCATATTACCGATACCAACCTTGGTTGATATCGAAGTGTACCGTTGCATCTCATTGCCACTAAATACAAGATCCCAAGGGGTCTATAGAGCTTCACTCGAATAAAGGATGGTCGATGTTCAGAGTTTCTGCGCCATGTTCACCGCCGCAAGCGTCAAATGGTGCTTTGTTCCGAATACAGCTGCGTACACCTCACATGCATTTTTGGCCGCCAGTAAAGCGTGAGAAGCCGCCTTGGCTGATCCCGCCTGACCTCCAGCACCACCATCACGGCCTTCAGCTGCATGTGCGAGTCCATCTGTTGAGTTCGCTTCAGGCTCCCGATTTGTTTCCTGATGCGCGGTTTCCGCTTGTGATATCAACTCTACACTCTGGTCATCCATGCGTTCGTAGCGAGCGTATAGGATCGCAAGAAGATGGAGCGCTTTCGCATGGATCTCCTGTAGCTTTGCGGATGCTTGTGGTGAAGCGATCGCGCTGTCTCCTACTATAGTCGTCAGCATCTGGATTCCTTCGGCTTCTTGAGCTTCATCTACAAGAGATTCGGTAGGCATGGGGGTTAAAGCAGAATCACTAATAATATCAAGTACTCTACCACAAAATGGCAACTTCTCGAACCTAGGATGGTATCATTCTCTTCAACCACATATTCTTGACCCGAGACCTCTGGCGTCGATGGTAGTGAAGATGCACTCTCCTCCACATGGCGCACTTTGAGCAGGGTATCAAACCATATCCGAACAATAAGCTCAAACAGCGACTGGGCAGTGTCCAGCTGATTGAGGGCTTGGAAGACAGTCGCCAGATGGAAATATCCGCCCGTCACTAGAGAAGACGACATATCAGTTTCCCCGTATATGACTCGCCATGACTACCTTCAAATCCTCTACCTGAAACGTGCTCTGGATCATTCTTGACCAGTGATGAAAAATATATCTGGAAAGAGCGCAAGTACATCAGATATTTCCTGCTCACCTCAGAAAGCGCGCGCCCACACGTAGGGAACTCACATCAGCAGCAAAACAGTCCCTCGCCTCCGTATACTTCTTCTTCGCCTTCCACAACAGTCCGAAATTTCTATTCAGCAAAGCTTCCACCACCGCATCCTCAATCCGCTGCGCCTTGGCTTCCACATCCACCACCGGCTCGCCTGGCTCTCCCGAGCGGTGCTCTACACCACCACCGCCACCATCTGCCTCGGCCCGCGCGCTGGCTCGCTTCATAAGCGCCCATCGCGCGAGCGATAGATATTCCTCCGCTTGGGAGAGCTGGCCGAGCCCAATGCTGGATTCGCCGAGGAGGAGGTAGGACGGGATGAGTTGCGCTGCATCGGGGCCGTGGATCTGAATGGCGGATCGGAGGGATTGGAGGGCGGCTGGGATGGCCAAGACATACTAGTTGATGATTTTGGAATGGCCAGTCAACACTTTCAATCACTCCACTAGGTCTTTTAACTGCTGCTGGATGTTTACCTCTCCCTCAAACAGCTTCTTGTGCGCCTCGGTGGTCGCGATCTCATGCAGCTGTCCATACCGCGTCCGGACCTGCTGCTCCCTATGCGCACGTTCCTCCTCTGATCCCAAGATAGACACTGGGGTCCTTCATCAACTCCGCTGGTTAGTGTATGCTTCACGTTCCTAATGCTACCATATCACGTGGTACCTCAAAGGGATGAGGAGCGAGCAGACCCGCTCATGGATGCTTTTCCAATCTGATACTTGATGCTCTTTGTCGCTAATGGCAGTTCAGGGGTTTCAATTAGCAACCCAATACGAGACTCCGTATGTTCGACTCGGCTGATATTCCCTCACCAGTAGTATGTTACTCGACACCCATCACATCGCAGATATCTGTGGACACCACACATTTAGACCATCGACGATTCAGTTCCAAGAGAGAAAACAGCACATACGCTGGCTTCCCACAAAGCTCACAGAGAAGCTTCACACCTACACGGAAACGATGCTTAGATTCCTCACGAACCAAAACATATAATGCAAACTTCCTCACCTTTGGGGTTCGCCAAAGGGTTGATTTGCGTCACGGTCGATACTGCAGGCTTCCTCATCTCATGGATTTTTTGTGCTTTTACTATTGAGATTCTCGCTTTCTTGTTGTCCTTTTTCGGTCTTGCCGGGTTTTCATCTGCCCTTTCGTCAAAAGTTTTGGCCGATTGGCGGGCATACCGTCAACGCCAGAATCGCGTGTTTTGGTAAGCGCCTGCTGTCAATATGCCATACGCGAGCTTGCCCCTCGAATATGGAAGCGTCGTGTTTCCCTCCATCAGATTTTTTCCTGGTAAGCGCAGACCCATGTCAACTCAAAAGTCAAAAGGTAAACCAGCTTGCCAGTCGGCCATATTTCGGATATAAAAGATACAAAAGAAATTTGAAGTATAAGCAAAGTGTGGAGGGGTGAAGGGGGTGTGGGAATCTACATAAAAGACATCTCAGTTCCATCTTTCATTGCATTCCGATGATGCCCGAAAGGCGCCCAGTCTTTCAATCCCCATTCAGAGAGCGGCCAAAATTTCTGGGGATCGTCCAGCACAAGAGCTGATTGCAGATCCCCCTGATTTCGATCTAAACAAAACGCAAAATGTATGTCCAACTCGTTCTTGTTTTTGAGCGACCCGCAGTTCGTGTGGATAGGGGACGGGGTGGTATCTGATATGTGCGCGAGGTTGAATGAAGCGGGGAGACAAGGACCAGGAGAGAAGTCCTTGATTTCATAGTTATATACCCACGCCGTCGACTTGCTTCTCTCCTAGGTGCATATGTTCCAGAGCCCCTTCGACGACAGTTGGCTGCACCACCGAATCGTACGCGTTTCGTTCCATGACATCGCAATAGCGTGCCACGATCTCGTAGCAGAATCCGTACTGCGATAATGATTGTACCATCAACACGCGCTGCGAACGTAGGTGGTGGACAGTGGCCAGGATCATGTCGTGCGGTGAGGTTTCGGGGGCGAATGTGGTGGGCGTGAGAACAGGGCGTACGGTCGACCATGTATCTGAGGGTGTTGACGACGACTTTTCGTGACCTCCGGATGGCAAGCTAGTAACAGCACTTGGTGCTTGATCTTGCACCGGGGTGTTGTCAGCATCGGCGTGCATCGGATGATTCGTGCTGATCGCCTTCAAGACTGCATCGACGCAGATGAACGCGCCTGTGCGACCGCAGCCAGCCGAGCAATGCACAATGACAGGCCCCACTTCCTCCCTCCCAAACTTGATATCGAGCCGCTGGCACATCGTAGATACCAGGTAGTGCACGCGGAGCATCTCATCGGGGTGCTTGGGCACGCCGTGGTCTGGCCAGCCGAGGTACTGCACTTGCCAGATCGTTTCCGCTTTGTCTTCCCGTTCGTCCACCACCACCCGGAACTGGCGCACGACAGTACCACCGCCGGCCGAAGGAGTCCGGTTTTCACCGAAAAGAAGGGGTATCTCTCCCTCATGCGTCACCCGCGTCCGACCGTATAGCATGGAATGCCCCTCGTCCGGCCAGTACTTGTGGCACGTTTGGCTGCCTCGTTGTACGTCTGCGTCTGCCACCAACATGAGCACAATGCGTGATTTTTGCTCCCAAGCCATCCGCCAGAAATCTTCGAAGGTACTGGCGATCGGGCCCTGGGTAGCTATGTACAACCGATGGCCGGCAGGGGAGACGATGAACGAAGCGTTGATGTAGTCGTTGTGACGGGTGTGCTGTTCAGCTGTGGCCGCCTTGTACGGTGACAATGACGCTCCGTCTTCGCGCATATCCGGAGTCAACTGTCCATCGCAAGCAAGCTTGACCCGATTGTGGTTGAAGGGCCAGATGTTGTTGTAGCGATTCCGGGTCGCGCCGCCCTCCAATGCATCGGACACAGAGAATGGATCGTCCCGAGATTGAGCACGGAATGCGCAGTCTAGTCGCCTCTTCTCAGCAGCCTCGACGATGGCAAAGTTCTGTTCAATCTGCCTCCTGACATTGCCCTGACGTACAAGATCTCTCAAGAACAACGGTATGTGCGTATTGTTCACATCGATCGTGTCCGCAAGCATCCCATCCGCGTTGAGTTCAGATGCACTCTGGTGGGAAGCGTACGTCGGTTGTAACAGCGCTGGCCTAGCTGCTCCAAGCGCGCCGAGAGCAGAAGGTGCGGTAAGCGGTCCTGTGATGGATAAGTGAAGGTTAGTAATTGAAGTGCCAAATGATCGTCAAGATTAGCACCGCATGGATCCTTACCTCCTATATTTAATGGCGCTCCTCGAGTGATGTTATTTGTGTTCGGTGCTATGCTCTCGGAACCTTGGGGTGGCGGCGAGGAGTCACAAAGATCAGGATACTGTTCGGAGAATGCGGTAAAACCTCCCTGTAACCATCCAATCCTCGCCGTCGAGTTCGCGTGCTGAAGCTTTCGTGCCAGAAGGACGATAGGCGATCCTTCAGCTGTGTTCAGGGAGTCGTCGTCGTAAATAATGATATTCTCGAACTTTGTCCAATCCTTTAGCACGTTCTTGGCGTGGTCAGAAGTCAGTGCCCCAAAGAGTTTCACGGGCGTGCAGGCGGGTCGTTTCAACATCATAGTGGGCACAGAGAGATTGACCGACGAACATATCCGGAACTCAGAGTAGTGTTGGTACGAACGCATGTCCAAACCAAGGACTGTATGTGTATTCGCCGACGAAGCGGATGTTTGGGATTGGAGAAGGCTGGCGAACTGGCTGGGTTCAAAGGCGACCGCATCTTTGGGTCCGGCGGCCTTTTGTACGTTTACCGAGTTGACAGATCCATCTCTCGCGTCTCCATTTGGCACGGACGACGCAGGTCCGCAAGGCAAGGATGGGGCTGCAGGGCCCTTCCTTAGCCCTGCTGAAGTCCCCGGCATCGACAGATTGAACGTGTCATGGCGAGGGAGTCCCGGCGTGTCCAGCGCACCCGGAGTTCTCGCGCCCCCAGGAGCACGGTTTATTACGATATGTTGTCCGGGTGCGCCTCTTGGCCCGCCATGCGAAGGTCCCACCGCTGGAGAGTATGGTCCCGCCGCTGAAGAGTACGGTTTCTGCCCGGGAGTTTGCTGTGATGGCGTTTGTGCAACGAGGGACGGATGGAAAAAGTTGTTATACGGTGATTCTGGCACGGCGCCAGCTGGGGTGAGGAAGGGGAGAGTCGTGGAGAACGCCTGAAGTGGGGATGCAGTCGGTCTTCCTGGATGACAGAAAGATTGCATATAAGTGTAAGTATTGAGTCAACCGCCACGACAGCCAGATACCACCAGAGAATCATCAACAGCGAGATGAATCTTACCCGTTGTTGGAACTGAGAAGTAGTCTACATTGCTACGAACTTCATTTGAGCTCGACCGCCCGTCGCCCGCATAAACTCCTTTGTTACATCGAGGGCTGAATCTCGCCTCGCTATCGAGGTCCGGTGTCGTGCGAGTGTACAGGGTTGCCATCGCAGATGCCGCTGGCGGCGAGAGTTCCTTGAGCGGCTTCAACTTGACAGTGTCGGTCCGGCAAGAGCGAGGTCCAGTCCCAAGAGTCTTCCTGTTGGCGGAAGGCGGAAGAGGAGGCTTTCCAGAGTTCTGAAACGAAGAGCGATAGCCTGGAATGAAGCCTGCCAGAGTGAAACTGGCGTCGGTCTGAGTACGTAGTGGAAGCCCGAAAGAAGCGAACGGGAAAGCAGCGAGTGGAGTCGTCGGACGAGGGGTGCCTTTGTCTGCAGTCAGACAAATGCGTTGCTCGAGCAAGAATGCTTTTCGCGTCAAACCGGATGCGGGACTCTCGGAAAGAGGATCGCACAACAACAAAAAAAAGGTTTTTCACGGTGGCAGTGACGAAACTCCGTATGGGTTGGGTTTAAGGGCGGTATAACGGCGGTAAGGGTTGGATATGGCGTAATGGGGGAACTGTTCTATGCCGAGCTGTTCCTGTCTTCTGCACGGGTTCGCTCAGAAAATATAGACGCCTTCGACCCGTTCCTTTGCCGACGAGAGATATGGGACTGTCAATAGCGTGACGGCAGTTGCTTGGCGGCTTGCAGCGGAAGTTGACTTGCAATGGCAGGCCGGGGTGCGGGATGGAAGTGGAAGCGAATCGTTCTAACTCCCAAGCTTTCGGAAAGTAAATAGGATACCAAGCGACGACGGACGAAACAGGATATACGAGGCAGTGCTTATGGCGTTCACTGACTGACAAAGTTGGGCCACGTCGTGCGTCAATAGGAGTTAGTTCAACCTATGGCAACCACCTTTTTCCCCTCTATTCTCTCCTCTGCAAGCGGACGTTGGGGCAATGATAATCGATACTGCATAGGCACGCACCACGAGCTCCCCTCGAGACGCGGAGAAGGCTGAGAAGGGCCGGTCGGCTCGGCTCCGCTCCTCCTTGGCTAATGTGTCTTACTATGGGATTTGCATGATCATGGGCGAGAATCACCGTGAATCGGCTGATTGTCAGACACTCATAATGAATTGATTTTCTTCAAACGCGTCATTCCAACGCGACAAAGACGTCAGCGTCATCGCCCCGGCACTGCCACAGTGCCACGCTAAAAGGCAATGATGGCTGGGCTATTAAAGACACTCTCTGAGACGCTCTTACGCTGACAGTCCAGTCCAGACTTCCAGTCGCTTGGGCCCAATTGTGAATGAACGCCCAATGCCCAGTGGTCCGCTCATGCAAAAGCGAAAAAAAGGGGTCGCTGTCGGATCGAGAACCCCCGGCGATCGCACTCCACTTTTCAGACGTTTGCAGGCAGGAGCCAAAGCGGGGCTCTCGGGAAAAAGAAGACAGAACAGCATCCTGGCATCTCAGAACGACTCCGATCAAAGCCACAGAGGAGGCGGAGAGATCGCAGCTGCGGCTGAGCTGCCTTTGAGAACGAACCATGGGCCTCCCTTTCTGTCTGTTCATTGTTCTTTGTGCTCTTCTGGTTTGAGAAAGTCCTTACACCGTCACACGAATGGAATTCCAAGGCCCCGGGCACGGCAACGCTGCGTGGAAGAAAATATGCTGAAATAAATGTCCCTGAAATAAATCAGCGACGACTTGGATTTCAATTATGGGGAGTCGCAGCTTTATGGACACTGACTGTAGCATATCGCGTCTTCACCCCCATTCCCCATAGAGACCGACTTCCGTTTCTGCCATCCTGAACTGACTCAACTCCCAAAGACTTATGCCTCCCATTTACGTAGTGGAGTCGCAGGTGCAACTTGAGCCGAACTGGCTCTTCTTGTGTTGCATACCCTGGCTCCACATGAAGGGGCATATCCGTAGCCTTTGGGCCCTCTTCAAACTGCTACTGTTCGTCAAGGCTCAGCTCATCCTTCAACCGAATGCAACGCAGTATCTCACCACCTCCATCACACACAATTCAATTCACCACCATATTCACAAAAAAAACGTAAGAATGTCATCCACGACTCAAACCCCGCCACACATCACCACGCAGGTTCCTTCTCCGAAGAGAATCATGGCGGGGTCTGCTAAATCGGGACTAAGTCTCCTCTACCCGATCTGTTTAGATCACACATCCCATCGCTGGAGCCCCGTCCGGCATGTGGCCAACCCTTCCCTTTTCAGGGTTGGTATGGCCGCCGAATGGGGTCCCGAAGGTGATCAGATAAGGTCGGGGTATAACTTTGGGGGAGAATCCCGAAATGGGAGAGTTGCGCCTTTTTGTTTCGGTGAGGAAGTGTCACGTGAGTTCTCACTGCATGACATGTGACTCGTCGGAGGTTCAATTCCGTGGACCTTCTCCCCCCGAAGCAGCCCCGAAGACGCAAGTCCAAAAGGTCCAAAAAGTGTTGAGATGATAAATGCATTGTTACATTTTTGCATACTTCAAGAAGGCCGAAGCCGTATGTCATTTCTCCCTCATAGCTGCCTCGTAGTTTATGCACGACACTCAAATATACACTCACGAATCATGGCTGGAAGCTCGTTTGTCAAGTCCGCACCCGAAAGCGGGGTGGGGCGGGATGGGATAATATTATTTCTCCAATGGACAAAAAGCTATACAAGAAGGTTCAACGAGGAGGTAAAAGTCGCGAGACCAGTCGCGAGAGATGTACAAAAGCTGCCCGTGGGAAAGGGTTCCTCCGGGCGAATAAACATCAACAAAATATATACGTATAAGGGGACGACGGTGGTTTTCCAAACGCTCGCTTTGGATATGAACGTCGTCCTCTTGGTTCTGCTCTAGACCCCGCAGATGCCAGTGACCCTGACGACAGGTTTCTGCGGCGTGATAGGCCTATCGATATCCATCCCATCGGCATCACAGCTCTGTTGCACCGCTGCAGTGTTGTAGACCGGAATACACCACGGCGACGCCAACATCGACGCAGCAGGGTGCGAACCCGCCCGCGGACACTCGACAATCGCATCCCCCGACTGCTGCTGAGCCAACGACTGCAGCACCGCCGAAGTCGAATCCGCCCCGCTGTACATCACCCTCTTGACACCTCCTCCGAATCCGTGCTGTTGACGTTTCGCGACGTGGGTATATGTGGTGGGTGAGGTCGCGGCGCCGGGGCTGTTTGGAGACATAAGCATCATGTCGTCCATGTGCATATCCGACTCGTCCTCGTCGTAGGCGCATTTCCGTTTGCGCGACGAGACCATCAGCTCTGGCTTAGGTGTTTGAGGGTGTTGAGGGTGGAAGGCCGGCATGCTGTGTTGGTGGTGGTGGAAGAAGAGGCCGGAAGACGTGTTTTGGAATGCGGGGGTTGTGGCAGGCATGTTTTTGAAGTTAATACGAAAGCTTATGCTGAACTTCTATGAACCTAAAGGATGAAAGCCGTGGTGAGTTCCAGGAAGTCGACTTCTGGTCTATATACCCTCCCGCAGCCCGTGGGAAAAAGGCAATGCAGCAAGGGTCTCATTCTCCTTTACCTTCGAAATGCAAGTTCGGTCGGCCGACCCGACAGTTTTCTGACACGGGGGGAAAGGACAAGTTGAGGTTTGCGGTCAGCGGGATGTTTGCCAAAAGCTAGTCCACAACAAAGTGCTGTTTCAGAGGGAATTCAGATGCGGTGGGGAACCGGCCGAGGAAGGGTCTGAGAGAGACCGAGACTGAGCTTGATCCCTCTCCTCACGCGTGCTGTGCCTATTCCGGGATCACCGCACGCGTCGCTCAGCTCTGGATAAATACTGTAATTGCCGTAATTTGTGCAGGTCTCCCCGTAATAAAGTGTCCTGTCAGTCGGTGTCCTGACTGACCACCCTTCATCCACGCAGGACCGTCTGCCGCACAGCAGTTGAAAGGGAGGCTTACATTACATACAAATACACATCGCCGGAATGGTTAGCACAGCGATGAATGGGAACATGCCACGGGGGAAAAGGAATCCTACCACGTAAACGACGCAAGTATTGCATCGTCGGATTCCCAGGCATTGCCAAAGTGATCCCACACTGAACGGTTAGTTTCAACCAAGGGAACATATCACCAATAAGTGCAGTATTATTGGTGCAGTACAAGTGTCAGAACAGAATCGGATTCTAATTGAGTGTACATCTAAGAAATGTAAAGAAAATGTACAAATATATGTGCGTGGTATGTAAAAGGCAAAAGGCTCCTCTATCTGCCTGTCTGCTGCTGGTAACTATCTACAAGAAAGGATGTACAAAATGCAGAGAAGTATAGAGGCCTCGGAAGCCGACGTCCACTCTAGATGAAGAGGGAGGTGTCGACGTTGGGGCACCCAGCGGTAACATCCGCAGTGTTCTTCTTCACCTGCTTGGTGTTGAGATCGATCTGCGCCTGGTCCTTTTTCAACAACGCCTCGGTCAACTGGCACTGGTTCTTCAACGCCTTGTTGCGGTTTTTCTGGCACTTCAGGGCAGCGATCTTGGCCTTGTCTGCAGCGGACTTGCCGGTGATGGCGGCAATGGCCGGGTTAAATTTGGTCTTTTCGGCGTTCTCGGCGACCTGGCGAATCACTTCGAGTTGTTTGGCGCCGAAGGAGGCTGGGCAGACGACGTTGGCGTTGGCGACCGCTGCGGGGCCGTCGCCGGATTTCTTGGAGATGTCGATCTCGTCGAAGGTTGGGGTGCCGGTTGCGAGGGCGGCGTTGTCTTCGACTGTTGCGGTCGCAGCAGAGTCATCGACCGTAGCAGTAGCCGCGGAGTCATCGACGGTCTCGCTGGCAACTTCCGTCGCGGCGGCTCCCGAGTCCTCGACGGTAGCGGTGGCAGCCGAGTCATCAACTGTCGCGGTGGCAGCCGAATCATCAACCGTCGCGGTGGCAGCGGAGTCATCGACGGTAGCGGTGGCAGCCGAGTCATCGACGGTAGCGGTGGCAGCTGAATCATCAACAGTAGCGGTGGCAGCCGAGTCATCGACGGTAGCAGTAGCCTCAGCACCTTCGGTCGCCGACGCAGTGTCCTCGGCAACGCTGGTCTCAGCGGCGCTGCTCTCAACAGCTGTAGCCTCAGCAGCGCTAGTCTCAGCAGCAGCCGTGGCCGAGGCAGATGCAGTGTTATTCTTGTTTCCCTTCTTGCCTTTCTTTCCGGCCTTCTTCGCCTTCTTCGCCGCGGCCTTCCTAGCCTTGCGGGCCTTCTGAGCAGCAGTCCTTTCGAGCTTGGCAGCCTTGTTTTGCTGCTTGCCAGCCTTCTTGTTGGCGGTCGCTCCGACGGCGGTGGCGTTGGCGTTTCCCTTCAGCTGCGCGATCGCGCGGCCGACGCCGTTGTTGCCGTGGGAATGACCTTCGGATGAAGCCGCAAGGGCGGAGGTGATGGCCGTGGCCGCGAGAAGGATGGTGGAGAGACGGAAGTGCATGGCTGATGTTCTTGTGCGGGTGGTTGTTCCAAAGAGGGGTGGGATGTTGGTGATCTCGAACATACGCTCGCCTTTTATACGTTGCATCCGGTGAGGTACACTCTCTTTCCCGCCACCAACAAAACGGCATCCCAACAACGGCAACGCTTCTCGGCGAGGTTTTCCTTCCGGTACAGAACTCCCGTTAGGCGGGTCCGTCGGTGAAGAGAAGCGTATACAATCCCCTCCGAAACATTTACCAACCCATCCCACAGGAAAGGCGGGCCCTCATTCCGGGCGACGAGTGCAGCCAACCAACGCATATCGATGTGCCGGGGTTCTGGGCCCGAGTGCCAAGCGTATCTCGCTGGTTCCGACTTTCAACGAGACGCAACTCACACCCAACCTTGCCCAAATGTTATAAAAAAATCTTGGCCGCATCGTGCCGGAAGGGGTTTATTTTCTTGGCCGCATCCGAGGTGTTTCAGGATATCTTGAATTGTTTTGATGATTGTTTTTGAGAAACGACGGGACAATCCAACTCCAAACAAGGCGAAACGCGTTTGAACATCCAAGACAGTCACGTGAATTGACGCGTTGACGATTCAATGCATTTAACTTTTCGGTTTTTGGAAGGATCTTGCGAGGTTTGAGCACACAGACGGAAGCATCTCTTTCGCAATTGCGGAAGACCCATCTCCAGTTCTGAACCAAATTAGGGTAGCTCCGTCCCCATTCGAGCTCCTCTGGACATTCGAGGTTCGCACTGTTCCGCTTTTTCCAAAAAAAAACTCGGTACCAATTTGACAAAGAGAGCACAAGTGTATGTATGTACATTTCGGAGGGAGGGAGGTTTTCTATACAAGGCTATATACGATTCTGTCTGTCTGTCTGTCTATGTGCATCTAGAAAGGCAGTCAGAGGGGGAAACAGTGACTACCATGCCCCTTCGGCGTTCGACGACGGGGCTATATTGGCAGGTGAAGTGGGTTGCGTCTAAACGGTCTGGACGGCTGGAACCGAAGCGGTCGTGGAGGTAGCGGATGCCTCGGCGGCGACGGTTGCCTCGGCAGCGGCGGCTGTGGTAGAAGCGGCAGTGGCGGTAGCAGCGGTGTTGTTGTTCTTGTTTTGCTGCTTATTTCCCTTCCTACCTTTGCCTTTGCCCTTACCCTTTCCTTTGCCGTTGCGCTTGTTTCCACCGTTCTTCTTTCCCCCGGCGGCCTTCACGGCCTCCTGCAGCTTCTTCTTAGCATCAGCGGGCAAGTTCTCGCCGACCGCGAGGTCGAACTTCAACGCGTTCCTGAGCTCCTTCTGCACGGTCTTTGCAGAGGCCTTCAGGGTTGAGTTGGACGGTGCGCCTCTGACAATCCGGTCAATCTCGGACTTTGCTTTGCGGGTCCCGGCGGCGCTCTGAAGCTGGTCTTGCGCGTTGATCCCCTTGTTGGCCTTGATCTGTTCGCCAATGCGGGAGTTGGCGTCGGTCGCTTCCTTGAGGTCGGAAATCAGAGTTGTGGTGTTTCCGCCGGCTTGGGTGACTGCGTCGACGCCTTTGACGGCGTTGTCGAGGGACTTGACGACTCCCGCGCGCGCCTTGTCGAGTTTGGCTGCTCTCTTTGCTTCCTTGGCCGCTTTGGCTTCCGCTTGCTTCTTCTTGATTTCGGCTTTCTTTTCCTCGATCTTCTTTTTTATTTCGGCTTTCTTCTTTTCTTGTTCAGCTTTCTTCTCCTCGGCTTTCTTCTTGTTCTCCTCGGCTTTCTTCTTGTCCTCCTCGGCTTTCTTCTTGTCCTCTTCGACCTTCTTCTTCTCCTCTTCAGCCTTCTTCTTTTCCTCTTCGACTTTCTTCGCTTCTTCGGCTTTTTTCTTTTCCTCTTCGACCTTCTTCGCTTCCTCTTCCACTTTCTTTTTCTCCTCTTCGGCCTTCTTCTTTTCTTCTTCGGCTTTCTTTGCCTCTTCTGCCTGCTTTGTGGCCTCAGTGTTCTGGGCCCCCTCGGCTTGTGCGGTCACGGTGGCTTGGACGATCTGGACATCGACCTTCTGAGTTGCGCTCGCAGCGACGGCACCCTGAGCGGCAGTCTCCAGTTTCGCCTTGGCATCGGCAGGCAAGTTGCTGACGACGCTCGCCTCAAACTGCACCGCGTCGGTCAACGATCTTTGCACCTTCTGCGCGGCCGCGAGGAGGGCCGCGTTTCCGCCGGCGGACGCGACGATGGCATCGGCGGCGGCCTTGGCCTTGTTGGTTCCGTCCGCAGTCAGGAGCTGGTCCTGCACGCTCGGAGCAGCGCCGGTTTGGACCGCTTGCCCGATCCGTTGAATCGCGGCACCGATCTGGGAATGAGAGGATGGAAGGATGATCTTTAGTGCGCTGCCCTTCGAGCAATATTGGAATGACCCTTTTTTCCACATACCTCAGCGAAAGCAGCGTTCAATGAGTCGACATTGCCACCGGCAGCCTTGATTGCGCTGACCCCTTTGAATGCTTCACCAAGCGACCTGGTGACACCGGCGCGGGCGGCGGTCAGTTCTGGACTTGCTGCTTCAGCGCGTGCGGCGATGAGGCCTGCTAATGGTGCCCCCGTGGTTGCCGTGGCCATGAAGGCCGCGAGCACGGCGAGGACTACCGAGTGCCTTAATTGCATTGTAAGCTTTTCCGGATGAGTGTTTGTGTGTCGTGTTCGGGATCGGAAGCGGAAACTGGAAACGAGTTGCTGTGACGTCTTTGTTTGTGGTTGATTGGCTTGTTGGTTTGATGGATGAGGAGATGGGAGAACTCCGGTCTTGGCTTTTATATTTTCTTGGCAGGTACCCCGTCCAATCCAAAAATCGAAGCAAGAATGTATCACGCAAATGTAAAACGCACCTGCTGCTCAAGCTGTCTCTGAGATGGAATCCAATGGATCCCCTCCGAGTTGACAGCAGCATCCCGTCAGTACCTCCGTTCTCCGACCGGGTTTGACCCCCGCAATTAAGCGGATGTTTCCAAGTGCCGAACAATCAGGTTCCGTCCCGACAATCGGAGCCGGATGGCCCAGACGCAGGCCGGGTAACATGTCGGACCTTTCGATCGCTCGTCTGCTAGGTTTCTGACTCGGAACCCGGAAATGTCTGAAGAACTTCGAAAAAGGGATGGATTCAAGAGGGGGCGTGAAACTCTGTGAGGAATTTAACGGGGGTGGTGTCGGAGGCAGCTTACGTAAAGACCGATTGTTCGCGATTGTTTGCATTGACAGAATGTGCCCGTCACTGGTTAAGGGAGCAGCCCGGGGTGAGAAAACCTCCTAGCCGTATCCTGCTTGCTACAATTGAGGGACGACAGGCCCCGTGCGTCGGTCTCAGACTCGCAGCAGGATGTACTGTATGACGGGCGGAAGTTTTTGAAGCCCGTTAAGCGGAGATGTTTCGCCTTCGTCCCATGTTGTGCATCCTCCGTTGTCTTTTCCGTGGTGAAGTTGAGAGCACGTGTCGTTGCTGCAGCATGGAGCCGGAAGCAGATGTATCACGGATAACCAGGAATCTTCTTCCGACCTGGTGCTACTAAATATTTTCGGCGATAATCACAGAGACGCATCGAATTAGGCCCATCTGATTTGACACAGTGTGGTCGAGATATCATATCAAGATCGATCGATATGACATTAAGTGTCTGGATATCTGGCCGTCATCACTAGACGGTCACTACGGTGACTGATATAGAGCTGACTTCGCAGAGGCAGGACTACCATGGCTTGCGAGTCCTGCGAACCGCGCGCATCCCATAACGAGACAAGAGAGCGGTATGCCCCAAGACAAGTCGTCTGTGAGGTATCAGTGACCATGAAGCAGTGCCAAACTCGAACCCCATGTCCACGATCCACGTCAAAGTCGACGGTCCCCCCGCAGGAACTAGCATATGTCGTTCAGATTGGACGTACGTCGAGCAACTTCCGGCTCGAAAAAACTTTCAGGTTATCAAGCGGTCGCATATGAAGGTTCAGCAGCCTCGCGGGCCAGTCGGCCCTGACAGCAGAGCCAAAACGCCGTCTTCTCCTGCCGGTCGGCCAGGCATGATGGGGAATCATCCATAATGGCTCATAACCGCGTCCAACCTCGGTCGCCATTTCCACCCCCAAGGCCCCCGATTTCGTTGAGCAACGATGCTGCTTTGGGGCACCCCTCGAGAAAGGGGACTGCCCCCGAAATGAATGAAAAAACGCGGCGAGCTCAGGCGGTCTGACCCCTCTCAAGGCCACATCGGACGCCAATGCCGAGATGAAGGCATTCTCGATCTGACCCAGCGAACTCCAGAGCGGCCGCTCGCGCAAATCTGCCCTAACATAGTACTCGCATTTGGGCAGAATGGCCCGTTGTGGGACGACCGTGAGCAACCCTAGCAGGCAGCCGAGCCCCGCCATTGTTCCTGCTGGCGTACGCAAGGATTTTTGCGCCACTGCGACAGTGTACGGTAGGTGAATAGCTCGGAGTCGCCCAATCCAACGCCTTGCAAATAACCAGCCAAGAGGGTGCGAGTTCTTCTCCAATTTGATTTACGAGGGTCGCGATCGTAGTAGTAGTTTGCCTCGGCCATTGTAAAGGGGTTGATAGCTGGAAAATAGGCGTTGTGAAAAGCTGCTGGGAAAGGTATCGACACACAGACGGCTTCCCCTGTGTACCCAGCACCATAATCATTTCTTTGAATTGCCAGGGCAGCCACATTCCCACGCCCATCTTCCAGGGCGACGGCGACGGAGCTGCTTGACATGCGTTGGGTGACGTGAGGAGCTGCGAGGGGAGGGAGGAAGGGTCTGGAGAGGTCATTTTTTCTTGTGAGACACGCGACTTTGGTTTAGCAGTTGCAGTGGAACTGATGAACGAGCTCGACGGGTGAATTTTTCGTGTAGCAAGGAATGACAGGAAGTTGACAGCGTCTTCGCGACGCGTTTTCAGTGGAGCATGAACCAACAGTGAGACTCGACGCTGGAGACACTGTTCCAGCGGAGCGGAGTAGATAGACAACGAAAATGCACAAGTGCCATATATATATTTGAAGGGACAAGTACGCCATCAAGGGTACGAACTAGGAAAGGCATATATAGCTAACTGTTCAAGGGGGAAATCAATCTATGGGCATGGCGTGCGCTTGATGAGCTTCGAACTGTTGCCGGCTCATGAGCACCATGCAACGAGAGGGGGACGGAGCTGATACGCCGATATATACCGTTCACCAGCCACCAACAGGGTAGTCGTATCCACTTCCCGCATTTCCTCCGCCGTTTCCCCCGCCCTGATTTCCACCTCGGTATCCGCCGCCTCCACCCCCACCAGCGCCGCCTGCACGCCCAAACCCACCACCACCGCCGCCGCTCCGGCCACCTCCAAACCCGCCACCAAACCCACCCGCACTGCGTCCACCACCTGCATACGGCCTACGCAAGAAATCAGGCACAGTACCGCCGGTAGCAGTCTCCAGCTTCTTGATCAGCTCCAACCTCAAATTGGCATTGTCGTCGTTGTAGAAGCTGGTCGCGCGGCCGGTGTTGCCCGCTCGGCCGGTACGCCCGATACGGTGGACGTAGTCGTCGATCTTGTCGGGGAGATCGTACTGGATGACGTGGCCGACGTTAGGGATGTCCAAACCGCGAGCGGCGACGTCGGTGGCGATGAGGACGTTGGGTTGGCCGTGACGGAAGTTTCGCAGGGCGTGTTCACGTTCGTTTTGGGTCAGATCGCCGTGCATTTGGACCGAATGCTGGTTGAGGGAAGATCTGAGGTAGTTGGCGAGGATGGGGGCAGAGCGCTTGGTCTTGACGAAGATGAGGACAAGGTAGGGGTGCTCCTTGGTGCTGGCGCGGAGCTCTTTGTCGTTCTTGAGGAGCTCGCCCAGAGCACGTTGCTTGCCGTGGTGGTCCGCATAGATGATCTCTTGCCTGATATCGTCAGTCTGAAAACCACATCATTGTTAGCAACCGAACGTATGGTATCACATCATGAGGAAGAATATGCTCACAGTGCTTCCGATTTCGCCCACAACTATGAACAGGTAATCCTTCAGGAAGTCCTGGGCCATCATCTGAATGTCGACCGGAAACGTTGCAGAGAATAAAGCCTTTTGATGGGCAGGGTTCAAGTCGCAGCCATCCAGGATGTGACGGATGGCAGGTTCGAACCCCATATCCAACATCCGGTCGGCTTCGTCCAGGATGAGGTATTTGATTTTCCTCAAGGTGACTGCCTGACGTTCGATGAAGTCGATTAATCTGCCAACCGTGGCGATGAGAATATGACATCCATGCATTTTATCACGCTTGAGAGGTATGGAGAGTTAGCACGGGTCTGAGGGGACTATATAAGCGGGCCCAGGTAAACTAACCTGTTCGCCCGTCGGCGTCCCACCTACAGGAAGAAAGCGAGTGGTGAGATGTCAGAAGCTACGACTGCAAGTCAATTTAAGCCAGGATTGTACAAGAAGATTACTGTACCATAAATGACCGATACTTTGACAAACGATCGGTACGTGAACTTCAATGCTTCCTTGTGGATTTGGGTCGCCAGTTCGCGGGTTGGCGCTAGGATCAAGGCGACTGGAGAAGCCACGCGGCTGTCCATCGGCGTGGGACCATCATAGAAAATGTTGCTGATGACAGGAAGTAGGAACGCGGCGGTTTTCCCTGATCCCGTTTGCGCGCAAGCCATAAGGTCACGGCCTGCGCTTAGAGCGGGAATGGCAAATCTTTGGATTGGGGTCGGCTTGTTGTAAGACGCCAGCTCCCGTAGCATCCAAGCGATACCTTCGTGCATGCCAGAGTTCTAGTGGGCGGCGTGGAATTAGGTGACAGCTTTTCGCATACTCAACATTTTTGACGCACCGCGAAGGTTTCCAATGGTGGAGGCAGACGGACACCATGGGTGTGAACTGGAATGTCGTCGTATTTGGCGAAATTTATTCCTTCGGTTATTTTTTCTGAGAACAGGGCTTTCTCCAGTCGCATGTCTCTCGGTTTAGGCTGCCATGGTACTATTTGCCTTCTTTGAATGGAACCATGCACTGGGACGAATGGAGGAAAAGCATATGGGATGAGTAATCGATATGCGCATTGCTACAGTTCAAGTGCGCACGCCAACGTGAAAGCATTCTTATCCGAAGGTCCCGCAATCCTCTCTCCCTTCTAACATGACCGAAAAGGAGTTGTCACATACCTGGCGCCTGTTGCTGAGCATCCGAATCCGTTTCATCGGCCCCAGAACTGCCGTTGGCTGCCACGTGGTCGTCCGCAGAGCCGCAGCCGTTTGCCACCAATCCGGTATTCTCAAGGCTGAGCCGGGAACCAAAGTCCGAGGCGAGCTGGTTGATCGATTCGCTGCTTAAGTTCTGCGTCAGGCCAGGCCCGTAAGCGTCCTCGGCCGCTACCGCGTTCGTAGCTGAACTCATGGGAGGTATATGGTATGTGTTTTCCTTTTGGTGGATGGCTTCTGTATCTCGTCCCACAGCTAGAGCCTTTACGGGAGTGTTTGGGGGGGGGGGGGGGGGGGGGGATGTGAGGTCGTTTCCGGCCGGCCGTGAGAAACTTGGTGGTGGGAGCAAAATGACTGAGCTGTCGAAAAGTGACAGTCGCAGGCGGGCAGCCTCAACGCTGGCGGCCTATGCGAAGATCCTGAGAGAGAAGCTTTTCCCAACCTACCCGACCGAAGCCGACCGAACAGAAGAGAAGGAAGAAAAGAGAGCGAGAGTGAAGAGTTTTGTAGCCCAGTTGTGGGGGGGGGGGGGGGGGGAACCATTGCCTCGTGAAGGGGTCCACTCACTCTCCCCCCCGGTTTGGCGCAAGGGTCTCCACTTTCGACAGCACGCGCGCTTGCGTGTCAGTGACTCAGAGTGACTCTGATAGTGGCGCAGGAGTGGCGCTGCTCCCCCTCTCGAACTCCCCAAACGCGCCAGGTTGGCTTTCCCATGCTCGTCTCCACCCGGGGAAAAGGACATCATCGTAAACCAACCGGAAACAATCTTGCACAACGACCCAACACCAATCACTACTACAACCCTTGTCCTTTTGCATGCGAGCTATCCCATACCAGCTCAACTGGATGCCATAGCAAGAAACTCTGCGCTTTTGGAGGAGGCTGTTTCTGAAGAACGGGCGGGTCAGAGATCGTTTTCACACCATGACGTTGCCACCAGCGGAAGTCAGCAATATCAAGGCCACTATGGCACTGGACCTCGGCATAAAGGCGCAAAAGAGGGCACGAGATGCAGCGGACATAAACGCTCAGAACGGCGCTCCAACGGACGAAGAAACCAGTCTGCGGCGACCGGCGTCGAAGAAGGCGCGGTTAGAGGAGAACGGGCCTGTAGGGACAGCGACGGCTGTGGCGTCCGGGGGTATCAACGGCGAATCTCAAGGATCTCAAGACCGATCCGAATGGGAGGCGACTCAAGATTCCGAAGCCTCGGACTTTCATAGTACACAAACCAGTGAAGAGACACTTGGTAGTCAGAAATCTAAAGGGAAACAGACGAACGGCGGCGAACTCGTTCCCTCAAATGATATCACGCCGATAAAAGTCAACCCAATAACTACTACAGCAAAACCGCATGCAACCCTGAAACCCATACCAACGAGACAGCTGCGTGCTCGGCACCCCAAACCAGTGAAAAGACTAAAGAGCCGTGTAGTGGAACCCATCGAAATCGTTCGTCTCAGTGAGCCAAACTTGGAAATCCAAGCCAGCGGTTGTCTGACCGCGCGTTGGAAGCCCGTGTCGCCGTGCGCGCCGTGTATTTGTAAGAATCGACCGACATGCAGATTCAAGGGTGTGAGAGCATTCAAAAAGGATCCAGACACCGGTTCTGAGAAGGTCGTGTTTCTATCGGACGTTCCGTCTGACGAGATACCCCTCTTGAAGCAGTCGGACTCTACCCGATCGGAAGCGTGGGAGAGTCTGTCCGATACAATGCGGTATAATCTCAGACTGATGCGCACCCCGTTCTTGGAAAGCGTCGATAGGGACTTGAAGCACCTGAGGAAAAGAGAGGTTGACGCTCAGGAAAGGGGATCACTTGCGTACTGCATCAAGCAAGCAGAGCCTTTCACCCGGCAAGTGTGCGATGTCTGTGAAACAGGGATATACAACGTAGGTGAATCGCACTCGAGTTGGACCCTCTTTGATGCTGCACACTCAAACCTCTTACTCTATCGATCAGGTTTACTACTTATGCACGGAGTGTGGAAGGGATATTTGCGTACAATGTGTCGAAGAAGGCTGGGGCCAAGGCACGGATATGGAAGCGGTCGAGACAGAGGCAGCGACGCAGCTGGCAGGGATTTCATCACATGATCCCCTGCATCGCTGTGCGCGCCAATATTTGCATACACCTGGGTCTTTTGTGACAGTCAGTAGATTGACGAGGGAGCAGATAGGGCATGCTAAGAGTTGGGTGAGTATGATAGATACTGGGCTTGAGGATGCGGACCGTGAGAAGTTAGAAGATGGGTTTGGCAGCGTCGCCGACAGCAGTGCTCCAGAGTCTGGACCAGCGCAAGCGCCGATCGACCATGCCCTAGACACTTCAGCACCAACCCAATCTGACGCCACCTCAACTCCCTCAACCGACGCCTCCACATTCGCAACAACCCTCATCGACACCCCCCACCCCGACGTCGTCATCATCCCCTTTTCCCAGCTCACCCGCGACCTCTTCCAAAAGCACTGGCGACGCCGGAAAGCGATCATCGTTCGCGGCGTGGGTGAACCGCTCGGAGGAGAAGAGTCTGTCTGGTCTCCAAAGGCGTTTGCGAGGGCGGCTGGGGAGGATACGGCGTCGATTGTGGATTGTGTGACGGGTGAGGTTGCGAGAGAGCAGGAGTTGGGGAGGTTTTTTGAGGGGTTTGGAGGGAGAGCGGAAGGGGAAAAAGAGAGGCCGATTTCTAAACTCAAGGTTGGTGTCGATGCTCGACCTGTCCTTATGACCGGCGCGGAGATTTGTGCTGTAGCATGTCTTCCTGATCCAAATCTTTCACATATAGGATTGGCCAACCGACACCCATTTCCGCACCAAACTTCCCGAGCTCTACACCAAATTCCTGAATCTCATTCCCATGCCCGAATATACCCACCCCACCGGCGCATACAATCTCGCAGGTCTTATCCCTGCCCAAGACGTGCCACCAGATCTTGGCCCCAAGATGTACGCCGCCTACGGATACCTACCCAACCAACTCGGCCCAACCACCCGCCTCCATCTCGACGTCGCCGATGCCGCAAACGTCATGGTCTGGTCTCAACGCCACGCCACCAAACCCGATAACTCCGAAAACAACACCACCCCAGACCCACAATACGACGGCGCCATCTGGGACCTCTTCCCGCCCACCTCCCTCCCCACCCTCCGCCACTACCTCCGCTCCTCCTACCACCTCGAACCCCTCCCCCCCACCACCCCCGCCCATTTCCACACCGACCTCCTCACGCCGCACAAAATCGACGACCCCATCCACGACCAAACCTTCTTCCTCCACCCCCACCACCTGCACGCCCTCTCCACCCGCCACGGCATCACGCCCATCCGGATCCACCAGCTCCCGGGGGACACGGTGTTCATCCCCGCCGGGTTTGCGCACCAGGTGGCGAACGCGGCGGATTGTGTCAAGATTGCGCTGGATTTTGTGAGTGGGGAGAGTCTGGGGGTGTGTGAGGAGTTGGGAGGCGAGTTTCGGCGGTTGAGGAGGGGGCATGGACGTAGGGGGGATACGCTTTGTGTGGGGAAGGTTGCTTGGGCGGTTGTGAGAGAGGGGATGAGGGGGTTCGAAGGGGGTGTGAAGGGGAGTGAGGAGGGAATGGTGAAGGATGCGGAATGAGGGATGGGAGCGATCGCAGGGGAAAGAGGATATTTTTAAGGAAAGGCGGTTTGCGTAAAGGCTTCTCCACCGTGCCTCCTCCTCTGGTCCTACGCACTTTAAATATTAGGTCAGCTGAATAAGCCCCGTAGTGTTAGTGCACGGGCTGATTCGGTGGACACCGTTACAATCCAGGTGGAAGCTTCTCTTGAATACAGCATGAGAATGTTTCGCCCGTTGGGGATCGCCCAATGAAATGAACATCGCCCATTTGTGTTCCAGGGACCAAGTCCGACATGCGCGCATGATTACGACAGCGCGGAAGATCAGTCCCACAATGTCCCCCTTCTGACGGGTCAAGCACGCCAACTTTCCCCCTCGTGAGGTCCTTCGTGAGACGGCCGCGGACTTCCGTCGTCAGATTGCTTCCGACCGTCGAGGACAAAAGCCGGCCGTCCGCCACGGATCGTCATAATGTTGCTCAAGCAGGAGTCAACCAAAACCTATGATATTTGCAGACCTGATGACGGCGGAAACACACATGCAAAGGAGGGAAAACAAGCTCACATTCCTCCATAAGGGACCATCACCCGACATCGCCGGCATGTGCGAAATCCCCCAGCCAATCCACCCCTATTGTCGTCCTCGAGTTCGCACCAACCCCTATCCACGGCACAAACGAGGAAAACTATCGAGTTGTTTGCCACCGCCACGTAACCGACATGTCGGGAGAGAGGCGTATTGGGAAATGAACGCAAGTTGGCGATCAATTTGGGAAAGTGGGGATTTTTCGACATGCGTGGAAAATTTGGAAATATGGATGTGGAGGGTTTTTGGAGGGATGGTACAAAAGGACAGAAGGACGTTGGCCGGCCTTTCCTAATGCAATATATGTCAGTTCTGTCGTGAAAACCAGCGAAGCGAATAGTGTTTGCTTGGATCACTTCTTAAGGATACCCGCCACTGGCAGAAGCATTTGGAAGTCCGGAAAAAGCCAGTTCGACGGTCAAACACCACAAAAAAATGACAGTCGACACAACCGCCGCTGAGGCACCGGGCACCTGCCCCTTCTCCGGCGTCCGCCAGCGTCACCTCGCAGCCGCTGAATCCACCGGCTGCCCCATGTCCCGCACCTCCACCCCGCCCCTCCCAGACCACGCCGTCCCGACGACCCCCCCAATCCAATGGTTCGACTATGAGAGCTTCTACGGCGGCCTCAACCTCGCCAGCATCCCGCCCAACCCGGTCGACCTCCATTCGCTCCTCAAAATCGGAGACCCCGTAGCCGACGACGCGTACGATGCCCTGATGGCGGAGTACCGCGCGGAGGGGAAACAACCCCCGAGCTCGTATAAGATTTTCGAAGAGGTTTTGGAACGGAGGGACGCGGGGGTGTGTACCGACGCGGAACGGAGGTTGTTGGCGGAGGTGGAGACGGTACCCTCGTGGGTGGATTGGGCGAGTTTGGAGAGGTGCGTGTGAGGGAGGGGGAGATATGTTCGCGTAACGATGGGGATGTGGAGGGATTTTGAAAGCTGATTCTGATTTGCGGTTTGTGTGTAGGGGCCGGGAAGTCTACTGGCGCAACTTGAGCGGGATCCAGATCGTGTTGCTGTACGGGAGTCTTGCCGGCGGGTTCTCGATCCCGCGCGTGAACGAGGTGTTGGTGCAGACCGGGTACTTGTCGCACGCCAAGCATGTCAATCGCCGGTTGATGGAGACTGCGGAGGTACATCTATTGCGTTCTCCTCTCCCCGCTGTCGACCGTTCCATCCCCCCCGCTCCCAATCTGGAATCTAACATCCCATCGTCCCCCACAGATGATAAACGACGTAATGCAACACGGCCTCGCACCCAACTCCCAAGGCTGGAAAGCCGTCGTCGGCGTGCGGTTCCTGCACTGCTCCGTCCGCGAGAAACAAGCGGATCGGATGGCGATGCGGAAACGGCAGGCCGAGGCGACCGGCGGGTCGGTGGATGATATCAGCGAGGAGTTTGGCGGGGCTATGGCTATTGCTCAGACGGATTTGGTTCGTTTGCCTGTTCAGTTGGTCCCCATACGGAACGCTTTGCTGATATGGGGTGTTTCTTATCAGATCGGCACCCTCCTAGGCTTCCAAGCCTCCGTCGTCGTCGGGCTAGCTCACCTCTGGACCTACCTAACCCCACAGGAGCGCGACGACTACACGCACGTATGGCGATACGTCGGGTACTTGATCGGCGTCATGGACGAGCATAGCCCTCTCCAGGTACAATCGTAACTTGACAACAGCCCCGCTTTGTCGTGGGTGACCAAGCTTATTGAATTTGTACCTCGGTTGCAGTATTCGTTTGAAACGACTTGCTCGGCTTTGAAGGATTATCTCCAGCTGTGTAAGTGCCTTCTCTATACACCTGGTTCCTCAATGCCTCCCAAGCTGACGAGTTTTCTTTTTTGTGAATCCACCACACACAGACTTCGAACCCGACGAAACCTCCGCCCGCCTCTCCAACACCCTCCTCCAAGCCGTGGCCGATAAAGTCAGCTCCATCGGGCCGCCTCAGGCCGACAAAGACAAGAACCAAAAAGTGAAGGCCGCACCCACGACAGCCAAAGCGGCCACCTCCACATCAACGGCAGCATCACCCACCAAGACGACGCCCAACGCCCCCGAGTTTACCTCCGGGTCGTATCTGCTGGGCGTCTCGATTTCCCGGAGGTTTCTGTCGGGTACATTGGGTACGTTGTCCCATTTCACATTCACGTAAGGAACATCCCCGAAGAAAAATGGTGTCTCTAACCGATTCATCCCCCATCGATTGCCGCCAACAGCCGACGCCCTCCAACTCCCCTCCCCACCCCTCTACTACCGCGCAGTCGCCCTCTGGCTCTGTTTCGTGGTGTGGCTGTTTGGCCGGATGGCGTATGTGCCGGGGTTGAGTGAACGGACGGTGAGGAAACGGAAGGAGAAGATGGTAGGTGTCATCGCATTTGGGAAAGGGGCGTGATGGGTGCTAGCATCCGGTTGCTGACTTTTCTTTTTTCCATGATTTGGTGCACAGACGAGGATGCTGAAAGTGCTGAATAGGCCCGAGGCTTGATGTTGATGTCGGCTGTTTTCTGCTGTTTTCTGGGTTCTGGAACATTTCTGATGTTGCACATACACAGGACTTTGTACATACGTAGATTCCCTTTCCAGCCGTGTTTTGCGTCTGTGTGATTAGTGTGGGGCGAGCTCAGGTGCAATAATGATTCTGTATATCTCCGTCCGTTAAATCTTCCATTGGCCACACCTTCGACATGATAACACGCAATGTGCATTGGCATATAGTCAGTCCCAAAATTATATTAGTGAACCGAAAATGTACCAAGGGTCAAGGCTCTAGATGGGGAAAACGAGTTTGAAACTAATGAACATAATATAGTGTGTTGTATCGGGCCAACATACAAACCGGGGCCCCGAAACAAGATGGTGATATAAAAACGTCCCTCACAATGATGCCAAGAATTGGCAGAAAAACAACGTATGCTAGCATACGTCCAGCCGGGCGTCGTGCGCTCGGAAGCGGGTATAACCACCCGTCACCGCTGCGGATGATGCGCCACCCCCACCTTCAACCCCGGCACCTCCACATCTCTATCCGCCTCCCCAACCTCCATATGTTTGTGTCGTGGATGTTGCGATGGTGGTGGTGGGGCGTGGGAGGGCATCGGCCCCACTTTTGGGGGGATCGGTAATGAGGCGGGACAGGCTGTGAGTAGGCCTGTCTGGTGATGGTGGTGGTGGTGATGTAACTCCGTTGTGTTCACCTTCCCGGAGCGGGGAAGAGCATTTTCAGGGCGAGCTAGCCATTCACCCCACGCGACCCTAGGCGTAACGCGTTCCAGGGGTACTTCAACTTCCTTCCCGTCCGGTGATGTGGCGGGTGAGGAGACCACCGCGACGTGTTTCGTGCCTTTGAGTCCGAACGCGGCGTGGCCTGCGCGGGCGGCGGTGACGACAGTGGAGATTGGGCGGCGGCGGAGGAGTTTGCGGCGGGTGGGTGGGGGTGGAGTGTTGATTGTTGCGCCTGCTGATGGTGGTGGTGATGGTGGCGGTGATGGACTGGTCGATTCCGATCCCGACGAGGAGGAGGACTCGACCCGCACCTCTACGACCGTCTCGACCTCCCCCGCACTCCCAACACCCGCATCATAGCACCTCACAAACGTTCGCTCCCAATCGCGTTCCTCGTCTTCATCATCGACCACCCATGCCGGGATCAGTTTCAGCCCTAGGCGTTTGGATGCGGCGACGCGGTGGTGTCCGTCGAGGATGACGTGCGGCTGCGAGCGGGTGATGACAGGGATCGGGACGGGGGTGGCAGCGTCGACGGTTTCGAGGTGGGTGAGGAGACGGGCAAGGTGAGGTTCGCTGACGAGTTCGTGGGGGATGAGGGTGGTTGGGTCGACGTAGGCGATTTGGGGTTGGGGAAAGGGGTGGAATGGGTCCTGAAAAGGGAACAAATTGTCAGTGTCAGTCGCTTGAAACACTGTTTAACGGGCGCAGCAAAGCGATCGTTGGATGGCCGATGGTTAAACGAGTCCCGCTCGTTCCGCCGGCGACGAGGATGTTGGGCAAGATTTTGATGAAAACGACCGTTCGCTGTCGCTCGCACCCAATGCTCGCTTCGCTCGCTAAGAGCTGCGCCTGCGGCACGGGATTCGCTCCGCTCGCGCTCGTTGTCGCTCGCGAAGGCGTTCGCTCTGGTGCCCCTCACTACCGCTCGGCCTCCGCGGTAGCCAACCTCAAGCAACCCTGCACCTCACATGGCTCGCCACAGTGGCAATGACGGTTCGCTCCGCTCCGCTACTCACCTTCACCACATACTCAGCGTTCCCAACGGACTGTTTCATATCGATATCGAAAGCCGTCGGCACCCCCAACAAAAAACACAGCACACCCAACAAGAATTGTGCGGGAAAACCTAGTTTCCCCAGGACCCTCCTCGCTATAGACAGCTGCTTTGCGTACTTTGCCCGCACTGGGGGTGCAGGTGAGAGTTCCTCCGTTGCACTTCCTCTGCTGGAAGGGTTACTGGTCCGCCGGCGAACGTTCTGGAGTTGCGGTTTGAGGGAAAGCCGGCCGGCTGCGGTAGGATAGCCCTGAGAGGAGGAGGCAGGGGAGTGCGGTGGCGGGATTAACTTGGTGGTGATGGTGGTGGTCGTGGTGGTGCAGCTGCGCTTTGCTGGTGATTTGCGCATTTGCTCTTCCGGTCACAGCGGGATTGGTGGGAGGGGGTGTGACTTTGAACGACCTGACCTTTGACTCGGACGGCTCTGCTGCGGGGATACGAGACGAACGCCCCGACGGTTGCTGCCAGCCTGACGCTGTATATGCCCTGTGACTGTCGTCGTTGTTGTTGTTGTTGCTGTTGTTGCTAGTCGGCGGAGCAGGGCGTCGACCCGTTGCGGCAGGGGTCGGTGTTTGCCTTTTGCACGACGGCGGACTTCGGACGCGCAAACCGGAAGTTCCTCACAGACAAGAAGGCACCTGCACTTCGACACTCATGCAGCTATGTCCAGTAAGATGTTGACAGTAAAATGGCGTGGGTATCTCCCAGAGACGCACGATTCCAGCTTATGACATCAAACTGAACATCGTGATATCATCCATCCAAATCGTTCAGGCTGAGCGTCGCTCGAAATGTGCATGCGAGCGTAGAGGGTTTGGAAAAGCAGACGGTGGCATTCCCGACACACGTGCCAAAAATTGAACTGATGCCAGTTGTGAAAACTTTCGGCCATTGGTTTACCGCTTTCGTAATGTCCTTGCCCCTCTCCATGCACTCCAAGGGTATTTTGTAGACTCCAAGGGTATTTTGTTACCGCTTTCGTAATGGTTACCGCTTTCGTAAAGCACCGATCGCAATGTCCCGCAGATATGATTTGAAGATTCAACGAAAAGGAAAGCTCCGATTGACATACTAAAAACAAAAGCTTGGACGAGGGCAATGGGAACATCTAGAGGAAGGGGTTGCTACTAAATCTATCACGGGGTTTACGTCTACGAAGCCCCACAGCGTATCCTGTCCCCCAGAAGAGACATAGATCTAGAGTGTAGGCTTTCAATGAGCGAGATAAGGCGTTGCGACGTCGCTTTATCATTTCGCGCGTGCCCATGTGTAAAACATATGTTCCTCCGTTTCAACCACCTTGGAGCAAGTATCGCTGCTCTTTACGGCGATTGCGATGCCTTCCCAAGCAAGCTTTTCTGCGAAATTGGAGGTGCTCATAGGATTAGTATGGCAGCTTCGCTTTTGCCTGTTTTGGACAGGCTGCCTGGACATGACTTGTTCACTTTGAGAGCTGTCGAAGAGGGCCGTCGGGTTGCCCGCTGTCGCTTTCCTGGCAAGTCACGTGCCCGCCTCGTGGCTTTTTTCCTCGAGTCGCCCGCGCCACTGGGGACTCTGCGGGTATAAAAGGGCCGAGCAACCCGTCTCTCAGTCCCTTCCATCGCAATTCACAATCCGTCTTCACTTCACCCGTCTCATCAGCAACCAACCCCGCAACAGCACAGACCCTCTCCTCCCCCACAGCCGTCCATCGCGCATAATAGGTTCTTGCAAACCACACTTTTGCATATCTCTCATCGCTGCTATTATCCCCCGCCGGTCTTTTTCCTCCCTCTCTCGTCTCTGAGAAGGGAGGAGACCGGTGTGTGGGCAGTCCAGTCTTTTCCTGAAAAGAGTTGAAGGCGCAAAACGTGGTTTGAGAATCTATTACGTCCGAGGATGCACAGTCTTCCTTGTTTGGAAGATACGGGAAGGGCGTTTGGTTGGGTCGTCGCCTGCTTGTTGGTTGCTTTGAGACACATGAAGCGAGGATGGGCACACACACACACAGACACGAAGGGAGAATGAGAGAAAGATAACCCTGGAGAGATGAATAAACTCCTCTTTAATTCTGACACCTCTACTGTCATCGGGAGTCCTGAAAATCCTCCCGAAATGCTCTCAACCGGTCTTTAGCTCTGACCTCGGTTATCTTCTCTCTTGATTTCTCTTCTTTTATCGTGTGTGTGTGGGATGTCTTGAGCGGGGAGGTCGTTTGCCGCTGTATGCGGACGACTTGACTCGCTCGATGAGGAAAGGTTACGCTGGGTGATACCAGTCGTCGCTCGACTTGTTCGATGCCCTTCCATGTTTGAAGTATGAGTTTCGAATGCCGACGCCGTTCGTCTTGGCGTATTCGGATCCACAAGGGAAACTCATCCGCTTATTTGGAAGAGACGGTGGTGGAAGCGTCCGTTGCACGTTGAAGCAAGGTGCACGCCGCCCGCACAATCGAGGCCAGTGTTTGAGAAGGCCATGTGCGGACGATTTCGACTTGCTCGATGCTGGCCCCCTCCCATGGGTGGGCCTGGTTTCGACGGCCAATGCCGTTCGTATCTGCTTTCACTGCTCGACACGGAAGTGCTCCGAGAGTGTGAAACCCACGTCAAGATGGCATCGTCCTTCGCCAACCTCCTACGCCGCCTACCGACACCAACCTTTAATCTACCAAGAGGAACTGTTTGATTGCCACATACGGCCAGCCATATACAATTTCGGATTCAGTACATACAGAGAGTCAGTTCACTTTTTTTTCTATGTACCACGGAGGGAATTTACAGCCGGTTGATGTCTCTATCTACATACGAGGATATCGGGATATGTAACAAATGTCTTTGGGTGATGTCTAGGGAGTGTCTTTGTCTATATGCCGTCGGTGGGAAGTCCAATCTATGCGTCTAGGGAATGCGGGAGCCGATGTAGTTTCCACTGCAAGAGAGAGAGGAGAATAGGAAGTAAGTGGTATGTGAGATGAAGAGAGCAAGGCAAGTGGGCGCAGAAACTTACGGAGCGTTGTACTGGCACACCACATAAGTAGTCTTGGTCTGTCCATAATCCCTCACGGCAACTCCACACCCAAGCTCCTTGGTAGTCCCCCACACCATCTGGGTATAGTGCCCATAATCATGCCACGTGAACTTCCCATTGTTATCGCCAAACCTGCCTCCAACAGGAAACATGCTCTTCTCGCTGTACCACGACTTGCTGGCGACGTCGCAGCCGACGGTGTTGGGTCCCGCAAAGGCGTAGAGGTTCTCACCGAATTGGCCGTTCGAGTGCACGAGACGAGGGGAGAGCGGTCCGGGGTCGGCGTTGGCGAGGACCTGGGCGTAGTTCTGAGCGGACCGGGCGACGGCGGAGGAGAATGTGAGGGGGCGTTTGCCGTCCTGGGCGCGGAACTGGTTGTGGAATGTAAGGCATTCGGTGGTGAAGGATGATTTGGTGGGTTTGGTTTGGGTGGGGGGTTGTTGGGGGAGGGTGGGTGCGGCGGTCTTCTTCGGGGGAGGGGCGACGGGGCGCTGCGTCTTCTTGGGCTCTTGCTTCGGCGGCGGCTTCTGTTCAGTTGGCTCGGCGGGGGGAGCGGGCTCGGGGAAGGCGGGAACCACGGTGGGTTGAGTGGGTTCGCTGACGACGGGCGGGACGGTCGCGTCGGGAACAGCGGTTACCTCGGGCTGAACGGTGGACGGCTTCTTGCAGGTGCCTTTGCCAGCGACCAGCGCGGCGGAGGCGAGGAGGAGCACCGAGGCCAACTTGACCATTGTTGCTGGTTTCGGTTGGTTGGCGGGTGGGGGTGAGAGGTCGAGGTGTGATAGGAATGCCGGAATGGTGGGGGGCTCCGACGCCGGCGCTGGGCTTTTATACTGTACTATCACTTGCAGAAGGCCTCGACCGCTATGACCTTTGAAAAGCCTAAAAAAGGTTCGGAGGTGGGCATGCAATATGTCGATTTCATTTGCGAGAAGCGGACATGGATGCCGTTGTTGCGCAGACGGGTGGTCGCCCAGCCCATCCCCAAGCGTCGAATTCGTGGAAAAAAGCGAGAGAGGATGACAGCAACGGTGGGACACACCGGATCCCTGGCGTGGGGGGGGAACACTACCACAACAATAAGGTTCTGTCTGGACTCTTCACGGGAGCGCAGTCTCATCCCCCCTCGCCTTATAGATATTACATTAGGAATCGGGGGCGATTCTAAAGATGTTGACGTCGATGCGAGCGGCGATCCGCAATGCAAGCCCCAGTTGTAGCGCAAGGCCCCATCCCAAACGCGCCTGGCAATCCCACCTCATCACTCCGACCATCCCAGTTCTTACCCACTGTCACTGTCACCCGCTCAACCTGACAGTGAAAATCTGCATATGAAACGCGGCGCGCAGGAAGCACAGATCTGGTCTGTCGAAAGTGCACTTGGACGACGGGAAATAGAGAAATAGAGACCTGTGATTGTCTGCTTTCTCAAAAACCCCAATTGCTCCGTCCTGCCGAACCGAGAAGCGTCGTTCGTATGCACCATGGGTTTTCTTTCACCACCCATCCAATACATGCCGGAAGTCACACAAACATCGGACAGTGCAAAGATGCTTCCATATGCATGCGCGCAGTGAGTACTGCGGGACTCATCCACGATCAACGTCGGGGGTACCCATCCCGAGCATACACCAGCGCGAAAGCCAGTGAAGGAGCGCAAAAATCCCTGCACGTTCACCCTGCGACTTCACCCATATTAGTCCTACCAGCATATATCCCCGACTAGCACGAACGCTGGCAAACAGCAACCCGCGGCGACAGCATCCCGTCCCCATCCCAACAACCTCCGCGGCGCGGCAGAACTTTCCATGGACTCTTGGTGCAGTCTGTGTTGCGGTGAGGTAAGTTTGTCAGCAGCTAGTTTCTTTCTTCCACCCATCCAGGGCGCAAAATGGCTGACATTGGCGTATCAACACCCCGTACTGAATCTCAACCCTCGCCCGCCATCAGCTGTATAACTCGATCCATCGTATCCACACCCCGCCCCGAAAAAGAAAGAAGGCGAGACCAAATACATCCCCGCGGACGACACCTGCTGCATCGTGAACAACTTTGCGTGCGGTAAGGTACTGTACTGTCGAGTTTCACATCCCGGACCTATGCTGCAAGACCTACGCATTTGCAGTCCTCGGACGTGACCAAGTCTCCGCCCAGCAGACGGGTGTGCATTGGGTGTACGATGGTCAGCGCGCCCAAAACCCATGAGAAACGCTTTTCCGCCACCAGACGCGCGCCGCGTTCAACACACACCTTGAAATTGAGCGCGGGCAACTTTCGGATCATTTGCTACGTCGGGATATTCGGCCAGTCGAGCGCGGTGGACTATGTTCGGTTGTAACCGGGTTCAACGCAAGATTGCAATAGAGGCCAGTGGTGGCGAAACGGCGCCTGGTGCAGCTCCACGGGGAATGTATCGTGGACTTGGGTACAAGACACATGTCAGAGGTTATGGGGGAGTTGGTTCCAGTTCGGAGGAATCCAAAGACCGCAAAAGACCGCGTGTGAGAAAGACGAGCACTGGTTCGAAGGGACGGCGGAACAGGAGACTCTGATCCCCGGAGACCAATGTCGGTCGAGAACGAGAGTGCAGGATGTCAAGAGCGGGAAGCCTTTGCTTCGAAGGAGAATGCATCGAGAAGAGAGACCAATGCAGCAAAGGAAAGAGCACGCGAACGAACAAGATATCCAAAGTGGAAACCTTTTTTCTAATTCAGTTTTCAAAGAAAGACACAAGAAAAAGACCAGTTCGCAACACATTCAATGTGGGGGGTATAAGAAGAAAAGCACGCACAACTAAATCTGATCTAAAGCAGAGAGATAGGGGGTATCGTTGAGGTCTCAAAATCGCTAACCACCACCTAATCTAATAAAAGAAACCGGGATGCAAGAAGTCTGAAAGAACAACCAGGAAGAAAGAAACGCAGCGAGCCAACGCCACTTATCCGAGCGCGGGGGTCGGGTTCTGCACGAAGCGGTACCTGACATAGTTCTGGAACGCAGTGTTGTTTGTCGCCCACCCGGCAAACGCCTCGGCCCAATTGAACGGGCTCAGATTCCACAGGCCGTAGGTCCTCGCCGCGCGGTACTCGACATCGTACTCGACCTGGTCGATGGTGTTGGCGCGGACGACGTCGGACCAGTACTGCACGTAGTCGGTCAGGGCGCCGTAGGTGCGGTGGTGCGTGGAGTAGTCGTAGATGCGGATGGCCGGGTTGTTGGCGGGGATGATCGCCGGGCCTTGGGAGTTGACGTGGAGGACGCAGGAATTCTCAAAGTCGACGGCGGGCACCGTGTCGGTGATGGTGGCGAGGAAGAACGGGCCGTCGCGGGGCTTGTCGGTGTTGTTGGTGTACACGAAGGAGAGGTAGTCGGAGTTGGTGTGCCCGTAGAAGGAGGCGAGGATGGTGTCGGCGTATTTGCCGAGGAGGTTGATGTACTGGGATTGGCAGTTGGGGAAGTAGAGGGATTTGCCGGCTTGGGAAGTTGGGGGTACGTGCTGCATCACGTAGGCCTTCTTGCCGCGGAACCGCAGCTCTTTGAGCTGGGATTCCATCCAGGTCAGCATCGCGCCGCCGGCGGAGTTGGGGACCGCGCAGTCGGAGGTGAGGACGTTGGAGGCGAAGAGGAGCATGGAGTTGAGGTTGAGAACGGTGAGACCTTCCTTGAGCTCGTACGCAAAGTAACCACCCTTGGCCCACTGCTTGTTGGTCGAGAGACCGAGGCCGAGGGGCTCCCAGACGGAAGTGAGGCTGGCGATGATGGGATCGCTGTCGTTCGCCATCTTATTGTAATCGAACTGATCGTTGTTTCCGAAGGTCGGGATGAACTTGACCTTCTTGACATCGTACACGCTGCGGATCTTGTCGACGACCAACTGGTGCTCGTATGTCACCGTCGGGTACTGCCTGGGCATCTTCTTGTCACGGTCGTGGCGGGCCGAGTCGCCGGTATAGAGGATAAAGTCGACGTCCTTGGTGTTCTCCGCCATCCAGTCGAAGGTGGCATTCAGGAGCGCCATGGGGGTATCGCAAATGGAGGCCAGGGTACCGTACTTGCCAGCGACATTCGCAGACGGTTTGGCGGTGTTCACGGAGTGGCACTGGGACACCGGGTCGGTTCCTTGCTTGTACAGCTCGTCGATGTGGATGTCGGAGATGTGCATGAACTTGCCGTTGCTGCCCTTGCCCCCGCCGACGGGCCGGTGGACTTCACCGTAGGGGCCCTGGTACGAGGTGGCGGACATGCAGCGCGCCTTCTTGGCAGCGGCGGAGGATTTGCCTCCCGGCGCCGCGAAGACGCCGGAAGAGAGAGCGGAACAGGCAATCAAACCGATGAGGGGTGTCGTGATGTGCATGTTGTGCTATAACTTGGTATTGGGATTCGAAAAGTGGGGTATAATCGAAATCGACAGGAAGCCGAGATGAAATTGAAGAATATATGAGACTTGAGAGTTGGACGATGAGATTGTGAGTTGAACAATGAGGCGCGGATGAAGAAAAGAAAGTAGGGAATGGCGCGCAGACCAGCCCCACTTTATATTTCGGAAGGCGGACGTGCCGGAAGCGCGCGCGCGCATTTGCTGTTTCTGCTACAATCCCCTCTATTCTTGATTACAGTTCCGCTTACTTTTGCGCGCCCGGGTAATGCAGCAACATCCCAAGGATGCGTTCCTCAAAGCATGACACTTACCCTTTTTTGGGTGTGTGGGGTTATTCCTGATCTAAAAGCGTACGATGCGATATGGGGCCATAAGCAAACACATTTGGAAGCAAAACAATAAGCAAATGTGCGTCGTGAACCTACGGATGGGTTTGCAGTGAACACAGTGTGGGACAAATGAGTCTTGGCGGGAGCGACACTCGCTGCAGTTTCCGTTGATCGTGCAGGCGCACTAATTCGCCGTGGGTTTGGATGTACCACGACTTCGGGTTAGTGTCTTCGGATTGAATTTAGCCCCTCACGGAGTATGCCCCCTACCTGGATTTAGGCCGAATGTTCGCAAACACCCTGCACAGCCGATGGAAGGTTTGGAAGTGTGCTACGTATACTTTGCGTTACGACGGTGGGAAGTCTCGTAGCCAATTCCGGTGACTCGCTATATTCGGAGGTAGTTTGCAATCCTGATGCTTGAAGAGTGACCTGCAAATAACACCCAACGGTTACTCGTAAACTGTGGCTTGAGGGTCACCCGGGGAGTTTGTGACGGAAAGCTGTAAATAGACGGTCGTTATTGTAGAAGGCATTTGCAGTAAGCTTGTTTTTGAAAGCGTTTGGAGTAAGCTTATTCCAGAAGGTGTTTGGCAGCACGCTTATTCTAGAAGGCGTTTGCAGAACTGCAGAGTTTCACGTTTTCCTCGGTTGTAGAGAATCTCCGCTCGCTTACGCGAGGCGAGATTGTTACTGGAGAACACGCTCTCACGCCTGGGCTTCGTTCCGCACTTTGTTTCTCCACAAAGCGGGAAAGCCAATGAGGATGTTTGTTCGCATCTCTCCGGCGACTGAGGACCCAGGAACGAACTTTACGGCGGCGACCTTTTTACTGGAAACGAGCGCTTACGGCCACCTCTATCTTTCGGACAGTTTGTGGATCGGGACGGTGTTGCCTGCGATGGTGGGAGTGTGAAGCTGGACGTGTTGTGAGAGCTCTGTATGGCCGTCTATGGCTGTGCTATCCTTTCTGGTGAGGATAATGCTAAAAGTGCGAACCCTGACCTGCTCTTTGCTGTAGTATCTTGGATAAGACGAGAGAGCGGGCCCCAATCTGGTTTCGAACACGGCGCATGTGCTTTTGCGCACGATGGGATATGGGGATCGTGGTCGTCCTGTGCTTGCGAGTTGAACCTTTAAGCTCACTCAGATTACATTGACGCGCAACCACAGGCGATGACCATTCCCTCAAAGCCGCTCTCCAACCCCTTCCTTGCGATGATGATATCCCATATGCGTGTCAGCCGAGAACACTCAAAACAGGTTACACCTCAACCCTCTCATGATGCGTCCCCACTACACTACCCTCACGGCTGTTCGAAAAGCTTAACTTGGGGTTTGCCCCCGGGGGTGGGCGTACGTGGTGGGAAACCCTTCTACGGGAGGTATTGGCGTGTATACCTGCGTTCGTTGACGACGACATAAATCTTACACAGGGAATCTGAGCAATATGGAAGCTACACAGACTTATGAGATGTAGATGGAGCCGTGAGTCTAGGCTCTTTTACTACGCGGCATACTTGTGCGTCATTCGGACCCCTTTCTGTCAATACCTGATGATGAAGAAGCAATAAACTCACATGTGCGGGGACGCTGCGATGGGTGCAGTTGTAGGGAGAAAACCTTGTTTGCTCCAAAAAAGCCAAATGCGGAGTGAGAGCCGAGTGATGATTCATGGGAATCACCCATCGCGTGTGCGACTTTCGAGCTCTCCGTTCTTCCTGTGAGGAGCGGACTTTTTCAACACAACAACCCACAGTGAGCAGCACTGCTGCACTCATCGGTCTGCCATAAACATACGACGAGGAAGGTCACCGGACCCGGGAACATATAGTTGGGCTTCCACTCCCAATAAAGGTGGCTTTAATAGCGAAATTGAATTCCCGACTCAACGACCACCACTACCCCGTCAACCCGCCAACTACACAGAATGACCATCTACCTCCTCGACTACGGCGCTGGCAACGTCCGGTCGCTCGTCAATGCTGTGGCTAAGCTCGGTTACTCCATAAGTCCGATCGAGAAGTTGGAGGATTTCGATAAGGCCGACGTACGTATGAACTTCTTTTGCAGTGTCACAGCCCCAACCCTTGCTCAACCTATGGCTTCTCCTGTTGTAGAAACTGTTGTTCCCGGGCGTCGGCGCCTTTGGGGCAGCCATGCAACGGTTGTCGACGACGGGGTATGACCAGGCGTTGAAGAAATACATAGCGTCCGGCCGACCTTTTATGGGCATCTGTGTCGGGATGCAATGTCTCTTTGAAGGGTCGGACGAGAGTCCCGGTGTGCCTGGGTTAGGCCTGTTTCCAGGAACTGTCACACGGTTCAAATCCGACACAAAGTCGGTACCGCACATGGGATGGAACAGCGCTGCGGTTCAACAACAGGAACAGGGCGGCGAAGGGCGGTGGTTGAACCATGACGGGGACGAAGGCACGCGATACTACTTTGTCCACTCGTACGCTGTCCCAGCCCACGACGCCGAATGGGAATTCGCAACAACGACGTATGGCGAGGAACGGTTCGTCGCGAGTGTACGGAAGGGCAACGTGTTTGCGACCCAGTTCCACCCGGAGAAGAGCGGGTTTGCTGGGCTTAAAGTCCTGCGATCGTTCTTGCAAACGACAACATTCCCAACCACCATCGTCCGCGTTCCATCACAACAGCAGAAACCAGAACGCGATCACCTCACACGCCGTATCGTTGCCTGCCTCGACGTCCGCGCCAACGACGACGGTGACCTGGTCGTTACGAAGGGCGACCAGTACGATGTCCGTGAACAACTGAACGACGGGACGGGTTCCCGCGTGCGTAACCTCGGCCGCCCCGTCGACCTCGCGCGATCGTACTTCGAGCAAGGCGCGGACGAAATAACTTTCCTGAACATCACAGCCTTCCGCAATGTACCCCTCCGCGACCTGCCCATGCTCGAGGTTCTCAAACGCACGTCCGAGTCCGTGTTTGTGCCCTTATGCATCGGCGGCGGGATCCGCGACATCACCGACCCCGAAAAGGGCACCGCCGTCCCCGCATTAGAAGTCGCGGGCGCCTACTTCCGCTCCGGCGCCGACAAAGTATCCATCGGCAGCGACGCCGTCTACGCCGCGGAAGATTTCCACCATAAACACAACAAAGAACCCACAGGCCTCACAGCAATCGAACAGATCGCCCGCGTCTACGGATCTCAGGCCGTAGTCATCTCCGTCGACCCACGCCGTGTTTATGTTGCATCACCAGATGCCGCACCCACCCACACCGTCATCTCCACCACCACCCCGGGCCCCGCGGGGGAAGGATACTGCTGGTACCAATGCACAGTCAAAGGCGGCCGCGAACCCCGCGACCTCGACGTCCACCAACTCGTCACGGCGTGCGAAGCCCTCGGCGCCGGTGAGATCCTCCTCAACTGCATGGACAAGGACGGGACCAACTCCGGGTACGATCACGAACTTATTTCTATGGTTAAATCCGCGGTCAAGATCCCTGTGATTGCATCCAGCGGCGCGGGAAGGGTCGAGCATTTTGTGGATGTGTTTAGGCAGACGGGCGTTGAGGCTGCGCTTGCGGCGGGGATTTTTCATAGAGAGGAGGTGCCGATTGGAGCGGTGAAGGCGTATCTGCGGGGGGTGGGGGAGGAGGTTAGGGGGGTTGAGAGTGATTTGTGAATATAGATTCTTGTTCGGCGTAGGACGGCTAAGGGGATCGGGTGTATTTCATTTGTATTTAGATCAGAGTTCATTGCAGACATCCATCCATACACGGTCGGCGACAGACCTCTAATCCGTGGGTTAACCCGCGCTCGGCGTACCGGCGGAATCAGCCGTCGTTCCCCTGCGCGATCGCGACATCAGGCCGCGCGTGTTCTCCAGTCCGCCCGTGATTCTTCCGGTCCCGTCAGAGTCGCCCAGTCCCGCTTTTCAAATGCATGAAAAAGCACAGTCGGTTTCCCAATTCCCACCACCACCCACCACCCACACCCACAACATAATGGCTCCCATAGGCAAACAAGAACACTACAAGGTCGTCATCGTCGGCTCAGGGCCCGCTGGCCACACCGCCGCGATCTACCTGGCTCGTGCCAATGTTAACCCCGTTATGTTCGAAGGTATGGTTCTTCCGGGCTTTGTAGCATGTTCGTGAAGGGCTCAGTTACTTATACTTGACGTGTGCCCTTGCTTCTAGGTTTTATGGCTGCGGGTAGGTTCTAGATATCCGCCGTTGTTTGCTTGGAACAGCTACACGGTAGTACTCTAGTCGCGTGTGATCTCACCACCTTCTCCTTCCAGGCGTCGCTGCCGGCGGACAATTGACGACCACCACTGAAATCGAGAACTTCCCCGGGTTCCCCGACGGCTTGTCAGGGCCAGAGTTGATGGACGCCATGCGGAAGCAGAGCGAGAAGTTCGGGACAAAGATCTTCACAGAGACTATTGCGAAGGTGGACCTTTCTGCACGGCCGTTCAAGCTGTGGAGGGAGGGAAGTGAGGATGATAAGGAGGCTGCTATCCTGGCGGACTCGGTTGTCATTGCTACGGGGGCTACAGCGAAGAGGGTATGTGTTGGCGGATGAGAGATCTGACGTAGACAAGGGCGGAGTGGTATTGACATACGACCCCCCTCCCTCAGCTCCACATCGCCGGCGAGGAAACATTCTGGCAAGCCGGCATCTCCGCCTGCGCTGTCTGCGACGGCGCCGTCCCCATCTTCCGCAACAAACCCCTCGTCGTCGTCGGCGGCGGCGACTCGGCCTCCGAAGAAGCGACCTTCCTCACCAAATACGCCTCCAAAGTCTACGTCCTCGTTCGCCGCGACAAGCTGCGCGCCTCAAAAGTGATGGCCGATCGCCTTCTCGCCCACCCCAAGGTGGAAGTCCTCTGGAACAAAGTCCCCATCGAAGCCAAAGGCGACCGGCTTCTCAAACAGTTGGTGATTGAGGACACGGTCACGAAGGAACAAACGACATTGGATGTGAACGGGCTCTTCTACGCGATCGGACACACGCCGAACACGGCGGTGTTTGCGAACCAGCTTGAACTTGACGATGTGGGTTATATCAAGGTGCGACCCAACAACGGCGTGCCGTCGACGTATACGAATATCGAGGGCGTGTTTGCGTGTGGGGATGTGCAGGATAAGACTTATCGTCAGGCTATCACTGGTGAGTTTGCTTTCCCCTTTTTCCCTTTCGATTCTCTTCTCCGTTCACTTACCCATTCCCTTGAATCTCGTAGCTGCGGGAAGCGGATGCATGGCGGCCCTGGACTGCGAAAGATGGTTGGAGTCGCAGGAATCTCACTAAACAGAGGATAGCGGCCAGCGGCTTCTCTTTACCATAGATACAAGCGTTATACTAGCGACATTTAGGGATCATGATTTGAGCTTCCTAGGTGTCGGATGTGGTTCATTATTTCTTCGTATAGACTTATTACATATTTTATGGTGAATCATTATCATATCCTGTTGTTGTTGCGGTTGTGGTGTATGGGATTCTCGTTGGTGGACTCTCCATGATTTGTCCTGTCTGGTCAGTCTCCGCGGCAGGGCTGCGCTATGATGACGGAGGACATCCGTTGGAGGGGAATGTCCGTATGCCAGATTATCGGCTTGCCATTGTAACCCCTGATTCAATGGCGCGGCGTTGCAAGTGCGTCTTAAGGAGAACTGCCAGCCTGCCGCCTCATAGACATAGATACACCCTCGTAATACTGCTTCAGCTTGTGGGATCGGAACTCACGGTGTGAGCAGAACGGAATATCGAACCCACGTGACGTAAGCAGTGGGAACAAGTATTTCGACAGTACGTGCTCTGAGCGACCTGCTCGAATTGCTGTTACTTTCGGGTGAGCGAAACCGGCAATACACTCACCACTTGTTCCGCCGCAGACTTCCACGTATCCCGCCGGAAGAGGAGCACAGCACCCTTCGACCAGAAACATCATAACCAAAAATGCCCACAAACCCCAATCCCCAAGCCCTAACCACCTTCCTCGCCACCACCGACCCCGACCCCGAACGGCCATGCTACATCATTCTCGGCAAACCAGGCTCAGGCCGCAAAACGGTTGCGAAGCGCCTGGCGGAGAAAGTTGGCGCTGTGTTGGTTACGCCTGATGCGGTTTTGGAGGGTGTTGTGAAGGATCAGGGGCATCCGGGGCATGAAGAGGTTGGCTTTTTTTTTTGGCAAGGGGGGGTTGTTGGGGTGCTGTGAAGGATGGGATGATTTGCTGATGGGGAGGGATCTTTTTTAGATTCTGGAGACGTTGGCGAGTGGACAGCAGGTTGCACCGGATAGGGTTGTCCAGTTGATGCTTGATGCGGCGTTGCGGGAGGCTGCGAGGTTTCGAGGTAAGGAATAGACTCGATGCACCCTCTGTATGAAGCGGGTGCTCACCACACCAATCATAAGGCTACATGGTAGCCGGCCTCCCCAACACCTGCAAGCCCACCACCACATCCACCACCACCCCACCACCCGACATAACAGCCCTTATCCAGATCCTGAACTCCAAATCCCCCAACCAAACCCCAATCCTCCTCTCCCTCACCCTCGCCGACGACGACCTCGTCCGCCGCCGCGCCGCGCAATGGATCGATCCCTTGACAGGGACAATATACCCTGGGGCACAGGTTGTGTTTTCAAGAGCTAAGAGGGCGAAGATTGGGATGCATGAGAATGGGGAGGAGGAGGAGGAGGGGGAGCATGACAAGGGGAGTGAGGCGGGTGAGGAGGAGGAGGAAAAGGAAGACGATGGGGATGAGGAGGAGGATGAGGAGGACAGGAGTGAGGGGAGTCAGAGTGGAGAGGATGAGGATGGGGAGAGGAGGAAGCGGAAGAAGAAGGTGAAGGAGGTGGTTAAGCTCAGTAATAAAGTGGAGTGGAAGATGATTCCTATGGATGTTGTTGATCGGTAAAAGATCGGGGGCGTCAGCGTCGTTGAGGACTCTCACTCCCCGTTCACTGATTGACGTATATCTCACAGCCTCGTGAAACGCCCTGAAGACTCCCCCGACCTCGTCACCGCCGCCCTCGACCACTACAACAGCACGTACACCGTCCCCTTGGAGACCGTCAAACGAAAGTACTTTAATGATCAGAGGCAGATTGAGCTGGATGCGACGCAGCACCCGGATGTGCTGATACCGGGGTTGACAGATGCATTGGATGCGATTGGGTTTGGCGAGTTTGGACGGACGGTGTTGCCGAGGGTGCTGGAGGGGCCGGGGGGTGGATTTGCGCGTGAGTAGATTGGCCAGAAAACAGGGCAATTGCTACTCAATTCCCCAAACTAACGGTGTTTTGATTGAAGCCGGAACATCACCGCAAACAGCATACGAGCACTACACAACCACCCAACTCGAACCCGACGAGCCTGCCCGCGATATCGGCGCCTTTGCCAACTACTGCCCCGTCACCGCCTACGGGCCCTCCGGGAAGCTCGAGCCCGTCCCTACCTTCGACTATGCCGCCGTTTACAAGGTACTTACCCTCCCTGTCCCTCGCCTCCCATCTCTTTCCCCAAACTAAAACGCATCATTGTTCACAGGGCAAAGTCTACTTCCTCGCTTCCCCCTCCCACCTCGCACTCTTCCTCGAAAACCCCCCCAAATACCTCCGGCAACCGCCCACGCTGCCCGAACTCAAAATCGCGGTGCTGGGTGGGCCGAGGGCGGGGAAGACGACGCTCGCGAGGGCGGTGGCGGAGCGTTATGGGCTGGTGTGGTTGTCGTTGGATGAGGTTTTCGGGAGGTGGGAGAGCGGGGAGGTTGAGACGGGGTTCAAGGCAGTTGCGCAGAAGGTTTTGTTTGTTTGGTTGGGATTGCCATGTGATGGGATGTTGGGCGAGACGGTATTGATGCCCGTGTTTTTCATGTTTAGGTGGTTCAAGTCTGCAGTAAGGGTGAGGCCGTCCCCGCCGACCTGCAGGTTCAGGTCATCCAAAGCGTTCTCGACGAGGCTCGAAAGGCGGGCAAGGTAAAGCAGCGTTTCCATGTGCAGCGCTATCACACATCCGTGGCTGATTGACCTCCTTTTCTCCTGTATCAGCTGGACAGGGGATGGGTCCTCGATGGATTTCCGCAGAATATGGAGCAGGTGCGGATCCATTGAAATACCTGTGCCATGCTTTCGTAACGGCATTTATGATTCGTTTAACACTACTGCATCCCGCGAACACAGACAAACCTCCTCATAGCCAGCGGCATCGTGCCTCAGTACTCTATCGGTTTGCAGAGCGGTGAGTGAATGCCGCGAACATGCATACTCGTACCGTCGGAAGCTCACATCGCACATTTGTAGATGTAGCCGACGACAAGGTCCGGCGTCGCGCAGACGTGCCCGATCTCGGCGCCGCGCTGCAATCCACACCCGCCCACCTCACGTCACTCATTCACCGCCCATTCTACGACGAGCTGTATAATGGGCAGACGAGCGAACTGGCGGACGTGTTGACGGTTTTGGAGCAACAACCACCGAGTGGTGATCCACATGATGCGGAGGGGAATCCGGCTGGCGGGAAGCAGGTGGTGATCAAGTTGAATGCGGCGGATCGGCCGGGGGTGGCGTTTGCGACTGTGCAGCATGTGTTGGATCCGTTTGCCGCGAAAGGAGGTATGGGAAACTACCCTCCCTTTTCCGGGCCTGGAAACCAGAGTGTCGCTTTTTTGCTCATGCGCGGTGATCTCCCGATCTTTTAGAGGTGGCTTCAAATCTTCCGTCTCCGGTTCCGTTTGGGGCGACAAAGGATTATGATCCCGTGGCGTTGCTGGAGCATGATGTGCTCATGAAGGGGGATGCGGCTAATGCTTCAAAGTACAAGGTACAGAATCTTCCCAACATTTTTGATAGTCTCCCGGAGTTCCGACTGCTGATCCAACTTCCTCCCTCAGTACCGCTACTACTACCACACGACCCCGGAATCCCTCGCCAAATTCATCGCCGAGCCTCAAACCTACACCACAAACGTCCACGCTCCCCCACCCCGCCTCGTCTTTGTCGGTCCACCCGGTAGCGGAAAGACGGCCATCATCAACGAGCTGCGCAAGAAACATGAGCATGTGCCGCATGTCCAGTGGAAGGAGCTTGTGAGGGCGTACTTGGCTGCTCAGACGCCCGTGAAGGTGGAAGTGAGTGGGGAGGAGGATGGGGATAATGGGGAGCCAGCGGCTGAGGGGGATAAGGATATGTTGTTGGATGCGGATTCGGGGGTGAAGGTGCTGAGGGAGTTGTTTGAGAGTGAGGTAATGTTGTTTGCGTCCCTGCGATACCTGATGCACCGGAGCAAAAGCACCCATTCTCATTCTAAATTCATCTCCTCTCACATGCAGCCCTACAAAACAACCGGCTTCTTCCTCGAATCCTTCCCACCCACAAAAGACGGCGTCATGGCAGTCCTCGAAACGCACTACCACGTCGATGCCTTCGTCGAGCTCACCGTCGAGGCTGACGTAGCCTCGCGCCGCGTCGCGAGCGTCATGCGTCGCCTGGGCACGTTACCGCTCAAGCAGTCGGAGGATGCAGACGAGGATGAGGAGGAGGAGGACTTGGAGGGTGTTATGGAGAGGTGTGAGGCAGAATGAGCGGTGTATGTGGGTGGGCTAGAACTCATTGATGGACCGATTACAGCATTGACAATGGCCAAGTGGACGCATCAACGATCACATCGACGGTGCGGGCCAACAGCCACATCCCCGTGCTGGAGATCGATGCGAACCTCACCATCCGACCAACCATGGCTGCCGTCCGCACACATCTGGCGACTTATCTCGAAAACGTAAGTCTCTCCTATCCGCCTTACCCGTTCTCGCTCCTATTTCACCTAAGACGACCCCTCCCGCCTCGAACGCCATCAACCCTGTAGCGCTCCAGCCTCTTCTGCAACGCCTACAAAATTTCTCCCAAAGAAGCCAAGCGCGCTCTCGAGCTGGGAGTGAAGACCTACAGCAAGTTCCGCAAGTACTGCCCCGTCACGGTCAACAAGAGCCGGTACATCACGCGCGCGAGTATCGGGACGCTGCCGGTTGTTTATGAGGACTGTGTGTACTTTTTGAAGGATAAGGCGGCGCGGAAGGTTTGTTTCATTTTCTTGTGTTTGTCTTAACCCTTGTAAAAAACCGTTAACTGATGGTGCATTGTTATTTTGACAACAGGACTTCCTATCCAACACGTCCAAATACGTCAATCAAGCCCCGCCACCGCCCTCGGTGCACCCGCGGGTGTGCGTGATCGGGATCGGCAAGTCCGGCAAGACGACGGTGTCGAAAGGGCTGGCGGAGGAGATGGGGGCCGTGTGGCTGGACGTGCCGCTGGTTCTGCAGAGTATTATTGATGGAGGGGAGGTGTGCATGGGGCTTTATGATGAGGTACGTTTGACCGTGGCTATCTATTTTTTTTTCTAACGCGTAGGTGCTAAAACGAAGATTTCAACAGCTCAAAGCATGCCTAGAACAAGGCAAAACAGTCCCCGACGAGATGGTTGCAGAGGCGGTCCGCATCATCACCTCCCGCGCGGCATGCCAAGAAAAGGGGTGGATCCTCGAAGGCTGGCCGATGACCATCCAGCAGGCCAAACTCCTCGAGCAGCTCGGTGTCGTCCCGCATTTGGTCGTCAATCTGGAAATTACGGAGGAGGAAGTTGAACGACGATGTCAATTGGCAGAGGATCCTGAGATGAGGTAAAGAACAAAGAAACTGAATATTCTGCCTCATCACTTTCTCGGTCGTCTAACCCTGTCGATCCCAGCTTCGACACACCCTCCGTCGACAATCTCCTCGAAATCACCCAACTGCGCAACCGTGGCTACGAGGACCGGATCGCGGGCCTGGCGGAATTGTACCAGCACCGGTATTGCAACTGGACAGCTCTGGACGGGAAGAAATCGGTGTGGGCTACGCGGGCGATACTGCGGGCGAGGGTGGAGAAGAATATTGAGAATCGGCAATTGTATTTGGAGGCGTTGAATAAAGGTTTGTTTCCGTGTGGGTGGACACGGATGAGGAGCGGTGTGGTTGATTGATGTGGGTTGTTTCCATCCTGGTCGGATAGATACGGCAGCCCCGATTCATGACGTTGCAGTGAACCTCGACGAAGTGGCCAAGAACATGGGACCAGTCGGTGACTACTGCCCCGTCAGCCTGACACAGAACGGCGAGCTCGTCGTGGGCCCGGGAGGGACAGAATACATGGCTGTATACAAGGTGAGTCGTCAAGAACATCGATCTCGCCAGACAAATGTGTTGTGCAATACTCACTCCGGTTTGATAGGGGATGTATTATCGTACAGCGGGCCCGTCCGAGCTATCAATGTTCCTGGCTGGCCCAACAAAGTTTGTCGAGGAAGGGAAGGAACTACCTGCTGTGCTTCCGGTACGACGGACGCCCGGCGATGTCAAGGCTATGTTCCCTGCGCAGATCGAGTTGCAGGGGTATTGTCCTGTCACGTTCGCTGAAGGGCCCAAAGGGTAAGTTGGATGAGGCCATGTTTTCAGATGGCCGTGTGAAACTCGTAGGAAGCTCATTTGGCATAGGTTCCAGAGCATCGTGCCCGGCCGCCAGGACTTTATCGCCGAGTATGACAACAAGCTGTACAGCATGGAGAGCGAACAGAAGCGCGAGGCGTTTATGAGGTTTGTCCTCTCGTCCCATAACTTATGGGCTGCGCCCTGATTGTCCGTGTATCGGATAACTGATGAACAATTTGCGCTACTGGCAGGACGCCATGGAAGTACGCATCGCTCGTTCTCCCCGCGAAACTCCCGCCTCGCCAAACCCCAATACCTGTAGGCAATCTTCCGCTTGTCGGATATCTTGAGCAGACAGTAGCCACGCGGATCACCGAGGCGCTCTTGGCGGTCGGCAAGGTCCGGCCAAAGCATCCTTTCAAGAGCATAGATGCATCAGCTGTGGAGTATCTTGCTTTGTACCTCAAAGGTAGTTGGATTTTGCGGAACGCCCCTACATCCTCACTTCCAGTAATGCTGACTGTACCTCCCTGACAGGCAACAACCCATTTTCAAAAGACTGGGTCCGCAACGCATACAAAAAGCGATTGAAACAATTCGAAGACCACTGTCATTTGATCGAGGCCTTACACGCAGAGGCGGCTCCGTTTGCAGGACCGCGACAAGACGGCACATCCCCAAACGAGCCCTCCCTAAACCCGCCATTCATAGACTCGTCGCGCAGGCCGCCTGGATTCGACGACAGGATGTCGCAGTTCTTGGCCCTGGAACCGTCAAGACAGGCTTTGCCACCTATTCGTGCAAGTCAGGGTGTGCGGTGAGATTGGACATTGGGAAGGTACAAGGGGCGAATATTGTATTTCTATATAGGCTATCTCTCGATCTTATATGCCTCACATTGGGGACTTGTACAAGGGCGCTGGTTGGGGCGAAACACATCAGCGTTCAAGCTCGCAGAGATTGACAGTTTCAATGCACGCGTGTAGAGTTGCTTACGTGATCATCAACACACTTAATACTTCTGTTGGAGGCGCCAGGTGGGACGCCTCACTTAGATTGGAACTCATTAAATTCATTACGCGTGCGCTGGCGGCGTGGGCGTAAACGCGCCGTGGTGTTGTGCCTTTTGATGAATGGAAGTTGTGCAACTGGTCCACCCACGGGCCACCACAGCTGTCTCTCCTTTCTGCTTGCTGCTGGGCCCCCGTGCCCGTGGATCCCATGGATTAATTGAATGAAGGCTTGATGAAGCGGGGGTTTTTCTTGGATTGTTCTTTGTTCTTTTTTTCTGTTCCGCGTGCGCCGGCGGCCCATGATTCATTCGTCCCACGACAAAAGTCTAAACTAAACTGGCGCCTGCTTTTTGGACCCTCCGTGGCTCCTCCGCCGGTTCGCTGCCACATCGAGGGATTCGAGGTTCCTTCCGCTTGCCAAGACAAGTCCCACGAAAGCGCTCCCGCACACGTACAGTAGCTCCTTCCACATTCGAATTTCCGACTTCCAAAAATTCAAGCACACGCGTCGAAAGTGGACATGGGCTCCTTCTGAAAAAACTCGTGGGCTAGCAGCCGAATAGCAGCCACAACACCCACCTCCATGCCATAAACTGCTCCTCCTTCCGCATTTTTCTTTCTCTCAACGCTTTCACTCCCATGCCGTCTCAACCTTCCTCTCTCACCCCATGCCCAACTATGCAGGAACGGAGTGCGTAGGTCTGCGGAAAGCTGTCTCGGCGATGGATATAAAAGGAAGGGTGGTCGGCCTCTTCCCTTTCTGTCCATCATCCCACACACACACAGCAACACAACAGCAACAGCAAACGCACTCCTACGCTCTTCTTTCCTGCACATCCATCAGCAGCAGCAACAATCCAAACCCTACACAACCCAACCAACAAATCGCAAAAGATGCCCTCCATCGCCCTCCAACAACAGTGGTCTTCCGCCCTCGAGCACCAATCCGGCCCCATCTTCGCTGACCTGAAAGTCGCTAAAGCCATCAAGGCCCAACAAAAGACATCGACTATCACCCCAGCCACCACCACCACCGCCGATAAATTCGTCATCATGCCCTCCTCCGGTGTAATGACCCAGCAGTGGGCTTCGGCGCTCGTTCACGAGTCTGGCCCCATCTTTGAGGACTTGAAGCACAAGAACGCCGGAAAGAAGGAGAAGAAGCAACCGGCGGCTAAGGCCACGGTTGCAAAGTCTTCCAAGAACTTCATCGCCATGCCCTCGGCGTTCAACGGCGCCCAATCATGGGCTACCGCGCTCGTCTACGAATCCGGGCCCATCTTCTCGGCGAAAGCTGCCAAGAAGGCGAACAAGCAGCAGCTGGTTGAACCCACCACCGTTGCAAAATCTACAAAGGCCCATATCGCGATGCCCTCTGCATTCACTGGCGCTCAATCCTGGGCCACATCCCTCGTCTACGAATCCGGACCCATCTTCTCGGACCTGAAAGCTGCCAAGGCGCTCAAGAAGCAAAACAAGAAACAGCAGAAACCCGCACCTGAGGGCAAGAACTTCATCGCGATGCCCTCCAGCTTCAACGGCGCACAATGCTGGGCGACTACCCTCGTCTACGCTTCCGAGAAGAAAACCGTATCCACTCCCACCACACAAACCGAATCCACCACCTCATCCCCCGAAATCACGCTAACAACCGTCCCCCAATCCGAACCCTCTGTTTCGGTCATCCACATCCGCCCAGCCTCCATCATCTCCGTCCACACGGCCGCTGATTCGGCCTACGCTTCTGATATCGAGACCGCCAAGGGACGTACGTCGAAAAAGACCTCGAGACAAACGCTGAACCCGTTCTCGGGGCCTGCTTTCCCTGTGCTTCGCATCTAGGGGAACACTGATATTTGTCGGATATACCATCCGCACAAGTTCTTATCCCACCCTTGCTCTCGTACATACTCTTTTTGGACTCGGTTTTAGTAGATTATCTAGTATAAATGCTCGGATTTTGGCCTCCACTTCTGTCTGGCCATAATTGTTCATCCACATATTCCCACCCTTTGTATACATTCCACGCTTCACAAGTTGTGCCGCTTTCGGCATGCCTCATTGCAACTATTGGTTTTACATGTTGTTATATAAAATACATATACGTGAAACAAAACTTGATTTCGTTGCGATCTTGGTCTGTTGTTCCAATGTTTCAGATTCCGCTCGCCGAGAAAGAGTATGCGGCCGGTGGTGTGGTTGAAGTCCAAGAGGCGTCAGAGAAGTATTAGCTAGGAACGCTACTTCCCTCGAATGCCGTGGCGCTATATAGAGGGAGACCAACGTTTTCTGGTTCGCGGACGTGAGGGTGTAGGCTATGGGGCCATTAAGGATGGCTCCCCATAGTAGGCCTCGTCGGACTGATGAAACTTGAGAACACTCGCCTGTCAATAGTGTCATTCTGTGACATAAGCGCCTGTCAATTTGTCGGAGGGATATTTTTCTCAGAATGCCGATTAAGGAAGGCATACAGGCACAGCGAGCAAATATCGTTGAGGGGGTGGAAGAGTGTTGTGAAGGGTAAGGAACTGGGGATTGGATGCTCCTGGGTTTGATTGCGTTTGAGACTGGAGGACTGATTTGATGGGAATATCTTTTGTTTTGCAGTGGAGCCAAATCGCCCGGACTGAACAAAGCTGAAAGCACCGCTTCCGGACGCCCCGGGCATCATCCCTCGTCCGACGAAGAAGGATTTCATCAAAATCAACGCATTGGACCCAATCAACTCCAGTAAGGAAACACAACCATCTCCACATCATTAAACAAGAAGAAAGGACTCGGGCGGGATCGAACGTATCAATCTTTCGCGGTGCCTGATGCAAACTGGATGGAGAGTGTTGGAGGGGAAGAAGGGGTGTGTTGGAGTCCCGAGTGGGATTGGACATTGATGTGTGTTTGGGGCGTGTTCCTACATCTTTACACTTGTACGCTACCATCAATCATATGCGTGATGTTCGAAGTGACGGCTGGGAGTCGTGCGTGGGAGTGACATTATTGTTAAGATAGGATGTAGGGGTTTTCTGAGATGCGGGCGGCACGCATAACGAACTCTTTCATTGGAGGGCTTTATGACGGAGAAGCAGCGTCCATCCGTGTGGTCTGATGTCGGTTGACCGGAAGAACGCTGGAGCCTTGAACGGGAGATGAAACGCGTGGGTCTGTGCGTGACACTCTCTGCGACTCGCATTTCTGGGCATTCCTGGGGGGCAGGCCGCAATCCGCAAAGCATGGCTGGCATGGGACAAACCTCAAAAGTCCCCACCATCACCGCAACATTGCAGCGCACTTCATATAAGAGTATTGCAGCAGTCCGCTAAGCCTTTCCCTCCCCGAATGCTGCCCAGGTTATCCGCAACCTAGCGCCGTGAAACTTCAGTATGTTTCCATAAGTTAAAGCGGCCCTTGTTATCCCTTTCCCACAGCGATATGATCTTGACCGATAACTCACGCCCAAATAGCACATAGTCCAACCCGCCTGTCATGCCGCGGTCGTCCAAGACCCGAGTCTCCTACTCCATAAGAGAAGACTATGGGGACCGTCAACTCCATCGCTCGGGCATCAACGCTCTCGCGCTCGACGAGACGACCCCGACAGAACCGGACGGAGCACCCGGAGGCATTCTGTTCACAGGAGGGAGGGACACGATAGTGAATTCATGGGACTGCCACATCGATTTCGCAAAGCAGAACCAGCTCGCGGAACAACGGGAAGCGAGATGGCGCGAACGTCACTCACGAATGGAAAAGGACCGCGTCGACTCGTATTACGGGTCGCCTCAGCAGCAGAGCCTCAGTGTAGGAGGGGGCAGCGGAGCGTCGAGGGAGGTCTCATCGTGGTCGAGGGCGAGCGCTCGACGAAACAGAACGCAAGTGACCTCAAAGTTTGCGGCGTCGTCTCGACATTCGATGATCTATCCCTCCGATGAACCACAGAGAGAGGGGGGCAGTAACAGACACTCGATGGTGGACTCCCCTGCAGCGCTGGATACGGTGGGGCAGATGCTTGGAGACCATTCTATCTCATCGTCACCACCCAGTTCTCCGATTTCACCAATCAGTCTGCAGGACAGAAAGGATTGGGGGGATCACCGCGATGCTCGGATGGAGACCGACCGGCGTCCGGCGAATGGGCTACATATACATCATCAAGTCGATTTTGCAAAGAGGGAGACGGGTTTGACTAGAGACAAACGGAGCATTACGTTTGGGGGGTCGCCTGCGTCGCATCACAACTTTGCGCTGATGAGTAGGAGTGAGTCGGCGATGAGCGTGGATAGGGGACCGAAGCACCACAGATTTTTAGGGGTATGCAGCAGTTCAGAGTGGTGCTGTCGTATGATTGGTTATCACGAGCACCTCTGACTGGAGCCTGTTTGCAGACATCCACACCACCAACGACGTTAAGACGCACGTATCAACACCACAGCGACTGGATAAACGACTTAGTCCTCTGTAACAACAATCAACATAGTATGCACACGTCTCCAATTTCTTTCTCCTCGTCCTTCACCCCGTGTATGCTCACCGTTGCAGTCGCTGTACAGTAATTTCCGCCTCGAGCGACCGGACCGTGTGTATCGCCAGCACAACAACGCAAAACAGCATGCCGCACATCATCGGTCATCACTATGACTATGTCCGTTGCTTAGCGTATTCCCCGCATCGCGGCTGGGTCGCGTCTGGGGGGTTGGACCATCGGATTCTGCTGTGGGATTTGGGCGAGGGCCGGGGGCCGGTGGGGACACTGTCGATATCGGAGACTCCTGAAGGTGTGAGGATTGGTACATCCGCATCTGGTTATGCCTCCAATCATAACAACTTGTTCCTTCTAGTTCTGCTCAACGAGGAGTCCCCGACCGCATCCATCTACTCGCTTGCTTGCAACCCCGGAGGCTCCGTACTGGTGTCAGGGTCACCGGATAAGGTCCGTGTCGCAGAGGGACTGGGATTACTCTACCGCTCTGTAGGCGTAGCCTCGCTGACATTGCTCTATCACGCAGTGCGTACGCGTGTGGGACTTCCGCGCAGGCAAGAACGTTATGCGCTTACAAGGACATACCGAGAACATTCGCTCCCTGCTTGTCAGCGACGATGGTCGACGGGTATGACCGACCACCTGCATCCCAATATCCCGCGCTTGATTTCGTTCTAAAAACCCTCGAACCCGTAGGTCCTTTCATCTTCCTGCGACTCCACAGTCAAAATGTGGTCCCTAGAATCCCACAAATGCATGCACACATATTCGCATTTCGAGGACTCGGTGTACTCTCTCTACTCCACGGACCCCGATCTGGATACCTTCTGGACGGGCGGCAAGGATGGATGGGTCACAAAGGTGTCAAGGTCAAAGACGCTGGATACGTCGGATGATCTGCTGGAGGTCGTGGCGGTTTGCAAGGAGGATGGGCCGGTGCACAAGGTTAGAGACGCTTACTTGCTGGGCGGTTGATGGTTGTGTTTTGCAATGATCTGATTGGTGGGTTGCGCAGGTGGTTGCTATAAACGATCTGTACATCTGGACAGCGACGTCTAATGCGAAAGTGAATCGCTGGGTAAGGCGAGAGCCCTTAAACATTGACAACCGTCCCCGAGATCCCCACCTCACCCATGCTTCCTCAACAGCGCGACATCCCCTTCCAGCACACCGACTTCCTAGAATCCGGGCGCACCTACGACCCCGCCGACGAGTCGGAACGCGTCATCATCCCCCGCAAAGCCATGCTAACCATCCCGCACTCCAAAGACCTCGACGAAGCCAGCACCCTGCGCAGCTACCGCCCCTTCTCGATGAACGCGAGCGAGCGCATGTCGTTGTTTAATCGACGGAAGGATGCGGCTACTTCGGTTTATGCCATGTCGATGGATGTGTTGAGGCCGGATACGGCGCCGGCTGTGGAACCTGCGTGGAAGGAGCCTGATGGTGTTATCAAAGGTTTACAACCGTGCGAATCGTTTTTCATGGCCGCCAGGATCAGTACGCTAATGGAAGTGCGATCTGTTTCAGGCACACCGGGAATCAACAGATTCGTGATGCTAAACAACAAACGCCACGTCCTTACCCAAAACACCGCCAACGAGGTCGTGCTATGGGACATTGTGCGCTGCGTCAAGCTGCAGGCATTCGATTGCACGTTCACTGAAGCGCTGGAGAAATGTCAAAACCCGATTGATTGGGTGTCGCAGTGGTGCTCGGTTGATATACATAATGGGGTAGGTGGTGCTGTTCTGATACCTGTATCGATTTTCGGTCTTTACGAAGATGGCTAAGAGAATGGGCGGTTTTGTAGTCGCTTGTTGTGCATCTTGACGAAGCGCGATGCTTTGAAGGCGAGATATTCCATGAGGACAGCGGTGTGGAGGAGCCGCCGGAAGCCGAGGAGCAGAGAAGTAGGCCAAACTGAATAATTCCAAGCGTCAATCAACGCAATCTCACTAGCTTACTATTGTCACCGTAGTCAACATCGGTAAATGGGTTCTAACCCTCCTCTTCCAGGCCTTCACCGCAGCGTACCATCTCCCTGCAGACGACAGCGCTAGTTCAGGTGATGCGGACGTTGGAAGGCAGCCACTGGGAAGGAGGGACGGAGTCGAAAGCGAGGAATCGTCCAACGAGGCAAGCCTTCCTGCACGGCTGAGCTTGGAAACGGCGATGACGGAGGGTGGGATCGTTGAAGAACGTCCGAATGATGCGGTTGGGGAGGTCCCAAGAACGTCGCTACAAAATCTAGGTCATGATAGCATACCCGAAGATCGGGAACCAGGGATGCCGCCGCGGAATCGCGCGGGAGGGTCAAGTCAAGCCATCATTGCTGTCCCGCCGCCGCCTATGAGCGATCCACCACCTGAAGCGTTCAGCCAGGCGTCGTCGATGCATTCGCTGTACAAGCAAGCGCAGGGTCATGTCCAGGAACTGGAGCCGATTCATACTATCGAGGCCGCGGAAGCCGTCCCAGCAAAAGTGTCACCTCTACCGCCGTCCCCCGAGTTTTCGCGGTCGCGACAGACTTCAGCTACATCGTCGAAAGGGCCGGAACGGAACGCATCGCTCATGGATAAGTTGAAGACGCACGTTAGACGACGAGCGAGTTCCGTCCGGAGCGACGATCTGAAGACTGCGAATCTCCGACCTGTTGAAAAGGACAACAACAAGCAAGGCGCCGCGGGTAACTTGACTCATCTCCGAACCAGCAGCAACGGGCCCGATCCAGCAGACGACAAGCGACCCCACACACCCTCGAACCCCGACTCCGCCTCCCTCCAAAGCACTACCACCCCCGCCGTAGTATCAACCCCACACGAACCCCGCGACTCGTCCCACACCACCCAACCCTCCACCAGCTCCCTCTCCGACTCCCTCGACTCCCTCCACGGTCGCCCCAACCTTCCCAAACGCACCGACTCCGCCCACGCAATCATCCTCCCCCCGCGCACTCTCTTCGCCTCCGGCTTCCTCAACCCTGACGAAACCCCGCACATCTCCATCCCCCCCACCGTGCGCGTCATCATCAGCGTCGAGGAGTCGGAGGAGGCCGCGGCGTTCTTGGATGTGTATAGAGGCAAAGTGGGGGATATGGGAGGGATGGGGGAGGTGGAGAAGTTGCAGGCGGTGCTGCCGACGTGGGTATTTGAGGCGGCGGTGCAGGGGAAGGCGGTAATGCCGAAGGAGAATGTGAAGGTGGCATTTATGTTGTATCCGATGCCGGGGAATTCAGGGCCGGATATTCCTAGGAGGTATGCAAAGGTTTCTCTTCTTCCCCCTCTCTCTCCCCCCCCCCCCCCCCCCCTCCCCGCGTTTTTTGCTTGCCCTTCCTTTCATTGGAATAACCCCTTTTGTACATTTTCATTTTCCAGTGGAACACGCTTAAGCGCCAACCGCATGCTCAAAATGCGCAAACTGATGGGTTTTGTCGTTGAGAAACTCGGCCTCGCGCCATCTCCCGAGCAGCGCCGCCAGAACCCTGAAGCCGCCGGAGAGTTCAACCCTGAGGATTTCGTTGAGATTCTTTGTCAGGATAAGGTATGTACACACCTCCGATCTGCACCTTCCCCTTCCATCTGTGTGGGTTGTAAAGCGAGGTTGACTAATGATTGTGGTTTCATTTAATGTTTATTCAGGTCGCACACCCGAACATGACCCTCGGCGCGGTCAAGCATCATCTCTGGAAAGGCGGGTCCGAGCTGAGTTTGTTCTTTCAGCGGAAGCAGGGCATTGCGGGGGATCCCGCTGTTTGTCGGTGACGATCCCTTTCGCCTCCAGTGTTGTCTCTGTCCCATTTCCGTTTTCTCTTTTTTTTTTTTGGTGGGCTGTTCCAGTTTGGACTTTGTGGCGGATTTGGTTTGGGGGAGACTTTTCATCTAGAGGGTTTGTTTAGATTCACTATGTATGTTCTTCACTGTATGTACCAACCAAACACCCTGACATTTGGTCGTTATACTGTATGTACTCAACGATAGCGGCGGCGTTCCGCAAGAGTGCTCCAACTCGAGCCATCTCGGAAATCTCAAGTTCAGAAGGGAAGCACATGTAGACGCAGTTGGGCACGATTGCATGAAATTGAAGACACCGCAAGGAGGCAAGCTGCATCGCCCCCAATTTCAGATGATTACATCTTCTCCCGTCGAACTCCTGTCAGCGTGCTCACCCCCACTTCCATACACAGCTTTACTCTGTGCCACCAGACACATCGAGGATGCTCGCGGAAATCTTATTCGTCATTCAAAAATAGTGCAAACGTCAAGGCACTGGCCCACGAGCAAGGACCATGATCTCCATGATGGCCGACTCAGGGTCAAGAAATTTGACAGCTATATCCGACATGCCGATTTGTTTTGTTGCCATACTAACAGAAGGGATGCGGAATGTTGTGCGCAGCGATGGGGAGTTTGAGGGGGCGTCGCGGAGGGTAAAGCAGCGGACTCGGATGCTCAAGGAGGCAACTTACGTGTAGGAGAGCATTCTCACCCTTTATGTCAGCCATGCCCTATATGAAACGCGTGAAATGTAACCTTTGACAGCATTTTGACAGTATAGATTGTGTCATCCAAGAAAACGCGAAAACGCGTTTCTGGTCTTCCAAGTCTTGCCCCTTTGAAACGCGAATGGTCTCCGGTTTGTTCTACAACCGCTGTCATGTTTTGGGAATATCTATGTTCACCTTCAGTAGTTTCGCGCACTCTATGGATACGCGGAGGGTATGCACACAGGGGATGGTTGGATTCGATTTTGTTTTCTCAGCAGATTCCTGAATGTTGAAGGGATCCCAATGCCTGCCTGCGTGCACGACGCATGCTTGAAAACTCAAAGATATTGGGAATGCTCCGGCAGGTGGTGCATGACCCCACTTCCACGCCAGCCGTGAGGTAGTGTGGGGAAGGAGATTGTTTGCCTTCTCCTCCATCCCTCCGTTCCACCTTTGTGCCAACATCGCCGCTGTAGCCATGCCTTCGGTGTCCCTCACGCGCTTCTCTCTTCATCATTATCCGACTTTGCTGCAGTTATGTTGCCGTTCAGTTCTTCGTTAAGCTGCATCAGAACCCCCTGCATGAGGCTGCTCTGGGGTTGGTGGGGTTGGCTGAATGATAGGTTGCACACATCACATGGAGTATGGTTTGGGCGGGGTGATTGAACGCCAGGTCACTACCGATTCGCTCAGTTGCCGTCTTGGCCTCACAGTAGGTTACTGTATCGAAATCCGAAGCTCCATATCACTCAAGTGGAAAATCTGTGCGTCCGCGTCTCGCTTCCTCCAGTTGCCTCCGCAACAGCCCTATGTCCGCCATTACCGAAAGAAAGCTAGAAAAAACAGTGACAGCGTGAGCGCTCGCATTACCTCAAACGGCATTAAGGAGTTATATGTGACCTTGGTGTAGTGGGAAGGATGGGGAAAGACAGAGATGAGCATCGGACGAGATGACGGATAGCCCTTGGGAAAATGTACATGCCTAATCGTTGGTGAGGTGAGGGGCTTCGCAGGCGTCACAGCCATTATGGACGGTATAGCGGGCTGACACAGCGTTGGACGGAGTAGCGGCGTACGGACGGGTTGGGGTTTCAATGGGACAATGTGGGTTTGGCATGGCATCGCATGTCGGAGTTGCAGCTTTCGCGAGACGCGTCAAAACTGAACTTGCTTACGTGTGCTTGTTTCCGGTCATTTTCCGCGACGACATGGGCGGTCTCGGCAACCCCTCCTGCTATGTTTGCAGCGATGCTTTGTCTGTCTTTGTACGAAGCTCGGTACTTGGATGCGCTGCGTGTCTACCAGCGCCCGCGGAAAAAATCCCGTTCCGGTCCATTGCGGTTATAACCGATGGCAGTCGCTGTCAGGATTGCAACAACCATTCCGACGCGCTGGATAGCAGTAACGCGGACTCAAGATGAAGCCTCGCTTGGAATGAAACGAATACTGAATCAATCCTTTTCCATGCCTTCGTTAGCCTATTTGAATTATTTACTCGGGCCAGCGACGGAAACCACCGCCAGAAATCCTTGCTGAGGAAGGAGATGACGAAGGTCCATAGTCCCAGTGTGACTTCTAGTGCAATGCTCGTTCGATCGATCGACTGTGAAGTTCATATTCGATGAACATCTAGATTATGGGCTCGAAGATGATGTCAAGACAAGAATCTCTACGTTGACGGTTGCTTGACAGCATTTCCTCTTACGCTAGATTGATAAATACTAATGAGATGTCACTACGCCTACTATCCCACGTTGGTATTCGCGACATCTGTCTCCGAGAACCTGTAGGTGAATCATTCGTACTCTTCCTTGCCGTTATGTGCCACGTACTGCAGCCTCGTCCGCCGGTAAGTCCTGCTCAACTCAACCGCCTTTAGCTCCTTTTCCAGCTTCTCCACGACCTCATCATGGATATCGCCATTTTCGTTCCACCTCCACACCTGTCGTGCCACGCCCTCAGGGTCGCCATTTACAGCCGATGACGACCCCATCTCGGCCTCCATCCTCCTCGAAACTTCCTCACTCCCCCTCCGAATAATCCCATCCAGTTCTTTGCTGCTCGTCCACGTAACCTTCCTCGCATCCACCAGCTTCTGCAACGTCTGCCCGCCATACATCGCCCTCCACGCCGCATTGATCCGGAACACGTTGTACGTGAAAAACACATTAGCGACTGTTACGTGGAACTTTGCGATATACAGCGAACTCGGCAGCGCCAACGACCACAGGAACAACCGCCGTCGGTGTCGATCCCGATTCGCGAGGTACTCCCCAACCTGCGCCTTGACCGCCCTCGCATTCGCGCTGGACGGGTAGATGAACTCCACGTGCTGGGTTATCCGCGGCACCGTCTTCAGAAAGTACTCGTCGGCGGCTCGCCGCGTCGTCCAGCGGTTACCCAGCATCCATGCCTTGAGCATCATTCTCCCCCCAGCCGAGTCCCTCCGCGCGTTACCGGCCCCACCAATAGCATGCCATGCGAATGCCGCAACGTCGGCAACCTGGTACCGCCATTTGCGTAGCACGTAGGCGGAGATGAGGGCGAAGCGTTCCCAGCGGGTGCGCGGGCGGAGGAACCGGCTGTGAAAGACGTACTTGTTGTGGACGGTGGGGAGGACGTACACTTTGAGATGCGTTGGGTCGGCGGCGGGGAGGGCGAGGGTGGAGGTCGGTGGTGGTGAGCCGGATACTGTTGCGGTGGGTGAAGGTTTGCGTGCTGTTGGTTGGGTTTTGGAGACGAGCTTTGGTGCAGGAGTTGAGTTGTTGAGTCGCCGCCATTGGCATTGGAGGGTAAGCGGTGGTAATGAAACGACCTGCCTGAAGAACGGCCGGACCACGACCCGACTTCTTGTGCTGTGCAGGAAGAGCATTGTCCCGTGGCAGGGGTAGGTAGCTATGCAGCTGTCGTTCTGGTGGTCGAAAAAGGTGAAAGTGAAAAGGTGAACGCGGGAGACTTCGCAGGGATTTCACCCAGGATCCCATCTCGACTCCATGACAGTCGACGAAAAGGCTCGTTGCAGCACTGGCGCAAGTGCCTTCCAACAACGGGCTTCGGAGACTTCAGAGCTCGGCGACCCTTGGCTCCGGTATACCCTCCCCTTCCTTCAGAGTGCTATCCGTTCGCATGGCTTCTTGATCGGAGCTTACCTTTGCTTCCGCCATCCAGCGCTACGCAGGCCAAACTATCTATCAAATCAAAACCAAAAGGATAGATATGCTCGTTCGCGGGAAGGAAGGAAAAGAGGCAACTCCCTTTGTGTCTCATTCACAAGGTGAAGGTCCGACGGACTCGGAAAGTCAGTTAAACCAGAGTGTTACTGTGAAAGGCCCCGGGGAACCTGCATAAAAGACGACTATCATTTGATCCAGCAGATGCATCCGTGACAGACTCTAGCAGCGTATGGCAGGCCAGCAGTCACTCAGCGTGCGTACAGCAGACACAGGCGAAGAAGGTATACCGGGCTATCAAGACCGCAGCTTGCCGGAAATCAGCAAGGGTGAAGGAACAGATACGGTGATAAGCATGGCGGGTCTGAGGAAGGCATGCCAGTATATCGAAACTCCTCGCGAAAATGCGACGGGAAATCAAGAGAAACAATGATAAACACGCACAGCGATGTGAAAACAGAGTAGTCAATCGATCGAGGCTTGCCGCAGATCTGCGTGGAGGAAAGAAAGAAATATGGCCTGGTAGTATGGCCAACGATGTGTGAAGCCAGAGCACGTACTTATATCCGATGCTTGCGGTCTGCTGGGAAAGGAAGTGGAGAGGGTCAGATCGGGGGAAGGACTCGAGATGTAGCTTGCTTCGAGGGCTGCCGCCGATCTATGGGTAGTGTGAAGAAGAGGTGGACAACATGCGGGGTGATGGGAACTAGAGTGCCCTACCTTGCGGCGAATCTGACTCAGGAACAAGCGAGAGATTGATGAGGATGCGTGGCGAGTTGGAGGAACGTGCCCTGGTCGGGCTACAGAAGACGTGTCGCGCTTTCCTGAGGAAGTCGGGATGGGAAGACGAAAAACCAGAGTGTTAATGTCTGATGCGCAAATGTAAAGCCGATGAGTGCGGTAGACGGAAGGATAGATTGCCGACGAGCGAGTACCATAGAGCGCCCTGCCTACTCATTCTCTGCCGAAGCGCAGGGGAAGAATCAGGTCTCAGTAGTTCAAGGATCGGAGAAGGATGACATTCTGAACTGCTCATCAATCGGTAGCAGCTAAGAGTCGAGTATGCCGGAAGAATAAGCAGGAAGCGAATAGGGAATGTGGCGAGATGTTCAATGGGTTTTGTTGAAGAACCAAAGATACGAACTCAGCGAATGCAATGAATCATCAACTTCAAGTGCGGCGATGACCGAACGCCCCAAAAGAGCGCTGTCTACGTATCCCGGGAAGGAATCATGTCACACGTAGTTCTTCGATGACGAGGCAAATGACGGACGGGCGATGCTGATGTGGGGGAAGGCGTATAATCGACAGCGGCAATGTCGAACTCGAAATGGAGAAGTTCAACTGGCGAATGGCGGTCAATCGCCGAAGGCGAATGGTCGAATGCGGATGGGCGAAAGACCGGACGCTCGAAGGCGCTGCCTACTTATCCCGAAGGAATCAGGTCTCGAGGAGTTCTTGTCATGTCAAATAAGCGGAGTGCCAACGTCGCATGTCAAATTTGCGAATGTGCAAAGTAGATTGTCTAAAGCGGCGAGTGAGTTGCCAAGAGCGGTGATTTGGGCGAGACGGCAACTTGTGTTTGCGCGAGTGTCGAAGCCGGGTGGTGGAGTGCCGATTGCGTGGGCTGTCAAGTGTGGCGAAATAGACACGATGCAGCGACGAGAAAAAGAGACAAATACGCACGAAGAAGGATGGGAGGCAGGAGGGTTCGGCGCCCGCGCGCTTCTCATAGACCCGGCGGATTTGGACGCTGTGGAGTCTAGCGGGTTTGGGAGAGAGGAGAAAACAGAAAGCTTGGACGGCACTATTTGCGAGAAAAGCTTCCATTTGTGGTTGCTCCTCTGCGGGTACAAGTTATCCTCGCAAGCTCGGATGTCTCGCGTATACGGTCTTTCCACCCAAGGGCCGGGACAAGATGACCAACCGCTCTACAAGGACATACCTGGTCGGCTACGCACACCAACAAGGCACCAAAGGTTATTACGAATATGAACGGATATTCGAGAGTGAGGCATGCCTGCAAAGCGACAGAGTATCAAGTTATGATATTGGATGGCGAATGGTGTCGCACTGAGAATACCGTAGCAAAACGAGCAATGATTTCAGCGACGCAGTTAATCCTGAGGAAGAGGACGACGAGATAGATGCAGCGGAACGGGTTGGCAAACCAGTGATATGCGAGATGGAGACGAGATGCGAAAAGGTTTCGCGTATTGCGTAAGTGGAGCCACGGACGTTGTTATCATGTGGAAAGGGAGATCTCAGTGGAAATGACATTGACCGATTATGGCCGAGTGACGAAGATCAAAAGATGAAACGATGCGGGCTTCGCGAGACTTGGCCATATTACCCAAAGGGAGCGGAGTTTGGTTTGCTTACGAGATGACGCGCGCGTTATGGACGGTACTGTCATGCTGACGCAATCGATGTCAGTTTTCTGACGCCCGTCGTTCTTGACTCTTGAGTAGTTTTGAATACATTCCTCCATTGCGAACCGTTGCTGTTCACTGACGCACTGGTACTATCATATGATCATGAATCCATCTTCCAGCACAGCAACTACTCTGAGAGGCAGCCGTTTGTTCCTGCTTCGAGGGATCTCTCAGAGAAAATATATGTCCACGTGATGCAAAGACAGCATGGGAGTCTGAGATCAGCAACGGGCGCACCGTGAAAGGAGTAGTACATCCAGTAAAACGTCGAACCCCTTCTTGTATGAGCTCTCATCTTGCATACCTAAATGAACAGACGTTCCTCGCATCTCACGTTTCTTTCTGACAGTCGGAGACCTTTTCATAATCGATCTCACTGTGACACTTGGATCCGTCAAGTTTCAACCCGCCGGTGTTCACTGTGGAACGAATACTGGCGGTGGCATGAGAAATCTTGGGGAACCTTTCGTGCATGAAATGGATGAATGGCTGTTCATCCGAACATAGAAGCAGGGAAACCCTACCCCCCCTATGCGCTGTGATCTTCTTCTGAATAGCGTCAGCCATCCACTCGTACTTGTCGGTCCCACGCCAGTGGATCCCGATGTTGAAGAAGTCTCTCATATGTTCTACATAATGAAGTTCTACTGCGGAGGATACATGTCGCCGTGGCACGCAGAACGTATCGAAAAGTCTCCGCCAGGGTGCGGCAACGTTCCTGACGGACTCGAAGGTCACTCGATCAAACTCATAAAATGCACCAGGGATGAGGAACTTTTGTTCGCCGAGAGAAGCCGTTCCGAACTTGAAAGTGAAAGCGCCACATAGGGGTCGCTTGTTCACTGGCAAAAGGGGCTCGAAATAGTAATGGAACCAATTCCTTTCACCGCCGATGACATCCTTGTACTCCGTGAGATATACAGGGTTGCGTTCCTGATAGACGCCGGATTCAAAAAGGACCACGAGCTGCATGGAATAGCGACTTGCCACCCACCCAGCAAGAGCTAAGTTAGGTATGTGCCACCAGAAGCCTCCATCGGCATTGAAACAACGGATCATGAGATAAGCTGAAGGGTTACTTACGGTTCTTTCCAGCGGAGGGTTATCATTTGGGACCATAGACCATTTTCGAAGCCTTCGTAAGGAAATCAGCGAGGATAACAATGATGGACACGACCAGTAAAGTGGTAGTACGTATATTCATTATGCTCTTCGGTGAGCGCGCTTACTTCTTTGACAAACAAAATTCGGTTATCTCGTTATCCCAGCCATCCAATCGATCCGGATGTCAGTTAATCAAGTATGTGCTCTGGATACTTCCAGGCCCGTCTCTACCCATATGCATCAATGAGTGATCGTGCTGCGCCGGCTCGGCGTCGTACGGAGGGGCTTCAACATCAACGGCAACAGACGCGCTGACTGGATTTTCAGTAGCCAGCTCGAGGACATTCCATTCATTATGCGTATCGAAATGATCAACGAGAAGTCGGAGTCGATCGGCTCGCTCCGAGGCCGTGAGATCCTCTCCAAGTGTGTTGAACAGCTTTACCAAAGGCATCCAGGCATCTATTTTCTCCTCAACCTTGTTCTTGTTCGCCCGCAACATGGCAACCTCTCTGCTTTTAGGGGCGACAATATCCATGGCTTGCACGATAGGAGTGACATCATGTAAAGTCTCCGTCAGTCTGAGGAGATCGTCCGGACTAGGAAGGAAATCAGGTAGCTGGAAACAAGAAAGGCTCATGATAGTTGCCTTCTGTTCGGCGAGATGTCTCCAGATGATCTCCATGCAGGATCTGTCCACTCCAGTGGGAGGGTCCGACAACGCATAGAAGGGGACGATATAGTTGTGTAGGATTCTTATTTGGATCTGAAAGCAGTCGATTTCTGGAAAGGAATCTGTCTCCCGGAGATCTTTCCAGAAGCCGTTGGTGTGAAGTAAAGTAAACAGTTGGGACCCGGTAGCATCGAAGATGCGAGTTACAACATCCTTTCGAGTGCTGCTGTAGGTGAATACATGTGTAACTCCATCAAATCCGAGTTGCATGTCTTTCTTTACGCAAGTCTTCTCCCATCGTGGAAAGAGACCGTGACGGGCAGAGAAGACAAATTGAAGTTCGTCGTCACTGTTGTTGAGGATACGGGCCATACTGATACTGCTTGTTGCTTGATGGCTTATGATATGTGATCTGTTGAGTTTTGCAGTTACCTTTGAACCCGAGGTCTTTATGATATCCTGAAAGACCGCAACTGATTTGGAAACGCGTAACTGTTATGGACGACGCGTCCATATCATACGCTTACCTCATCACAAGGCATCGACAGCCTGTCACTGTCAACTCCCTTGTGGTCGGGGATCGGGGATGCAGCCGCTATCTATATCACCAATTCTCGATTAATCTCGTCTCTAGCGACCTTGCCGAGTTCGATATGTTGTTGGCGAGTTCTTGCATGAAACCCAAGTCCTGGAGCCCCTTCAAGGTATGACTCAGGTGAATGACCTTATTGACGATCATCTCAAAAGCGAGAGCGGCTTGATCAACTTGGTCCCCGATACCATAAAAATACGTAACCGCCGGGATCCGGTAGAGGAGAAACCCCCACGCGAAAAGTCTCGTCGACAAGCAAGGCCAAAGTGCGATGCCAGGACTCATCAGGGTTTTTATTGATTGGCCTTCAGCGTTCCCCCGCTACGTTGTTGTTCCAGAAAAGGATGCGGCGGACTAAGCGGGTTCGTTCCCCTCGGGGCGCATCGATGTAGACCTGCTTCCGTAGGTCCTGAGTGACTCTAATGGCGCCCTCAGCTCCGGCAGGACCTTTTCCATCGCAAACACCATGATGAAGAATTTTGCGCATGAGGGCCATAAGCTGTGCGCTGACACCTTCCGCCTGTTGAGGTTTCTTTTCGTAGAGGGGAGTGCTTTCCACCTGCGCGTAGAAGGTAGCGTCTTGATGATATTTGGGCCCCTCGCAACGTATGCGGGCAAACTTCTTCAACTCCTCTGGATCAGAGAGCGATACGGCTAGGGTATGTAAAGGTAGCGCTTTTGGTCGTATAACTTCACGTGCGAACTTGGGGTCGAAAGGAGGTGGTGGGTTTGACGAAATCGGGGAAAGAGACTTCTTCGTGGTCCTCTCTCTCGAGGCGTGGTCGCTTGCGAGGTGAAGACAGTTGAGGTTCCTCTGCCACGGTAAGATCAATGACATTGGTCTCCTCATGTTTTCTGGCCAAGTGTTTTCTCCAGCTTTGTATTAATGGTATTTCAACAGGGGCGGGCATTGTGGATGGAGGAGTTACGGCTGGCCTCGTTTGAGTGGGCGCATTCACGAGGGTGGATTGGCTAACGGCCGGCCTTGTCTGAGCGGGTACGTTTCTGGGAGATGCTGGACCCACACAGATTCCCACCCACTTTCCAACCACTTTCTGGCACATTTACAGAGTGCGCGGTCTCATGCTCGTGTGTTGCTCTTGAATGCACATCTTATAAAAGAATATGAATCACCGACGATGCTTTCTGATCACGTGTGAGTGAGGGCATGTTTAAAACTTCCCTTTTTTTTCGACGGATCCTTGCAACTTGCAACCCGCTCGAAAGCCAAGGAAGCTGGGAGATGGGCGGGAGAAGGAGACTGGATCAGCCGGAACGTGGATTCAAGCGGAATCGTGAAATGAGGTCAGGATCTGATTCGAATGTTCCACCAACGCCAACTGTCGAAGGTGGTGGAGGGCGGGTCAAAACGAGGGCGGTTTCCAGAAAGGACAGGGCCACCGAGCAAGCTCCACGCCCCAGGGACGACGATGAGACATGAATGGATCACGGACGCATCATACAATGCATCATCCCTCCCCAGCCCTTGTTGCACTCCAGATCGAGAACATCGGCAGGTCGGTGACCAGAAGGCAAGCCTTTCTTGTCGCAAGCGCTTGTCATCGTCGGGTCTCGGCGTCATTGGGGCCATACAAACACAACCAGCCCCTGGCACTGTCGGCGTCGCCATCCTCGCTGAACTTGACCCAGTGCTCCCGATTGCAGCCGAACCCCGTCATCACGCCCTATCTCGACATCCAGCTTCAAATAAGTTCAAAACATTGAACTTGGTCTAAAATCTCGACTCCGGTACGTAGCAGAGCGGGCGTTAAGCCACCGATCGGAAACCAGATCCTCGGAAACGGGGCGGATCCAACCAACCCATCTCAGGCTGATGTCATTTCGTCTGAAACACGTCAACGCGCCGAGCGGACCACTCATCACTCCTGAACGCCATTTAAGGTTTAAAATGTCGAAACAGAGACCTCAGAGACTTCCAACCAAACTAACGGGATATCATATCTATATCATGTTCAAATTCACCCCAGGCATCTGCGATGGGGATCATGGGATACCTTACTGGTACCTGGATGCGTCGGATGCGTTGGGCCGGCCGCGCAGACCCAAGCGCGACATGTGCGTCGCTACGTACGTATACGTTGGCAATTGTGGTGTCTGTGCGCAGATTGATACGTTTCGGAATGGGATGCTCGCGTTAGGAGTTTCGGACTCGGGATTGTCAGCGGCCCAGACTCGGTCCATCGACAACGTCCATTGCTGTTGTGTCGATAGACTCGATAGTACATGCCGGATCTGGAGGCAATCGATTGTATACAGTAACCTCCCATCCATGAGGGGACTCTCCGACGGGCCCGCCCCCCCATGATGGATCTATGACTTCGGTCAAGAGTGCCACCACTGCACAATATATGGGAGAGACCCCGCTAGAGATACGCCGGTGCAGCGCCGCCGAACGGGAGCCAGCGTCACCTCCAGGCTCCAGGAACCCGATGATGATGATTGCGGACCAAAAGGGGCCACCGGGAGTTGGCGTCGCAAGAGGCATGTGCAGAAAGAAGCCCCGACGCGAAGGCAGCACCGGGAACAAGTCCTACTATCACCTCTTACGTCAAGGCTCGAATAACACGTACGCGAACCGTGGTTGCATTTCTCCCATCAGATCCCGCATCGCATCCACCACGTTCTCCTTTTTTTCCTATTGTGTGGTGTCTCCGAACAGGATGAGGCTATGGATACGCTGGCATATGGTAATTCCCACACTTTCCCACATTATCGCGCATATCGATATCACATCGGACTCCGTAATGTCCGTCAGCGCCAGGAAGTCCCTGGAACCCCAACAGGTCACCTTCGCAATACCGCTCAACTATGATCTTGAGCCACCGTCTTTCCACCCCCTTCTTTCTTTTTATGGTTTTGCTTGGCGGATTTCTGATCTGTGTTTTCAAACGTTTGACGAACATTACGTCGTATCAGCCCTGCCACCCCCCAAGCCCAGAGTCGCTGCCACACTCTCCGAAGCCCGTCTCGGAGCCCCTCCCGCTTTTTTACTAAAAGTGCTCTCTGCAGACTCGGTCCCCGCTCGTTAGTCTAGTAAGTCAACATACCCCTGGGAAACCGCAACCTTGCACCCAACTCCAAATCGTAGCGACAGAACGCCGACGACGGCGACGACGAGAAAGCAAACGACGACTCTCGACATCGATCTATATAATATAATATACCGCGAAACCATGAAATCAACCGTCCTTGCGACCGCCGCGGCGGTCTTGCTATGCACTGCAGCATCTGTGAACGCTGCCGCGGTCCAAACTTTCGCACCGCTGGAGCAGTCCGATAAGATCTTATTGTAAATATCGAAACGCCCATATCACCCGTGGTATTGCCCTCAGATGCTAACCCCGCTCCTGTTCTCCCTTTCCTCAGCGGCGCATGGGTCGACTCCATTGGCGGCACCGACAGCCCAACAGCACTGAACCAGCGGTTCAACTACAAGCCATTATCGTTCTTCCAAGGCAACTTCAACATCCCTGCCAACCTGACGCTCGTCGATCGCTTGATTGATGACATTGAGAAGACCGCTACTGATGGTATGTGCGAGATTTATTGATCGATATGTTCTTCGCGGCCAGCTTACTCATTTGATTTTCTTTAACGTTTCCAGCGATAATATACCTCACGGTCTACCCTATGGATGGACTGGACCTAGTAACAGATGAGCATATCAAAGAGTTTGGAACGAATATCAACAACGCCCTTGCACGCGGACGACGGTTTTTGATCCGATATGCGCCTGAGATGAACGGTGAGGACATTCTTTCCCGTCTGTTGGACCATGCCGCTCCTCGGGTAGCGCATCTACTGACCCCCTGCTCCCTCGCCCCACAGGCAACTGGTTTGCTTACGGCCAGCACCCCGCTGCCTTCGTCGCCGGCTGGAAACACTTCGTCGGCACGCTCCGCAACATGATCACCGACAAGACGCGCGTCGCCTTCATCTGGGCGCCCAACTCAAGCAATGGATACCCCTTCCTCGGCGGAAGATACAACACCACAGAGTCCAACCCCGCCGTCCTGCAGCAGCTGGATACAAACAAGGATGGCAAATACGATGAGTGGGATGACCCGTATTCGCCGTTCTACCCGGGAGATGAATGGGTGGATTGGGTGGGGCTGTCGATGTACCATTATGGAAAGGCGTACCCGTGGGTTGATAATGTACGTTGCTGGAATTCCTTTGAGCGCATTTGAAGGGAGTTTGGTGTCGAGTCAAGTTAACACCGGTTTTTTGCGCGTATTAGGTCCTGCCACAACCGGGAACGTGGGAAGCCATGCTGATCGGCAAGGGCACTCAAGGCCACTACAACTTCTACTCCATGTTCTCCGGCAACGGTACTGGTCAGAACGTCACCGCGCCCGTCTCAAAGGGCGGCAAACCCTTCATCATCGCCGAAACCGTAAGTCCGCGCGCGCGAATCTGCCACTTCGTCTGCAGACCATATAACACATCGCGCACCTCCCTCACACTCCTACCTCCCTCTTCCCCCCCACAGGCCGCAACTTTCCACGAAGGCTTCCTGAATCCCTCCGAGCCCGAATCCGCCATGAAACCGCTCTTCGCCGGCCCCGGCATGGTCGCCATCAAACAAGCCTGGTGGCGCCAAATCTTCAACTCCACCGCATTCACCCTCTACCCAAAGTTGCGCGGCGTGTGCTTCTTCGAGTTCCGCAAGCAGGAGGAAACCACCATGCGCGAGTTCCGCGCGCTCGGTGCGAATACGGCGGCGGATGCGGAGGAAAATAAGGTTGCTGCCGCGTTCAGAGGGGATCTGGCGCCGTTGGATGGGAGGATTGCTTGGGCGGGGCAGGCGAAGTATGGGGTTGCTGTTAAGGGGTCCGGGGCGGGGAGGATAGATGTGGGGAGGAGTTGGGTGGTGGGTGTGGTGATTGCGGTCGGTATGGGCGCGGTGATGGGATTATAGGGCGGCGTAGTTCGGTCGTCGGCGTATCCCTTCACGTATCATAGCATAGCATCACCCCCCCTTACGCACTACTAATACGTTCGGCGAGGAGGACATGGGATCAGATTTTGACACTCCCTCCTGGACAATCATTCCTCGTCGTCATCCCCCAATCAGTGCTTTAGTTTTTGTCAGTGCCATAGTTTTTGTTGTACGGCTTTGTAAATATGTAAACATCAAGCGTTTTGTGCATATTCTGTGATATGATGCGTCTGGCGGAAACTCGCTGTGTTCGTAATGGCGGTGTCTGAGGATAATTAAGGGTCGCTACGCCGCGATGTGTGTTACAAAACTCATGGAATGAAATGCATGCTTCCGAATAGGTTAACAACAGAATGCTACGCCGCGTACGGGGTGTCGCCGTCAACTCCAGAGAACAAGATGGAGCCATCCAATCCCGAACGCAAACCAGACTCACCAACCCTCCCCCTCTCAATCTCAACCCCCTTACAACCGCTCAACCCTAACAACGGGACAATATTCCGGCTTCCAAACCGCCTTCCTCACGCACTCCTCCACATCCTCCCCCTCCTTCACCTTCGTCGCCACCCCCTCCCGCACCGCACACTCCACAACCCTACACGCAACCCTAAACGACACCCCCCTACTCTCCCCAATCCCAGGCATCAACCCCTCGCGCACATCCCGCGGCGCCGCATCCGCCACCGCCCTCGCAGCCGCCCTCAACATTGCGTCCGTGCACCGCGTCGCGCCAGCGACGATACACCCCATCCCGATGCCGGGGTACACGAACGCGTTGTTGGCCTCCGCGACCGTCACCGTCCCGCCGGCATACGTGACCGGGTCCGTCGGGCTCCCCGTGGCCGTCAGCACATCACCACGGGTCCATTCCACCAGGTCCTCCGCGCGCGCCTCGGCGAGGCGGGTCGGGTTCGACAGCGGGAAGATGATGGGCCGAGGCGTGTGTTTGTGCATCTCTTTGACGATCTGCTCGGTGAAGGCGCCTGGGTGGGTCGAGACGCCGATGAGGATGTGGGGTTTGACCGTGCGGATCACGTCCAGGAGGGTGTTGGACGCGAGCGGGGGTTTGAGGTAGGGTTGTTGGTAGGGTGTGGGGGACGGGGAGGCGGTTGTGAGGAGGCCGTCTTTGTCGACGAGGTAGATCTGCGCGCGGGCGGAGGCGAGGTCGTGGGTGGGGTCATACATGGCGATTGCGTCTGTGAAGGGGTGGGAACGCGACCCCTCTTGTTAGATGGGATTGTGGAGAGAATGTTGAGTGCGAAGTGGGGGGGTTGATCACCTGCAATGCCTGTTCCGGCTGTTCCAGCGCCGTTTATCACGATCCGCATGTCCTTGAGCTCCGTCTTTAGATGCCGCATGGCCGAGAGCAGGCACGCAAGGGTAACGACTCCCGTTCCTGAGCGTAAGCAGGAGGAAGGTAAAAAAAAGTGAGATCCCCGCTCGGCGCGTCTATGCCGCTAAAAGAGCAATGCAACGCAACGCCCAAACCCACCCTGCATATCATCGTTAAAAGTGCAGAACTGATCCCGATACTTCTGCAACAACGTCCTCGCCTCATCCCGTCCAAAGTCTTCCCAATGGATCATAGCCCCCGGCAACACCTTCCTCGCGGCTTTCACAAACGTATCCACAAACGCCTCATACTCCTTCCCCCGCACCCTCTTCTCTCTCCACCCGGCGTACAACGGATCATCCAGCAGCTTCTGATTATCCGTCCCAACATCCAAGACCACGGGCAGGACGCGCGCAGGATGCACGCCCCCCAACGCAGTAAACAGCGCAAGTTTCGACGTGCTGATCCAGATCCCGCCGACTCCCTGGTCGCCGATCCCCAAGATCATCGCGCCGTCGGTGACGACAATAATGTCGACGTGCGCGGGCCCGGCTTCCTCCAGAAGCGCGCCGATACACTCGCGGTCCGGGTAGCTGAGAAACAAACCCCTCGGACGCCTGAACATCTCGCTGTAGCTCTCGATCGCCTCGGCCTCGGTGGGGGTGTAGACGATCGGGAGCATCTCCTCCAGATGCTCGGTCAGCAGCCGGTAGAACAGGACCTGATTCTGATCCAACATGCTGTTCATGAACGCGTTCTTCTTCAGCGCACCCTGCTCGTGCGCAAACTGCCCGTACGCGCGCTGCGTCTGCGTCGCCAACGTCGCCACCCCGTACGGAAGCAGCAGCTCCAGCCCCAGCCGCGTGCGCTCCGCTTTCGTGAACGCCGTGCCCTTGTTGAGCACGGGATGCAGCAGGATCTCGCGCCCGGGGAGCGTCGTTTCGATGTGTTGCGCGCCGGTGGTTGGGTCGATGACTATGCGGTAGGTTTGGGTTGAGGGATGCGCAGGGCGTGGGGGGGCATGCGGAGCGCTCATCTTGGGCGTGGCGGGAGGCTGAACAGTAGGTGTATGGGGGTGTCCCGTGCGGGCTTTTGCGGAAAAGAGATGACGCTGAGGAGTACGGGCAGTGAGGGAACGAATCGTGGCAGCAGGCCTGTGACTGTGCATATGGCTCGAATGATCTGCAAAGGCCCAATGTCGAAGTGGGATGTGGAAGTGGGGCGAAAAAGGTGGAGAGAAACGCCCCATGTCGATTGACGGCATGATGTCATTGGGCGGGCGTCAATCGCCCTTTCGACTGGGCCTTGTCCAAGCACAGAAAAGAATCTATTCGGCGAGCAAGCGCTGTCCCAAAAGAGTGCTCGAGGCATTGCTCGAATGATAAGCATTATGCAGAAGATAGGCAAAAGATAAATAGGAATAGGTACATAGTACAAGTACTCAGATGCTGGGGGGGCGTCTTTTTGCGCCCGTCTACGGAACGAACGAACGAACCCTTTGAGGAGTTCGCCGGAGAGATGAAAAGAGAAATAAACGCAGGGACAAGCCCATTCAAGAAGACGGCGGCACTCCCCCTCCACTCGCACTCGCACTCGCACTCGCACCACTCTTCTTGCCTCTAATCTTCTCCGCCGCCAGATGCGCCCCGGGGAACGCATTCTCCCCAACGGGAATCACCGGCAGCCCCAACGCCTGATTCCCCTCCCCCAACCCCAAACTCAGATTCAACCCCGACGCCGACCCCGCCGCCGCCGCCGTGGGACTCATCAACGGGCTGTGGGCGGCCACGAGATTCAGGAGCGGTTCTGGGGCGGATGTGAATTGGGCCCCCCTTGAGGAGCCTTTGCCCGGTGAGCGGGAGAGGTTGCTGTTGAGTGATTGTTTACGGGCTACGTTCACGGGCACCGACGATTCCGACAGCGGGCCGGATGATGGCGGTGGGAGACCCGTCTCCCTCGGTCCATGGGAGTACCCATCGGCGCCGTCCAGACTCCCCGGCACGAACGGGGTGACAGGTAGATTCAAATTCGCCTTGGCCACCGCGTTGAGCTGTTCGTTGAGCACGATGGATGTGTCCTGCAGTTCGGTGGACGGCGCCGAATCGGTGATGATCGAGTCCGAGGACTTCCATTGCGAGCCGAGGACCATGTAGCGTTCTTCCATGAGGGTTTGGTAGCGGTACGCGAGGCGGATGTTGGGGACGTTGGTTTTTTGGATGTCTGGGGGATGAATCAGGTGAGTACGGGTGAGTGATTGGTGGGCCTGGGTTTTGGCGGTGATGATGTGAAAGCTCTTACCGTTCCCAGCAGGCCCGTGGAAATCGCACCGGTCCCCTAACCAATGTTTCTTGATCTTCATCTCCCACCCGCTCTGCAGACAGCTGTTTCGCGCAATCTCGCACATGTCCGTCGACGAAAACTTCCAAATCTACAAAAATCAATCAGTCACACCCATCCCGCAAGAACCCCCCCCCCCCCCCCCCTCCCCCCACCACTCATTTTTCACCTCCCCAAACGCACCTGAGCCCCAACACTATACTCCTCAATCAACGGCTCCTTCGTAAAATGGAACTGCAGCGGATCGTCCGTCGACAGCGACACGTTCAACCCGCGCTGGAAGAAGGGCAGGAACGGGTTGCGCTCGTAGGTGAGGAAGAGCGCATTGTTGGAGAGGGGCGACATGGCGATACCGATTTGGTCGAGGTAGTACCTGGCGATGACAACGACTGAATGAGTGACGGTGGAATGGGATTTGGGGCGGTGCGGGAGGACTTACAGGTATTGCAGCGCAGGCACTTTACGCAACAAGATCCCGTGACTGATACTGTGGGAGGTCAGGAACGCCGATGTCAAGTGGTCGGTATCCCCCGCCTCGCCCGCATGCGGTCGCAACACAAACGTATCTATCATCAGAAAAAAAAGAGAGCGCAAACCAAAAATGATGAGAACTCCCACTCCCCTCGCTCCCCAAACAACAAGAACAAAGCATACTCACTAAACCCCCTCTCCTTCCTCCACCAATTCAACGTCGACATATTCGCATACATGTAATATATATAGTAGGAGTACGGCGGGTTCATGCTGATATCCCAGTTGCGCGGGAACGGGTACTTTTTGTACGTGCGCCGCTCGTTTTTGCTTTCGTCGTCCACGCTGTCGAACCCGATCACGCGTTGCAGGAACACGTGGAGTTCGGGGTGAGAGGTGGGGTCACGGGTTACTTCGAAGAGGGGTTCGAAGACGTCTGCGAAAGGTGGGGGGTGAGTGTTTCTGCGGCGTGGATAGGGGAGACCGGGAGTTGTGGGAGGGGCTTACTGCGGATGACATCCTCAAACGTAGCGATCAGCTTCGACTTTTTGTAGACGTTGTACAGACGGGGGATCTGCACCAACCACCGCACGTTGTTGGAGAACAGCTTGTGGTTGACGACCCATTTGGCTAGCTTGTCCCACTCGTCCTTTGAGCGCCCGTAGATTGACACGCGGTACTCGGCCATTTGGTACTTGCTCGCTTCTAGGTCGGAGAACACCTCTGTGGAATGGAATCAATTGTTAGCTATTGGTTGTTGGGTGAATGCGGTTTGCATGGGGAAGAGTTCGAGTGGTGCAGTGTTTTTCTTACCCTTGGTGAGTTCAGCCAAGTACCGTCCCTTGATGAAATTATCCGTCTTCATGAAGATCTCCCTCAGGCGGGATTCACCGACTGGGTTGTACTTCAAGTTGAACTTATCGAAGCGGTGGAAAGAGTCTTTGTGTGCCTGAAAAGAGGAGGTGGTGTCAGGGAAATTTCCTCCGACTACGAGCGTCCGCTCACTCGCAAACACTCACGTGCATGTCCAATGTGTCGATACTGAGGTCGTACGCGGTCAAGTGCAGGGACTCGAAGACTTGCTTGAGTGTCAGGTGTTGGTTGTCACGGTAAATCACAATGTCCTGGTAACGAGATTCCGAATGAGTTACCGTTCGCAACCCCCGAAATCAACCAAAAGGGTCATGGTCCAAAACTCACATCAGGGGACTTCTTGAGCTTGTATTTGATGAACCGCAGCAAGTGCTTAGAGTTCATGCAGGAGGAGTGATGCACGTGGGTATCGACTTTCCGAATGTTGTAAAAGTCACGATGCGGTACACGCTAGTATCCATTACGGGATATCAGTAAGAAGGTATACCCCAACAACATAAATCACACGCACACCACATACCTTCGTATCCGCAATCTCCTGATACTCATTAAGCAGCACGTACATATGGAACTTGCTCTCGAGGTACCTCAACCGCCTGAACGCGAAACTCTTGGTCGGTCCGTCGGAGATTGTCTCGACGACAAAGTCCATGTCCATGAAGTAGTCTTTGATGGTTGGGAAGGTGCATTTTCCGTTCTTGCTTTGGGAGGCGTCTGTGGGGGTGTCGTAGACTTGGAAGACGCCGTCGTCTCGGAGTTTGAACACGCGCTATGGAAGATAAGGTATCCCGTTTAGGCCATGTCAATTTAAAGTCAAAACAGACCTCAAAAAGTTGCCTCACCTCGTCAGCCCCCGGTATTTTGACATTTTCAAACTCAAACTCATGCGGAATAGGTGTTCCAGGCCTGATATCCTTTCCAGACGCGTCCTTTTGCGGCGGGTAGCTCGGGCCCGGTGGAGGCGGGTAGATCTCCCAATCCTCGGTGTCCTTGGGGTTGTCGCCCGCGCATTGTAGACTGCTCATCATGTAGCGCTTCCTGATAGCTAGGCACTTTTGCAGCGATACAAAGATGTTTTGCAGTTCCTCTCCAAGCTCTTCGTCTAGGGAAGTGAGAAGGATTTAGTAACGATTGATGGTTGATGGATGAACCTCAGCGTAGGATGGCTGATGGATGGAACGACACATTGCTCGCTCCGCTCGCTTCTCTCGCTGAGGCTCGCCTGCCTCAAGCATTTCCTGCTATCGCTCGGACTCACTACCGCTCCAACTCCCGTACCTTTGATCTCGGCCTTGGAGTAACGGGCCACAATCTCACTGGTCACCGGCGCGCCAGCATACTCCGCCCAACGTTCCGCCAAACTGAGAGTGGAAAACTGCTTCATATCCTCAATCGGGGTGGCGACGTTTGGAAAAACACCGGAAGACTGTCTCGACAGGGAATTCCCACCCATGATATCCTCATCCTCCTTTGATATCCTATGCGACCAGAACTTTGTATCCTCGTGCTGCATTGCGCGATCTGAGTGGTAGTCTGTGACGCGCCGGGTATAAGTACCGTATATATATATAAGAGGTGAGACATTGTGACGTTCCCAAACTCACTGTAGAAAGGGTCAAAGGGCCTTCTGGCGTAGTTTGGGGTAGAGACGTCGTTGTTGTTGTTGTTCAAGTCCGGGTTGGTGTTTCCTCTGCTTAGGGGAGCGGCGGAGACCGGTGGAGTGACTTGGCCCCCCGTGAGAGGCGAAGACCTGAAGCTGGACATTTCGTTGTGATACACACAACCGGTCGTAAGTGGAGGTCCTCTGGCTGAGGTGGGGGGAGGTTCCGACGGAAGCAAGCAAGGCGTGTTTGTTTGCAAGGAGGTGGGAGGGAGGGAGGGTGGCTTTTGCTTTATACTGTGATAAACTGTAGGCGGGGCAAGCGAGAGTGGGCAAGCCCCCGCGGAGACATTGAGGCAGTATGAGTGGATGGATGCAGCGACGCGTGGGGGTCATTAGGGCTCTCCCTCTCCCTCGTTCTGGCAAGGTTGTTGGCGACATACTGTAAAGTCACACAACGCGCAGTCGCTCGCTTTCTTTTTTCAGAGTCCACGCGTGCTGCATCCCGGCACTGCATTTTTACTGTACCAACGAAGGCAAGTCAGAAACTGCCCCGCCCGTGGACTATCCCTTCGTCCGTACTCAAGCGGCGGCTTGGCCCATCTGCCAATAGTAAACGCTGTCACTTCCGCAGCTGACCAGCGACGCTGTTGCAGATTGTTCCACACGCCCGACCCCGCCATTGTGGCCCATCGTTGAAGCCTAGCCGTCTGTCGTTGAAGATGCACTTCTCGGCTCCCCGGATGGTGTGATTCGTGGCCAAGTGCACCAAAGGCGAGGTTGGACAGTTCTGTGCCTAGCACGGGCATGGTACCGGCTGCTCAGTGTGTAAGTGGCCTCGTTCACTATCATCGTATGCAATTGAGCGGACCCCCTCCTCGGCAGCTATGCCATTCTGCGTCGTTGTAGCCAGTTCATAACGGCAACCAGCTCGTCTCGGTATAGCGTCGTGGCATCGTCGAAGACATCGAGTGTGTTGGACCACGACGGGCATTTCCACAACTCCGAACCGAGATCTGACGGGTTCATCGTCGTCAAGAAGCAGCTCAAGTAGCATCTCCACCCCAGGACCTAGCCGTAGCTCAAAAATGAAACCGCGATTGAAAGACCCTTGTGGCTCCTCAAAACAGATTCGGGGCAAGTTAGCAGGTTGCGTTCCGAGTCTCGGTCGAGCCGCAGCTTTCCCCTCCACCTTGAAACACCTCGCAAAATCTTCTAGGAACGTCAAGGAGATCGGGCAACTTGGAACAATGTGTCGCATCATCCTCGTGCTCGATGCGCTTCGCTCGATGCGCTTCGCTTGCCACGCAGTGGGGTCGGGGACGGAAGTTGTATCACTGAGGGAAGCTTGTTCAGGATAGGAGCCATGGTACGAACTGATGCCAGGCATCGTCTCTTCAACCCTATCGTGTCCCTCTTCAAAGATGCCGAAGTGACCTTTTCGATGGCAACTCTCGCAGAACCTTATACCGCCTCTGGGTGAGTGGCTGATTGCTGCAAGTTGCTGATTGAGCCAGGGGTCCCATCGCTCCCCCCCGATGCATCCTCCTGCGGATGGCGCCTCGAAAGAAATCCTTGTGGCCCAAGGTCGCAGTCGTCCTGTGGGGAATATAGCTTCTGCGTTCGAGCAGTGGACGGCTAAACGTCAACACCTCCGTTTCTTAGATGGACTGGGTGGATAGCCGTATCGAGATCATCTCGTTTCGATATGTTTTTTGTGTTTCGCCCGAAACTTGCAGTCTCTATGGTCGATCTGGCGAGCTTGAAAGCTGTGGTCCACTGCGGTCGTCACAACAGCGGTGGTGGAGTGAGTCGTAGTGGGTGGCGGGTTGTACAGTATACAGTATATGTCGTTGTCGTTGTCTGTCGACCGAGACTTTTGCATCGGAGCCCGGGTGTCCCCCAGGAGGCTTGGAGGCGGTGGCTTTCTTGGCTCGCAACTTACTGTACAGTACTGTAACTCCTTACATACTGGACTCTCAGCACCCAGCCCATACTCTCCAACTTCGCGACTCGTCCTACCGCCACACAGAGCAGCTACTGCTACTGCCCCGTCTTTCGCTAGCTGCCCACGAAATCAGCAAGTCAGGCCTCCGTCCAACACCGGCAGCACAACGCACTTCCCAAACGACAGTGCCGAGTTCGAAAACGTAACTAAACAGTAGTTGGTAAGTTGAGAGGCCGCTGACAACCCTTGTGGTCAAGGCTTGTTTCTACTTATATAGCTAACCACTGGCCCCCACTCCCACTCCGAGAAGTGCCACCCCATTTCCATATCGCTTCGACAAAGCTGTTTGCGATCTTGTCACAAATCTTGGAAAGCGCGACCCATAATGGCTGAGGCCAAGCCACCAACCCTGATCGCCAAGTTGGCTGAGAAAGGGAGTGTGAATGAACCGCCAAATAGCCACTCTATAAAGCTGTGGGCAACTTCGGCCCTGGGTTTGTTCGATAAGGTATGGTTTTGGCGTCAACTGAGTGCGAGAGGAGAGCACGACGGTCCGCTAACACGTACCCACCTTCACTAGGGAGAGCAGGCCAAGCTTTCAGGAGACTTGGAAACAGCATATGTTCATCTCTACAAAGCGATAACGTCAGTCCCCTCAAACGTGGGAATTCCACTTTGGTTTCTTTGTACTGACGCGCAGATTCCATAACAGCATCGTTGTGAATGTCATAAGCAAGCACCGAGACTTTGAACGAGCGCAAAAGGACGACGCCCAATACCACGCAGCCCGACGGAAAGTCAATGTGTACCTGCCACAGCTAGAGGAAATTAGATCGGAACTGAAGAGCAGGGCCGATCAGTTCGCTCAGGGGCGGCCGTCGTTTTCATCGGCCGGGAGCGCGCCGGGAAGCAGCAGCGACCTTACCAGAGGTGTCAGCAACATCTCCCTGGGAGGGACTGGGGAGAGTAATGGGAGTGGTGGTGGCAGTCGGGAACCGCGGACTGTCGTGCAACCAGGGGAGCTGTTTGGGCTCCTCAAGCAAGGCGCAAAGTCTGTGTTGGTCCTGGATGTGCGTCAGACGGAGAAATATCTGCACGGGCATCTGAAATGGCGGAATAACCGAGGCATGCGAGGTGGAGTTGTCAACATTGAGCCTGAATGGCTGGAACGTTCTGGGTAGGAATATTCCCTCTAGAAGAAGCAGCGATATGTCACAGATCGCTAACACTTCAAGGTTTACAGCACAACGTCGGCAGACATATCAACATACCTGATGTCGTTCGGTCAGAGCTCCTCCATGGCAAAATCCCTCTTTGAGTCGAGAAACCAGTTCGACATGGTAATCTACCTCGACGACCACAGCACGAATCCAGACACATCGCCAACCTTACGGCGGTTGATGAGCATTCTGTACGAACAGCCACAGAATGCGCCAAAGCTACGGCCATTACTGCTTGCCGGTGGCCAGCGTGCTTGGGAGAGTTTTGTGAAGGATAGTGGAGAGTGGCAGGGCGATTGGGTGGAGATCGGCGACGGGGTGGGGATATCGGAGAGGAGCGAGGAGAATGCGCCGCAGAATGCTGTGCCGGCTGGATCAGGCATCGCAAGAAGTGCATATGACTTTGTAAGTGGCCGGGTGGCTCCAGTACCGATGTGGCCTGCCCTTTCACTCACACCTGCGGAAATTGACAGGTCGCGTCGAAAAACCAGCAACAACAGCAGACATATGTGCAGAAGCCTCTAACGCATCCTCAGCCTACGCATCAACCACTTCAACAGCAACAGCAAAACGGATATCACCCCCACAACCCTTTCAACAACATCACCAACATCCCCTTGGGCGGGACATCAAATTCCGCAATGCCTGTCATTGTGCCCGTGACGCAGCAATCAACTCAGTACTACCAAGCACCATCCATTATAAGGAACAACAGCAGCGGTATGGGCGGCCAGCAAACGCGACGCTTTGAAGACCCATTCTACTTTACACCACGGTCAGATTCGGCGAAACGGATGGCCGTCATTGGCAACGTATATGCACCGCCATCCTCCGTGCCACCAACGACAATGACTTACCCCAATCTCGCCCCTCCCAACACATCGCTTGCGCCAAGCTCAAGCCCAATATCGCCCGTATACCCAAGTCCCAGCTCCATGGGCGCACCGTCCGTCTACCCCGCCCCCGCCGCGCCACCAAAACCACTCGCTCTGCAACCGCACAACCATCCCGGTGTCATTTCCATCCCGCCTCCCGCTTTCCCTCAACCCCCATCGCGCAAGAACTCATCGCCGCTCTTACAACGGCGACCGCCATTAGGGCCGCCATTAGCCCTCGAATCCGCGCCTCCAGCGATGTTCCGGCGATCCTCCTCTCCGTCGGGGTCACCCAGCACAGCCCGATTCTACGGCATGACGGCACCGCCGCCGATTCCCAACAAACCGAGCGGCCGCCTCGCAGGCCCTATCGCGCACTCGTACTCGAGTTACGATACGGGCCTTTCGGAGTTTGTGCCGTATTCGCAGATGGGGTCCTCGTTGATGGGGATGTCTGGGATGAAGAATTTGGGGAATACGTGCTTCATGAGCTCGATTATTCAGTGTTTGGCGGGGACAGTGCCGTTGGCGAGATACTTTTTGGGTAAGTTTGAGTTTGTTAGGACTTGGTCCTGCATATGGGGCCTATGGCTAATATGAAGGATTACCATTTGCAGATGGGAGTTACCGCAAACACGTCAACCGCAAAAACACGCTCGGCACAAAAGGCGAAGTCGCCGATGCGTTCGCCGAGCTCGCCAAAACCATGTGGACAGGCCAAGAAGGCAGCGTCGTCACCCCCACCAAATTCAAGCAAGTCATCGGCACCCACCACCCCTCCTTCCGCGGCAACGAGCAACAGGACTCGCAAGAGTTCCTCGCCTTCTTCCTCGACTCCTTACACGAGGACCTCAACGTCGCGCGCACACCCGCAGCCATTGCGGAGGTGAAAGCGAACCCGGAGAAGGAGCAGGATGATGAGGGTGTGCCGGATGAGATTATTTTGGATAAGACGTGGCAGCGGTATCGGAAGCTGAATTGGAGCATTATTGTGGATCTGTTTCAGGGGAGCTTGAAGTCGAAGTTGCAGTGTTTGACTTGTGGGAAGGTGTGTTGGACTGTCTGTCAATCCCCCTGTTGTGCCCTATCTCCCCATCGCCACTAACCACGCGCCCATACTCCCCGCCCTAGTCATCAACAACATTCAACCCCTTCATGTACCTCACTCTCCCCATCCCCCCCTACAACCAAGCCGGCAAAAAAAACGGCCCGCTCTACCTTCAGGAATGCCTCGACAAGTTCGTCGAAGAAGAGATCCTCGAAGGCGACGACGCGTGGCGGTGTCCGCGGTGTAAAGTGCCCCGCAAGTCGACAAAGACGTTGACGATTGCGAAACTGCCGATTATTCTGTTGATTCATTTGAAACGGTTCTATTATTCCGGGCCGTTCAGGAATCGGATTGATACTTATGTGGAGTTTCCGATTACGTATGTGGAGGGGTCTTTTTTTTTTTGGCGAGTACTGGATTTGAGATTGGTTACTGACTCTATATTGCATCTTAGATCGCTGGATTTGACGAAATACCTCCCGGCAGCGCGCGAACCCTTCGTCTACGACTGTTACGGTGTCTCTGTAAGTAACCCCCTCGCACAACGCTCCAACCACATCATCGCAGTCGGACTCACCACCTCATATGATCCCCCCAGAGCCACTTCGGCGGCCTGAACGGCGGCCACTACACCGCACAAGTAAAACACTCCTACAAGGGCAACCAGTGGTTCAATTTTGACGATTCGAGGATTAGCAAGACTGATGATAAGAGCGTTAAGGTAAACCAAAAAAACGTCTCAAGTGTTTGTTATGGGGCATTTGATCTGACTTCGTTTTTTTTTGACAGTCACCGGCGGCATATATACTGTTTTATCACCGGCAAATGAACGGCCAGCGCACGTCGACGAATTGGTGGAATGCGAATGGACCGCAGCCGGTGGGGGCTGGGCAGCGGCATATGATGTGATGTGATGTGAAAAGACGTGGCAGAACAGACAAGAATTGGACCGCAAGCTGCTCTCCCAGGCTGCAAAACAGAACTCCTGTGATACCCCCCCTGCCCCCGAACCGCCAGTCATACTAGGATGCTTTGTTTTTTTTTTTTGTGTATCGTGCCCTTTTTTGCTGTCGCCTTTTTGTTGGGACCGTATTCGGTCCGCCCCTGGTCTTTCTTCTTGTCTGTGAGGTTTCTCTGTTCTTATGTACATATGGCATGTGGTTTCGTTTGTTGGGATTTTGTTTCGTCGATGTCGATGGATTTTCAATTGAGGGCAGCTGTCAAAACCGTCACCGAGATTGATGAAGAGTGTCACCCGTTCCTCCGTGGCTTTCTGCTACAGCTTTCTGGTGTTCCCCAGCAGGACATTTAAGCCTTCAGCCGGCTGGTCAACCCCCACACAAGGCCCATCTTATGTACTAGACCAGTATCATTCTCCGGTGTCATATTACGGTTTGGCTCCCGTCCGTAACAGCTCTCGCAGCGGTGGTGGTCTGGCAGGAACAGACGCACGGCGTGAGGGGTTTCGCAGTAGGAAAGGAAGGAACAGGAACAGGAGTCACCTCAGGCATCTTACGAGCATATTCGGCAAGATGGACGCAGCGCAAATGCAGCAGCTATTCCTGCGTCAGCAGCAACAACAGCAACACCAGCAACGACTCGCCGCCGCCGCTGCCGCCGCCCAGCAGCACCAACAATTACAGGCCGGGCAACGACCCACCACCTATTCCCAACAACCCCAGCAGACCCAATTCCTCCAAAAGCAGCAGCAGATACCCGTGTCGTACGCTCAGGCGATGGGCGCTGGGAACGTAGCGGATTGGAGACAGGCGTTGGCGCCGGACGTCAGGGTCGCTTACACCAATCTTCTGGTCAAGTCGGTCGAATCGCTCGGGCAGTATCCGGATACGAGAGTCCATGAGCTGGCGTCTGGGTTTGAGGCGAGGACTTGGGAGAGGTCTCAGTCATATGTGAGTGTGCGGGCGGGGGCGGGCAAAATAGGCTCGACAGCAGCCTACTTACACCATTGTCCGCTTGGAACAGGCAGAGTACGCAAAGAATATACGACAAAAATGTGACGAGATTGGAGTCAAGACGGGGCAGCCGGCCGCCGCGACGAGCATGCAGATGGGCGGTGGTGGGATGCAGACGATGCAAGCTGCGTCGTACGGCATCTCGGTGGCTACCTCCAATGCGCCGCAGATCATGGCGCAGGTTCAGGCGGCTCAGATGGCGAGATCTATGCCGCCTGGGTCGATGCAGCATCTGGCGGCAGGTGGGGTGCCAATGCGGCCAGGAGGATCCGTTAGTCAGGCACAGGCGCAGCTTCTTATGGCGCAGCAGCAACAGCAGCAGGCGGGTGGGCGGCCTGTGCTTCAACAGCAGGGATTACTTACGTCCGTTGGCCAACAACAGCAACAACGGCCGCTGCTGCAGCAGGGGACGATCGACCCTCACCAATACGCATTATCCCAGATAGGGCCCGACATCACACCCCAAGAAGGCATGATGATTGCAAACATGACCCTGGCCAGCCTAAAAGAGCACCTCGAGAAAAACAAGCTGCCCATGAATTCCGCACAACGGGCCTGGAACGCCAAAGTGACGTACGATCGAGCATTCGCTGTAGCACAGGAATCCAATGCGAGACGAGCAGGGCAGAACATACCGCAAGTCCCCCAGCAGCAGCCGTTCCAGTTGCGCGCCCCGGCGAGTATGGCGCAGGCGACCCCGGCCGTGTCGCAGCCGTTTGGGACGGACCCTGCGCAGGCTCAGATGCTGCAGCCTGCTGCCGGAGTTGTTGCACGCCCACGACCACCCGTGGCGCCTGAGCCTGTGAAGACTGCTGTGCAACAACCGGCTAGACCTGCGCAACCGGTGCCGACTGCCGGTAAGTAGAGTCGTGATACTCGCTTCGCTGTTTGACGGCAGCAGCCAAACTGATTGGACAAATCTTTCGGCAGCTGGGGTGATCAAACGACCCGTTCTAACATTGGATGAGGGGGAGCAGCAATATGTTCGAGGAAAGGTATGCGGCTCTGAATTCGCCCACCGCGTCTTGAAGGTTTTCGCCGAAACTCACACTACCTAGTTGGAGTCCATGAAGCCAATGATGCAAAAGGCGGAGTTGATGATCGGAGTTCTCGACTCGTCCACGATACCCAGTGACCGCGAAGCCGCCAAAGACTGTCTCCAACTGGTATGTGTAGCCAATAGCGGCCTTCAACGAATGGCATACTCTCCGAAACTGACTTTCTCTCGCCCCCAAAGATGAAAGTATGGCAAGCGCAAATGGAACTGCTCCCACAAAACGTGTTCAACTTCAATCCGACCTCTGTGGAGAAGCTGTACAATAAGATGCTGCACTATACGAGGACGGCAGAGGACCGACGGCGGCAGATGCAACAGAATGGAGGGGTGAAAACTACACGGGGTTCGTCTCAGGACCCGATCCTCGTTGCTAGTCCGCATAGCTCTGTGGGCGGACGGCCGTCAGGGTCGTATCAGTTCCCCGCAAGCACGCAACCGGAAGACGCATCACAGGTGGCACCGACAATCATCACCGAGTCTCCGGAAGTCGCCGCGGTGGCGATTCCGACGACGAAAGGCGGGAAGAAGGGGAAAGGGAAAGCTGCGCCGAATAAGAAAGCGTCTGCTACTCCTACCACTGCTACCGCTGCCACCGCCGCAGCCCCCGCAGCCCCGCCTAAATCGCGTGGAAAGCGAGGATCAAAATCAAAAGCAGGCACACAGGATGAGCCGCCCCTCATGTCACCGGACCCAGCTGCTGGACAGCCCCCGGCTACCGCGGCGGCGTCTCCAACCCTTCTTGCACCCAAACCGAAACGAAGCCGAGGCAAGTCGTTGGCTACGGACGCGCCAGCGGAACAGCCCGCAACGGCAACATCAACAGCAGCAGCAGCAGCCGCGGCCGCGAAACCAAACCCGACGAACGCAAAGACGAAAGCGGGTGCGAAGACGGGCGCGAAGGCGAAACAACCCGCGACCAAAACGGGCAGTAAATCCAACGCTGCTCCTGCTGGTGAATCCGCGAAACCACCCTCAGTGCTGGAAGCGGCTGCCCTCACGGCTTCAGCCGGAGGTGTTGGTGGTTTCAGTACGACCACCGCCGCCGCCGCCCAACCGCAAACGGCGACCCCCACCACCGCGCCCATCACTACGGTTCGGACACCTTCAACAAAGCCAGACGTAGACCCGCACATCCAGAAAGCGATCGAAAACACCTACATGAACGATTTCGCTTCCTTCAACACGCACCCGGCGGACCCGATGGCGCATTTGGCGGATTTTGGGATGTTTATTTCGGGGAGGGGGATGGGGGATGAGTTTTGGGGGGTTGACGCTTGGGGTGGAGATGCGTTTGGTGGAATTGGGATGAATCAGATGGGGGAGAATCAGGGGGAGAGGGAGGAGGAAGTGGATCCGGTTGCGACCTACACGATGTATTTTGGATTGCATCATGGTGAGCGGCGGCGAGACTCACATAAGTGCGGCCATCACGACACCGCGTCCACGGCTCAGGATACCCAGACGGCAACAATCCATAAACGCAAACGAGATGAGGGGGAGGATGTGGGGGAGGATGATCCGCTTCCGAGCGGGCCTGTGCATCTTGCGGGTGGGGAGGCTGTGCCGGTGTTTTGAGTGGTTGACGGGTGGAGATGAGCTGGGCTGGAGAAGCATTATTCGCATGAACCCCGCGACCCGTCAGACGATGGGAAAACGACGCGCCGGGGGACATTATGGATGGGAGGGCGGCGATATCGATACCGCCCGCCTTTTCTTTTTTGGTGGTCAGCTTTGTTTACAAACATGCAGCATATGTTGGCATTACGGCGGGATTTGGGAGTTCCAGCGCGCGGAAGGGCGAAACCTGTACCCCGTATGTGTATTAATACGCATAATATACCCTACCCTTTGCACCTTCTTTGAACATCAACATCGTAATCCGTACCATTCCCCAAGTGGAGTTGGAGTAGGACGACAGCGTGCTATATACTGGATATAGCCCCTGCTTCTCTCCTGCGTCCCCCCTTTTCTCGGGGGTCTCTTTTCGAGGAGAAACGCCTGGCGAAGGGCGCGTCATTGTCCGCCTGTTCGAGTTAGGGTTGCAAGCAAGCTGAAGAACAGGCTTGCACTGGAATGGAGTTCACAAGCACAGCACACCGCTCACCCTCAGACAGCAAGGATCAAGCAGGACCCCCTCATCGTCCATATACCCACACTCACCGTCGCCCCCGCAATGTCTCGCAACATCGACAACGCCCGCCTACGGGTAAGTGAAACCGTCCGAATTCCCCTGTCCCCCTTCGAAACCTCGCCATCACTGTGAATACCGGTCTCTCACTAATTTGAAACTCATCATCACTTGTTAGGCCGACCTGACAGCAGAACTCAGTAGTACCATGGCGGTCGGCGAGGACACGGCGACGTTGACGGACTATTGCATCTTGTTGGTTGGGATGGAGAAGGATCGGGAGTCGTTGATTGCGGACCTTAGTGATGGTGCGTTGGGAATGGTGGCGTGGGGAGTATGAGGAGGACGTATGGGAGTGGGGGGAGCGGAAAGTGGTCGGCAATGAACCTCGAAGGACAGCATGTTACGTCGCACATAGGAGCGGGTCGAGCAGTGCATGACCGTCAGCCACCACACCTTGCTGCAACCTACCTGAAGGATAGGCCATTAATCACTCCTTATTCCGCATCTTCACAGTCACATCAGCGGAAGACGCCGAGAAGCTAGCGACTTGGATCACCCAGTGGCTGGAGAGGAATGAGGGGACGGGGCCGGGCACTGCGGAAAATGGCGAGGATCATAATGGGGATATGGTCATCCACATCGATGATGCAAAGTCCGATGAGGAAGTCGGTATGTATCCGAGATTTACGAGCGTGGAGATTTGACCTCTGTCGGCTCACAATGGAAAGCTGACAATGTATGGTTTATCCACCACGTTCACCGCAGAAGATGATGACGATCCCGATCAGCACCCGAGGAGAAGCCGGGTCAATTCAGCCTCATACGCCGGAACCCCCGCGAGTCTTTTGGTGAAAGCAGTGCTTGACTCTGCAAACAATACTCAAACGTCGCGAAAACGCCAGCGCGGGGATGCCTCGATATCCAACGATCGGGCGAACGCGACTGAAGGAGATGGGCCACGAAAGGCTGCGAAGATTGAGGACGGTGAAGAAAACGATGCAATGGAGGAGGATGATGGCGCGGTCCGTTTCACCATCACGATGGGAGCAGGTGCAACAGCCACGCACGTCATTCCCTCGGCGCGTGCCCAGCCTGACGTGCCACGCTGCACATACTGGCCCAACTGCACCTGGAGAAACGCCTGCAAATACTGGCACCCCAAAGAAACCTGCCCAGATTTCCCAAACTGCACCGCCGGAAACCAGTGCTACTACATCCACCCCGACGCGGCCGGCGCGACAAACTGCCGCTTTGGTGCCGCTTGCACGCGTCCCGGGTGCGCGTTCAGTCACCCCTACGGGCACGGCGGGATGGCGAGACGCGGTGGACGTGGTGGAGGGTATAATGGCTCGGGTGCTCGTGGGGCCCGCGGCGGCGGTGGTGCGCCCCCACCTGCGCATCTGCAGAAAACGCAATGCAGGTTTTATCCGAACTGCACTAACGTTGCGTGCCCGTACTTTCATCCGGTCCCACACACGCGTCGAGCGTCTAGCTCTGCGAGCCCGGCACCGCAGACGGCTGAACTTTGCAAATTCGAGCCTCTTTGCACAGTAAGTCTTTTTTCGCCTCTCCGCCGTCTTCCATATGTTTTTGCAATCACATTTTCGTCAGACAAAAAACATCAACTAATCAACCATATCTCCCCCATCCACCAGCGCGAAAACTGTACATACTCCCACCCCTCCCGCTCGACCCCGGAACCCTATAAATCCAAAAAGTTTACCGATCCCATCACCGACTCCAACAACACCAACGGCGCCTCCCACAACGCCACCACCACAACCAACTTGAGCACCGGAGGTCTCCCCGGCACCCGCCGCAACAAAACACTCGTTTTGAACAGCAACAGGCCGCATATCAGTGATCGCAGCTTTGCGTTTAGTGACGGCGTTACGGAGCATTTGGAGGTTGGGAAGACGGCGGGGACGGGGCTGAAGGAGGGGGAGGGGCAGCAGACGCAGACGCAGGGGGAGCAGGAAAGATAGGTGTGGATGAATAGGAGCGGTAAGGAATGGGGAGGGAGGGGGGGGGGGGGGGCGGGGGGTAGGATAGGGGAGGCGAGCGGGGAATGCGATTATGGATGGTTGCAACGCAAAATAACGACATCAGCACACGCAACACGACTGTGGCGAGTTTGTTTTGGAAAAGAGACGGGAAGAGACCGCAATGATGATCCCCGGCTGGAGGTGGGCCGTGGGAATTTCCCACTCTGGAGTCGCAAAACTAAAACACCCACGGCAACATGCAACAAGTAGGGAGCGGTCCCAACAAAAAACAATTCATCTGATGCCCGAATAGCCGCAAACGCAGAAGCGGTCCAATGGGATTCATTGTGGAGAGATGAACGTTTCAACATCAGTGTTTTTTTTCCATTCTTTTTGAAATATAATCTTATCTGGTGTCTGCGTCGATATAAGTACCAGGTTCTCCTGGGCACATGGTTTTGCTTCGTGATTTGCCCACTGTAGCCGTCTCGCCCCCCCGTTTGCACGGCGGTTTGTATAGAGCGGAAGGATAGACCCATCCGCATCGCACCAGGGATAAAAGCCATAGAGTCTTCCTCCGTGAATATATCTTCACTGAAAACGCATGCAACAGAAGAAAGAGTCCATATCTTACATGCCTTATAACACCGGACCTCGGTGATCCCCACACATGCCATCCTTCTCGGGCATTGCATCCCCATCTGGGACATTCTCCACATCAGTACCATCGTCCTCCGAGTCTATGATCCGCGGCGCAGGCATCGACGCCTGAAGCTGCCCATTGATAGCAAGGGGCGTGTGTTTGATGTACCAACCCTCCCACCGTGCCAACTTCCCAACCTTACGTTCCCATTATGCTGCCGACACTGGGTCAAGCCCTTCCAGAGCTAGTTCACCCCGAATTTTTGGAAGTCCCCGGCATTGTTGTTCCATGCAAGCTCCAGTATGCACGAGAAAGAAGCGAGGTCCTTTCACGGCAGTGGGTTCATCCACCAATCATGTCGTTTTTGAACATGGTGTTGCTTAACATGAGTCTCATCCGCCCACTGTTGGGTAGTTCGTTGCAATGCTTATGTCAACAGCAAAACACGTTACGCTGCAACGTTACGCGCCTTTGTCAACGCGTCAACGCGTAAAGGCAACGCGACCACTTCTGCAATGACCCTTGGTTACGTTTGAGGGTGGTATAGAACAAGCACTTATTCGGTCGGCACTATCAGGTCCGGAGCAAGCATCAGCACCCTTCGTCCGCACTCTTCTTCGGTCGGGTCCGGAATCACCTTTAACTACCATCGGCACCCTTCGTCGGCACTCTCTTCGGTCGGGTCCGGACTGATCTTAAACTACCATCGGCACTCTTTTTCGGCACTGCTTCGCCACCATTCTTTTCTCTGCTCGTGGTGGGGAAGACACACGTTAACCAGCCCGTAATGTGGAAGAAACACGTTAACCAGCCTGTGACGCGGAAGAAACACGTTGAACAGCCGGCGTAATGGGCCTCATCAACCTGGAATGCGAGAATCAAGGCGAAGCGACCGTTATACTCGGTGGCGGCCCTCGGGTAGACAAGGCGTGCTAGGAATCCATGTTAAACTCAGACTCGTGCTAGGCATCACATTAAACTCAGACTTGTGCTAGGCAACCACGTTAAAGGCCTCGTGGGGTGCAAATCCAAGCAAAGCGACCGTATACTCGGTGGCCATGGAAGGATCGCTGGGCGACTCGAAGGCGCTTATATATCTCTTTTATAATCTCTCTTGTACTCGGTATTTCAATACTATCTTTCAATAAAACCTACGTTTGAACTATACTGGGTTGACATTTGCTCTGCTTCGTGCGCTCTTTGAAAAAATGGCTTGCAAACTATTCTACTCCTCCCTCCCTCCTATCCCCCTGCGGGCCCTGCTTGAACTTCACCAGCACCTGTCCCGTCCTTGCAGATGTTGGCACAGCAGGTAGCAACGCCGCTGCAGGTCTTCTGCCTTCCTGTACGTCGATGCACCTTGTTAATGTACGTCGATGTACGTCGATGCAGCTTGTCGGGACGCTAGCACCTCAGTTTGCATGCCGAGGCTGTGTAGGTAGCGCATGAACTTGGGCGCCGGTGCACAAAGTGGGACTACCGGCCTGTCGGGACTATGGCGAAGTTCGCCTACGCCCCTCCGTCGAACAAGGGGTGAGGCAATCCCATCCTCGCCTCTGTGAGATACGATCAGCAACGTCAATCCAATCACACATAATCAAGCGGACGGCATACATTCCCTCACCAAAACACAAGATGTACAATCCCATACAGGGAATATTGGTAGTATATGTACAATATGTATCGAAAACCAGGTACCCCCCCCACATTTATAAAACACACTCAAGACCCAAAACTCAGCCAGCCTATGCGAAATGTACCCGCATTCGTAAAGCTTCATGCACCGAGGTCCAAAAACCCCGGTGCGCGTGGTTGGCGGTGCGGGAGGGTGCTGGTCTCCTGCTCTCCTCTTTCGGGTGTCTCTCTCCCCGGTGGGGGCAAAGTACTGACAGCATGCTGGGTCCAAGCGTCAAGGACCGACGGCGGTGGCGCGTTGGCGGTATCCTCAGCGATAGCAGATCTTTCGTTGGTGTTGTCGGTGGTGTAGCGGCCCTCAAACGCCGCAACCTCGCGAGCATCAGCATCCACCCGTGTCGACATCCCCGTCACAGAACCCGGTACATCCATCGTCTCTCGCCCCTCCACGGCCCCCAGCCCCGACGACCGCAACACCTGCGTCGAGTATGCCCTCCGAAGGGCGGGGCGCGGTGTACCTGGGCTTGAATGTGCGGGGGATGAAGTGGAAGCGAGATGGGCCAGGCCGCCGTAATCGCTGCGGGAACGGGTGGGCCAGGCGTGGCAGTAGGCTTTTACGTGGGGTTTGGGTCGTGCGGGTGTGGTGGGTGGTTGCAATTGTGATGATGTGTCGAGAGATGGTGGTAGTGATGGGGACGACATAGACGTAGAAGCAGAGGCAGGCGGTGTAGCAGCGGCGGCATAGGACGCCGTAACAGACTGTGGTACATCCACGTGCGCTTCCTCCACATCCCCGCCCCCCTCATACGCCAATCTACCCACCTCTGCCCTTACCACCGAGTTGAAACCCGACGTCGAACTCACAGACCTCTCATGTCCCCTTCCCTTCCCTGCCACACCGCCACCAAGGGCCGGAAAACTCTTCTCGCGTCTCAGCCTCCCCGGCGTTCCAGGGAGGGATCCCCTCAGGCTTCCCGTTCTCGATGAGGATAAAGGCAGTGGTGCTGGAGGCGGCGGCCGGGTGGAGATGCTCAGCAGACCCATGACGTGCAAGACGGGGGTGGAGTCAGATCGGCGGCGGGATTTGCGGCGGTGGAGGGATGGGAAGGGTGTGTCAGAATCGGGGGTGGGTTGGTGGGGTACGGTTGTTTGGTCGATTGTGGTAGGTGACACCGAGGTGGCGGATGACTCAGACGACGTGGGGGATTCCGGCGACGGCGGTTGTCCAAGGGCGGCAGGTGATCTCTCCTGGTCCCTCTCAGCAGCCTGCTCAAACCCACCACCCACCCAAGACCCCAGCGTCTCCCACGCGCTGCCAACCACAACCTTCCACCCATCCACGCTCTCGCCCGCGCGCGCAACGACCGGTTTCGCGTAGTCCGAGGCCTGTTCCGCGAGATGGTGCACGGTCGTGTCCACGCCCCAGTAGCGCGAGGTGCGGCCGAGGTAGTCGGCTGCTGCTCCGATGGTTTCGTAGTACCATGGTGTCAAGGTGGCGCTCGTAGCGGAGGCCGCTACACCCGTGTCACCGGCGCGAGTGGATGACCCATCATCAGATTGCGTACTTCCGACGCCGCCTTCATCCCTAGGCGAAGTCGACGAGAACGGCGACGAGAACGGGGACACAACGGAGTTTCTCAACGACGACGCCGGCGCCACCGCCCCACTATTACCTAACCCCCTCTGACTCGCATTCAGCAACCCATCAAACGTATGCCGTTTCCGTAACCTCGGCCGCGGGCGCAACGAGCTCTCAATTGCTTCCCCGATACGCGTCGCAGCCAACAAATCGAGGTGCTGTGAGGAGTCTTCAAGAGCGGTGGGCGTGCCTTCCTCGTCTTCATCGCTAACGAATTCGTCCCCGTCTTCGGGCCAGGAGGCGGTGTCGTAGTCCGATGATGTGTTGTCGATGATGTCGTCGGCGTCTTCGTGTGAATCCGTATGTGTACCCGTGGTCGGCGTGTCACGCTTATCTGAGCTGCTATCATTGCCAGTATTGCGCCCCGGGTCGCCCCAAAACATCCCGCCCAACCCCCGAGTCGGCCAGAAGCCCAGATCTTCCATATTGGGGAGGACAAAGAACTCCTCAATGACTTCCTTGATCCTCCGCTCGATGACGGTGTTGACCAAACTCATCGAAATCATCTTATGGCCGACGACGGGAACGACCTTCATCTCCAGCTGGACGGCGGGTTCCCGCTGGATGCCGAGCCAGACGCGGTTGGTCTCCCACATGCCCTTAATCTTGATCAGCAGGCGGGCAGCGAAGCGATCGATCTGTACGCCGACGACAAGCGGGACCTGTAACGGTTTCAAATCCAACGAGTTGATGGAGATGGTGGCGAGAGTAGCAACCTCCAGTCGTGCTTTGCCCGTGTACTCGACGTCGACCTCGATGGTCATGTCGCCGTCGACGGTCATGTCGAGCAGTTTGGGGTTGGAGAGGACGGGGAGGCTGTTTCCGACCGAGATGTCGCGGACGTCAATGTCGCCGAGGATGGAGGCTTGGTCGTCCTCTTCCCGGCGGATGTGCATGGAGCGGCGGATGAACTTTTCCAAGAGCCATTCTTTCAGAGCTGGGTGGGAGTGGATCCCGACGAATATTCGGCCGACTAGGGCGTTGAACCAGGCTGTTGCTGCGTCTTGGGGCGTTTTGTTGACTGTGTTTACGAGCTTCTCCATGGCGACGCGGTAGGCGGTTACGGGCGCCGTGTCGTTGAAGAAGACGCTGCATGCACCCTCGTCAGCGCGAGACGGGAGCGTCCGGGCGCGCCGCAGCATGATGTGCCAGTCCTCTTTGTCTGAGTTTGTGGGAAAGTAGAGATAAAAGGTCTGTTGGTTACACCGTTTTGAAATGGCCTTGGGCACAAGGCAGAGCGGATTCGTCCGCAGATAGACTTCAACGTCTGTCGTTGTGGCGGGGTATAGGTTGACGCGGTAATCAGAGAGCAGCAGGATATGAGTGCATTCTTTTTGGTCGTCGGAGGTATAGAGATGGAGGGTCCTGTATCTCAAGACTGCATACGAGTTTCGCCATCGTCGTGGGCGCGGCGGTACGGGAGGCGTCACACGTAGTTGCGGCAAATCAGCTTCCGACGCGGCTGCATTCTGGCCCATGAACCTGTTGGCGATGTATGTACTGACGGAGCGGGTGACAGTATACATGGACTGAGCCGATCTGGACGCCGATGCGACAATCTGCTTGGATGTTGCGGTGAAGCTCCGCTTTTTGTTGAGATTGGGGAAGTGTTTGTCGGCGCGACTGAGACCACGGCCGCCGTTGCTCCCATCCTCATCGTCGCCGTTCTCCTTCTCGCTCAGTTCTGCGACGGTCAGAGGCTCCTCGCTCCATCGCAACCACCCAGCTCGTTCTAGGTTCTTGTCAGTTGCACCGTTGACACTCGGTCCTGCGGTCGAAGACTCTGCAGACGCGACAGGGGGGAAGAAAGAGCGTTCCTCTTTGCGGGGGACCAGATAGTACGGCAGCCACTTGATGAAAGCCACCAGCGCAAACGTGAGTATCAGCAGACACGTCAAGATGCCAAAAGCGAACGCGAGCCCGTGCGAGAGCCACCAGTTGGAAGTCGATGCCGCGGCGCCTGGATAAAGGTTCCCTGGGCTTGTGAGTGGTTCCGGGCAGTGACAGAGGTTGGAAGGCCGGCTAGTGAAGGAAGGGAGCCAAGATGAAGGGCTGTTGAGGGCTTTGAGAGACGCTTGCATTCCTTCTCCCCAAGACATATTGTCAGCGCGAATGAGCGTCTAGGAGTGACATTGAACGGGGCAGGAGAGGGCGATCTGAGTCGGTTCGACTCGGGAGTTGTGTTGTATTCTGAGCTGTTCCCTCTGGCTTCCGCGTGTGAGTGGCGCTATGCCTCTGGATGTTTATGTAGTTGTGGGTGGAGCGGTGCAAGTTCGAAGCACAATGTCAAGCGGAACAGCCTTTGAGAGGGAACTGGGGCACTGGGGACCTTTTGCCAACTGTCGAAGCGCGTGGGCTTCACAGAATTCGTTCCGCGGCCAACTGCTCCAACTGGGCACATTACGATGATGACATCTACTCCCGCACAACAACACAACTTTCACATGGCAGTTGTTGTGCACCGGAAAGGAAACAGGCAGGACCGTAAGGGGAGGTCAGGGGCGGAGTTGGGCCTGAGGGACTCCCTGTTGTGGGGGAGGCCAGGAGGAGGTGACAGCAGGAGACGATGTCTCCTTGACAGCTCCTCGCGCCCGCAACAGAACCTCATTCGAAACCCCGTGTCTTCGATCTAAGGAGACCCTCATCTCCGTGGTTTTGCGGGAGACGAGCGAGCGAGGGGTTCGCGGGGGCGGAGTTGACGGCGAGGATTGCCCTCAGGCGCCAGCAATCCGCCCCATTTGAGGGGCTGAGTGAAGACACCGGTGAGGAATAGCCAACGCGAATGCATGCTGCTTGAGTAACCTTTTTTATCGGAAGACGGACGGCCTCTGACGGACGGAAAACAGCCGAACGCGTAAATTCCTGTACCCTGCACTGTATAGTATAATACTGTAAGTCTGACATCACCGTCATGTCACATCTCACACCTGGCCATTTCCCCTTTTTTTTTCTGGATGTACGGGGCCACACGTGCGCAAAGGTAATAAAGCGGCGTCGGGTTTGTGGGCCGACGGTGGCAAGGTATGTTCATTCTTTACTTGGAATCAAATGCAAGTTCGCGGATGAGAGTGCTGGTGTGCCCATCGGAACGCGTTACAAGGTGTGAGCGACTGCGGGCCAGGTATTGCAGAAGTGGGCTTCTGTTTGAAAGGAAGGATGCCATAGGAGGAAGGTGCTTCTATCCCGCGGAGTGGGTGTAGGTAAGTTCGTCGTGAACGCGGCGGTCTGTAGGGTAGGCGAACGCGTCCGGTACGGAACTGTTCCATAACATTGGAGGTAAGTGCATGGATAGAAACATTTCTAGGGTTTTGCTGATATAGCGATGGGATGTCGGTGTCTGTGGTATGATCGCGAAACTACTGGATCCGGAAGGTAAGGACATTGCAGCAAGGTGAGCGTATCGACATCCTGCTAAAAAATGAAGAACACTCCCAGTCGCATATCTAAGCGAAACGAAAACACATCCGCCGGTGTGGAATGACGAATAACAGAGGTACGTGCATGAGACCCATCATTGTCTCAAGATGGGGCCGGTGTAATAGAAAAGTTAAATGCGTAATTCTGCTGTGAAACCGAGGGAGGTACCTGCAAGCGCACACAGGTGTGGTGGTAGTTATAGTTCTGCAAGCGTATAGGGGGACGCTCGCTCGGGCGCCATCCGCTGGAAAATCCTGCTCCTACTCTACTTCGTCCGTCATGACGGTTTTGCAGAGGCGGAACGGGTGAAGGATCGCTGCAGGGCTTCACTGCACGTTGTTGGAGGCTGGACACGACTGGGTGAATTGAGATATCGGCGTCCTGCAGCAAAACCGTCGAGGGGTATTCTTTGCTGTACCGTGCGACGGAACAATCCTTGTGGCCCAAGTTCAAGTGTTTGGTTCCAGATTCAGGCGAAAGAGAATCGAGTCTCACAAACGGGTTTCGTTCAACGCGTTAGGCACGCGCGAGACCAGAAGGTTGGGACGAACTGCATATACAGTGAGTTTGATGATGGAGGTATCCGATCATGCTGCGGAATAGGAAGAAGGCGAGCGGTACGATTGTATAGATGGTGGGAAGTTGTGCATTGGTGGTATAAAAGTCCGTAAAGGGAAGGCTTGTCGGCGGTGTCTGCAGATACAGCATGGGGAACTGCAACCGGATGTCATACCTGTTCTCAGGTGCTTTCCAAGCGCTGCTAGTCTGGTGGGTCAGGGCAGGACAATTTCCGAATGCCATTACCGAAAAGCTGGCTGCGCCCGAGTCTCAGTGTGGGACAGTTTCGGACAACGCGAATCGCACGCGTGGAATGCGGGACAAGTTCGGACAAACAGCTACGCGTGCTTACGTTGGATGATGTCGTAGTTTTGACGACGGTGTGCGTATGGTCAACGGCGAAGCCAAAAAACATCAGTGCAAGCGATGCGTAGGTGGCATGCAGGGGACGCCTACCGAAGTTGTTCATGGCCCAGAGCGGTTCTACTCTCCTACTCTGTCAGAAAGAATCTGCAAGCGGGTGCGCAGCAGGTAAAGGCAGGATGACAGTCGAGCGTCTATCAAAGTGCCATCACGCTGTCTTTGGCTGTTATAACCGTTCAGGATGCAGGGTGCCTGCATTTCTATATCTAGGTGCCGGTTGGTTGGTTGCCAGTTGCCTGTCTGTTCCCACTTGAAGCGATGCAGAACGGTTCTGGATAATGCGCTCGTGGACTGTGAGACGAGAAGCTCGGATAATAGCGGCGGAGTAGAGGAATATTCTGGTCTTATCTTTGAGAAAACGGGTTTGTCCGATCGGAGGAAACTCGCGGGTGACGGAAGATACTCCCGGACAACGCGTAATAAAGCGAAACAACGCGTGCAAGTTCGGACGAAGAGTCGCAAGTGACGACTACCTGTATGTGGCCGAGAAACATCGCTTGATGACGGCTGGCAAGGCCTTACACCTGGATTGCCAGTAATCGATGCACATGCACAACAACAGAAGGGACATAAGGTCAGAGAGGCCATTTGCGGATAGTACGTGCTCAATTGCGGCCTGCCGTCGCTCATGCAAGTTGTGTAAATGTTCGGAATCAGGCGCATCTCTTTAATTTGAGGGCCTCTCCGACCTTAGGGATTCAATTTCAAGGCAAGCAACGGACAAACCGTATCCCGACGCTGGCTCAGTTCATCGGAACAAATAGGGGTTCTGCAGCAAATCACTTTCGGACAACGCGTAGGACACGCGTGAAATGCAACATGACAAGGTTGAGACGAACATCCAGGAGTGGTGTTGCCTCATCGGCCTTTCTGCGGCTGAGAAGCATTGCGCTGTCAACCGCATACACGAGTAGCCCTCAGGTTTCGGACAACCCCTTCGCTCCGCCCCTTAATGCCCCTAGAACCCGTATTTCAATTATTGACACGTAAACACCCGTAAACCTGCTTCGGAGCCCAGATAACTTCAGATTAATGCGTTGTGGGTCCGTCCAAAACGGCAACTATTTTGTTCGCAGAGAAGGCATCTAGGTATGTACGTATGTATGTCCATTTTATATGAAGTAAGGGGCATGTACGAGGGGAAGCAGAAAGGTATATATAATACAATGTGAAAAAGTCCGCAAATGAAAACGAAAAAACAGAGTCCACCAACAGAAACGTCAATCCACACCATCCCCCAAGAACCCACTCATCAATGCCCCTCACTGATGCCCACCTCCGCCCCATTCGGATAAAACCACGCCGCCACCGCAAAAATATAATACAACAACAACAAAAACATACCCTCGACCCAATTCGTCTTTCCGTTTGACAGAAAGCTGCCGACGACAAGGACCGCGAGGAGTAAGGCGAACGAGGCAAACCCGTTGAATTGGAGCGTCATGGGATGGTTGGCTATCCACCCGACGATGACGACGATGGGCGCGACGAGGAGCGCGGATTGGATGGTTGCGCCGAGGACGTGGGAAAGGGCTAGGTCCATTTGGTCTGTTTTGTAGGGAGAGTCGGTCAGTATTTGGTTGCAGTAAAGCAGCAAAAGTGATGAATTCAGTCATACTATCAGAAGCCTCATCAATGGCCGTAAAGTGCTCCGCAGCCTTCTCCACCAGTGGCACGAGGATCAGGCCCATGAACGGCTCTGTGACATGTCCCAGCTCCACGATATGATGGATCTCTCCGACAAGGAAGACGGCGCAGGCGGTGACGAGGGCGAGTGAGATGAGGAGTAGGACGAGGGATTCGGCCCAAGAGAGCCGTTTCCGACGGGCTTCTTCTTCGCGGTCTGTGTCTTTTGCTTCGGCGGCCGAGAGGACGGCGTCGAAGGTTGTGCGGTGTGTTTTGAGTTGGTAGATTAGAAAGCTGGGTGGAGCGGGGTGAGCGGTTATGACCGAAGGTAAAAGACTTGCATCAACTCACTCATGAACCCTTCACTCACCCGCCGTAAGAGATTAACAGCCCCACTGCCGCCGACCGGCTCACTTTCAGCACCAAGTCCTCCGTCGCCCCAAGCCCCATCGCAGGCATGACAGCCAAACTGAACTGACTGGGCAGAATGATGGCAAACGCCGACGCCAGCAACCCCGCACCTGAGATCTCCGTAACAAACTCGGCTACATCCTGATGCTTGTACTTGACGCCACCAACAAAGAAACAGAAGCCAGTAATGAGGAGCAGGTTGGCAAACATGGACCCGAGAATGGCGTCTTGGGCGACGGTGTATTGCCGTTGGAAGAGGAGGAGGATGCAGAGGATGAGCTCGACCATAGCGCCCATCAGTGTCTCGAAGGTCGCGCCTACAATCTACGTGTTCGAAAGCTTGATTAGTATTTACTCCTCCTGTCGAACCGCACGGATTAGAACGTTCGGCTAGAACGTTCCACTGGGCTTTTTTTCTCGAAGCCCAGCGTCGCGTGAAGGAATATTCCGCCGACTCATATCACTATCGCCATTGCAGACATACATTAGGTAATTTCTCGTTGATCTCAAGACTCGCAAAAGCCAACCAATTCCCGCTCGGAATCATGCCCAAATAATTGACTACAAAGATAGCGATATGCCATTCGGGTCTCACAAATCTCAAAATGATCCCAATGGGAGCCAGAGGCCAGAGGAGGTTAGCGAGCCGCGACATGGTACTCGTGGATCTGTAAATAATGCGGGCGGCTTGAACGGGGTGGAAGCGGGCTTTTGGGGGTTCGACAGCTTTATGGTCATGGTGAAGCGGATGAGCGGCTTGGGGTGGCGCCTGGGAAATTTCGCGAAGGGTAGTATCACCATCTTCAGCGACATCTTGGGGCATGTCTATCGGGTGGGTCCGTGGTGATGAGGGCATGGCGCCCTGGGAATGGCTTGGCAGCGCCGTGAAAGGAGAGATGCCGACGAAGCTAGCGAACTTCCGAATGCCGAAGCCTGTTTGCGAACTTCTTATTGTCGAAGGAGCCGGTTGAGAGCCTTCCAGCCTTCGGCGTGGCCGACGGAACCCTCGCGGCCTCGCGTGAGAAACAAACAAGCTTTCAAGGTTTTGCCAAATGACGTCACGGGGTGGGACGCGCTCATCGGTCGGAGTCCGATTCGGGTGTGACTGATTCTCTGAAGCGAGTCGAGAATTAACCTCAGGAACATGAGCATCGCCAGGGCAATCAAGACGTGAACTTCTGGTTCCGCGCTGCTTGAAGTAGTGGGACCACAGCCTTAGCCTATCGGGGTGGACTACATCTCAACGAAGAGGCGAAGGGATGCGGTCGTGACGACGCGAAAACCGGGCAAGATTGAGCTTCCTATGGAAACGATCAGTACAGCTCTGAATATCCAGCGACCGTGCGACGTTCAAACCAACCACTATCTCCTCTCGAACGTTTCGAATTACTCCCACAGAAATTCGACAGTAAATGAAGTCTGTGAGCCGAAATCGCTATCCTCGCGACTCCTATGGAACCGGACAGAGTCGTGGGGCCGGGCTTATTGCTATGCGAGACCGAAAGATTCAAATCAGTTTGGGGGGTCGGAAGCCACAGCTAAGGTGACACTCCTACGTCCGTGAGGCCAGAGGATAGTTCAATTGGGATCTGGAACCCGAGAAGACAAAAGGCATCCTCTTCAATATGTCCCTGCAACCTCCGTCTCGTTCGTACACTTGAAAAACATACGGGCGTAAGTTAGCCAATGCTGTCATATACCGCAACAATCGGTTTGGAATCAGAAAAGCGTAAAGCACCGTGTGGGACTGGGACAGGGACATTTAGCACGATACACACGTCCATGCCAGTAAACGACATATGTCTCCAGCTAGACGTACTAAACAAGCGAGGTGCAACCGTTTGGTAACCCTGAAGCCGAGCTGAGACATCCGACCTATCCGGTTTATCAATGGCTACATGCCGATATATTCTAGAATAGCGATTCATTTTGCACCTGAAGTCTGACTGAACGACACCGAATGCACCAGCTTAGAACGCGAAACGTTTCTCTTCATCTACGGCGGCGACAGGGCCTTCATCATTTACAGCAAAGTTTTCATCATCTCAGGAAACTTGCCGGCGACTACTTGCCTGAAGCGAGAGATTTGGAGGGGGACTTATTGCACCATGCAGCGATTTTCCAGGACTATTGATGGCGCACCGAGCACTGCCGACGACGGGGAAAGAACACCGCCATTGGGACTATGAAGCACTGAGCCGCTGTCATGGAAACAAAGATTCGACTTCGGGAAGCGGTGGAAACACTATAGACACTATACGTACAGTAGCATGACGTGCAAGATGTCTAATTAGACATATAACCCCCGATCGACAGGTTGAGCGTCGCGCTGTCAGAAACTGACGTAAGCGACGTAAATCCCCAGCTGACAGTTCCCGCTGAGGTGATCTTTGCTCGAAGAAGGTTCCAACACTTACAAAGTGCCTCCCCTCCCTCGCACGAAACGTAGGAAATTCCTTCAAGCTTTGTCCTCATAGCACTCCCGTTACGAGTCTACAACGAGTCGACGACATACTACCACTTCATAGCCCCAATTTACAGATATAAACTACTCGATATCAACATGTCGGCTCATTCACCGTTAGAGGACATTTGCGATAACAGCCCCTGCATGGGTAGGCGAGTGCAAGTCGCCATCCTGCAGAGCCAGTTGAAGATTGAACAAGAGGCGTTTGCTGAGTTTCGACAAAGCACCCAAGAACTTGAAAGTAGTTTGAAGAAGCAGCAAGCCGTAAGCGACCGTGCCCTCAGCGCCACGAAAGCAGAGCTCAACGCCGTCCGCGCCGATTTTGAGGCGACCAAAGCGCTGCATGCGGAAATGACCGAAGTACGGGAATTCTTCCAAGCCGAAGCAGCGCGGTTTCGCCAGACGATGGAGGAGCAGGTCATCCAGTTCCGCTCGATGGTGGCGGCGGAAATCGGACACTTGCAGACCAAATTCGTGAGTGGCGCCGGGCCGTCGAGAAGTTGGACGACCCGCCCTACTTCCTCGCGCATATGCTGATATAGACTGTGTTTGTAGGAAACTCAAGAAAAGACTCTGGCGTACCTATCCACCACGGTAACCAAGGTAAAAGTCATGTTGTAAATTCAAGGCGCTCATACTCGCTATCCTCATTCTTTGCAATGGAATTGCAATCCTAGAACCTCGAGAAATTCCATCAAGAGCTGCAGAGTACACCGGACAGTCGCCCAAGATCAACTTTAGGCGGTCCAACGGTCCTCCCCGCACTCCCGCGCAGAAGCATGTCACACGGCTCGCTCGCCACGACCTGCCCAACCATGCTCATGCTTCGCTCCTACGGGGCCGCCTCAATGAGCCGCAGCAGCTCGGCCGCCAAAATCTCAGATCAAATCGCACAGGACAAAGATCTGACGGAAAACTACCCTCTCAAAGCCTCCGCCGGCGAGCCCGCGTCGCGGGGAAGCAGCAGCTCAAGCACGCACGAACGAGCCATCGAACGCCCGGGCGACGCACGTAACACCCTCGCGGTAGCAGCCGAACCAGAAACGTCCGCACTCCCCACCGAACACGCCCCGTCGACGCCCCTCACCCCCGTCGCCCCCGCCAGCCCCGGCCCCTTCAAGAAGAACCTCAAGCGCATCCTGACCATCGGAGGCAAGAACAGGTCGGTGGGCCGGTCGCTGACCAAGCTCCGGAAGGCCGTCATGACCTCCGTCCATTCTCTCACTGTGTGAGGGGCGGGGCGGCGGATATCCGTGGGATGCATTTATGGGGAGGAGTTTTGGGACGTGGGAGGGTTACGGAGGGTGGGATTAGTATGTACATCACGAAGGAAGTGAGGTGAAGGAAAAGTGACGATGTGAGAGGAGGTCAAGTGTGGTGTGGACAGCGTACGGGGTTGAACCGGTTTTGTCAAATACTTACAAGTCGGGAAGCGTGAGAATGAGTCGGACTCCTGAAGAAAATGGGTTTTATGAGCGATACTCAAAACGTAGTGGTTCGGGCATGGATCACAATGTGGTGTTTAGACTCGAATAGAAATACCGTGTTGTGTTCTTGATCATTCGGGCCTGTTTCCCTACGCAGAATATGTACATCGCACCAGGTGACAAACAAAGCTAGCACTGTGTTGGGTGAACTCGATCGAAGTTGTAGGAGATCCAGCTCCCATTTCCATTGACACGGAGACAAATGTGCAGGCCAATATACACGAGGATGGGGTATCTATCTCTAAGGGGGTCTATGTACGTAGCAATGAAGAACATTCAGCGCTATGAGGAGGGGTTGGTGTAAAATATACCAGTCAAAGTCCATCGTAGACTATATACCGTGATACGCCGTGAGGGAGTATATCCCGTTGTCTACTTGTCCAGAGCAGAGCCAACCAATTCACCCACTCACACCAGCAGCCTTACCAGCAGCGGCCTCAATCGCCCTCGCACACCCCTGCAACTTCAACGCCGCCAGCACTTCGGGCGGGATACTCGCACCAAGCGACTGTCTCGGCGTCGGCGCGCCCCCACTCTGCACGGCCGCCGGCACCGGCACCGGAGCAATCTCCCTCATCATCCGCGCCAGATGCCCCAACCGAATCACAGGGATCGCAAACACCTTCTTGCACGCCCTCGCCCACGCCTCCTCCCCGTCCCCGTCGGTGCCAGGCACGCTGGTGAGGCCGTCGATCCATTGTGCCGGCAGGCCCTTGAAGCCTTTCACGATCCCCAGGAAATTCTGCATCACGGCCGGGGGAAGGGCCACGTTGCCCGTGTCGAACGCTAGCTGCTGGTCCCGCATGGCCACGGCGTAGCTCGAGTAGACGGGGATAGCCGCCGTCGCGAATCTAAGCACGGCCTGGCCCAGGGCGTTTGTATTTTGCTTCGGTGAGGTTGACTGCGTTGGGGAGGAGGAGAGGGCGGCATGGCGGAGGGCGTCGAGGAGGGCGCGGTGGATGGCGAGCATGTCGAGAACGACGGCGTGCACGCGCGTGTAGTGGGAGGTCAGTGGGGTGGGCGTTGGGGTGGTGTGCGTGAGGTATTCGAGGAATTCGGCGGCGAGGGTTAGGTCGTAGACGAAGTTTGACTGGAAGACATCGACAGGGGTGAGTTACATGCCCCCATGTGAGCAAATAGAAAGGTAATTCTTTTTTACGTACCTCACTCAACAACATCTTCGCAACCCCCGCCTCCCTCTTCTTCCCCTGCGCATTCCCTCGTCTTCCACCAACCTCCCCACTCTCACCCCGTCCCGTAACACTCCCTTTCCTCTGCCGCACATCCACAGGCGGCGGGGAAGGCAACGCCGCGGTCGGCGCTGGGCTTCTCGAGGCCGAGGTCTGCGCGAATGGCACGGTTACAGGTGGGAGAGGCGTGAGGCTGTACCTGTTCACGACGTGGGATGGGGAGGGTGGTGGGACTGTTTCGCGGTTTGTCGACGGAGCTGGGTTGGGCTTGTTGCTGCCTGGGATTTCTAGGCGTGGTGGTGGGTTGGATAATTTTCGTGGTTGTTGCGGATGCTGAGGTTGCTGCTGTGGCGGCTGCTGACGGTCTTGGTGAGGCTGCTGAGATGGTTGATGAGGGTGCTGGTGTTGCTGCATGTGCTGCTCGCGCTGCTGCAGGTCTTGCTGAGGCTCTCGAGGTGATTTATGCGAGTGCTGAGGTTGCTGCATGTGCCGCTCGCGCTGCTGCAGGTCTTGCTGAGGCTCTCGAGGCGGCTGATGCATGTGCTGAGGTTGCAGAACATGCCGCTCACGCTGCTCTTGGTCCCGCTGAGGTAACTGACGCAGGTGCTGGGGCAGCTGCTGCGTCTTGCCCATCTCCTGCGAAGGCCGGCGCTGCCCCTGCGGCAGCTTCCCCCTCTTCCCCGCCTCCGCCCCCACCGGCGACACCGGACTCCTCGGCGACATCGGCGGCGGCACAAACGGCACATGCACCTCCAACCGCCTCAACCCCGCTCGTCCCATATCCTCCCCACCATATCGGTTGGGCGAAAGGGGCGGAGTGGGGCCCGGTCCATATGCACCACCATCCGGTCTCTCTGCACCTGTGTTGCGCGCATCCCCGGTCTTACTCGGCGGTGTCGGGGGTATGAGATGTATCCCCGGCGGCACGTTGCTGGCGACATCCGGGCGGGGTAAGGACCCATCCGCAGCCGGGAGTTTCGGGAAGGTGGGGAGTTCCACGAACTGCGAGATCCGCACGCTGTTGGTGCGTTTCATGGGATCCGCGTCGATGAATTGGGACAGACGGGGGGTGCTGGTGCGTTTCATCGGGTCGGGGTGGTGCGAGTCGATGAATTGGGAGATCCGCACGCTGCTGTTCCGATTCGTCCCCGCCGGGTCGTCGGAGCGTCGTTGCTGTTGTGGCTTCTGCGCCTCCTCCTCAGGCTGCTGTTGTTTGTGCGCTTGTTGCGCATCCTTATCGTCATCTCCCTCCTCCTCATCTATCTCATCATACCCAAACTCCCCCGCCAATTCCAACAACACACTCGTCGCGCCCTTCCCGCCCCTCGACGCCACGAAGGACACCGGGCGGGCCATCGCGCGGTCCGGGACGGCTCGGGATCGGGGTGGGGAGACGAAATGTGGGCGCGGTTGGGGGGTGGATGGGGGTGGGAGGGTCGGCGGGTGTGAAGTTTCGTCGCGGGGGGAGGTGCGGGGGGTAGAGAGGCCTTGGGTTCGGTAGGGCGGGAGGGGGGCGATGGGGGGGAGGGACCGCCAGTGTTCGGGTTCCTGTTCTATGCTATGTGACGGTGTCGCTGTCGTCTCCGCGGCTGGTACTGGGGCCTCATCACCCACCACGGCCGTCTCATCCGACTGGATCGATCCAGTCGGGCTCAACAAGGGTGTCGACTCCTCGTCCTGTTTCGGAATTTCGTCGTCATGGGGGAGTGTGGTGGTGGCGCTTTCCTCGAACGTGTGTCCGTCGTGGTCGTCGCTATCGACCCCGTAAGCAGTCCGCCTCACCTCCACAGCATCGCCAGTCTTCGCCTCCGCCACAGCCCCGTCTCTCGCATCCACCCCTCTCACAGTAACATCACTCTCGTCAGACATAACGGACTCGTCATCATCTCCCTCACTGCCATTCCCGTGATCCTGGTCCGGCCGCGCCAAATCCCCACCCATAGCCCCACCGCCCAAATTCCACTTGAGATCATCCAACGGCGCAACAAGACTATCGTCATTATCGTCATCCTCCTCATCGGACGACAGCCGACTCCTCATGGATTTGAAATCATCCTCGGTGGTATAACCTTCGCCAGCGGTGACGAAAGAGGCTTCTGTTGTTGTGTCGTCGTCTTCGGATGATGAGTCGTGAGGGAGCGCGCTGGTGGGGTGTGGGATGGCGACGGTGGACGACCGATTGGAGGCGTACATATTGTAGAGGGAGTCGCTGGAGTGGTTTTTCTGGAGGTGGGTGGGCGAGGTTGGCGAGGGCGGATCGTTGCTCGTTATGACCGATTGCTGCAATTGTCGATCTGCATTATCGCTATCCGTGATATCGGCGTTTCCGGGTACGTTTTCCACCACCTCCGGTTCCACCACCTCCTCCTCAGCTCCCACATCCTCCAAAACCAACTCGACCCCCTTTCCTCCCATGCCCCTCGCACACTTCTCAAATAACAACACCGTCTTTAGCACCTTACAACTCACCGCCCTCCCCCCACTCCCACCCTTCCCCCGCCCCTCTAACCCTGCATCAATCAGAATATCCCACACCGAAAAAAGATCCCCGGATTCCACACCCACCAATTTCGCCAACTCCAAAAAGAAGACGAGTTTATGGATCGTGTGTGTTGATGGTTGCGTGAGGAGGTGGCAGGGTGTGGATGGGAACAGGGTCGTAGAGAGCCGGATCAGGATGTCCCCGGAGCGGAGGAGAGTTATGAGGTCGGTGCTGGCGTGGGAGGGGTGGTGGTAATACGCGGCGGTATCCTCCCCCTCCTGTTGGGATAAGGTCTCGCGAATCCACCTCACGACCTGCGGGGAGTAATCCTTATAAACCTTCACGGTGCCCTTATTCTCCATATCTCCGAAATATCTATCATCGTCGTCTTCGTCTTCATTGAGGTCCATGTCGAGGACGTCTTTGGATGTTTGGTAGGTCTCGTCGGCGTTGAGGAGGTCCATGAATTTGAGTTCGGGTTCGGAGGGGCCGCGGTCGTTACGTTGGAAGCCGATTGCGTCTTGGGCGTGCAGGATGGAGGTGTAGGAGGTGGAGATTTGCCAGAGGCGTTTGAGGTGGTGGGAGCGTTGGTGGCGGGTTAGAGTTGGGATGGTGGGGGGTAGTGGGGATGTGGGTTGGGGGAGGCGCTCGACGGTGTTGAAGTGCGTTGAGCGGTCGAAATCGTTTGTGCGGCGACGTTGGAGTGTTACGCGGGTCTCTTCGTCGTTTTCTAGTTCGCCGAATGAACCGCCGAAGGACCCGCCGTCGGAATCTGCGTATTCCACGGCGATTTCCGGTTGCCCGTCTGCGAGATGGTTCTCTCGCGTTTCAGTCTCCGGTGCGAAAACATCGCGATCCTCCTGCGGTGGATTCCTGACCGTCACCCTCCTGTTTCTTCTCCTCCAGAATTCCTGAATCCTCGTAACAGCCCATGTGACTCTCCGCATAATCGTCAAATCCTGCAACACCCTAAAACCCCGACTCGTCATATGCACCGTATTCCAATCCCTCGAGATCCACAGATCCCTTTCAGCCACACGACTCATGGCCATATACTGCACGCATTTGGCCTGCAGATGCGTGTAAGGAGTTTCTGGAGTGAGGTCATGTGTGATAAAGCGGAGGTAGAAATCGATCATGGGGAAGGTTATGACGTCTTTGGGGAGGCCAGTTGGGCGGTGGTTTTCTCGGGTGGTTGATGGGGTGGATTGAAAGAGGTCGCTGTCGTCGTCGGCTTCTGCGTTTGTGGAGAGGGGGAGGGTGCCATGGGAGAAGAGGTTTACGCTGACGGACTGGTGGCGTTGGGCGAAAGCGCTTTCGACTGCTGGTGCGACGTTGGCGATGATATGTTCTTGTATCGGTTCCGCATCATGGTCGGGCGCTTCGTTGTGCCAGTCAAAGAAGTCGCTGTCATTTCGTAGGTGCTCGTGAGTGGAAAAGTCGCTGAAAGCTAGAGGGTTCGTTTCCCTTTCGCGTTGGTTAGTATCTTGATATGGCGGCCATTTGGGGTCGGCCTCGTTCCCACCCGGAGAGTAGGGGTTGTAGCTCTGGTATTTTGCTAGAGTGGCCTGCGAAGGCTTGTATTCGGTGTCCAGAAAGTCCTCCATTCCGTATCCTGTGTGATGGGTGTGTGATGCCCGCTGTTGTTGGCGTTTTCGACGGGCGAGCTGGAAAGGACACACGGGGTTTTCTGGTGGCCAAAAGAGGGTGTATGGGGCAAGAATCGCGGTCCGTCCGTCCGTCCGTGCGTCCGTCCAGCGGGCAGGAGGATGTACTTGGTGGGTGGGAAGTAATTATAAGGCTGCTGGTGGGGAGGTGGGGCGTTTTTCCAAGCGAGGGCAAGTCGTTGCTTTGCCGCTGAAGCCTGGTGAGCGATTTCCAGCAAGCCTCCCCCTCCCTCCGACTATCGTGATGACTGGCAAATGAGTTATATATATAACTTATGGGCGGGCGGCGTACCGCGACTCCGGGACCCGCGCTCAATGCATTTATTGTTGGGGCCGTACCGTTATTTAAGTGGTTATGTGGCTGCCAATCCCCCCGCCAAACTCCCAAGTTCTCGCTGACTGAAATGGAAAGACAGACTTTGCAGGACCTCCCCCATTACATACATTCCATACTCTGAAATGTCAAGAAGACCTCTGTCGCGGTGGACAACGTCATCGACTTGTTGGGGCCGACTTGAAGGTTGTCCGAAAGTGTTCACTTGCATCGTCCCTTTCCGCCGTCTATGTGACCCTTCAGCGACGCGTCCCGAGAGTGGCAGCCCTGACAAATCAACATGGGCGAGTCTGACAAACCACGCAGCTCTTCCCTTCGCACACCTTCTTGCAACAACAACAATAACAACAACCACCCCCACCCCGAACGCTACGATACGATACAAAAAGGGCCAGGTTCCCTGTATTAAGCCACGGCTTCAAGTCGATAGAGAGTTCCTGGCTCCATCTATAAATACTTTTGTCGGTCAAGGATATTCAGCATCACTGTCGACCGACACTCTCCCCATCCACGACACTTCCAAATTCTTCACCTCGATAGTGCTCAATAACCTGCAAAACATGGCGCTTGGCAGTCCCACTGCACCAGAAGCGAAGCCTGAGGTGCTCGGGAGTGACCACCGTGTCGGCAATGCTGGAAACGGGGACACGTCCATACCAACAACCGTCGCAGATCCCAGCATGATCCCCTTCACAGTCGCCTACAAAGGCATAGCACTCCCCCTCGAGTTTCCCTTCTCAACGCCCCTCGATGACCTCAAATCCTATCTCTCCACCCACCCATCCATCGGCGTACCCCCACCCAATCAAAAGCTCCTATTCAAAGGAAAATCCACCTACCCTCCAGACGCAACGCTCGAAACCATCGGCCTGAAACCACATGCAAAGCTACTCCTCATCGGCTCCTCCGCCGCGCAAATATCCGCCGTTCAGGAAGGTACCGCCCGCCAACAGCAAGCCGCCGTGCGAGCATCATCATCACATCGACGACCGGCAGCAACCTCAACCGGCAGCCGCATCAGCACCCTCACATCCCCCGCCGACCCCTCCTCCACTTACACCTTCACCACCCTCCTCGCCCTCCCCTCCTTCCCCGACCACAACCTCGCCCACGCCCTCCTCACCCGTCTCGCAAACGACCACGCCATCAAACACATCATGTCCACCCACAAATGGCGCGTGGGCACCCTCAAAGAACTGCACCCGTCCGAACGCACGATATTGGGGTACAACGAAAACAAAGGCCAATCCATCGCACTCCGGCTCCGCACGAACGACTTGGACGGGTTCAGACATTACGGGACCATCCGCAAGGTCCTCCTCCACGAACTCGCGCATATGGTGCATTCCGCCCACGACGCGCAATTCCACGCGTTCAATCGGCAACTCAACGCTGAATGCGATGCCCTGAGCAACGGGCGCACTGTGGGGACTCGCGGCGCGTATTACAACCCGCCCGAGGAGGAGAGGGTGGATGAGCCGGCGTTTCAGGGGGGCACGTTTAGGCTGGGTGGGGGAGGGAGGAGGGAGACGGGGGAACGGGAGAGTCGGCCGATGAGGGAGATTATGGCGGAGGCGGCGTTGGGGAGGTTGACGCGGGAGGAGGAGGAGTTGGAGAGGGGGTGTGGGAGTGGGAGTGGGAGGACGTAAGAGACGTAAGAGTTGGCGGGTTGAGTCCCTCGACGAGGCTTTGCTGGGTTGGCGAATTATTTTTGGTAGTTAGGGTAGGATATAGCATGCACGCATCCTATTTTGTCGATTTGCGCCGGTGTATGTAGATCAGTTGGGAAACAGCCCCGCTCCAAATGTCCCCCCTTTCCTTATGTGTAGCTGCATAGCGATAACCGAGATACACAAAATTCATAGCATGTGCAAAAAACACTCCCACATTCCTTTCCAAATGCATCATTTCGGTCCACTCCCCGTGTTCGTAGGCACATCCACCACTTCCCATGCACAAAAAGGGTATCAACCCCACCACTTCCATCTCGCACTTCCATCTCGCACGTCCATCTCGCATCAGCCACCAAAACTTCCTACCACAACCAACCCTACCACGAAAAAAACTAACAAAAACTACAAACTACAAAGCATATAAACCATGCAGTGTGCCTGAAAGGCTTTGGCTGTGGGGGCGGCAAGTGTCACCAGTCAACCGTAGGGAAGGTTATGACGTTGTGCAAACCACCAACTGGCATACGATTAGGGACACGTTTCTCGGAAGGACAACGGATTTGAACGGAGCTTGAAGGAAGCGAATATGCACGTATCGCAACATTTTGACCGTCCCTCCATTCGAAGGATCTGATGACGGAAATCAGAGGCGCTAAGCCTCAGACGAAACTCAACGGGACCTTCCGGATGTTTATTCACTTGCACTCTTTGAATTCTGATGTTTCGCCGAGTCTGGATCGGAAGGTGGCATCTGAAAGCGAGGGAAACCCGATACTATTTTCGGACAGCGTCCTTTCCATGTGAAAAAGAAGTTTTGGGGTAAGGAGGGGTCCAGGAGATGGCATATGGGAATGTCCAGAATGGCACGGAGTCATCGGAAATGGCTTCAAGGCGAGGGATCGCGGTCCATAAACAGCAACACGCGCTGGGACCCCCGTTCCCGTTTGGGCGACTGCGCACGCGTTGATGCGTGTGAGTCACCGCGTTCCGAAACTTTTCATCAGGATCCATCTAATGATGCGATGATGATGATAACCAAGTTTTTTTTAGACAGATAGTAAGTAGATACGGACCCCGAACGGGTAACAATCGAAGAGCACCCCAGCCCAAGGGTTCTTTCAACGATCCCGCAGACACTCGATACCGCCGCCGAAGGCTTTTTTTTGCCAGCGGAACCAGTTCCAGATCTCGTAGCATCCACACCGCAAAACGTGCGGCGGTGAGGACCGCACGGAAATGGTATAAAAGGCGAGGTGGGCCGAGGTTGCCCACCTTCCTTTCAACCCAACCAACCAAAACAACCAGATCTACTTGCACATCTCTCTATATCGTTACGTCTTCAACGACCCAACCTACCGTCAGAACCCTACCAAATCACAAATCACAAACACACAACCATGAACGCTCGCCAAATCCTCTCCACGATGCGTCCCACCTTCCTCCGCAACGCATCAACTGCATCCCAACGTGAAACCGTCGTCGCTGCTGCACGAAGCAATCCCTCCCGCAACAACAACGGCAGCAGTATACGCCCCGCGACCATCTTCGGCCTCGTCGCCACCGCATTACTCGCCAAGCAGGTCGCTTCCGAGGTCCATTACTGAGCTGTGCGAATGCCCAGCCAACACGCCCCTTTTTGGAGACCCCCGCCCGCAATAGGACGTTCATTTATTTGACATTTTTCTCTCGCTACCAAGTTGGGATGCATCTCTCCGTAAATGAAGGCCCCCTTCGTCGGGACCTTGATACCTCATTAGACAGACAGACCGTCCCCCTCCCCTTTCGTGTTTATTCTCTTATATTTATTTGGGCGCCTTTTTCAAAACGTATACCATAATGATACTCCGCTGCTGGGGCCGCTTGCTTCCTTGTGGAGCCGAGCCCGGAAAGAAAAAAAGTTCATCTCGTTCCTGTCCGTTGCGGCGTTGGATGCCCGTGCCATCTTCATTTTTCCAACTCCGCTGATGAGCTCGGCCAAGTCCCGGCGAGCGATTCTGGATGGGAATCGATGACTCTTCCTCGTAATTTGCGAGACCATGCAGATCAGATAAGAGAGTTGGCGGCATAGTCACATTTATAAATTACGGCCACAAGCACGTGACGTGTAGTTGTGGGCTGCGGTTGGCATAAAGCTGATAGAGACTTCCCAAAAAGTAAAGGCACTCGTGCGTATAGGGTGATTTTCAAGTCTAGTACATGTGGTGGTATGGGGGTAACTACGTCTGATATGCGGTATGTCATAAGCTAAGCTACCGTGTTGGCGGGGAAGGGCGCCTCTACGAAAGATCTCTGCATTTTAGAGGCTCTCGGTCTGCCCACCCGAATCCAGCATATCCCATCTACAAGCTCTGAGCGTCAACAACCTTACATCCAACCCTCTCCCAAGCCGCCTTCGCCTCCTCCACTTTATCCTCCTTAATCAGAATCCAATCCGTATCATATGTGCTAACACAAAACACGCTCACACCAGCCTCCTTCAACGGAGCAGTCAGATACGCAAGAATGCCCACCAATGCGAAATCCAGCGTGCCGGCGACTTGCACGGCAATCCAGTCACCTTCCGTCTTTATCTCTCCTTGTGGGGCGCCATGTGATTCTCCGGAGGGGAGGGCGAGGGATGAAGGAAGGATGACGGAGACTTCGTCGGATGTGATGGTGAGGGAGGCCAGCGGGGCATAGGTTGGTTGGCTTGCGGTGGCGAGGAGCCCAGCGGCGAGGGAGATATTGTGTGCGATTGGGGTGAAACGGTGAATGGAGAGGGACTGTGGGTGGATGCCGAGCGTGAGTTTGGGGGTTACGCTTGCCATTGTGGGTATTTGTGGATGTGATACGGCAGGTACGTTGGAAAGCAGTCTTAAGAGTAACGAATGGATTATGGATGAGTGAATATAGAGAGGAGCGGAGACAGAGCAACCCCGTACCTTTAATACGCCGTCGGTCCTTCCGCCCGTCCTGGCCAGTTAGCTGGTTGTTTGGGCCCCTTTTCGAAGCGCAAGTTCCAACGCGTTCCGCCAGGATGAAAAATGCGCAGCCACGACGCCCGTTTTCCCTCTTCACGCGTTTTTCGGCCCTTGCCCTGGTGCTCCATGAACTACTTTTCGCGGAGGAGCTTCAGAAGACATACCGCGAACCTGCGTAGATAGCAGGAAAGTTCACGCGGCAGTGCTATCGATGTGGTTATTCTCTTTTGATTAGGAAAGCAACCATACCACTATACCCAGAATCGCCACCATCCGGAAACATACTGGGCGAGCGCAGAAACAGACGATCACAATGGAAGCACTTAACAAACTCACGGCGGAGCTGGACGAGTTTGAGGCTTTCGTCGAGAACTACAGTACGTTCCATATCGGCGCTTTGCTGAAAAACGACCAAATCTCACGCATCCTCTCACTAGCTGGACAGATGAATGACATCCTCACCGGGAAGCTGCCAGATGCGGATAAGCAGTGGGCTAAACAGCAGCTGGAGAGCATCCACAGTGCGACGGTTGACATGAAGGCGCTCGATAATGTGGCGGCTGAGTCTGCAGAGCCTGTGAGTGGCGTCGCGGGGAAGATTCTGATGAGTGGTTCAAGAGCGGACAAAGAAGGCAGCAAAACGAAGGAGATCTCAAATGACGAAAAGGCCAAAGCGGAAGCAGCCCAGCACCGCGCGGACGGTAACGCGTTCTTCAAGCAGAAAAAGTACGCGGATGCCGTGTCCGCATACACGCTCGCCCTGGCCGCCGCTGCCCGGCGAAAAGTCCAACCATCGCACAGCGACACAACGGACCCGTCCGATGACACTGCCATAACCCTCTACACCAACCGCGCGCTCGCACACTTCCGGCTTGGCGCATACACTCTCTGCGTCGCCGACTGCACTTACGCGCTGGAGCTCAACCCACGATGCAGCAAAGCACTATGGCGGCGCGCGGAAGCGTACCGTGCCCTGCGACAATACGAACAGGCCAAGAAAGACGCATTTGCGCTGCAGGGGCTGATTGACGATTTCGCGGGGTTGACGTCGCGGATGGGCCAGTTGAGGAAGGATAGAGCGAACGTGACGGATCCGGGGGTGTCGGAGGCGGAGGTGCGTGGGCTGCTCGCGGTGTTGGAGCGTGAGCTTGCGGACGAGAGCGAGGAGAAGAAGTTGAAGGAGGAGTTGACGGCCGACGGGTCGTTTACGGTCCTGCAGGAGCTCGTCACCGCGTTTGCTGAAACACTACGCGCAATCGCTGGGTCTCCACCCAACAGTACGAATAAAGCGCATGCCGCCGCCCATGCCTCCTCCACGCGACTCACTCGACTTGTCGAAGCCTCGCCGCTGGTCGCCGACGCTTTCCGTGCGACTAACGCCTACCCAATCCTCCTGTCCGACACCGCCGTGCTAACACCAACCTCAATTGATCTGATCCTCCCTGTCATGGGCGCCTCTGCGCGGACCTCATCAGTCAACCGACGCGCACTCGCGAAACACGTCGGCGCGATCGTCAACACGATGATGCGCATGCAAAGTCCGCGTGTCGAGACAGTCGAAACCGCGGTGGAAGTGTTGAGGCTTGTTGTGCGAGAGGAAGAAGGTGTGCGTGCTGTTTGCGGGATGGCAAACTCTGATGGAGATACGCAGGTTGACGGAAAGGCGTTTGGGAAGTTGGTTTTGAAGTTTCTGCATGAGGCGAGCACGACAAAGCTGGTTGTAGAGGCTCTGTTGGAGTTTCTGACGCGTGTTGTGAAGGAGGGACCGGCGGGATGGCGGGCCGTTAGCGTGGCGTGGGGCTTGGGCCCCGAGAAGTTGCTGGGGGAGTTGCCGTCTTACTTGAGAGTTGATAAGGCAAATTTAGCTGAAGAGCAAAAAGCGGACGACTCGAAAGCAGACGATAAGAAGCCCAGACACGACCCCGCGGTGGTCACCAATGCATGCCTTCTCATCGATGCCCTCGCCGGGTCGCCGAAAGCGGCAGCCGCCGCGTTCTCTCAACACTACAAATCGCTTCTTGATGCAATGTGGACGAATCTCACGGTGTACCTTCCCACACCTGAGCGCACGCCCCAAACCCCGACCCCAACCTCAACCTCCCCGACTTCCACATCCAACCCAGACCTCGTATCCGTCCTTCTGGCAACGACCCACAACGCGCTCCTGAACCTCCCAACCGACGACGACGCACAAAAAATCATAGCGGCGCTGCTCCGTCGGCATGCGATTCACGTCCGGCTGGTCCACGTCCTAATAGCCCAGCCGAAGGCCACAGATACACCATCAGCAACACATACACACCTTACAACCCTCGCACTCCGCGTGCTGACGCGTCTCCTCGCTTCCCATCGGGACGACATCATATCCACCCTGGATGGGTGGTGGGACGACGTGCCGATGCTCCAGCTCATCCAACAGCATCACCAGCAGCAGGCCCTGTCGCTGCAACTCCTTGCCGCATGGCTGGCATCTGGCGAGAGCAAAGCAGTCGAGTGGCGCAAGATGGGCGGGTTCGAAGCGTTAGTGGGCGTGTTGGAGCGTGCGAGGGGAGTGAAACCTGCGGAGAGGGATGAGAAAATCCTCGGAAATGCGGCGCTATGTGTAGGGGAGTGTGCAAAGACTGGTACGTTTTTCTTTTGTTGCTTCGCTTCTCCGGCCAATCTCACGAAACTTCCCACTCCAAAACAGCCACCTCCGCAAAACAACTCCATCGCCTCGGCGCCACGACGCATATCGTGCACTTACTGCGGGACGACACGATCCGCGATCTCAAGGCCAAGAAGAACCTGGCGATTGCGTGTGCAAGGCTTTGTCAATGTCGTAAGTGGCCGCTTGCGTGACCGGGATGGCCGGGGTTTTACTGTTTACAGCTTTCCTCGTGATACTCATGGCATGTCGTCCCATTTCTTTCCCATCTTCCATTCAAATCTTCACTTCGATATGCCACCCCGGAAAACACTAGCCGCTGCCCTGGACGAGGCCCGCGCGCTGCACGGCATCGAGTTGATGTACAGCCTCGGGCCTAAGATTCTTTGAATCGTCAAAGCAGGAAGGACAGTGAAGGAAGTACTACATATCCTGAGAACCTAATCAGCATCGAAGGAGATTCCTTTATCGTCTCTCGTGGCTCTTCTGACATACGTTGTGTATTTGTATGTGTGTCGCTCGCAGGACGTAACGTGTGTTGTGTCGTGTCCAGTTTTCCAAAGACAATGCCGGACAGTAAACGCATGTTTGTATAATGGTGGACTTGTATTATAATTGTAGAAAGATCTGAGGAGAGCACTCGGACTATATCCGATCAAGGAGGATGCCGCCGCTGCAGCAGCTGACCTAGCACGCCCCCGATCTATTGCGAAGGTTGTGAGAAGACCAAAGTGGGAAGGACCAGCGGAAACGCGAAACACACGCGTGAAAGGCGACTTTTTCGGAGATGCGTAAGCCAGCACGTCACACCTCATCTAACCGAAACTCTTAACAGTCCCCCGCAGCTTTTTCCGTGACATCTGCAAACCCAAGAGGTGCAAGGCGCATGGACATTCCCGTACAAACTCCCTTTTAGGAAAGGGATCTGCTCGCTGCTCAGCGCCGTTTGTCGCCTTGGCTTGCGGTGTGGCAGTCAGTGCTGTCGCAATGTGGGTTGTCATCAAACGGGGTTGCGTACTGGAAGAACCTCACGATGACCCGGAGATTCCGCCTGTTCCTCCCGCCAAGCATTAGCATCGGTTCGCTCCCTGAACAAGAAATACCATCAGAACATACAGGCGAACTACTCGGTAATGGTCCGCTTGTGTCATATGAGGATTACACGTTTGAAGACAGCGGCGCTTTGCAGCCTGCATCTCAGGAGTGGTCCCCCGTTGTCCGAGCCGTTCGCTACAGTTTGGTGGAAAGCCCGTACTTCCCAGCAAATCTTCTTCAGAAGCATCATTGGAGCTCAGAACTTCAGAACAGAGAGCAAATCGAGTCGCTTGCTGGGTTCAACAACCACTTTCCTCTTTGCGTGGAAGTCAACGATACAATGTCCGCTGAACACGTCAACCCGACAGCTCTTGAGCTCCATGTTGGTACAGAGCCTACGGAGGAATTGCTTCAGCACACTTTGAGCTTATACTGGAACTCTCTGTTTGATGGGCTGTTCGGGGCAAACAATCGAGATAGTCTCGTCAACGAAAATGATTTTGGGGCGAGCATCCTTGCCTCACACCCCATGCATCATCACCTTGAGATACAACAAGGATCAGCTTCTCTGCACGCTAGTTTGCCGAATGAACGGGACATCAAATCTCTGGGGATCTCAAACCCAGCACTAGTTGATGGTGTGGATACACATTCCGAAAGCACGGGTCCCACCTCTGTCCATCTTGCCTCAATCGCGTCTTCAGTGACGATTATCCTTCCTACAACTTCACAGGAAAGGATGGACTCCATCAGCACCACTTTGCCTACCTTTGACTCGCAAGCAGCGTTGATAAATGGAGGCTTCAACCGGGCTACACATCGAGCGTCAAATGGAATCAAGGATAACGATGCCGCTGCTTCCAACAGAGAGTCCGATCCCTTCCCTTTACCACATGCTCCCACTGAGTCGCAACTGGCTTCAATGGCGAGCAGTACGAGCGGGCATTCTGCGCGACGACAGCATCAGAACCCTCCAACCAGACGAGACTTTGTTCTGCCATTGCAGTCCACCCTCCAACCCGTCCGTTCCGCGCTTCTTCCCGCAACAAATCTTTCAAGCTGTCGCATAAACACACGGTGCGCCATATTAGCTGTCGTGACGCAGCTTCATGTGGTGAAACACATGTCGATAGATGGCGCATCTGTGCCCGTTACCTCGGTTTTGGTGGCGGATCATACCGTTCCGTTCTTCCCTATTACACTCTGGAGAGCGAACACAAGATGGTTGGACATGCTGGAAGTAGGCGACATTGTTTACATCAACGGTGAGACACATTCTCGCGGAGAACAGTAGGGAAGGAATCACCTTTGAGGCAAAGGCTTATGCACCTTTGCAATGTATTCAGATGTCCGAATAAGTGAGTTTCGGCGAATCACGTCGGCCACTGCGCTCTCACATTCTTCTATCAGAATCGTGCATCGGCTATGTACGGATGCGCCAATTGATGAAGGTATATTGCTCCGACTTCACTACCGATTGGATCAGTCTGGCGTTCTGATTTGATCATTTCCCAGATGTGGACGGACATGCGTTGGCCTTACCCATTCCGCAGCTGCAAACACTGTTCGAATGGGCCCAAGAACAGCCGCTGATGCAGTATCAGAGCCGTTATCGGAGAAGGCCTGCAGAAGAAGACAACTCAATGGATGGCAGATAAGGGAGTCATCATCTGATGGTGGGAACTGTCTGTCCATGTCTCAGAGGGGCAGATAACGTGTGGCGTTCGGGGGTGATCCGAAACGAAAGGGCGAGAATACGAAATATCTATTCTGATGCGAACATGATGTAAATGGGCTGCGGAGGACAGGGCCAGATTGTGCAATATACACCAGCAGTGGTATTTGGGTGTCTAATTACTGTGCGAGTTGCTTGGTATCCGAGGGCCTTCGCGAACTTGTCGTAGATGAAAGCGGATCGAGCTTTGCGTCCACTGCATGGTCTCCGGACCGCCTTTGACTTATCACCCAGTTGACGTATTCGTTGAACGATACTTTTCCGTCGCGATTATGGTCTAGCTCCTTTGGTTCGGAAGATTTGGGCCCTGGAGTCAATATGGGTCCCAATCAAGCAGCTCCCCCTAATGTGGCACAGACGCCCCGCGCATCATACCTCTAAGGTCCCTGCAAGAGTCTTCTTGGTCATATGTCGTTTTACGAGATCAGCATACAGCATCCGGAATTCGCGCACATCGATGCATCCGCTATGATCTTTGTCGAATCTGCAAATGATAGAATCAAACGCAGTCAGCTCTTGGCTGAAAAACGGATTGTATCGCCAGTGACTCCATCTCTGCTAGTGCATTCCCATCGAGGCCGTGCTTCGTGCATCCTCGTCGTCAGGAAATATGCGATGCCCTCAGAATTTGGACTCGCAGGGCCGGCCTAGCATCTGACCGGAATCTTGGCGTCTTGAACGTACCGTTGAAACTCTGTGCTGATTTCTGTCAATTCGGCTAACTCCCCCTGGGACAGCTTCAAAGCTGCGAACCGATCTTCGCGTTGCCACCAATTTATGACTTCCGAACGACGATAAATGCAAGATGAGGGGGACATTGACGACATGTAGATTTTCAGAGAATGAGCAGAGTTCCACAAGCATCCGCGGTCACTCACATTCGCCGTAACTAATCTCTCCGTTCCCATCTACATCCAGCAGCTTTATCGCCATCGATAGCTCCTTGTCCGACAGGAAGTACCCCATGTCGTAACATAGATCTCGGAACTCACGAACATTGATGGTACCCGATGAATCTGTGTCGAACTTGTCGAATCTGGTGGTGAATACTATCAGCCAGCAGCTCAGTGAATGGCTGGGCGGAGCTGTCGACATTCGAGTCACTTACATTACTCGAGACGGCGGTTTGTACGCATCGGCAAAGGATGACCCACGCCGGTTCGATGGACCTGCTCCTGCTTTGTTTGGACCCATCGGATGTTGTGCTGTCGAGTACGAATTCTGCGAGTAATGCCAATCTGCCCGGGGTACGTGACGCTCCCTTCTCTAACGGCACTTATTTCAACAAATCTCGGCGTCTGCTTGCCAATCACTCAAGGGGACCACGTTCTGTTAACCTTAAATCCAAACCATTTTGACTTTGACGGGCTGTGTTGAGCCAGCACCCTGGAAGTTTGGGCGACGCGGGATGTTGTAATCTGCGGAATGGCCCCGTCACCCGGGCTAGGGATACACTGCTTAAATCAAGCCAAGCGGTACGGTGAAGGCCGACCCTTGTCAACCCATTCTGCTGGGTCACAAAGTGTGTTTTTTTGAGGGCCAGTTCCCCAATATATCGCGAACCTCCCCCCTCCCCCCAATCGCTGGCCACTACTGGGGTTATTCTATCATTGCAGTGTACAAAATTGCATTCCATAAGGAGTAGTAGCACATGCGAGTCCTTGCGCCAGGCGAATGATTCCGTGATGTGAGTTGCATAGGAAACATGTTGTTGCGCCGTTTCGTCCTCATGAGCCGTTTCGTCCATCAACGGCTTCCGTTGTGGGCACTGGGCGGAGTCGGGGGGCACGGTGTCGGATTTGTTCGGCTGCCGTCATTGAATGGATTATCTCGGACTCGGAGTTCTCCGCGTGGGGGTTGGTGCCACGTTTGTGGCGGACGGTGTGGGGTCGGTCGGACGCGTAATTGGGGGTCGCACGCGTTCGGATTGGAACTTGATGGAACCTGGAAATTTGACCTCAAGGTCACAAGGGCCCGCCTCGCTGAGTAATTACATATCGGATTCCTAGTAGTCTGCCAGCGCACCTTTTTTTCTCGGCTGTAGGGGAAATGACTGCAGAAAAGTCCTATATAAGCGGCGTACTGGCCTTATTCCCCAGGCGCAATCGCTCAAAATCTTCCCGTCTTTGAATCGATCGTAATCCATTGACAATCCTTCTCCAAGATGGCACCCACTCTCAAGCTGACGTATTTCGACATCCGTGCCCGAGCGGAATCAATTCGCCTTGCCCTTACCATCGCAGGCATTCCCTTCGAGGATGTGCGCCTCCCAAGGAGCGAATGGCCAGCTTTCAAAGAGAAGACTCCATACGGCCAAGTTCCCACTCTGGAAATCACGGAAAACGGCCAAACATTCATGGCGGCTCAGAGCGAAGCCATTCTTCGGTATGTGGCCCGGCTAGCACCTGAATCAGGCCTGTATCCCGTTGAGGACCCTCTGAAAGCATTGCGAGTGGACGAGATTTTGAACGCATGTGAAGGTTAGTTGACTGCTCAGCCGTGCGCACGTCACGTCACGCTTGTTACTGATCCTGCGTCGCATCCCTTCCCAGATTTGGGTAAAAAGATCTCACCCACAATGCGGGAGCCGGATGCTGAGAAGAAAGTGAAGACTCGTCAAGAGTTGACCGGCCCTGAAGGCGAATTGACTGTTTTCACCAAAAAGATCAACGCCCGCCTGGATCCGTCAGGTATGTCAGTTTACCATTTCGAAACCCGATCTTTGCTGGCTTCATGTTGCTAATTTTCGTCCGAAAAAGGCTACGTCTTGGGCGGAGACAAGCCCACCATCGCTGATTTGGAGCTCAACGGCGCAATGTGGTGGATGTCTAGTGGCTTACTGGACGGCGTAGACCCGGCCTGGGTAAACCAATTCGATAGAATCTGCAAGCTGCGTGACAAGCTCGCCGCCCATCCGAAAGTGAAGGAGTGGTACTCGAAAAAGTGAGGGAAACGCGTGGCAACGGCCCTGTGGGCTCCACCCCCTCGGGTCGTGAGTTGCCTCTTCCCATTGCTACCTCGTAACAAATAGGTGGGAAGGAATCCCTCTGAGATAATTGAATAAACTGCTGCTTGAAAGTAATGACCAGGAAAGCTTTCCGCCCCTTTTCGTGCACCGTGGTTCACTGTGATATTGTCAGGAGTTGATTACATGTGCCTAGTCTGAACAACGCGGGGGATATGCCGCGACGGCGGATGTCTACCCTATGCCCTGGCAATATCTATCACCAAGATCCCCGTATTTGTCTGATACGTACAGTTCAGTGATCAAATCGACCTGATCGCCCAACCTTACTTCGGCCTGGTCAATCGTTGGGTCCGGGATGGAAATCAACCCATCTTTCGCGCCATCATACAACATTTTCCATTCGGCAGATACGGCTCATAGTAACGGGTGCTGCTTTTGTGTGTTTCACCTGGGGCCTCAGGAAGGGTCACGTTCAGCTCGCTTGATATTGCGTTGGACACGGTTGTTAGACTTGTTGCAATGGTTGGAGGTGGATCAAGTGCCGGCAAGATGATTAAAAGGTGTTTGTGCTCTATGTGTTGAAAACTGCTTGAAACTGCACACAGAAACTCGAACAGGCGCGTCTCATCGAATGGGTGGACAAGGACCCTGTATGGACACGCGTGCAGAACTGGGGCCCGTTCCCGTCAACCTCCCAGCCCATCTTCCCTCAAGATAGTGGTACCCACCATTCCGCCACGGACTTCTCTGGACAACAAACACTGGTTGGGTGCAGGTAGGTGCTCGGCGAGGGCGGCGCAACGCTGGCGACAAACTCGGCCGCGAGGGCGGCGCAGTCGGGCCTTTGCGCACAAAAGCCATACGCTTGGCCGTTCAAATCTCGAGTTTGCGAGGGCGGCGCACCAGGAAACGCACATTTGGTCCTGAGGTTCAGTTTGCAATGATGGATGGAACGGCGTGTTTATCGCTGCGCGTTGCACCAGACCTTGTTCTAGGACTTTGATTCGAGATATAGCTTGCATCGAAATAGCTCGGTTCCGCAATAAACCCGCGCGTGTTTGGCCAGCCGAATTTGTGGCAAGGCTCTCTGTAGGAATGCTCTGGCGTGCTCTCTGGGGGTGTGCTCTGGCACACGGTCCTTTGAGTAGAAGCCCTTGTGTTCTACCTTGACTATGTTGAAACTGGGATGCAGCACGCGCGGAGGAGGGTTCTGCATTTATGCGGTTGGGGTTGCAAGTGCGCTTTAGCCGACTTGTTGGTGGGCTTTGTCCGTCCATTCAAGTTGCAGCTACTGTCGTACACCTCCATTATTGTGGATCCGGTTGAATGATTAGGCTTGGCCCTTTGTCCCCGGAGGAGCATGTGCTGGACGACCCTCCTGCAAATGGACAAGAACTGACACCTACCATCTCCGTTTATTATGCAGCAGACAGGGTCGGCGCTGAGCGCCTGCTCTTTCTGCGAGACGCCTTTAAGCAGGATGTCTTCTCGCCGGTAGAATTCGCGAAGGAATTCGAATACAAGAGTCCCAAGGCATTTTGTAATGCCATTGCCACTTATTTGCGGGCGCTGCGCGATATCCTGGGAAAAGAAGACGATACTCCCAAGAATACTTGGCCGAAGGCGCAAGTGAAAGATGCTATCCGCGACGCCTCCCAGTTCTTGGCGAGCGTGCAGACTTCGCAGATATGACCATCAGGGTGTCCTGTGAACCTGATGTCGTGTTGGTAGCAGTTGGCAAGCTTTTGTACGTCTTGGGCATTTAGGCGGACAATTTACTCACCAATCCATTAGAGAAATTGAGTTCATAATGGAGTTCATAATTGACAAGAAAAACGATAAAAAGGCAATAACTTTGGCACAATTTCATTTCTCGGTAACCAGTGCAAATTTTCGATTTGAGAATTTACTCACCAGTCTTTCGGGTCAACGATCGCAAAGACCCCACTTCGTTTTGCATTAGCAATGGCCATTTCAATTGGGGAGTAAATTCATCATCTATCATGGATGCTGTCGCTGCAGCATATCCTGCCAATCCTGGCCGAACCTGCGTTCTGAGTGCCGGGATCTGCTGGATATGCCTGGATATGCGCCCGGAGAGCCGCGTATGCTTGGATTTGGGCTGGATATGCCTGGGTATGCGCCAGGACCGCTGCATATGCTTGGATATAGGCTGAATATGCCTGGATATGCGCCAGGACCGCTGCGTATGCTTGGATATAGGCTGGATATGGACGAATATGCATGCAAGAGCACTCGTTCGCGGTAGGGTTGTTGTGGGAGGCCCAACGAGTTTTGGACGGGCCCTAACCCTACCCCACTTTTTGGCCCAGCTGCGAGGAGCCTGGAAACTCGATGGTGCTCGGGAGCTACTTTGACTTTCGATGGCCGTGCGCTCTCTCTTGCAAAAACCCATAGGAAAATGGACTTCTGATTGGTCCATCTCGGTGACCAGGGCTGGATCTGCGCTTGGCGCCAAAAGCGCTAACCAGGTTGCAGGACTGCTGGTAAGAGGGTGGGAGACGGAACCAAAGATCGGTACGTTTTGAGGGGATGTTTGCACACTTTTTATGGACTTTTTAACGAAAAAATCTCATCTGAAATCTTGATTTTGCGTTGAGTAAATTGTCCGCCTTAGATGCCCAGTGTCTGATGCCAGATATGGAAGGGGGTACTACGGAGTACTCCAGCTGAGTAGGCATATCTTGAGATAGGTTGGGGCTTCATAGTGTAAACTCCGTTCTCCTTAAAAGCTCTGAAGGCAAGAACTCCTTCCTAACGCATCACTATGCACCTTCCCCCCCATGACCGTGTTATTGGCATCAAGACAGGATCCATACCCATCGTGTGCCAACGTCGGTCGGGAATTGGGAGCGAACAAAGTAAGCCAACACGCTTATTCTTCGGCGACTTGAACCTTTGGCAAGACCCACAAGTCTTGGTGTACCTTCTCACGTCTGCGTCCATATCGGGCCAGTAAAACTCGCGTAGGAGCTTGCCCAAAGTACCTTGTACTCCCGTATGCGAGCCAGAAAGCAACGAGTCGTGGTACGCTTGCAATACAGTTCCTCGTAAAGCAGCTGGCACGTAGAACTTATCGTGATACAGTAAATAACCATGCTCATCGATCGAAAAACGTCGATCGAATGTAGACTGCCGTTCCTTTGGCTGTGACAAAGGATCTTTCCGAGATGCAAAGTACTCATCAGACTCCAAGGTTTGTATTGAATCCTCAAGCGTAACATTCCCCAAAGGAATTCACTCAACGGACATCCCCATGGCTGCAGCGATCTCAACTCGCTTGTTACATTCGGCGCAGCGCGGTGCATAATGAGGATTACGACTCACTACATCTGCGACGGTGTTCCAACGACCAGGTTGATTTTCAATATCAAATTTGAATTGTTGCAGGAAATCAACCCATCGTGCTTGGCGATGGCTAAGGAAGGGCTGTGTCTGCAGCCAGACCAAACTAGCGTGATCGGTGAACGCTCGAAACGGGCGATCATTTGTCCGATCCTGCAAGTAATGCCTATTTGCCTTGCAGATCTTAACCAAAGCAAGTAGCTCTTGTTCGTGCATGGGGTAACGTGTTTCAGCGGACTGCATCTTCCGCCCAAAGAAAGCTATTGGCTTTAACGGTGGCAGACTCGTAAATCCCTTCACTGAGGTAGGCAACGGTGATGGGTGATGCTCTGATGGATCCGCCACGTAGCAGTAGTCGGCAGAGGAAGCAGATGACTGAGCGAACTTCATGTTGTGTGTGATGTAATACTGTGAAGTATGTATTGTCTTACAGATAAGTCTTCAGTAGAAAGAGGACGCGAGGTCCGTAGGGGAAGAAAAGAGTGAAGTCCCGTACGCGGAAGCGTGGCGTAAGCGGGAGGGAAGTCACGTGGGGAAATAAACCACGGGGACCCTAACCGGGGACTTGGGAGGATGATACCTCCAACAACCCCTGTAACAACAGAGGAAAGGTAGACGATATTGGGCCCTTCCGACAGGGCTGAGAGCAGTGTATTGTAGTGAAGAAAAAAGTGAGAAGCTTTTCGCAGCGGCCGCTCGACTGACAGCACTATATATGGGGTGCCAGTGGGCCTTGCGTGGCTTCAGTGAGGCTTGGCGCCTTATGTCATGTATCACCGAGAGCTCGGGTGGCCAGCCCGGGTCTCGGGTCAAGTAGAAGTAAAGAGATATAATATGAAATACAAGTGAAGATGAGATATCCCCTACACCTCCCTCGGATCCTGAGGAGGGCGCCGAATAAATAAGAGGTGAACTACAAGGGATATGTGAAGAAAGGGAGAGCTCATGTTCATTTTAAAGTGTTGAGGCACTTGTTCATTTTATAGTGTTGACGCACTGTGTGATGTGTGTGTTCGAGGCAGAGGCGTCCCTAAGCCGACATCGTGTGTGATGTGTGTGTGTAAGGTCGGTTCTTGCGTCGCCGCGCGTGATGTGATGTAGTTTACGTCGCTATTGTCAGCGGTGTGATTGATAGTGAGCGGTTCTTGCGGCGTCGCGCGTGTGATGTGATATGAGATGCTCTATGCTGTACGTTTCCGTATCCACAAAGATTGTGGGTGAGCTTTTCGCCATCGTTTGTAGGCAGGCGTGGAGCGAAGTGCTGATTCGCATTCCCAAGTAGGGTCAGGATAACCGAGCCATTTGACTAGAAGATTTCGTACGGCGCATCCCTCGTCGATGATGTCTTCTACAACCCATTTGGGTTGTCCGCGTTCTTCGACTGGTGGAGGAGGTTGTGGAACTGTATGTTGCGGATATTGCTCTTCGCGATGTGGTCGTAAAATATCGACGTGAAAGACGGGCCAGATGCCGCTGATCTTCGATGGTGATAAATCGAGTTTGTAGGTATCAGGATGTGCTCCTTGTGCGATGATTTTGAATGGTTCGATCCACGTAGCTGAGTATCAAAGTCCGCTTCGAGCGTCTACTTCTAGGTTGATTCCTTGTCGATTTAAATTGACGAGGTCGCCAATTCTGTATGCGATTGGCGTTCGACCTTTGTTGTGTTGACGTGCAAATTGATCTTGCGACCTCTGAAGGTGTTCGCATACGATCCGGGCAATATCTTCCTGCCCTTTCTTGAAGAGTTCGATTTCGTTTCGATCTACAGCTCGAAGTTTGAGTTCTTGTCCTTTGAGTGTTGG